CCTTCCGGGGTTCCGGGGGAAGAGACTTGGACTCTTCGCAACTCGTCAGTGGCCTGGTGAGGAAAGCCAAGAAAAGTCTCAAGGAGACAGCTCCTATCAAAATGCTAATACAGGGGACGCGGGGCAACCGCTCATTTGTTTGTGACATCACTGCCCTCTTCAGCCCTATGTTAAGGCACCAGGTGGCAGTTACTGGTCACCCACTCGCCCGCCCCCCCCCGGGCGGGGGGGGGGGGGGGGGGGGGGCGGGGAGTGTGCGAGTTTTTCTGTGCGTCCGACACCGCTCTCTGGGTGGGGGGGAGGGGAGGCGGGGCAGGGTGGAGGGTGAGCAGGGAGGGGGGGGGGGGGGGGGGGGGGGGGGGGGGGGGGGGGGGGGGGGGCGGCGGCTTTGTGTTTGAGTTTGTGCGATTCAGCATGACCAGCCACCCTCAGCCCTTCTCTCAGTCACCTTTACGGGTCTCTCCGAGTAGATGTGTAGAGACCGAGGTCGACCACAGTTTCGGGGCTAGCCAATCGGTTGCGCGGGCAGCGCAGACGGCAACGCTAGGAGGCGGGATACCACATCGCAAAGTCTCTCTCTCAGAGGTGCCATGCCAAACTCTCGAGTGCCTCGCATTCTTCGCCTCCCCTTGTGAGGCGGCTTTTCTCGTATTTGCCCATGACTCCACACATACTACTAGAGGCAGGGACCATGATGTCGATCCGGCTCCGCACTATCTCTGGCCGCCATTACGAGAAGTCTGGAGATGTTCGCTGGCAGTCCACGCACACATTTTAGGCACTAAGTGGATTTGATGACCGATATGCGTGAACCAACGCAAATCGCTGTCTTCACCTCGTGATTACGAGGTGATCATCAAACGGGGCCCCTGGAGCCGTCTGGTGGCACCGCAGCAACCGGCAATGTGATTGTCAACTCGATCTATAACATGGCCGACAGATCCCGTCCTCGAACAACTTTCAGGAAACCTCACTCTATTACAGTCGACAAACAACAACTTTTAATCTAAAATTAATCATCCGACTACATCAGTCGCTACACATACAAGTCACTTCAAACAACCAACAAAATGCAGTTCACAAACACCCTCGCCGTCGCCGCCTCCCTCGTCGCCGCCGTCTCCGGCGCCGCACTCCCCCAACCCGTCACCTCCTGCCCGGGCGGCGGCACCACCCCCGGCCTCCCCGCCGACGCCAAGTTCCAGCTCTTGGCCCTCGGCCTCCCCGGCGATGTCTTCCCCATCTTCCAGGCCGCCCTGGGCAGCATCTTCCTCGAGCTGCCCAACCAGAACGCCACCTGCGACAACACCGACGACGACAACTTCGCCACCTTTTACCTGAACCAGACCGACGGCGGCCTCTACCTCTACGGCCCCGCCGCCGCCCCGCAGCAGATGTTCACCGACCGCTCCGGCATGGGCCAGGGCAAGTTAGGCTACATCAGCGGCGACGTGCACGCGCCTCGCAACGCCGAGGTCACCGGCTGGCAGGTGGACCAGTACGGCGTGCTCACCCTCAAGGGCGCGTCTTTCCTGGCCTGCCCCCACAGCATCGAGGACAGCTGGTCCGTCTCGGTCGCGACCGGTGTTGACCCTGTTGGTAAATCTGGCTGCGTCGGCATTGTTGTCGGCACCTTGCAGATCGACGAGCTCGACAGCTGCAGCTACACCCCTTCACCTTAAATGATGACTTCCTCTCCATGACATTATCGACGTGCGCAGCGACTCTTTCATTTTTTTTGTATGCATCATTTCATCGAATTGGCATCGGTTTCAAAGACATTGGGACGACCCGAGAGTATATATACCCATAAAATGGCGAATACTAGCAGTTGTAGCATATCATGGCCATTACGGTTTACACCGCTGATGGCATCTGTACGTTGTAGCGTAGAAGAGCATTGCTGTTTTTGAACATGAATTAATATTTCGTTTTTCGACATGATTGCTCCACATCGTTTGTGACCTGTTCTGATTAAGAAGCACAATCCCAAGACGATGATGTTTCTCAGCGCTATATATACTGTAAGGCCATCATCCATGTGGTAGTTTATGAGGTTCGGTGATTTGTTTCAGGGGCATGTAAAGCAACTTGTATCCGCCAGTTGATTCAAATATCAATGCTAACCAAGCTTATCAACATGGGCAGTCCGCCCAGCCTACTTTGTGAGGATTCTCTCAAGTTGGCCGATAGCCAACTCCTAATCCCATCATAGTCGTCATGCGTTCATCCTCTCTCTCTTCTCCTCTCGCGTTCGAACCAGGTTGGAAATGTCATCCATGGCACAGAATAACAGTCAGTAGAATTATCGTATGTTTCTACACTGGGCCACGCCCGCTGCTAACCCTCCACAGCAGCGATACCCTCCTTGTCACCTTCCAACTTGGCCTTGTTGAAGTCGGCATCGTTCGTCGGCAGCTCAACGTGCCATTTTGAAATTTGTGCAGCACCAATCTCGACCTCGCCGTCGGTACCAAACGACAGAATATGCCCACCCTGGGTCCGGTCCTCGGTGATGAAGTGGAGGTGATCGCCGGCTACGCTGATGCCCATGGTATACTCGGGCGACCGGAAGCCGACGACGGTGCCGCGCACGGGCTCTTCAAAGGTGTGCGACGCCTGGTGCTTGCCCACCTCGACCAGGCTCTCGCCCGGTTTACTCTGGCCGCCGGCCGTCCGCACGGTGATGCCCTTGAAGACGCCCTCGATCCTGATGGCCAAGAAGAAGTTTTTTGCGTCGGGGAAGTGTTGGGAGAGGTGCTCAAAGAGCTCCTTCTTGTTGTTGAAGGCGGCCTTGATTGTTGCCGTGGGCTGGAAGCGGGTGACCATGGCGAAGGGGGCGACGGCGTCGGAGGCCGGGCTTGTGTCGATTGGGGTCACGGTGTTGTCCGATTTCATTTGGTAGAGCTTCCCGTCGAGGATGATCATCTCGCCAACCATGTAGCGGAAGGTTCCCAGGCCTTGGGTGCCGTGGGAGATGAGATCTGACACGGGCAGGCCTTTGGAGGCGACGCCGTCCATGAGGGCCGAGATGATGGAGTACTGGAATATTTCATTGACCGCCATTTTGTGTGATGGTGCTGACAATGACGTCCTTTCTATTGTCAGAGTGAGATTGGAGATATGTAGTGAGTTGAGGTGAGATGAGATAGTCGCGGAGGGTTTGTTCGAGATGGCGGAGGGTGGATGTGGTGACTAAGGGTTTGGGATTGCGTCTGGCCACGCCGGGAAAGTGGCGTGCATTTGCTGACTGCAGGTGCAGTACGGATAGGTACCTAAGGTAAGGTAAGCACACCTGCCCCTCCGTCGTCCGGATCGGAGACGTCGGAAGGCCACGGAAGGCGGCTCCGGGAATGCGACCTTTTCAGCGACGGAAGCTGCCATCGTGTGGCTCTTGCCTAGCGCTCTGGTGGTTGAGTCATCAAGTGACGAGGCGCCGCTTTGGGTCCACTGCCCCGGGGGGGCGCTGACGTCAGTCGCACGGCATCACCGGCCACATCGCCGACTCGCTGCTTCGGTCTTTGGCTTTAGGCTTTTGTTCCTCACCTCACCGACTTGACGACCAAGCGCGAGGGACCTTGCGGCATTTCCGTCTCCATCTCCACTCTCTGCCTCCGACTCTCGCCGGCATCGTGGACGTGAATCTGAAGGTCTTGCTCTGCGCTTACGACCTCTTGACAATTTTCCCTTCTTATTGAGCCTTTTGAAATTGACGCAGTCAATTTATCTTATACTTCTCCTCATCCAAACCAACTAATCAGAATCCGCTTCTCTCCATCGACTCTGAGCCACGCACATATCAACCAATGTCTTCAGAAACGGTAGATGTCGTGATCGACTCACTCGTCGCCGCCGGCGTTAAGCACATATTCGGTGTCCCGGGCGCCAAGATCGATAGCGTCTTCAACGCTCTGATCGACCGTCCTGAGATCCAGCTTGTCGTCTGTCGCCATGAGCAGAATGCCGCCTTCATTGCCGGAGCGATCGGCAGGATCACAGGCCGACCCGGCGTGTGCATAGCCACTTCCGGCCCGGGAACCAGCAACCTCGTCACCGGCCTTGTGACCGCCAACGATGAGGGTGCACCAGTCGTCGCCATCGTCGGCGACGTCAAGCGGGTGCAGGCCGCCAAGAAGACCCATCAGAGCCTGAGGGGCGTCCAGCTCCTCGAGCCCGTCACCAAAAAGACGACGGGCGCCGTGCACCCCGACCAAATTTCAGAGATCATGCTCGACGCCTTCAGAACCGCCACGGCGTACCCTCAGGGCGCAACAGCCGTGAGTCTACCAATCGACATCATGACTGTCGGGACCAAGACGTCCATCCCGGCGCTGCCCCCGAGCGCATTCACCCCGCCCCAGTACGGCACGTCTCCGTCCGCATCGCTGAGTAGGGCGGCGGCCATGATCCAAAACGCAAAATTCCCAGTCCTGTTCCTCGGATCGCGGGCGGCTACGCCAGACGCCGTCGAAGCAGTACACGGTTTCCTCCGCAAGCACCCCATCCCCGTCGTCGAAACCTTCCAGGCGGCCGGATCCATCAGCCAGGAGCTTGCCCATCTCTTCTACGGCCGCATCGGCCTCTTTCGCAACCAACCCGGCGACAAGCTTCTCTCGCAGGCCGACCTCGTCATCGTCGCGGGCTACGACCAGTCCGAGTACGACGCCGATGCCTGGCACAAGAGCCAGAGCCTCGAGATCTTGCACCTGGACTGGATCCCCGCCGACTACGGCGCCTTCTACAACCCGAAACTCGAACTCGTTGGCGCCATCGCCGCCAACATCAAGGCGCTAGGCGATATCCTGGCAAACGTCTCCCGTCCGCAGGAGTCTGAGGTGGCAAAGGCCATCTTCACAGAGTTTCACGCCTGGGAGCAGAGCCCTCAGGCTCTCGGCCAGACCGGCGACGGTCCTGTGCACCCTCTCTACTTCATCAAGCTCATGCAGGGCCTGCTACCCCCGTCGCCGACCTTGGCATCAGACGTTGGCAGCATGTACATCTGGCTCTCGCGCTTCTACTTTGCATACAGCCCCAAGTCTTTCCTCGTCTCTAACGTCCAGCAAACTCTCGGGGTGGCTCTCCCCTGGGCCATCGGGGCTTCGCTGGCCCAGGAACCGCCATGCTCCCGGAAGGTTGTCAGCATCAGCGGCGACGGCGGGTTCCTCTACAGCGGACAGGAGCTCGTGACGGCCGTCAAGCAAGGGTGCAACATTACGCATTTTATCTGGAACGATGGAAAGTATAACATGGTGGAGTTTCAAGAGGTTGACAAGTACGGCCGCAGTTCGGGTGTCGACCTAGGAGGTGTCGACTTTGTCAAGTACGCCGAGGCGTTTGGCGCCAAGGGATTACGCGTCAGCCGTTCGTCGGAACTAGAAGCCGTCATGAAGGAGGCATTGAACTATCAAGGAGTGTGCATCGTCGACGTCGAGATTGACTACTCCCACAACCACGAGCTTATGAAGAATGTCATCCACGACAATATTAGTTAGAGTGTTTTTTAATCGGTTAATGGCTATAGAAAATGGTCAAACGACCGTCGTTACCAAGTCTGCGGGTTATTGTCTCGCAGAAGAAACTAACAAAAGCTTACTTATCAACGGGTAAGTCAATTGGAGGGCTAGTGATTCATCTTACGAACTCGGGTTGGCCACACGAAATGCAAAGATAGCTCTTGGCGACAAGTGATTGTTACCAAGACGCATCATTGACGAAAGGTTAAAGGTAGTGCCGTCTTTTCCCGGATGCTCCGGAACACATTCCCGGAACCACGATCCACGTTCACCGGACCATCAAAAAGGACCAAGTAGCTTAGACGAGCCGGCATAAAGTCTTTGAATAGATTGCCGAGCTCTCGCTAGATCGCATCTAGAGCGATGAGTATCCTACCTACCACTGGCGCCCATACAGATTGCGGACTTGTGCCCCTGCTCGCCAAGGTAACTCCATGCTCTCGGTCTTTGAAATGTCGTGCTGAACTGGTCACATCACCAGGGAGCTCCCCACCTCTGCTTCTCTCAGCCCTACGATTCCTCACGGTCCTCACGTTGTTACGCACGGACAAATAAAACAGCAAGGACAGAGCTTCGCGTGCGTCGCATCAGTACGTGTGTTGTTTCAATGCCTCTCGCCCGGCAGATGATATCATGATGCAGACCCAGTATATTATCTGTACACACACCACAAGTATCTTCCAATAGCAAGTGTAGAAAGGTCTCTAGCGGGGAAGCGGGGGAGAGAAAACGCACTCACTATTGGGCATCGCTTGGCTGGGGAGAAACCGCGCCGAGCACCGACCCTTGATTTCTAAGCCAGGTGAACATTGGTGGTTTTCCCCCGTAAACTCCGCCGGGATGGTCTGTTTGGGGGACAAGAGGAGGGGATGGAGGAGAGCGGGGGGGTGTTTCCCCTCAGCACCGATGAGGTGGACAATGCATCACGACATCGGTCTTTCAATGGTGCAACTCTCCGACTTCACTGCGCAGGATTCGGAATTGGTAATCAACTATCAACCTTTAATTCCTTCAAATACGCAACAACCTCACCATTGCCAGCCAACTTGCTCCATCATTCTCAACTTAGACCTCTTAAGCCAAGTCGCGGTATACCTCACAGCAATTTAACAAACCCTCAACCATCTCCTGAAAATGTCTACCGCCACCGCTCCCAAGATCAAGCTGTACACCAACCACGGCTGCCCATGTACGTGACAGACATTTCCGCGCCACCAACCCATTCCTAGCCTCATCCTCGCATCCTCGCTCAATATCATATAATCCACTCCCTCCGCGTAATCCGCCCACATGCCACGTGCAGAATTAAGCTTGAAGCCAAGCCTCATTTATCAAGCCCCCCCTCCCACCACCGTCTCAACGTGCGCAGCAGATGAGGGATTCACATAAGAAGGGGGAAAAAAAGTAAACGGGGAAATATAAACTAACGCCGTAAAACCTCAAGGGGCCCACCGTGCACACATCGCCCTCGCTGAGCTTGGCCTCCCCTTTGAGGAAGAAATCATCGACCTCTCGGTGCCCCGCACAAAGGAGTACCTCGCCATCAACCCGCGGGGCTTGGTCCCGTCGCTCTCCTACGACGGCGAGATCATCACCGAGTCGGCCATCGTCAGCCAGTTCCTCGCCGACGCGCACCCGTCCCACCTCCTCCCCGCCGCCGGGTCCGGCAAGGACGCCGCGCTGCGCCGCGCGCGCATCAACTTTTTCGTCGACACGTACTTTAGCAAGGCCAACTCTTCGCTGTTCAAGCTGCAGCTGGCCAAGTCGGAGGCCGAGGTCGGAGAGATTGCCACTGGCTTCATTGATGTTATTGCAAAGGAGATTGAGCCGCTGTTGAAGGATGCTGCGCCGTATTTCGGGGGTAGCGATAAGGTTACCTTGGCCGAGGTGAGTTTGTTGAGAAACGCACTGAGCAAAAAATCTTTTTTTTTTCCCCCTCCGCCGGCTGACATGCAATTTTGTCTAGGTTCTTACCGGCTCATTCACCCTGCGACTCTTCTCTTTTGCAAACTACGAGCTTATCCCAAAGAGCATCCTGACCTCCTTGGAAGAAAAGGCCCCGAGCTTCTACAAGTGGGCGCAGGTCGTCAACGATACCCCTAGCGTCAACGGTATCTACGATGAGAAGACCGTGGTGGAGCGGACGAAGCAGCGCATCGGTGCTTTGAAGGCTGCTCAGGCTTGAGCAACAGCAGCCTACTGTCTGTGTTTTGGTTGTATGAAGACTCGGAAATGATCGTGCAGGCTCCGGGAAGCTTAAACAATCCCATGTTAATAGCGTTAGGAATTTTCCTATGAAATATCGCCTGACTTTGAGTTGTCAGCGCATCGACCCATCCCCGTGGGAGACTTTAAGCAAACGTTAAACTTTGTGAGTCGTGGTTGTCTGGACTTTGGGAGTCTCCTCCTACCTTAGTACGGCTGTACGACATGCAGCACCTTGATGGAAATGGTGATTACTGGTTGGTTGATGAGGAATAATTCCCCCTCCTGGCTTTTATGAATTCAAGGTATAAAGAAGAAGTATGACTAGTTTATAAACCCAAACGTACAGATCCTCATTATCGAAATGATGATTCGCCATCGAGGGAATAACCTGGGCGGGAAGAATCCCGCTCTTTGGGAAGCCCTGGCCATCCGCTGATTTCTGCCTCTGCCTGGCAGCTTCCTCCCCCTGCTTCGATGGGAATGAGTAGAGCGCATTGACTAACGTTCCGGCAGGCAAGCAAGCAGCTTTGCTTGTTGAAGCAGCAATTTCAAGGGCCGAAGAACAGAGGAGGGCAGAAATTCACACAGTCTGAGAGCTTGCATCCAATGTTGAAGCAAAAGATCGGACCTCATCATCTCACGTCACTCAAACTGTCAATGCTACTACCATCGAATAAGCTTCGACACAAGTAAACCGTCACAGAATCGCAGCGGGAATGTTCTCGCCCGAACGGAGATACATACTCATTAGTAGCTCTCCTCCGAAGGTCAGAACATCAGATCAGTGTGAAAGCGGAAGTTCGCTTAGAAGGTTGTGTCGGGTTCGATTTCCTACCGGCGTCAACTGGTGTCTCGGCCGAACGGCTTACTTTTCTCAGAGTCACCCACAACGGTTTGTGCTTGGATGCAGACTGCCTTCCACTGACCGGTGAGAGAGCGCGGATGTTTCCGTTGAAGGAATCAGGCCAGACCACATCAACAGAGCCTATGGATGTGGGCAGTGATTCCAGAAGAAAGCAGAGTGTACGCGACGATGGGGCCGAATACGCGGAGAAGCTTTTTCTGCCCTTTCCTGGTAGTGTTGACGCGATTGCCACGACCGTGCCCTCAACTCCCACATGGGAATCGATGAGGAGACTTCCTACAAGAAGAGAACAATCAAAGGAATGTCAAAAATTCAGAATGTTTCTGGCGTTCGATCAGTATCTGGCGTGACGGACCGGGGGATGGTGGGGAGGTTGCGGCCTGATTGCGCGACCGCTGTCAAGCTGGTTTCGAGCCAGGGAAGCAGGGAAGCTGCACGCCAGTCGTAAATTACAAGTACCGTTGGGTTGCGCCACTGCCAGGTCTAACACCGGCTCGTCAGAAACGTAATCTGAGAGGGTGGGGAGGAGCCGTAAAGTTCGAGAACACCTACGAGAGATGATGGATGACGGAGTCTAAATAGAGTTTGCTGCTCAGACTCACTCCGTACCACCCCCACCCCCCCGTGCCAGCCTACCCCGCCCGCCCTCCCCCTCCCTCACGACCGCCCCAGCCGCGCCCACCGCGCCCACCCCCCCCCCGCCCCCCCCCCCCCCCCCCCGCCCGACTTCTCACGTAACAGCTAAGCTATCCTGCACACTATGACTGAACAGGCCAATGACACGACACGCTATTTGATGCCTCCTTCTCGAAGGTGGCTTCGAAACACTAGAGTGTGAAACATCACAGCGTACATCCCGGAGGAGCAGCCGGTTAGGGACAAGGGTCGCGAGGGGGCGGGGAACCATGGGCCTAGCCCAACGGAGAGCTTCGCACTAGTACGGCTGCATGGACTAAGAACCTGACGGCTAGATACTCAGATACCTAACGGTTCTTTGGCTTTTCCCCTCTCCTTCTCCCTCCATCACGGACTCTAAGGCCCTGTGTCTTGCAGCTTGTCATGGTTGTGTGGATGACGGAGCGACAGCAAGGAGAAGGGGAGAGAGAGAGACAGAGAGAGACCAGGGCGCACGGCTCGCTTTGATAGCCTTCTGATCGACTCAATGCTTGGGAAATAGTGAGATGGCCCTAGTTTCGTGAAACATGACAACTGACACCATGGTGGCTGGAATCTCCCGCCAGAAACTCAAAGATCTTCTACTGGTGATACGACGGCGTTGGTTCAAAGGCCGAGAGATGTTGAAGTGGAGGGGGGGCTTGTCAAGTCCATCTTGTTATGCCGGAAAGTAAGAGACCGGACAGAGCTTCCGTGACGTGCTACTGTATGGTGCCTTCTTTCCCCCCCTTCCCCCTCCCCCATCATGAGGCTTGGAATTCAGGCTAAGGGGAGGAGGGGAGGGTACGGCATTGATACACACACATACAACACACGGCCAATCAGCTCGCAAGCGCACAGAACCTGGCACATACACTGACGCACCACCTTCTCGACTTTCCATCCCATCCACAAAACCTCGCAACACTTGGACGGGAGATGTGCTCTTGCAGACATGCAGCACCAAGTGGAGGGAGGAGGGAGCTTTGTCCGCCCCGGAGCCCCCTTTGACGTGTTTTCCAGCAGGGTGGCGGTGGTGGTGGTGGTCAGTATTTCTGCAACTGAGGCAAAGTCCAGTTATCCTTGATGTGTCAAGATCCATGGGGAAAACAAACGAACGGGTCCCCTTGGATGGAGTAGGCAAGGGGGGTTAAGGTTGATAACGTTGTTTCCTCCCACCTCTTTACTACAGGCTTGTGATGCATGCATCTCGTCGCTCTGCTGACAACGTCCCTCGACCCACATCATCGAAAAGAAACAGGTGTGACTTTCAACCGCTCATTCTGCGGGAGATTTCGAGTTACGTGCGCCCCAGTGCGGCGACTTGGCGACGACCTTGGTTTCCTTTGCCAATATCGAGCACGACGTCGAACCGGACATTGACACCCTGCACTAGGAGCTATATGGAGCTGCAAGAGACCAGAAGCGACTAATAGCTGACATTTGTCTCCAACTTTCGACATGTGGCTCTCAACATCGTCGGCGGCCTCGTTTAGCCTGCTATGGATCACCTTTGCTCTCTCGATTGTTGGCGTCGTGGGAACAGCCGGGGAGGAATTCTTTGCGGGCGACGAACACGTTCATTTGATGGCGAGGCAGCAGCTACCTGACCTGAGTAAAATCTCGCCATGCGGTGTACGTTGACTAGCTTTGGGCATCTTTTTGCGCTTTGCATCTGCGAATCCACTTTGGCTAATACTCTACACAGTTGAACTGCCTTATCCAGGGCATCACAGGGGTCGGATGCGACCTCACGAACACAACATGCTCTTGCGCGAGCACTGGCCTGGGTCAAATAGTTGGCCCATGCTTGGTTGCAAATTGTACCATGCAAGACTCTCTCGGTCAGTGACTCACTACCCTGATGACATCCTGAATCCGGACCTGGGGAGAAGAAGAAGAATGCTGACCAGTGACGGGATATCCAGACATTGCGAAACTTCAACAGGGCCAGTGCAATCTCCCACACGAATCTGATACCGGAAAGATCCTCGCTATTCTCATCACGGTCTATGTTACCGCCGTTACCGCGATTGTCTTGCGACTCATTGCGAAGAATCTGGCAAAGACATGGAGTCTGGACGACGCGTTGATCATTGCCGCCATAGTCATTGCGATTGCCCCGGTATCTGCAATTCTTTTGAGTGAGTTCGACGACAATTCTGCATGGGAACGAACATTGCTAACTGTCGGCAGTGTCAACAAAGGGATTCGGAAAACACCTCTACGATCTCAAGCCCGGCGGATTGCTTGAAATTCTGCGACTCTGTGCGTATCCCTGTTCTATTGATGTTAGAAGCAACTCCAGCTAACACGCTATAGTATATGTTGCCGAAATTGTATACGTCTTCGTGCTCCTATTTGCGAAGCTGTCCCTCGTAGTCTTCTATCTACGAATCTTTACGGTGCCGAAATTTCGCATTGCCGCATATACCCTGATTGGATTCCTCGTCATTGGCCAGGTCATCATCGGGTTCCTCACCATCTTTTCATGTCACCCAATCGAGTTGTTTTGGAATAGGGACATCCATACCGGTACCTGCCTCGACGTAAACCAACTCGCGTACGCCAACTCTGCCCTGGCCATCATCCAGGACCTTCTCATCCTCGCCCTCCCGATAGCGATGCTGCCAGGGTTGCAGATGAACCGAAATAAAAAGATTTCGGTAGCTATGATATTCCTACTCGGATCGGTCGGCTTCGTCTCCACCATCATCCGTCTTCAAGTCCTGGCCGTGTTCGGTAACTCCATCGACCCGACATGGGACTACGCCCCCGTTGTTTGGTGGACGACAATCGAATTAGGTGTTGTCATTGTGTGCGCCTGCGCACCAATGATTCGCAATCTGGTCGAGAAGAAATTTCCCCGCTTTGCCCTCTTCGCCAGGTGGACGACACCAAAGCCGTCCAAAGACAGCAGTCCCTCCTCCAACGGCAGTGTGGACAAGCCATCCAAGCCGGGACGATATCAGAACATTGGACGGAGCAATAGCCCACCTCAATTTAGCGACAATTACGTTCGTGATTACATTACGAGTCCTAAGGGACCTCCAGTACCTCCAAAGGACGGCCAGATGCCGTCGACTAGCTACCGAGACATGTACGCATATGGTGGATCGAAGCCCAAGGTGCTTGAGCCCTCGTCGCCGCTACCTCAGCCGTATGATCTCTCATGGAGGTCCACGAACCCTTATGGAATTCCAAAAAATGATCTGGAACAAGGCATTGGCAAGACGAATTATAATCTTGATATTGAGATGCTGGAAAGGAAAGGGAAAGACGTGGTAGTGGCACAGAAAGAGCTCTGTTCTCTCTGCGGGAGGGAAAGCTGTAGTCACAGGTAACCAAGACATTTCTGCTAGTTCCTACCTTATAGATATCCATTTGTTTAGACACGAAGCCTGGTGCTTTCTCGTTTCAAGAATTCTTCTGCGTTGACTCATGTCGTGTTACATGGAGATGGCTCCGGGTGGACCCATTTTTTCATCCGGACGTGTTTCCGGAGCGGCCCGGAACGGACCGGTCATTGACAGGGACATTTTCAGCAGGCCAGCCACAAACGTCTGCGTGCAGCACAAGCGATCCAAAAGACCGAAAACCGAAGGGTACGAGTTGCATTCATCGTCATCTTCTTGTCACAGACAAGCTGACGAGTGCAATCCACAAATTCTATCACTTCGCTAAAGACCTCCGTTTCCCCGATGCCATCCATTTAAAGTCCAACCCATGCCGCAGCAAAAGCACGACCCCACGTAGTCCATACACTTGCTACACATCATTCGAGGTTAGATCGATAACGTCCCTCTGCTTTGACGTCAACGTACAAACAATGCACAAGCATTGACCGAGTTTCGCCACTTCCCAACTAGTGCTCACTAACCCCAATTAGGAGCCCTCCGCAGCTTCATCTGGCCAAATCCGGAGAGAAGCCCGTGTCGCAGCTTCGCCTCACAGCCTCTCGCGCGAAACATGCGCGCGTTCTCACTCTCCTCCTCGAGCCTGCTGCTCAAGGCACCGTTCGGTCTCGTGGCCCTGCTACTGGTCGCTTCGGTGGTCGGCCATGGCAATGGTGATCACCAACGGTCCATGACCTTGGAAACATGCGCGCCGCTCAAGATTGTCAACGGCATCAACTTCACCACGCGGGCATATTGGATGCGCCAGGCCAACCTGGCTCTGCCCAGTCCGTGTCCGTTCGCGGCTTTTGGTTCAGTCATTGTGAACCACACTGCCGGCGGCTTGGGGGCGCTGGTCTGCACCGGCGCGAACAACAATGCTGGCACAGGCAACCCGACTCTTCATGGTACGAAGTCTACCCTCCAAACCCCCCCCTATCCCCTCTTCCCCGCCTGCTTTGGAAAAATGAACAAGCTTTCCAGGGTGCTGATCATGAAGCAGGGGAAATCGCGGCGATCGACAACTGCTCGGCAATCTTTGTAGATCCCCAGGGTCCATACCGGATGACGCCGGCCCAGGCCCTGGCTGCCTTTGCCAACCTCACAATCTACACCAACGCCGAGAGCTGCCCCATGTGCGCGTCGGCGGTGCGCTGGGCGGGCTTCAGGGAATACGTCTTTGGCACGAGCATCGAGACCCTCACGGAGGAGGGATGGGGTCAGATCCAGATTACCTCCAGGGACGTCTTCCGACAATCCTCGGGCTTGCCCCGCCCGACAAGGTTGCTTGGTCCGTTGTTGACGAACGAGACGGACCCCTTCTTCAGCTGGCAGTTTAATGTAGATGCGGCCTGTCCCCAGGGATGCTCTCGGGGTGGCGGGGATGGAGGCGGTTGCCGTCCTGCATGATGGCCGACGTGGGCGCGCCGCGCGCTTGCGGCTCGCCCAGATTTGGGTTGCGTTGTGAAGATCCCCTCCAACTGATACAACAATGACAGTATACTGCTAGAGGAAATTTAATATTATTTATTTATTGCTAGTGAACCTTTCATGGAAGAACTGGGGATCTAGTAAGTTTAGTAGACCGAGATGCAAAACACCATTGATTAGAATACGTTTTGATACTACATTTTCATGTAGCAGCTTTATTATTAGAATGATTAGACTCGGCTTAGAATCAACCAACAAACGCACGACCGCTTCAATACTTAGTAGCTGGTCTGCAAATTAGTGTGCGCCCACAGTACCTGATCGACTTTGGCCAGGATTGTATTTCCGCCCGTGGCATTGGCGAGTCGTATGGTCGTTATGAAGGCAATACCAAGAAGTCAAAAGAAAAGAAGAACCAGGGTTTTTCTTCTATTTTTTAGGGGTTAAATGATGAGTGATGGATTAATTGTAATATTGGTGAAGAAGCCTGCAGCAACCGTCGCCCCGAGGAGCGGGATAGTTTTGACATGAAGATGGCCTCCTTCCTCATCTCATGACACAGAGTCTCATCCTCTCGACACCTCCGCCGCCATGGATAGTTGCCTTCTTCATTTTACAATTCACACATAAACCACTTACATGCCTGTCAACCCTTCATTCATCCATAAGCCGCGGCTAAGTAGATCACCACTGCAAGCATCCCGCTGAGTTACTAGGGACGAAAAGAGGCAACACTGACTTGCTGATTCAACACTCTATCCAAGTAAGATTACATCAGTTAGATTGACAAAATGATTTTGCCTCTTGCACTGCCAGTTCGAAGTTTCCCGGAGCCGTCGATGGCTTGCCCAAAGTTCAGCTTCTCATCAACAAAGACCTTAACCTTCATCTCGGCGATCATATTCCCCAATTTGGTAGGTATTCATTCCACATGCATGCGTTTCAGCAGCCACCTGTTGAAGTTTGCCCTTGTCTCCGCTCAAGAAGCCAAGAAGAAGCATTCTCCGTGCAACTTTGAGAAGGGTCGAGGCACTGAGATCGCCTCCAATCTGGATGTACTTAGCCTCTGTTGCAGAATACGGAGGGGGCAGATTCGTACAAAGGTTGGTAGCTTTGAACATTTTCGACGAGGAGATCGCACATCAGATTACTTTGTTGAACAATTTCGATCAAGACGACATGCGCACCGAGCTCCTCGCATAATGCCCTTTTCCGAGTCGACCAGGTGGCTGTCACATCAACACCAAATGCTCGCGCGATTTGGGTTCCAAACAGTCCGACACCTTCCCTCCGCCGATTACGAAGATTTTTGCCTACTCTGGATGAAAGGAGCAGTTTAGGCAATGAGACCGGCCGCACCAATGCAGGAGCCTAATTTAGGAGGAATGCCATCCGGGACGCGAATACAAACTTTTGTCGAGACAACAAGCTACTAGCAGAGTGTTCCATCTTTCATGGGATGTCCAAAGCACCCGGACACGAGATCACCGCATTTGGATTTGGTATTGGAAGGGTGCATGGCCCGGACGCGGCCACAAAAGTCATGCCCGGGGAATGCGGGGAAGCCCGTCCTCAATATGGTTCTCAGAACAAGTTCGGCAGAATTCAAGCTGGCCTAGAGGCCTTGCACAATGAATTGACCTGGCTGGAGATTCTCCGGTGCGGGTTATTTGTTCCGAGCCGGAGATTCCCCTGCATCGGTCCGCCTTGGCTGTACTGCCATGCCAGGCTCTCATTACCTCAATACTGAAGTTAATGTACCGATGATCAATACTGCCTGGTATTTGCGTTGGCCTGCTCTTTCAATATCAAGAGATTACAGTCTTTCCCGAAATCCCAATGAGATCAAATGGTAAACTTGGTGGTTTTGTTAATCCCCAAGGTTCGTAAGTCCGCGAGTCCGCAGTCCAAAAGTTTGGCAAGCCAGCTAAGTACCTAGGAACTCAAAGGACTGAACATTGATGCATACAAATTAGCCCATTCATATATTGGATCGATTTGCCCACGAATAGGGGCAGAAAACGCTCTCTAAGCCCTCAGAAGTGACCCTGAACGGCGATTTAGCATTTGTTCTCAGGACTACCAAGTAGTAATGCATTCTTCTTTGCCTCAAAAAGCTATCTCAGACTACCTAATCATGAAATCTACTCATCCTTTTACCCACTGCCACACTGCCCGGATCCACGAGCTTGGGACAGTCAATTACGCTAAACCAGCGTTGACGGCTGACCATAAGAGGGTTTTGTAATAGGCAGGTTCCATGCCGTTCATGATATCAAGTTTTTGCTTGACCTTTGATAGGCTGTCTACTTTGTTAATACGGGGTGTCTCTGTGGAGCCTATCAGACCGAGAAGCAGTTGAGACTACCGTAGCAGGCTTCGAGACCACAAGTTCCATGACAGCACTATTATGAGAAACTTGGGCTCAGGATGGAATCGATTCGCAACAAGACACCAGAACGAACGTTTCGGAACGTCACCCCATTAGAAGGACAGCGAGTGACTAGGAACAAAAGGGCCAAAAATAAACATGTCACGTTTAAGTGCCTCCGGAGGTGAACACTTGCGCCGTGAGCTTTACAACTTGACCCCCACCTGATTTGAACAGATAACCTTTCGATGGAATCCTAAGGACTGGAGTCGAACGCGCTACCGTTGCGCCAGAGGGCCGATGAAAATATTAGGATGCGTCGAAGGTTTAAGTGGGCAGTCATCGTGGGCCTCGTTTATTCTCGTGATCCAGGGCTAGACCCGCTTCGTTCCGCCTTGATGGGGCAGGGTCTCCCGCCGCTGTAGGGTGTCCGAGGCCCTCGTCTTGAGGTTTCCTTGCCAAATGAACAAAGTAACGTCATTGCGATGGACTGCTCAGTGGTTTGTAGTACTGTGCTTACATGCAAATGACTGTGGGTTAGCTAAACGCACTTCTCCTGCTCAGCCTGCGACAACACAACGGTATGGCGGGGTGCCCAGGCTTGGGAAACCCGCATGATCAGAACGACTTGGCTCGAACAGGAATTGAACACTTGAGTCAGGCGACATTCTAAATGGATTGGACAGAAAGTCAAGTACGAGAAAAAGATTTCAAGCAACTACTTAGGTAGAAGCAACTTGAACTATTCCTTGCAACTGCATCCCGCTCGTGTCTGGTACCACAAGGAATCGACGATATCAAATAAGTATGGTGTGTTTATCTATGGCCAGTAACGCCGTCCTAGTTTATTGCTTCTGATCTGGATGTACGTTTTTGCCTCACATTACTATGCACAAATCGCCCCAATCAGTCCTTTGATTCACAAAAATAGAGAAAACGGGTTGCCCCTCCAGCATCTTCGTCTCCATTCCAAGGCTCAGCACAACCGGCCTGTCCTCAACACGCCTACTCAAACCGAACGCGATTCTGGTCTTCATCACACCGCGCTCACTGCCGAGCTGGCGCATCCTCACAAAGTCACCGCTCATGGCGGTTCTGAAAATATGACCCGTCTCGCCATTGTCAGCCGCAAGACACACCCACGGATGGGCACCGCTCCCGGTAAAGCCGCACGCGACAATAAAGTTCTGGTCGGCTGCACCCGACGTCCGGTACTGCACGTACCCGTCAAAGGCATCCAGCCCTTGCGTGATGAACATGCGCCGGGATGAGCTCCACATGCCGTCGGGCCGGGCCTTGACGAACTCCACCTTTGGCGGCGTGGGGGGGAAGCAGAAGGCGTTGCGGTAGATGGAGTCCATGTCCTCGACGAGCGTCTCGGACGCGTCCGGCTCGAGGAATTTGCTAATAAACATCATGTGCTCGATCCCCGGCGCGCTGTGCTCGAGACTCCAGAGACGACCGGTTTTCCAGCGGAGGAAGACGTTACCGCCTTGGTCCTTGAGGAGGATCCCGAGGCTCCGACGGTCTGGGTCGTTGCATCTGTGGCATCGAAGACTTAGGAAGTGCGCGCCGTCGGGCATCAGGCTGGTCTCGGCTGTGATTTTCAAGCCTTTGTTTGTGATTGAGTACTTAATGTTGGTGTTAGTTCCATTAACGACACACAGCAGACCGTGTCCACATGAGAAGCGGAAGCATGCGATTCCAAAACATACCTCGGGGTTGTACTTAATCTCGCTGCTCAGTACAATGTCGCTCGCTGTTTCAAAGGCCACTGGCGACATGGCCAAAATACCGAAATAGCCTAATGGAGATTCTGTCGGAGCAGACCACGCAAAGAGGGACAAGTCGTTGGTTTCCTTGATAATCTCTTCCTGGAGTCGTATGAAGGCTCTCTTACCCTCTCCGTAGAGAAGCGGCATCTTGACTCCGAAAACTCCCAAGAGACAATAGGCCAAGTCTTCTTCTCTCTTGGTTGTGCGCCCAGATGCCCAAGACATTCTTCTCGCAACAGGTATTCTCGCGAGAAGCCCTTCGACTCTCCCGCTTCCGGCTGCCAGAATGCTTTGGTCAATACTGGTCTGCTGTTGAATAATGTCGCAGAGATCTGCTCGACTACCAATGTAGTTCCAGTCTTTATCAAAGAATTCTACTCGTGAGGGGGCAATGAGCTCCTGCAAAGTCCATCCACGAGTGAACCACTGAGAGTGTTGAAGGGGAACCCCGTCGACGCCCACGTCCGATAGGTACGCGTAGCAAACTTGAGATCGCGCGTACCATTTAAACATGGAATTAATAGCTTCAGTCAACTCGGTGAAATCCTGTTTATTGATGCAACAGGTATCAACCCAGGCATATTTGTATCCCTGCTGTAGTGCAAGGCGACAAAACTGCTGAATCTTTTTCCATCCTGTCTTTCGCGCTATCACATCAGGTTTTCCAAAGTCTTGGTATGTGGCCTCGGCATGGTCGGCCTCCCAACGGTGTGAGAGAATGGCATAAGACTCGGGAATGGCCAGTCCGGAAAACTCCTCGATCTGTAGACTGGAGCAGTTGAGGAGCTTCATGGCGATGGTGGACAATGGAGGGCGATGTGAGAATTCGGAGAGTCCATGAATCGGGAAGGGTGACGAACTCTCAACCCCTACTTCTTACCAAAGAACTAGTTTTTCCTCGGAAGATCATTCTTAGATCTCATCACATCGCCAAGAGAACTGGTATTACACTTCTAGGCAGCCACCCAATGGTAAAATGCCTCGTAATCCATTGATGACTGCAGGTGGGGTCGAAGGCTGACCAGGTTGCTGGCGCGACTCGCCTTTTCATGTGTCTAGCGTGAGCTTCTTGGTCGAAGAAAAAAGAAACGAGACCCATGTATATGCAGCTTGCTTGGTGATGTCCCCGTATGAAATTGACCACTAAGGCGTGCCAAGACGCTAGGATCCTTTTCTCTTGCTTCTGCGGTTCTGCCTCGATCGAGTCATACATCAAGGCTCTCTTCTAGACTTGAGTGATACCGTCATAGCACGCAAATTGCAGATGCCTCCTAGACTGCCTTACTTGGATGAGGCTTTGACTGGCTTGCTGCGCGAAATATATATCTTGCGCTGGGACCGTGCACCACTCCTGTAGACTATAGTCGACAGGCTTCTGCGGCTTCAACAACCTTGAGTTGTCTGTCAGGCACGTTTAGTCAGAGATCAATTGGAAACTTGGGCCTGAAGTTCTCGATACCAGAGGAAGCAGAACCCTTTCAAAAGACTGCTGTATCAAAAATTAAATCTTGTAGTGTAGGTAATTCAACAAACTTTTCAAAATAGCATCTCTTCATCCATAAAGCTCCTTCTTTCAATCATCGTATGGATCGCCCTTCCCGTGCTTATGACTCTCTTTCGTCTCATCGTAAGGGTCGTTGGAATTACTGGAGCTCGTGCTTTTGATGTTCGCACTCTTATTTTTGTCCTCCGAATCAGGATCATGGTGTTTGTGAGGCTTTGCGATATGAAGCTCATCCGAGTGAAGAGCGACCCCGGCCTCAGCGGCGATGTGATTCAGAGGATCCCTCATCAAGAACATGGTCAAGCAATGATTGATATGCATGAGCGTGTCGTAGCGTTTCTCAATAACCAGCACGCCGTCTTTGCCGCAAAATGCACCCACATCTCCTCGCGCGCACCGCGCAGCCTCCCACATCTTGCGCCAGTAGAACACGCAATGCACGAGGTGCCATTCGTGTGTGGCGAAGAAGCGAGCATATTGGCCGTGTCGAGCAGCCTCTGGCAATTGGCTTACTTCTTCCAGGGTCATAGGGTTCGTCTTATTCTTGTCATGCCAGTAGCCCCAGGTGTTCCCTATCGCGTCGGGCTCGTTTGGGCCCAAGGACTCGAACTCTGCCGTCAACTCAGGAGATCGACAATGAGGCGGAAGCCAAGCGGCGGCAAGGGAATCGTACACGCAATCGTTTGCGCGAGCTTCTTCAATCGTTTCGCCACAGTTGCAAGACATGCCACGAGGTTGCAAGGTGGAGGGGGATGGCGATGTAAGAAGAGAATAGAGACCGTAGGCCGCAAACGACACAATTAAGAGGCGACCCGCGAACGATACGACTTGGCCAAAGACAAGAGTCTTGTTGCGTGGTGAATCCTGGCTTTCATCTTCAAGACTAGACTTGCCATTTACGTCTCTCGGGAGCCGTAAGTAATCTCCCTTGTCTCTGTTTGCCCGAGGCACGGCGAACAGCTGAAAACTTCAGATTGTTAGCGCAGTAACTTCAACTCTCATTAAACACTCACATTTTAGACATGTTGAAATTTGCAGGGTAAACCATTCTGATTCCTTGACATCCCCCAATCTAGACCGAGTCTTGTAGAAAGATGCGTTGCTCGTAAGCAAAGAAAACGAAAAGAAACGACAGTAAGCCAGCTCGTATGGGTATAGGCAGCACCTGCAGTTCTCCTCACTGCCAGCAAGAACTGAAGAGCTGAGCCTTGCTCTGCCATGTACACGTTATGGGCACATCTAGAAACTGCTGCAAGTCTCGCGCGATATCATATTGGCGCCAAGGAATGAAGTTGAGCGGGAGTCCGAAGGATTCGAAGGAAGAGAGGAGAACAGCTTATCGACCCCACGAAATTGCCGTCAATGTGCCTGGCTTGCCTTGAACCCCGCCTGCACCATTAGCCAAAGAAAGAAGCTGCAAAATTCTGATCTACAATGTCGCGGCCCGGTGGCGGGCCGTTTGTGAGCGAGATGCGGGCTGACGCTGCCATTATGCGGCACCTTTGTCGCTCACGCACGTTCCGCAGGAATGAGCGCGGCTCGGATGTAACATAGCTGTCACCACACCTGCAATTGGAGATTTCGCCAAGCTTCCTACAGGATGTGTTTGTTCGAAAGATGGTACCGGAATAGAAGTGTCGTATTCTTAAGGTAGATTGTGCTCAATGATGGAATATGGGCCAAGAATGAGAGGCGTTCTTATCCGAGAGGTACTACGGTAAAGCTTTGCTTGGCCTCGGAAGACCGGTTGACGCAGAGAAAGCGGTATTGTCCAGCATGAAAAGGTAAGAGTAGAATCGGCAAGACTGTTGCGTTGCCACACGGCTTTGGGTATCCCCGATTAAGCGAACGTGGCGAGAAGCAAAGACACAGGATTTTTTCACTTTGGGGGACGATTTCACTAATGACTCTGAGTATTCCAATTGCGGTAGTAATGAACGCATCCTAGACTAATCCTCCTAGCTCGAGGTTCTTACTCCGCAGGTCTACTGAGCTCCCTATGATTTCGCGAAGTCCTGACAATTGAAAATCCTTGCACCAAGATCTCCAGCAGATACTTCGCGTCTCAGTTCGGCACTTGGAGCATGGCCTTGGGAGGAGGCCATACCTAACTCCTACTTAAGGGTAGAAGGGGATAGCCTCAGCCTCAGCATCGGCACCCCTCTTAGGATAGAAGGGGATCGCTTCGGCTTCCGCATCAGCGCCTCTCTTTGGATAGAATGGAATAGCCTCCGCCTCAGCATCAGCGCCACGTTTGGGGTAGAAGGGAATTGCTTCAGCTTCAGCATCGATGCCTCTCTTGGGATAGAAAGGGATGGCTTCGGCCTCCGCGTCGACTCCTCGCTTGGGGTAGAAGGGGATGGCCTCAGGTTCGGCGTCGGCCCCGCGCTTAGGATAGAAAGGAATCGCCTCCGCCTCTGCATCAGCGCCCCTTTTCGGGTAGAACGGGATAGCTTCAGCTTCGGCATCAGCTCCTCTGATATCTTGAGAGGGTGTTTGAGTCAGTCATTTTCCGATTCTGAAGCACTTGACATTTTCCAAGGCAACATACCGAGGGGGGCAGCAGCCACGAGGCCAATGGCGACAAGGACGAGATACTGAGCACGCATTGTAGATGACTTTAAGCTGAATGTGATCTATGGGGGAGAACGTGATAAGACTGGTAGGTGGGTGCTTGAGGAAAAGTCCAAAGGGATATCACTGTGTATGATATTTGAAGAGATTCCTCTGTTGGTTTTATCTAAAAGATGCCCAGAACCAGCGAATCGTCAGCAATAAGCTGGCACAACGCCTTGTTTGCAAATATTTTACCACCAGTGACGAATGCTTGCCTTGAATCGCGAAGGAAGCGGGCGGGATTGCGTCAGTCTGGAGGTTCGCGGTTCGATCATGACTTACACACGCGGAACAAAGGTCTCTTGCATCTGCAGCCAAAAGGTCACACACATACATGTCGGAAGCCGAGTAGAGACTGTTACAAACATGGAAGGTTGCATCGGCCGCTTCAAGATAGGCAGTAGATTTTACAATATTCGGACCACTCAATGGTTTCACCGGCGCGCCAAGCCTGACGACGGATTCGAAGGAATCCTGCTGCGTCATGCAGTGGAGTTAAAAGAGTCGAATGTCGCAATGCCCAACGCCTCTTCGTATCATTCGGGCAGGTAGATATTCAGCCATTCAAGTCCAACAGTCGGGGTGTCTGCTTTGTATGGAATGATTAGGCAAGTTGCATTCGCTCAGTCGTTTGCGCTGACAACGAGGCCCGGCCATTGCCAGGAAGTTGTATGTCCGCTCCATTACAAATCTCTCATTTCCGTGGTCTCCACGCACAACTTACAGTTTCGTTTCGCTTGATCTACGCCATTGGAGAAACAAGATGAATGAAACACAACGGCCTTCGACGGACTCATCGGTAGTCTCACATGAACAAGATGCTTTCTCAGGCAGTGTCCAAAAGAATGAAGACATTGAAAAGGCTCTTTTGCCTCACAGGGAGCAAAGGATGGTACCTCGCGCTGTTCTGAGAGAATCTTCATGGTCGAAGCTGTGCAGCAGAAAGACCTCTCTCATAACCTTTCTCAATATTGGGCTTTTCATTGCCTCATCCGCCATGTGGCTATGGCCTGCGCCCGCGAGACATGGGTTGAATATTCAAGACTATTGGAAAGAAACGTCGTTCTACTGTAAGTGATCCAAGGGCTCAAGCTCTGTCTCGGGTGTGCTAAATAGATCTACAAGCGCCGATTCTAGAGCGCTTTGATATCCCAAGAATCAACAGAGTAACAAATGGCACTCTATACGATACGAATCCGCCATCAATTCTTCGCCAACGAGTTGGCGAGGAGGCCGACAAGGAGTGGCATCGCATCGGCGACCATGTCTGGCCTTTGGTCATTGGGGAAGTAGATGTGAGGCAACTGGGGAAAGACCCGCACATGGCTGTCAAGATTCCAGAAGACCTTGGCTATGGTTCAGATGCATACATTGCCCAGACAGAGGTTTTCCACCTCCTCCACTGCTTAGACATGCTGCGCAGGGAAGTTTCGTATGAGCATTGTAAGCTTCCGAGCATGCACCGGAGAACAGTACGCATTTCTGACTTGTGGTCCCAGACTATGAGCCAAAAGAGGGACCTAGGCCAGGAGGTGCGCAGCATCAAGCTCACATTGGCCACTGCTTCGATATTCTGGCTCAGACAATCAAGTGCACTGGGTCAGTGGACATGATCACCTTTAATTGGGTCGAGAACTGGGAGCAGCCATTCCCAGACTTCATGAATCACAAGGTGTGCCGCGACTTTGACGCGTTATTGGGTTGGGTGAATGAGAATTCCATGGACCCCAAAGTCTTCCAGAAGATGAAGGTGCCTCCGCCTGGATGGCCCGTCATGCCGGAGCCAGGACCGGCCCCGTGATGCCTCAAAGGCAAAGAAAACATGAACCAGAATTGTGGCACAAGTTCGTGGACTATGGGCCCAGGCGGGAAAACACCAAGAGACATTTTGATGATCTGGCTGGAGAGGGGTTTGCTGCGGTCTGTTCGGGCTTTGTTTAAAACCGATTCTAGCCGCTTTCTCTCATTGTGCCTGCGCACGTGAGACTCAAGTTTATTGCGTGATTAAGCGGTTGTTGCTCCGCACTTTGACATCAAGCCACCCCGTCGGCTACGTGTGCTTGAATCATGAACTTGACAAACTTCTGAAAGGACAGCACCGGCCATTAGCAAGATATCCCGCAGCATCCTCACCATGACCATGGTCACTCATTCCACGCCCTCGGCCCCGCAGACAGACCTGAAGACGGTTGTCGAAGCTCGGACTCGGGAATGGCACTTCCACATATATTTCTTGCTACAGTCTCCGACTGAAACTGCCGCCGCCCTTGCTATCCGTGATGCTGTTTTGAGGCTCCGACGCGATGGTACGTGGAGAACCCATGTCTCTGATAGCCATCACTTGGTTGAGAGTCCACAATGCTGATTCCTATATGAAGGCGCGTTCGTAGCTGTGCCTTTATTCAGGGTGAATGAGTTTCCCATCGGGCCACACCCGGCAGGGTCATACGAGAGTGAGTAATGCCAGAGTAACATCCTTCAAATCATCGCCGCGCTCCAACGTGGAGAGTCCCTATCCAAGGAATATCCGAATAACCAATGGCTTGGGCGCAGTTTGGGTTCCTGACTCCTCATTTTCTGATGTCTTCTTCTACTTGGCATCAAATCGAGGCAACTTGAGGTAAGTCATCTCGTCTCGACTGCACGGGATGCAGGGTCGAGGATCCCATTGTCATGTCAATACGTGCTCCCACGCTGACTTAATACTTAGCGTTCTTGTCCACCCTTTGACCTCGCTTCAACGTCGAGACCATGAAACAAGGAACGCCTGGATGGGTACCCCATGGCCAATCTACCTTGATAGCTTGCCGTACGATGGCGATATTCCTCTCCAATATCCTGAACTGGGTCTTGGTTGGTCCACGTCCCCAGAGCAGGAGGTCTCTCTAGAGGAGCGATTGAGACAGGGTGCAAAGGTTGAGGCTCTATTGGTTGACGATCCTGAGGCTGCACCCGCGCCGAAGGATTGAGAGAGAGTCAGATTATTGAATGCGCTAGCTGAAAGACTAAAATGAGTCGGTGTCGTTGGGGGCCTCGCTCTTGTTGGATAATGAGGAGCTCATGAGTAGTGCGGCTTCATGATTTGCATCTAGAGAACCTTGGAACACAGCACTTCGAGCCTTTCCTCTGCGCACTCCATCCTAATTCCTTGCACATTCATGTATTCTAAATATCCCGATTCTCCACAGGATCTCTCCGTTTCATAACGTCTACAGTCATGTAATGAAAATTTCTGAGGTTTGCCATATCAGACCCAGTGCCGACACCTATCTTGCTTGGAAGTGCGGACGTCCAGCAGCAATAAACGGGAAGATTGTTTGTGCAAAAGGCCCGTAATAGATGCGAAAGGCCAATGATGTGCGTTTGCACAACACAAGGAGTGTACAAGTCTGCCGTAGTTCCAGTCCGTCATACGTCTCAGCCGAGCACGCAGTTGGGATCGCTGTTGAGCGTGTGACGACAATGTTGGCTCGTCCGTTTCCGTTGGATGGATATGTGGGTTTGATTTTGTTGCTCAAATTGTGCGACTATCAACATCTGTCTTTGGATATCATCTCGACATTCAAAAGCACATACGCGAGTCGCAGATTCTGCACGAGGGCCACTCGTTTCGGGCCAAACTTCCCTTCCTTGTGCGCACATTGTGTGGGACAGTATGACATTCGCTGCACAATAAAAATGATGCCATTCCATTCCCACAATCTTCAAAGTGTCTGACCTCCAACGAGCCGACCTTGAACGAGACCCCCTGAAGTCCAGCAATGTTTACCAGAAATTCACACGTGAGAAGCTGAGTAAGTCTCAGCCCCAAAGACCAAAAGGAAAGCACAAGTATTTGACTTGTGTAGTTGACATGTAGCCTCACCAGATAGACGTTTGACCTCAAGATCGAGCTGAACATGAAGAGCGCCGGCATCATTGTTGCTGTGGTATTCACGCAAGTTTCCTTGGCGGCCTTCTGCGCCGTATCCGCATATCTGGGAGCAGGACGACCTGGGAGCTGCACCGGGCAGAATCTGGGTTATGGGAATTCATCTCGACCAGGGGCCAGTGAGTGTTTCGCCGCAGTAAATGGTGCATGTGGGCTAGTTATAGATCGAACCGTCGGAGGAGGATGCAATTGCACCATACACTTCTTTGCCGGAGGAGATTGCAATCGCACTTCCGTAGGGTCTTTACGATGCAATAGGGTCGGTGCATCACTGCAGGTCGACTTTGACCACTTTGATATTCGCTGTCCTCAAGATTGAGAAGAGGAGTTTTACCTGGTGCTAATCTCATGTGAGAAATCGATTGGGTCCTCCCATTAGGCACTGAGTCCAATCTCAAAATAAATAAGCTGGGTAAACACAGTGGCCGTTGTTGACGCCCTCACTCTTCTGCTCTGAAAGAAGCCCAACTCCTCAATTGAAAGTAAAGCATGGTCAATTCATTCAGTGTGAGAAGCTAAGACAGGACGTATTGTATGTTTATGCACGCCTTATACACGCACTATCTATGCCAAAACATGAGGTAAGGTATTGAAGGAAAAGAACGAAAAACGATGCAGGCGCAGCCCGTCTCGAAGAACCGGCACGACATATTTACTGTGACGAGCCCAAGCCCACAGTAGATGATGGGCAGAGCATTCGCTTGGTCACCAAGGATATTTCCGGGTTTCATCCTCTTTGCTCAAGTCCAGGCCTCGATCCAGTTGCTTCTGGTGCTCATTATCGAGATACTCTAGCAAGACCTTCTCGTACATCTCGCGTCCCTTGTAGTTTGCGACTATCTCATCCCAGCTCCGAATGGCACTCGCAAGCCTCCCAGGCACGTAGTCCTCCGCAGCCAAGTCAGTGATGGGATGGAAGTATGTCCTAATCGTGAAAACAATGGCCTTGGTCTTGGGGAGACGGCGCAGCGATTGCCTTTCGGAACGGAAATAGTGATGTTCTACTGCCCTGTCCTTCTCAGCCGTGCTCCAGCTGACAACGGGGCTGTCTTCTTCGCCGATAGTCCAGCTCCAGGGCAAGGAATCGTCAACCTGGATGAAGTAGTTGTTGCGGGAGTAGATCTGGTCGCAGCGCAGGCGCTTGAAGAAGCTAGCCATGCCATTATGTAGCTTCTCCTTGTAGTGGGGGACATCGCCGGACGTGTGAATCTCCTCGAGGGACATGCCGAACTTGTCGCTCAGCCTCCAGAAGCCCGCCAGCAGGATGGACCCGCCGAGCAAGTAGTATTTGCCGTCGGGCCGTTCTATCATGATGGCGAGGTCGTCTTGCACGAGCTTGGCGGCAATGGCCGACGGGTCCTCCTTCAAAGGTGTTTCGACAATGTTGAAAGATTCCCCTGACCAGAGGTTGTCGATTCCAACGGCGGTCCGCTTGAAGAGTGTAGGGTATCGAGCGGGAAGGTACTGACATAGTTCTTCCAGGAGTTCTATGGCGGCAGGGTAGGCTGCTGGGTCTGTTCCGAAGCATTTCTCACCCCTTTCAGCGATTCGAGCAGTCTTGTCGGCATGATACCTGGGGTAGTGGTTATCGAGCTCAATCCAGTCCTCTGGCTGAATTGAACGAAGCCCCATGGTGACGTTGTACTTCGGACCATAGCGAAATGCGCGGTAGGGCAGCGGCCTTGTCGTTTCTATTGACCAGTCCGAATAAGGGCTGGGGACAGGCATCTGCCATGTCTCGGTGGCTTGGTTGGACTTCTCTGGTTGAGTTATGGATGATGGATTGACGAAGAGGGCCCCTTTTCGCGGTCGCAATGCGCCAAGCGATCGTGAGATTAGCGCTGCGAAGAGAAGGGCGAAGAGTCCGATAATGATCTTCCAACCATCAGAGGTCAGTGCTGATAACGCCAATAGTGCCATATCGGGTCGAGGGGGTGACTTTGACTTTGGCAATATAGATGGGTGGGGGAAACGGAAGGCAATGAAGTTGAAAGTTTGGGGGAGCCCTATCTATTCTGCGCGAGGACAGTTACTCCGAGAGTAAGGAGGTCCGTATGTGCGCACATGTGAAGGATTGCAGAGACTACTAAGTAAGTTGTGCACCAACACTTTCAATGGAGCCGGAGGAGACTATCACTTGAGTCGACTTCTTGACTCGGCTACGCATTGGGAAATCCCTTCCAGTAGAGAGTTGGGTTCCGCCATCCCCGTCGGCCCCCCGTCCCACACCCGTATCTCTTCTCCAGACTCGTACCCGCGAGACCGGCTGCGTCTGCGAACCGATTCTCCACTCGACCGTTCCGAGCTGGAGGGGGGGCGCTTGACCGGAACGGGAAATTTTACCCTATCGTCCTATCTTTCATCATTACACTGGGACTCTTCATGAGCAAACTCGCGGGAGTGAAACCAAACCTTGTGCCCAGAATTCAGAGGCTCTCTTGGATTATTGCCTAATGAAGAATTCTTACACTGACGGATCGAGCTCTATATATACCAGGTGGTTTGACTAATATGTGAAGAGGGGTAGTAGTTTCACACTCACAATAAAGACACAACCTCATCAAACCTCATTAAGCCCACCAAAAGACATCAAATCTTGATTATCACAATGGCCGCCTTCCAGCACTACGCCAAGGCCCAATCGACCTTTCAGATCCCCCTCCTCGCGGGGGACAACGCCTATCTCGGAGATGTATTCTCCAGCGATGAGTCGAACCCCGAAAAGCCCATCTCATCTGGCCTCTTCCGTCTGAAGAAGGGCGAGCCCCTCACATACACCTACAAGTATGACGAGATGAAGATCATACTTGAGGGCGACTACACGATCTCCGATGAGACGGGCCAGAAGGTCGAGGCAAAGCCCGGCGATGTTTTCCATTTCCCCAAGGGCTCAACAATCACCTTTACTACCAGCGACTACGGCCTGGCGTTTTATGTTGGGCAGCGCAAGAAGAGCGACTTCTGAGAGGATCTGGCATGTATCAATGGTGTTGGTGAGGAAGGATAACGACAGCAATGCAGCTGAAATGGGGCAAAATGAGATGGGTGGTGACAAGGTCAAATGAATAAACAATTTCATTCAAAGCCTATACGATTTCAAAAACGGGCGCTCATCCAAGAGCCTGTGCTATGTTCATGGTGTCACTTTCCCAACGCCAAAAAGATGAGACCCATGTCCTACACCCATTTGTCGTTCCTAGTATTATGAAACACATGAACGATCTCTTGATGCCAATCCCCCATACGATGACTTTCATAATCACCCAAACATTGAACGTAAGTCGTTGTCTTCCATCACATCAATCCAGTGAGCTGTGGGCGAGCCGATGTCGTTATCGTACGCTCTCCAAATAGTCTGCACGAGATTCTTTGCTACCACGACTGGGGTCGGTGGCAAGCTGCTCTCCAGGATACTCAGACGTCTCATGACGAAGTGGCGAGCACTACCTACGTCAAGCGTCATGGTAGACATTGAACCCTCCCGCGTCGGAGCCTCGGCCATCTGACTGATGTACTGAGACAAGTTGTGCGAATCGAACAGCGGCGGGGGGCTAAACATGTTCGACCCCGTTCCTCCCATCAGGTCTTGCTGCAGGGATCCAAAGGCCCCCAGCATGTCAGACGTAGCTGGTGCGTCGTGGCGAAGTCCTGTACTCGCCGATATGTATAGTAGCGGTTGGATGACGCGGGTACCCGACGTTGCCGGGATGTGTTCAAGGACCTTGACCAGTCTCAGGGCCAAGGGGATGATCCACTCGTCCCATGGCACGGAGCCGCTCTCCGTCATTGGCGATTCGGCCGGTAGTCGCAGGGAGACAAGATCAGGGAAAGTCTGGTACAAGTGAAGCAGTGAAGAGAGTCTGTAGGCTTCGGCGACCCTGGCAAGATGAGAAACCGGCGTTGAGCTGTCGCCGGTGTCGACGTCGGGGGTTTCCGAGGGAAACTCGAGTTCTAGAAGCTGCTCCTCGAGACGCTGCGCTCCTATCAAGTCTTGAAGCGCGTTTGAAAAGTACTTCTGTGGATCCATGGCTTGCCTCAGACGGTGTCGAGCGCTGCGACACAGCCGGATCGACTCGGAGAAAAGGCGTGTCGTGAGAGTCGACACGCCAGTCCAGGGATGGGGTGCACGCTCCTCGAGTATCTGGAGCGCCAAGCCTGCGTCGCCTTGATCGAGCGGCTCGTCCTCGCGAACCACGGAGAGAAGCATCTCACAGTACGCCAAGCTTTTGTTGAAGAAGGAGAGCATATCCTGGTTCGCGCTGGAGAAGGAGGCCGACTGCGCATTCAGCCGGCGAATGAGAGATCTCACTTCTCTCAAAAAGGGCAGCCCGTACAAGCGGGAGTCAACCCAGCAGACCGTTGTTCCGAGGCAGAACAGGGAAAAGATGAGACCCGTCGGTACGGTGCGGAATTCGCCCTGCGCTTTCACGACCTGGAGCTCAGCTTGGATGAAGTCTGTCGCTCGTTGCATGAGACGGAGGGCGGATTGCCTCATGCTCGGAAGCCGGGATGCCAGAAACGCGGCCGACATGCTCTCGAGAGAGCTGCACACCGTGGCGGACGTTCGCCAGAGGTCGATTGCAATCTTTCGATTGAGATTCGCGTTCGAGTCGAAGCCGGACCAGGCTGGGCACACCTGCTCGAACCAGTTGATGATGAACGCTGATGAAGTGTCGGCAAGACTGGGCGTCAATGAGTACGGCGACAGCTGCTTCTGGTCTGCGTCCTTGGAGGAGCTTGATTGTTGAATAATCACACCCAGCAGTGGTTGGCAAGGTGACACGGGTTCCTCTGCAAACAGTTGAGAAATTTCATCTACTCCTCCGTCGCTCATTTGATATGCCCTAGTGGCATCTTCATCTCCCTCTGCATCTCCATCTCGTTGGGCGGAGCTCTTGGAAGAAGAGGATGAGACTGAGTATCGACTTCTCGGGGAACTGCTGCTGCTGCTGGCTGAAATGGAATTTGCTTTTTTGGAGCGATGCTGGCCCTCGGGTGCGTCGGCGGCTGGTCGCTTCGGTGATGTTTGCGTGGTATTGAAATCGTCGAGTGTCAAGACCTGAAGGGCAGGTTGGTGTTTGAACGACCATCTCAAGCCCTGCGCGAAGCCTCCACACTTGATCCCCTTTCTTGTGCACTGTTGGCAAGCCGGTCGCGTCTCGTCACATTTCAGCTATCGCGCACATCAGCGTTTTGCTAGTGGCTGGATGTTGGTCATGCCCGTGAGATCCTTGATCAACCCGACGGGCCGAGGATACATCATACATGAGAGCACAAGACGGGTTGACGGCGACGTACATGCTTGGCTTTACAAGTGACACAACCCGATCTCGACCGTGGGTTGAGACCAGTTCTAGTTTTGGATACCGACTTTGAACTCTTGGGGGCTATCATTGAACTTTATTCGAACGAGAAGCCTGGGTTTATCAGTCCGGGTGAATAGTAGTGGATGCGGCAGGGATGGTAGAAATATCAGATCAAAGTCGGCTGGGGCGAATTCGAGTTCGATTTCGATTTCGATGAGCAAGGAAGTTGGGAGCAGGCCACAGGGCTTTTTTTGGTTCCGAAAGTCACCGGTCGTCGGTCCTCATCGTGATCGGATGAGTGTTCATGCTGCTAGCACAGGCCCATTCGCGGCATTGCCAGAAACGCGGGGGATGGCATCTTATGACGCTATTGTAGTTTGAGGTATCTTGGCTGGCGCACGATAAGCCAGCGGCGTCCATGATTGGTGGTAAGGGCATGTTTGATGGATGAGTCTGGCTGGAGCAACCCGCTGGCCACATGCATCCTTGCAGCGGGAGAGCGGCACAGATGGCAGACCGATGCCGCTTGAGGTTGGTTTCGCGGCCAACACCGTGTTTGCTTGTCACTGGCCAGCAAGCTTTGCCGTATTTCGATGCAACTGGTCGTGCCGCTAGTAGGTATTTTGCCTTGGAAGTACCTGAGGGAGTGTAGTACGTATGAAGAGTCCCGACTGAGATACGGGCTCTCTGTGAATGCCTCAAGGGTGGCGATGATATGGAGTCTCTGGCATACAAACTCTGCGACGAAAGCACTGCTACGTGTTCACTAGGGTTCTGAGCTTGGCAAGATGCGAACACGATTCAGACTCTGCGTGAGGCTGGATATATGGTGACGACGGGCCCTCCAACCTGAAGATCAACAGTGCCGCACAAAGAATAATGGACAGGGAGACCTTGGGAATCCCGAATTCCCGCAGACTCCCTAGTTTTCGGCGTTGCGGCGATAAGGAGGCCAAGGGTACCAGAAGAAATCCAGGGATTCAAGAGGCTCCAGACCAAGATACGCGGCGATCGCCTCCGGTATACCCCGCATTATGCAAGTTTCGGGCCCAATCATGGACACTCTATTGTCCTTTATCTATCCCGGTACCGGGATGGATGCCGCGGGAGGACCACCTGGCACAAGATAAGCCAACCAGCACCCCTTTATGTTTCCCATGCTGACTTCGGAGACTCCTGCCGTCGTCCGCTTCAAAGTTCGTCAAAGGTTCGATCAAAGTGGCTTGGAGTCATAGGGTGGTTGCATAAGCGGCTTTTCGCGTCCTCCGACCTCGGCCGGCGCACTCCCCTCTGACCGAACCTCACGATACTAGTGAGACCAGTCAGCTCGTCAACGATGGGAGCAACACGAACACACTCGTCCTCTATGTGCATTTATTTGCAGCGGAATGCATATGGGACTCCGGACTCCGATGCTCATGTACCCCGCATTCTACTATTCCTAATCCGTCGAGTGAGCTTCGCTCTAGTTGATCTGCTGTTATTTTCATTAGTAACGATTTCCACTCACTTCGATGTACCCCCACGTCACCTCGCGCTCCTACGTGAGAGGACAATTATTCAACTTCCCGATGTCTGAGGACACCAGTGTCCTTGAAAGCTTGCAGTCAGGAAGGTAATCGCGAATTCGGCTCGAACGTAATATTCAACACCCAGCTAAGCAAGAATGCTCCTCGAGTCCTGCCGTGATCGGAAAGATGAGGATAAAAGTGAAGACAATTTTAATTTGTCATTAAGGCCCCATGAAATCACATAAAGGCGTCTATACGGCTTTGTTGTCAACACGATACACGCGGCTCTCATTCAGTGGACCACTTCTTCTCCCATCCCTTGAAGAATGGGGCCTCGGCCAGAGTATGCGGCTCCCAATCCTCCTCAATCAGACCATTCTCAACCTGATACTTCTCATATTCCTTTAGTGTTGGCTTTACCACATGCTCTACGTGCCATGTCCCCTTGTATTTCAAGAGGCTCTCCTTGCCCTCGTTCAGAACCTTGAGAACTAGAGAAGGGATGTACGGTTCGTCCTTGAATTCGGTCAAGGGCGTGAAAAGTGCTTTGAAATTGAAGACCACGCCGCCTGATAGTGGTAGGCGGCGCATTGTCTGCCAATCGACGCGCAAGTAGACATCTTCGGGTTGCAGGCTGGGGTTTTGACGCTCGCGGTGAGAAAAGTCGGGGTGCTCTGAGGGAAGATAGAGCGGCTGACCCATCTCTAGACCCCACGAACCGCGTTGAATGGGCTTATTGGTGGGTATTTTGGTGAAGAATCTAGGGTCGCGTCAGCAGGAGAGGTCATCTCCCGGAAATGGAGAGTATTCAAGTCTCACCGATCCATGCTGAACTCCATCTTCTCCTTGTAATCCGGAACCACTTTGTGAATTCCTGGCAGTCCCAAGCCGGCCTTCTCACTGAGCTTCCAGCCAACAGAGGAGCACACCATGCCGGCTCGCAGAACATACTTTCCGGTCTCATGATCCCGAAGCATAATGCCAAAGTCTTCAGGGACGTTATCCAAAAGCACAATGAGTGGTTCGGTGACGGAGAGGTCTGTTGTCGTCCCTAGAATGTTGTTTTGCAAGATATTGCCATCGCGCTTGAATTGGTTAGGGTATCTTGCGCAGATGAACTCTATGACCATCTCCATGAGTTCCTTACAGGCAAGCTCGGAGCCCGGCATGCTGGCAAGAACATCGCCCCCATTCTTTGCATACAGATCTTTGCGCTCGGCGATACGGTGCCTGTACGTGTTTTCGAGCTCGATCCAGAAATCCGTGTCCATCTTGGTTAAAGCTGAAAATTTTGAGATGAGTTCGTGCGCTTTTGGTTTGGGGCGGTGGCAGCACCTACACATGGTCTGGTGGTATGCCCATCTAAACGGCCGGTAGGGCCGCGGGACGGCCTTGTCAATATCAAAGTTCTCCAGCGGCGACGGCAATGGAACATCTGAAATAGTTGCATAGTCGGGAAAGTCACCCAATCTCCGAATATCGTCAATGCTGAAGCCGCTGAAGTTGAACAAGGAGGGGCTGGCGGAGCGATAGTCGGCATCCACCCTCAACAGGGGCTTCGGCGTCACGGCGAGGTCGACCTCCTTGACGTCCGCGAATTGTGGTCCGAGCTCCGCAATTGTGGCTCTCTGGGACGGCGGGAACGCGTTCACGTAGCTATGCTTCTCGGCCGTGGTCACGGAGGGCTTTTCGGCCGGTTGGCTGAACGACGGAGCGCGGCTGAACCTCGAGAAAACCTTGCGGTTGTTGACGAGCATGCCTGTGAGATAGACCAGAACACCAGCGAATGCGGCGACGCCAAGCACTGTGGTGACGGCATGATGGCCACCGAGGTCAAAACCGAAGGACATGGCAAAAAGGTCTTCTTCTCTGTCATACGAAACGACTCGGCACCGATACGTTCATTCTCGTCGCTGGAAGTTGGGAGATAAGTATTAGCGACTCGTGAGGACAGCCACAGTCTATCAAGATGTTCAGAAACACAAGTCACAGGGTGGGATAGATGCATCTGGTAGATTTAGCCAGCAGCCGCTGTGTCCCCAAGCTCGACGGTCCGCATGATGCAGCGCGTTACAGTCTGAAGGGGACGACGTCGGCGTTCACACCCTCACTGGAACCGGAAAGATTATACGGACGAGAGCTTGATTCATCTCGCGTCACAGAGTCTAGCCTAATTTGTTAAATCTACCCGGCACTCCCCCCCTGTCCACTGAGCATGCAGCGATAAGGTCAGGAACATTGGATGCGGGATGACCCCGCTGGATGACGACCCTGCCTCCCACTCCCCGGCTGTGCCCGTTCTTCAGACTTCTCGTGGCCGAAGCTGTGGAGGCTGTAGCGCCCGTGCATCTCTGATGCCGTCAGGGTTTCCTTGCATGTAGCTCCTATCAAATAACTCTCAGCTTTTTCAGGGGAGGCTTAGTATACAAAGCTTATGACGGTGTGCGCCCTCCCCCTTTTCACATGTTGAACCTGAACCGCTGCCCTTCAAACCGCCTCCCTCCCGCTCTACCCTTACTCTAATTGGATAGGCTCCTGCATCCATTTCCAGCAGTTTAGACCGGTCGTGATTCACAGGCAAGACAGTAGAATCCACTGATCCCCATCCCTTCCCATTCCCCCCTAGCAATGCCCAGACTTTTGGTGCACAGAGACCAGCTCCAGCGCTTCCTATATTGAGTAGGAAGATAGGTCTTTTCGTGTCCCCGTTGAAGCTCGTCTATCAGGGATAAGCCAATCAGAGAGGTTGGTGTTATCTGGCATCGAGTGTCCAAGACAATTGTGAACATGCTTAATTTTGTTGCAGACCGAACCTTATCTGGGGGTTGGGACTGGTGCCAAGTGATAGCAATACCGACAGCATGGCAGCTTGGCCAACATCTGAACATTGACGAAAGCTTTAAGTTGCTCCCAGGCTTCCCTTCAGACCAACGGAAAGGCGTTCCGCGGATTTGGCTCTTTAGCAAGAATAAGGAAACAACGCGTTCTCGTGTCCGCCGTCCCAGTCACCTCGCCATAAAATTTCCCTTCGTCCAGGAAATAATATCGTGATACATCATGGCGGAGGTCATCCCTGTGACCGAGTTCCCCGACTACGCTACCGACCCAACGGGCGGCAACCCAATCACTCATGACCTCAACGCACCTTACGACAAGGTACGAAGACCGATTCAATACAGGATATCCTGCAGCACTTGGACGGCCATTAGTTGGAGTTCAGCGCCCGCTAACATTTGTCAACAATCCGTAGGGTGATCTCTGCTGGATGCTGATATGCACGATCCTATGCTGGCAGATCACGCCGGCCATTGGCTTCCTCTACGCCGGAATGCACCGCAGGAAATCAGCCATGACGATGGTTCTGCAGTCGCTCTTTTGTGCATGCGCCTGCGGTCTACAATACTGGATATACGGTGCATCGCTCTACCAGGCACGCACGACGAACCCCATCCTCGGAGACCTTTCCCACGCGGCATTCCACAACCTCTTGGCTTCTCCGTCCTTTGCGAACAAGGACATCCCGGACATATTGTGTAAGGAAATCTCCTCCGAATGAAGCAAGTTGACGTCGGAGTGAGATGTCTAATATTCAGCGGGACAGATGCTGCCTTTGGCTTCACTTTTGTCACGGCCACGGCAATGATTCTAGCCGGCGCTATGCTCGAGCGCGGTCGTCTCTGGCCTAGCATGCTTTTTCTTCTGTGCTGGAACACCTTTGTCTACTACATGTAAGTCAAATCCTGCCTTTTTCAAGCCGCCATCTTTGCGGCCAATACTTACTTGTCCTCTTAGCCTGGCATATTGGGAGTGGAATCCTAGCGGCTGGCTCTACAACCTGGGCCTTTACGATTTCGCAGGGTCCGGTCCAGTTCACATCGCCAGTGGCTTCGGGGCCCTCGCTTGGTCAATAATGCTGGGTCCCCGTATCGACGACAGCACTTCCACAAGAAAGAGACATGTCCCCCACTTCAGGGGCCATAACCCCTTATTGATGACTCTGGGCACTGTCCTCATCTGGTTCGGATGGTTCGCTTTCAACGGAGGCAGCACGGCCAACCTCAGCTTGCGTTCCATCTACGTCGTCGTGAACACCAACTTTGCTGCCTGCGGCGGTGGCGTTACGTGGGCCCTGTTGGACTACGTGTACACGAAGAAATTCAGCTTGGTTGGCTTCTGCTCCGGCATCATCTCTGGTCTCGTCGGTATCACTCCGGCAGCTGGATTCGGTAAGGAATATTTGGTCTCATCGAGTTTGCTCACTTGCGCTAACAACAGGATCCTATAGTCCTTGTATACGTCTCACCTCTTGTCGGAATTATTACCGCTGTCGCCTGCTTCTACTCAGTCCGATACAAACACCTTCTCCGCGTCGACGACGGCCTCGATATCTTTGCCATCCACGGTATCGGTGGGTATGTCGGCGATATCCTGACCGGCCTATTTGCTCACAAAATGGTGCCGGCTCTCGACGGGGTAAGCGGGGATACATACAAGGGTGGCTGGTGGAATGGGCACTTTAGGCAACTCGGTTTGCAGTTGGCAGGCGCGACGACTTGCGCTGCTTGGTCATTCTTCGTTTCTTGCATCCTGTTGTTCCTCATCAACAAAATTCCAGGCATGCACCTGCGTGCTACTGAGGAAGACGAGTTGCGGGGCCTTGATTTTGCGTACATTGAAGACGTCGTCTCGGATTACGACGATGGTAACATGCTCATCCATAACGGCCAGGTGGTGGAGACGCCTACTCCGGCCAGCTTTTCTAAAAGTTCCTAGACAAGACGTACGTTCCTAGAACCCGGAGGGATTAGAGACTGAAAGTTGAATAGATCTAAATCATTCAAACAATGCGAACTTGTTTCACATAAGCGAGCCTTTCTCAGAGTCGAACGACTAATAGTTTACCCGCAAGGGCATTCAGACTGCCATCCGCGGATCTGTGACCCAGAGACAATTCGCCTTGTCTTGAATATAGTATTTGCCAATGAAAAGTGGGATGAGAATTGAGCTGCAAAAATCAAGGTTGACATACCCTAGAGCATCATATAGTGGCTTTCGTTGCTGCCCAAGTTCATTCGGACCATTGGTCGTATCAACGCGACGCCATGACAGCATTAATACACACATCGTGTTCCTTAGTAGGAATTGCCTTACTTCCAGTGGGCTCAAGATCAGTAGACGTCACTGGCGCTCACATCGTACCACTGTGGACTGGACCTTCCGGGATGATAACGTGTAAAATGCCGGGCCCAAATCCCGTCACAAATTCAGCAGAGCCCGAGAAATAGTGGCGCCCCGGGACCGAGTGTCCAGCTGATCACGGGACAAGAATTTGAAAAATTTCTTAATTCTTCACTTGGTCAACCAAAGACATAGGCATTTCGTTTTCTTTTTGCACAAGCCGTGACTTGTATCGTACTCGGTCGCAACTGGAACATTTTTGTCTTCCATGCCGGGTCACTTGAATGTCTGGAGGCCTCACCGACGTGGAGGTAGCAGACGGCATTTGATCCACTCGACTATGACTTACCGCCTACCTGTATCTTTCATGGGCTCACAGTGGCATACTTACTTCGGAAGCCGGCGTTTGCGGCTGATAGGACATGATGATCATGTTGTTCCAATCGATGACAGGGCTAGGACGCGCTTGAATCTCTCCGCACACTCAAAGCTGAAAAAAGGTCAATGGGGCCTTAGCTACTGAGTGACGGCGCCTTCTTGGCAAACATTCAAAATTATCTCCGATACTAAACTTTTTTCCTATTCGGAAAGAATCCATGTCGTGACAAGTCGCCCAACGGTAGAGGAAACGGCAACACTTCACCACAAGACTCGCTAGCCATGACATAGAAACCCGAAAAAGCAGCAACAAGGCCGAAGCCACCGGCGATCTTAGTCAACGTCTCAGCGACCGATACATGTCCATCTGCAAAGGCAAAGTTTGCTGAGCAGTTGAAAATGTAGGAAAACTCGAGCGCACCGTAGATTATGACGTTGGCGACGTTACTTGTGTTCCAGTTACACGTTGTCAGCCAGGGTTCTGGGCGCAAATGAAATGATGGTTTTCAAAACTTACGTAGCAAAAGCAGCTATAAAGAAGAAGAAATTGAAAAGAGACCAGGCTAGAGATTCAAATTCATTTGTACTCATTTCTTCTCAAATGCCAGAAGAAACCAACTCACCGGCGAGATAGAATCCGAATGCATTAAAATATTCCTCCGTCTTCCCGCCATAGCTATTGACAATCCCGGCTGACGGTATTAGCAGGAAGCCATAACCGCCGTAGTAGAATGCTGCAAGGATCAACATTCCGTCGCGTGAAATCAGAGCAAAGAGGTGCCGAACCCACCGAAAGCAATGAGTGTCGTGTAGGCAAACGTGTTACCTCTGACCATCTCCCACTGAGCTGAGATGAGCAGGCCCAGACCGGCGAGGAAACAAAGATTGGCGATGAATAACGCTTGGTTCTCGACGTTGCGTATGCCCAGCATAGAAAGTGATACAGTCATCAAAGTTGTCGCAAATGCGCCGTAGCCGAAAGGGCTCTGCGCGATGATATTGTCAGTCTCCGAATTCGGAAATTTTGGGGGGCTTGGCTCGAAGTAAACGAAAAGGAAATATCATGCGCCCCGTACAGAGTTTGCGAGACGCCCCTTGGAGCTCGCTAGTGGTCTGATTGATCCGCTGTCGACATTTGCTTCGGCCGACATATTGATTCTTGACAAAACCGTATGCGAATTCGGAATCTCGGACTTACGTAGCCAATAATGAAGATTGATAAATCAGGAACTTGGGGCTTTTATCAAGTTGAAAATATGGCAACGCATTTGTAATATTCTATAGACAACGGCGAGTGAACAAATTTTCGATTCCGAAATAGGAGGGTAAAATGTTTCTTTCGGTCATGAGGCATGCTGATCGGGCTTTGAAATGTTGGTGAATTCCCACATCGGCGACAACGTGTAACACTGCTCGGGAACTTTCGGCCAGCTTCATTCTTAGTACTTTTGAATTCGGGTCACGTCGAAAGAATAGCAAGCCTAATTCCATATACTCTTCACACAAAAGCCTTTCATGCACGTCAGTAGCTCCCATGTCGGTTGTGCACCCTCAGTCCGACCATGGGCCCAGCTGCAACTGTCAAGTATTGGTCGCGAGCATCTCACTGTCACGTGAACCTGGGCCAAAGTCTTCATAGAGAGCATCTTCTCGTCGAACTTACTACAGACTGAGTGACCACTGGCTAAAGAGTATGAGAGCATCTTAACTATGTTGAGAATTTGACCTTCGCATGGGGAGTGTCATATACTTATGATCAAGATTAAAGTTTGATTTCAGAGATATTTACCATGAAACCTTTCAATCATTATCCCGCGGAATGGATTTTACACAACTATGTTTCCGATATTCCGATGACTACCTTACCTACTTGGTGCGGGGTCACTCGGCACTTGCAAACTTGTGATACACCAAGACTGAAGTGCCGTTTCGTGTAGTGGAGCGAATTTCGGAACCGTAAGTGTTGGTTTCGGTGAAATTGGCCCTGGATAATGCGGAAAGCCTCGATGAACACCATATACTTCAAAGAGTGGACAGCGTCGGCATAACGCCTTCATTCTCGTTTAACCATTAGGCGCTACACACTGCTAGAACAACCTACACTTTCACGTACCCTCGTATCAGTTATCTTACAAGGGGAACCATCTAGGCTGTACGGCGACTCTTACTTCTATTCAAAGCGATTTTGGCCATCATCGCCGAAGCTTTAGCACTCGTTGTAGCTAATCTTCCTTTTCTTCTGATGGCAATGTAAGCAATCCACCTGGTCCGAAACGTCACAAGTCAGGGTGTCTCTAAAATTCCGGGTCTATTCCTAGCTAAGATAACCAACATATGGAGGTTTGTCGATGTGGCCCACGGAAGGGCTCATGAGACACACGTTAAGTCACATTCCCGGTACGGGAAGTACATTCGACTTGGGCCGAGAGTAGTCAGCATTCAAAACCATGAAGCCTTGAGAACAATTTATGGCGTCAATAAGGAATATCGCAAGGTAATTCCAATTTTATTTGTCAAACAGGTCGCGTGTACTCGAAGACTTCTTCTAGACCGAGTTCTACGCGGTACAGCAGCAGCTTGCCAATGGCAACCCAACACAGACCCTGTTCACCACCCTCAATGAGAATTTTTATGCCAGGATCAAGAGATCTATCTCAATTCTGTACTCCATGAGCACCCTGACTGAATTCGAATCCTTCGTCGATAGCACAATCCAAAAGTTGCTTGAGAAGTTGGACGAGTTTGCCGAGGCTAGACGAGAATGCGATCTCGCAACTTGGCTCCAATATTGTAAAGTAACATCAGCTGGGAAGTCTGGCCGATATAGCTGACCTGTCAGATGCTTTTGATGTAATCGGAGAATTGACCTTTGGCAAGCGCCTCGGATTTCTCGACCAGGGCAAAAGCGTTGGTGGTGTGATGCTGTCACTGGAAAGAATGGTTGACTATGCAGGAATGGTGAGCTTTAACCGAAGCTAAAGTGACCAGATAACTGACAATTTGAATTCAAAGATTGGTCAAATACCGTGGTTGGATAATCTGTTGATCAAAAATCCAATCAAGCGCAAGTTTGGCGGTGGTTCGACGGGAGCTGTCGCTCAATTTGCGCGCCAATGTCTCAAAGAGCGTCTTCAACGTCCAAAAGAGAAGGAAGGAATCTCATCACACCGTGACTTCCTCAATCGCTTCCTGGAAATCAAGAAGACGCACCCTCACGTTGTTGATGATCGTCAGGTCTTCTCATGGACACTCAGCAACGTCAACGCTGGGTCAGATACGACAGCAATCTCACTTCGTGCAGTTGTCTACTACCTTCTTAAGAATCCCTCGACTTTGGAAAACGTCATGAAAGAAATTGTGACTGCACGAGAAAGCGGAAAGATGTCACTACCGGTGACTTGGAATGAGAGCCAAGAGCTGCCGTACCTAGATGCGGCTATAAAAGAGGCGCTCAGGCTCCATCCTGCAGTTGGGCTACTCCTAGAAAGAGTTGTTCCAAAGGAAGGCATCCATCTCCCTGATGGCCCCTTCCTACCGGAAGGCACCATAGTCGGAATCAACCCCTGGGTTATGCATCGTCATCCAGCCTTCGGCGACAACCTCGACTCCTACGTCCCTGAGCGTTGGCTTCAAGGCGAACATGAGCCTCAAGAAAATTACGACATCCGAAAGGCGGAGATGCAGGGGGCAACTTTTACGTTTGGCGCCGGTCCACGCACCTGTATCGGCAAGAACATCAGCCTGATGGAGATTTACAAGGCGATTCCAACCATTTTTTATACTTACGATGTAAGAAACACACGTGACGGTAGAAGATACCAAACTAATCATCCCGCGTCTTTAGATCAGATTGAGCCATCCAGTTAAAGAGTGGGACATTGTTAATGCGTTGTATGTAAGGCAGAAGAACATCTGTGTAGAGTTAATCAAAGGGGGGAGGCGTTGAAAATCGTATGTGCTAAATCTAGCTGTCAACAACCCGAAGTTACCTTCATTTGTAAAGATTTGTTCTGAGTCGAATTACTTCTAGGGACCTTTCTCCTCAAATGTTCTTTCAAAACGTAGATATACCTCGGCTGGGGATTGGAACCTCCTATTTCATTGTTCTCAACCTGATACAAATTTCATCACGCGCTTGCTGCAACTGCGCAGCAATTCTATGGAGGCGTTCCCAGTACGGCTCGCTTTACCAAACGCACCCGTACAGCAGCAAACTGCTATTATGAAAGACAGCGGTGACTAGGTACAGGGAAAAACAAAACAATCGGCCAAGTCTCTTCAGCGTTGTTATGCAGATCAATTGCTTGTCTTCGCTTCGAGGCTCCACAACAATTACCATATGCACCAAGGGGCGGAAGATCTACCGATGGACCAAGTGGGCCACCACCGGTGCGACTATAGTCAGGTTTGAAACTGAGCTTGAGTCTTTCCTGCATGTCAACAAAGGTTGCAAGAAAACCTAGAAGATTTCATTCAAATGACTTTTGAAAACTGCGTCCTCAATGACCTTCGGTGATGGTTACCTGCTGTCCCCACGCATGATCAACTCCCATCTCTTCCTCACTTTTGAATCTTGCCAACAGATTTTCCTTTTGATTCTCGCTCAATCCAGAGACTCCGCTGAAGTCCTTGGCAAGAAAAGGCCAGTACCCTCGCCCTCCAGCCAGCCAAATATATGACCTCTGCTTCTCCGAGCGAATTACGTCGTCGACTGCATATGATTCATGGGCTCTGTGGAAGGAAGGCTTCATATACAGCACATTGTCGGATTTGTCTTCCAACGTGTGCCTATCTTCTTCTTCCACGTCCCACATGAGATATATGCAGTCCCAGTGGTTCCTCAGAGATTGTGCGTCTATTGATATGTTGCACACTGACTGGTGGCCGTGTGCAGCAGCCCATAACTTATGGGGGGTCGAGAATCCACTTTCATGCGTGCCATCCGAAGGTCGTGATAGTGCACGGATGTTTGCGAATGAACAAGACCGTAATGTGTCCCCGGGGCTCTCAGGGCTGAGAATATCAGACATGCCATCCCTCGGTAGCATGAGCATCAAGTTGTAGAACGGCTCAGTGTCTTCTCGCCGTAACTTTCCAAGATGAAAAGGAAGTAGTTCGCGTCTCTTGTGAAACAATTTGGCTCGGAGAAGGCTCAGCATAAATGGGAGGCCGCGCGACAGCTAAAAGGAAATTCGGTAAGAAGACAGCCAATCTTGTTTGAATGATGATTTCTCACATGCCACTGAATCCGAGAAGATTCACTTCCATCTTCGCTCCAGTCAACAGAGGAACTACCCCATTCTACGTCGTTCATGGCGACGTCGTCGAGCGCTATTGCATGATCAGCCAGCTTCATAGTAGTGAACTGATCATCATACGGAGTCACATACCGTCAGTAATTTTGCGTTCGAGGTAGACGTATACGCACATGAGCTGCTCATTGACCCAGGGTGAGAAGGTTGCAAAGAACCGTTGGGAATTTTCTTGACCCTCACGTGGGCCTCCAGCTTTACTTGCAACACAGAAAAGATTGCACATAAGCTGATACCTGAGGAAGGCTCGATTCAGTCGATAGTGCTCCTGTTCTGAGATGTTTGCCTGATGTTCTATCTGAAACATGCTTGTGAATGCAGCAAGTGACTCCCAGATGCAGTCGTCCTTGAGAATCACGGTAGCTGAGAGGTCACGACTTAAGGAAGCGCACTCAAGTAGTGTCAAGCGGCCGAAAAACGCTCCATCATTGGCTGCATCGTCATGAATGCGAGCTTCGAGACGCAAGAGAACGTTCTTCACAGTTGCTTGACTCCCTATGTAGATCTGTTTCGATTCAATCAAGGCAGCCGCGAAAGGGAGCATATTGGGTGGGATTTGTCTTGCAACGATGTTCCGGGCGATGGCATGGGTGCCGATTCTGAAAGCTTCCCAAAAGATGCGGTGGCTCTGAATGACAGGACAGATGTCGGCGAGCGTGTCTAACCAGCTGAGAATCTCGGCAAGAATGTGTAGAGGTATACCTTTGATAAAGCATGATGTCCCCATTGTGTCTGTAGCATATTGTGCGTGCGAAGGCGAATTTTGAAAACCAAATATTTTAGCTGGGATGGATAAAGTAGCTACCTACTTTAAGGCAAGGGGAAAAAGATGGCGAAGCGGAATCTTATTTACACGACCGCCTGGAAATGCGTTCAAACTCTTCCCGCGGTCGACACTCGGACTCTGATCATAAAGATTTGACCTGGCCCAACATGAACACGCAGATTCGGAGCAGACAAGACCGTACGACTTATTGTTCAATTCTATTGCGACATGATAGTCATACCATTCGTCTTGGACATAGAAAACCCCTAAGTCTAGACCTTCTATATTTAATCTTCACTGAGAAGTGAGCCATGGACATATTTCAGAGTCACCTCAGTGGCACACCCCTCGTCGAGTGGTGCAGGCTGTTCTGGGGTGCGATCGCGATGGTCTGGAATCTACCGATCGGAGGCGCAGGGCTCGCTCCAGGGTGATGATAAGAAGACCATTGGACGAGAAGACAGAACAATCCCACATAGCGGAGGCTTACCGGTACTTGCTATTGGTTTCAGTTCCTTCCTGGTGTCGTCACCGTGAAAGACGAGTGAAGAGGTTTTGTACCTGTCATGACGCCAGCCATTTGTGTCTGTGCTCCGTGGATCCCATACACACTGCTCAGCCAGGCTTGTGGAAGCTGACCATGCAACAAAGCTGGGCAAGTATCTCTGGATGCCTTGTTTATTTGCCTCCCGCCTCGGAGACGCAAGTACACAAGTAGTCACCAAGTATAGACTACATTTCACCCTCGTCAGTGATCTGCCTTGCTCAAGCTAGTTACAAAATATTTGTGCGTTATGTACCGATTGAGGAATTTTATATATGGTCGCGAAAACCATAGGCCTATGTAGAATTCGGGTAGCTAGGACCGTGTCAGCTGCGTAGCGTAGAAGAAGTTGAGATCATCGCAAAGCATAAGTACCATACTGCTCTCCTATCAAGCCAGCTTAGGATGAGCGACCTGGGCATGATATCGATGATGATTTATTGTCAGCAATGTTCAGGCGTCTTACCTACAGGCTATCAAGAAAGATACCTACTGCTTTGCATCCCTTGACTTAATCGATTGATGGATTTGCGTGGAAGATGTCCAGTAGCCTTATCAGCACCGTTTGACACTCTCGCTATTTCAATAAACACCTTTCTCCCGGGAAGTCTTGTTATCCTCCATTGAGTGCGCCTCGGGCTTGTGCCGGCGGGGGGATCAGCCGCAGCACATCGCATCGTGTCGTGTTACCCGAAGCACGGAATCGCTAATTTGCTATTGGGTCATGAATTCCATATAGCTGAGGGGTCGCTGATCCTTGCTATGTTAATGGTATACGGGGCAGGAAATCCAAGAGGCACGCCGCGAGGCCTGTGACTTGGTCACACATACAAAGCACAGTCCTTTGTCGTTCGACATGGCACTCTCCATCAACGCTCTTCCTCCATCACATATGTTCGAGTAATATTTCTCTGCCCGAGGTTCTGGCACCAACCTCTGAATATCTAGTGCACAATATCCCTGGTGAGAACCTGATCCGATCCTCGCGGCACAACATGGGGCGATCAGTCTGTCTCCCGGAGGCGGATTACAAGTGTTTCTGCTCTCGAGGGACGACACATCATTCGATCAGGTTGGATAGATTAAGTAGAGGCAACCCTGGCTTGCGTGAGCAGTTGGTTCTATGGTTTCAGCACATGTTGTCCGCGTAGTCCGCATAGAACTGGCGAATCAATATCGGTCATCGAATGCACCGTGACTACATGTAGCTATACATGCCACCTCCGGACCATGAGCGTGTTTTGACCCAAGAGCACCCAAGAGCAGGAGTCATTCGAGGGATACGTCTACCGTCTCCCAATTTCCGCCCAACTAGCTTGACATGGTCTTGGCCTAGAAAACTGCACAGATGCCTGAAGGCGGTACGATGTACAAGTCCCGTCGCCCCTGAAGCTTTACTAGCGCCAAGTCCCTCGTCGTTGCCACGCATCCGCCGTCACGAGCCAGTGATCATTGCCATTGGCACGCCAGCAAATGAAACAGTGCCTTATCAGTCAACCCGATCAAGAGGGGTTTGGGGCCCTCAACAAATATTATGGTGTAGTTGCCTTGCAGTTGCATTGGCCGAGTTGTGTGAGACGGCCGACCAAAAGTCGTCCCGTACCCGAAGATGATTGATTTCCAATCCAGCGTCGATTTCTCCCCTGTTCAACAGGCTTTCTGTCATTAAGAAGTGTGCTATGTACAAAAATTGCCTACCGGCAGGATTTGGTCCAACAACTACCGCACCCCAAAGTCACATGCCGCAGCTTCAAATTCCCCTCATAAATTTCTCTACGTTTCCGAGGGCCCTCTAGTCACCCTATTGGGTGCCCAACGGAAGTCGGGTGCATGTCAATAAGCCACCGACAGTGAAGTGGCCATTCGCCCTAAAATTACTTCGTCTTGCTCTTCTAAACGGCTTCATTATGCGCCAGAAAAGGCCCCAACCCCACCTCCATCCACCCTTGTTAGTAGGCGAAGGATAATGCGAACTTCTCAAGTACGTTGTGACAACAGCTTGAGTGTTGGACGCTTGACTGAAAACGTGTAGGCGTGAGACAGCTGTAGACAGCTCGAGTCGAACTGCGACAATTGAGCAGTACAAGTTACTATCACCGGCGACGAGAAACATGACTTCTTTCGAGCATACTCAGGAGCCAGTCCCGGAATCCTGAGCGCATCTCACACGGACAAATTCCCCTGAGCCTTCGAGGGAAGACCAAGCTACAGTTACAACGGAGAAACATGCCGAGGACGCCGCCCGAAGCCCCAGAGAGCAGCAAAGACGTCTATCGCTGCCAAACTCATGCTAAGGCATGACGATGGTGAAAGGGGGTCAGTCATTAAGCTCGTTGCAAAACTTTGAAGATAACATACTCACGATCTACCTCAGACTAAATCTGCAAGACTTGCAACAGATGCGCCGCCTTGTTCTGTCCAATACTGACTCGTCAGAAACGGGGGAAGCTCGGCCCACTGGGGCTGTCAAGTTCACCAACATATGCTCCATAGTGCGGACGAAGCGCAAGCGCCCGTCTGCGTGTGGCGGAGAGCAAAGAGCCACGTGCTCAGCTCCCTCGGAAAGCGATGTGAAATGAATCGGCGCTCGACTTTTACGCTTCTATCAACAGTGTTGGCCCTGGACAAGATCTACCAACACCGACAGGTGTTTGTAATTCACTATTTTAGACACGCAGAAGTGTTCTCACGATCACGATGCCTACTAATCCTAGGTCGCCTGGGCTCGAGTACATGTCTCAAACATCTCATCTCAAAACCCATATCATGTTGGAGGAACTCTGAAACATATGCAAGCATATATCTCCACTGCCCTGTACCATAGCCAACTTGGTAATCTGACTGAGAGCTAATACTATTTCTCCCTCGATGTCGATCGATCTTTGCGTAGCGGGTCGGAGTACGGCCATGTTCCATCTTAAATCACGTATCGTTCCTGGTTTGGGTTTCGTGATCCAAATCAAGAGTAGTCCAACCTATCTAGTGTTGTAGCCTTACCATTGGCCTACTGGCCATGGTAACCATTTGTCATAGACGTTGCGTCAATGAAGAGAGGCTCTTGTTACTAGGACCGGCTATGGGGCGGGTCGGTCCTTAAAACGACTTTGATTAATAAGTGGGGAGATTCGTATACTAACTTTCAAGGTGCCCTCGCACGTTCGTTGCATAGACTGCGTTTCTTCCTGTAAGGACGACTTTATTAACTATATACAAATGAGGTAACGTTTCTTATCTCCTAACCCTTCAATCTTCCTCAGTATACACATATAACTCCGTGCCTATTAGACCCAGCGTGATGGTTACATGTACTTTTGATCACGCTGCACGAATGACTTACCGTTTCGCAAGTTGCTGCACAGCTTTCTCGAAAGTTCCAACAACGCCGGAGCCAACTATTTGCCAAACTTTCTAATATCTTGCGCCCTACATGCTAATTGACATGAAAGATTCTAGAGGTTGGCTGCAAATTCCGCGGCCTAGGTTCCCTCCTATGGGTACAGTCTCCGAGTAATATCCATTGTGGCGGATAGAGAGCTGAACAAGATCGCCCGCAATTAGATTACGGGGAATACACGTTGAGTCTCCATCTTAGATCTCTAGGACGCTGTTAACCTATTTGGTGAGCTGACCATGCATAGCCAAGTCTTTTTCAATCGCAATATCTTACTCCAAGGTGGTGATCCCACACTAAACATCACGTCATAAAAAAAACGCTGTTGATTACAGAGAGCAAAAAACGCCACATATACTACGACACATCACCATAAGTACATGTACTGTTGAAGCAGTAGAGTCAACAGAAAGCTCTCATTATGTTGCTAGCTATATGGAGGAATTGACGCTGCGACTGCTCTTTCTAGGTAGTGAATTCCGCCATCGTCAGAAGGTAAAATCATATCATCCAAATCCCCAGCACTGATGATAGTGGCAGTCCTTGCGATGTACCGTCGTATTTCTTCACAAGAGCACTCGCCGTGATCCAAAATCTGGCTTCTCAGTGACAGCACTTCGTTCTTGAGCGCTCTTATGCAAGCAACAAGATACACCCGTTGTTGCATTACCTGCGTCTCCTTAGCGACGAGATCAATCTCGTATTGCTTCGTCTTTTCTCGGCATCGCTTTGCAGCGGCCCGGTTCTTGACGCGATACGGGCTCCTTTTCTGTGGCTCGATGTGCTCGGTGTCTTCATTCCCTATCATGCCGACATCGTGAGGGGTTGTGCTTGCTGTGGGCACATGGTCACGTGCGATCTCGGCTTTTGGGTTCCTAACGGGCGCCTCTTGAGGAGTCGTTGGCTTTTCCTGAACCATCGTGTCCGCTGTATTGCGTGTTACATTTTCCAACAGTCCGCCGCTTTCTATTGAAGTAGGCTCGATTCGGTTGTCTGGTGGGTGCTGCCGGGGTGCGTTCAGAGTAGGAAGAACTTCAACAGCAATTGGCCATTGAACCGGCTGGCTTGGATCTACCTGATCGACTTGGGCTCCCAGCCAAGGATAAGTAGACCCAACATTGCAGGGTGGTGCCCAACCGGCCATCATATAGTCTGAGGCGATTGAAGTTCCCAAGCTGAACGGATAATGGCTCTGGGTTTCTGCCTCCCAGTACGTAGAGCTCGTTGGGCCAATCGAGCCATCTGGGGGAAGCAAGTTCTCGACCGCAGGCTCGTAAGAGTATGGTTGCAAAAACTGTTGATATTGTTCATTGTCGTCGCCGCGCGGTTGAAAGGAATCCGGCGGCAAGAGCTCAATATACTGATCCATCTGTTGCGGTTCAGCCATTGTTGGTAGGTCTTGATGAATCGAATGAATGGCCAAGGTAAGTGATAACTATCCATCAGTCGGCTGTTTGCGTTGACGTTGATTGGGACTATGAGTTGCCTTATCTACCGAATGATTCGTGATAGACCACTGGCGTTGTCAACGCAGGGCCGCCCTGTCAATAGCGGTGACAGGACTTGGAGGAGAGGGAAAAGTTTATCCGGTGGAAGCCGAATTATCACGGATAGGCAAGCACATTAGCCGTGACCAGATCAAGGGAAAGCTGTTGAGGCCAAGGCTGATTCCTAGTAACAGTAAACAGAGGGTGAAAAGGGTCGCGTTTCCAACACTGTGCAGCTGCGCAGTAATAAACGGTCAGCCGAGGCATCAAAGTCCACTTTCAACAGTGAATGCCCGACTTCCAGAAACATGATACTATAGTGGGATTCCCGTCAGCTTGCCAAAAAAGATTTGGGGGAGAAGAATGGCTTTGCAGCATGGTGTACTCGCAAATGAGGCGAGTTGATATCGATACTGTACCTAGACAGACCTGGACGCCCGCGGAATCTGGCTAGTGTGTCGTTGGACAAAAGGGTGGGGGAGGGAGGGGAGGGCGTCCTGCAGTGCACTGTTGTCATGGTTGGAGTGCGGAAGCCATGGCCGCTTCTACAGACGGCGGTCACCAAAGAAAAGAAAAATCGACAGCCAATCTTTCCTAGCTCTTGGATATCGCTGTACTATGTACTCAGACGCCTGCCCGTCTCATGATTTCTCATCGGAGAGATGCCGTGGCGCAACTTACGGTATATCTCTGCGCCTACCAATTGCCGTTTGCCAGCGTGCCACTAGACATCCCGAAATCGCCTAGTTCGTCAGAGAATGGCGGTATATCCCTTACCTCGCTGCCGGTTGAAAAGCTCCGACTGTCCTTCTCCTAAGTAACGTCTTCTACGAGTGAATGAAGTCCTCGACACGGTTCCAGATCCAGCCGCATAATCAAAAGAGGAGCACCAGCAACAGTATCGCTACAGGTCTTCCGAGAGACCTAACAGTGTGCACACATGGTCGGCGGCTTAGAAACGCATTCTGTTTGACCTCCTTGCCTTGTGAATGTCTCCTGTCGTAGCTCGCATCGACCTTCCGATGACCCCTCTTTTGCATATCCATATGTGTGGAACTGCAAGTTGCAGCCTCGGGTACGAAATGGACTACAAGCAGCGTCCCAACCAAAGGATACTCAAGCCGATTCTACATACATCCCCGGGCTGATCCCCGAGGGCATGTTGACCAATGACTGAGGGATTCCTCGAGCCCCGAAGATCACTGGCCAGAAGACGAAAATTCAAGTCACAAATCATCAACGTACGTCAACAGAGTAGCTGCAGATTAGGAGAGGAAGTGGAAAATGCGAAACAAGGTAGCTAGACTTCGGGATGGTCAGTACCATCACCCCCATAGTGTAATTATACTTTCCAAATCGTTGTAGGGCCCTGGGTTATAATGCAAGCGTTATACTTTGAGCGGGATGGATTTGAAGGGAACTTGGGGGGTGTCATGCCTGAAGCACACCCCTAAATTGATCAGCATCGAGCGGCGCTAAATTGGTTCGTGTCAAATTCAGTAGTCAGGTGGGGACGGATGAACATTTTCCCACGTAAATCAGATGCCAGAGTGAGTACGGATGACACCAGGCGAGAGGATATACAGCTAACCAGACGTTTCTGATGCGGCTTGGCTGTCGATCCCGTCCGGACTCTGTACCTGTGCCAAGAGCGGTTAATGGTAGTTGGAACAAGGGCGACGGTATCAAACACAGGCTTCGTAGGATGACTCTTGCGGTTGCATTGGCCCCTCTGGACGGACGAATAGTAGTCTGGATGCCCGGGTGAGGACTTCGTTTGGACGTATCTGACTACATTCATGTCATACTCTGCAGAGCCCTTCTGCGATCTGATGCTACTTTGAACTTGGAGGGTTGACCATAACCCCCAAACCTAGGGCTGGCGTTCGCCACCTGGCTCAGACGTGTACTGCAGCCATTTTCGGGTAGACGTAAGATCAATGGCCTCAACCCTCCACTACAACAGATCATCGCTTGTCCAACCATCCGGTTGATGGCACGGGATCTTGTCACAGCTTGCGCGCTCAGAAATGCGTAGGCCATATGCTAAGTTTGGATGAATGTACTCCTTGTCTTCCTCGCCGCGATTCTATCTCTCGATGTCCCACGTTATGACCGCTTCCCTCTCGCATAATTTTCTTCGTATCTGCCGTTAGTGAATCAGGTGATCTCGCACCCAAATTCTCAACCGCTGCTTTGACTAGCTGGTGGGTGCTTAAGAAATGGAACGACCAGATCATTGAGGCTTTCAAGACTGTTGCCAGTTCTCGGGAAGACTCGGTCGGGTTCATTATAGGACATCTGCAAGTAACCTGGCCATTTCTGTTTACAAAGCACCTGAACAATTAGCTCGGTTCTGAGCTCAAGCAAGTCGGACGCCGGTCACGGATGGCCGGCAACAAACAGTGCGACGCACCCAGCCTTTAGAAACGCAACTGACTTCATCATCAGCGTCATGCCGGTGTCCTACGGCGCCAGCTTGGAATAAAAGGCGGACCTGTCGTACTGGGCCTTGAGGGAGGGTGGTCCTGATGGCACCTACGTCAACGAGTTACGCCCTCCTAAACACGCCATAATCTCAGCGAGATATCTCTTAAGTAACGACATGACTGGGCTGACCCTTTTCAAACCAATTGGGAAGATACTTCCTGGGGCCCGGTCTACCCTACACTTCTTGACTTGCATAAGAAATGGGATCCCAAGGGCATTTTCCCTGTTCGGAAGAACGATAGAAGAATGGATATGGGACGTGACTTTGCAAAAAGAAGTCTAGATCAAAGCTTGTCTCTATTCAATCCCAGCTCCTAGTCTCATAAAGCTTGATGATAAACTGGAAGAATGGGAGTCTAGCATCCAGGCGAACCAGCAGATTCTCTAAGCTTGACGTACGAGCAATTCCTCAGAAGCGTAATCCTCCTGCCTCATCCTCGGCTCGTAGGTACCGGGAGATGGCGCCGCATCCTGGTGACAATCTCCAAATACTCATCATTGTTCTCCGAAGTGATTATGTTGTGTCGAATGAAAAAGTCGAGCATCACCAATACACAGTTGGGCTTGAACTGCTCCCCCAGCATGGCATCCTTGACCTGAGAAATCGTCATCAGCTCAAACCCAGAAACCTCGTCATCGCCCGGCCGAGGCTCTATCGACTCTGGTAGCTCAAGATCGTAAACGTAGAGAACAGTCGGGAAGAAGGTTCCCCTTTGTCGATTCAAGCTGCAGTACGTCACCGCCCCGACCGCCCGAGCGTTCTCCTTGACAAAGTCCGCGGGTAGCGACGCCTCCTCCGTCGCCTCGGCGATAATGCAGTCAAAGGGCGAATCCTCGGCCTTGACTCCGCCTGCGACGGTAGTATCAAGCAGGTTCGGGAAAGTGAATAAGTGTGCGCTCCGCCGTGGCACCCATATCTTCATCCCGTCGCTCGTTCTGATGTACGCCGTCATGTGTGCCCCGCGCGACGAGATGCCGAACAGGGGTGCTGGAAACCGCTCAATTGAGACGAAGTGGTTGGCGCCGATGATTCTGAAATGCTCGCTATGAAGTTTGTTAAGGGAGGGGAACGAGTCAGACGCGATGGCGGCGTCGACGACACGCTGAAAGGCGGCTGTGCATGCTTTGCCGGGGTCCTCGTCATCTTTAATCGTGGAGTTCAGAAGCTGCACTGTGCGCTTGCCGTGGTCGACGTGGAAGTCCGCAGTCCATGGGAGACGCTCCACCGTGCTGGGGACCATGAAACCTTGCGGTCTCGCATCGTTGGGCAGAAATAGCTCGTAGAGGATGTTGAAATCAAAGTCTAGAGGGACGCTGGTTGGTGGTCGTCAGCTTTTGAAACCGATGAGGAGGCGAAAGTTGAATGATTGAGTGACTCAACTTGTCGACCTTGTTGATCAAAGGCAAATAGCTCTCTTGCCTATCTGAATCTTTGATTTGCGCATCCATCGTTTGTGAGATTAACTTGCTGCAGCCGAGACTTCAACGGTATGGTGATGAGTTCTACTTTCTAGATGAGGCGATGTGTTTGGTGTAGCGTCTATGAGAGTATGAACACGATTTCAAGGATGAGGTGACAAGTGCACTAGGAGAAGTTCGTCGGTTTATCCTCGGATAGTCAACCCAATCAACTTTGGTTGTCGTGCCCATTCTTCTGGGGCCCTGTTTGGAAATGAACGTCAGACTTTACCCGTATCGACATCGCATGAGCAGCCAATTCACGCAAACTTTCGAGAAATCATCCTCTCTAAGTCGAGCTTGGCCACAGAAGGGTAGTTAAATTGGGTTTATAAAACCACTGAGTGACCAAGTTATCCTTACGAGAGCGGGGGTGTGAGTCATTGTCACTCAAATTTAATAAGAAATGAATCTATATGTAATTTCTTGCCATTGTATTTCGATTTTTTTTTTCTTTTCGATTTTTCGTTGCATCATTCGTTGAATATCAGTTGTATATTGCGGACCTTTTGACTCGCCAGGATTTGGAATTTGGTAGAGGCTCTTGGTTCTACTTCCACGGGTTAGCCTATAGATATGCAAATAATCAGACGGCCTTAGACCATAGCCATCCTGTTCCGAAACAACCTGCTAACATTATATATACTGGCACGGTTCCAGCATCATCGAAGGGAGGCCATGTGGAAGTTGATCCCAAGCAAGTTGTCCCAACATGGCCAATATACACTTAACAAAGAGGTGGTATCGGAATTGAATAATGGGAAGTGCGAAGAAAGCTATCTTCACCCGCCCAGCCCATAGCGGATAGGGAGCGGTTCCCGAGGGCGGCGTCGAGCTGTCCTGCACCTCAGAGGTTCAAAGTTGGGAAGAGGTCTGCCATTGAAGAATGAGACAGGGATCTTAGCACTGACTTGCACGCCTGCAAAACAGGGCAGGGGGTTTGCCGGCAGATGAAACCGAGTGGGATCCCCAAAATGGCATGGAGCTATTGCTGGAGGGAGTTCAGGTCTGATATAGTAGCTAAACCTAGAAGGCTGGGGTCGGGTGTGGTCATGGGTGAGCTTCTTCGCGGAAATGCTAATCAAAGCGAGAATGCAAGCGGAGCTGGCTGTGGCTGATAATGTGCCTATTTCTCAGACTTGTTATGTGGGCTACAGTCATATCCTAGCTGAGAAAGAGTCCTGTCAGCCATGTCTTGTCTGCAGACTTAGTTAGATATGGGACTTTCGCAGATGAATACGCTGGGTTTGCATTGCACCGTTCTGGCCTAAAAAGGCCAAGACGTTGAGACCAGGGCCACACAGCCGACCATGATATTTTACAGAGAGAGCACTCCTCAAAGGAGTCTAATGACCCACGTAGAGCTGTGATGTGAACTGGCACTGTGCCTCCTTGGTTAAATGATACTCGTTTTTGACCTAGGCTATGTCTTATGGAAGTGAAAAATTTCGCCGGCTTTAAACTACATAAGAGGCCCACATCCTGGAAGAAGAAGCATCCTCTCTTGTCCTCCATCACTTCCATGGTTGTCCCGAACTATTCTTGCGTTGGAAACTGTTCCGTACATGAGAAAAGAGACCAGTGTTTCCAACTTGTCCATCGGGTTCACCTTGACTCGTGCCCGGCACAAAATGGTGAACGCCATAAGCGATGTGTGTTCAGTCCATTTCTTATGCTCCTAAAAGTTGGACACCGATGAAGCTACGTTTGAATTCGCTGAAGATCAAAAGCTGGTCGATATTCCGCCCAGACAGCTCTGCTATCTCGAAAGAAATCATCGCCGAACGTTAGTGCGAACGATCACTCTTCCTGAAATGGCAATATGCAGAGAACGTTTCTGCCACCGAAGCTTAACCTCACGTACTTGGTTGACGTGTTCATAGAAACGAGCTTTGATTCCTCGACCCTAACATGATCATCATCAACAGCAGCTTCTTCTCCGCACACTCATTCGGGACTTCATAGCAATTCCCCGATCCCCTTACTCGCCGATTTCAAAGAGAAAGAAGTACATTTCATCTTCTGATGATCTTAGCTGGCATCCCCTCTTTGGGGTGCGCAGTGATCTGTGTTCCCGTCATCCACTGGTACCCTTTCTCCCCGAACACCTCGGGTGCGTCCTCGGCAAATTGTGGCACAACTTCGAGCTCTCTCACTGTCAAAGCCAAGATGAGTCGCATTTCAATCATGGCCAGCTCCTGACCGATGCAGTTCCTCGGTCCAAGTTCAAAGGGACGGAATGCGCTTTTCACTGGGTGCAGAGGGTCGCCCTCTTTGACGAGCCATCTCTCGGGGATGACTTTATCTGGTTGGGGCCACAGAGATTCCCATCGGTGCATCGCCTGCGATGGGACAAACAGCATGAACCCATCAGTGGGAAACCGCTCGCCTTTTTCAGGTTCGGTAAGAAACAGGTCATGAGCGCCCTGTCGAACGGTCCCGACTGGTGGATAAAGGCGGAGCGTCTCTTTCAGCACGGCGGTGGTGTAGGGGAGTCTGTTCAGCAGAGCTGGATTCTCGACGATGCGGGATGCTGCAGCACTTGCATCGGTTCCAAAGACCTCATCATGCTCAGACCGCACTTTTTCAAGAATGGCCGGATACTTTCTCATGAGATACCATGCAAAACACAAAGCGCTGGCTGTGGTATCATGGCCCGCAAGCAGGAACATCTTGAGCTGAGAGACGGCAATTTCGACAAATTGTGAGTCGAGCTTCCATTGGCTTTTAGAGCCAGCTGCGGAGACTTCTTTGACATACGAGCTCATCGCCAGACTGTTGACCGTCTGGGGACCGTTGTTGCCATGTTGTTCGGAAATGTTCTCTTGTAGCTGTCGCTCGATGTGAGGCACAATCTCGCGCTTCATGATGTAGTTGTAGTAAAGTATTCGAAACGGCCTGAAGGGATGAATAGACTTGAGCAGGTTCGGTGGCCCATGGTCCGGGATCAGCAGGCCAATTTGCTTCTGCAGAGCCGTAAAGACGGGGGAGTCTGTTGTTTGCGCATTGAGGCGTGTACCCCTAAGTTGCACGCGGTTAGTCAAAGCTCATACGACTTGCTACACATTCCCAATCCCGTTGCCGTTGCCGAATCGAAATGCTGGCGAAATGGGCGGAGTAACTTACAAAACCGCCCTACCAATGACGTCTACTGTAGCCTTCATGACGCCGTCTTCTAGGGCAACAGTTGCCCCAGAATCAGCTAGGTTCTCAAAGGACTTCTTGAGAACCAACGCTTCTTCAACCATGGCAGGTACCAGCGAGAGAATATTACGAGCCGAGAACCCCGGGTTAAATACAGCCCGCCACGTCTTCCATGTCTGGCCTTCCATGTTGACGAGATCATCGCATCCCGTCAGAGGATGGAATTCCTCTCTCATCATCGAGTGCTTGGGCAGCGAACGGTCCTGTGTGAACTGATCTGCTATTTTTGGATGAAAGACGGCGATCATGGGTGGGCTGACGGGCCAGGTGTCTATGTAGACAAGCCCCTTATTGCAGAGGTCCGGGTATTTCCTCAATAAGAGCAGAGGCAGCACTTGGCCATTTAGTCCTGGAGCCTGCTTTTCCATCAGGGAGCCCACTAGCAAAAGGTGGCCAAAGATAAAAGAGTGTGGAAGAATCTCCTACGGCACGTCAACCAGTTGCTCTGAAAATAGACCTGCTCGAAATGCGGGTAACAGTGTCTTAATCCGGGCTTCCCGGGTCAGGTACTTACTATTCCATGTTCTTTTGAGACGGCTCGAACTCTTGACCTGACTTGGAATAGCCGTATGACGAATTTGGCGATGTAGAAAGCTGCAAGAGCAGCGAGTGCTTGGAAGAGCAATAACACGTTCACCCCCATGATGAATGCTCTACGATAACGATGCTAACCACAGCTGAGGCTGAGTTGGATTGAGCACGGTCAACGCAAGAGCCAAGAACTTGGTTGCTAATGGAGAGGTTTCTAGTCGCTGACGCGGGGTTGGTTGTTGGATGCATGACATAATAAAGAGGTCACAAGGGATGAGTTGGAATGCCGTTCAGCCCATTGTGAGTTTAAACCAAATTCGCGGAGATTAGTTGCTACGGCGCCGGCGGGAGGGAGCCCCAGTTGGAGTCAAGCATCAAGCAAACTTTATTCTACTGGGCAACGGCAAGTCGGGTATTACCATACACAATGGGTTATGCCCTTGTCCAGTCTTGGGGACTTCGTCAGAGCCGGATACAAATACTTCAAACCAAGTTGAGCACACATTCAATAATGAGGTACAATGCCGAAACAACAATCAAAACAAAAAGGAGAGCATTTACCGGTAAATATGATGAACGTGTATTCACTTGGTGACGAAGCATCGACATGAAATCTGAAAGGCGCCCCCGGCCTGCTCCAAACCAGAGGACAGTTGTTATCCAGCTCATTCAGGGGTCGCAGACTACAAATACGAGATCGACAATAATGCGCACCGGCGAGTGCCCTGGAGTTTATCCTAAACAACGAAAGGCAATACGCAGTATTCATCTTCTTATACCAATCGTTCGGTGTAACTCTCAATCTCAATGTCGAGAGATGGGCTGACCTCCAGGCAGATTGTAATTGTCATGGCACTGCTGAAGGCTATCGTGCTGCTGGTGCCATGAACAGCTGCAGCATGCCACGGGCCGCAGTACTCTGTCGTGTTATCGCCGATCGTTGCTCTCGCAAGCGGATCAACGATGACATGACTGTATCCCGGCGCATCTGTTGGTATGGTTGTATCCCCGTCGAAGGTGTCGTTGCCAGCTTACGCTCCGTCCGGCAGGTACATGCAGAGGACACTGACGAAGGTGGCGGGGCTGGCGATGTGGAGGTTCTCGCAGTTCTTGTCCACCCATGGATTATACTTTTGGGTTTTACCCAGTACCGCAGTGGCGGTGGTGAAGGTGAGGTTATATTCGATTGAGACACAGGCGGCGTTGGGCTGGACGGTCCCTGACATAGTGCAAGGCTGCGGGAAGTAGTGCTTAGAGCCGGCTTGGTTGGAGAAGGAGTCGAAGATCGCATTCGGGTTCTTCAAGTAGAGAGATGATTAGGAGACACCGTTGGCTTTTGCGATTGCGTCGCATGTGTCCCCGTCGACGGTGGTGCACCATGTGTCCCTCTGACAGTACGTAATTGGGTCTTTGATGATGATTGTATCGGGTATGGTCGTGTTGACGCCAGTTTTACCGCACTCGGAGACCATGTCCTCATACTGAGATTGAACAAGGAGTCGTACTTTGAACATCGGGATCGTTGGGTAATGGCGTGGTGATCCACCCAGCCGAATGAGCAATGCTCGTTTTTGGGCATTTTGTCGATGGTAGAGGCCTCGGTGAAACCAACGATAATCTCATCACTATAATTGCCAAACTCGGTGTCCTTCAAGCAAGGCTGATTCCAACCATCCCAAGTGCGGCCTCTGAGGAGGATAGTCAGTGCGTTAGAAACGCTGTCAAACCGACTAGAAATCTGCGAGCATGAAGATGGACGAGGAGTTGATGATGCTGGCGTCCCAAGAGACGAAACAAGTCGCGGATGAGATACCCATACAGCCAGTGAAGGTCGGGTCGTTGAGGAGTAGGCTGGTCGTGGACGGAGTCGGTGCCTTGGGGCCGAGCTGGAAGTACAGAGACTCGGTCTGGATCATTCTCATGACCACGTCTTTTGCGTTGGAGAACTGGTATTAGTACGAGACGTTGTGCTTTACCGATATACCCAGCGCCAGGCCTTTTAACTTTCGACGGGAAGGTTGCGGCCGGTATAGATGTCGACTTGGTCCAGTGTGATCTTGTCAAGGTCGTGATCTGCAGTCCAGAGTCAGAAGTTCTTGGGATAGGCTGTTGATTTGGGCTTCAACTGCATCAACAGAGAGGCAGCCCTGCATCTGGTGATGCCTGACCGTTCACACCTGCATATTGATATGGGCGGCTCCTCGACTCTGCCCATGGCTTGGGTGTCCTTGTCGCGACTCCATGCCACCGAAAAATACATGTAAAATTTCGGGTCCGAGATGGGTAAAGTACGAAGACTTCAGCGCTGATGAATGTATCCCTTTATTCACATTGTCAGATAACCATTAAAAACAAGGTCTCTCATACACCTCAGTAAGCGCTGGCAGTGAATACCTCTTCAAGATAAAGTCCATGCAGTCACACCCCCAGCAACAGCCAAGAGACACGGAACTATCCCGGGACGTAACCGCGCGCCCAGCGACTCTTGACCTTGCACCTCCTGAACAAAGTGGCCCACGACGTTGCCCCTGGGCCAGTACTCGCACACGAGATACCATTGCCTGTCGCCGCACAACTTGCGCCCGCACCCGACGTCCGTCGTGTCCTTCCACACCAGCTGCGTAAAGTGTCCGGTACCCTCGTCGAACTGGCCCTTTTTGAAATCGTAGTCGTCGCGTTCCTCGCCCCACGCCTCGACGCTCGCCGTCGCGTTGGGGTACCCCTTGGCTAGGTTCTCGCCGTATGGCCCGCCCGAGTGCTCAAAGTCGCAGCTGTCGCCCGACATGTCGTCGAGGTAGTCTGTCGCAAAGTCGGCGAGGGTGGCGTTCCAGATCACGGAGGAGGCGTTGTGCTCGCCGCGGTAGAAGTTTGTGCTGTTGAGGACGGCCGATGTGAAGGTGTTGTCTGGGGTCCACTGGGGCTCTGCGGTTGGACTCGGGGGGGCTTCGGTGATTGTGCTTACTACAGTTTGGGCAGAGACCAGAGTATGGAGGAGGACGAAAGGGAGGGCTTGTGTGAGATGCATCGCTTCGAGCGAGTGAGACCAGAGGTGATGTTTAGTGATGATTTCCACTTTGGCGTGCACAGTGAGGTTAAGCAACATGTAATCAAGCTTAAACTAAAGTCAATACTACTTTCTTCATCTCAAGACGGCTATCTGCTAATCATTATAAGTATTCATCATGATGTCTACTCTGGCAAAGAGCACATCACAAATCATGCCATGGTTGGCTGATTGGCCGCAGAAGCTCCAAAACCAAGTTTACGCCCATAGCCCTGTTCCCAACCGGTCATTATTAGGGGCCAATGGCGCGCGTGAGATGACGCAGTCTGGTCAATTTCGGGGGCACTCCAAGACCACTTCGGGGCATTCCAACGCCACCCCAGGCTGCAGGGTGCTGGCAGACACCTCTGGGCAAGCCAAGCCAATGATGGATGGCCATTGGGCCTGAGAGCCCTTGGCAGCTTTTTGAGCGTTCGAGCGCATGTTCATCCATGCTTTGGCGACGCCTGTAGCAGCGGCACTGCCGCACTGCCCTGCGCTGATCAACGAGACCGAACCAGCCAATGCTCAACCCCGGATTCTCATCCGTTCTGTCTACGGTTTTTTTCCGACGAGTGATTATGAGGGGAACGCATCAGATACCGATAATCATTTCAATTCTGGATTTCGTAGCGTGAACCCAGGGATTTGATGGCTCCATGGCGTGGAAAGAATATCGGTTGAATCTGATGGCCAGCCAATATTACAGGCAACCTCGGACAGATCTGTTGGGGAGTTGGCAACTCCTGAGCCGAGCCCATCTCCAAGCCCCTTGTATTCCAATCCAAGATTTCGGTCAAACCGAGTGAGGTTTAGACATCTAAATGGAAGCAGTTTCCGAATCGATGGTGGCTAAACTCAAAGTTAGGAAAACCTCAGAGGTCATATTCACCTACCTGTCGATTTCAGAGTCGCTTGCCCGCAAGATACACACACATGAAGGCTCGGGACAAACGCGAAATAGCCCAGCCTAGCTTTCTTCAATAATTACTCACTTGGTCCAGGTTGGTGAGCTGTAGAAAAGAACCTCGCCTATGTTTTGATGCTTTCTATCACGCATTGACCAACGCGCTATGGTAAACAGAATGATCATAATGTTCCTTTTTACTATATTACTATACGGACGGGCTATTCTTCAAGCTGGCCATCGGGTGCAGCCATTTGTAGGTGCCCTCAAACGGCTCCGACGCCGAGATAAAGTCCAATACTCTCGCCTTTTGCGCATTCGGCGACACAACGTAGGTGATGAAGATCTTCTGGACAAAAGTCCACGACAAGACGTACCTCGCCATGATCCAGTCCCACGTTGAGGCCCACGCGTGCATCCTCGTCAAGCGCGCAGACTGCTCCCAGTCCATCTCCAACTGTTCCCGCCTCTCCAGTCTAAAGGCCTCAAACTGGGCCTCGAGCGCCGCAAAGTCGGGCGTTGTCGTCGTCTTCGCGGACCCGGACTCGGACTCGGACTCGGAGACAACGAATTTTTGCAGCCTGTTGCAGAGCGCCACGACGTCCTGCACGCCGTTGTTGAAGCCCAGGCCGGCATTGGGCGTAAACTTGTGCGCCGCGTCGCCGACGAGCACGACCCTCCCGTTCCAGCTCCAGTTCTCGCAGAGGCCCTCCTCCAGACCCGCGCCGCCGGCGTTGAAGCGCTCCTGGAAGACGTCCTTGACCTTGAGCGTGTCCGTCACGGGCCAGTCGGCGAATCGGCCGGCAAACTCTTCCAATTCTGCATCGGTGAAGGAGATGCGCTCCGTCGTTGGTTCGGGGAGCTTCTCGTACAAGAAGATCCAGCCCCGGTCCTTGCCGGTGATGTACATGGCGGAGCTATCGGTCCCATGCGTCTCGTAGCTCTGGCCGCACTCGGTCGGCCGGGGGAACGAGGCCCACATGCACCGGTAGAGCGTCTTGAAGGGCTTCACGGCGTCCCACGTCGCTTCGCGCGCGGGGTCTTCGGCGACGGCGAGCTTGCGCATCTGGCGGCGGGTGGCCGAGTGCACGCCGTCGGCGCCGATGACGATGGAGCCGTGGTAGGATGAACCATCTTCGCAGGAGACGGTCACGCCCGTCTCGGTGGAAACAATGCCGGCGAGCTTCTTGCCGGTCAAGTAGCGAGCTTTGGCGGACTCTGGGAGGCCGTTGTAGAGAGCCTCGATGAGGTGTGCCCTGTGGAATGCGACGGGTTCTGCGCCGTGGCTGGAGGAGGAGGGAATGCCGTGTTAGCCGAAGCACGCGATTTGCCTTTGCAGGAAGATGAGATGAGCGAGGCGAAGGGGGGGGGGGGGGGGGGGGGGGGGGGGGGGGGGGGGGGGGGCGGGGGGAGGGGGGGGGGGGGGGGGGGGGGGGGGGCGGGGGGGGGGGGTGGGGGGGGGGAGGGGGGGGGGGGGAGGGGGGGGGGGGGGGGGGGGGGGGGGGGGGGGGGGAGGAGGGGCTTGGCAGGTCCCCAACGACACATGAAGACTGTGCAGAGAAAGAAACTTACTTCTTCTTCAACACGGCCATTGTCTTTGCATCTTTGAATTTGTATCCGTCGACAGTGAAGCCCTTGTTCTGGTGCAGCTTGCCGCCAATGTCCATGAGTCTGTCGAGGATGCCAAACTGGTGGAAAACGCGCAGACTCTGCGCGCCCAGGACAATACTTGCCCCGAGATCCTCGACGATGTTGGTCCTGCGTTCGAGCACAATGAAGTCGATCCCGGCATGGTGTAGTGCGTGGGCGGCGGTGATACCGCTGGGTCCACCGCCGATGATGATGACTCTGAAAGGTTCGCTTGACATTGCGACTGAAGTGTGTGAATGACAATGGAGTTTTTTTCTCTGCTCGCCAGACCAACTCAGTAGACAGATATGGGACCGTGGCCCGTGATATATACCGCAAAAGACCATCTCCACCGAAACGATGCCGGGTCCCCGCTGTCTACGACTGTCTGCTTTAGTCCCCGGGCGTTGGGGTGTATATCAGGGGCCTGCTAATCATAACGCGCAGCCCGTACGGAGTACACCGCATAAGAGGTTACGCGATCTCAATGTCAGACCAAGTGACAGGGCTCTTGGGGCCAAAGTTGAACGCCGTTCCCGTCCTGCATCAATCAGGACTGAACCGGGTCGCAAGACGGACCCAGTGGAGGATCTTGTCCCTGTCTGTGGATCTGATTCTATCTGCCAGACTGCTCCGTCACAACTCGTACTATACTCTTGTGGTTGAATCAAGTCCGCTGATGTGTCAGAGAAATTCACGGAATCGGCGTAATATCCATTCCAGTGGTGTTCAATGCAGTTTTTCCTCGCAGAAAGATGTCTGCAGAAACAAACCTACGTACCGTGGTATGCTGGTTCGGTGGTCATCAAAGCCAGTGACACGCGATGGGCCGGGGAAAACCCATTTGGGGCCTCCGGAAATCCCACCTGAAGATCCCACCTGGAGGCCCGTCCAAGTTCCGAAATATTGCGTCACGAAATAAGGTTATCAAAGGCGGTGCTCAAGTCGATTTGCAATTTCTCACCTCGGATAAGTCGTAGATCCTAGTCTCGCAACGTTGAAGGTGGTGGGGTTGACAGCAACACGCAATTTTTTTTTTTGCAAAGGCTTCATGTTTGCAGGGGGCGCATGCGAAGACCAGGTCTTTGCAATCCCTGACGGCCCAATTCTTAGCGTGTTGTCCGAAGGAAGACAAGCATCGTGCCGCCGTCCCATCCTGCTCCTGTCGGGATCATTGCCGCCAACCCGATCGGGTCCGATCATGCTGTCTCCTGTCTGATGGTCTAAACCTTCATGGCAGAAAACCGCCTTTGGCATCACGGTGCGTGAACTACACTCCCATGCACGTGTAACACGCGAATTACGGCTCGAGACCAGACCTAATTGATGTGTAAAAAATGAAGATTGTTTGAGTCGGCGGCATTGCAATAACGTCTTTCTTGTCATTAGGCGAATACACCTTGGGCGAACTTGCGCTATTCAACCGAATTACTGTATTCAACGTCCCTTGAGCTTATGCCAAAAAGAAACTCAGATTGAGTCCCAGCAATAATGAGAATCGAATAGCGAATCTCTTTTGCGCCCCGGAACCTGCGGGAAGCAAAGGGGCGTGGCCACTTTTCGGGATCAAAGTAGGAATCCATGTCCCCGACCCAGAAACACACTTGTAAGTGATTACTTGACTTCAGGTCAATCTAACAACCCATCGCCGGACCTCTTCGTCGATGACCGCTATTTCATTTCATCGTTGAAATTGATGTGATGCCCGTTATTCCTCATCTTTCGAGTGCATGCCGACTATGTTGAAATGGGCCAAGTATTAGGATGGCCTCCGCTCATGATGAGGTCTCGGAGTCAGTGACGATGTATAGTCTACGCGTTTCAGATCTGATCATTAGTTGTTTTTGGAGATCTCGTCATCAAGTTTCTTTTCCCAAGAGTTCATTATCGATCGCCCTTTTCCTTGTCCGTGTCTAGGCGCTCTTGCTCGTGGTGATTTACTCTTTACTCGCGCGGCTCTTGAAGCACGATCAAGATGTTGTTGTATCTCTACGTCGTACAGCCATTCATCCGTTCACAAAGGAAAGATTTTGAATTCTTTTAAGCGACAGAGCCTGCTCGGGAGGGAGATGTGGAACTGATGACTACGGAATGAGGTCTAAGAAATATGAGATGGCATGAATTAGGCATTTACAGTCAGCTGACATTGAAGGACTGTGCGACATACCTAGACTACCTACATGTACTTAGCGCTGAAAAAGTTGATCCTAAGCTGGTGGGACCTTCCAAATGTGGGTGAGCAGCCTGTTCCATCGAACCATATTCTTTAAACACTTTTTGTCAGGCTGCTGCCTGGTCGCTTAACTGGGATCTTTCGTATTTGAGCCATCATCATCTCAAGGTCCTACTCGTTCTTTACATACTGGAGTCGTACAATGACAATGAAATATTGACAACAGAGACAATTGGCACTCTTCGGTGCCCTCAGACCGGTCTGTTGTCCTTGTAAGTGGTTCAATGTGATGTGTGCCCAGTCAAAAGTCTTAGACATCTACGCGAGGGATCGAGGGCCTGGGGAGGCCATAAATGCACGACTTCGGCTCGCCTATTTCCCTGCCGACTTGGCAAGAACCATATAAGAAGAGTTGGCCTGCATTCTAGAGTAACGCCAATTGACTTTGAGATACACCTCCAGTCCCGCTGCATCCTAAACACCAGCAACTCCGAATAGCCATGAAGCTTCTCTTACCAATTACCAGCCTCCTAGGTTCAACAGCCGCCGTGGTGAACATACTGCTGCCCCTCTATGTGTACCCAATCAATAATCTAGAGAAGCCTTACGATGGCACCGTGGACTGGCAAGCAGCTATTGCCGCCATTGACGCCCATCCGGACCTGACTTTCAACGTCATCATCAACCCCAACAGCGGTCCGCCATTCGCTTCCGAAGACGGTATCAAGATCGACTGGGCCCAGTGGATCGGTCAAATCAACAACCGTCCCAACGCCGTGACCCTGGGTTACGTCTCGACTCTCGGCACGGTGCAAGCCCAGCCACGCGACATCGCCGTCGTGAAGCAGGGGATCGAAACCTACGCCGCCTGGGATACGACCCTCGGTTGGGACGGCAACTCCTGGGACATACACGTGGACGGCATCTTCTTTGACGAAGTCAACACCGCACCGGCGCAGCTCCAGTACTACACCGACGTCACAAACTACGCCAAGTCCACGACGGGCGTGGTGGTCCTCAATCCGGGCGTCGCCGTTAACCCCGCCAGCGCCTCGCTCTACAACGTGGCTGATGCGATACTGTCCCTGGAGACGTGTTACACGGCCGATCCCGATGCACCGCAGGATCGGTGCCCGAGGAACACGTACACGCCGTTCACGCCCGCCTCGCTGAGCGCGCTGCCGACGGACGCGGCGCAGAGGGCCAAGTCTGCTGTCCTGGTGCACGACTTTTACGACGACTGGGAGCCGTATCAGCCTGCTCCTGTGGCAACTCTCCAGAGTGACATCAACGCCATTGTTGCGCGGGGTGTGCATAGCTTGTATATTACGCAATGGGGTTATAACGAGAGCTTCACGCGGGAACCGGCCAGTGTTGGGACTGTCTCGAATCTGCTGGCGCTAGCTCAAGGTCTTGCATCTGGTGTGCCTCTTTAAATTTGGTCTATCGTGATGCCAAGGACCGCGGTACTTATTTGCGCCAGTTGAGAGAAATGAACGGTTGGTTGGCATCAGACTTGAATCAAATGGGGCATGTCTCACCAGTCAACTCACTTTTGAAGCCATTGTAACTCATCCACTTGAGGTATTTGAAGAGACCCATGGATGCATGCCTGTTTCGTGGATTTTTAAGCATCGCTGTTTGGGCCTCACCAATGTCGACATCGTCGGCCGTTCATAATGTTTGACTGTTGAGAAAGAAAAGTCCTCTATTCTTTTGATTTGATTGCGCTATGATTCCTCTGCTTTCAATCTCTTCAGCACCAACTCATAGTCTTCGGCAGCCTTGCCTTTTCTGAGCATAAATGCCTGTGTTACAACAGTCGAGCTAGGTGCCATAAAATCCAGGTGGCATAATGACTGAAATCCGTACTTTTCATAGATCCCCTTGGCCAACGGCATAGACTCCAAGAACGCCAGTTTCCCTTCTTCGTCTGCTCTCTCAACGCCCCATCTCAGCAGGGGACTCGCTGCACCTTTCCCCTGATGCTCTGTCCTACAGATGAGGAGCTCAAGGTACCAGTGCCTGACCTCGCCCATGATCTCGGCGTGTTTCCGGCCAATGGAGCCGAAGAAGAGATCTGCAAACTCCGGGTTGCCCTCTTTTGGCCAGACATCCATGGGAGGTGGCGCCTCCACGTTTTCCTCGTTGGATCTTGCCGGGCGGACCCATTTTGCGCAGGCGACGGGCAAGTCCGGGTCCTCCTTATGGTCTGGGTCGGTGATGACGAGCCACTGGAATCGGGGGTCGCTCATCTCTTCCGCGAATGACTTGGCGAGAAACTCGCGGCACACTTGGGAACTTGCGGGGAAGCAAGTTGTGGCTACGGGATTGTCGTGGAAGGCGGAGAGGTAGACGGAGGTTAGGGCCGGGCCGTCTGCGGGCGTGGCGGCGCGTAGTTTGAGGGGCATTTTGAGGCAAGGGACGAGTAGTACTAGCTGCTCATATACTGTTTTATAGCCGAAAAGGCTTGCCAATGGGTGGGTTGGTATGCTCCTTTACTACCCTCGATGGCTTGCGTGTAAAGACGAAAGCATAAACTCTATGTCGTCTCCTCTTGGGCTCTACCCACACTTGATTTGTCTGAAGGGTGCGGCGCATTCAACTGCCTTTTTGGGTATCGCGTCGGTGGTTTGGATAGCCGTTTCGGTGGTCCACATTTTGGCTTTGACTAGATCAAAAGCGTGCGTCCTGATAGAGTTGTGCATAAACATAACAAATGTCATTCACATTGGCTATCCATTTTCCATAATGAACTGCTTGCTGAAAGAACTAGCGATCATGTGTGCGGGGTCCCAGCCCGAGTCTCAACTACCAGCCACACAACAAAAGTAAAAAGAATATTCGCACGACAGAGATGAGATTTGAACTCATGCGGCCGAAGCCATATGATTGCGAGTTTAATTCGAGTCATACCCATTAACCACTCTGGCACTCTGCCCTTGTTGGATGGATGGGGCGAGTAAGATGCTTGCTATGTCATATCCCTGTTGACGAGGGAAGCAGGCTCCGCTGACTCTTCTAAGCTCTCTAGTACTCAGGGACCCACTTTCCATGGGCGCCGGACACATTTGCCCGCCAAAGAATTTTTTATTTTTTAAAAAAGAAGCTAATTAGACTTGTATAATACAACTTATGTAAAAATTTTAATATAAAAAGCGTTTTCGTATATACGTATAAAAGGTTGACTATAGAGTTCAAGTGTTATCTAGGTACGTACTTGTTAAAGTACTTTAATTACGTAAACTCTAGGGCACGACAACCTGCGTCAGGTGTTGGTGCAGGTCGGCGAGTTCTAATTGCTTCATTTGTCAATCATGTCAGAGCTGCTGTGGCATAGAACTCTTTTACCTGTTGAGGTTGTACTATGAGCGGAATACACAGGGTTTCAAAGGGTACAAAAAGTACATGGGCGGGGCGGCGCAGCGACATCAACCCCTCTAAGACGGGTCCTGAGGGAGATAACGTCGCATTCGCATCGCTTAATCACTTCGCCTGGCCAGCAGTAAAGACTGGTCAAATACTCAAGGTATGTGAGTATGAAGATCAATGTCTATTATGTTTCTCTGAATATCCTGTATTTCATCGTTTGAAATGCAGCGCGAGAGGTCCTTCTTGTTAACGGACGGGCCCGTATCACCTCGACTGCTTTTCCCGTTCACTGTACAAACCTGGAATCCTTCGCGTAATTCGAACCGCCAATTATTATACTAGAATAATACTACCAGTCAACGCCTGGAATACCCCAAAAATTCAGAGCCCCGTCAGTCTCGGACCACGGATCTTCAGCCCATCCGTTTTCCTCGTAGATAAAATCCGGATCCTCTATGTCGAACCATATTCCCCAGAATTCATACATTCCCGCACGACCCCATAGTCTACCGCGCTTCGGCCATCCACGGTCAGCCCACTGCTCTCCAGTGACGAGTTTGATCCAACGCTGGTTCCTGGGCGGATCCATGTTATCAGTAACAGTTTCCCGGTCCTCGGGCATGGCCAGAATCGCATCGATACTCTGCTGGTCAAGCATCAAACAGAATCTAAAACGGGCATTAGGAACATCGCGTTTGTCGTTAGAGTTGACATGTTCCTTGACCCAGGCATCGAATCGTCTTCCAACCTCCTCCACATCTGCGCCAGCGAGTACCGAGTCCTCTATGATCTCGCTGTAATACCGATTCGAAAGATCCTGGTTAGGCAAAGGGTCTTTGGGCTCTCGTCCTCGGCTACGAGCGAGGTCATGGTAGGCCCAGTGTTTGGCGTAGTTGTTGAGCCGCTCAACGGCCTTCGTGAATGCCTCATCAGATTCGTAAGCGGTGCGAAAGATGGTGAATCCCCAGCAATAGGGTTAATTATGGCTTCCATCGTAGTGGGCCATTTGAAGTAAATATCGCCTTGAGCTCCGATTCGTTTCCGGATCGTTAACGAAACGAGGCTTTGGGTTGGCTATTGCCATGTCGATGGGCTGGAAGTTCGCCATCGCTCGCTTCCGGTTTGCGGGAATTACTGTATGAGGCGCCAAGACGGCGAGAGGGGAAAGTCTTTTGAAGCAAGAGAAACCAATGTTTTTTATTCTTTTCAGGTACCTGCATCCTTGCTGACCAAAACGCCCGGGTCGGGATTTAGAGTGGGGCCGGAGCCATGGTCTCCGTGTCGGCTCTCATGACCGGGGGTCGTGGAGGCATCCGAAGACAGGGCAACAGTATGAGTGCCTATCTGACAACAGGCTAAGCAATAGTGAGCTTAGGGTACCTAAATTTTATCCTCCTCAAAAAAATAATAATTAATCAAATCCAAAAAATTTCATCGTACCATCGACACAAGTTGAGTCGAAAGGCTTGCTCACACAATCTTTGCCTCCTGGCCGTCTTTCTAGCACCAACAAGCACACAAAGCCTTCAAAGAAAATTGCTTACTAACAGCAGAGTGCGTATCCAAAAGTTAGGCGCGTCCATGAGTTGAGGAACACCGCCAACCGCTGGAACTGCTGAGAAGGAGGACCTTGCCACTCGCTGCAAGAGGTATCCGAGTGTCCGCCAGTCTCTACCAGATGGCAGATCCTTAACAAACCAAGTTTCTCTACCTTCCTGCTGAGGTTAAGGTGGCTACAAATCGCGCATTTCAGCGAGAGACGTGACATGGCCGCGTTGGTGCGCACCAACCGTCGACTGCACAGCCTCATTAACCGGGAGCCCTAGCTCATCGCCAATGGAGGAGCATCTGTACCCTTTCACCATTGGCGCTGTCCCAAGCTGGGAATCTGGATACTTTAAAGGTCGCAGCGGCGTACGGTGCGGACCTTCACATGCGCTTTCCTTATCACTTATGCGACCAGGCGTTGGGCATTTGGGGATAAAGTCCACGATATCGACCGCGGGCCGGAGATGGCTGAAGACGATGAAAAGCACGACTAGGCTTGGGCTGCTCCGTTACATGTTGCATCCATGCAGGGCCGATACGAAATCGTCGAATGGCTCATCGAGTAGGGCGTTAACCTGGAGAATCCTGGGCGATATCTCTGCGGATGCGTCCCTATTATTCGTCGCCCAGTCCCCCCACTTGAGGAAGACGACTACCGGCCAGCTTTGAGTCGATTCCTGCGTGGACGCTGCTGCACTACGCGATATGTCATAAGCAGACGTCAGTCGCACGCCTTCTGCTTGCCGCCGGTGCTTGTTCCAGGGTTAGGGTTATCAACTCCGATCTCTGGGCCAAAAATTTGCATGATGGTCGCGGCGATGCTCATTGTGATGGCGGTATCTATGCGTGTTACTTGGCTATTCGGGCAAAAAGGAAAGTTTTATGTTTCAAACCTGTTTCTTCGTGGTCCTGGTCGATATAACACGTAGGCCAGGGTGAGGAGTTGACTTCCGTTTTCTAAACTTCGGATGACGTTGTAGCAGAAAGCAGACGTGATGATGTAGAAGAGTCAAGAAGCTTTCTCATTACGTACACCGTCAGCAAAGACGCAAGTAGGACGCTGGAGTTCAAATCTTGTGATATTATTGGTAGGAAAGGTGGAGTTGTAATTGTTGCCAAAGGAGTTCTCTAGGGGAAACTAGTTCTAGAATCACGGCAAGGAGTAGGTCGCTGTTCTTAACAATTTGCGGGTTCATAAACGGCAGACAGCCTACATGCACAATTACTGACCTTAGGGTTGAGGCATATCCATACCTCTCTTCAAGTCTAAAAGATGTTGTGCTCGATTGCAGGGAGCTTGGCGTGCGAAGGATGCTATCCGTGCCTCTGTCGAAACGGTTTGACGAGGACAATTTGGAGTTGAGATGGTTCTTCGTCTAGTCTTTGCCGTCGCATTCTTGGTCAATACTCTGCAACAGAATTACCTGAAATAAAGAAAGCAGACGACTGATAATACAGAAATCTTTCTGAAACTGCTTCAGTTCAGCATCGACCTCCCCATTTTGCCCTAAGACGAGGGTTGAGGTATATTCTTGAGATTAGACTCTGATCACCTCGACGTGCCATAAATACTTAGAAACGGTCTAAAGTTTCGCGTATGTGTATGGAGTATTTGCCTTTGTGCAAAAATCAAAGTAAATCATTTCAAACGGTTTTCTCTTCTCTCAAACTAACTTCTTCATGTACTTGTAGGTGCCGATTTGAGCTTCTGCTTCTCCCAAAACTTCCTATACCCCTCCACAGCACCCCGCCCATCTTCCTTCTCGACCCATTTCAACCACTCCTCATCGTGTTCTGGTAGGTCACGGCAGCCTGGCTTCGCACCAGCCTTGAGCAGGGTCTCGACAAGATCCCAGTTTCCTTTGACCACCGCTGTGTTGAGTGCGGTACCGTATTTCCCGCCGCGAGCGTCTGCTTCAGCGCCGTAATTAAGAAGTGATTCCGCCACAAATGTCTCGCTTACATGCGCCGCTGCGACAAGTGCGCTGCCGTACTCGCCGCCATGGGCGTTGATATTGGCCACACGACGCGGGGCACGAGGGGCGTCATCATGAGCGCCAGACACAGAGTCATCATGAACGTCAGACACAGAGTCATCATAACCGTCAGAGTCAGAATCGTCATGGCCGCCAGAGCCCGAGCCACCAGCAAAAAATTGATACTCAGCGTCAGCATTCTCGACATCACCAACCAGTAGGTATACGGCATACATGTTGCCTGTGTACGCTGCTGCCTGCAGGGCCGTGCCAAATTTACCTCCTGTCATGTTGACGTCGATATCGGGGCAGTTTTCAAAGAGGTAAGACAGAACCTTCCAGTTTGCGGACCTCCCATCACTGTATGACGCCACGCACGCCGATTGCAAGGGGAATCCATACAAACCGGCTCCTGCGTTGATGTCAGCGCCACGTTCAAGCAAGAAACGAACTCTGGCAATGGCCTTTTCTGGATTTCGACAGAGCTCAATGGCGGCTTGCAAAGCAGTTCCGTGTAGCCGACCCCTGCTGTCGTTCACATCAACACCGTGATTGAGCAGCATCTTCAGCGTGCCATTGACCTTGGTGGATTTCCCACTGATTTGTGCAGCCGCAGCGTGCCATGCGCTCCCGAATTTCCCGCCTTGAACGTGAACGTCGGCGCCACGTTGAATCAATAGGCGCACGAGTTTATAGTAGAAAACCCTCGCGTAAAAGGCTTTCGGTGCGCAGGCCGCTTGCAGTGCAGTTCCGTACTTGCCGCCCTCGATGTTCAGATCGCAGCCGTGGCCGAGAAGTAAGAAGACTACGTCTGTGTTACCTCTTGCGCAGGCGCCTTGAATTGCTGTGCCGTATTTCCCTCCCTGCGCATTGATCTTGGCGCCCTTGCTGAGTAGCAACCTTGCTATCGCTTCACCAGAATTATTTTTTGATGCGCATGCGGCTTGCAGCGCGCTTGCAAATTTTCCACCGCCAGCATTCACATCGGCACCCCTTTCCAGCAGATGCTGTACAATCTCCATCCTAGAATACTCCTCGTGCACCTCATTGGAATAACATGCCGCCTGCAAAGCATTGCCATACACACCTCCTTGGACATTAACTTCTGCACCTCCATCCAGCAACTCTTCCGCGGTGAACCAATGCTTGTTTGCACATGCTGCTTGCAATGCGGTTCCGTAGTGGCCGCCTGGCATGTTTATGACGGCGCCTCTACGAAGCAAATGATAAACTGTCCTAATATTGCTGGCACAGCTCGCAGCCTGCAACGCATTGCCGTACCTGCCCCCTTGAGCATTTACTTCAGCACCCATCTCGAGCAAAGCCATGACCACTTCACTTTGGAACTCGTAGTCGTTATCTTCGCAGACGCCGATCAAAGATGAGCATGCTGCCTGAAGCGGGTAGCCAAAATAGCCTCCCAACAGATTGACGTCAGCACCGCGTTGGAGTAAGAAGTCCACAAAGTATCGCGTTCGGTGATCCCACAATTTACTTGCTGCCATGCTTAAGGCGGTCCCATGAACAGCACACTGCTTGTTGATATCTGCGCCATGATCGATAAGAAGCTGCAGACTATTATTGCAGTCCGCCGATGTCGTCCAATTCGAACTTTGCTCTGATATCGTCTTCCAGTACATGCTGTCAAGCGACGACAAAGTTGACGTCAAAGCACATACCGACTTACACGTGTCAGCACCACGACTCAGGAGTAAATTCACGGTTTCTGAGTGATTTCGTGACGCAGCGAGCTGCAGAGCTGACTCCCCTTTGTCGTTCTGCGCATTGACATGAGCACCCTTGTCGAGGAGAAGTCGAACGATCCCTGAGCTCCCCGCCGACGCAGCTTTTAGCAGCGTCAGGTCCAGGTCTTCCTGTGTCAAATAGTCGTAGGTATCGGAGGCTGGAGAGAGCAGCAAATCGGTGAGATGCAGAAAGCCACGTGAGGCAGTATAGCAATACGGCCGCCGGAGAGATTGTTCTAGGCCGGGTTTGCCAGCGTCGAAATCATCACGGTTGATTGTGATGCACAAAATCTCTATGAGACTGGAACTGTGCACAGCGAGAGCGCGTGCAGCGAGGCGGACGATTTCAGAGGTCCATTTGTGCCGCGGCGTCATCTCAAGATGCCATCCGATGTTGCCAGTTGCGTAATCCCCAACAGGGAAGCTATCGTCTGTATAAGTCTCGTCGACCTTATAGAGATGATAAGCGAGGCAACAATGCGAAATATGCAAGTGAGCGTCGTTCTCGGTGAATGAGTAGCGAGCGGCTGGCCCTTTGCCAATACGACTGGAGATCATATACTCCTTGACGGTAAAATGAGCCAGTCGTACGTATGTTGTGAATCTCCTCGATTTGTCATCGACTGCGTCACTCGTGTCCTTGTCATGCACTTTCTGGACTGTGACAAGACTTGGTATATATCGCAGAACTTCTTCTGGCTCAAAAAGCCGCTCTTCTTTGTCGAACAGGACAGCGCGCTCAGGATGAAAGATGAATATCTCAGCCAGTTCTTCCAGTCGCAGGGTTCTATTCGCAAACGCGAGCCATTTGAGTGTGTTCAAGATCTGAGCTTCGAACTCGGGCTCCAGACTGAGAAGCAGCCTATCATAAGTTGCGTCGAGTCCTTTGGGAAGATTCTTCAGCGCTGAGCTGATAAGACTTTTGGAGCGAAGGTTCCGCAATCCTTCGAATTGGCACACGATGTATTGAAACCTGACACGATGATTAGTCTCGCTCGAGCGTCGTCTCTGAACCCCCCTTTTTTTGACCTACATTCCATCTGCCTTTTCAATCAGTAGCCTTTTCGCATCATCTTTGAGCTCGGCGGGCCACGAACGGTAATCATCTGACTCCAGTACTGAGTCGATGTACGTACTCATGTCGCCGTCTAACCCCGTGGTATCTTCCATGAGGTTGATCTCGTTTCCCGAAGTTGAAGACAGTAGCCTAGTGATCGCCGTGCTGATGTCTGGCTCCGGCCTACTCGTACAGAACAGGTGCAGACTATCGGGCATTGCAGCTACTATGCGAGTTAGGGAAGCCAACAATTTCCCTCGCTCTCCGTTCTGGATAGAACATTCATCGAGAGCGTCTATGACGATGAAAACGCCCGAAAATCCACGGGAAGACGCTATCAAAGCGTCCTCAAGTGTTTTTGTGTCTGGGCGCTCGCCTTTCGTCTTGTAGCCCTCGAAGTTTTTGATGGCCTGTGGCGTATCGGGTCGACTGGCACACAGCTGCTTGACAAAGGAAGAGAGCATGATGGCCACACTCTGCTGCTCCTGGCTTCCAAAGTTGAAGTAGAAGTATGCGAGTGCTGTTCCAGGGTCGGACTTGCAATTATCTTGCACGTGCTTAATGACAGACGAGCTCAGGATCGACTTTCCAGAACCAGCTGTTTAAAATTAGCAACAGATTTATTGGGTAACATTAAAGAGACAGAGCCCTTACGCTTTCCATTGAGCCATAACAAAGATTTCGGGGACTCCATCCACGTTTTAAAGTCCTTGCTGTCCTCGACCAACCACCTGCATGTGCCGATTTGGTGTTTATCGCGCGCTGCGTTGTATAACGCAGAAGTGTCAACTGCGCACAGCCACTGAAGCAGCTCTTTGCGCTTGTCCTCCCTCTGAGCCTCTCTGACTGCTGACAGGAGTCCGGAGACATCAGTCCCGATACTTTCCCAGCAAGACATGACCTGTCTGTGTCTCTGCTCGGCAGCGAAGCATTCCTCGTCGTATCTCACATCCCGGCAAATAGTGAGAACAGCAGAAAGCACTCTCTCTTGATCTTTGATCTTCTCCAGAAGCTCTTCCCACTCATTCCACTTCACAGAGTCCAGACCCAGGCGGTAGGCGGTGCTGTGGGCATAGTAGCAATAGCTGGTAATCTGGAACTTTAAGACATGACGATATAGCGTTTTCAGAGCGCTTCGGTACGTATGATTCGAAGTCTGAGACGAGCCGCCAGGCTCAGACTTGAAGCGCCGCTCATAAAGGTCCTCCCACAGGTAACTCTGAACAATCAGGGACGAGATGTATTCTATTCCCTGGGCCAAAGAGGCGGCCTGCTTAGAAGGATTCAAGAGCAGCTATATGAAATATTTAGCCTCTGAAACTCAGCAAAGGTGATGGCGAAATCAAAACTTACCGGCAGCAGCAGACTGACGCCGCCCCAAGCGAGTGATGCGGACGGATTTGAGCTCACGGCCTTTGTGATAAATTCGTTGGCCCAGCTTACAACTCCCAAGACAGGTTTCACCACGTCCTTTACGAGCACCTCGGAGCTTCGAAACTTTAGCTTCCACGAGTCTTGGTTGACCTGCTCCATCTTGCGTGCGAGGACCGCATCCATCCACTCTCTCTTGGCGACTCGAGAGCCCACAGCCTTACTCAGGCCAGCGCTAAGGTCGCCCTCGATTTTCTCTTCAAAATCCTGGATGAGCCGTTCATCTTCTTCTCTCAGCGCCTCATACGCCAGGTCCCAGAGCGCCCGTATATCATGTTCGTCGTTGTCTTTGCGGGTAAGCGCTGCCTCTTGAATTGCGCCTTCATTCACGTGGCCTTGCGGAGGTTGATCGGAAAGACACTGTGTCAGGGGAGTCGATGGACTAGGCGAGTCGGTCAGAGTATTGGTGCTATTTCTTTCGCTCGACGATCCAGCGGCTCGAAGATGGGGCTGCTGTATGTCTTGCTGGACATAGTCCTGACTTTGACATGAATCATGGTCCTTGGAGCTGCGCAATCCAAGTTTGCGTTTGAATCTCTCCCGAAAAGACATCTTGCCGGGTATAGCTCAGGGACAGGTTGGAAATGAGAAGCACCCGAAATCAGGCTGGACATCGGGAGATAGAGGAAGAAAAGCGCGCGTCGCCTGGTGTGGGGTTCCATCCATGGCCAAGCCCCGCGCTCACCCAATTACGCCGTACACCCAAAAGAACCAACACGAGCAGGCTGCGGCAGCTTTTATGGCCCATATTCGATTGCTGACATTACTTGTAGAGACCAATGGAAGATTTGGATGGCATAGCACTGTAGTTGTCTCTGCTGTTGTACCTTGAGAGGTCTGCAAGCCCCCTTCAGGCTGGCCATCACTTGCAATGATCGCAGCCATACTTCGTTCAACTTCCGAATTCAACGTCAAAGAAGAGTGTGGTGATGCAAGACGGAAGTCGGCAGGGCCCGGGCTCGAGGCCCGAATACCCGCTGCCTCCCTTTGATTCATGTCTTCTCACAACTCTCGTCTGTTGAAGCTCAATTGCACGATCGACTGGCGCCGTATAATACGTGTATGGGAACAACAGAACTGCATTTTCGTCGAGCCGACTAAGGAATCCCCCCTGCCCCTAGCTGCCTTGCTAGCACACCTGCAAAGAGGCAATCTTCCTCTTCTCTAATGAAGGGCTTTTTCTTCCTGCGTAACATCCATTAATGTCATGTCCGCCGTAACTGCGGTTAAAGTAACTGCGTCTCTAAGCGCGGCCTCGCAGCCGCAGAAGCTGGAGAGAAAGCCCATCAAGTTCTCCAACCTGCTCCTGGGCGCCGGCCTCACCTTGTTTGAGGTCACCACCCTCAGCCAGCCCTCAGACATCATCGAGACCACCATGGCCGCCAACTGAGGCGATGGGTTCGCGACTGCCCTGGGCCGCATTTGGAACCGCGGTGGCGTCCTGGGCTGTGCGTGCTATTCCCCACAACATCAACCCCCGCCCTGCTTTCCCAGCCTCACTAATCTAAAGCGAAATGTCTAGTCTACCAAGGCTTGATCCCGTGGGCCTGGATCGAGGCTTCGACCAAGGGCGCAGTGCTGCTCTTCGTCGCCTCCGAGGCCGAGTACTACGCGCGGAGTGCGGTGCTAGTGAGCTCGGTAGAAGCATTATCGGCGGCGCGATGGGCGGTGTCGCACAGGCGTACACGACCATGGGTATCTGCACATGTATGAAGACGGTCAAGATTACCTAGCACAAGATGGCCGCGTCAGGGCAGTCGGTCTCCATCTAGGTGACGTTTGTGGATATCTACGGACGTGAGGGCCTGCGCGAGATCAACAAGGGCGTTCATGCCGTTGCCATCCGCCAAATGACGAACTGGGGCACGCGCTTCGGCCTGAGCCGCCTTGCAGAGCAGGGCATCCGCAAAGTCACGCACGAGGAAGACGGCGACGGCGACAAGTTGAGCGCGGTAGAGAAAACCACAGCGTCGGCTTTGGGTGGTGCTCTCTCAGGCTGGAATCTGCCAATCGAGGTCATCCACGTCGAGATGCAGAGCAAAAAGGAATACCCTGACCGTCCTAGGAAGATGACGGTGGGCAATGCGTTTAGGTATATCTACCAGACGAACGGCCTCAGGGGCCTTTACCGCGGGGTTACGCCCCGCATCGGCCTCAGTATGTGGCAGACAGTGTGTATGGTGGCTATGGGCGACATGTAAGCATTGCTTCTGGGTGAGCACAGTCTAGAGGAGACTGACTTACTGACATGATGCATGTTGAAAAATTAACCGGCGAGACAGTCACATCAAAACATTGGCTAAGTAATCGGGCCAGGTTGGGTGGACAAGGGAAAGATTGGTTTTACTGCGTTGTTTCCGGTCCAACTTGCGTCCTCTTTGTCTTTTGTTTTCAGTTATGGTCGCCTGACGAGTCACTCTGGCTTTCCTTTTCTGAGTAGACCAGAATGGTTAATAACGACCAACTTCCTCTCTGGTGTTTATAAGTATTTTAAGAAGGGCTGATATGAGTACATAGAGCGTCGTCCCTCGCGCTTTATCTTCGTGCTGGATGATCACCTGCTGGGTATCAGGTCCACCTCTTGTTGGGTTCTGCTAGTCATGAGTATCTGTTTCTTCCTCTTTGCAACACACTTCGACTCCTTGAATGTGACCCACACAATTTTCACACAAATCCCACATTACTATGTACAACTCACCGTGCTCAACAGGGGAAGAAAAACTACTCTTTAAAGCCGAAAATGAATCCTTTTAAGTTGCTTTCTAGAACGTGCCGCTATATGCACTATCGTACGTCATCCCGACCTTACATCTTATCTTTAAACAGTACAGGCCGCCAGAGCCATTACCAGATGCTTGAAAGAGGCCTATGAGAGCAGTTTTTGACTTCTCAAACATTGAGAACGTGAGCAGAAGAGGAGGCAACATATGCTAGCTTTTCTGGTAGTTGCCCTTTCCACGTACAAAAATAGCTATGGATTAAAGCAAGCTGAGCTAACGCCCCCTAAAGCTCATCGGCCAGATCAGTCAACTGCGAGTAAGCTAGCTGTGTTTGGTAGGCGACGCATAATGACAGAATGTAAGCGAAGCGAATATATACTGCTTGAGAAGTGTCCCCAATGGTCACTCCACTCGATCAGTGCCCGCATGCCATCTCCAGTCAACAATTAAGACAAGGTTGGTATTCACAGTATACATAAAAAATACAGAGAGATAGTTTTGTTGATCAGTCTGCCTTTTGTGCTGTTACTGCACTGTAGCAGCTCGTCTCAAAATGTTTCCTCAGGTCAGCCATCAGATGGGATGGGATGCTGCTGTCATAGTCAAGTCCTGGCAGCTAGGCAGCAGGGCATCATTCAACTGTCCGTAGCACCTGCAGCAGAAGATGGAGGCAGTATCGCAGTGCTGGATCCTATAATTCGCTGAGAAGAGCCTCCACTAGGAACTAGGATTAGCTTCTGCATCATGCGCCATTTACAGCCAGCTTTGCCGATCAAGTCTTCTGACTATTTCAATTAGTGACAGGAAATAGCTGTCATCGGATTTTCTGTAGATACTTTCTTTCAGGCACCCAAACCGGCTGTCGGTGTGAACCCCACGGATAGGGGACGTGCTATTTACTGTAACGCCCGCAAGTCTCTTGTTCCTAGGAATGCCCGCATAACAGCATCAAACCAATCGAAGGACGCTCGCTCGCACCTGTCAAAACAGTTCTAGGCGCAACATCATCCTCAGTATTGACCCTATTCAAAGTTCCGGTGCCTGGTCGAAAGCGAGAGGGCTCTGACCACGAAATGTCTGAGAGCACCTTACAAGACCTGTCAACGGACAACACCAGCCCCCTAGAGCCGCATAGCTGGGCGCCGGGTGGGAATTAAAGGTACGCAGAACCGTACTTGATGGAAGTCACCAACAGAGCCGAAGCAGGGGATTTCTGCGCCTGCCTCAAGAGGTTCGGGATCGTGGATCACTAGCTGCGGAAAGTTTCCAACACTCTATGTAAATCCAAGCTTGGAGTTGATGGACAAATCGGCTCCAACATCGGCACGTATAACCATGATCAAAGGTCTTCTCCATGTCAGCAGTACATCTACATGAGGGTACAATGACCCGTGATCCAAAGCCCAAATCTGACGCTAGCTTATAATGCTTGTAACCCGCTTGAGGCGGTTACTTCCAAGGATCATAGGTTCATAGTAGGATACTTGTTTGCCTCAATTGCATCAAAGTGTACATCTTACAAACAGCATCAGTCTTGGCCGCGCCCGGTAGCTACCTGGTAATCGCATACCTACGCGATATACTGCGTTCTTCGAATGACTGGCCAGAATTGAATATGAGATGCGAATCGCAGAGTATCCCCGCACATCTGATGGTCGGTTACAGGGCTCTGAAAATGGTGCCATTGCCACCTGCAGCATCTGCTCTTGGCGACTCTACCCAACGTATCGGCTATCGAGCATTGCTAACTTGCCTGAGAGTAGAGGCATAGGCCACACCGATTCAGAATGAAAAAAGTTTAGTAATGGTTACACGTGGGCAAGTGCAGCGACAGGCTAGTTTGGTGACGTTGACCAATAGTGCCAAGAACTTGCGACATCTTTACGACCTGCCTATTCCATCCTATCTCATATTGGCAGTTGGAAAAACTAGTTTCGTCAACTGTCCGTCTGACAAGATCCATCGACGGGGAAGGGCTCAAGTCTGGTACCTGCGGGCCAAACTGCTAAGCGATGGCCTTATTGAGACAACATATTCGCCATGGCTTGGCCTCTGCAGATCGTGCATGCCAACAATGGCCGAAGAGGCAAATGTAAGTGGTATTGCAACCACACAGCGGTGAGAATGCATCTGCTGGGACTTTTGCGCGCAGAGGTATTATCGCGTTGCTTGGCTTGCAGGGTAGTCGGAAATCGTGGTCGGTATAAAATGCAAAAGATGCGGCGCCTGGTGATTTTCCAAAGGATTTCTCTCGCATCAGATCAGATCTGACATTCTTGTCTTTTTGGCGTTTTCTTTCTCTCTAGTCGTATTGGCAGTAAAGAAGCCGCCAAGATGAAGACTTACACCTTCATTGCCGCCATTGGTGCTCTCTCTAGAGTATCCGTCGCCAGAGAGCTGGAGCCTAGTGCCGAGTTATCGGCATGGTATGACACTGGTGCGGCGCATCAAGAGAGCATGGGGCACAAGATCGTAGGTGAGACCCTCACAACTCAGCCGTGGGCCACGAAGCTGACAGAGACAGGCTCAATGGGAACAATCCGAGGCCGAAGGAAAGTTCGACTCGACTCAGTGGACGGGCCGTGTCAAGGACTATCTCGCGTGCAAGAATGGCAAGGTAGAGCTCGTCAAGGGCGACCCTCTTCAGACGTTTAGATGCAAAGATGTGAGTTGATGCCTGGGATGTACATCGGGTGAACGTTGTAGACGGCATTAACTGAGAACTCATTTGCTTACTTGCAACAGCTCGACCTTTATGACTTCCAACCTCACGCAGCCTTTGGCAACTCCACTGGTAGAGGTTCCGGATCGTGGGGATGGACGTCACCCAACGGCCGAGAGTTTTTCGCGATTGGACAGCTCGACGGTACCGCCTTTGCGGAGATCTCCAAGAAGGGTAAGCTGGTCTACCTCGGAACGCTGCCGTACTTCTCGGAGCCAAGCAGATGGCGCGAGATCAAGACGTACAAGAACTATCTTGTCGTTGGTAGTGAGGCCCCTGGTCATGGGATCCAGTTTTTTGACTTGCGCAAGGTATAACACTACCCATGATATCTTGTTGACTCAAAGAAATTGGACGAGTTCAAGACTAACGCCACCAAAGCTCCTCGACATTGACCCCAAGAACCCTGTTGTCTTCTCCAACGAGAAAGACTTGACGGCTCACTGGATTGAAGCTCTGCCTCTCGGTCGCAGCCATAATGTGGTTGTCAATGAGGAAAAGGGGTACGCTGTTGCCGTCGGTGCTCAGCCCCGTCGCAATCTGCCGTGTGACTCGGGGCTGCAGTTCCTCGATCTTGCCGACATCAACAACCCGCTGTACCTGGGATGCGCTGCTGGCGACGGCTATGTTCACGACGCGCAGTGCATCGTGTACCGCGGACCTGACGTCAAGTACTGGGGTCGCGACATCTGCTACGGCTACAACGAGGATACCTTGACTATGTGAGTCTTTGGATGCCATCTTCGGTAGATTTGCTTCTCTGACTGGTCTTACAGCTACGATGTGACCCACAAGAACAGCACCAGCATCATTTCTCGTACTACCTACGAGGGAGCCACCTATACGCATCAAGGCTGGGTCATTGATCCCAACTGGCAGGACTTTTTGGTGCTGGACGATGAGATTGACGAGCGCAATAAGACAGGCCCGGCCGCTGACGGCTTTCCCGTGACCTACTTCTGGGATATCAGATCCCTCGAGAAGCCCAAAAACTCTGGCATCTTCAAGGGCACCGTCCGCAGTGTCGACCATAACCAATTCATCCACCGCGGTCTATCGTACCAGAGCAATTACGGTGCGGGACTACGCATCTTGGACATCTCGTCCATTCGGTGGGATCCCACAGCCAAGAACGTCAAGGAGATTGCCTACTTTGACATCTTCCCGGAAGACGACAATGAGCCTGGCGGTGGAGCAAACAACTACACTGGTACCTGGAGCCACTACCCTTACTTCAAGAGCGGTTACATTGTTATCAACACCATTGAGCGCGGCGTTTGGGTTGTGAAACGATCCAACCCGTGGTGGTGGCCTTGGTAAGAGGTTGGATGTTCATCCAAACACACCTTAATCCCTAAAACTTGAGGATATCGCTGAAGCAGCATACTTTAATCTTCTTGTACATATTGTAAAACACTGCCTGATTGATAACAAAGCAGGGACGACGGTCCCACGTACCAAGGCTTTCTTGGAATTTACATATTCAATATCTTTAGTTAAGGCAGGGAGACGAAGGTCTTCACCTCCGAGAGTTTTCCGTGTGTAAATGTCTGCAATGAAGTAGTTTAGATGAGGCAGTATGTGAGCGACTTGATGCTCTCCCTGCCTTCTTCGTTGTACACATGAAGGAGCTGATCTCTGTGAAGCAGTGCTCATATGTCAACGTGAACCTGCGTGCTAAAGATAGCACACACAACTCTCCAGTTTTGGCTTTAAGGTTTCTTAAATACGATGCACTGAAAACTCTGTCTTGTTGATGGGGCGAGGAGATCCGGAGGTTATCCGTTCAGTGATTGAATGGCTGGCGCTCAATCGGGTCAGGAACTCCACCGAGCATTACGTCGCCTCACGGGCTCACACAGACCACGCATGCGGGCCAAGACTGCCATGGCGGAATATCCGGGAATGATGTGCCGTTTGTTCACTTGGCGCGACACGGCGCTGCCCAGAGTTGCGACATCATCGCTCGCCCAAGCTTTTTGAGGGGCCTACCTAAATTGAACGGCCTGAAAGTATACACGAAGGACGCGTGGACACAGGATTGAAATGAATAACCTGCATTACCGAGTCCCGGGTTATGCTTCTTTCATCTCACATCCATCCACATTGCCTTTTTCGCCTGTCTATCACTACCTAGCTCCAAGAACTGCTCCCAGTGTTCAAACGTTGGGCACGAATGTCTCATTCTCAGGCTCGAAGAGACTATGGCGCCCAGCGAACCCAGGACCTTGACGATCTAAACCGGCATGAAAACAGCCAAAGTACCCAAAGCAATGGCTGGCATCATGGGCTATGTGGTTGCTGCGCTTCGTGCGAGCTTTGCCTGTTGAGCACCTTTGTGCCATGTATTGGTATGCAGTCCTCAGATAGTAGAGCCTGGTAAGTCTTTTGCTGACGTGTCTCTGTAGTGCTCGGCCAAACGTCGCATCGGTTAAAAGAACCTTCCATGGAAAGCTATAGGCATATCAACCGCGACTGTATATTCATGATGGGAGTCACCTACTTGACCGGCTTTGGTTGGATGTACGTCGCCCCAGTCACGATTTGCTAGCCGAGTGCTTTACTCAAGTCGATTGACAATGCCTCGTAGGTATGTCATGCGGAAGCGGTTTGAGATCCGCAAGCGCTATGGTATCAAGGGCACCGACGCGAGAGACTGCTGCGCATCCTACTGGTGTCTGTCGTCTGCTTTGGTTCAGCATGAGAGAGAGGTGCTTGCTCGGCAGGCTGCGAGCAACACTCCCATCACTGAAGGTTATCAGACCCAACCTGGAATGACATTACCTTCTAGACAGAGCCAACCCACTACATAAGGTTTGTAGGGAATTGCGTTTCTCCGAGGCCAAATGTCAAGTCGTGATTCCGAGGCACTCGGACGGGCATCGTGACGCGGCGAACATGAACAACAGGAAGTAATCCCGTCGGGAACGTCGGGAACGGCTAACAAGTCGGCCGAGGTAGGTTTCTGCCATAATTCAACCGGTAACTATATTGTCTTGTATTTTGTCTCGTGAATCCTCCTCGAGTCTGCATCATGATAATGGCGCGTCCCATGGGCCGGCCCTGTGAATCATCCAGGCCCCATACGTTCTCCGGATCAAGTACTTGATCAGCATGGAGGTGATGAGAGTGACGCACGGTTGGGTTGAATGGCAATAGGGCTGGCCACTATAAAATGAGGTTAAGCCAATTCTTCTATCTCGTCAGTCAGAAATTCGTGTAAGACGAGGGTGTTGAATAATATCACAGGACTTACGTTACCCTATCAGGCTCGACTAACAGCAGCCGATCGGTTGTTTTTCCAACACATAAATTAGTTGACGTCGTTCTCGGTAGTGCCGGAATGATGTCGGTGAGACCTTGAGTCAATGACCTTGTACAGCCCCATAACGGTATCAAGGTGTGGGTGGTCAAGGCACTCTAAATAAAGTTTATTCTGCCCCTTCATATGAAAACCACGCTGAAAGTGCCGATCACTGTTCAACTACACGCTGAATAAGGGAATGGAACGCATTTTTCATGATGGCCTCGAGTCAATCTCCTCAAAGTCCAATTTTAAGGTAGATACTATAAGACACTCCAATAATGCGATTCATCTTCTCGATTGCACAATGCGACTGAGTACATAGGTCAGAGAGTGCCCGGCTGTAAATGCCTACAGTGGTTCAAGACACCAAGCTCGACCTGAAGCTACACACTCTTTTGTCCTTCTTTTAAAACTTCGAGTCGCTGTCGTTTACCATGGCGACACGGCTGCTTCTCCTCGTCGGGCTCCTACGCACTGCAGTGCTTGCCTCCTCGCCAGATGTCGCCCTCGCCGCCCGCGCATTTGACTGCTCTCCAGGATCGGCAACAGGACTTAAGCCGGAATGCTGGGCCCAGCTGAACGTGTCAGACTACATCACGAAATGGCTGGCCGAGAACGGCACAAAGGCTGATTGCGCTTCGTTGGGATTCGCCCAGTGTTACCTCGCGTTCAACGGCTACGGCGGCCGAACTTGCGACACCCTCACTCGGGATACGTGCGCCGCTTTCGAAACTGCTGGCGTCGATGGCGCTTACTCTTCGCCGCAACAATTCTACACTCTTTGGAACATTTACGCCATCTCTCAGTTTTTCAACCAATTCTCCGAGGCTCTTTGGAACGGTCACTCCCTCGCTGCAGACACAATCGGGGACATCGTTGCCACCGTCTCCCCCTCTACCGATCCTCAAGTTCCGAGCAGCTTGTTGTGGACTGCGATTTCAGGCGGATTTTGGATGGCCGCAGTTGGCGCATTTGCCAACCCCCTCCTGGCCGGAATTGCCACGGGGATGGCTGTCGTAACAGGAATGAGCTCCTCTTTCATGACTTCTGTAGCAGGCTCTTCCAACTCGCGCTTTATCACGCTGGGCCAAATCGGCAGCAGTCTCGCTCAGCTCATCATTGACTACCAAGGTAGTCTTGAGAACGCCTTGAAGGAACTCCAAGGCAACAGCACCCTATTCCTGGCTGCAACCGAGCCTGGTGCCTTCAGTCAGCGTGCCGTCACCAGCTTGAACCTACAGTCTACCGAGCTGTACCACGATCTGCAACTCTACATCCTCTCACTCTCCCTCAAGGCAAATGGCATCGTGTCCACCCGCTCGACTGGCGTCAACGCGCTCGACTACGCACCCGACACTAACGGCGCGGTCTCGTGCCCCGGTCTCGGTCCTGCGGGTAATTGCTACCAGTTCTGGATCGACCCGGACACGGGCGACTCGTACGCGCTTCACAACCCGAATGACTGGAAGAATGACTATGTCGATGCGTTGAACAAAATCCATGACAAGGGCTGGGCGAACCTGAGCGAGATCTTCAAGGTGGAGGATTGTCAGGGCAAAGACCCGAGCTTCGATGGAAAGACCAAGGTGACTTGTCTGGCTTCGCACGGCTTCTGCGAGTGGGACTACGTCAACCAAGACACCGTCACCAAGTCCAGAACGGCTGACAAGCAATTCACCAACTGCGACAATGATCATACGTGGGGTTACACTTGTGACTGGATGAATGGTGGTCTCGTGCTGCCCGAGGCCTATCTCGGACCTATCTTTAAGTTCCAGGAGCCTGCGTGGTGTAGAGAGCACTAGATGGAACATGGGCTTCATGATTTGGCACCATTCATGGAATATCCGCGTCGCTCGATTCATTGTTGGCTGGTACACAATCGCAGCGACTGCAACTCATAGAGTCAATTCTCAATCTATCCTTAACTATTAGTATCATTCGCAGTTAATTCCAAATTGCAAAAGAGCCCAATTGTCTGCACCTTATTTGCCCATGGGTGAAGAACTACATTGGAATAAACTCCAAACTTCATTGCCCGCTGTACTAAAGTTCGTAGGTGATTTCCGAATCCGGTGCAGCACCGAAGGGATGGGACGATCACCAACAGTTGGTGGAGAATCGTGGGGAACTGTGCATGGACAGGGTCAGCGGAATTGCCGACATCCAGGTTAAAGAATTCGCTTTCGGTTCAGGGTTCCTCGCAGTTTGACATAAGCCTGTGTCAGTATCGCGCAGATACAAAAGCAAGCACCATCTCTGTTACGTGAAACTACATTAAGCTACAAACTCTGGAACGTCCCGCAACCTTGCTAGAGGCAGTGCATGCTGTCGTAGCAACTAGATATGGTACAGGAATGAAGTTCAGCCTGAAGGGCATTGCTTGATTTCCCTCGAGTAAACTCGAAGTTATTTACTCATCAGAAAGAAAATTTCACTCATACCCCATTATGTTATCAATTACACAGAGGCTTTTGGAAACACTGCCTGAGAATCCTGATAGGTTGCTCACTGACCGATCGAGCTGTTTTGTCATGCTGCGACGTAACTCACAGAGTTGAAACTGTCTATAGTCTCGGAGCCCAGCTTGATCACGAAGTTCTGTGTCAGAATTTGGTCATGCAAGTAGTTGACTAGGGGTTCGAGATTATTTGATATTGGCTGGATAAGTAGCGACTATTGGTTGGGAATGGCTGGGCCAACCTTTGAAGATTCATTATACAGAATCAACAAACAGTTCAAAAAGTTTTCCATCACGGTTGTGCTGGAAATCCTGCAAATTGATTGTACATATCTGAACATCTGAGGGGGCCCGAATTGAGATCACCTCGATGAGGTCGAGTAGTTAGGTAATACATGATACCAAATGCCAGGCAATACCACCAAAGACCTATTCATTGAACACCCAATTACGCTGCTTTTATATTGATTTCTACTTAAATTTCAGCGCTTAGTACTTTCCAAAAAATTCAAATATCTACCTCCAGCTCTGTATCGTAGCTTGAGAATGACTAATAGAAACTTGTATCCTGTCAAATCGTTGTTTATAGGCTATAGCTACGCGTATCGAAAGCTACCACCTTTCCAGCCTCTGTGATCGTCCCATTAACAGGGTTGGCAAGAGCTCCACCAGTAACAGCATATAAGATCTCCCTGTCCTTGACGTTTCGACCGAAAGCAGCGGCGGTTCCCCCAGCGATAGTCAGCTCGGTCTCCGAGCCAGCGACGATTGTGCTGTTGCCTTCGGGGTTTATGTAGACGAGCTTGTCGTCTATGTTGGTCACGGCCCAGATATCGCCATTTTTGTCAAAGGTGAAGTCGTCGAGGAACGCCACGTCGATGCTGGCAATCTGCTCTATGGTTGCTCCTGACGAGACACGCCCCGAGCGATCGAGTTTGACTCGGAATACCTTTCTAAGGGAGCTGTTGGTCCAGTATAAGAAATCTCCGCGAATATGAACACCGTTGATTCCGATTGGTGGAACCGTAGCGGATGTAGGTTCAAGATTCTGACCCCCTAGAATAACATCGTGCTTCTTGGCTCTGATATTGACTCTGTAAACCTTTCCATGCGCAGACTCGGCAATGAGGACAATATTGCGATCCCAGGGCAGAGCGACGGCGCCATTCAAGAACGACGCTTCTGGAACGTCGACAATCTTGGTCGCAGTGGTCTTCTTGTGAATTAAGCTGACCTCCCACGTCGAGAAGGTACCGGGAACGCTGACACCGATCCCAGAGAAGTTGCCGCCCACAACCAGGAACGTATCAGGGGAGGTCTCGGTGATGCCGAGAAGCCCGTCAAACGATGAGAACCGGTGCACGAGCTCTGCTGACGGAGACTTTTCCCACGGCTTGGCGACTTGGTAGATTTCGGGGGAGGTGAGGAGAGTCAGGAGAAGGTTGCCATTCTTGCGGACGGCGATGTTTTCGATCCAGTTGGGCTTTTCTGGGAACTGGTAGACGACGCGAGAGGGTAGACTCTGGCCTACAGCGAGAGCGATGTAGAGAAGGGATGATACAATGAAAGCCCGCATCTTTGCTATAGTTCTGGCAGTTTGTTTATTGAGGCGAACTACTATGAAGTCTGTGGAGTGAACGATATTTGAGTACGATATTTATACCAGTTGAAGATGGCTGTTCAAACGGGCAGCTCTTGATCTTTCTCATGCTCCTTCTCCTTCATGCAATTGCTTACGAATTTTCCGCATGCTATGCAGTATTCACACGAGCTGCAGAGTCGTCTTACTGAGACCCTGCAGGAAAACCTGCGGAACACCGCTTAGTGTGGCGTTCAGGTCCGCCAAGGCTTATTGAAAGAGCGTTCCAGTAGAGGAACCAAACGTGCAGTAGAGCGGACGAGTGATGAGTGATAACTTTTGTTCAGCACGCCAATTCCATGACGAGAAGCCTGGCACAGATGTTGAGGAAGCTGACGTAGGAATGGGAATTCAGCTAGGTTAGAACCAGCACCAATCCCTTCGCACGACAATAGGGCCAATGTTACCAGTCGGCTGCACTTTAGGTCAAATTTGATATGTAATTGAGAGATTGAAAGTTATATTACAAGTTCTTTGTTTCTATAACAAGCTTGACGAGTCCCTGGGGTTCGTTACAGCACGCGCGGTTCTCCTCAAAGGTCACTTACCTCATTGGCTCTCCCAGTGAGCGAGAATACCTTTCCAGGCATTGGTTCCCCGCTAGATCTAGTGTGCAATGAGATTTAGCTCTGCTAATTACAGGTGGCCAACTGTGCTCTTTTAATACGCGCGTACATAGAGCCAAGGGAGATTATCCGGCGTCGATCGGCATTGTCTTGAACAATCTTATTCTCGGAGCAAGAACTTGGTCGACATTCGAGCCGGTGACCCGAACGGGCACCACGCGGTTGCTGACCAGCGCACGAAACATGGCTGAAGTCTCGTCATTCTGCATGTAAGTTAGGGCTGTGCCGGTCTTGAAAACGAAAGTTTCGTTAAAACACTAGGAGACAAATTATGGCCCAAGAAATATATGGAAGCAGCCGCAATAAACATATAATTACAGGTCTGTGTAATACCTCACACAAGAATTGGTGCGACATCGGATCCAGACGCGGCTTGCATCGGGAAAGGGTTAGTAGTATTAGTTGGGACGACGCCCTTCGTTTGTCACTAGCGCGATGGGGCCATTTGGTGATGGAAGCCTTGGACCGCTCGAAGAGTCATCCTCAAGTCGAAGTTGAACATCTCCGTCCCATAGGGTCTCTACATTTACTATCCGGAACGACCATCCGTCATCCTGAAACCAGGATTACCGCCCAAGACTTAAGACCGCCCAACATGAGTAACGAACTCGCCCGGGAACTGAAGCAGCTGCACGTCCCCGCGTCGCCCATCATCTTCACCAACGTCTGGGACCTGGCTTCCCTCAACGCAATCCTGTCCCTAAACACCACCGACGCGAAGCCCGTAAAAGCCATCGCAACCGCATCGTGGGCAATCGCCGCAACCTTGGGCGTGAAAGATGAGGACCTCACGCTAGAGCAAAACATGGCCGCAATAGGTCAACTCGCGCCCGCCGCCAAAGCCGCAGGCTTACCGCTCTCCGTCGATCTCCAAGACGGCTATGGAGACCAAATCGACGAGATTGTGGCGGCGGCCGTCACGCTCGGTGCAAGCGGCGCCAACATCGAAGATAGCATCCCGTCGGCCGGGTTCGAGAAGGGCATCGACGGGTCCCTCTACGGCGTAGAAACGCAAGTCGCTCGTCTGAAGAGAGCGTTGGCGGCGGCCCGGGACGCGGGGTGTGCCGACTTTGTCCTCAATGCCCGGTGCGATGTATTCCGCCTCGAGCCGTACTGCGCGAGCGACGATGAGGGCGCGCTGGCGGAGGCCGTGAAGCGGGGCCGGGCGTATTTGGAGGCCGGGGCCACGACTGTGTTTTTCTGGGGCGGTTCGGGACGGGGGCTAAGGGCTTCGGAGGTCCAGGTGCTTGTAGATAAGCTCGGTGGGCGGATTGCTGTTAAGCTCGGGGATCGGCCAGATTCGTTATCGACCGGGGAGCTGGGCGAGATCGGGGTGGCCAGGATCAGTGTTGGGCCGAGCTTGTACCTGGTGGCGATGAACGCAATAAAGGATTCAGCGAGGAGGATTCTGGATGGGGGTAAACTGGCGGCTTGAAGGGTGTGGAAGAGAACAATCAGAGTATCACCGGATGTAAGCAGTGCAGAGAATACCCGACGGCTTGAAACTGGATGCTTCATTACTACCCAAGCCTGCCGCGTAGCGCACCATTTGTTACAATCAAAAGTTTTGAAACCCGCTCAAGTCTTTGTGTGTCTTTATATGATCAAATCCCATCTAGCTGATGGCGGCAGGGGCCTGCTGGCCAGGCAGAGGAACATCTTGCGGGTGAGGAGTGAACATGTTCTCGGGGTCGTACACGGCCTTGATCTCCTGCAGCTTGGCGTAATTCTCATCGCATTTGGTCTCCTGGAAATGGGTCATGTTGATGATGAGACCGGCTGACTCGAGGCAGGATTCCAGGCCCTGGGCCTATGTAGCACGGAGCGAGGGATGCCGTCGCAAAAGCGACTAGACCGAAAAGATGGACTACGGTCAATGGATGTGGGAGAAAGGGAGAGACTGAAGCTGGACGTGCAGAGCTTGAAGGCTTCACGAGAGCATCAGGCACTAAAGGCAAAGCACTCGGGGCTTTGCTTCATATCCCATCTTTGCTAAGGCTCCCCCTAATTTCCAGCGTTTTAATCTGGCTGGTCTGATGGCGGAGCATGGCTTAGAAATTTGCTCCTGCCATGAAGGGGAGTACCAAGGCAACTTAATGAGATGATCTTGGCCTCCTCGAAGCACAATCAACACGAATGTAGCCGAACTTCGAGTAATGGACTTTCCAAGAAGACTGGGAAGCATGCAGGAAATTCGGAAACGTTTTCGAGGGCGTCATCGATTCGCTCTCACGAGGTGCGTGCGAATGAGGGACTCCACTCCCCTTAGCCTAGGCAATATATACTTTTGATTGCCTTGACCAATCATACAACATGGTTGTATAGTGTAGCGGTTATCACTCCAGATTTTGATTGCTTCAATATTTCTGGTAACCCCGGTTCGAACCCGGGTACGACCTAAATTTTTGCCTATTTTGCCTCATCTATCCTTGTTTTCAAGCTGTAAGACTTTGTTTCTTTCCTTGGTGCGCATCAAATGTCTGAAATGGAGCGCATTGGGTTGTTTGTGTGCCTTTTAATTAATAAACAGTTTGTCTGATTGATCAACCATCTCAGCAATGGAGCTACCCGAGACGAACCTACTTTCCATCGATTTGTACCTCTATTTTATAGTCGCACGTATAGCTTGACGATAACCTTTCGTACAGAAGTACTTCACAAGGTCAATTTCTCCTGTCCGCCCATTCCCTTGACAATTTGAGACAGCCGCACATATATTAGGTTGCACCTACACTGCCCATCTTGCTACTGTCTAGCGTCGATTGTCACCTTATCGTGCGCAAGACAACTCAAGACTGAGCGTGTGCGATCGGAGCAGGCATGTCGAGATTCTTTCGGTCTCTGCGACACGACTTGCCGGAGCATCCCTGTATCCACCCCTCGCGCACAAGCCGTCCATGGTCCAACAACAACTCCTCTCCACGGGATGGCACATCGTTCCCGGCTGGCATTCATGCATCACACTCCTTGCCTCGATAAGCTCGTCTGTAGTGGGCGGCCGTCCACCCCAAATGCACTGACGTCGTTACCGACGGCTCGGAGCCGAGTGTGACAGCTTGTTGAGCCCGGCAAGGCAGATTTGTCAAAGGTCCGTATAGTTGCAGCCATTGAATGCAGAGACTGCGTTTGGAAATATGCATGTTTTTCAACACCCCTGGAGCTCATCGAGCGGAATGACCAAGTGTTCTGGAGATGAAGCTAGTCCTGAGGATAGTTCAGCTTAAAAGACAAGTTTTTGCGCAATGCCGTTTTGCGTTTGAGCATCTATAATATGTTTTTGTACTGGCAGGCTTTCCACTCAATATCTCCCATGAGAGACATATACTGCCACGCTTTAAAGAAGCAAGGCTCTACATTTGCTTTCTCATTCAGCATGACGCGATTCAAGTCTTCCCGAACCAAGTTCAAACCCGAACATGACAAACCAAAAAGTGACCGCTCACCGAGCTACTCCCAACGCCTCCAACAAGGCCTCGGCCCTCTAGGTCTCGCAACGGTAGGAGGTGGAACGGCACTCGTCCTCGCAATACTGGGCTTCCTTCTCTTCCTATGGACCGACGAGGGCTCGCACGACGGCAAGACCGCCTCGGCGCTGTGGCGATGGATCATGCTCAGCCAGCACATCACCCAGGCTATCACCCTCTCCACGGTCCTCCTACGCATCGCGGTCACGGCACAGGCGTCCATCTGTACGAGCCTCATCGCGGGTGTGATACTGGAGAAGCACGGTGTCCCACTGTTTCGGGTGGCCGAGATGTCCGTCATCCGGTGTGCAAACGACGGACCGTTCCGGTTGGCGTGGTTGCTCGTCACGTCAGCGCGGAGGTCGTATGTGCAGGCCGGGCTCTGCGTCTTGCTATTGCTCACGACGTTTGTAGTTCAGTTCTCGTCGACTCTTTTGGTATCGGATTTGGCTCCCAATGATCTCGTCGGCGATGCAAAGGCCAGAGCCCTCGAGGTCCACATGAGCGGCGATGTTATCTCGTTGAATCGGCAGATGAATAATTGGATTAGTCGCCCAACGGCATATGTGCCATTTGGCGAGTTGCCTTCTGCAGCAGACACGATGGACAGTCAGTTCAATTTCAGCGACACGGGAATCGTAAGAAGAACATTTCTTCCCCTCCCTACGTCGCAAACGTCCACGTTACGCGAGTACACTGGCGGTGCCTACGGCTTCGAGTCACGTTTTGTATGCCTTCGTCCATCGGTGTCCGCTTTCCTCTCGGTGACGATTCCACCGCCGGGCTCGTCTACTATCCCTTTCTACTTGCAAGTAGCGGGAAATATGTCTTACGAGACCATGTTCCGTGAAGCAGGCTTACTACTACCAGCAAACTGCGAACAGGGGGACTGTTTCCCGTCCAGCTTCAACTGCTCAGTTCCTCAATTTCAATACACCGAGACACAAGTACGGCAGGGCTTTACGAATAGCCTGTGCATCCCCAATGGCACAGCCGCGCGCCCGAGTGCTCAGAACCACACCATCTCAGAGGAACCCATCACGGCATACTCCCAGGTCTTTCTGTTCTTCAGGAATAACGGCACCCATGATCTGTGGAGAGGACCAGGCAGTCGTTTTCTCATGGGTACTTTTGGTCTAAATAATGTCGCTTCTACTGATGGCGAGTGGCTCACGTATATTCGTTCCATTGGAGGAAGAGCCCCCAATGGCGAGAGGGTCGAGACGGGAGTCCTGAGGCTAGACATGTCGGTTTGCTTCCAGCAGCTGGCTTTCAACTTTGCCGAAGTCAAACTATCTAGCGAGAAGGATCTGAAAGAGGCGCAGGTAACTTGGACTTCGGAGGCCAAGGTCTGGAACACGAAGAAGATTCAAAAGCTCATGGGCATCGGAGCCCACAGAGCAAACACTACAAGCCGCGGCATCTTCTCGGTGGACTCGATACAGAACCCGCGACACCTTAATGCAACGCAGTTCTTGACGAACAAGCTCATCAACGACCTATACAACTCGCCTCGGACCTTCAACTTTTCTCTCTTTATGGATCCGCAAGGCAGCGGAAATTCTCCCATCAAGCCGCACGTCGAATACCAAGCCATCTTTTCGGACATCCTCAACATCACCAACCGTCCCGGCGTGGCCATGCAGTCCACCCTCACAGCCCTTTCGGGGTCGATTATCAATGAGGCGCTGCCGCAATTTGACATCCAGGCGAACGCCATCTTGACTTCTTCGGTGCACGTGATGAGTCCAAAAAGCCTTCGCGGCCTGCTCATCGTTTTTAGCGTTCTGGCTGTGAATATGGCTTGTGGTCTCACCGTGGTGCTTGTCTTTATGGTGCAGAGCCGGTATTCGAGCCAGGGGAATTACTGGCAGGGAGTGGCGCAGATTGTGTCTGATGAGACGGCGTGGATTTTGGAAGAGGCTACGGACGCGAGTGATGGGCATGTTGAGGATGAGGTGCGAGGTTTAAACCGTTTTGTTTGCGTTAATCGTTCAGATAGGAGTGGACGAGTCCGTGTGGCTCCCGTTGAGTCTGTTTAAGGTTTCGATCAACGTCAACTCACTTCGTTGAACCTGCTAGCGATCAATCACGTAAAACGATGTATAGCTGATGGTGCGATCGCAACGAAAGGGTCGAACGATATCGTCATGTTTGCAACATGGGAGTACAGGTTTCGGAAGAGTTGCTTCTCAGCATGGGATACTTGGATGATTGGTATATATGTATCTCTTATAGGCCGAATCAAGCACTTTGCGAGCATGTACTACGTGGCTTCGCCTGCCATTAAGGCAGCTGGATGGAGTCGGCTAGCAAATTCGAGAAGAATGTGACTAATCATGTGCCGAAATATTACCTGTTGTCTGATGTTATCTGCAACCTCATGCACTGCAAGACTGGTCATTTGTCTTAACACCGATCAGATATAGACAGTGCCACTGTGGGTAGCAGGGCGACGTTTTGCGAGGTGGAAGACAGAAGCGTGTGGTCACTCAGAATATCAGACAAACACAGTTGGCTACGGGGCCACGTTGCTGACATTACTCAGATATCTATCTGCCCGTATGCTGGCATGATCTTCAAATAATTTCCCTGTCCCCTCTTCCCCTTTGTACCCTCCTCGCCGTAGTACTGCCTTATTAGAACCACCCCGCATTGACTACTTCTCAATAAGCGGAAGTACTTTAGGCCTATAACCTAATCCAACTAGTAGCAAAGCTGCAATGTCCATCTACTCGTCATCGTTGATGTCGACAACAGTCTTCTTCCACTTCCGAGCAGGGACCTTGCGCTTGAACATGATGTCGATCTCGCGGAAGGAACGGCCCTTCATCTCCGGCAAGAAGAAGAACGAGACGACGAAGCAGAAGAAACCTGTGGCACCCCAAACGTAACCGCACTTGCCGCCCAAGTTGACACCCTATCGCGTGTGTTAGTCCATGTGAATCTTATCTTTGTGGATAGAGTGAGAGGGAGCAAACATACCGTGGGGTTGAGCATGTAAGTGGCGAGGAAAATGCAGGGAATGTTGACAACGTAGTAGGCGGCACGTCCGATACCAGTGGTCAAGGGACGGAGGCGAATGGACGATGTCTCGGCGATGATGACCCACGAGGCGGGCGCGGGTCCGAGAGTGAATCCGACCGAGACAATGAGACCCAAAGAGGCCATCGCCAAGGAGGCGGCGGTGGACTTGCCGACGGAACCTGCGATACCGAGGGCGAAGAGGAAGGCGACGTTGATGAGGGAACCCCAGACGTAGATGGTGCGGCGGCCGAGGTAGGTCGTGAGAACCCACGAAAGCATGACGAAGACGGTTTGGAGGGCTGAGGTGATGAGACCCAGGGCGAAAGCAAGGTTGGAGTCAATGCCGGCCTCTACTTATGTGTTAGCCACCAAATGATTTCATCAAAGAAGAATACAAGATGAAAAACTCACGTCTGAAGAAGTAAACAGCCTGATTGGCGATAAGGTTACCAGTAAGGTTCTGGGCAGCGTAGACACCACAGACGATAAGGGTGCGGTATCTGTCGGTGCCCTTGAAAAGCTCAAAGTAGCTGGGCTCCTTGACGGACTTCTCAAGCTCAATGGTACGACGCATCATGGCGATGGACTCCTCAGTGTTGGTAACGGCCGAGGCACGTCCAAGGCGGCGAACCGAAACGGCGGCTTCCTCGAGACGTCCCTTGCGAACCAGCCACCAAGGTGACTCGGGGGCGAGGAAGAGCAGGATGGCGAGGGGAGTGGGGAACATCCATTGGAGGGCAATGGGGACTCTGTACGCGCTGGGGTCGAGCTTGCTCTCGTAGACGTAGCAGACACCGCCGACGATGATGGCGCCAATGGCCCAGAACATCTGAAGCATCTGGGTGGCCGGGGCTCTCAGGCGCATGGGGACGATCTCGGAGCAGTAGGCGGGCGCGTTGGCGATGAAGATGCCCCAAGGGATACCCTCGAGGAGCTGGCTGACGAACATGACGGCGAGCGAGTTGGCAAAGTAAAAGACAAAGATGAACCCGTTGAGAAACATGAGGCCGGAAATGGTAGCCCAGCGGTATCCGATGCGACTGGTGATGGGACCGGCGATACAGACACCGATGATGGCGCCCAGGGGGCCACCCATCTGGAGCGCGGACTGCCACGATGCCTCAATCTGCTTGCCGTCGCTGGTGTTGACGCCGAATGTGTTCTTGAACTCGTCCATGGCGACGAAAGCGCCCATGAGGAAGACGCAGTAGGATTCCATGATCTGGATGACCGGGCTTGTTAGCTACTAGATAGAGTGCGGTAAAGTAGCTAGAATCACTCACAATCGTGGTGGACATGATGAAAGCCCAGAGGGAGGCCATGGGGTAGAGCCTGACGGCTTCCACGACTCCCATGTTGTGCTCGGCCTGCTCTGCCTCGATAGCATCGGCCTTGTAGGAGGCGGGGGACGCCTTCTCGTCGAGGTCGGCGACATGGTCGACACCTGCGGCATAGGCCTCGACCTTTGCGGGATCGCTGCCGTACGACTTGGAGTCGATGGTGGTGGTCATGTTTGTTGATGCTTCGGGACCGCGCCGAGAATTTGGAGTTGGTGGAAGCTGCTTGGCCGGGTTTGTTGGTGAGGAGGAGCAGGGAGGGTAAGGGACACGAGCAAACAAGAACAGAAGAGAGACGAGAGCCAAGAGGAAGAGGGTGGTACTGGGCAGGCTGTTTTAATAAAGGTCTTTGTGTCTTAGTTGCTGTCCCCAATTCCAGACTGCCAACCCGTCCATTGATGTGTCCAATGGACATGTTTTTAATCCCAGTCGGGTCTCATTACGCTAGTGCAGCCAACGCGGACGTACGACAGGCGACCGGGAGGAGAATCCCACCACGAATCCAACAAGCGCAATCTGGGCAACTTTGGGTTCCCCAAACGTCCTTAACCCCGCCCCCCGCATTGGTCCAGAGACGTTCCCACATAACCCTGGGGAAGAGGGCGGGTGACACTCTGGGGTCGAATATCGGGTCTTGATGGGCCGAGGCCGGTCAGATATTCTCCTATGCGCCGACGCGCTCCAATGGGCGCGGGACTTTGCTCAAGGTTTAGGGATTGGGGGACGGCGCGGTTGGACACTAGTCAGGGTCCGGCAAACTTATCCCATCGGGCCCTTTGACCAACGGGCCTTGTCACAACTTGGGGTTAGTTGCCTACTTCCCCAGTCGCCTCGTTGCTTGACTTTGCTTGGCTTCATGGATGGGACGCGGCTCCTTAGCTCCTCATGTGACCGTGGCGGCCACTTACTGAAACGGCGAGCTGCCAAACTACGGTTGTCTACCTCTGTCTCCCCGCGACTCGAGTTCTCTCCCCCTTTCACCGGCTCTCATTAGGGCGCGTGGCAGCACACCTGTCCAGTGGGAAAGGCGTAGGCACGCTGCGGCACCGCGTCGCGAAATACGGGTTTAGCCGCCCCCTCCTCCTCGGTGCCTCGCTGAACACTAGACCGCGCCCACCGACGTGCTTGTGTCTAGCCGCTGCAGTCACGTTGAAAGGACGACAAGATCGTCATTGCCAGCCGGATGCCCTCCCTCTCTTCAAACGTTCCCAGTAATCTCCCTTGGTCTCCCACGCCGAAGAGTCAAGAGTGGTCTTGGAACATGGTTGCATGTCAGCGACCACGCGCTAGTCTCCACGAAACTTTGCGCCCAATGCAGTCGAAATGCACTCCCGTTCCACCCAGCTGCGAGATCCGTCTCCGCGGGTCCGGGGCGAAGAAAGTAAAGACCCAATAGCTTAATCAGGTCGCCTCCAGAGACACGAGGCGAACGAACCAGTTCAAAGTCTGGAAGCCGCCTTGGAGTGGAGGCGCCCTACGCGCTCGAGGGTGCCGGGAAACCGGCAAGGAATTCTTTGATACTGATACCAACCGAGCCAATGATGAAGAAGAAGTCGACCACCCTGGCGACATTATCAATGACACTTGATTATGGGAGACTGGAGCGCGTTTGCGGTCCTGGTCTCGTGGGCGCTCGTGCCCTTTCAGGCGATACCGGCAACGTGGCACCGGGGGAGATCACCATGTCGACGGAAGTGATAGCCACGCTAAATCATAGCGCTTTCAGCTTCATGATGATGAGATTCGTGTCTGGGCCTCCATTTAGATCGAGAATTGGCTCGGTTGTAGGGTGCGAAACCTCACAGACAGCCACACTGGTTGAGTCGAACTGCTCTAAGAATCATTGAAGATACGCCGAGCGAGACCCCAACCAATAACCTGCTTCGCCCTGGTGATCGAATTTGATGGAGACTCATTCACTTTTATCAGCCGCTTCTAGTGGATTCGTTGTTCGATACGGAGACATGTACTATGTGTAAGGGAGGTTCGAGCAAGAGCAACTACATGTGTCAAACCTTCGATCCCGATGAAAGTAGCGAACCTATGAGAAAGCTCATCATGATTTGAGGAGCTGTTAGGGAAAGAAAATCCCTTTTTCGAAGCGCAATGTCGTCCATTCCTAGTACCATTTTTGGGCATGGCTACATGAAGTATCCGTGCCGTGATTGCGAGAAATGTTCGATGCTGCTTATGACCGAAACGTACAGCTAGCTTGTCTCGTGATACAGCTCGCGGTAGAATCTGGGTGTCTGTACTTGATTCCTAGACACATGTAAAGAGCAACGCTTGAGGGCAAGACAATGCTTCTTTGTCTCCACGAGGTGTCATGTGTGATGCCCGCATCCGCATTGTTGGTCACGATGTACGGACTACTGATTGTCCTGCAAAGAAAGTCACATCGGCGCAGAGACCACGTTGTCAGTATCCCACCCGCACGGAGCCCAACGTCGCGACCTCAACTTTAGGTTTTACAGTCGTGTAAAGTAACCGATGCTGTGACTGGTGGGGTTGGATCGTGGGGATAAACGCTAGGCTAGACACGTTCCAGATATGGGGTTCGGTCGGATGAAATAGATTTGTTGCCATCTCGGTTGCCCTCCACGATGCCGAAAAGACATCAGTGCTCCGGGGTCTGGCCCCAGGCGGCCCAGGCCAACTGGATCCTCCACACAAAGTTGTATCCATAATACGGATACCCTTGAGTTCTTGGACCCGCAAGAAAATTCTCTGCCAGGGTTCTTAGCGTTCACAACTCCCACATCATGAACTTATGAAGCCAACTTGGCTCGTGACCATGTCCCCTCACCTACCACATGCAATCTAAGGATAGCCGCGCAGGAAACCAGGCATCCACTTCCAGGTCCTCGGGTTTCCGAAGATCTACATCACGGAAGGGTGGCCGAGTTGGTTATGGCGCCAGGTTAAGGTCAGCTTAACATCTGTTTCCTGGTGGGGCAACCCGCGCGAGTTCGAGTCTCGTCCCTTTCATTTTGCTGCCCTGCGTATATGTATACCGCATGTGTGCAATGGTCTTTTTATTTGGGCGATAGATACTCTCTGTTGGTAACACCACCCAGGTTTCCAAGGTCCATGATCGGTCTAGACTCTTTCCCGCTCTCTGGTACGTGGCAAAGTAGAGGCGATCATTACTCTGGCCCTACGCGTATTTGTCACATCCTACATGTAGTTGCTCAAAATTCATCAGGCTAGTGAACTAGTTTCATTCCATTTCTTTCACATGGCTGGGCTCGGGGTGGGCTTACAGTGAACGTTGCGGGTCGGCGTGTCATGTGCCCATGCCGCAGGCGCAGTTCTCATCAGACATCCTCATTACATGCCCTCAGATTGTACTGGCTTTTGTCCTACCCAGGAGTAGTACGTGCCATAGGCATGCACATTCGGATCCTTAATCGCGTTCCGAACCGACGCGAGAAAGACCTCAATCTCCGTACGCTCCATACCCAGGGCCGCCAGCGGCTTGCTCGCCGCGGCGCCCAAAAAGTCCTCCGTCACGGAGCGCATGTAATGCCCCACCAGACGCAGCCTCTTGTCGAGCGGCCATCTTCCGACCGGCACCTTGTAGGACTTCACTTGGACGTTGACGAAGCCGGCATCTCTCATGAGCTCACCGATTCGCGAGGCCACTTGGATCTCAATTTTCATCCGCAGCATGGCGTCGCGCATTTTTGACCAAAACTCTAGCAGAGGCCAGTCGTCGGGCATGGTGCCGTCGTCGCACTTGACGTTGGCGCTAAAGTCTTGTGTCTCGATGTAGGCTCCGGGCTTGAGGTTGCTACATTGGGGGGGTACGGGGTTTGTGAGCGCGAGGTTGCACATGATGAGGAGTAGTAAAGAGGGAAATAGCTGGGTGAGCATGGCGGGGATCAACTTACTCGAAAACTCGCTCCAAAAGCTTTGGGAGGTCGTGCACAAGGGAAGCCAAGTTTCGCATGTGTATGAGATCGAAGTTGTCCCCGGACTACAACGGTTCAGCAAAGGACCAAGAGTCGGTTGAAATTCGAATCTCGAGAGCGCTTACCAGCCATTCATCCTCAACATCGTCGACGAAGAAATGGACATTGGAAGGCACCCTAGATCTCTAGTCAGGACACCAGGGCGATGGGAAGAGACAGGCATGATGATGTGGTCATACCAGCATGGCTGGATTGGAGATAAATCCACGCCAGTCACCTCTGCAGTAGGATATTGGTCTCCGACTTTGCACTGTCAGTCTCCATGGCTCACCCTCGCTTTTAATCCCGCGGACGAAGAATCAAATACCTTCCATTGCCCATATGCCTGTATGTATGCTTAGTTTGTGAGGACAATGTTGAACAACGCCAGCTGAATGCAGGCTCTGAGAGCCAACTCACCAGTACCCGTCCCGAGGTCAATAATCTTGTTGGGCGCGTCCCCAATAGGGGCGTGGAATAGCTTGCCGTCGGTGAGCTCCATGACCATGGCGTGCTTCATGTCTTCGCGGTTCTGTTCAATATCATCGTTGGGGATGGGATATTTCCCATCTCGGAATGAGTGATAACTTTGATTGGTAATTTCGTGAGCCTCCGATCATGCGGATGGGATGCATTGCCAACGGTCCCTGCATGCGTAACTCACCGTCTGCCGTTTTCAAAGGAATGCTTCAACACCGACGACGTGACGGAAGCTGAGGCTGATGAGGAAGCATCCCACTCCCTGGGCTGATACGCGTCATCATTTCCGTCGTCACTGCCAGCTTCGATGATATCTGGCGCTTGCGCTGAAGACTGCGCCTCTTCCAGCTGCACTGGATGTGCGTCGTGGGGCACTTGTTCGGGACTGGCGCTCATTGGGTACGAAGGTATTTGATTCAGTTGGTCTTGATATGTTTCCCTTGTAACTGCATGTAAGGTAAGGTAGTAGTAGTGAGATGGATCTTAACTCTGCCGCGCAGTTGCTGACAGAGGAGCGGGGAAACTGCGAGAATTCGACCTTGCGGCCAGCTTCTTTGCTAGTGCTTCATGATTGGTGCACTGGTCTTCACCAGAGGGGCCTAGTTCTTATCATTAGGTTGGTTCTTATTGGCTCGTCATCTTCTACGTTAGATGAATCCTCGAGACTGGACGTTTGCGTATCTAGAAGTTTTTTGGGAAAGCTGTGATAGAGATCAAGGATACAGAAGCCTTCAGTGAGTCACATTGTTTCAACGAGGGGGAGAATCGTCAGGTTGAAGCCGTGGGTGCACGCTCGTTTTGCCATCTGGTAATTTCTGGAGATGAAGCGCCACCAAATAGAAACATTTTGCATGTTCGCGAAACAAATCTCAGTTCACCAGCATGGCATAACGTTTCCGGTCTCGCTTTAATTCCCTTCTCGCCATGGCAAAAGGCCCTCATCGGCCACGGCCCCGCCCCGTGTCTGTTGCAGCCCATCGAGACAAGATATTGTGGTGTGCGTGTCCATCGTCACAGTCGCACCTCATTGTTTCAATATAAATGCGCTATAGAGGGTGGCAATGTGCATAGCCTGCTAGTATTATGAATTCATTGTCGTCGAAATTTCCCGTCCATGTGTGGCCTGTCCCATGGCCAACAGAAGAGTTCGTCACGTCTCTTGAGACGTCCGTCTAATGTTTATTTTGCTTCCAATACCTGTTCGGCTCATGTCTTTCAACCACCAAGGCAGGGTGATATTGACATGGTTGACTCGGAATCGAATACGGCGTGCAGACATCCTCCCTATGCTTACCGCAACGTCCAGACGTGCCCAGAAATTCTCAAGATTCAAACCATCATGAGACACATATATGTCAATCTGCAAAACAAATCCCAGAATACGTCTGTCGCCCGTCCCCGCAGCGCTTAAATTTGAGTGGGTGATGTGACATTTGAGACTGGGGGCGGTGGAGCGGTTTCAGGCCCCGGGAACCCAGGAGCGCTGAACGGAGGGTCAGTTTCTAGTGTCTTTACTTTGTTTTTCTTAGCGTGCTGTCTCGCTGGGGAATCTGTTGTTAAGGTTGGCTGCGGCGACCCTTACAATGAGATGGGTGCAATAATTCATCCGCCTGTTCAGAGCCGAAGACTGTTGCTATGAATAAGGCAGGCCACGTATTCATCTCCTCCAAGTTTCCTTCAGAATCTTCGGCAGAGGTTATTTCTGTCCAAAGAACCAATGTAATGAAAGCTCATGCTATGGCCACATGCCGCTTAACTACCTTATAGAGCGAAAAGTCATGTCAGTGACACTTGTCATATCCGACGTCAAAAGAAGTTTTACCACACGGGCGAAAAGATGAGATGAGTATAATGGGAAGAACCTCGGAAGATGACGAGTCAAACAAAGGTCCTGATCGAACTCCAGTCTCCGAGGCCTCTTTTTTTTGGCTGCGGTGTTTGGGATCACCAGGGGATCCAGCAGAATCCCTGCCTGGGTGACGAGCATCATGGCAAATCCGAAGAGGTCCTTCATCAACTTTGTGCTCAAAGCCACAAACCGATGAATTGCCCCAGCCCTCCAACGATTCCACAATCTTCAGCATGGTCTTGAATAGATAGGGCACGGCCAAAGCTGTAGCCGTTCGAGAGTTGGCCTCCCACGTCTGAAAAATAAGCTTGGCAGTAAGACACAGGGGGTCGTGAAACCCCCTTGGGATGGTGGTGGGGTCTATATGCTCGGAGCTTTGCCGCTGAAATGACCATAATCTTTATTGATTACTACAGAGTCTAAGAGACGACCGTGGAGAAACATGGGACCGCAGCTCATACGAAGATACCTGCCGTATCCTCTCGAGCTTCGGTAGATATCTCTGGCTTGAGTGAGCCAACCACCAGCTGGTTGCCCCAGTCCCATCCCCGCCCATATGCACCCTTGGGTCGTTGATACTTCTCTTCGCCTCCTTCACCAGCCCCAACCCGCCCCCCTTTCTCAGCGTCCAGTCTTCACGGAGCCTCACGAGGCTCAAAGTTGTAACGACAGGCGTTCAGTCAGGGGCTTCCCTGTCACTTCTCGCCGGATCCGGTCGTAAGGTGGCTTCCCGATCAGGTCTAGGAGATGCAGCCGCAACATCTTGGCAGCTTCATCGCACCCATGCGTCACGAACTTCAGACCTCCTTTGACGGAGTCACCATCGCCTCCAAAGCCATTGTACAAACTCCATTGCCAACAGTCGCCAAAGATTTCCGCGACGTGGACGTCTCAACCCGCCCGCCTCGAACGCCCCATGCCATCCCATGTTGGCCGCCGCATGCTACATGCAACCTAATTTGGTCCTGGCCTGAAGTTCTTTTGATCGCCCTGCAACTATCTGGTGCCTTGCGGCAGCTGGGCACTCGGGCCCGGGGGCGATGTTGAGGACATCCCACCACGAGAACGATTACAGGGTCGAAAGGGGATGGCGTAACGTGGAGACGCAAACATCCAATACATCGATGCAATAGCATTCATCGCCTAATGTGAACGGACTGGCAGATCGTCTGAAATAATCTATAAAGATCAGCTCGATCTTCCTCAAAGTGACGCGTCTTCTTTCCTCTCCTCATCAAGCTCACAATCATTACAACTTTGCTTGTTCTTTCTTCTCTTCTACAACAGCTGTGCTGTCTTCTATCTCTTCCAACGCATCTTGATCAACTCCTTCAATTCGTCCGGGTCCGTGTCCCTCTTTTCGTTCCTCATCATATTGACTGCTCTCAACTTTCTTGAAGCAACAATCTTTCAACCTTTCAATATGAAGTTCTCTTCCGTCATCACTCTTGGCTTCGCCGCCCTCACCACCGCCGCTCCTCTCAGCGGTCGCCAGGCCACCGTTTTCTCTACTCAGACCTTCAACGACCTCTCCATCAGCGGCGGCACCGCGGGTACTGCCAAGCAAGAAGCTCTCGACAAGCTCTCCGGTCTCCCCTCCGACCTCAGCACCGTCGCCAAGGCCGACCTGGACTTCCTCAACAGCGTCAACCAGATCGCCAACGACGCCGAGAAGGAGGCTTTCAACCCCGCCATTGAGAGTGCCACCGGTGAGGAGGCCGACGCCCTTCAGGTTCGTACCCATCTCTCTGCAGAATCTCACATTTGTACGCCATTAACCGTTTCATCTACAAACAGCGCGGCAAGATCAAGAACAAGGTCCTCAAGCTCACCGCCACCATGCTGAAGCTGCAAGCTCAGCAGGCACAGGGCAAGGACGTCGCCGACAAGATGGCTACGGAGCAGAAGAAGCTCAACAACAACATTGCCCTGGACGAGAAGGAGGCTGGCAACGCCTCTACCGCCCTCGACTTTGACGCCTCCACCGCATAATCGCCCATAGTCAGCGACAGAGGCTGCGGACATGACACATCTTCAGACTTTGGTAGAATAGAGGAAGAGGGAGTGGATGATCATGAAAGATTCACGAGACGAAAAGGCGCTGTGTGCCGGCTCGGATGATCCGATCAAGTGCTGGCCATTTTAATAATGTGGGTGTATCGGTACATTGTAGTACACTCTAAATACTATAAGAGATTAAGAAACACTTAAAACAACACTTTCCACTCGTCGTGATTTCAATGTCAAGCTTAGATGGAGACAATTGCTTTGCTACAGACTGTAGCCACATGTTGCAGAAGGGCTGACTTCTAAAGATATGCCAAACTGCCAAGCCTTGATCAGCATTCTGTGACGGATCTTGGACAGATGCATGCCCTGCCGCAGGACGGTCCCCGCAGCATCGAACCACCATAACGGCCAAGGGGGATTCTCGGAGATGTCCCTTAGAGTTTCGACGGCTTGGCGAAGGGCTCCAATTCGACATCCAAGACAGTCGTCAGGCGTGAAAAGGTGTAGTAGAATCCCTGACTAGATTAGCATCCGGATCGAGAAATATTTACCGGAGAAACCAACCTGAAGGGTGATCATTTCCACCACCTCTCGATCAGAAAACTCTGTCTTGACCTTTGCCCACAAATCATCCGCAACGTCTGGCCCGTCGATGACGGCCTCAATAAACAGCAAGACAAGTTTCTCCCGCGGCGTAAAGACTTCTGCGAGCGACTCCAGTTTTCCTTGGCCGGAGAAGTAACCCTTTTGTTTCCCGGCCTGCGCAATCACCTCGCGCTGCGCATCAGTGACGCCCTCTTTGGCGGAGGCTGTGCTGTGGTGCGTCCACTCGTAGGTAGACCGAAACTTGGCCGTGCTGAGGAGAATCACTAGTTCTCGGTTCTTGGAAGATAGCTCAAGATCTTTAAAGTGAGCACCTGCGATTTTCGCCCAGTGGTTGACTGTCGCCGGGCTATGGGCGAGGATCTTTGAAATATTGAGTGGAGTCCCCTTGACGTCGGGGTACGGAAGGCGTGCCATCGCTAATATTCAGCTGCGCGGATGTGGTACGCCAAAAACAACGTTTCAACTACAGGAAACCTATTCTTCTTGTATGAACTACAAGCCAACACTTTTTGTAATCTTCGGGCCTTGAGTGAGCTGCGGGGTGCCTCGGCAACCCATTAAGGGTTAGTCACCCCGGCCGCGAGTTAATACCTCGGCTCCGAGTGGGGCCGGCGAGCCCAGAAGGGGAGCGCACCTGGGATGGTGTCAATGAGATGGATCAGGGCGATGAGTTCCTCTCACACTCTTCAAGTAGTCATTAGTATTTTTGAATAGTTTCCAAGTGCTCGTGTACTTCCAAAGATTGATTAATACATCTTTGCTCTGTATAAGGTAGCCGTCCGTCTCGCTTTCAACACTTTACCGAGCCCTTTGGCTTTCGGTCCCGCGCAAAGACGCCCTTCTTCTTCCCATCCACTTGGGGGATGCTCGAAGTCGTCTGGAAACCAGCAAAGCTCCAGGCTTTCTCTCTTACCGCACTGCTTACGTAATCAGGGACGCGGTGGTACATTTCCAGGACCTTCCCTTGGTATTCCTCACTCCTGGGAACGTCGCATAGGGTGTGCAGCCCAGCAATAGCGTCCACACCATACTTGGCCTGCCACCCTAGCAAGTCCTTCGCCACAACCCGCTCCACCTCTTCCAGATTGCCCGTCTGAGAATACCACCGTACCTAGTAACGATTCAAGCAGATCACTTCAAACAAGTCCGTCGCGAGGTCCAACTCGATTGTGGCGATTCCCATGTTTGCAAAGCAGACCGGCCTCTTCAGGTCCAGGTCGCGGGTCAGTGAGACCAGCGGTTCCAGGTACTCCCTCGTGCCGGTCTCTGCCGACGCGGACTCGTCGGTGACCGTCCACATCACCACCGACGGGTGACTTTTGTCTCCGCACCACGAGCTCTCAGATGGCCTGCTCGTGCGCCGCCTGCGTCTTCTCATTGCATAACTCTGGGGCAAAGGTCGGAGGCTCTCCGAGTCCCAACACGCCGGCGATGAGGCCGAGGTGGAGACCTTCCGCGGGAGTCTCGTGGATGACGAAGATACCGTGCCGGTCGGCGTAGGGGTAGTGGGACGCTCGGAAGGAGTTGGCGACCAGCCGGTTCATGAGATGGAAATCGTGAATCATGCAAGCCGGGTCGAAGCCCCTGCCCCAGATCAGCGTGTCTTCATGTTTGCCGAAGCCGGTGAAGCAGAAACGTTTGCCGTTGATGAGAAGTCGATTGTCTCTCACCAAGGTCGTGCGAGTGTCCAAGGAGAGTTCATAAGTATCGAGGATATCCTCTTTGTTAAAGTCAGAGAGGACCTGCACGCAAATTTTGTACAGGTGAGCTTCGCCTGGCTGTTGATTATTAACCCCGTTCGTGTGAGCAACAGTTGAACCGGCTCTATTCCCATTACCTATTGCCACCTTCAGGTTGGTCGGCGTGCGACCACTTCAGCGTCCGATCATTGGCTCGTTGATACTTGTACCGGTTGGCAAATCGGTTTCAAAGGCTTATATACAGAAGTATCTACAAGTTGCTACCAAGGAAGATTTCTAAGCAATGGTGAAAGGTTTGGTTGAAATGTCATCTTCTCGACTTGCGGGTGAGGGTACGGAGCGAATTTTGGCAGTTGAACGCGGGGGGGTCATCTGTGAAACCTAACCGCGATCTGAGACTTCATATTCACTAGTTTGACACTGATTGCAACTGGTAGCGAAAGACTTGCTTGAAGACTAGATTTGTATACGAGACAGCGTTTCACAATCCTATGTGAAAGTTTTAGGCGCCTAAATTTGTTCGACCGGGAACTGATTTGACCCAACCTGATTATGCCCCAGCAATGTAAGCAAGCCCATCGAGTTATCAATCAGCCTGCCATGTCTCAAGTTGTTAACGTAGGCTCTACTAGACACTTGAAACGTCGACTAATGCTCATCGCCATCAAGTCAATCCAACAATCGAAATCAGAAAATACTAGTTGAGGCATCGGACAGTCACGCCCTTAGCAGGCTCCTCGATCTTTTCCAGGGACGATTCTGTACGCTATCATGTGTCCGACCCCTCCCAAGGGCTGATGGGACCAGTTTCACGTCACTTATCCTTGGTTTGTCAAGTACTGCAGCTCCCGTTCCTTCACCCTGGATATACACGGGACAGATGAGGCAGCGAAATTGAGTTTTTATAGGTTGGATTGAGTGTGCTAGTCTGTTTTGTTAGAAAGCTTGAGGTTCTTGGGACAAGGGAAAGAGTCAACGACGACCCTGGCTTCCTGTTCGAATCAAGGGTTGAATTTCCGGCTTTCGCCAAAGCCCCCAGTCCGGATATCCACGTGCAGTTTGAGGGTTAGGGAGGATGTCACGGGTCTATCTAAGCGGTGAAAACTCCCGAACCGATCAACAATGCTCGGATCGTGTTACTCCAAGTTCGGATCCCAGTACAGTTTGCTGTCTGGTTTTCTCAGCCATTGGACCATTGTTGCCTAACAACTTCTTGGATAGTCACTTCCACGTTATGGCATGGTGACCTTGGAGTGTATATGTGTGCAACTTCTCGCGCTTCGTTTGCTGTTGGCTGAAGTCAGATGAGTATCAGAGTTGATTGCAAAATTCACCGCCGAGAACAGGCACATAATTCCCCCTCCACGAAAAGCAAACGTGATAACTGATACTGCATCTAATATGATACAAGATACAAATCAATGCTGCAAACCAACTCTACGTACGAAGAACTTACCCTTTCCGGCCCATCTCAACCGTTGTACATCTAAATGGATTATGTCCTGGCTTTGCAACCCTCAGATTGTTTACTTGGCCCCAAAAGGCCCAAACTAAGAAACCGTTCTCCACTTCTGCGGTCTTGAGACGCCAGTGCTCGCGGCCCTTGTCGCCAGATGCCGAAATTTGTCGCACTTAGTCGGTAGAAACCCACCAAAACCCACCAAATACAACTTAGCATTGATATTCCCGTCAGCTGCCTGCTGACGTCAACAACGTCCTTACAGCTCATTACGAGCTTATCCCCGATGGCACAATTGGCTAGCGCGTCAGACTGTTAATCTGGAGGTTGGTGGTTCGAGCCCACCTCGGGGAGATGCAGTGGTTAAATCCCACAAGGGATCGTTTCTCTTTTGAATTTTATCATGTGTACCTTTTATTCCTCTTCGATGCTGATGAATGGTAAGGTAGTTAGCAAGGTTTTGTTTGGTCTCTCTGTGGCATGGCCGTGCCGCATCTCGAATGAGATATGTGAGCGGATTAAGTCTAGGCGGCTTCCGGTCATATCCATCACCTATCACCTCATTCCTCGCTGACCGCCACTTTGCTTTTCTGGTTCGTCAACCCATCGATACAAAGGCGACCTAAGACATCTATCTAGTGGGGCATCTAGCATCGCTAGAGGTCTCGACGTGGGCCACAAGAGTCTCTCGCTTCAAACCCCCACCGCAAATTCCATTGTGAATCCCTTGGGGTTACTTACATCATCATCCGAATTCATCCACTTTGGTTCAACCAAGCAATGCCAAGGGAGCACCAAGCCGCCTTTTCTCCCAGTTCTCAGCCTCATATCAGTCAGGGCAGCCATTGGCACTACGCCACTCGGACGACCTCTACTCACACAAAGACCTGTCACTTGCAGCCAGTTCCGAAAAAAATCCAATTGTTAAAGGAACGCGGCACGCCACACTGCGCTAAAGGACCGCCCCAAAGTTCCCGAGGCTCGCGTCCCTCAGCATGATTTCTCGCTCCGACAACTGGGCGAGAGACCCTGTGCCCATGTGAACCCTGCGGGGGGCAGCAATGATTCCTACGGGGATCATCCTTACCTCAGGGCCGGCATCGAATCTCACACTCAACCCGCCCGCGAGTCGGTTGCCGCGTCGGGAAAGACGTTCGCCAGGGGCCCCATCAGACGAGACCCTGACTATCTTGCATGTCTCCCTGCGTAGTACGAAGACTGCCGCAATTGGTGATGGGCGGGTTCGTTGCCATGGTCCAGGCACCTGGTTCATCGCGGGGGCCTTCAGTGCGTGCTTTGGGGAAATATTGCCCCAGAAGATAACGGGCGAGTGTCCATCCCGAACCCGCTATCGCTATCTACCCTGCACAGGGACTTGATTCTATAAAAGCAGTGCTGCCAGTGTATCAGCAATTCTTGTTGGCCTGTCGGACGTGTAAAAAGAGGTCGCACGTCACTGCAACTGTGTCACAGAACCACCACGACGATGCTAGGCACTGCGCTACCTGGGCGAACGCTCGGTGACGAGAAACTTGTTCCCACAGGACTCCCCCTTTTTACCGCATCCTATGTGCCCATCTTCGCTGTGGTAGGCCTTCTCCTGTACTTGTTCTACAAATGGGCTCTACCTAAGCCGATTCCCGGAATCCCATACAATGTGGAAGCGACGAAGCATATACTGGGAGACATCCCCTCCGTGCAAGAAGCGATGAAACGCACCGGCGAGTTCAACGCATGGATCAACGAGCAGACGGACAAATTCGCAGATACACCAATCTTCCAGGTCTTCATTCGTCCCCTCGGCAAGCCGCTGTTGATCCTCTCCGACTTTAGGGAAGCTCAAGACATTCTCTTGCGACGAAAGGAATTTGACCGGTCGTCGCTCGACGCCGACCTCCTCGAGGGCGCCGGACGCAACCACCACATCCATTTAAAGACTGGCGACAAGTGGAAGAGGCACCGCAGGCTTCTGCAGGACCTCATGTCGCCTCAATTCCTCAACGAGGTGGCGGCCCCGACCGTCTACGCGGGGGCCTCGCGGCTCATCCAGCTCTGGAACAACAAGGCGCGGATCGCAGAGGGGCGGCCGTTCTCTGCGGAGTCGGATATCTACTATGGTTCTCTGGACGCCGTCTTGACGTTTACGTTTGGCAGCAGCTTTGCCAGCAGCGCGCTGCGCCCGACGTCGGATCTTATACAGGGGCTGGGTGCGGAGGATATCAGGCGTTTGCGAGGGTCGACTCTCAGTAGCGACGCGCCCTTGGAATTTCCAACGGGCGATTGCGACGAAAAGATACACGCGACGCTTGGTGTGGCAGACTCTATCGAGTACCTGCAAGGCTCGCCGATTCCGAGAATAAAGTGGTGGTTTGTCGAGAAACTCCCCTCGCTACGTCGCGTCTTCAACGTCAAGAGGAAATACACGCGGGAGGAGATCGACAAGGCGCTAAAGAGGTTAAAAGAGGTCGGGGACGAGCAGTCCAAACTTTTGTCCGCTGTAGAGTTGATCGTCCTCCGGGAAAAAAAGCTAGCGGAGAGCGAAGGGCGGGCGCCAGACTTTTTCTCCGAAATCATAGTCGACGAGGTAGGCACCAGACTTTGCGCTAGAGAAAATGCAGCATGAAAGCTAACCATCCTGGGGCAGATCTTTGGCGTAGTTGTCGCGGGACACGACACAACCAGCACGACCATGTGCTGGGGTCTCAAACTCTTCGCAGATAACCCCCAACGGCAGACCAACCTGCGCGAGGCACTCCGAGCCGCTTTCCCCGACGCCGCCGCCGAGAAACGCAGTCCGACCGTCAAGGAGATTACAGGGAACACCATAAAGGTTCCGTACCTTGACGCTGCTGTAGAAGAAATTCTCCGCTGCGGCGGCGCTACGCCGCTCGTCGACCGCGAGGCGACCTGCGATACCGAGCTGTTGGGACACCATATCCCCAAGGGGACTGTCGTGATGTGCCTCAACAAGAGCCACAGCATGATGAAGCCCGCGTGCAACGTTGATGAATCGCTTCGCAGCCAGAGCAGCCAGAGCGCAAAAGCCCGGGCCTGGGATGACGCGGATATCGGGCACTTCAAGCCGGAACGGTGGCTCGTCGAGTCATTCAGCACGCCGGGCGGGGTCGAGTTTGATCAGCAGGCGGGTCCTCAGCTCGCTTTTGGGCTGGGAACTCGCGGTTGCTTCGGGAGGAGGTTGGGGTACTTGGAGTTGCGGATTATTCTGGCGCTGATTGTGTGGAACTTTCAGCTTCTTCCGTGCCCGAGGGAGTTGTCTGGCTATGGTGCAAAGGAAGGTTTGACGTACAAGCCGAAGGACTGCTACGTACGCCTACTGGCTCTTGGGGATAGATGAGGAATCTCATAGTCACATCCCCCCGATTATTGGGTTCTTGTCAGTCGCGCTCATCGTACTCCTCTATGTCACAACAGCCACTCGCTGAGCCCGTGTCTGATCTTGACTGCCTCCTTTGGCAATCATTTCATGTTTGTATAAAATAAGCGAACAGATTGCAGTTCAGCATAAACTTGCGTCATGTCGTGTCCATGGACGTGGTGATGTATCACCTAGTTTTTGTCCAACCAATCCAGGTAGTCAATACCCCAGCCAATGCCACAAAAAAGGCACCTGCCGTATAGGCTACTCCCCAGTCTCGATATATGGCTTGGGCAGCTATGACAAACAGAATGAAAACCACTGTACTCCCGACCAAAATTGTACCGAATGGGGTGCTGAAGCTGATGTACGGCCAATCTAAGATGCGGAAGCCGATGAACTCAATGTCTGCCACGCCACGAATCACAGCCGAGTGACGAGGGGGTACAATATCTCTGGGCTAATGGTTAGCAAGTGTCGCCTAATATGGCACAAGATTAAAGGCACCGGGGATCTGCTCACTTTGAAGAATATATCCATTTATCGTGAAGCATGTCGTTTCCCACAGCCAGCTCTGGATTCGCCAGGACCATGGCCCATGTCGATGCCATCGTGAGCTTTGACACTTCTCTTAACCTGTCCACTTGTCTTTGAAGATCGCAACAACGGTGGTCCCTCGAATCGCAGTCGGCCCAATAGCACACGTCCAAGCCGTGCTGGACCTTGTCCGACTCTAGATCATGGTAGCACACGGATTCCTCGCCATCATCGTACTCAGGGTCGAATGGCCTGGTCCTATAAAACTGGTGCTTTTCGATCTGTTTTTGGAGCTCCTCAATTCTTTTGTCAATGTTGACGCGGTGAAATTGCCCTCGAAAAGATTCCGATTGATGAGCATGCTCGCCAACGATTCGTATCTTTCGATTTTCCAGAAAATCAGCGTTGTCTCAGACCACGAGTTGGGCGGGTGAGTATTGGGAATTTTCCTCACATTGACAAGCTCAAGTCTCTCAGGGCCAAACAATCGTTTCCATCGCGCAGGACGCTGCCGCGCAACTCCGGATAACGTAGCCCACAGACTCTTTGAATCCACTGTATCCGGCAATTTCATCGGCGAGATGACGGCATCCTGTTTCCCTCCCTCACATAATAATAAAAACGGGGCATTGGAGGAGAGTGGTTCGAGGATATCGCTTATTTTCGCTCTGCGATCATGAGATGGATGTGGTGGGCGAGTAGGCAAATCCAGAAATGTTTTCAGAGGTCTCGTTGTAGTGTTGGCAGTATTTTCGCTAGCCGTAGAGGTGGCTGTGTCCAAAGGTTCAAACTTTCCTGATTCTCCAATCTTGAAGCGACGAGGCCTAGCTGACGTTGATGCTGCCGGCGTCAATGGCGCCCTTTCTTCGCGACTCTTAGGTTGGCTGGGCGAGTTCTTGAGGGCAGAATGCTGTTGCTCAGTAACGTCGGCATGTTGAGAACTCTCAACTAGAGGAAGGCCATTTGACTGGCTTTCTAGTTTTAGAGAGATCCCAGGCCATGCAGATCGATTGAGATTTACCGCGATATTATGTGTAGCAAAAGAAATCAATATCCGGGGCCATGAGCGCTGGAAGGAGTTCTCGAAAGACTCCAATTGGTTGGGCGTCGTCGAGGTTCGGTTGTGATCTTGATAGTGTACAACGTCATACCCAGCCTCCTGGTCATGGGCTCTACGGGCATGGTTACTCGGTATGTAAGCAGCTCGTGGAGGTGGAATTGGCAAACTTGGTGAACTCATTCTGTACGTCGAAGCACGCTGTCTGGCATGCCTTACGGTTGAGTGATTCATAACACACAATATGAAGGACAGATGAGGACTTTAAACTTTCGCAAATGTACCTCTGTGTAGGTTAGTTAACTACCAGTCAGCCCGACGAGAAGCCTGGGAGTTGTTGGGTCGCATATCAAAGGTCATTGGAGCTTGGAGTGAGGCTATGCGCCGCAGATCCGTTCAGCCTGCCGCAGTGCGGGGCAAATACATGTGAGAGCACAATTAGGAGCTTTTTGAATTCCAAGCAAGCTGTCATCGAAGATTGGAAGATCGAGCTTCGGTGTCGACACTTCGGCACTCCGAACGGATTACGGGAATAACTGGAGCCTGCTATATTGAGCACGCGTATCTTTTAAAAAGCTTAGTAGTACAAGCGTTCCGTCTCAAACACGAGTTCAAGTAGATACCTCGCACAAAATGCGGCACTGTAGGTACTTAAAAGTGTCTGGTAAGTAAACCGCGACTGCAATATCGTGTACAGCGTTTTCGATTCGCCATGACTACTTGGTTAACCGATCGCCTAATCGAGTTGCGAAACGTCTTATACTATTCAGTGCCATACTCAACTAGAACAGCAGACTTTTACATTAATCAAAAGTTCATCGGCTGAGGCGCGCATATACGAGCTGACATGCAGCGTACCCGAACTGCATGTACTCGTAGGGATGGGGCGAGAATGCAATGCAGCCACGCTGGGAAGGAAACGGGAACGAGGAAGACAAGTCAGCGTATTCGCCCAGTCAATGCAGCTACCGAATGGCGATCTCGAATTGAGGCAATTCTGCCAGCTACGGGAATGACATCCCAGCCCTAGAGGAAGACTCGGCGCAGATTGTGTGGGAAAGCTGAGAACATGATCAGACTTTTGATCAGACTTGCTAAGACTCTGGCGTGATGAAGAACGCTTCACAAGAGTTCTATAACTGAACTTGCTGCCCCGTCTAGCTCAAAACATCGCAGTATAGCAGGTAGTTGCAAAGACTCGAGTAACCGCCCAAAATGAATCTCGCCATCGCCCTCCTAGCCTTGGCAACATTCGCCCTCAGCACCCCCCTCGAGGACCTCACAGCCTGCCTCCGCACCGCCTCCGTGCCCATCGCCTCCTCGCCTCCCACGCCCTACAACCTGCGCCTCCCCGTCAAGCCCCTCCTCCTCGTCGTCCCGACCACAACCCCCCAGATCGCCTCCGCGGTGGCATGCGGCGCCAGGAACGGCGTCGGCGTCAGCGCCAAGAGTGGTGGGCACAGTTACACCTCGGCCGGGTTCGGCGGCGAAGACGGCCATCTGGTGATCAACCTGGACCGCATGTACGGAGTGACGGTCGCGAGCGACGGCACGACGGCCAGAGTGCAGGCCGGTGCGCGGCTGGGGCACGTAGCTACGGAGCTGTACAGGCAGGGAAAGAGGGCGATATCTCATGGTACTTGTCCAGCGTGAGTTGCCAATCTGAAATGATGAATGAGTCTTGGACTTGTCCACGGACAACAAGGAGGAAGAAGGAAAACCTGGGGCTCGCTCACTCGTATCCCCCCACCAGTGTCGGCGTCGGCGGCCACGCCCTCCACGGCGGCCACGGCATGGTCTCGCGAACCTACGGCCTCGCCACAGACTGGATCCAAGCCGCCACCGTCGTCCTCGCCAACGGGACCATCACGCGCTGCTCGGCGACCGAGCGGCCCAACCTCTTTTGGTCGATCCGCGGCGCGGGCTCGTCCATGGCCATCGTGGCGGAACTCGAGTTCAACACGTTTGCGGCGCCCGACAAGGTGACGTACTTTGACATTGACTTGGTCTGGGACGTGGCGAAGTTGCCGCAGGTTCTTGTCGATACGCAGGAGTTTGCGAGGACGATGCCGGCGGAGCTAACCATGTCCACGACGTTTAACAATGACGGGGTTTACCTCAATGGCGCGTATGTGGGTGATGATAAGGCGTTCCGGACCGCTGTGCAGCCTTTGCTTGCAAAGATTGGGGTCCAGGTGTCCAGTTCCAAGACGGTTGGGTGGATTGACTTTATCAAGCACTATGCGGGTGTGACGGATATCGATATAACGACGGCAACGTATAACGAAGTAATGAGAGACGACAGCGTCCCAAAAGTTTGAAAAGAAACTTTGTGTGTACTGACATGGCCAACAGCACGACAACTCGTACGCATCAAGCCTCACAACGCCCGCCCTAGCCAAGACAACCTTTCAATTCCTCGTCGACACCATCGCCAAGCACGGCCTCACCGCGACCCGGTCCTGGTACATGCACATGAACTTCCACGGGGGCCCGACCTCGGCCGTGGCGCGCCCTAAGACGGACGACACGGCCTACGTCCACCGCGACAAGATGCTTCTCTTCCAGCTCAAGGACGGCGTCTCGACGAGCCAGACGTACCCGGCCGACGGGTTCGCGCTGCTCCAGGGGTTGCGGCAGAGCATCACGCGGGCGCTGGGCAGCGACCAGTGGGGCATGTATGCCAACTATCCCGACTCCCAGGTGAGCGGGAGCGAGGCGCCGAGGATATACTGGGGGAGCAATTTGCAGAGGCTGGAGTGGATCAAGGCCGACTATGATCCCACAAATGTGTTTCGCGATGCGCAGTCTATTCAACCTGCAAAGTAGTGACGGAGAGCTTTTGTGTAGGCAAGCGGGTAGTCTGGGGAGATTAACTGTCTTGATGCAGTTTTCTGGGAATTGCCGTGAAAGTTGAATCCAGAGAGACATTTAAGAACCACAACCTTGTCAATACAACGTTCCCCGAGCCGTTGAAGATCTCTGCGGGGAAATGAACCTAACTCGGAACCTCGTCAATTCGTCCGAGAAAGTGTGCCGATAACAAGGCTGATCAGGCAGGCATGTATATCTGACCCCAAGGCCATGGGTGAAGATTTGGCCAGCACAAGCCGAGGAGTGTGACAAACAAGAAGTGCTAGCTAGAAAGCAAAGAATGTATGCAAGCACATGCGGAACAACGACCCATGAGTGCAGAGCACAGGGGTGGACGGGGGAATATGGCTTCGTGGCCTTTTAACATTAGAACATTACATGTACAGCTAGGTGACAATTACTCGAATGGCGTCGCACTGGGATGAGACCAGCCACTCTTGACATGCTTCAAGATGGTGTGTCCTCGCCCATGCTAAACCAGGCATGTTCGCTCAGTAGCCCAGGATCAGCGATGAGTCCGTAGGCTCCTTCGATAAGATGTCTTTGGAGACATAAAGCAGCCGTACCATCCAAACGCAACAGGTTGAAATCGTCGGCCGCCTCCTGAATGCTTCCGCAGCGATGGCAGATTGACGCACGGCGCTGGCATCCTCAAATCCGACCACTGTCCACTGCAACCGATTTGGCCGTCCGACATGGGGTTCGAATACGGGCTAAGTCGCTTGTGCCCGCGCACTGAGAGATACCAACATGCGTGCGCCTGGACATATCTCCCTCCCTAGTAGTCGCATGGCAGGTCGGCCGAAAGTGTGATCAAGCGGTCTGTGGCGAGACCGGAGAGACTGCCTTTCAGCTTGTATGAGTCCTTCTCGATCTCAGTGGTCGACCGTGTCTTTGGGCCAAGTAGAAGCAAGCAAACGCGAGCGCGGGCGTCAGATCTATCTGACAAGCCCATCGATGGTATAAGCTATTGAGGAACAAGTTTTCGCGAGTCGCACTCAGCCGTTGCCATTGGCTGTCGCGTCGACGGAATTGCGGCAATAGGGTGCAACTGTACCCCGTAGAACTGCGCATTCAAACGACTACTCGTTTGGGTGCTGGGCGGGACATCCATACCGACGACGGACGAAAATAGCTGAGTAGAGTTACACGGATAGCACCCAGGTGGTAGGGGGTCCTCGACACAGGAACCGTAGCCTGTCGCGAACGGGAGGATCGTTTGGGTCAGTCTCGTCATCAATGATCGAGCATTCGAAATATAGACGTGTTTCTAACAAAACATTCTTCCTCCTGGGCGCCGCAGCCCAGAGCCAACCGGGTCGTTCGATCGTCGCCGTGTCCTTGCATATCGGCAATGATGCGCGCGGCAGCATTGCAAGACATTTCGAGCGGCGAGGCAGCCGGTGGGAGCTGATGGGATTCCAAGGGACGGGGAGGTGTCTCACTCCGACGATGATAGGGATGAGGGCTCCTAGACGGTTCCGAGACCGAGTTGGTGGTAGGGCCAGCCTGGGAGGAGGAGCGGTTGAGACTAGCGTCGGCGAGCACGGCGAGCCTATCTAGCGGGGAGCTCTGTTGTACATCGGACGTTGGGGTAAGGGTGAGCACCGGCGGCAGCAGCGAGTCTCCGAATTTCCTTTGGGACGCCAGGTTCTCGTTCTCCGTCTCGGACGAGAAGCCCGCCTTGCCAAAGTGCTCCTGCAGCGGGGGCAATTGGGTCGGTAATGGTTCGAGGAGGATGGGGGTGTTGAGAATGGGCGCGAGTGTCGTGGTGTTTGACGCACTGGGCGAGCCCTTGCTGCCCTCGTCGTCGAACGATTGCAAGTGTGCGTCCACCTCGCTGTTGGATACGCCCCGGCTGGCGAGAAGGGCGCGCAATCGAGTGTTTTCGGTCGCGAGTCGAGAGTTCTCAAAGGCGACGTCTCGAGCCGCCTTTTGCATCTGCAACGAAGCCTGGGTGCCCCGCTTCTCGTAGTCCTGGACTTTGCGCTGCAGTTCGTCGACAAACTCTTTGTGGCGGGCGCGTGATCGTCGTTGGTTATCGCGTATCCGAATCGCATTCGCCGACTTGTCGGTTTGGAGCTGTTGCTCGAGTAAGAAGTCAGTTTTTGTCGAGAGAGAGACACAAAATTTTAGCTGAAGTCCAAAGAAGTTTTTTTTTTGGTTTTTTGGTTTTTTGGTTTTTTTTTTTCTGGCATGTCACCCGGACCCTGGTAGGGGAACGGGAAGCAAGCGCAGGGGAAAAAAAAAAAAGAAAAAGGGGAGGGCGCACCCCCCGGCCGTCCGGGAGCGGGCGGGGGGGGAGGGAAAAAAAACCAGGGAAAAAAAAAAAAAAAAAAAAAGAGGTTCGACCCCATCGACTTACTCGACCACGTTTGGCCCTCTTGGCTTGAGGACCGAATAGATCTTGATAATCTTGCTCCGACGACATGATGTTGACTGTAGGCCTGTTCCATCCGAAGATCCCGGGAGGGTATGGACGCGGAGACGAACATTCGGTGGGCGGTGAGGCAGGTTTGGAAAAACCACCTGCTGTGATTTTTTTTTTCGTCCCCGTCGTAGTGGTAGTGGTTGGACGGTCGGGGGGTGGTGGGTGGTGGTGACAAACAGAGATAAAAAAAGAAAAGACAAAGGCAAAAGCGCTGATTCTGGACCGCCGATGACTAATCTCGCCAGTCGACCAATCCTCGTCGACCAGTCTGAGTTTTCCATGACGCTAAAGTTGATTGGCGAGTAAAATCACGTGTAGACGTACCCGTAGCGGGTCTGGCTGGTGGGGGCCCAAGCTCCACGGGCCCAAACATGGCATTTCTCTCTTTTTCAACTTGCTTCATTCTCGAATCTCGTCTTGTCCCTCCCCTCCCTCCCCTCCCCTTCCCCCCCGGCCAGTTTCTCTCACTGCTCTTGTGCTCTTCCCCTTTGGTGGTTGGCGGCGACAGGGCTTGTCTCTCGGTGCTACGTCCGTCCACTCACAGTCAACGGAAACAGCCACAGCATGGTCTCATTGGAATAGTCCCTGACGGGTGTGGTGAACAGAACATCTCCCGAGTCTTCTGCGATGCAAGACCTGTACAGGGACTTTTGTGCCACATCGTTGGCTGAGGCTTGGTTTTATTCGTACCGCGTCTGTCCACTTCTCAGAAGCTTGGCCTGGGCCATGCTAGATCCTCCCGTCACGTATCCGTACTGCAGCAAAACATCTCGCTGTTTACCCTTCTGCCCCAGCAGTTCTTGAATGTCACTGGGATGGAGGCTAGTCAGGCTCCTCTTGCGACATCCTACTGGCCCACCGAGCACGTATCCATGACGGCCAGTTAGGTACTGTGTACGGGAGCCATCTCCACGCGGCATGCACGCGGCACGCAAGTTGCAAGGGTTCATTCAGTGGAGTTCAGGGTCTCGCTCTGGAGATGGCTCCCTTAGGCCTTGGGCCATGGGCCTTTGGTGGGACCATTGCCTATAGGTACACCACATCCTTTATCAATGATGGGCATTGTCAACTCACCTTGCTCGACTAATGACTTACCAAAGATGCCATGCAATGATCCAAGTTTGCCGTCTGTCCCTGTATGAAACCGTCTGCACATCAATGAATGGACCCGAATAAATGAGTGAGCCTGAGTTAATGCGTAAGTCAGGTACATTTCTAAGCCACCTCTCCGGATCGCAAGCTTAGCACGTATAGATTCTCAACCTTCCTACTTACTGAAGTACGGATAGACACACTTGCTCCCTGGACCTGAAAAGCCTGGGGTACAAGCTGCCAAGCCTGGTAGCCCCGTCGGCTCAGACAGCTCTTCTGCACGCGGGCATGTCTGCATTTACCGACAGGCTGGGAAGGGAGTAACTGGAACGCGGAAAATGTCACCAAATTTCGTATCACCACAATCGCTTCACCTCCAAATTGCGACAACCGGGAGATCATGTTTTCATTCCTGTCCACTGCTGTCCTACAATTGCCTGTGGCGTCAGAGAGAAGGAGGATCTACTACTCCTAGCTAGCCAGATTTGTTGTACAAAACCCCTGGGCTGGAAGATCCTTATCGTTTTGTTATATTTGAGGAATTCTGAAGAGTTATTGTTTCTAAAACACGGAAGCTACCTTGATGGGTTCTGAGCAACCTGCGATGAATCAAGTCTTGCCAAAGTGCATGTAATCTTGGCAACATATCTCTCAGGCCCTCCGCGTCTAGAAGCTCAGAATCATTGGCTCTCGTGGAAAGCGTGGGGTTGCTGGTATTATGAGCTGCCGTCGCCGATTAGGATGGAAATTTCTCAAGGAGAACCGGGCAACTGAAGCCGTAAATTCCTTCAAAGAAAATCAAGTAGCACACCGTTGATACCAGCTTTCTCTAATATTAACTGACCAAGATGCACGAGTCTTGAGGTTCACTTTGGAAATTGGGCTCGTCACTCTGAAGTACCCATCTCTACCATTCACCCACCTCTATTAGAATGGCGAGCCCTTCATCGGTTTGCTTGTGTTTAGTCATTGCCTGAGGAGAAAAAGTCCCATACTGTGTAATTTCTGCATCAGAAGGGGACTCGTAGGTTGTGAATTTACCTAGCTTTTCGGGCCTTTGACGAGGCACTCCAATGGGGTCAATAGTTGTGCCGTCTCCGGGCAAAATGTAAATGTTACTACTGCTACAGGCTACTCAGACGTTATGGAGGTTATCTACGCAAATGAACAGTCATTCCGGAGCGCAAGCCTGATGAGCAAGTTTGAATTCACTGTCAATGATGCTCTCAATCCCCTGGCACATCTTGCATGGGCTACTGACGGGCGCTGACAAGAATTGTGTATCGTCATCTCACCGCGGCATATGAGTGCATTAGACGCTATTCACTGGCCGGGGAGCAAAGTATTCATTTTGACCATATTCTGAACAGATGGAAAATGCGGACGTAGATCTTGCCTGGGTGTCATTTGGAATTTCAATCTGATATGACTTACAATATGGGTTGAGGGTCCTCATCGAGCACCTCAAAATCTGTTCGTTTCCGAACTGTATTATCGAGGACCAAGACCTCTTCATTCTTTCCCCTGATACTGACAGATTATCTTGCATTTGGACGAGCCTGATGAAGAAAAGGACACATATCGAAAGTCTACTGGAGTTCATTTGGTACTTCGACATGGTGCTTGGCACTGATTTCATAAAGACGTCCTGAACAATCTGTCTTGGGCCGTTGGCTAAAATTCCCCTCAAAAAAGCTGGCGAGATTATTTTGAACGGCACAGCTTCCAGAATCCGGCGAGCCAATGAAATTTTCGACTTGCCCGCTCTCAAGAAAACCTTTTCCTCACCCCAATACCACTCTTGAGAATCTCAAAGAGGTTTTTCATTGGTGGTCTAATTGGCCGCATACGGCGGTAGCGGTTAAATTTCCTTCGATTCTTCTTGAAGCTGTGAGCCAAAGGCATTACGGTCTTTTTCGGATCGGTCCCGGTACGAAAGCCAATTTTGTGGTACATCAAAGATGAGGAAAGAATATAGGTGGCATTTGCGCGGATAGTTTCGGAGAATCGTCTCCGATCTAATGCAGCTTCGTGAAACACCTTCTCACACAATCCGCGAGATCAGATTGCTATCTGCATACCAATTCCTGTAACTAATATGACATCGGGGCTTTTGGCTGCGGTGGGACAGAAAAGCCATAATGGAAATCGATCTCATGGTTGAATGCAGGCTTGTAAGCCAACAGATAATCCAAGGATTCCTCCTGCAAACGCGTCGTGTGCAGCTTTGCAAAAGCTAGTTGATGGATCTCGTCTGTAGCTCAGCCGCAGAGCGAGACTGCTGGTAGATCGCAATCTGACCTGTTGTATAAGGACCTATGACTAGATCCCAAGAACATGAGCGTAGCTGGGAATGACCCAAATTTACGGGAGCTCCGAGCCTCTAAAGAAGCCATGATATAGCAAATTGCATGGAAGTTGAGTTCATGACCGGCTTTCTTAAACTTTCAGAGCCATCGGGTTCTCAGTGAAGATTTCGAACAAGCCTTGACTATTCACGACAAGATACAACTTCCATTTGCAAGTTCTTTGTGTAGCTACTCTCGTGCTCCAGGAGGTTCAGGAAAGACCGCAAGAGTGCCAGGTAAACTGAACACGAAGGGAAATGCTGGACTGAAGGAAATTCTCAGACCTGATCAAACAAGCATACGAGCCTAATAGAATGGTAAGTAAGTTCAAACACTTTGACTACACGTGACGAGCTTGATCTCTTGGGGCTTCTAGTGAATAGAGGTTGTCATGTGGTCAAAAAGTTGATCTAAGGAAGATTTGACATTCGATTCGGGCCATAATGGTAAACCTTCCAAACCCAGACTATGTCGCTTCTGCTCCGTCTTGGGAACTCCATCATGAGTATCAGCATCGCAAGTGATCACCTGACCATCAATCATATTTTAGCATGAAAAGATGGTGCAAACTTTGTTCTGTATCTTGTCCGGGATGCCGGGTACGAAAAAAAAAAAAAGAAAAAAACTTCGCACCGAGACTACGGTTCTAGGTGCTGCTTGACTTATAATATCCTTCAACCACGGAGTCTGCCGGAGAACAACATCGGCCGTAAAGCTAAGCGCATCGATCGGAGATCTGGAGCCTTAGAGCCGAAGAAGTCTTTACGGGCGGGGTAGGATTGGCGCACGTGGGCTGCCAAAGAGTAGTGTCACGCTATTTTCCGGATTGAGCCTTTCCTGGGTCACGGATTAATGGTCGGGATCATGTTGGTTGAGACCCTGAACGCGTTGCGGTGCCATTCAGATCTGGCCAATGGCGATTATGACTTGGTTCGTGGTCTAGACCGCGGTGAATACGATGAGTCCGGGCAGACATTTTGCCCACCAAGTTCCGGTAGTCTGAAGAAAGCATTTCCGGTCAGGTGATATTTGGCAGCTCCATCTGTACAGCAATGGTCTCTCGTGGAACACCAAGTTCGAACCCAGGATGGGGAATAGAGCTAGGTGATAAGTGATAAATGTCAAGACGGTGGCCAGGTAGGCCGTCCACAATCTTGGGCCCAGAAATTGCAAAATGTAAGTCGAAGTCAAGATCTTGACACATGCCAAATCCGTAGTTTATGAATCATCATACAGGACTGTGACCACTTAGAGTCCCCAGATTCAACATGCTACGAAGCTATGGCTCACCGCAGGTTCAACGGATCCGTAAGGTGGGACGGTTGATCCTCCATTGCCCAGCTCCAGATTCCAAACTCACCAGGAAATAGCCAAGGTCCAGACTTCCAGATGCCAGTGGATGAGTACCGAAAGCGAAGGAAACCGTTATGACTGCAGGTGTGAAGGCTGATGAGCTATACTCCTCGGTGTATCATCTCGGCGCGTTCAATGTTGCATAAGCTCTGTTACACAAAACCGGTGTCCTTATTGTCCCCCTCAAACCCTCCCTGGAATGCTGCATTGTCATTGCCGAGTCAATTGCGCACCTCGGAATCTGCCAAGCTCGTCTACACGTTTTCGGTCAATAGTGAGGGAGGGGGGTAAAACAGCTGATAAGAGGCCGGGTGCGTCGGGGTGTGTTCGGCAGCTGAAGAGACAACACGCTTGGGAGTGTTTTGTTGAAGATTGTCGTGCCTCTGATGAGATGCCATCCATATCCGGTCGCATGGCATCATCTGGAGAGCCGGAAACACTTGGCGGAGTCGGAAATCCGACCCAGAAAGGCCGTCTAGGTCGGGAACGTAGCCTCTAGATTGTCCGGGGTCACGATTCCACCCATAACCATGGTATCGATTGACCCTTTTGCTGCTGTCTTTGCTAGCCTGGCAATCCAAACTGATCACTAAACATTATTCAATTTCTCAGTCAACGTGGTGGGCGCGATCAGGAAGCCAGCGAAGCCTATTGAGCCATGGCACGAGGTGATTGGCCATTCATCGGAGTAATTACGAATCTAAGGGAAGCTCAGGTTCCCAAAACTCTGGTTCAACGGCAATTCTTCTCGCTTCTTGACGCCGGCCTTTTTCTTCTTCTTCATTTTGCTAAGAGGCTTCACTGCCATCATCGGCAAGAAAAGCGGGAGAGTGTAGTACCTAGCACGACGGAAGAATTGACTCCATAAAAGGCTTGTGTTGCTAGTGTTAGGCGAGGAGCCATGTCTCGAAACGTGATAATGCCCGACCCCAACACATTCTTGTGAGTGATGCTCGAGGTTTAGTGGCCAATTGTGCATGCAGTCGGCAAAGCCGCCACAGACCAAATCAGAGCTAGTTCCTGTCTCTGAGCCTTGGTCAAGCTCGACTTGGTCTTCGGCATCTAGTGAGGCGCAGAAATGGGGCGAAGTCAGAAGAGAGAGAAAAAAAGAGAAAAAGAGGCTTAGAAGCATCTTCGTGACGCATTCGGTTTAGACACTTTTCTCATTCCGCCAGCGACAGAGATGAACGGGGAGCCCTCTCGGCGGTTCTGCTGTGTCGGCTTGGCCTGTCACTCCTCAGGACGCCTCCACGTCCACCTCGCGAGGCTTGCAAAACTTTAACTAACCAACTAACCGAACGACGGACCGACTGCCCCACGGACATCAGATTCCCTTCCCGGCTCCGATCATCCAGATTCTGGGGTGTCGAGCACGCACTCGGCGAGAAAAACCAATCCTCCGCCGATGGCTGTCCGCGGGCATCTGAGACTTGTCTTCCCCGGTTCAGGGTCTACTCCCAAAGTCACCATAGGAGACCATATACCACAGCAAGTCAGAAGCCTAGAGGAAAACGTGGGATCCGTAGAAGAGTGTCAGTAATGAGTGATGATAATAACGTCCACCCCCCCCCCCCCCCCCCCCCCCCCCCCCCACAGCCGCGCTCACCCCCCCTTCCAGGACCGCGCCCCCCGTGCGCGGCCGACCCCCCCCCCCCCCCGCCCACCCCTTCCCCCCCCCCCCGCGGCCTCCCCCCCCCCCCCCCCCCCCCCCCCCCCCCCCCCCCCCCCCCCCCTTCTCCAAGCGTCAGTCAAGCACTCTTTCAGATAACCGGCCCCAGTGGTCTGGGCCGACTCGTCCGCACCCGGACAGCAACTTTGCCATCTCCGCCGTGGCTTGCACGACGACACCCCGTCCTTCCGGCGGCTGATCCGAGCCGGCCCTCGCCCATATTTGTTACCTTCCCAGACAGTTTCTCCCCCATGGTTGCATTGTCTCCTCTTCTTTTCTTCTTTTACTACCCTCGCGCTGCGGTCTTCTGACTTTTGGTGTTCATCAGAACCCCCTTCGAGTCCCGAATCCCTTCACTACCGTCATGATTTGATCACCGCACAATTTGATACCCCAGCGAAGCCCAACTAGCGATGAAGGCCTACCTTCTTTACCTATCCTTCTTGTCGTGCCTACCGTTGGTGTATGGCCTATACGACGACGTTCCCGATTGCGCAGTAAGTTGGTTGAGATAGCTCATCAGTTTTCCGGTCAGGACCATGCTGAGATGTGATCTTAGTTACCGTGCCTATTCGAACCGCTCGATTACACAACATGTCAGTTCACGAACTCGACATGTCTCTGCGAGGACATGAATTACAACATGGCCGTGATCCATTGTGTTCGGCTTCAGTGCAGTGTGCAGCAAGCTCTCTGTAAGTGTCTGGTCGCATTTGTGGGAATAAACGAACGCTAACATGAGCCTGTCAGACACGAAGAATCAGACATGGCATGAATGCGGTTTCGAATATCATGACGAAGGTGTCTCAATCGCATGGGTTCCGTCATTTCTATTCGGACTCGTGACCCTCTTCTTTGCCATGCGGCTGGCAACGAAATGGATGGGTCTGTCGACATGGGGATTGGACGATTCGACAATTACCTTTGCCTATGTAGGCTTATCATGGCGGCATCTGGATGACAGCCTGGCTGACTGATAAATTAACAGGTAATGATGATTGCTTTCTTGGTCGCCACGCATCTTGGTATGTCATTTACTGTCCTACCTTACCCAGAGACAATGGAAACTAACATCTTCGCAGGAAGACAAGAAGGGTTCGGAAAGGATATTTGGACCCTGACGGTGGATCAAATCACGTCATTCATAAGGGTAAGATTGAATTCCACGGGATGAGATTCTCGGGATGCCATTGCTGACACTTATCGCAGGGCTTTTTCGCCTTTGAGATGGTATACTACGTGACCCTCGCCACCATCAAAGCCTCGATCCTCTTTCTTTATCTACGCATCTTCGGCGCTCTTACCGAAACTTTCCGCCAAATCCTCTGGGGGACGCACATATTCAACGTCATCGTATGCGTCACCTTCGTCGTCGTCAATTTCAACCAGTGCAAGCCCCTCAGCTATTTCTGGTATGGGTGGGATGGCAAACATTCTGGGCATTGCATCGATCTATCAGCCATGGCTCTTTCCCATGCGGCAATCAACATAGCTCTCGATCTCTGGATGCTGGTTTTACCATTGACCCAAATCTACAGGCTCAACCTACAGAAGAGACAGAAAGCTGGCATCATGTCCATGTTTGGTATGGGGATCTTGTGAGTTCAGCGTACTACCTATTCCACTGACGATTGTTTTGACTGACCTGTCTGTCCTAGTATCACCATCGTCAGCGCTGTTCGCTTGCGCAGCGTAGCGCAATTTAACAAATCATGGAACCCAACCTGTGAGCTCTCAGAATAATCAAATTCCATTAACATGCCTCTCTGACCAACGTATTTCTAGACGACTTCTTTGGCCTAGCGCTCTGGTCCCACATTGAGCTTTGCGTAGGAACGATTGTGGCATGCATGCCGGCAGCCCGAGCCCTCGTCCGACGACTCTTCCCTGAGCTGCTCTATGTCGCCAACATATCTACAAACAGGACTTCCACTAGGGCCTCCGGCAACGTCAAGATTGTGTCCCAGGATATTGCAACCATTGCCACAGATGACTTGGCCGAGAGTTCGACCGCCAATTCCACAAAGAAGGACTCGCTCGCCACCCTTACACCCGATCGCGTGCCGCTGAGGCGACTTACGACCAGCGACAGCTTGCTACAAATCTTACCCAGTGAGGCGGATCAATCGTTGTATGGAGGGTCACTGAAAGGAAGCAAGCTCAGTGATTGGTAAAAGTCAATTCTTTTTGACGGCGTGTATTCGTAAACGACAATGCTGGTGGAAATGAGACTGGCGAAGAAGTGTGAAAAAGCATCGACAATACCCTTACTGTACTGCGAAGCAGATTGATATTTAGAATTGTTTGGAGCGAAGTATTAGGTCCATCCCCTGTAACAGATATAAGAATACAAAAGAAGACAGATCTACACATTTTAGGTGCTCAATACTTCCGCGGTGCGAGAGATTTTGCAGACGCGCTCCTCTCCACCCATTCTTCCGCCTGCTACTCATCGCTCGAGCTTAAGCTGTGTTGAACGGCGGGGCTGATTCTTCTTCTACCATACACTCAATCAAACTGACGTTGGAGATGTTTCCATCTGGCCTGTTCAAAATCAAGGTAGTTTCAAGGGGAGCCATGTAACAGATCAACCAATTTTCAATGGAAGTACTCCAGCCGGTTTCAATCCAGTTTTGTTGCGTCCACTCGGCCTGAGTTCGATTGCGTCCGCCGAGGTGGTCTTCGGATGTATAATGAGAGCATTCGTCCAGTGATTTGGTATCAAAGGAGCTCACCAGAATCTACACATACTCAGTAAGTGAAGGAGGTTGTTCTACAGACATATCTCACTTCTTGTGGCCATGATAGTGATGACTGTGGCACTCGATACGACGGTCCAGGGTGGCCCAGTCGCGTCGGCAGGCGTGGATATCGGTAGCCGCTAAGGCAACTGACGAAAAAGTTTGTCTCATGATGAATTTGTTACTTGGTCTTTGCCACTTACTTGATAACCACTGGACGTGGTGCGATTTGAAGAGTGGTTACCCTCAACATGAGTTTTTTATACCTACACGCAGGCTTTGCAATCGTGCCCCCGCACGCTTTTATCACTCAGTGAACTCACCCCTCTTGTAAAAGCATAATCAAGGCAGTACCGATCAAAGACATGACAGCGTTGAATATTGAATGCTGCGACCGATACTCCGAGTCAAGGCATTTTCAGATCCTGCATTGCCCGCATTCTACAATGCCTACGTGACGTCCCTCGAACTTCTTATCTGGCACAGCGTTCATATAATGCGACGTGAGCCAGAGGTGAATCAGCCGAGTTCCAGCAATCGAACTGCAACTTATATTACCGGAGTATTGGCTACCAGTGAGGTGTAGTTCGAACTTGGTGATATCGAGCGTAGGGTAGATCTTGGCCTACGTGGTCAAGCAAATGATGCGTCAATCAACAGCTTTTCTCCGAATATGCTCACTGCTATGTATGCTCACGAAGCCGAAGGAAGATTCAAGGTAGTCGGATTGCTTCGGGCCGTCATCGGAGTTCAGAATTCGTTCGACTCGGCGGCTATTTTAGCTCATATTGGTCGATGAAGGAGACTTGGACCACTTGGTCCGAGATTTCCGAAGTATGCCACAATAGAGTCCGTTGCGATGTCGAAATTTCACCAAGTCTGACTTCATAATGCCGCATTGAGGGCTAGTCTTGGAAGATGATTTTCCTCAGTCACAAGTCAGTCTTCCTTAGTCAGGGCTGGGGCTAGAGGTTGCTACTCCAAGCCACGGACGGTGCCACATTAGGTTGGTCGAAAGGTCAGTCCGGGACCACAGAGCTTAGTTTACGCAGTCTTTCCCATGAGTTCTATGAACCATCAATCATGAGCGACGATCAGATGTCCGTCAAACACAGCGACCAGAGCTACTGCAGGAACAGACATGCCCTGAGCGGATGAGACATGAGACGCTAGATGCTAGATCGGGGTGCGAGGGATGAGATCAGAGCCGGGTACATGAAGATTTGAGCCCGAACCATGGATGATATGCCGAAGAGAGCTTCCATCATGATTCGTTTATTTCTCAAAGTGAAAGGTCAAGTGAGAGGCTCAAAATCAGCCAACATGAGATTTAAGAGTGCAAGACCTCAGGAACAGGGGTCGAGGCCGGCAGACTTGCAGCACAGGCTTGCAGCTGCGGCGGTGTTTCCCCGGCGCACGTCCCATTCCAGGCATTCTAGCTCCATCGCGAGGCACACCGTCCTGCGGCCAAGTTTGCAGGGACGGGAGGTACCCCCGGCTAGGGTCGCCCCGCCAGCTGCACTCCAGCTACTTCTCCGCATCAAAGCGTCATCGCCCCAAGAGCTCCAGCTCCGAGCTCCCCAAAATCAAAGCTCCGAGAGCTCCATCAGGTCATCCCCCCCGATCCACTTCCCATCTGCAACCACGGTCTACCCAGTCATTGGATCTCTCCTTATCACCACATCTCGATTCTCAGCTGGCTGGTTTCGTCAACTATCTTATCGCCATAGCCCTATCAAGCAGGCCCTTCATCGCGCAATCGCCTGTCATGTCGGAGAAAGCGCCACTTATCCCGGAGCCGGAGCAGCGCGTCTTCTACGGCCGGCCGACGCGGTGCCCATACGCCCAACGGTGCTCCGCCGGGAAAGCCGTCGTCAAGGTCTTCGTCCTGGCTACCGCTGCCGGCTTGCTGTACTACAATATTCCGCAAGGTTTGTGGACATCTGTGAAAATTTGCAGGCAGCTACTAAGTTCTATTTGTGCAGCCCAGAAACCCATCCACGAAGAGAAGACGCCCGTTTGTTTGACCCCGGCTTGTGTCCATGCCGCCTCCGAGATCCTGTACAACTTGTCGCCGAATTACAAGGAGCTCGACCCATGCAACGACTTTGAGGAGCTCGTCTGCGGTGGATGGAGAGACCGACATGACCTTCGTGCCGACCAAGGCGATGCCTTCACCGGCACCATCATGTCTGAGAACTCGGAGCTGTTGCTTCGCCACATTCTTGAGGCGCCCTACCCCAAAGACTCCCAGGTTAGCACAATCAAGTCATGATCCACAGCAGTGGCTAATACGTTTCCAGCACTCGTACTTCTCCCCCCTCCGTCTCGAATCCACCGACAAGTCCGCCGATGAGCAAAACTTTGACAAGATGAAGGCTGCGTATGATGCTTGTGTCGACGAGGACAAAATCAAAGACATTGGGGTCGAACCCCTCATCAAGATTCTGGACGAGATCAAGAACACTTATCCTCTCGAGGAGGCCGCCTCTGTAGACCCGAGCCCTACCAAAGATGCCATTCTTCTTCTATCCAGGTATGGAATAGACGCTCTGGTTGCCTCGGGCACCGGCGCGGATGACAGAGACCCCGAAACCGTCGTTGTTTCTGTTGCGCCCCCCTACAGCCTGGGTCTGCCCTCGAAGGAGCGATACGAAGACGAGAAGCTCGTCGAGAAGTATCGGGGTGTTGCTGTTGAGGTTCTCGGCAACCTCTACCCCGATGGAAACAAGGACAACTTTGCCAAGGTTGTTGACCTTGAGAAGCTTCTGGCAGCTGCGTCTCCTAGTACCGAGGAGCGCGAGGATGTCACAGTGAGTAATGGGAATGGCGCCACTGACAAGGTCTGAAGAAACTGACACACGACCAGAAATACTATAACCCAATGCTTATCGACGAGGCATCTGCTCTTGCCCCTGAGATTGAGCTGACGGCCCTGATCCACGATCTCGCCCCTGATGGTTTCGTCGTTGAGCGTGTCATTGTTATGGCACCAAAGTACATGACGGAGCTGTCTACCATTCTGTCTGGAACTGACAAGCAGGTCATTCAGAACTACTTCATTTGGAAGGCGGTTCAGTCCTTCTCATCCTACGTTGACGCCGACGCTGTCAAGCCGTACAAGCGCTTCAAGAATGAGCTCGCTGGAAAGGTGAGTTGACAGTGCTGCATCTAATCGCCGTCGTACTAATTAATCAAGGACCCCGAATCTGCCCCTGAGAGATGGCGTACCTGTGTTGGCCACGTTGATGATGGCCTGGGTTGGATTCTCAGCCGCTTCTTCGTCGAAAAGGCATTTTCGGCCGAGGCAAAGAAGTTCGGCGACACCATTATCACCGACATCAAAACCGAATTCACCAAGAAGCTCAAGGCCGCCAAGTGGATGGACAAGCAGACTACCACCAAGGCCATGGAGAAGGTTCAGAATATCATTCAAAAGATTGGTTATCCGACCAAGAGCCCCGACATCATGGACCCTCCCAGTCTCAATGACTTTTACAACTCAGTCAACGTCAGCCCGGAGACTTTCTTTGAGAACGCTCTGACTGTTCGCAAGTTCGCCGTCGGCTACGAGTGGTCAGCCCTCGGTAAGCCCGTCGACCGGGAGCAGTGGGGTATGACAGTCCCTACCGTCAATGCCTACTACAACCCTCCCGGCAACGAAATAGTCTTCCCGGCCGGCATCATGCAGTTCCCCGTCTTCGACGTCGAGGTCCCTGCCTACATGTCCTACGGTGCCTTTGGCTCCGTCGCTGGACATGAGCTCAGCCACGCCTTTGACTCCACTGGCCGCCACTACGATCAGAACGGCAACTACACTGACTGGTGGTCCGACGCTACTGTCCAGGCATTCAAGGACAAGGCCGAGTGTTTTGTCGAGCAGTACTCCGACTTCTCAGTCCCAGGACCGGACGACAAGCCTCTCCACGTCAACGGGCGCCTCACCCTCGGCGAGAATCTTGCCGACGCTGGCGGGCTTTCGGCCTCGTACCAGGCCTGGAAGCGCCGTGCTCACAAGCACCCCAACAAGGATCTGCCGGGCCTCGAGCACTTCACGCAAGATCAGCTCTTCTTCGTCACATACTCCAACTGGTGGTGTGGCAAGTCTCGGAAGGATACGGCCATCAACCGGATCTATACTGATCCCCATGCGCCCAAGTGGGCCCGTATTCTTGGCACCATGTCCAACAGTAGGGAGTTCAAGGAGAGCTTCCAGTGCAAGGACAAGAAGCCCACCTGCGAGCTGTGGTAAAATGCTTTAGCGGGGAGTTTGGAAATTAGTCAATGAACAAAGAATGGTTGCGTAGCGCTTGCGTGTATAGTATGTACGGTATATCACAATGGCAATCATTGCTTGACATGGACATGTCAATGGCCATTCCCTGCATGAAGTGCGAGTGGGACTAAGAAATTGACTCATGCCTTGCTACCTTAGGTACGTTGGCGTTTATCCTCCCTAGAAAGGCCAAGTTTCTCCCGTGACGCAAGGCGAGTGATCAAAAAAGTAGACCTATACCCCTAGATGGATAACATCTCAATGCTCAGTCGCAAGTCGCCATGTTCATCTTCGTGGGTACGCATGTGTGGTCTGTCAGTGGCTAGTGATAACGGAGCCAAGGTTCACGGATATTTGGTCATCCATCCCCTGATCTGCCAGGGTGAGTCTACGGAACCTGTGTCTTCCACCGCTGTCTTGCTGTCAAACTATGGTTCCATCTCCCAATATAGTGACCCCCTGAGTTGGGTTCCTACACACCCGTGAACCGGTCAGAAGGTCAAAGGACAGTCTAGTGATGGGGGTCGAGATTCTGCAAAAGATACACGCATCGTCATCTATTGTATGCCGCCAGAGACGGTAGATCGGAAGCAACGAGATTCAAGGGGCAGAACAGTACACTTCAATTTCAAATATCAGGCGGCTGATACTCTCGATACTATAGGGTCCCCATTTCTAGAGCACATCTTATCGGTTACTCCGGAGCCCTCAGCAGTCACTGCTTTGCCCTGCCATTGCAATTTAACTGATGCAAGATCGCACGAGCTTAATGTGAAGAGAGTTATTACTTGAAAGATTGAACGAACCAATATTAATAATCATGGAACATAGGCCAAGACTACAAGAAGGACCAGGCAGCCCCGTGAAATTTTCGTGAGTTCCTCGATCCCCTCAATGAGCCCTGCTATCAGTGATGTGTCTTTAAACAAAAATTATTCGGTAGTCTCGAAATAGCTGCGACTGTTGAGGTCCCAAAAACTAAGACAAATAAGAAGCCGATCGATGTCGTTGGAGTATCGGTGCTCGTGATAGGCTGCACAGAGCGGCTGCTGGGTGTGCAGCTTACATGAGCTTATCTAGCTGGCAGGCAACTGGAGAGCCAATAATAAACCAGAAGTGAAACTCTTGCCGTTCAGAGGCTTGCAGAAACATCAAATCAAATGGTGGAACCGTCTTGTGCTTGGGTACTATCCGTGGACGCGTTGGACTTGTGGTAAACAGGGGAGGGGATCGGTGGTAGGTGTATGCGTTGTTCAACTCCTTGAGACAGGCCGGCTCCCCAGGGGTCCCCGTTTCGTAATTGTCGAGGGGCGCGGTATTACGGGGTGCTGCTAGCCCCGGCGTATGAACCTTTTTCTGATGTTTTCTACTCTTATTCAATGGGGGGAGAGAGGGAGAGGTAGAGAAAGAGCTTTTCATAGGGCGGCGGATGGATTACGCAGTGCTGGTGTTTCTCTAGCAGTTTTTGCTTTTTGCTACGTAGTAGTGCCCATTCAGATTCAGGCACAACCTGTCCGACGCTGAAACATTCGGCCGACTAGTTTCGGCTTTTTCACTCTGCCAATGAAATCGGCTGTGGTGGTGATTGCGGTGTGTGAATCTGAGGCTTTCATGATGAATGTGATGGATGGACTAATTCGTCGGGCTAAATTTGATCTACAACCGCACATAGTCTCAGGTCTTGGCACCTGCTGGTTCGCACAACAACTGGGTCGCCGTGTTATCGTTGCGTATGTCTCCGGTCACGAAGAGCACCAATCTCAACTCATTCCGCTGACGATAGGAATGCCGCATCGAGAAGTCCGCTATCTTGATGCACCTTCCGAGTATTGTTGGGATCACCGGGACCTGCTCTAACAATGCCGGTGGGCAGACGATTGCCATCTGTCAGATGCCGTATTAGGAAGGCTTCATATCGGGCCAAGACTTTGTACGGACTCGCCATATTCGCCCCGGGAGGTGCGGGAGACGCCCAGCTTCCACATGCGGGCCTGCCGATGGTGTTCACACTGCAGAATTCTTTTATACTTCCATAACGTAACCGGACGTTCTTCGGTGGTCGAATGTAGCATCGCGATAGTTTGCCTTGACGTCCGGCGGCGAGTAAAAAAAACTGTGAGACCGAGAATGAAGCTTATGCTATATGGCTTTTGAAATTCAGGGCGAAGGCGTAGTGAGACCCAAGACTGTGATCCTTGCCTCGCTGACTCGCCGACGGTGGTCCGGCCGTCTCATTCGGGCGCCGCCGGAGGTAGCCCGCCGAAGGTAGCCCGCCGGAATATACGCCGGGCCAGATCCGTCCAGTTGGGTTCTGTGCACGGAGCTAAATGGGGACAATGGAAAGAAAATAATGTTTGTTTGAGTCAGGGGAGATTGGGGATAGTCGGCCATCGACGTTGACATGGAACCTCTAAACCGGCCACCATGACATGGTTGCAACTTGCGAGCTCTCTGCGGCCGGACGTCAACAACCTGGTACCAGCAGCCAGCAACACACCACGGTGAGCCGGACATGTGAGACTTGGTTGCTCCGGGGCTTTTCGGAGGAGCCACGCATTCGGTCTATAATTCGGCGGCTCATCACCTCACCCAGCAATGGATGCTTTACAAACTTTGAAGAGAATATGGGTAGGCTTGTTTTCAATCCCGCCAAGGGATTTGCTTGGACGTTGTGGTGTGATCCCTGATTGCTTTGATCTCTCGAGAACCCACGAGTACGTTGAGAAATGATAGGAAGAAGAAACAGAAAAGAAGAGGAAAAACAAAAACGCCACCCCTTTTACCCCCCAAGTCTAGCGCGCGCACAGAGCGGGAGCCGGTATCCCGCGGTGACAGGTTCGGTTTCCGTGGGCTAGGTAGTGAACGGATTGACAAGCACGACAAGATGGTGAAATTTTGGGCAATTTCAATTGCTACATGTACCCATGGGCGCCGGATGATCTGCAACTTTGCATGTCTTGGATCTTGGTCTTCCTTGGACAACCGAACAAGTCCAATACTGCCAAGAAGACTCCATCAATAGAACGCTCCACAGTGAATACCACGGTGTAGACACAGCAAATGTCCCAGATTGCCAGAACGGAGAGGAAAGGCAATGGATGGTAGATGAGTCAAGAGAGACATCGTTGACGGTGCAGGTTGTTTTTGATGACCGGACTGGGCGGACAAACTTCGTTGGCAAAGGAAAAGTGGTGCGGATGGAAGGCCCCGACGCGTCAACATTCACTTGGCGGTGATTCTCATCACCAAACTCAACCGTGATGTGGAGATGTGGGAAGGGCGGTGCATTGTCAGGGAGGCCGTGCAATGGGATAGGCGCCGCCTTGGTGTTTCTCATTGTTTCTCTCTCTCCTCTCTAGAGTCCATGGAAAAGACACCACTCAAGTCTCACTGAGTGGAAAGTGAAGCTCTCGCCAAGAGGTAAGTGTCCACTGCCACGGCGGGAAGGGTAACAGTTGTTGAGGCATTCTTTCCTGTCATCATCGACGTGGACCCTCTCTGTGATGCGGCGGTGCATTTGCCAATGCTGCTAACGCACACGGCAGCGGATGCAGCCGGCTGCGGCAATGTTCATCGTCGCACCGCCGACGTTGAACCAGACGTTTCGAAGTGTGCGTCTTGGCGGTGCGGCGGCGCTGTCGCAGCCGCAAAGTAGATGTGATCGGCCTGGCTGCATTAGATACCGAGAAGGCCGTCCCGTACGTAGCCCGTGGACTGGTTGGGGGGCGCTGCGCTGGGAGTGCAAAGTGGGCAAGGGGAGCAGCAGATGGGAATTTTCCTACTTGGCGCTGGGCGGGTGGTAGATCGTGTCACCCAATCTGGCCAAGAGATTGAGCAAGAATGTATGACGAGGAAGGCTGCTAGGTAGTAACGGCTTTGATGCAGATGTGCAAGCTCACCGGTGCCCTAGTGGAAGCCAAGTCAGCAAGCGAGGAACGTCGAAATTGTATCCGTACACTGGATGCTTGGGGGGGGGGGCCTTGGTCACATGGACAGGGGCGTATTTGGTTGCTTCACTTTTGCTTGTGAAAAATGTGCTCTTGACTTGCCTCTATTGGCGGTATCCCGTCCGCGATGCACCATCTTGGCGGGAGCTTCATTGGGTTGCGGTGCACAATCAACTGCTCCAAGAGGAAACACCGCCACTGTTTCTCTGTTGTTGGTGTGGAGCGGGTGGCATCTGGTCCATGATGTCAGAACGCCAAGTTGCTCGGGGAGATGAGTAGCATCAGCGTGGCTTCGTTCGTGAACGAACATGTAAACAAGACGCGACGTGCAGTTACAATCGGATAGTGGGCACAAGAGAAGAATCAAAAACTATGGGATCTCCAAGACAGAATTTGACGGCTCTAGGTAAGGGTTTTGTATCGACGTTTGGCATCTTTCATAGTGTACAGCTTTCTACCGCTTTAATCTGCAGGCCGCTAGCCTTCGTCCGAATTGCTATAGCATAGTAATAGTGAGCTGCTGCTATCCGGCATCGTGTGGTGACGGTATTCTGTTTAAGCCTCTCACACAGGGTGAGAAGGGAAACTCACAGAGCCCTTCGAGAGACTCTGTGTTCTAGAAATAAGCCAACTATGATTCGCGGTTGCACATGCGCACACCCTCCGAGTTTAGCGGATGGACAGCCGAGGGGCCAAGTCATCCAGGGCCACGTTGTGTGGCGCCTGTCTGTGGGTGACTGTGTGTGTGTCTGGTCGCCCACCAGTGCTCGCTGTCACTGATCGTGGCGGCATTGAACAATGAATTGTCACATACCGTCACTTTAGGCTCGAACGGCACGGCTCTTTGGGCACCCAAGACGTCGATCAAGAGGTGGAGGATTATCAGCAGAAATCTTCCGTGACAGGCAATCTGTCTTTGTCCATCTCCGTCATCGTCCGAGCTGTCAGATTCCACCTGCGCATCGGCGAGGGCCAGCCACCCATGAAGCCTCTTCAAGGGTATGAGACCTCTGGCCAGGGAGAGGTAATCTGGGAGTGGGAGGGCAACGGGACGGGCGCGGCCCTCTTTTTTGACTTCCATCTCAATTTGGACGGGTGGGACAACCGCAGTATGATACCTTGAGTCTTGATTCCCAAGTCTGAGTTTGAGTCTGATAATCGAGGTGACGAAGAGAAGGCAGTGGTGACCGGTCCCCGTCGAATGTCACATCTCCCTTGGCTGCTCGACGCTTATCTCTGGGGGAGCCCCCCGGAACCAGATCCCTGGTCGCCTTCTTCGAGCAGTGTGGTGTTTCGCCCTGGTGGGTTCTGTCTCCTGAATCCCGTCAAACATGCGCTGCTGCCGAAAATACGCTAGACACTGGGGGAGAGTGACCTGGGCTACAGCAAAAGGATCCCCGGCGGCCGTTCTACAGTATCCGTAGTTGACGTCCTGTTTCGAGGTCTTGCTTCGGTCCCGACCCGTTTTCGTATCCATTGCAGGTGGAGAATCTCTAGTGTTTGGTTAAGGTTGAAGCGTTTTTCGATGGGCCATCTGTAATCTGGGGAGCCCGTCATCTGAGTGAGGCGTGGGCCACTAACGTCTCGACAGTACCGTATACGCAGCACGGCTTGAGAACACATATTGTGGCAGGGCAAAGTTTGCAGATGAACCATGTGGATCAACTCTCAGTCCCATCACGACCTACGAGATCAGAATTCGAAGTGATGAGCTAGAGTCGGCCTTGGCAAAGATGCGCAGCCTTTCATTACGAATGCTTCATTTATCCGGTGCGCGACCTGCGGCCAAGACTGTAGACACGAGCTGGCAGGAGTCCAATATCGTTGAGGCCGGCTTGGCCTTTTCGACTTCTCTCTGGCACAGAGTCCATGCGGCGGCAGAAGAAGCAGCAGCAACAGTCAGCGAGTAAGGTAGAGCACGGCAAGCACGGGAATTTGAAAAAAGAGTTCTTCAACCGAATCCCGCCATTGCCGTCCTCTTTCTCACTCTCTCTCTCAACTACGGAGTACTATTAACGTGTTTCGAGGTCCAAGAGGCGGGCCCTTTCATCTCTTGGCGGCCAGAGCTAGTGAAACGAATGCCCCGACTCGGACTGCCGGGGGTCCCCCGTGAGACTTACACATCCGCCCTTCCCAGCTCGAGCTGCTTCTGCAGCGGCTTCAAGCGTTGCTCTGCAGGTGCTAGCATCATCCCCCCCAATGGCGGCGACAACAACGGCGGCGGCGCGGGAGGGAGGGAAAGGGAAGAGCGGACCGCTGCGTAAGAAGCGCGCCCGCGCGTGCGCAGACGCCCCTTGGACTCTGGCATGCGCCACTGTGCGTATCCATGTCTCTGATGGAACCCCCCGAAATCATGGGATCGGATACCTTTTCTTGTTGTTGCTACCCTTCACCGCACTCGACGATGTACACTGCTTCCAACCTAGTGTAGACCGTCTAATACCTGCGGAAGAGCGATGTTCCAGCTCATGCTGAAGCGAGCTCTGAACAGGCATATGCGTGGTCTATTAATATTGCCCGATTCGTAACCTAGCAGCCACCCCTGCAACCCTAGACTCTCTCTGCGTCTGCGAGCCTGTACGGATAGGTACAGCAGACACTGAGAGAGAGAGCCACAGCGATGGGGGTCCCCTCCATTTCCCGTGCTGTGCGTTGGTGATCGACGTCGAGATGGGCCCCCATCCAGTATTGTTCAGATAAGGAAGCCTTGGAGAATGAATCAAAGAAGCAAGCCAGCCGCGGGTTTGTGTGACACACGGCCCCTAGATACCTACGTGCGAGGATTCGCGGCCTTGGTGTCCTGGCGGCCCTCCGATTGGCCACAACACCGTGCTTCTCAGTCTCTCTCTCATACTCTCTCATACTTTCTCACACGTACCCGTACTACTAGTCCATGTCCTGTCCTGGCACGTCTGGCTCTGCTACTCTTTGATTGCCAAGATTGCCTCCTTGGCACGGCTACGACCGAACTACTGTCTTTGCCCAAGCCGTGACGATCCAGGAGTAACCCCCCTCGAGCCCCAAAATACTTCGAGGCTTGTATCACTTCACATCGATGGGCCAAGGCCCCTTGACCCTGGCCGCAGGTTCTTCTCTCCTATCAATGAATGTACATCAGCTACCGCATTTGTGACCCCGGTCTGAGACAGGCGACGGTAGGCGCCCTTCACCAAAAGTCTCCTTCAACCACCGCTCCGACTTGCAGCCTGGACATCCTCTCGCTCGCCGTCTTGCCGGACCCATGACAGCCTACCCCTGGTCTTGAGATCCTTCCTCTTCTGGCGAACTCTCGTCGCTCATCTGGGTCACCCTGTGCATGGATATGGTCGGTCGTGGGGGTACGCCTTGGAAACCCGTGACCAGGCCGGCCGCTACCACGGCACACCCAAACGCTAGCCCACGTTTACGGTTTCTCTCAAAGAGCCTCACATCACGTCTTCTTACAACACACTGCACATATACACACATACAGCATAGCAGCAAGCAGCAAGCAGGCCTTGGTATGCACATTGTGATGACCCTACAGCCACCAAAGCCAACGGAACCCTATGGTACCGCGGTGCGGTTATTGCTGCCCGCTTTGGATCTTCATATCTGTGGATCTTGCCTCCGTCGCTCGTCCATGCCCCTCCACCTCATAGCCCAATATTGCATTTCTTGGCGTAAGTAGAAACGTACACTACACGCCCTCTTGTGGGTCTTTCCGTCTTAACTTCGAGCCAAATTTGGTGTTGAGACGTGCCCTTCCTCGTACCGCACAGTCGTTCCAAGGTCAGTGAGCCTCACAAACACCTGGAGGAGGAGAGAGACAGCAGACACATCCATTCCCCTTCTGCCATACAACCTCCACTTCTCAAACAAGGGTGGCAGAAACCAAAATCGTCCAGTCTCCAGTTACCGGATTGTCTCATCTCATACGCACACACTTTGGTGTATTTTTGTTTCCTCTGCCACTCATTCCCCCTTGCTGGCACTGCTACTGCTGCTGTTTCTCACCTTCACTTGACTGCACGTACCCGTCCCCACCGGACTGATACCGTGTTTTGTCAGTCGGTCAGTATCTATTCTGAGAAACCAAGGCTTGGTCTGAAGAGCCGGACTCATTACGCACACCTCTCAAATTCTCCAGTCTCCCAAGATATATCATCCGGTCCAAGACCTCCAATCTTACCATCAACCCACCGGAGCTGGAATCCCCTTGTTCAGCGACAGCAAGTGCCCATTTTTTTAAGTTCTGTTTGGTTTTTTGTCATAAACTCCCACCCCACCTATCGTCGCCTTCATATATCTACAACCTTATTTTCCATCTTTCTCCGGTACCCTCTTGTTTGGTCGTTACCCATCACCGACACTCACTCAATAATCCTTTACGCGAGCGAACGACTTATTCTCTGCGAGATTCGACGTGCGTTGCCTGTTTCCTGCTTCGAGCGGTTCACTACTAGCGAGCATATACACCGCAATAAAACAACAAAAAATAAGAAAAAAGAAATCCAAAATGGATCGGAGAGATCCCATGAACTCGGCCTGGACCGAATCCGAGGTGTCGACACGCAAGAACTCGAGAGAGTGGCAGACTTCCAGACCAAACTCACCCAAGCTGGCACCACTAGACCTCGGATTCGTCAACGAGAGGAAGGGCAAGGAGAACGAGAAGGACGGCTACAACACAACCATCACGCCCATCGTGGAAAAGGGAACCGTACCACACCACGGTGCCGCCCACGGCCACCTGCGCGATGTCCCTGGCCTCGGAATGATTGACATCAACGACCCCAACCGCCCGAGGTTGGGCTGGAAGGCGCGCATTCACCACTTCACCTGGGCATGGTACACCCTCACCATGAGCACGGGAGGTCTCGCGCTCCTCATCTTTGCACAACCGCACCAGTTTCCCGGGCTGAGGCAGATCGGTACCGTCGTCTATGTCATCAACATCATCCTCTTCGTCCTTGTCTGCTCCGCCATGTTGACGAGGTTCTTCCTCTACCCCGGAGACATGAAGAAGTCCCTCACGCACGAACGCGAGGGCTTCTTCTTCCCAACCTTCTTCCTGTCCATCGCGACGCTCATCACCAGCACGAACCGATACGCCATCCCCGAGAACGATGAGACCCTCGTCTGGGCCATCCAGATCGCCTTCTGGGGCTACCTCATCGTCACGCTCATGTTGGCCATCGGCCAGTACAGCTTCGTCTTTGCCAGGCACAACTTTGGCCTCCAGACCATGATGCCGACATGGATTCTGCCCATCTTCCCCATTATGCTTACCGGCACCATCGCCTCCGTCATCGCCGACACCCAACCCGAGATCGCGGCGGTGCCCATCGTCGTTGCCGGTCTCACCTGCCAGGGTCTCGGTCTGTCCGTTGCCGTACTTATGTACGCACACATGGTCGGTCGCCTCATGTCCGCAGGGCTCCCCCATCGTGAGCACCGCCCCGGTCTCTTCATGAATGTCGGACCCCCGGCCTTCACTGCTCTCGCCCTCATCGGCATGGCCAACGGGCTTCCTAACAACTTCGACCCCGACCGCGATGGTATCCTGATCGACGCTGGTATCATCAGGACTATTGCTCTTATGAGCGCCATCTTCCTGTGGGCCTTGGCTGCCTGGTGGTTCGGCATCGCGACCATTGCAGTCATCTCATCGCCGCCCGTCTACTTCCACTTGGGTTGGTGGGCTATGGTCTTCCCCAATACAGGATTCACTCTTGCAACTATCACAATCGCCAACCAGTTGGGCAACGAGGCGGTGAAATGGTTCGCCACAGGAATGAGTTTCTGTCTTCTCGGAGCCTATTGCTTCGTTCTGTACCACCACATCAGGGCGGTCGTCATCCAGGACATCATGTATACCATGAGAGACGAGGACTACAACGACCACTGATTCAACACAAGGATTGCGAAGGAGAAGGAGAGAAACTATTGGGGGATCGGGTTGTCTGCGGCTTCATCGCAGGGTTCATCGCAGTACGCGCACCTGCTCACGGATACGTACTTGCGCAGTCTTAGGGCCAGGGTTGGCTCACTGTTCATGCTTGAATGTTCATAGCGCCAGACTCGGATCTGGGAGGTTTTTGGCGATGTTTCCGCTCTAGCCGAGCGAGGGAGTTTAATCATCTTTGGGGCTGCATATCTCTCATCAGCGTGCAAGAAAAGTAGCGCGCAAAACTTTCAAATTGGATTATTCTTTTTTCACACTTCTTTTTTGAAATTTTCCTTCAGTCTCTACCAGCTTTCATTTCTTATGTAACTCATGGGAATCTGCAGTCATACCAACACGACAGGCATTAGGAGGAACTGGCTTTTCTTTCCATAGACCTTTTTCCACGTAGAGATCAGACGGTCGAACGGAACACCTAAAGAGGAAACACTCGACAAGTTCTACAGATAAAACAAAACGTTGCTGCTCGAGCGCCTCCTTGCCTCCCACCCAACTCCCAGACGTGTCCTCCCCCTCTTTCTCTCGTAAACGGCGGGCTAACCGACTCAAGCAATCAGGAACGCCGTTTTCGCCCGCTTAGTCAACAACTCGCCGTCCATGACTCCATCGCAGTACGCCTCCCCTACGAAACAATACATGGTCCCGTCTCCGGACGGTCTCAGAACGTACGGGATCCGAGAGCCGAATAGGATCACCACCACGTCACCCGGGCACGCCTCGCCCGGACACATGCCCAAGTAGCCCTGCCGCGTCATATATGGGCGCTTGCCAGTCATCATGTCCATGTTCTCGCTGTAGTTACATTGCCCCGGAATCTGTTTGTAGAGGTCGTCCAAAAGCTGATGGCGTTCCTCTGGGGGAAAGGCCTCCAACGTCAGGGAGATTATCCTGAGGACGTTCATGCAGTCCTCGTAGTCGCTCTTGATGGCTGCACCGGGTCGATGATAGTTGGACCCCTTGGTCCAGTACAGATCTGCCACGGGCACCCGCCACATGGCCTCCGCCTGCCTGTCGCTATTTTCGTAGATTTCGTGGCCCGCCCCCTTTGCCGCGGCCTCCTCGCACAAGGTTTTGATCGTCTGGAGAAGTTTGTAGCGGCTTTCGTGGCCGGTTTCCCACTCCCACACGTCGCCTGTTGTTTCGATGGTGTCAACAGTCACACCGCATATGCCGAGCACGCCACGGTCGTCCGTGGGTGCCAGCTCCATCGCGCTCTCGCCTGCAGCCTGCACGATGAGATCGTCTGCGTCCTCAAAGCCGTTCAAGTACGAGTGAGACAGCGTCGGTCTCCAGTCTGGCACCCAGGATGGCAAGCCTTCGATATCCTTGGGGAATTGCGAGAACGAGAGCATCTCTACGCAACCGACACGAACGAGAGCGTGAGCTGCGTCGATGAAGGTGGGATGGCTCTCCTCGGTGACATAATCTGGGGTAATCCCCAGGTTTTCCGCATCGGTAGCGAGACTGAGCAATCCGTAGATTCTGTCTCGACTTCGTGTCGCTTGGGCGTCCCCATCGACGTATGCTCTCTTCAAGACGTGATAGAAGTCGTCTCCCGGACCCACGCCCTTGACGAGGTTGCGGCGCCTACGTCTGACAGCCATCAAAGGACTGAAGCGACGGTCTTGGGCCTTAAGCAGAAGGCGCCTAAATTCGCTGGCTTCAGTAGGCACTTTAAATGTCTCCTCCGAGATGCACAAGTCCCATATCAGCGTGGCCAAGGGAATTAAATCTATGTTTACCGTCTTGTAACCGCAAAGAAAGACCGGGTCGGTACCGAGAGCTTGCTCTTGAATGACCCAAACCCGAGTGAACCACTCTCTCTCGTTCCAAGCAATCATCTCATGTAAGAGCTGTTTGAATTTGGCCTCGGCTTTGATTATCAGTGGCCGGTACTGGATAGTCACTGGGTCTTCTGGGTCCTCGTTCCTCATAATCCGGTGCAACAGCGGCAGACGCTCCTTGGTGAGATAGCTCTGGACGTCCAGGTCACGAGCCTCTTGCCCGATCTCTTGAAAGCACTCCATGAGGGCATCGGAGTTGTTCTCTGCCGGGCCCAGCCAGATAATGACCTGGTCCGCCTTGCTATAAATCTGGGTCATGAGAACCACCTGCTTGCTCTTTTCGGCACCATCCTCTTGGTTGATGCAGATCTGGTCGACCCAGAGCGTGACGGACTCATCTTTACGACGAATGTGTCGCAGCGCCGTGTCGAGAGAGGCCGTGATGCGAAAGTGCGCGCCCTCGACGTCAATGCTGTGAGTTGCGCCTGACGTACCCCAGGTGTATGACAGCGCTTTGAATAGCCGCGGGGCGGCGATCGGAGTCGTCGATATGGCGCATTTGAGGGGGCTCGAGTAGTGAGACGACGCGTTGTCAGAATCACTTTCGTCTGTACTGCTGCGTGCTCCGGATGTGGATGCGGATGCGGCGTCAAATCCGTGTGTCGACGGATAGAGTTCGAGAAGTCTGATGTGAGTTGATGCCGAAGGCAGGCTTACCTTGTCACCTGTGTAGCTTATTTCAGCAATGTCTTGCTGGTCCGGCAAAGGCGGCACGGAAGGCATGGCTGCCGTGAATGTTGGGACGAGGAGCGCGGCTATCGAGGCGGGACACAAGGGAAGCCCATGCATGGTGGGAGAACAATAGCGTGTGGCGGCAGGGTCTTGCCTTTATGTCCCTCGGGTGCTCCAATTCCATAAGGCTGCTAGCTTGTTGACCAGGGTTGGTCTCTCAATATTTCCTCATTTGGTTTTCAGCTGGCGACTATCGATCACGCTACTGCAGGGCATGAGATCTTCAATCCGACTGGCTGTCAACGTTGACATGACCAGCTTGCCCGGTTCACCAACTTGAGGTCTTCAATTGGCCAGAAAACTGCTGGTTCTTGTCATGTGAGCCTCGGGTGCATATGTTGATAATTACAACGATTCCACAGACTGAAGGAGATGGCGACCGACAAAGGGACCTTTCGGATGACTGATGACACCCCAGTCGTCAACACCTCAGGCACATATGGGAAGGTTTCTATTGATGATGCTGTACTGCTAGTTCTGAATTGTGTCTGGTACCTGTGCGAGCTTTGTTCGAGGCAAGAACTTGGAAACCTAGTCTCATAATCTCTCCTTTGATGACTTGTGAATTACCCAAGGCTGCCAGAGTCTACACGTCCACATAGGGTATCTGCGGGAGTATGTTTGTATCCATCGTCATGAGTCGTTGACTCCGCTTGATGTTCAAGACTCGCTTAGACTGTTAGGATAGAATAATGAAGTTGAAGGGTGGGACGGTTCTTGAAAGAAGACAACATGTCGTTGCTCCTTAGACTTTTCGATGAAGTTGCCTTTTCCTACTTCATACATAATAGTTTGGATTTGAGTTGAGGAGCAGACTTCAGCCTCAAGTCCAACATTATAAACTTATTCGCGTTAGTCTTGCGGCCAGACTATAGCAGCAATTCTACTGAATAGAGACGGAAGTGCCTTGAGACATGTATTCCTTGACTGAAATGCTCATATTGAGCTGGTGGCATGATTTGCGGACTCTTTCTGAGGGCGACCAAGGGTTATATAGTTGAATTACAGTGGTAGGCTCGATTCAATAGTGTGACGATGCTCGGCATTAGTTTCTTCCCTTCGAGAGGGTGAGATTAGAAGCGTACGATTGATGCTTTGCCGCAGGAAATTTCCCAAGAACCAAAGTCCCTACCATTCTAGTCTAAACCTACAACGCTGCTGCTTTTTCTCCTCCATTCTTTGTTTCTAGCGACTGTACTCAAGCATCATCTTTTCGAGCAGCTCTGGATGCAAGACTGTCTCTCTGAGTTCGTCAAGAGTCTTGATAGACGAGTCTTCCTCCAGGAATTTCCTTATCCGCGTCGAACTGATTTCCAAGGGCGCGGCATCCGCCGGAACAAAGCGTATCCAATCTTCTTGGCCCCCCCCCCTGGGCCGACAGACTTTGATTCTTTCTCTCTCGGCAACATAGTCGCTATCGTTTTTTTCTGTTCTGTCTCCGGTGTGACCAACCCCTGGAAAAAGTGTTGATTAGCATTTGATGTTTCTTCATATTCCGTCAAGCCGCCTCGCCCACCTCTGTGACTCTCTTTGACTGCCTTGACAGTTGACAGAGTTATACGAGACATGGTGTCAGTCCTGCGGTCAATGGCTCTCTGTACCGCCACCTTGGTGTAGTCGATTGCATCCTCCCAAGGCCCGAAACCTTTCATCCTGTAGAGTTGCCCTCCAGGCCGGGCGATGTGAGATGCTCTCCTAGTGTTGCTGCAAATGGTTCTCAGACAATCTGGTACCAGCCGATGAGGGGAATAGTAACCGTAGATGGGCTTTCAATGGTCCAGTCCCGTTGCCCGAATCAAACTGAGATCGAATCCGTCTCTCTTTACCGTTTCTAAGAGGCGTTGCCGCATTTTGTGCCACTTTTCCGCGTCACCATTGTAAGCCCAGTACTACCGAGGCTCAGTCGAGTCGCCGTGCCAAAGCTGCACGCGGTCACGCGTCTTGAAGACAAGGTCTTGTTATTTTCTTTTTGCACTTAGATTCCAGGGCCTCCATACTACCTAGGTAGATGAAGGCGGCAACGACGTTGAGGTCCTGACTGCCTTTGAATGCTCGCAGAAGGAGGTTATAGTGTCCCAGTTGCGGAGGGTGGAAGCAGCCTGAGTAGAACAACACACAATTCTCCTGGCATTTATTCAATTGGGGCCGTTCGGTGCTGTATTGTTGGCCAAAGATGTTCTTGTGGTGGCAGTACGTCGTGGATTGAATCAGCGCACACCTGCATGGTCCATAGGCATCTGTAAGATATCGTCCTAGGTTGGCAGTCTCATCTTGTTTCTCGTGGGATTCATCAACTGAAGGCGTCATTCAAGCGTCTGGGGTCTTGGCAGTCAGATAAATTTGCAATTGTCGTATTCGTGCGACATGGGGAGAAGTTCTGCTATAAACGGGTTGAACTGTTCACCCTCGCCTTTAGTCCTAGCATTCCAAAAGAATCATGTGCCCAGTCGGCTGTGTATTAGGATTCTACCGTAGATTTCAGTCATTTGGTAGCACACTCAGTGAAGCCAGCTTATTGTCGACGGGTAGGAGTGATTATGCACATTGTAGTCAGGGAAGGCGACGCAATAAGTTTAGAAGTCATCCAGCACACAGTCAGTCAGTGGTGACAGAATCCAGAATATTCTCTCGGACCATGAAACCTTCATTTTATAGTCTGTATCATGAGAATGAGTTTGAAGTAGTGGGCCACATTTGCGATCTCCCCTAAATGTGATACGAGAGAATGGCCAAACCATGTATAACTTTTATGTTCTTTGCTCTTCAACATCGACTGGTTCCGGCATGGTTTCACCTTTGTGCAGGTGAGGTAGAAAAAATTGGCCCCTCAAAAAGCATTGTTATATGCACTTGCAATGAGGCTGGTGTATGAAATTCAAAATGATGAAGCATTGGATTTTCCATGAACGGTAAACCTTTCCCAGAAAATATTTCATTTGTTGAATTTTATTTCCCACTTCATGCTATGGCTTCCTCCTTCCTAGTCTGTCCCAAGTTGAAACCCCATTCTCTCAAAATTTCCTCGAATATCTCAGGGTGAAATACCAGCGGCCTCAAGGCGTCGAGAAGCATCAGTGGATGACTACTGTCGATTATCCTTCCAATGACGGTGGAGCTGATCTGTGAATGGCAACGATGGTCAAACCTACCCGGAACAAAGCGAATCCAGTCCCCTGGCACGCCTTCTCGGTGACAGACCCAAACGACCATATCCCTCTTGGTAGGACCACAAGCTACTTTCCGGTAGAGAATTGGTTCTGGGAGTTTTTGAGCTTACGTCAACTAATCGTGAATTTTTCTTACCATCATCAACCGCCTCTTGTGACGAACCCAAGCGCAGGGACCCCTTTGCCGGGGTCATAGCATCCCTAGCACAACCGGGCTGTTCATGTCCTTCCAGTCTTACTGGCTCCCATTTCGAATAGCCTAGAAGAGGGCTCGGGATTCTTCTCTGAACGAAAAGGCGGGATGGCCTGCCAACGTCGCTGACAATTATCTCGTGGCTTCCGGAAATTGCCCAGGGATTTTGATTGAATTTCATGAGGTCGGGTCCGCAAACTCCCACAAATCTCAAATTGAATCCATCTTTGGCTGTTTGCCGTTCCAAATTTTTTGAAAAGTGATGCCAGTCGGATCCCCTGTCGAGATCGAAAACCCAATACCAGTCGGAAGGTCCCAGATCCCCTCGCCAGAGCCGCACTCGCTCGTTGAGAGTCAGCGCCATGTCATATTGGAAACTACTGTCGCACTTTCTCTGCAATTTGTAGTCGCTGAGAGGCAGAACTATGGCGGCAATGATATTAATATCATTGCTTGATTCAAAGACATGGCGAAGAAGGTTAAGGTGCCCGTTGTGAGGGGGGTTGAAGCTTCCCGGAAAGAGCAAGATTCGATTGATACGATTGCTTGACAATTGTGGCTTGAGGATTGGGTTGCCCAAGCTGCTGAATACTTCTTGCTGGGCACCAAAAGGACAGGGACGACCGAACTCGCCGTAGCATTTTCTGATGTACCCCCCCAAGTCGGCATGACGCGGAGACTCTGGCTCCGGCGAGCCTGCCATACTCTTTGCATGCTCCATCAGTGAAAGTGCGATTCAGAGATAAATTCCCAGCTGAGAACTGGATGGTTCAGTGAAAGACTCCCCCTTAGAATCGATGCAGGAGACTACGGAGAGATTCACATGAGAGTGGATTGAGAGGTAGAAAATGTGATATTTATATGTGGCATTTAATTGCGCCTGCAACATCCACATGTTTGCGTTATTTGTTCCTGAAAAAATCATCATATCATTGGAGAAGCCTCCATGTTTGCCTCCCGCATTCAAGACATTTCAAAGTTCATCGTCACAACCTCTAGGTACATGTAGTCTTTCACTGAAAACCTTCACATCCTAGCTCAGTTAAACAGAAAAGTCAAGCGCTAGAACTTACTGCTGCATTTTTGTCTTATTGCCTCTTAACTATGAAAATTCGTAGACTTCCATCGCTTAAGGGATATCCTTTTCTCATTAAAGTGTGACGTGATTTGTCAGTATTGACGTATTTGATAATGAGACTGTGCCGGCGGGAACGGGGACCGGGTGTCCCACAGCGGCCCCGCTGAGCGCTGCACCGGTGGACTGGAAAGCAGTGGAAGGGACCCCGCACTCACTCAATGTCTGTACAGTCATCGGCCGCCTCACCCACCCCGGCCCGAGATTCGCAGCTTTCGCAAGTTCCGCTTCCCTCTTACTCCTCCAGTTCTGCAGCTCATTTCAGACTCAACCTGCGAACTCATTCTTCATTTTCTACTCACAACGTTTTCCAAAAATGGCTCCACCTCTCAGAATCGGTTACGTGCCGGAGCACTTCTCTACGCCCCTCTATTTTGCCAAGGAGCACTTTGGCCTCGATGCCACCTTGGTTCCCTTCCCCTCTGGAACAGGACACATGATCACAGCCATTCGTGGCGGAGAGATTGATATCGGCATCGGTCTCACAGAGGGCTGGATCGCCGGCCTCGGCAAGGAAGACGCCCCCGGAGATGGTGGCTATCGTCTCGTCGGCACCTACGTCGACACACCCCTCTGTAGGTTCACCATCAAGACATGCACACGTAAAGCCAACTACTCGGGGGAAACCCTACTAACATGGAAACCAAGGCTGGGCCATTTCGACCGGCGCTCAACGCCCAGAGATCGCCTCAGTAGACTCCCTCAAGGACGGCAAGATCGGTGTCTCACGCATCGGCTCCGGCAGCCAGATCATGGGCTTCGTCCTCGCCGACCAGCAAGGCTGGCTCACCCCGGCTGCACCAGCGCCCTTCTCGGACACAGTGATCCTCAACAACTTTGAGAACCTCCGCAACGCCGTCAACTCGGGCGCCGCCGACTTCTTCATGTGGGAGCACTTCACCTCCAAGCGCTACTACGACTCGGGTGAGATCCGCCGCGTCGGCGAGATCTACACGCCCTGGAGCAGCTGGAAGATTGTCGCGTCGACGGCGCTAGCCAAGGAAGGACAGAAGCTCGACCCGCGGATCAAGGATCTGTTTGCAAAGCTTGATAAGGGCGTGAAGCACTTTAACGAGAACAAGGACGAGGCTGTCAAGTACATCAGCACGCACCTCGACTACTCTGAGGCGGATGCCAGGGAGTGGCTGAAGACGGTCAAGTTTACTGATGGCGTGGAGGGTGTAAAGCCCGAGGTTGTGAACAACACGGTCGATATTCTAAGGAAGGCTGGGGTTTTGATTGAAGGCAAGGGAAGACAGCCTGAAGCCATGGTAGCCAAGGATTAGACAGCCACAGATCAAATGAGACTGAAATTCCACAATGACTTGAACATCACGATCTGCTTTTGATTTAATGCCGGTGAACGAGGTTGGGTTCTATGTGATTTCAGATGATGCCCTATCGATTTTTGATTCTGTTACAGCCGTTTTTCAATCAACTTTGCTTTTGAAATGCCGCCGTACTCCTGAAATGTAGTCCTGACAATGTTGCTAGGGTATCTACCATTCCCGTTACTACTCATCATGATCGTCAACATCCGATCCAACTCCGCCTATGCAGCCTGGGCCTTTCCAGACTTGCCCTTCTTTCTCTTTCCATTCCCCTGAAGTAGCTCGCGCTTCTCCTGCTTGCGCGTCGCCTTGTCCTTGGCCCCAATCACTCCAGTCTCTGAGCCACACGGCCACTTCGCCAGCACAGCGGCCTCGTCCTCCTCGCTCCACTCGCGCGGCAGCACGGCGAACACGAGGTAGGACGTATGTGTCTTCAGTTCTGGCTCTGCGCGGTGGATGATGCGACCTTGCAACCACGGCTTGCCTGCAAAGGGCCCTTCGTCCTGATCGCCGTTTGTCGCTTCTCCTCCCGCCTGGTCCACGTCCATGGCGTTACCCGCAGCCGGCGAGTCGTCTGCCGAGTTGGGGTCTGCTGGGTTGTGGTACTCTCTTGTTCTTCTCTCGATCTCGCGGAGCTTACCGACTGCCTCGGTCACGTCGCGTGCGCTCGCCGCGATGCCACGCTCAGGCTGGCTGTAACCAGCGCGATCCCGGATGACGTTGAACTTCTTGTGGGAAATCTCAATCATGTCAATGTCCACCCATCCCAGTTGTCTCATTGTATTGATCGTCCTTTGGACCTGCTCAATGCAGGGAGAGAAAGTGCAGATGTAGACCGACTTTTTGGGATTTAACGGAGAGACCCATTCCTGTGTATCGCCTTCGGTGTCCTTTGTCGCCGGCTTTCGTCGTGAGAGGTGTGGGAGGGCCTCCCAGGGTGCGGGCAAATCGAGGAACACCGACTCCGCCTCGGGGCTTTTGCCGTCAACCAGAAATCCACCATTGTAGACGTCTCGATGCGAGAGTTTGACGATTCCCTCCAATCCATGCGCTGTGATCTCTTCCTGCATCTTAACATATCGATCCTCATTGAACTCGAAGCTAAAGACCTTGCCTTTTCGCTGGGCGTCATCCTCGGGGTATCCGTTGTAAACCGCACGCGCTGACGCGTGAGTGAAACTACCACTGCCGGCGCCGGCCTCGATCAGTCGGGTCCCGGGTCGCGCTCGTATGCGCTGAAGGACGTAGCTGTAGTCGGGAGTGTAAACAACCTGGGTCCGGTGCGGCAGGCCCGCAGTCCAGAGCTCGGCGGTAGGCTGTAGGATGTGCACGAAGCCGCTCGCGGCGGTGGCCGCTTTCTTAGCGGGCGCGCTGGACTCCGTCTCGGCCTCATCTCCAGCTGCCGGTGTCGATGCGTCCGTTTCCTCTTCTTTCCTCTTGCGCTTGCGGCCTCTAGAGCCAGTGTCGACAATTGAGGCGCGAATTTGCGATCCCCATGGTACGTTGATTAGGGTAGAGTGGGGGAACGATCCGAATCGTGTGTTGAGCACAGCTCCTTCGGCATAACCGTCGACGGCGCCGGTCGAGTCCTGGAGGATGAGAGGAACGAGGTTGTCGCGAGAGAGCTGGACAATGGCGATGGAATTGGCTGAAGTCCTGGGACCAGGCTGGAGAAAGGGTGATGGTTTCGTCATTTTCGTGATGTTGGTTGTCGTACTGGCTCGAGAGCTGCCAGCGTTTACCGACCCCGGATGCTTTGGTGGTAAGTATGCAGAAAAACCGGCCGGGAATGCGAATTAGAGACAGTGGAGGAAAAACTTCGCGAGGCTGAGAAGAGAGAAAAAGTCAGTTGTGGCTCAACGCGGGGCATATGTGGCTGGTGCGAGAGCTGACCACTCAGATGTTGACACACCGCCTCGATTGGCTACGAGGCTGAAGATGGTGTCACACCCGTCTTTTTTGATAGGCGGGCGGCTAAATACTCCCTCCAACAAAGTCGCCGTCCCCTCTCTTCCCAATTGAGTGACTCAATCCTCCAAACTCGACCCTCCGACCCTCTCGACGTCCCTCCCTCCTCCCATGCACCCTGCCCTCTGTGTGCCCCTCTCCTTTTGTTCTGGATGAATCGCCTCTTTAGACTCACCAGAATTTCCGTTTCTCTCTCCACTCAGATACCCAACTTTCGATTCTCCAGGGCTTGTTCCTCCATCGCGACCATGGAGTCTTTGAAGGTGCACAACTCCTTGAAGCCCGGTCAGCCGGTGCCCTTTACACCAATCAACCCGGGAAAAGTGTCTTGGTACGCTTGCGGCCCTACTGTTTATGACAAAAGTCACTTGGGCCACGCCCGCAATTATGTGTCGACCGATATCATCCGGCGCATCATGATGCACTACTTCGGCGCCGATGTGAAGTTTGTCATGAACATCACCGATGTTGACGACAAGGTCTGTTGTCACTAATTTCACTTATACTCAAGGCTTTGTTGACCATTTCCAATGTTGCAGATTATCATCAAGGCCCGGAGACAGCGTCTCCTCGAACTCGAGAAGCAGAAGAAGTACTCGGGCGAAGAGCTGGCAAAGCTGACCCTAACAGCTTTCCGCGCCTACGCCGAAAAGAGTTTGACTCTGATCCAATCCTCCGATCTCGACGAGAACAACTACCTCGAGCGAAGGGACAGCGCATATGGAAAGATTCTCGCCGGTGGCACACTAACTGGGGAAGGCAAGCCGGGTGACGACGAAGCCAAGACGAAGATGCACATTGCAAACATGGATGCCGCTGCGTTTGCGATCAAGGACAAAAAGTTCTTTCCTGGGACCGATGAGATCCTCCTGCCATACCTCGACTCACTCTACAAAGAGACTATCGACACGAGCGATCAGACCATATTCACCGACCTGACTCAGAGTATGGAGAAAGAATTCTTCGACGACATGGACGCTCTGAATTGCTTGCGACCTGATGTCATCACGCGCGTTACTGAATACGTGCCCCAGATTGCGACATTTGTAGAGCGCATTGTGGACAAGGGGTTCGCTTACGAGTCCGACGGATCCGTGTACTTCGATATTACGGCTTTCGAGAAGGCTGGCAACACATACGCCCGTCTGCGACCCGGCAACCGTAATGATAAGTCACTGCAGGAGGATGGGGAGGGTGCTCTATCGAAAAACTTGGGCGAGAAGCGCAATGAGGGAGATTTTGCGTTGTGGAAGAAGTCCAAGAAGGGAGAGCCATACTGGGAGAGCAGATGGGGCCAGGGTCGCCCGGGATGGCACATCGAGTGCTCCGTCATGGCTTCTGACATTCTTGGAGCACAGATGGATATCCATTCCGGCGGTATCGACTTGGCATTCCCTCACCACGATAACGAGCTGGCTCAGAGCGAGGCCTTTTACGTTGACAACACAAAGGGCGAGCACACGTGGGTCAACAACTTCATGCACATGGGCCACCTGTCCATCTCCGGTTCAAAGATGTCCAAGTCCTTGAAGAACTTCCAGACTATCCAAGACGCCCTTGCTACTACTTACACATCTAGAGGAATGCGCATCGTGTTTCTGATGGGCAAGTGGAATGACGGTGTGGAGATTTCTCCCGATATGCGAGCCCAGGCATCCAGCTGGGAGGCAACAGTCAACGTAAGTTTCCGAGCCGCATCGCAGTAGTCGTTGCCGAACTAACGTTTCGGTAGAACTACTTCATCAACGTCAAGGCATACGTTGCGGATGCCAGCGCTTCGACCGACGGTGTGGAATCTCTTTCCCTAGCAGAGAAGCCCACCGGAGGACTTGTTAGCAGTCTGGAGAAGGCCAAGGCTGATCTGCAAAACGCCCTCACCAACTCCTTTGATACCCCTCAAGCGATGCGTGTGATTCAGGAACTTGTCAGCGAAGCCAACAAGGTTGTAGTTTCCCAAGACGCAGAAGCTAACTTGCCCGCGCTCGTCGCTGTCGCGCGTTGGATCACAAAGATCCTTGGGACATTCGGCCTCGATGAGAATGCGACGGCGCCCTACGATGGCCTTGGCTGGGCGGTACCTGCGTCAAACGCGAATCTGGACACCAAGACCGTTGTGCAGCCGTACGCAACGGTGTTCCAGACAGCAAAGTCGGATGTTGAGGCATTGAAAATCTCGGCGGATTCGATTTCAACCCTTTTGTCGCAACAAGACCCCGAAGCAGAGTTCTCTTCTCTCGCCGCGAAGGGCGTGCGCGATCCTGAACAGTTGGCGCTGCCGTACCTTCGAGGCACTTCGAGATTGCGCGACGAGCTTCGCCGCATTGTGACATCAGTTCCTCCCGAGACCAAGAAGGCCATCCTTTCTCTCACGGATCGGATTCGTGACGAAGATCTGACAAATCTGGGAGTTTACTTGGATGATAGGCCGGATGGCAAGTCGTCATTGATCAAATTCGTGCCAGCCAGCGAGTTGATTGCGGCCAAGAACGAGAAGTTGGCCAGGGAAGCGGACAAGGCCCGGGCCAAGGAAGAGGCGAAACGGGCGCGTGAGCAAGCTGAGAAGGAGAAGTGGGAAAAGGCCAAGCTTCCCCACACGGAGCTGTTTAAGGGAGATGATAAGTACTCGCAGTGGGACGCGGAGGGACTGCCGACTAAGCTTAAGGATGGAAGTGACGTGCCCAAGAGCCAGCTCAAGAAGCTGCAGAAACAATGGCAGAGCCAGAAGAAGGCGCACGAAGAGTACCTGGTCAAGTTTGGTGGGAAGTCATAGACAGGCCAGATTTGATGGCATCGATTAGCATCTCAAAGCGAGCAATTCATGACATTGCCATTGGCATAGGTACTTTGTGGCGGCGTCAAGAATGAAGATCACCCCGCAGGACGAAGGATCTCATTGACGTTGCCCATGAGGCAGCGGAATCGCACAGGAAGAGGCCTCACTTAGTATGGGCGACAAGTTCAAGGTGGTGGGAGAGCCGGCATGAAGCTATCTGCACTAGCTGTGGGAAGGGTGGACACCAGGACCCCTGGCGTCTGGACCCTTGCCAAGCCGGGGGCCTCCGACGATGCATGATCCCGCTGTTGCCAAGCAATGTGATCGTCTTGTGCCGGGCCATCTGTAATCTGGGAGCTACCTCACCACACGGGCCTTGGTGATTGGAACCAAGCTATCTATCATCAGTCTTCAACGAAGCCTCTAGTATAAACCGCGAAGCTCTTTGGAGGGGAAAAAGCAATGTCACGAAACCGCAGTCTCACGTTTATCCACAATGCGTAAGCTTCTCCTGGGGCAGCATTCGTAGGATCAGCAGGCTTGTAAAAGGCCGCGAAGCAGCGGTCTACGAATACCTTATGCATGGCTGAGCTTGCTGCCCTGCTGGGTGAATGCAAGTTTCCAAGGCACAAGTCGAAACCTTGGAAATGCAACGCCAGCACCAGCCAACCAGTTAGCGCAGCGGCAGCTTGTCCAAGCTATCTCGATGGACCCGGATGGCACCCGTCAAGGTTCCGTTGGCTCTTTGTTGTGAGCTATCCGAGGGAGGGCCTGGAATGGTCGTTTCAAGCGGTGAGGGGTTGGAACTCGGAACATGGATGAAGGGGAGGGGATAAACAACTCTCGCCCACTTTACGAAAGCTACCCCTCACGTCGAAGGCTCTCCCCCTTCCCATTTTCTCTGAACATCGGATCGAAGAGTCCCTGAGACACCCGCTGCACGGAGCTTCCTGACACGTCATTGAAGAGGGACCCGGGCCTCCATTCCAAGTCATGCAGGGTCGAACCTGTCTTCTCATCAGGACCAAACGATATGTGGGCAGTATATGCCGAGCTGTATAGGAACTGGAGCCTGGGAGGCTTGTGCCCGTTGCTTCGATCCTGACGATGAACTGGCTGACGGGGGCATCATCGTGTAACAAGATTGACAGTGTTCGTGGGTAGCTATAGAGGGGCACAGAGGGGCACTGCATGGAGACCTTTGCCGATTAGCCGTGCGAGGGTCAATACTCAAGCTTTCTTGGCCGCTTGGCCGCAGCGTCACCAGTTGGGTTTTTCTGGTTCAGCCCAGCAGGGGTGGCTAAGATAGTGACGCAGCTCACAGTGCCGAAGTCCCCGGGCCGGCGGGGCTTGACCCAATTGGCTACAAGCGTGGAATTCTCGACATCTCAAATCTTGTCCATCCCAATGGCTTGTGGCTGGAACCTTTGTTCAGCTGGGTTCATCCAGTGTTGGTTGCTCAGTCATGGACTGTCGACGAGAAGGCAGAGTTTCTTCTTAACCAGATGGAGAAAAACGTAGAGAGAGGGAGAGAAAGGGTTCTGGAGTCTACCACCTCGGACTAACCCTCGAATCATAACCCGCAAAAAAAAGGGCCATGGTCGTGGGAACGCGGACAAAGCCGTCGATTGTCCAGGTCCCACGAGAACGAAAGCGCTGCCGATATGCCGAGCAACCCCGCCAAAACACATCCACGGCTTTACGTCAGGCCCATATCGGGCAAGGCTCAGTCGGCCAGAGAGCAAGGAGACGACGGTGGCCTCCCACAGCTTCCCCTCTGAAGACGTGCCTTTCCTGGGTCAGAACTGGTTTCGACGAAATCGAACTAGGCCCAATCCCCCCTCCTTCTCCTCCCCGCGCCGTGCAAGGGTTTGTTTGATGCTTCAGCTAAGGCCTCCCGTCGGTTTCCCCTTCTCCAATGGATTCGCAGAGCTAGAGCATGAGCCGGTGGAACACGGCCTCCGTGAAAATGCAGCCAGGCAAAGCAGGACCATGACGGGCTGGGGCGAGGGGTCGGATCGACCCCTCCATCATGTCATCGGGCAGTGATCCAGGGGCAAGAAGGTTAAGGGGTTTTCTCGAAATAGAGCAAGCTTAGCTGGGTCCCTTGGCGATCACATGAGAGCTTGACCTGGCTGCCGGAGGGGCATAAGAACCCCTCGAGCTGCTCCTCCATTTCATGTTGGTAAATCTTTTTCGTATTCCTATTAAATTCAACATCATTACTACAAACCAATTGACTTTATACACCACCCCCAAATCTACATCATCACTTCAAAATGTTCGGATTCGGAGAAGCCAAGGAGCACCGTGACGCCGTCTACGATGGCCAGCACGAGGGCAAGCTCAGCCACGAGATCGTTGCCGGCGGCGCTGCCTTTGAGGCCATGAAGCTGTTTGAGGACCGCCAGCGCAAGAACGGTACGTCATTCCTGTTGCTCCTCCCTTCCTGGTCTAATCCAAGATCGTGCTAACAATGTGTCTTCACACAGGCGAGCCCGTCAAGCACCAGTTCGCCAAGGAGATGATTGCTGGCATTGCCGGTGCCGAGGTCGACAAGCTCTTCGAGACCAAGGGCCTGGACTACATCGACCGCGAGAAGGCCAAGAGACACGCCGAGAAGCAGGCCGAGCACCTGTACCAGGAGCAATACGGCGACCTGGACGAGTACAACCCGTGAGTGAAACATACCCACCGCACGCTTGTTTGGTAAATACATGGACTGACGATGGGATACAGTGAGCAGCGTGGCCGCCACCAGGAGATGGACTACTAGGCAATGTGTATTATCAACGGCCGAACAGATATACTATGACGAAATGAAATCAATTCAAAGTATTGACAATGTTTTTCAAATTCCTGGAATGTGATGTGTAGATTGGTATCAAAAGCTGCTAGAATCACAAAGCACAATACGACTCCTTGTACAAGTAACCTTACACGTGTAGGCACGCTTGACACCTCCAATCCCAGCGAATTTCATCTCAGCATAGTTCATTATCTCAACCCAACCGGCACAACATTCGAGGACGACGACGCATACCCCATTTCGACAGCTCCACCAGCAATCTGCTCAAACAACCTCTCCCGCTCCTTCTGCAACGCCGTCCGCGTACTCTCCAATCTCTCCCCTCGAACCTTTTGCTCCCGTGAGAGATACATGCGTCGATCCCTCGTCTCGTGCAGGTACCGACTCAACACATGCGCACACTTCTCAATCGACATCCTCGACTTATTAATCTCGTCGTGGAACGCCATGTCGGAATAGATGTTGTCAAACAGTACGTCGCCCATCAGGTTCCCGTGGTTGATGTTGATCGGCGGCAAATCGCCAATATACGGCGTCATCCGCTGCGCCTGCATCACCAACATCCTCGCCTCCTGTGTCGCGCTCTCAGCGCGCTGCAGCGCGCTCCGCTCCATCATGTCCGACATGGTCCCGCCGCCAAACATGTCCATGCGCGAGTGGCTCAGCGCGTCGTCCATGTGCCTCAACGAGTCGCCCATCCGCTTCATCGCGTCCGTCAAGAGACGTATTGCGTGTGCCTCCGCCTCGACTTTGGACCGGGTGTCGTGGTACTCGCGCAGCGCCTGTTCCGCCGACTGCTCGAGGGCGTCCTCCTCGGGGTAACTCGGCGTCGGGCCGGCAAAAATCGAATCGTAGAGGCTGTCGAGCTCGCACTGCGCCTCGTCGTGCCGTCTGGCCTCGGCCTCGAGCGACGTGCTGGCCTCGCGCGCGTCACGCAGCTGCTCCCGCACGTTCTTGTTGAGCTCCTTTTCGCGGTGCTCCTCCTGGAGGACGTCAAAGTACTCGCGCTCCTCGCGGGCGGCGCGCTCGTTGAATTTGTCGCGCTTCCCGACGGCCTTGTGCACGAAGCGGCGCATGACGCTGTCGCGGTACTTTTCGTGGTCTTTGAGTTCCTTTTTCCGGCGGCCCTCGAGAGCGTGGATGTTCCTGTCTGACTCTTTGAGCTGGTGGTCTAGGTCGGTGATGAGGCGGCGTTGTTGGCGGAGGTCGGGGATGGCATTGTCCGTGTCTGCGAGGATGGCGAGGAGTTTGCGGTTTATGACGGCCGCTTGGCGGATTTTGGATTCTAGGGCGGCGGTGGCCATGTTTTGGTTGTTCAGGTTGATACAGCGATGCAGTGGTTGGTGTACTCGATGGAAGGAGAGGTATCAGGTGTATTAGTATTTGTGAATGGGCAATAAGCTTTAAGACGCGGGAAGTTAAGACGCTTTTAGGGTATCGTGAGGGTATCGTGAGGTTGAATTACGCTGGTAAAGCCTCGAGTAACAAGAGGCCGGGGGGGGTTCGAATTTTACTTCAGTTCTCGCTCTCGAAGATGGAGTCAAAACACAATGATATTTGTTACTTCAGCTGCCCACGACGGGGGGGACAGTTTCTGAGGCCTGGGCATTATATGCTCGCCCAGCAATCCTTGGCAGACGTAGTGAATGCCCAACCATAGTCCGTCTCGGTGCTGGTTGGGTCTGGCAGAAAGGATGGACGAAACTATTCCTTCCAAGGCCCCAGCAAAAGAGTCATAGCATAACGATGGCAAGCTTGGCACCCCATGACATCAGGCCCTCGTCCTTGAGCATCGCCCGGCCGGGTTGCCTCTGCGGCGCGGCGCCCTTGAATTGCGGGGTGGGGATGGGTGGGCAGCCCGTATATAGCGGTGGACGGATCGAAAAGACAAGCGTTTCTTTTGTCTTACCACCAACCACATTAGCAGGGCGACCGGTTCTGAGAAAGCGGCGGCGAAATGGGGCAATACCGGGGAATGGGTGTGGCCAACAGGCGAAGGGGAAATCAGTCAACACTCTTCCGGTTTGAACTATCGGGCCATGAGCCGGGATCATCGGTGCTGCGTAGGCTTGCGCCACGGACCGAGAAGACGGGAGAGGGAGCTCCTTCGATACTGGTCGAGCTGAGCCACAGCAGATCAAGGCCGTCTTTTTCTACTGCCACCGAATTCTCTCCTTCATTGATGATGGCTTTTTCCCCATTTTCTATAGAACTTCCATAGAGACATCCGTTCCAGGCAGATGCAGACAGGATAATCTGAAAGACTGCAGAATGATGAGGGGAACAGCCACACGCTAGAAACCTGCCAAGAATCGAAGGATTCGGCGGTGCTGTGAAACTTGAGTGACCTGGATGAGACCGAACACGATCTAATCGCTTGGAATGATGCTGATGTTTGTGGCCAGTAGTTACCAATAGAGCAAGGATCCTCGCTCATGGATCGTGGCACTTTGGAACTGGGGGGAACCTGGAGACTTTCACAGAGAAGAGAGAGGGGGTTTCGGCGTGTGGCTGGTGCTTCCAGTCCTGGTCTGTTTTTTTTGTTTTTTTCGCAAATGTAGAGGCCATGAGTTCGTGTTTTGAACCGACTCACAGGCCACACAAAGCGATGACGCCAGCGAGTCTGTTGTTAATGTCGTCGGGATCATAACGATCTTATCAAGACTCCTCATCGGCGGTTTTGGGAGATCAAGGCATGACGGTGCCCACCGCACAGCAAGAACAAACTATCATGAGACGGATTGAGCCTAGGACATTGCACCATGGTTGGACCTGAAAATGCCCAATTTCATGCGCATTGACCCCGGTGGTCCAGCGTGAGAGAATTGTAGAACAGGAAATAAAATACCCTCATTAATGATGTAGATGACCCAGATTAGGAGTCTCGCGCGCTTCATGTCAGCCTTGCTGTATTGTTTACAATAAATCTTCAATTAAATGGTCTCTCCATTGCTCGATAGCAAGACAAGCGACAGCCACGTGGGCGAATGGCATGTGTTGTTGTCGATGCCAACGAGGCGGCGGGAATCCACAATCGTCTTGCTCCGTCGGGGATGATCCCCGTTGACAACTTCAATAACTGGCGGCATGGCGCCCCCATTCATGAAAATGGACGGCCCTGCCCGTTAGTTGGCAGTCATTTGTTCGCCCGGCAACCGGAAGTCATCCGCGGTATATTGATCTGCTTTGATCAAATTGATTAGGAACGCCTGCCTACATGTACCTTTTCATCTTTAACCACGGTAACCTGCGAGCTTGTGGTAATGTTACATGAAATATCTTGTCTATGCCTGTCAGTCCGTCTAACCCAGTTCTTGTCCCGCCTTGTCTATGCCGCAAAGATGAGAAAGGTCCATTGATGCCAGCAATAGATAAATGATAGAAGAGCCTCATCCGGGGCTAATCCTCGGCCCCTGACTCATAATCCAATCCTTCCATAGAGCTCTCACTCTCCAAGTGGATGGGCCCCTTCTTCCTCGGCTCTTCCACGAGCATCAGCGCCGCCCACGTCAGGGACGCCAGGACCGCAACGTAGAACCACGGCAGCCCCTTCCACAGCCCCTTCTTTTCGAGCCCGAGCGAGAACGCCCACGCGAGCACCGGTCCGCCGAGCGGCGAGCCGAGGGTGTCGACCATGCTGGTGAGCGCGTACAGCCGGGAGGTGTGCTCCGGATCGACAAATTCGGTGATCATGGCGCGCACCAGCGGGTGGTGGGCCGATCCAAAGGTCTGGAAAACGAGACCCAGGAGGAAGACGACAATCTCCCGGCTGAAGGCCTCGAGGAGGGCGCCGGCGGCGATCATGATGTACGACGCCTTGGCGAGGAGGGCGTCCTTGCCGAAGCCGGTGCGGCGGAAGCGGCCTCTGGGGTCGACGACGATTTTTGAGACCCAGGGGAGGAGGACGAGGGTGCCGATGTGTAAGAAGCCCAGGGGCGAGAGGAGGAAGCTGGTCTGGGCGAGGGTCCAGCCAAAGTTCTTGCTCACGTACTGCGGTAGCGTGGAGGAGTGGGCCGTCATGAGGTGGTTGCCGACGAGGGAGGGCACGAGGCAGAGGAGGATGTTGCGGCTGTTGAGCATCGCGAGGGAGTCCTTGAGCTGGACCAGACCGCTGAGGAAGCCTTCTCTAATGGCGTCGCCGAGTGGTAGCTGCGGTTTCGGCGTCTCTTCGGGATTGAGCTTGACACGGAGAGTCTCTGGCAGGAGCGCGATGATGAGGAAGATGAACGGGGCGAGCACGAAGACCAGGCGGATCGGCAGCCAGGGGCCAAACTTTTCCATGAGGAAACCGGCGCACACATGGCCGCTGAGGCCGCCGACGACGGCGCCGACGGAGAGGAGAACAAAGTTCGAGGCGCGGTCCTTTTCGGTGCTAATGTCGGCAGCCATGGCGTAGACGTTGTTGAAGACAACGACGATGCCGCCGCCAAAGAGGAAGAAGCAGGAGCCGAAGAAGAGATAGTAGATGCTGATATCGGGGAAGTGAGCGAGGAGGAAGGGGGCCCAGCTGAAAGCGGTGACGGTGCCGATGTAGGCGAAGACAAGGCCTGCCTTGCGGCCGATTCTTTACGGTTTCATGTCAGTTCTTTGGGAAAATCAAGCATAGTAGATACGTGAGATGTAATTACCCATCTGACAAGACTCCGTAAGGAAAGGCAACGAGGAAGTTGACGACGGCGCCGATGAGGGACTGCCACCCACCGAGCCACGCGAGCCGCTTCTGCACCTCGTCGACCTTGCACTTCATCTCGGGGATCGTCTCCGCGGGTCCGAGCTTAAAGTGCTTGTGACAGATGCCGTCCTCGACGAGCCTCATCATGGGGAGCATGAGCAGCATGGCCTGTATGGTGATGGCGAACTTGAGGAGGGCCAGCAGGATGATAATAGTCCGCGGCGATCGGGCCCGGAATGGAGCTAGAGCGGCATCGAGACGCGAGCCGGCTTGCCAGATCACCCCGCCGAGGCCGCCGAGGCCGCTGCCACCGCCGGGAGAGGGTCGCCTCCATTTCGACGGCGGAGGTCTCTGGAAGGCTTGGAAGCCGGCACGGGGGCCCGGTTCAGACGGATCCATTGGGAGCACCCCTTCGTGGTGCGCATACTCTGCGCCCAAGAGGTGCTCCTCGTCCACTTCGTCTGATAGACGTGGCATCATTTCTAGGTTTCTCTCCTTATTGCCGAATCTGGGGTTTGTATAGAATGAGAGTCATTGAACGATAGTGACAGATGAGAATGTAAAATAAGGACTACACAATGAAAAGTGAAGGGAACAGAATGAACGATCGGACGATAGAGGGGAGAGAAAGGACAAGATTCGCTTGACAGGGCGTGCTGTGGAAGATAATTCTGGTACGGATACGAAGCGCCTGAAATCCGGTCGCCAAGTCCGCCAGTTTCAGCTGGAGCCGGCGGCTTACTGTAACTCCCCGTATACGACCCCCGAAGCGTACCTCGCACAGTGCCCTGTGGCCCCTGTCGTGTGCCAGGATACCATATTGCGACGCTTGGTGAGAGTTATATGAGTACTCTTAGCGCTGGCATAAAATGGTCTAAAGTCACATATGTCAGAGTACCTCCTTAACAACGCAATCTCCTTCAACTGCCGCTGCCCGAAAGCTACTCTGTCATCACACACTGACTGCTAGCAGAGCTCACCAGCACATTGCCTGTATTAACTCAGCCTAGATGAGTACTCCTATGAGTACTCTTCGGTCGATTAGCGACCAGACAGACAAGCGTGAGGATTCAGAACGCAGAATAGATTGACACTCGCGCATTTGTGTGGGCAGCTATGAGTGTTATCAATTATAAAACCATACAACTTGGTGCTCTTTCAATTTCAACATCCTCTACCCTAGAGCGAGGGTCGCGGCCTCCACGAGGAAGAACTAAGAAGATGAGAGACACAGAGATACGGCCATGCCTGAGTTTCTTGCGCAACATCAGCACCACACACTGCGCCGATCTTAAGTGCTTTGCGTTCGCCCATCCCAAACCCTCTGCTCATCCTCGTTTTCCTGGTAGTGGAGCCTCGAGAGACTGAACACTTTGTTGGAGGCCAAGCTGTAAAGCAGCATGAGAGCCGCAAACGTTGGCCAGACGACGAGGATCACATCGGCGACGGAGACTCCGACGAATGAAGATTCATAATCCCAAAAATGACCTGTCAACTCCTTGATGATGTTTATAAAGCTCCATATCCTGGTTATGAGCCATAGAGAGACTGCAGTGAGAAAGAGAGTAGCTGCCTAATAGAAATGGATAGGTTAGCAAATGATCCGTTTGGAACTGATTTTTGTCCCCAGGGCCAACAAGAGACCGCTTACCTTTTGGACAGGACTGCCCCTGGTCTTCCCGTGGGACAAAAAGGCATAAACAGCCATGCCAAGGGCTGCAATGAGAAGAAAGCCGATGTTGATGGCACTCATGTATTCGGCGGCAAATGACAACCTAATCGCATTGTCCCAATCGCCAGACACATAGCGGTCCCTGCCCGGGAGAATTTCGTACAAGACCGTCGAGGCGATTTGGCATGCAAAGGTTGCTACAGCTACGAGAGCAATTAGGGCTGACATGCCCAAAATGACCTTTTTGCCGACGTGATAGGTTCTGGAATCATCAGTCTCGGCGCCTTGGCGAAGTTGAGTCAAGGCGTGAGCCAGAAAGAAAAAGGCGCGAAGAAGGGCGACATGGCCCAGGTAGCTGAGAAGCGAGCTAACGTAAACGATGTATTCAATACCATGCGGTATCAAGCCAAAACCGTCTCGCCGCCGAGCATAAGTAACTGCAAGAATGATCCAATAAATGAGCCTAAGAAGTTCGGACCTGAAAAAACAATCGGCAGAGTCAGTTTCTCATTTCCCGGACAGTGCTTATCTAGGTGCCCAGGAAGGCTGGTTGGAAGCTCCCGTGACCAAAGACTAAACAGTGACAGCAGATATGACAGAATCATCTTACACGCTCCAAAGCCCCAGGGCAATCTTGGTGAAGTCGACCCAAAGGCGCGTGTGGTCATGCTTGGCGCCGGGCTTACGGAGGACAAGTACGGAGAATCCCAAGGCGGGAATGATTACTAGTCCGGATAGGACAGTTCGCGCTATAGTTCCCGTCACGTAGGGCTCCCAGTCCATTTTGAATATGACGGCTCGGTTCGAAGTTACTGTCTTTAGTGGATTGCAAAATATCAAGTGAATAAGAGACTGCTTTGAAGAGGAGGTCGAGTTTTGTCGTTTTCAAATGGACAAGTGTGATGCAGGAATAACGCCAAAGAGAGTGGGGCTGATGAGCAGCTTAAATATTTACCGCATATCCGATCAAAACATGTGAGTCCACGATCTTGACACGATTCACTGTCCAGCTGCTCGGGCGAATGTGCTCTCGGTTCGAGCCGGTCTCTCACCCTGGCCGGGCGACAGCTGTGCCGCACTAGCCCCTACCAGCATACACCTGCGCGTACACGCCTGCAGGACAATCAGCCGAGATGACTGGATGTTATTGGTTCAAAGCCTGTAAACGCAGACGAGAGTGTGCAGAAGAGATATCATCGCCCTATTCGGTCGGTCCCCCTTACGCGGCCTGCTTCAGTCGTGGGGCGGGCGCAACGCTGTGCCTCTTGAAGGGCCAGCCAAATTGGCAGTGCAGGTTGTCTCGTTTGATCAAATCCATCGGAGAAAGAGAGTAGTCTGTCTGACAGGGTCTCATGATGTTGAAATAACACTGTGAAATCGAGGAGTCAGTTCTTGGGCCATGTGGACGTGACTCGCTAATTCCTGAGTTACACAGGCTGCTGTAGACTGAGAGTAAACAGCTCGAGGTCGCTGTCATTCGATGGCCAGCAGGTCCCATACTTCCAGCTCTTCATCTATTGCCTTTGCGACTGGATGAATCAGGGTCATTTCCTATCGAGCATTTTTGCTCCCTTCTCCCGAAGCTTTTTCGCGGGGCGACTCACACTGGCTGGGCTGTCATGGGGATTTAAAAGCCCCTAGGACTATTTGATCACATTCCTTTGAAGCCTTGGATACATGTATCAAAGCCACATACTACATGACCCTGGTGTTGAATTTCCAGATGTAACAGTAAAGTGAAGATTTGCCCGTTCATTCTCGGTATGAAATGTCTTCGTCTCACAACAGATGGTCGCCACGAGTGCAGCTCTGGTCGCATACGTCACTTACGCCTAGTCAAAAATTTAAACTCATATAATCTGGCCGAAAGTTTTAGTGAGTAACGTTGGCTTTCAATGCCTGGTACTCACAGGGAGTTTCAGTCCATGAAAACTCCAGCGCACTCTTCCAGCTCCGTAAGCACGATGGTGGGAGTCAACATGGGGAAGATTCAGGCAAATGGTCTAGTTTAGGGACAGTTAAATGATTTAGTTTAGTGCTATGGAGTCATGATCAAAGTTTGTAGTGTGCCGTAAAGTCGAGCATTGTCTAAACCAACGTGCTACGTGACGGATTGAGAAGTGGAAAATATGAAAACCCAGAGGGACACATCAATGGGCCCGCCCGTGCTTGATCTAAGCAACAGAAGACAAAAATTGCCAGAATTATCAAAGCAAGTAATCAATTAAATCATATCGAGGGTTTCAAATTGTTGGCGTTTAGGTCTCAGAACATGATACGCGAAAGCGAAAGCTGTGGCGTTGAGGAATAGCATCTGCCCTTGGCATTATCAAATCTTCGGACATGCTACTTTATAAGATCTTTCGCCCTCACAATCAAATACAGAAGCCTGTGAATTAGTTGGCTACGTTTGTAACTCCGTATTTACATGCAGTGTCGCTTGAGTGCTGCAATACTTCCGAGTCTGGGTTGAATCAGCAAGGCATGGAAAGGGAACACACAGTCTATTGATCCAATATGAATGAACCTGCATAATGAGAGCCTACTAGACTTGGTTTTTCCTAACATGCAAACTTGAAGCCATCGCGTCTCTCTCACACATACTCTTATAAATATCCAGTCTCCAGATCCTCTTGCTCCAAACCAAATTTGGACGAATGGTGCCATTTACCCAAGGATAGAGACACAACGCGTTTTCAAATTTACCAACAACACGGGGTCTAACCTTACTTCTTGCCTGCAGCTGCATTTCGCGCTGCTCTTCTGGCTCCGGAAAATCCTGGCGTCGTCTATTTCTACTCGAGAAGAGGTTTGGTCAGTCTTGAGCCTTTGGAAAGGTCATGTGTCCACTGACTTTTTCTCTGGAACTGGATATCACTCCCGGTCTTCTTCGCCGAAGTAAGCATTTGCTCAGCCTGTTCTATATTCCCTCTCGTCACTTCGGAGTCAAAAGCCAGTGGATACTTGGTCTTGAAGCCAAGTCACTCTTGCCGGGCACTGTTCGCGCGCCATCCTTAACAAATATTCAGGCAGAACCACTTGTCTGGATGAGAATTCCGTCAGGACTCACTCGATGGCAGCGTCTAGCCACTTTTACTGGTCCGTAATAGCCTGAAGGCGAATCTTCTCTTGTTCCACTAAACTGATTGAAGTGTTTAAACGCATACAAAATTGAAAAGAGGCATCAGCCACTTTCTTGACGTCAGAAAACCTGTTTCCCGCGTCCTTGTAGGAACGGTAGTCCCTCTCCATCTGATCGATCCATACCGGATCAGGCCGCCGCCTGCTATGTCGTCTTGCGTCAAATTCCACCAAACAGCACTTGGGGATAGAGAACATTGAACGCTGTTGGTTATAGCCGCCGACATTCTGGCCCAAAGTCGAATTTCCGCGCGCAGAAGCACTGCCTCAAATGCTCGCCCTGTTGATTGAACCCATGACAGCTACCGAGTCATTTCATTTCAGCCGATGTTGATTTGCCGAACTTTGGTAATATCTGTGTGAATATACGGCGTCTCGTTCCGAATCAGGCAAGAATAAGGAACACAGGGCCCCGGGATCATGGCTTGTGACGCTACAGAAGTGATGGGCACAGTCAAGGCAGCTATGCGAAATCCGCAAGCAAATCTCAGTGGGTCAAACTTGGATCACAACCAACACGAATACCTAGACGTTGGTCGTAGTCAGGGAAGATGCACATGCAGCGGCTGTCGGCGCTTAGAACATGAAGACATGAACATTCAATGAACAGTTCATAATTGCCGTTGATTGGCCGACCCGTACCCCGACCCACTCGGGGCTGTGGAGGCTGGCAGCCATCCTTCCCCGGAGCTCTTCCACGGTGGTCTCTATTTCGCATCGTTTGTCTTCACCAACATCTCATTTTCCCCACGATGATCCACGCCGTTATGTAAAAAAGAAAAGAAAAAAATCAAACCGCGAGGAAGTCTTCTTACGATGGCTGAAATGGACAGGGACGGCAGTCCGCATCAGGGTGAAGATGAAGCTTCTGCAGACATGAATCATGGAGAACTGTTGAAAGTGAAGCCAAGAAATGACCCGATCAGCAGCGCGAGACATGCGGACGACTCCGATGCCGCAAGCGAAGACGAGACAGAAATTGAGCGTTCGGAGAGGAAGAAGCGTTTGATCGACGGTCACAAATCGACCTCATATATCGAGAGTCTACCCGCCGAGCTGAGATTCGAGATTCTTTCGTGGATGCCGGACCTGCCAAGCTTGCAGTCTGCTGTTCACGCCTCACCGGTACTCCACGCTCAATATAGGGAGCATCGGAACACCATTCTTCGACTTTGTCTAGGTCGTGAGCTGGACGGATTTTATGTCGACGCTCATGTTCACTTGATGTCTCGTGTGAGTATACTTGGAAGTCCTCGAGGGGACGGAACGATTGCCGAGTTCCTCCATCAGTACGGGCTCTGCCTGTCAGGCTCACCAGGAGCTCCAGATATGAACTCTCCGAGAGCGGGTGACATGCGGTGGATGGCAGGATTCCACAATTCTATTGCCCGACCTTTTGCTCGCCTATACAGCAACTGGGCACTCGCGAACCTCGAAAGTGCTGCCACATCAGGGTCAACCATGACAGGGATGATGAGGTCGCCAGACACGCGGGCTCAGTATGGCACTGCTCTGAGTAGAAGTGAAGAGATTCGCCTCTTCCGAGCCATTTACCGATACGAAAGTTTCCATCACCTCTTTGGTCGGAATCAAGGCAGACGCCGCGGCGGCTTTCGCTTTTACACTATTAATGAGCTTTTCTGCTGCCTATTCAACCCTTGGGAAGTTGAGGCTATCGGTTGTGTCGATGAGTTTGTCAGAAACAAGTACACCGACATTTTCAAACAGGTCAAAGATGATCTTGATCCAAAAAACCCCAAATTCAGGCAATCCAATGGGGTCCTCAATCCCAACGGATCGTTCTGCCTCGAAACGGAGTGGGATGGTATGAGCCTTACCCGGGGAGGAACCAGAGAACACATTTGCTAATGATGAAATACAGACTGGATGGAGGGAACTGTGTCGCGAGGTCTGCAGACGGCCGTTCGAATGTTTACAATCAGCAATCATGAGTTGCTGCTAGTCAAGATGGAGCGCGCCCTCACCACCCAGCAACAAGATGACGATTCTTTGAAGAAGACTCTGAGCGCAATTGCCCAAGTAGGCAGACGCGATGTCTCAGACACCTTTCCAGATCCGAGAGACCGAGCGGAGCAGAGGAGAGATGAAATGGCGTTTGAAGGCGACGCCGCACCGCCTGATGCACCACCATTCGCCTGGGTTCTGCTGTGGAACGGGATATACTCGAATGCCTATGGGGAGTATGTTCCAGAGTCGTTGATTCGAACTGGCTACGTATTCTGGGATGAGCGGCGATGGATTGACGAGGGGGCAAAGAATTTTGTCCTCAAGCAGTGGGAAGGCAACCCGTCGTATGTGGAGGCGATTCTGGCCGATCGCGATTGGAGTCCCCTTGAAGGCGAGACAACAACCGTCGAAGAATTCCCAAATGAAGACGCGGAGGTCTCAGAAGGTGGAGAGGGCCAGCCAGGTCAAGCCGAGGACGTGACTGAGCCTGCAGGTGAATGGCAAGATGCAGGCTTAGCAGCCTCACAGGTTGACAACCTCTATTTGTTACATCGATAGTATTCCAATAGCGCTTCTTCATCAAAATCAGAACCAGACGTAATAGCCGGTAGGAGAAAATAGTTGGTTTTGATGGTAGAAGATGTTCCCTAATTCGTGAAGTTCTATAAAGATCAAACGTTATCCAGTTCTATGTTTTGTCTGCCTAGGATTGACGGCTTGTATTGTCACGGGCTACGCCAGTACCGCGTGACGTGTAGGCCACCGCAATTTGCTGTTATCTCTACTTTCAACGCTATGTTCCCTTTGTTGAGCGACATTATGTGTACTGACATCCTTGCTTCCGAGGCCGAGCTGACGACTTGCCCTGAAATAATCTCAATTTCGTTAAATTGGTGCGGACATAAAGGTGTGGATAACGGTCGCCTACTGGAAATCAAAATATGATCTCTATGTGAAGCCGGCCGATTCTGACTTTGTTATAATGAAATACGAGCGTAAACTAACAACGTTAGTTTCTACCCTGGCATGTTTCATAGTCAACCCCGTGTTAAAGACGACGTGACTATTAATAGACATGGCGACTCTTTCGCCGGCACAAGCCGGGCACGGCGGCCCCCGCAAGGGACGGGGCCGAAGCCGAGGGGGAGTCCGCCACGGCAGGAAGAAGGCGCAAGCTCGGAAACGTGATGCCACGCAGGTGAAACTGAGTTTGAGATGTGCAAAGATTATAATGCCTTGTGCGTTTAACAGCCAGATAGGATCGACACCACTCCCCTAGTGGGATTTCCCCATCACGCGGGGGTCAAAAGTACAGGCCGCTTCTCTTAGGCTCTCTCATCTATCATCAGTCACTAGGTAACCAAAAAAGCTTCAAAATTGATTGAAATACCTCAAGTATAGAGAAATATCTTATATACCCTCTTTGTGTTTTGAAATTTAATATTTCATAACTACTCGACGTTGAAGGGTTAGTTTTGTTGACGGTGCTCAGAAGACCGGCCTGTATTTTTGACCCCCGCGTGCCCATCAATTCATGGCAGAAAGGAAGAGGCGGCAGGAATTTGCGTTGATTCACATTCTCGGTGTCTTGGAACCTCAATGTCTTGGGTCTAGCGTTACGCGGCGTGTCTGCCAGCATTCCAATAACCTCCCTAGATAACCACCAAGCAAAACGTCGCGACCGACTCTTCACTCCTTTTCGATTTTCGTCTCAAAAGTATATTTTCAACAGTCACGGATCTTGTCTTATTCCATTCCATAGTGGCCCTCTCTCCACCCTCCTTCCTGCAAATTCCGGACTTTGGTTCTGCCTCCAGAGGGTATTCCTCTCCCTGCACCGGGTAGAGGAGCGGCGTCTGTACTTTTCTTTCACTCGTTCTCTTTCAGTTTGAATTTCAAAATTTTCTTATTCAACAGTAAACACACCGTTTTGTTCCATCGGGATGATCATTTGGGACTGCATCGTGGTGGGAGCTGGCATTGCGGGCTCCGTTGTCTCGAATCGGCTGCTCGAACAAGACCCGAGCCTCAAAATCCTCCTCATAGAGGCCGGGCCCAACACTCACGAGCTTGGAGACCTGACGGTCATCGACACAGACCCCGATGTCAACCGCAATCACACATGGTCGTTTAATTCTGTGCCGCAAGTCAACGCCGATAATCGAACAATGTCATCCCTCGCCGGCAAGGGGCTGGGCGGGGGCACCGCCATCAACGGAGGTAAGTGGCCACCTGGCGGATATTTCACCAACGTCTTTCATTCTCTTCCTCTTCCTCTTTTGGGCCATGACTCATGAATGAGAAAAGGAGCTTGGGTCCGTGGCCACAAGGCCGACTATGACCTCTGGGGCGAAAAGGTAGCCGACAAGAGATGGACGTACGAGGGCCAACTGCCGTACATGAGGAAGACGGAGACACTTTGGGACCAGGCCACGAACCCGTCGTCTCACGGCCATCGAGGACCAGTCAAGATTCAAAATCCAGTAGACATGGGCCGCATCTTCCCCCTGCGTGAGCCGCTGATAGACTCATGGAGGGAACTTGGCGTCAACCCACTCCCTTCATTCGATGCCAACGCCGGCAACAGCCTCGGCATAGGCAACATGCAAGAGAATAAAAACCATGGCAAGCGCCAGTTGGCGTCCCAGATTTATCCTCTCGACGGCATCGCAATTCTGACCGACAGCCTTGTCGCCCGGGTTCTGGTGGAGAGGAACCCAAAGGGCCCCCTTGTCTGCCGCGGCATCCAGCTCGAAAATGGCACAAAGATCTTTGCGCGTGAGACTATCCTTTCGGCGGGAGCCTACCGTACGCCTCAGATCCTCATGCTCTCCGGCATTGGCCCGGCCGACACGCTCCGGAAGCACGGCATCAACGTCGTCTTGGAACAGCCGGCCGTCGGCCAGAACCTACACGACCATGTCCTTCTCCCCACCATCTGGCACCTCGCCAATGCCTCCGAGGGCTGGGCCAAGGGCTCGGGCAACCCCATCTTCGAACAGCCACAGTACGATCTCGGCGGCTTCGTCGACCTCATCACCGCCACCAACCTCCCCAGGGAGGGCCTCGCCGACTCCATCGCGCAGGATGAAGGCGGGCTCTCTCCTGACCCGAAGCTGCACCCGCTCCTCAACCGAGACCGCGCCGCCTCCTCTCACCAGCTGATGCATGGCGGTATCTCGGCTGACGGCTCTGCCGTCATGCTCGTCTCCATAGTCCTTATTAACACTAGCCGCGGGTCCGTCTCGATCCAGTCCGCCGATATCAAGGATGACCCCATCATCGACCCGAATTTCCTAGGCACTAATTTTGACCGCTTCGCCGCGCGGGAGACGATGAGGGAGGCTGTCAGGCTCATGTCATCCAACCAGACTATTATGGGCCGGCTGATTGTCGACGGCGACGGGACGGACCACCCGCTGACGGTCGATTCCCCCGACGAGGAGGTCGACGCCAGGGTACGCGAGTCCACTGGGTATGTCAATTTCTCACACATCCTTTTTTCTTCTTTTTCCTTGCTTTTCCCCCCTTCATTTTCTCTGCATCCCTTTTTCTAACGTGGAATATTCTGTAGTGGGTGTTATCATCCTGCCGGCACGGCCGCCATGGGTACCGTGGTCGACGGCGACCTTCGGGTGATGGGCGTCTCGGGCCTCCGAGTCGTCGACACGTCCGTGTTCCCAGTTTCCATCTCGGCGAACCTGCAAGTTGCTGCGTATGCGCTGGGGGAACAAGCGGCAGACGTCATTATGTCGACTCTATGGCGAAACGTGTGGTATTGGTGATTGTTTAGCATCAATAAACGAGTGCTGCTGTTTTAGTTCGGGGCCTATTCAAGAGGCCGCCGCCGCTATAGACGATGGATATCCTGAATGAACAAAGATTTTTAATTACATTTGCCGAAACGAGAAAACGTAAGAATGAAGTGTGGGCAATGAGGCCTGAATTATTAAGCTCAAAAGAAAGAAACAGCAAAGTTTTGGAATTCTTTTCTACAAAGCTCGCAAATAGCACATAATCTACGCAGACATAGTAGACAGCTAATAGTAACAGCATGATAATGTCTAATTGCCTCGAGAAAGAAAAAGGGAGGAATTGCTTAGACAGACTGATTCAGAAGTCGCATCAGCTGCTGCCTGCAGCAGCTCTTGCACGCCTCTCATCAAGCTCTACAGCAGCCCGAAGCTCTGTGTAATTTGGAAATAATGTCTTGTCAGCCCTTCCTTCTCCTTGCGTAAAGAGCGGATGTGCAAAATAGCCAAAGGAAAGTCTTACTTTGTCTCTTAGTCTGAATAGCGCTGTGCGCGTTCTTCGCCGAGGTAAGGTTGTCCGCGGCCTGTGCGATGTGGTTGACGGTGGACTTGGTAGGGAGGGCGTCGGGGTATTTCGTGACGAACCCCAGACGCGCTTTTGCAGCTCTATTCGCTCCATGAGATCATTAGATTTTATATCAGAACAGCGTGATGTTCTCAGAGAAAGGGGATGTTGTCGTGCAAAGCTTTGTTGGAAGGGGGCGGAGCCAAATTGAATCGTAGTGCAAAGAAGTAAGACTCACTCCAAGGCTGCGTTGACCCAAAGCTCGTCATCGTTCAAAGCTTTCAGATAGACAGGCTCCTGTATTTCGAAGCTTTTGCCAAGTACCGACTTGATTGCCTGGCCTGATGCTACTGCTGTCTTGCGGGTCTTGCCCAGGACACTGACTTTGGCCTTGTACGAGGCGTAATCTCGCACCATCTGGGGGGTCCAGTCAGCAGAACGCAACGCCGTGTCGTTGATGTCGCGCTTCTTGACATTGTGTGACTGGATCTTGCGTTCGTGCAGGAAATCTCGGCCACTCTCAATTATCGTAACGTGTTCCATCATCTCCATAAACGAATCATCATTGCCAGACTTTATGAAACTCTTCTTGTAAGAGTCATCAGATAAGGCGGATGCATATGATACTGTGGTATTGCTTGAGCAATCCGTGGCGGTTGACTGGTTGGACTTGGTAGAATGCCACGACGTTTGGCTGACAAGTTGACTGACAACTTGTTCGGCGACCGGGCCGTTGTCATCTCGGGACTTGAACCACCAAGACATTGTGTAATTCAAAAACGGGAGCTGATGTATGCCTCAAAGTAGAGGCAATGACCAAGGAAGTCGCAAACTTTCGAACTGAGACCGGGACGTTTTTTGAAACTGTTGACGGAGAACAAAAGGCGAAATGAACAATTAACTGGCAAATTTGCATAGATCTCTGGTAGAGAGTCGAATAACGAAAGAAAGAAGAATAAAAAAAGCTTGTATGTTCAATGTTTTAACCAGATTCGAGTGACGGACTCTGTCTGTCTTTAACCAATGCCTTTATCTTCACAGTGCTGTTCTCAAGTGACCAAGATATCGGCATCATCGGCACTTCGACCATCTTGACGGCCATATCTGCTACCAACAAGTGGATCGAGGAACCTGACTGACATCAAGTTGGAAGCCGGTGGAGAGCTGCTATTCTCAGATGGATTGACGCGGCTACGCTAGAGCGTTACATTTTTGAAAGGCAAAATAGTTGGTTGTAGCCGCCGAGTGAGTAGTCGTAAGTTATTTCATGCCTGCCATTCTCCAACAGCGAAGTTCTCTTCAACTAGGGGTGTAAGAGTAGCTGACTGCAGCTCTGAACACAGGTTGATTGGGATCTTTTCCATCCTGAGGGGTGCTATGTACCTTAGACGCTATCATAAGCGCCCGATGCCGCTTGACATTGGCCTGGACCAGATGCTGTAGCCGTGGCTGAGCAATGCAGCCAAAAGATCTCTGAGACCTGATGGGATGGTGAGCCTAAATCTTGGTAGAAGCTACTCTCTTAATGGCTAGAGGTGTACATTGTAGAAATGTGATGTGTACCAAGCTTGTCCCCTAAAGTCGGCCATCCTTGAACCAACACTCGGTTCAGGTGAGCGGCGGTAAGGATGATAGACGAATCACATCGGGGACGAAAACAGGGGTTCTGCAAGTAAATCAGCGCGTGGGCGCCTAGTCTTTGTTGCATCTCTTTTTCTTAATCTTCTTCGCCAGGCCAGCGATGACCCACTTTGGGTCCAAGTTGGTTGTTCGTTCTTCTCCGCAGCAACCTTCACTTTACATTCACAACTTCATCGTTCCCCAAGAGTCAACCTCGCCCACATTTGCTCTGCCAATTCGTTCCATAATCTTGCTCGTTCTTCCCATATACAGCAAATCATGGCGGAATCAAGCCATCCCCAAGACGGTAAACTTTGCGACTTTCTCAGCGGCCACGACAAAGAAGAGACGAGGCCAATCATCGAGAGTATGGAGAAACAGATTGACCTCAGACACGAGACTACTTCCAATTTTCCAGAGTCCTCGTCTCCCCTCGAAAATCAGACTGGTTTCGATCTTTCAAAGGCCTCTCCTCATCTCCAAGATGAGACCGCTCCCGATTCTCTGGAGTCCCCGTCTTACCTCAAAGATGAGAGTGTGTCTGATCCTCCAATGGCTTTCTCCAATCTGGAAGATGAGATCGATTCTGATCCTCTGAAATCCTCTTCGCACTTGGAAAACGAGGCGGCTCCCGATATTCCCAAGTCCCCTTCTCACCTCGAAAACCTGCCCGCTGAGCTCCGATTTCTTGTCCTTTCATGGATGCCCGACCTGCCAACACTTCACAGTCTCGTACACGCATCTCCCGTGCTGCATGCGCAATATCGAGAGCACCGCGACACCCTTCTTCTCACCTGCTTGAGTAGGGAGCTTGACGGATATTATGTTGATGCCTACGCCACTCTGATGTCTCGGGTAGCAGTACTCGGACGTCGGCGAACAGACGAACTATGCGAAGAATTCCTCCTTAAGAATTACGACGTCTACTTATCGGGGTCAAAGCACACCAAGGACCTCACTAGACCCAGTGGTGGGCAGATTCGCTGGATGGCGGCCTTCCACGACTCTGTAGCTCGACCCATTGCTCGTCTTTATGCGAAGTGGGCGCTGGAGAATCTCTGCAAGGCGGCTGCGTCAGAAACGTCTTCTATTTCATCAAGTGTCAGTATGGAGGACGCGATGAGTCTGACCCGAAGCGAAGAGATACGCGTGTATAGGGCCATCTACCGCTTCGAGACGTATTGTCACCTATTTGGCCATAACAAGGGCACGCGGGTCTATGGCTTCCGTGGTGATAAGATTTGTGACATTTTTTTCGGCATGTTTGACCCCTGGGATGTAGAGGCTCTGGCTTCCATCTACTCATTCGTCAAACACAAGTACGATGAGATTTTCGATGAGGTGAAGGAAGACGTTTCGGATACCAACCCAAGATTTCGGAATCCAAGTTCAGGGTTGACACTATTCGATTCCTGGGATCTTGTCACGCTACACGATGGTAAGTTCTGATATAACTCTCTTTATCGTGTGTCATTTTACCAGAAACCGCAACTTGCTTTCAATGTAGTTCTTGCGGCCACCAGTGGCTAACATGGAGTCCCCCAGAGATCATGAGCGGCACAGCTGCGCGAGGCCTCAGGCCTTTGATGCGTCTGCTACTAATCAAAGACCATGAGGCACTGGTTGAAAAGACCATCTCTACATTTGCTACTGATCGGGACATTGACGAGTGTCTTGACGAAGTACTAGGGTGGGCATCGCAACATGAGAGACGGCTTACATCGCCGCGATTCCCAACAGCCAGGGACAAGCTCGAACGGAAGAAGGCTTCGATGGAGTTTACAGGCGATGGCGTGCCGCCCATCTCACCGCCGCTGGCGTGGGTACTTTTATGGAATGGCAAATACTCCAATGTCTTTGGAGGTTTTGTGCCGGGTATATTGAGGGAATGGGGTTATGTCATGTGGGATGAGCAGCGGTGGAACAATATGGGAGCGAAGAACCTCGTAAATGAACAGTGGAAATTGCATCCGGAAAGTCTGGTTGAGACCATGGAGACCATTGTTCACTGGGATCCAATTGGTGGCGCCGAGGGCGAAGAATCATCTCAACCACCCCACTAGACTACAGGTACTTCTCAGTTCCAAACGCAACGATCAGTAGAGCAACCTTGCATCAGACGAAGTTATCAAGGTTGATTAGAGAGGCAACAAAAAAGCCGTCTTACCCTTAAGTGTGTTCAGGGCAAGGCCCAAGTTGGTAATTAGGTCAGTCCTACAAGATCAGACTACAATTTTCTCACATCTCCACCAAATCTTCACAACAAGATCTTTGATTGTGACCTGCTCAATGCTGTAGTGGAGATTGTTCGGCTCAACGCCGATTGCGTGCCGACATGATCACATGACGTCAGAAGATAAGACGGGGACAAAGTGCGGGCAGTGTCCGACAACGGGGACGAAGATATGCCCAGCTTCAAGTAACTCCTAGTCTTCAACCTAGTGATTCGTTGTCTCAGAATCATCCCAAAACGAAATCCTCATAAAGCAGAAATGACCGCCTCGGCAGATTCCTACCTCATCCTGGGCGCCGGCGTCTTCGGCGCCTCCACGGCCCTGCACCTGATCCGGGCCTATCCCGACGCCAATATCACCCTCGTCGACCGCAACGCCTACGACGCCCCTATACGCGTCGCCGCCTCGTGGGACTGGAACAAGGTCGTGCGTGCCGACTATGTCGATATCGAGTATATGCGCCTCTGCCTCGAAGCCAAAAAGTATTGGTCAGAGGACCCAATCTGGAAGCCATTCTACCATGAAAGCGGCGTTTACTGGGTCTCGCCAAATAACTTTGCAGAACAGATGCAAGAGAACTATAGGAAGCTCGGGGTAGACTCTGGGTTGTTCTCTTTCTCTGTCGAAGAAGCCAAGAAGCAGTATGGCGGCATCTTTGAGGACGCCGATTTTACAGATGTCAAGGAGGTTTTTGTGAACAAGAATAGTGGATGGGGTGAGGCGAAGGAGGCATTGCAGAGGACGATTGAGGAGGCTGTAAAGCTCGGGGTGAAATATGTCGAAGCTGAAGTTGAAAAGATTGAATTCGACGAACAGGGTGGTGCGACGGGTGTCAAAACGGCCGAGGGCGAGAGCATTATTGCTTCGCGGGTTATCTTATCCACCGGCGCTTACACAGCCAAGTTGCTTGCCGATAGCGCGCCCGAGAGGAAGGACCTTCATGCTGGTGACAGATTCGTGGCGGCGGCTGTGACTGAAGGCTTTGCGCCTGTTTCGGGAGAGAATGCAAAGAACCTTTACGACGGACCAGTTGGAATTTCAGTGGTGCCCCCATCAAGAGGTATTGACTCACGTGCTGATAAATTCATCTCGATACCTCGGTGACTGATATAATCACAGGTGCAAGCAACGGGAGTGTCCCCCATTCAAAAGACAAGACCCTGAAATTCTGGGGTCAGATCATTTTCAGAAATACCCAGATCCACGCAAACGGAAGCCTCATATCTGCGCCCCCTCCGGCTGTAGACTATGCGCAGCTCGAGGTCCCAGATGCTTTGAAAGAAGATGTCGACTATGCTGGGAAGAGTCTCTTTGGGAAAGCAAGCGCCACTTTCAAAAATGAAAATTATCGCATCTGCTGGTATGTGGTCAAAATTTTCCCGAAAGACTGGAGCTCACATAAGTCGGGGTGTCTTGCTAACGCGTAAAATAGGGAGGCTGTCACGCCTGATGAAGACTTTATCATCTCTCCACACTCTGCAAGCAAGAACCTCTACGTTGCCACTTGCGGATCATTTCACGGCTGGAAATTCTTGCCCATCTTGGGTAAGTATGTTGTGCAGATGCTCGACGGATCTCTTGAGGAGACCTTGGCAAAGAAGTGGTCTTGGGACCGATCCTTCCCGTTGCCCACTCACAGAGCTTGGCCTAGAAGAGAACTAAGCGACCTGAAGTGAAAACTTTGCGTGGAAAGAAACTTGCGAATCGACAAGAATTTTAAGAGGAGTCGAACTCATGGACTCTTACTTTATCGCCTGCTTCGGAGGCAAACACAATGTGTAACGTGGGTCAGCGCGCCAGCCCATTCAATGATTCAAATCCATTAAACGCGATCATCAAACAAACAATCAAATAGAGGCTATCCAGCGCATTAAACAGTCAAATCCCCGAGGCCGTTTGTTAAATATGTTTCATTAAATAAGATGGATCCGTAAAATATGAAAAATGTTTAGATTAAAAGATTAACTATCCTAAACTAGGATTAAATACAATTTAGGATTAAATACTGGACTTCTAGGATAAAAAAGGGGGCCATTGGGAAAAGTTCAGCGCCTAGAAGGCTTTAACCATTATACCATATCTGTAGTTATATAGACTGCAATAATTATTAATGTCTTAGATTAACTTTGCATTAAATCCGTCAATTTTTTTATTGAACAATCAAATATACCTCTAAAAAGAGTCAAATAGTCGTGTGCAACTCCTATATTTGATTTGCTTGTTTGGGCCGGCGTGCTGGCCAGAGCGGGGGACAATCCCGCCGGTGAAGCATTGTTCTCCTGGTTATAAATTATATGGCCATCAAAGAGGGAGGAACAGCTCCGAGAGCCCGGATTTTCTCATGGCCCGTCTTCTTGTTTCTATAGGTCAAGATTGAACAGCAAGGCTGCATATGAGCACTAAACCTGCGCGAATGACCCAGACATTTATAAGTGTGGCGTCTCGTATCTGTTGCTATGCGCGCTGCTCCGAGACATAACGAATTTAGCCTGATAAATGTGACGCAACTTGATTAGAAAACGTTTGGGTAGGATTCGGTACGCCTTGGCGTCGTGGCGTCGCTTACATGTATTTAATAATCAGCATGCCTAGCTAGGCCGAAGAAAATGTGGTCATTGGGGGCTCTAGTTCAAGCTGGCACTAACCTCGTTCAACCCGACGTCCAACCTCGCCATCAGTATGCTATTTGTCTTCTTCCTCATCATCAGTTTTTGGTTGTATCTTGCAGTTGCAGAGGAGCAGATGGAATCATCAAAGACCAAAATAGATGTGCACGCACACTACGTCCCAGACTTTTATGCGCAAGCGCTCAGAGATGCTGGGCACTTACCCGGCCCGGATGGCATGCCCAGGATTCCTGTCAGCACTCTCTATAAGCACCCGAACCAGTTGTCCTTTATTACTTCATGTTTATACTGACTTGGACGAATAGGAGTGGACGCCCGAGGCGCACCTCAAGTTCATGGAGGCGCAAAATATTGAAAAGTCCTACTTATCAATCTCCAGCCCAGGGGTCTACCTTTCCGTGCCCTCCAAGTCCGCGACAGAGAAGGCGGTTAAACTGGCTCGTCAAGTCAACGAGTATGCATCAGAAGTCAAGGCCAGATATCCCACCAAATTCGGCTTCTTTGCATCACTTCCCCTACCAGACGTGAGCGCATCCGTGGATGAGATTATATACTGCTTCACGCAGCTCAACCCGAAACCCGACGGCATCGTGGTCATGTCAAACGCCTACGGGATGTACCTCGGCGACCCGGACCTCGATCCGGTCTACAAGGCCCTGAACGAGGTCAACGCCATAATCTTTGAGCATCCCACCGCGCCCTGCACGGAGCATAACCATTTGCGATTCTCAATTGACGGAGAGGACCCCGGCATCACGCCGCCTGAATGGCTTTCCCTCAACAGGCCGGTGTCAGACCGGCAGGGTCGGGTGCCCACCCTAGACTTTCCCTTTGACACGGCTCGCACGTTTGCCGATTTGTTCTACTCAAAGGTGCCAACGCGGTTCCCTCGCATCAAATGGATCATGCCTCACGCGAGCGGCGGCCTTGTGCCCACCTTGGATCGAATCATCAGCTACAGCACTCCGGATGTCAATCTGACAGAGTCTTTTGTTAAATCCACCCTCGCGAAAAGCTTTTACTTCGACCTTGCTGGGCCCTGGCCGGTCACTTGGGCGATTCCTCCTTTGCTTCGGTGGGTGAGCTATGAGAAGCTATTATGGGGCACTGATACACCTTTCACGCCGTGGGCCATGGCGGAAGCTGGGAGGATCAAATTCGATCAAGATGTCGAGGAGGTTTTCAATGATGGAACCAAGGCTGAATTTGTAAGAAGAGGAAACGCTGTCAAATTATTTGGATAACGTAACCGTCGCCCAGTGGTTATAATTACACCGACCTGAAGTCTGAATACATGTCGTAAGAACCTGCCGCGAAAGACAAAGCTGGTCATGATATTAACTTGTCAAGCTCGCTGGCTACCCCCAATAGGCTCGAAACGTGATCATCTGAATTAAACAACGCAACAAGACTACAGAGTCTTTTTCATATGATTATGAGCTGTCCGCGTGCATTATAGGTACTAATAGTGTTGTATATGGTGCAAGCTGTGGGTCGAAACTGGAGAAACTCACATGAAGATAGTACCCGAAGAATGCATCATGGGAGACCATCCTCCATGCTACTTCGTATCATATAAAAACAGATTGACAGAAGTTCTCAAATGCCGCGGTAAGATAGACGAGTCGGTGCTGTGGACGCAGCTGTTTACAGATATCTTATCCGGGGCGAGAGCTGAGATACCGAGGCTCGATATGCCAAAGAAGGTATTTCTTGCCGGACTGGTGGTGTGGGTCTGCTAAGCGCCGACCAATATAGTACGAACAACGGAGATCATCCTCACGGGGAAAATTCGAGAAGACGGCGTCTTAGTCCACCATAGTTTGGAGCAGGAGGGGTAGATGACGAATATAAACCCCACATGAAGTGATGGTTTTCGTCGTCATGCAAATGAAGGAAAATTGCGCCCTCTGGCCAACGACTTCGCTTCACGGCTAGAAAAGACGCAAAAGAAAAATGGCACTCAAGACTCTGGAGAAGCCCCTCATCGTAGACATCAAGTCGGAGGCGACAAAGATACCAGAGTTCTTCTCCGAACACTCCCGCGGGAACGCGACGTGGCACACGCTCGTGTCCGCGCCGGGTACCCTCACCGACTCCCTTAGCTCCGGCGTAGCCACCTGCCCGCCCAACGGCAGCCTGGCGCTGCACCGACACAAGCAGGCCGAGATTTACTACGTGCTCTCTGGCAGCGGCAAAGTCGAAATCAACGGCGTCCGGCACAACGTGTCCAAGGACCAGCTTGTGTGGATTCCCGGGGACGCCGAGCACGGCGTCTTCTGCGACGGCGATGAGACCATGACGTGGCTCTACGTGTTTCCAGAGGGCCGGTTTAGCGATATTGTCTATCGGTTCAAGCATGAGATTATGGGGGAGCCCGAGATACGGGCAAAGCTTTGATGGATGTATTCGCGTGAGGAATACGGCTGTTTGTTAGGAGACACGACGGGAAAAGCTTTTAGAGAGGACATTTGAGAAGCCTTTAGTGCGATGTAGATGGGCAAGCAAGTACTGATGAAGGATGATGGGAAACTACTATCTTCCGCCTTGCACTTTTGTTATCAACCACACAACCACATCTGTTTACTGAGGAATAGGAGCGAGAGCCTCAAACTCTCTGGCACCCACGCCTCCATGATGGCCATTCCCCCCAGAAGCCAACAGAACAGCACAACTGCCCAAAGTCGAGACCTAGTTGAAGTTGACGATAGCAGGATTCTCCATGGCAGCAGAAGATTATGGCCGTGACATCTCTCAGTAACGGACCTAAATCGAGCGCAGCATACCAGTCCCATCATGGCAACCAATGTACTCAAAAACCTGCTGCTCCGGCTCGAGCACCAAAACCTCGTGAAACAGCCTCAAGCTCATCTGATCCCCCAGCCTCTTGGCATACTTTGCAAACTCGCCAAAAATGGCCAGGTGCGTCCGGTGCTCTTTGCTCCAGCGCTCCAGCGAGGCGAGGGTGTCAAAGTACGCCAGCCCAAACGTCCGGTCGAGCCCGCCGGCCTCGGCCGTGACGGGGTCGACGATCTCCATGAAGCGGCAGCTGAAGCAGCCGGCCTCGTCTCCGTGGTCTCGGAGGTACTCCATGCCCCTCACCAGCGGCGGCTGCATCGAGTCGAGATAGATTTGGCGCTCTTCGGGGAGCGCTGCGGACCAGTCTTGCCCTGAGCGGATCACGGTGAGGTTCTTTTTGCCGGGTATGCGGACCCGTTCCGGGAGCCGCTCTGTGCCGTTGTGTTGTTGCGTTGAACCCTTGACCCCTTGTTTGCTTTCTGCGTCTGCGTCTGCGTCTGCGTCTGCGTCTGCATCTCCCAGAAGCTCGTCAGTCTGGGATATGGGCAGGCGATCGCGCATGCTGCCCCAGTACACGTGCTCCTTAATCGGACCGCTGATGCTTTCCCTCATGTGTGCCGCACCCTCAGGCATCGCCGTAGAGAAGACAGTCTCGAACCGATCGGCCGTCGGGAGAAGGACCTCCAAGAACCATCCGTGCCGCGGCCCTTTTCCCGGTTTTGCCTCGCTCCAACACATCCGGAAGCCGCTCTCGGTCGACCAGTCCTCGTAAGCAGGTCTGCTCGGCCAGTACGCGAACACCGCGACGTTGTAGAACCCGCGGTTATCCACGACGGCAGCGGCTTCGCAAAAGGCCGGGCGCGAGACCGAGGCGACTCGGTCGGACGTGGTGAAGGAGTTGATCGTCTTCAGGGCCGCGCCGTCGTGTTGGTTCGCCGATGCGTATTGTGCGCCGATGACGGCCATGACTATGTCCTTGATGGTCTTTGGGAAGCGGGAGGTGTATAGCTCAAAGGGGGGCGTGAAGCCCGGTGGTGTCTTGGCGGGGACGGTCCGGTCTCTTCTGAGCCATTCTGGGATCGCGGATTCGAGTTCCATGGTTGCGACTGTGTGTTTAGGCCAAGGATCGAGATGTAGGACGCTAACGATCAATGGCACGGCGAGTCTCCTTTTCAGGGCTCTTGATTTCCCTCGAGAATATACGCACCGTTCATCTTATCATCATTTCGGACTTCAAACGTCCGCAGTCATATCTGTCTGGTCGTCAAACACTGGTAAAATCTGTGTGTGAAGACTGTCAGGGGCCACAGCAGCAAACATGCACGGATCGAGACAGAACAGACGGCGTGAGGTCACACGGTCCAGGATCCGGCAACGAGCGTGAAACCTTCATGTTTAGTTCGTGCTATTCTGGCGCATCTTTTCAACCAACGGCATGGTCGATAATAAGAAGCTAATCATGGATGACGAGATAGGGTAGTGCTCAGCCGGTGAAGCTAACCCCACCGACTACGCGGATTGCCTGCATTATTTTTTTCCCCCTCCCTCACCGAATTACCCCGGATTCTTGATAATGCACTAGTGATCCAGCCCAGGAGTAACGCGGCATCAGACAGAGGTACCAACGATACGGATAGGGTAGTGCTTAACCGTTGGGAGAATCTGGGGAATAGGTAAGAGAAAGAGTGCCGGTTGGTTTTGTGAAGTTTTTGCAGAAAGAGACAATCTCCAAATGTCTTGAAAAAGGGTAATGCACTACCGCTGGTGGTTGCCGCGCCAAAATGGCCCCTCAAGAAGATAGATGTCGTTGGAGAAGGCGGAAAAGCATAGCCTCGTAGTCGTACAAAAGAGGGAGAATCTGCCCGTGAATGAAGTCGAATTCAGATGAATACACCTCAGCATATTCCAACAGTCTCCTTCTGACTTCCACATCACGTCATAAATGGCATAGTCTCCAACCACTCCTGTCTGTAATCTACCCAGAAGAACCTCATACTCGCAATGGCCTCCAAGCTCAAGATTGCAGCCATCCAGGCCGAGCCCGTCTGGCAAGACCTCGAGGGCGGCGTCAACAAGTCCATCACCCTCATCGAGGAGGCTGCTAGCAACGGCGCCAACGTCGTTGGCTTCCCCGAGGTCTTTATCCCCGGATACCCATGGTGAGTTGTAACTGTTATCCTAGCAAAACTCTCCTGTCCCCGATGAGAAAAGCCTTGATCTGTTTTGCTCTCCGCGTCAAATGGGTAGACTAACTTCTGACCGTCGAAAGGAGCATCTGGGCCCAGTCTCCCACTGACAATGCCGGTTTCATGGACGAGTACTTCCGCAACTCCCTCGTCAAGGACTCTGACGAGATGAAGCGCATCTGCGCCGCCGTCAAGGAGGCCGCCGTGTTTGTCGTCCTGGGCTACAGCGAGCGGTACAAGAACACATTGTACATTGCCCAGGTAAGGCGGCACTTGCCTCCCCTTCCCCCCCTTCCTCATCCATTCGTCTTCTCACACAGCCACCTGCCCCCTATAGTCCTTCATCGACGAGAACGGCGTCATCGTGCACCACCGCCGCAAGATCAAGCCGACGCACGTGGAGCGCGCCTACTGGGGCGACGGACAAGGCGAGTCCCTCCAGACGGTAGCGCCCAGCACGCTGTTCCCGTCCGTCAAAATTGGCGGTCTCAACTGCTGGGAGCACACGCAGACGCTGCTGCGGTACTACGAGTACGAGCAGGACGTGGACCTGCACGTCGCGAGCTGGCCGGTCCTCTGGCCGCACCCGACGGACAAGGACGGGGTGAAGCAGGCGGACTGGCCGGGCCACATCACGGACGAGATGAGCATGCGCTTCTCGCAGGTGGTGGCGCTCGAGGGTGCGTGCTTCGTCATGGTCTGCACGCAGGTCGTCAGCGAGGCGTCCAAGAAGCGGTGCCGGATCGACGAGTTCGGGTACGCGACCAACGCCGTCGGCGCGGGCGGCGGGTTCAGCATGATTTACTCCCCCTGGGGCGAGGAGCTCGTCAAGAGGCCGCCGCCTGGTGAGGAGTGCATCTTGTACGCTGATGTCGACCTCGCGGACAAGGCCAAGGCGAAGCAGAACCTCGATATCGTTGGGCACTACTGCCGTCCTGACCAACTGAGCCTGCGCGTCAACAAGTACCCGGCGCGTCCGGTCTTCTATGCGGCCGATCCTTGAGAAAGAGATGCTGAAGGATGGGTGGGAAGAGATTTGCTGATGGGCTGTTGAGGAATTTACGGACGTGAAATATCAGCTTGCAAGTTTGCGGGATGAGTGCGTCTTTCCAAGAAGAAAAGGGAGTTGAGCTACATGTAGGTGTGTTTACGCGTAGTAGTAATGATGATCTTCATCTCTCTATCCGTACCTTACTTTCTTTACCTCGTGAATATCTGGCCCTCCCTCCTTAGTGTTTTAGAGTTTAATTTAGTCTGGTAGAAGCAGACGGGTGGATTGGGCGGAGCTTTCGATAACTGAGCGTACGTTAATTGGGGAAGTGCGGGGTTTTTCCTCTCCTCTTTTTCCCATCTTTTCACAACTGCGATGTTGTTTACCGGCCCTCCCATCGGTAATAGTTGTTAATATTGAATCTCCGGCTTTCCGACATCATCGGGATCTGTCAGATACACACATACTGCCTTATGGGATGACGCTGCCTCTGCCACTCACGATAACCCGCCCATAATATTGACATGAACTAAACGATTGGGCCATATCCATACTTGCGGTTGCTTGCTTGTTTTCTTCGGCAAAACATGCCCGCGTGTACCGGCCTCTGATAGCGATGTCGACGTCCTTCTCTCTTCCTCAACGGCAACCCGAGGGCAAAAAGAGACAGCGGGTCTCCATCGCCTGCCTCGCGTGCCGGCAGAGACGTATGCGAGTAAGTCATTCCCCGTTTGTAATTCACATCTATTTCCTTCCCCGTCCATTGCCGTAGTGACACGGAAAACCCTCTCCCCTAGTGCGACGGACAGCAGCCCATCTGCGGTTCTTGTACGAGGAGGGGCACAGAGTGTGAGTTCCAGCATGCGGAAAATAAACGCCGGTATGTCGTGAACCAGACCTTTCCCTTCCCCTTCCTGTCCTCTCCCCTTCAACCCTTTCCAACCCACCTCTCCACTCCCCACGAGGTTCAGAAAATTGTGAATCTCATCGCAAGCCGGTTCGTGCTGCGCTGATAGCCACGGACGTGTGTTGTCATCCCCAGACCGCCCAGTAAGAAATATGTAGAATCCCTGCAGGCCCGGATCAAACACCTAGAAGCCCAAGTCGTCGCCCTAGGCTCCCAGCCGGCATCCGGCTCCGGCTCCCTCGCCGCCGAAATCACCGAGAACAATGACCAACAGCCCGGCAGCACCGGCGAGGACGATGATGACGACGACGACGACGACGGCGACGGCCAAGGCGGTCCCCTTTCGGACCTCACCGGCCTCGTTGGCCGCCTCAACGTCACCGACGACGGCCAGCTGCACTACTTTGGATCCCAGTCGTCCTACAACCTCGTCCGCGAACCCGCGCGGGACTCAACGTGCGACCCTCGCGAGCCCTCGCTCAAGATGCAAAGACAAGGCCTCCTCGCCGCCGCCCAGCTCGGCAAGATGGTCACAGTCCCCGACGAGCTCCAGGCCCACCTGCTCGAGCTCTACTGGCGCTGGCAGAACCCCTGGAACTACGTCATCCACAAGAGCGCTTTCTTGCGGAGCTACCGTGGCGAGGATGACGGCAAGTACTGCTCGCCGCTGCTGCTTTGCTCCATCTTTGCCATTGCGGCGCGCTACTCTGATCGTCCCGAGCTGCGGACCGTGCCGGATGATCCTAGCACTGCTGGAGATGCGTTTGGCGAGCACGCCAAGATTTTGCTGTTGTATGAGAGCGAGGCGCCGACGATTACGACGGTGCAGGCTGCGTGTCTTCTTGCCCTGAGGATCATGTCGGATGGGAAGGAGGCTTTGGGCTGGCTTTACTCTGGTATGTGTTATGTTGTACGAGCCAGGGGTGTTTACGTGAATATTCGTCTGCTGATCAGCGCCAGGAAACGCAACAAGGATGGCGCATAACCTTGGGCTTCACCTCGATTGTTCTAAATGGGGCACTGCCGGTCTGCTCTCGGAAGAGGATGCCGAAGCACGGAAAGTGACGTGGTGGGGGTGCTATGTGGTCGATAAGTGAGCAGTCTCCTTTTTTCCCACCTACCTACTGTCTTTCCACATCGGAGGTGAGAATATCTAAAATCCTTGGCTGACGCCTTTCCAGGCTATTTTCTACCGGGCTGGGGCGGCCAAGCAGCACACCAAAGTCCACCATCTCTTGCCCCAAACCCAGCATAGACAGCAACGAAGAGTATACCCCATGGCTGCCGACGTCAGACGCGCTGGGGTCCGACAAATCTCTTGGAGTTCATTCACACATCTCCTCGACGGCGTGCCATGTTTCTGAGACGTTTACCATTGCATGTGAATCAATGGACATAATGTACGGTTACTTCCGGTCTCAGCTGACCCGTGCTTGGCTACATGGAAGCTTCTCTTACTTACAAAAGCTCTCTCAGTTACGCCGCCAATAGCAAACTGTCGACACGAGAGATCGAGGACGTCGTCAGCAAAACAGACGTGGAATTGCGGACGCACTATAGGCAGCTTCCGAGCTACCTCCGGCTACCAGCCTCACCCAAAACGCCGATGCTCCCTCACGTCTGTCTGTTTCAGTACGTTTTCTCCAAGGATGGGGACATTTTCTTCTTTCTCCCGGAGCATGCAAGAAAGCAAGGGAATGGAACAGAACTGACCACTATTTGCTCAACAGCATCCAATTTCACGCACACCTGATTCTTTTACATCGGCCGCTCGTCCACAAGCGAAAAAGGCGGCCCGTCAGCGTCAACACGCCGACGGATGACAGCAGTATCGAGGGGGTCGGGTATGAAAATCAGCACATGGTAACGTGCCGCCACTCGGCGGCCGAGATTGCAAGGTTGCTGCGCATCTATAAGCAGCAATACACTCTCGTAAGTGCCACTTTTTCCTTTTCTCTTTGCTTTGAATCTTTTACCAAAAAATGGCGCCATCTCACTACTGGTGAACAGCGCCGCATACCCATAGCGGCAGTCCACCTCTGCTTCGCGGCCGTGGTGATTCACCTCATCGACGCCCAACCATCGAGCCCCAACCGGCAGCAGGCGATCCGGCACCTGCAGACGTGCGTCGAGGCGCTGCGGGATTTGCGAACGGCGTGGTGCGCATGGAGCGACAGGGCCCTGCGAGCGGCGCGGCTCTTGGCGAGGGAGTGGTACCAGTGTGAAGATGTCTCACTGCTGCAGCACTGGGGTGGAATCGGCGGGGTCGAGGGCAATAGGTCTGGACCAGCGGCAGCAGCAAAAACAGCAGCAACACTAGCAACACCAGCAGCAGCGGGAGTTGCCGTCGGGATCTCAACCAACCAACAACAACAAAATCAACACCAACAACAGCAACACGGTGGTGGCACGACGGTTGCCGACAGAGTGATGTGCCAAAGGCAGACGGTGGACGGTGATGCGAAGGTAGACCCGCTGGCGTTTCTTTTTGACGTGGCCACGCCCGATCAGTACACGGATAGTCTGGTCAAGGAATGGCTGGCGGAGAGCGGGTATGATGTGTTGAACACAGTCGTCGAGTGAAGTTGATGAGTAATCTTGACTGGCGTTTCTGGTGTGTCTGAATGTCTCGGTCTACTCATCACATGATGTGGAGAGGAGAGGTCCGAATGGGGTCCCTTTTCTAGCATGCCTAGGTACTCGGCAGAGACGAGAGTTGTGTCGAAGGGTCAAATCGGGTTGCAACAAGGCCGGCTCGCACTAAATGACTCGTGTCAGATCCAACACAAGCTGTGGCAGACTAAAAGCCCTTGTACGCAAGAGAGGGGGGCCGGTGTGTAGAAGACAGACTTGCCTTAATTACGGAGTACGGATAGACAAGGCGTATAACGCAAAACGGCTCTGGAATTGTGCAACGTTATGTTCCAGATGGCTGACCGGTGATTCCCCTTTGAGTCTAGTGACGCAGCTTAGCTCGGGGGCACCTTTGGTACGGAGCCACGGAGCGTCGTCCGCAGTTTTGGGTCTTGGGGGTGGCACGGTTGGCGGTGGTCATGGGCCATGGGCAATGGGCAATCGCATGGTTCGACATGCACGGGACAGCCGCTGACGGGTTTGATGCCCCGATTTGACGCAGAGTGACGGTGAATTCTGTCGAGTTGCGTTGGCCCTTTTTTGCTGGTCTGATTGCTCCGTCTCATTTCTTCCCCTCCTCGTGTGGGCTTTTTTTGTCTGTGGTATCCGTAGAATGAGTGTCCTGTTGGTGGTGTCTTTTTCTCCTTCTTTTTCTTGGTGTTGGTGTTTATGGCACTTTGCACTCCGCACGACGCCTCATCCCAACCGGAGGTTCCTCTCCAGCTGGCAGGTCCTGATCGGTTTCGCTTTCCCTCCCCCATTTCAGATCGCCCTTTCCCTCTCCCCTCTCCCCTTTTCACTTTCCCATGCTGCCATCAGTGGAGGGGTGCACCCAGAACCCACTCAAGAACAGGAGCGTGCTCCGAACGCCTCCCATTGGCTGGGAACACCCGCCGAACCAATAGGAGCACCTCTTTACACGGACCCACGTGATGGGTATCTGACGGGGGCCCACCGATCGAGATCGAAGCCTTTCCTTCATCCGTGTTCCTTCCCCTTCCCGAATCCCAACTGAACAGCAGCCGGCCAGGTGGGACAATTGAGAGAAAGGGCGGAAGGCGCACAGCACAGCACACGGGCAGCTTGCGCTTTGCTCTCGGCTGTTCCTGCTTACGTTTTTTATATTTTTCTTCTTGGTATCCCACCACGTGCTTTTTTTTTATTCCACTCTGTTCACCTGAGAGGCGGAATCTGCGTCAATCAGAAGCCAAGCCCACGGCCTGGCTGTCCCCTCTGCTGTTCTTTCCCCCCCCCAGATTAAAAAGGAGACCGAAAGAAGGAAAGAGCAGGAAGGGACAGAGCTGGTCCATGCGTTTTGAGGGCTGATGTGAAATTCCTCAGCCATTTGCCGTGGGAAGACACACACAGGGCCACCGTCTCATCCGGAACAGACCAGCATATCAGCCAGGAAAGGAACGAAGAAGAAAAAAAAACGGGAAGGAGGACACTGCAAAGCGGGAAAAGCTCCAATCTCATGTCGCTCCCCGCAAAGCGTCGTCGCGTCATTCTTCCCGCACCGGGCGCCAAACCTTCTGGATCTCTCCCGCCCGCCTCTTCGTCCCTGGCAGCAGCAGCAGCATCTCAGCAGCCCTCGGCCTCAGGGCGCGGATCGACCGGTGGAAGCGGGAGCAGCGAGGAGTCCTTATTGGGGAATGATCCGGGTCGCGACCTTCAGTCTAGGAGCCAGAGCATCGACTCTTTCTCGGCCGATGCCAAGAAGCCGAGCGCCGCTTCCAAACGACAGGTCATTGCAGTTGCTTGCGACAATTGCCGCCGGAGAAAGGCAAAGGTGAGTGGACGAATCGTCGCGACTTGAATGCTCTGCACGAGAGTGAGGGCGATGACACGATCCAAGACTAAGAAATTCCATAGTGCGACGGCCATCGCCCCAAATGCCAGCATTGCTCTAAAAGGGGCGTCGAGTGCCATTATGAGGCCAACCAGGGCGAGACTGTAAGTCTCGCGCTCAAACGCAAGGCCAACGACCTGGAAACCGAAAATGTCCAGTACAGAGACCTTTTCCGCATGGTCTGCACCAAATCAGAGGATGAGGCAAAGGAGATTTTCCGCCGCATACGCCAGTCCGGCGACCCCCTCAGAGTACTCGAATCCATTCGCCAGGCAGAGATTCTGCTCCCCTCGCTCCCCGTAAATGACCGCATCAGCGATTCGCGATTAGTGAAACTCAACGAAAAGGCCATGGAAAACAGTGTCCTCCGCGTGCCGGCAAAACCCTGGACAACTGTTGCCGATGACGGTATTGTTTCCGAGTTAATCACCGACTTTTTCAGCTGGGACAATGCTGGTTGCTTTCCGGCCGTTGAACAGAACTTGTTTCTCGAGGACATGAGGTCTGGCGATATCAAGCGCGCCAAGTGGTGCTCCCCTATCTTGGTCAACGCAATGTGTGCAGTCCGAGCTGTAAGTCCCTCTGCGTCTCGGCAACATCGCAATAGGGCGTCCCACGACTAACAATCTTCTGTAAGCCCTTCGTTGCAACCGTCAAACAATTCCACTCCATTACTGGCCAAGACCTGGCCAGGCAGTTTCGGGAAGAAGTCATGCAGCTGGTGGAAAAGAGCCACGGCCGAGCGTCCATCCCGACCATCCTCGCCCTCGTCCTCGTGGATTGGTCGGCGAGTATTGCAGGCGACGAGGCCAGTGCGAAAATGTACCGCTTCATGGCATGGGAACGCTATAAGCGCTTCAAACCGGAGCGACGGTTCGCTATGCTGAACAAGGATGACCCTAACGATGCCATTGAAATGCTCTGCATTTCCAAAGCGGTGTGGGCATTATTCCTAATGGACAGGTGCGTGCTACCTGATTAATTCAACTGCCAGAAGCCCTTGCAACAAGCTGACCCTAGACTTGGTAGCCGCGTGTCATATTTTTACCACTCAGCAGCAGATATGCCGCCCCCCTCAATACCCAGATTATTCGACAACTGCGGGCGAGATGCAGTCGAGCCTCTGGGCAACGTCGACATTCTCGGTCGACCCTATTTAGAATCTACAAACCAAATACCACTCGTCCCTGGAATGGCAACAGTTGTGTCCAACCTCGCCTGCTTACAGTACGACATCATGTCGTACCTCACGTCCGGTAGCACCATCAAGGGCAGCATCGAAGACGTGAGGCGGAAAAAGCACTGGTACTGCAGATTGCAGGAGTTCAGACTGGCTTTGCCCAAACGTTTTCAGATCGAATACAACTTGACCCCAGCAACCTGCTTCCTGAGGTGAGTCGAGGCTTACCAACTGTCATGTGTAGAGTGAGAAACCATGCTGACACCGTCAAGGATGCATGAGAACGAGATAGCCTATGCCGTCCTCCAGTCTCTCAGCCCATCGACCATTTTTGACACTCCCTACACCACACCCTCAACCACTGTGAAATCCCTTTGCCTCCAGCACTGCATATCCGACACGACCCTCGCTGAGGCGTACCTACAACGCTACTGCACCCACTCGTACATCACCCGCCTCGTATTCGTGGCGATGCAGAACCTCATGCCCTATCTCAATGACACTCACGCTGCCACCAACGACCTCTTCACCCGTCTCTGCATGATGGGCGGTCTCTCAGCACGCGTCGTCCGCATGTCAATGTACCTCCTGCAAGCGGTGCAGGCCATGGCCTGGGCGATGAAGCAGGACATCCCGGCTGCCGCGCGGCCGTACCTCGATCCCTGGGTAAAGCTGGCGATTGAGGACAGTGAGACAAAGGCACCGAGCTACGCGGTCCCGGATCGCGAGGAGATCAAGGCACTCTTGGCAGACGAGGACCAGAGTGACGGAGGTTCCGGCGAGAGCGGTGCCGAGCTGTGGGCTTTGGTGGAGAGGTGGGCTCTTAGCACTGGCAAAGGTCTCTAATCATTTACCATGTAGTCAATGGAGAGCCAGGCGTTTGGTTCGGTTTGCATGACATGTGTTGTAACTTGGAAACGTGTTTGATCATGAGGACAGTGATTGTTTCTATGTATTTGCAGCGGGTGGGGTGGCCGTTGGCAGAACAGAGATCATTGACAGCGGGGGCTGTCTTGTGTTGCTGCGAAGTTATGACCCAAAACTGATACAACACCGTGAGCTGGCTGTCAAGATTTCTCTCGCCAGGCTATTCATGTCAGAAAAGTCTATCCCTGCATCTTGAGATGGCGCTCTTGACTCTGATATGATCCCTGTGGCCTACGCGAGGTACAAGAGGCCGAGTTCACGTATGTTGTGTACCTAGGTACCTTGGTCAAAGATACCCTTCGCACCTCCAGCCTCCAAGGGGAGAAAGAAAGGCCATATAATTGTCTGGGTAAATGAGCATTGCCCAAACAGTCCTTCACGCCAACCTTGATACCTCCCAAACCCATAATCTTCGCAACCCAAGAATGAGTCCAACCAACCGTTGCATTTTCACAGATGCGTGACATCACCACCAACCCACGCTATTCCATCGTCGCCATAGAGGGTCTCCATAGTATCTGCCCCCAAAAGAAGACGAGCTGCGGCACGCCCTTGATCAGAGGTGGCAAGATACCCATTCTGACAATCACAGGCTATTACCGGGAGACGATGTGGTAGCCGATGCAGCATTTGCCGACCTTGTTGTCGAGGGAGTATTTTTGCGGCTGATCCGTCGTTCACTGCGCCGTGAGCGTCGGCAGCCACGTAAGCAGGAGGGTCCAGCAAGCCTCGGCCGGCGCGAGAGGCCCGTTGTGAGGCACATGTGCGGCTTTTTTGAGGTCTTGCAACAGCTTTTCTTCGGGCGATACATCCGGCTCGGGTGTCTGGTGGCAGCTGATCTTGGGGATGTCGGTGCCTTTACCCGTATGAGGCCGTTATGGGTGTGATGTAGAATGTTGGTGTTTTGGGGTCTGATGCTGGGTCCCGTCGGGTGAAGTTGCCGTGTTCGTCGTACCATTCCCCGTGAAGACCCAACTCGTACCCATTGTCTCGTCGAAATCGGCGCGACTGTTGATTCTGAACTCGGTTTATTTAGTATACTTGCCCTGAACTACCTCTTCATATTCATTACAAAGGAACGTTTCAAGGACAGTAAGGATAGACGCTGGAAGAATCACACTTGAAGCCACGTTGTGTGGAAACCTGCTGGCAAAGGGAGAGGGATATTAGCAAATCTTGGCGATTCATGGATTTGAGGAGAACAAGTTTACGGGGATCCAATAGTGTGATTGACCTCTTACCGTCTGCAGTTGTGGCCATGTTGTTTGTCTTTACTGCTTACTCGTACTGCCGATCTTCAAGGATGCGGTCGAAGACGCCACAGACGACTCCAGCTGCCGTATCGCTAAGAGAACCTACTTACTTATTGAGCCATTCCACAGAATTACCAATCTGACCGTAGACTTTGACTCGGAGCTTCATTCTCTGCAATAAGCTTAAAGAAAGACCTGCAGAAAGTCTTGCTCACGAACCTACTCTATGAGACGCTCTGCCCCTGGGCCGACGGCCCCTGAATCGTCAACTTATCAGCCGTTATATGCCAATGGTTCAGTATACTTTCCAAAGCCGGTATATAAACGGCTCAAATTAATATGGTCTGTGCACAAGATCCGCGGAATTGGATTTCGTGTTCTTGACGTGGTCTGTGACCAGTCGTTTTGCTGAAGGCCTTCTATCAACGGGCATTTCAAAGTGAAAAGAGTCTTTGCATTGTCGTCCGGTTTTCAAGATTGTGGATATTGCTATTGACTTGGGCTGAGTCAATGTAGTGCCGTATCGAATCGGCAGGTCCATCATTGTACGTGCTTTATACATCAAGGTTTGATCACTCGAGTTGAAAGTAATACCTCAATAACCCGGCGTTTTCCCCATGCTCTCACTATAACGGAATGAGTGCTAATGCCAATCGACGCATCGTACACTCGGATGAATACCTGTTTAATGTAGTATACCGTGTTCTCATCAATCCTGATCCCGGCAGGCTTTGCTCATCGGCGCAGTCGTAGACTCTAGCCTTTACTCGGTTAGGGTGTCAAGATGTCCAGTCCATGAAAAGTGTCTGACGGAGGTACATTACGCAATAAACGCGGGCCACAATTCATTTGCTTCAAGCACACCGATCTGGCAACCAAAAATCCTTGCTAAAGCATTTACGACGTGATGGCGATATCTCACGTTCTTAGAATGCTATTCTTCCCCGTCAACATCGTATCCCTATAGGAAGTCGACTTATGCAGAGCTCATGGCTAGAACGAACATGACCACTGGTGACCAAAACCATTGTGACCCGCAATCCATGGACGAATTGCAACAACCTGGCGTATCGACGGCATAGCTTTCAAACTCGTTCCTCGGTATTCGGGTGGCAGGAAGACGAAATTTTCTCGAGGTTGAGCCTCCCTCTGGCCGCTTCCGCGAGACTAGCGCCAGTCTCAGATTGCTCATGTCTCGCATGCTCGCCCACCTTGTGGCAGTAGTCCTTGGCATTCGAGATTTCCACGAATCGATTCACGATCAGATGTTCAACCAGCTAATATTCACGTCCATACCGAACCCAGATGCTTGTTCCTGTTGACCGGTGCTGCCTCTGCCCGCGGCCAAGATGGTTGAGAGGGAAAAACATGCCGTAGAAACGGGCCAATGCTGGACCAAGCCCCCCCCTTATTTACCATTAACCTGGGCTGGACCAAGCAAGTGAGGGAAATTGGGCGAGCTTCCCCGCCTTGGAGTCTTGCTAGAAAGACAAACACGTTCGATGAGGCGTCAGCCAAGCCACACGAAGGTACACAACGGCCACCGTGCCAGGATGGGAGGACTTAGCCACCGGCAGGGCGCATCTCGCCCCGTCGTGCCCAGGCTCTCCCACCCGTCGAAAGCTAATGTATCCTGTAATTTCACGCCACCGTCAGTCTCTGCCCCCAAGCTTGCGGCTCACGATCGAATACAGACGGGCTATTAATACGGGGCAATCAGCGATACTACCGGTACTTTCAGAGGGGCTTCAAACACAGCAAAGCAGTAAACCGAGCAAAGTTTATTCTGTAGCCGGTTGATGCGTTGATTCTGCCCAACATCTCCGGTGTGGGACCGTCCTCTCTAATACGGCCTCGCGTAGAGAGTCTCCTGCGCGCCAAGCATCATGGAAAACGCGGCATCAAGGGTTCAGAATCTGACGATAAAGCAGTGCTCCATTGCTTTTAATTTTTGCTTCGCAGGGCTTGGCTCTGGCTACTACAACATTCTACCAGCCCACGTGCATGCATCTCGAACTTTTCAACCCCCCCGAGCGTTTTCGAGGCAGGCTACACTACATACGGAAGCAGAAATGAACCCCCTTCCAAAAGGTTATTCAGGCCATCCGGGCGGATTCCTGTGGTTCACCCCCACAATTGGTCGCCGTCAAGAGTATAAATCTCGACGAGGGCCCTCAAAGCATGTTACGATCGAAAGTTGTATCGCCAATCGCAGCTTGTTCCTCTAGATACCGCCATCATGATGATCACGACAGCTTTCCTTGGCGCACTGCTCATGACGTCCGGTGTCCTCGCCTGTGCGGGACATCAGAACCACTACGCAATGGCCGACAGGAAGCGTGCAGAAATTGCTCCCTTGCCTTCTGCAGACTGGGCCTATGAGGCTTCGTTCAACTGGGGTCGCCTCAATCCGAGTATGTGAAAGTCGCATGTGTGCCAAATGGCCGTTGTGCTTTTGTACTCGACGTATATGAACAAATACTATACTAACCGAAGCCTCAGACTACACCTTGTGCCAGACCGGCACGCAACAGTCGCCCATCGCGCTCAGCCTCAACAACGGACTGGCACTGGACCACATTCTCCGGTTCAACTACCCCAACAGGACGGTCGGCAACTTTTACAACTGGGGCTACGGCCCGGCCTTCACCGTCACGCACCCGGAGGGCGTCTACACGGGCTCCCCATCCTTCACATACGACGACATGAAGCTCTACCTCAAGGGCTGGCACATCCACTCGCCCGCCGACCACTCCGTCAACGGCGACCGGTCCAAGGCGGAGCTGCACCTCGTCCACGTCGACGAGCAAGGGCACGAAAAGGCCGTGCTGGCGATCCGGCTGGACCCGGGCAACACCAACAACACCTTCTTCGACCAGCTGCCGCCCATGATTGGCTTCAACAACGTTGGCGTCCAGCAGGAGATTGAGGTTGACCACATGCCGGCCCTGGACAGCGTGCTGCAGTTCAACGAATTCTGGACCTACCGTGGCAGCTTGACGAGTCCGCCCTGCCATGAGGGTATCCGCTGGTTCGTGGCGCGCCAGGTCATGTTTACGGGCGTCGACCAGATGAGGGCCATTCTGGGCGCGAGTACCTACAGCGCGAGGGCCGAGCAGGAGGTTTGGCAGCATCGTATCAACGAATGAGGAGACTGGGAATGTCGCGATGGGGTAGAGCTTGAAGAGCTAGACGTGGAAGTTGCGTGTGGCTGAGGCCCTCGCCGGCGGTCAAGCCGGGGGGGTACGCGAGGCGGCGGATGCGCCGGCCATTTGTTTTGACGGCTTTGGTGAGTCGGCCGATCTGTGGTTTTTTTTTTTTTTTTTGCCAATTTTTTCTTGGAGCAGCATTTGATACCATTTAGATCTCTCATCTCGCAGTCACTAGGCACACGGCTCTTGATCGTTTTCGTCCCACGGATACGCCGTACACGAGGTTAAATTGAGCTTAGATATGTCCCCCCCTGTGCGCGGCCTGATCCACCACTTCAGCGGACATGGGCGGACAGCTCTGCCCCTTGACGGCCCACCTGCGTCCCCTTTCATTTGTCAATCTTCTCTTTAGGGACTTGGGGTTGGGGCTGGGCACCAAAAGGGCTCCTCATAAGGTTCCTGATCTGCTGGTCATGAGTCGGGGGACTTATTCTAGTGCGCTGCGAGCAGGTCGACTCCCTGCCAGGCGGGCGACAGACTGAATCAAATGTACTGAATACAGTTGGGAATGGTTTGCCAACCTGTCGGTGCTCCACGGTAATGGTATTGTATAAAGTCTGGGAAAGATATTGAACCTTGCTCCTCACTAGGACATTCCACAACACATCGATCTCGGACATACGGGGATGAATATGTATCAAACAGAACGGAAGAAGAAGAAGAGGAGAGCGTAGTTTAATCTCTTAAAAAAATAGTCTTAATTCTACCGACCAGATCCACATACTCTCGTAGTCCCCTCTCTTCCCTGTTTGAATCATGACCCGCCCTTCATTAAGATAGTCCCACGATTTCAACGCAACGCCAAGAATTGTTCTGGATGCTTTTTTTTTTGAAGCCCAACCTCAGTCATACCACTTCCCATAGCCCCGTAAAAGAAAAAAAAAAAAAAAAGGAACCTTAGGAGCAGGCCACAGTCAGAATACAACCCAATCTATCCACATCAAAATTTGCCCGGAGAATTTCTACCCTACAGGACGTGACATCAGACACAATCCCGCAAACCCCAAAACCATCCCGCTCTCTACCAGCGGCAGGGCGAATGCGGATTAACCCATCATGTTTCATCTAAAAGATATCCATCATCCAATTCGATGACTGCCGAAAGACACAATGTCTCCTCCACACGTTGGACTTTTGCTGATCTTCTCACAACACAGCCCTGTTCAGCGCAATCACCGTGGCTGAGATCCCAACCCCCAGCCCTTACCAGCCTTGGCTCAGTGGGCCGAATCGTTGCTGTTGGTCCGCCCATTCTTGGCAGATGCACCTCTATATAATTAGCAATGGCCGAGCAATGATGGTCCCTTTCGGGCGGTAGGTTACAAGGCAGTAGTGAGCTGTGGAGTCGCGATAGTGCAGACTTTTGCAGGAGGGAGAAGCGAAAATCACGGAATGTGACGGGTTTTGTTGACGTAGGGTATTTGTTGGATAGATTACCGGGGCCCCAATGGGCCGCGTGGTCTCGCTCCTCGATCACGCCGGCTCCAGATCAACACGTAGACCGTAGAATATCTCTTGACTCATTCTTAGCACAAATGCCCGCCGTTCCGCACCTCCCAAGCCTGCGTGGACACATGGGTTCGACGTTGGAGCTATCGATCTTGCAAAGACCAATCTGACAACCCAAAATACATCCCCCCGCCCCGATGCATTCTGAACTCGTTCCCGCCCTCGGATTCCTGGCCGGCCTGCTAGCCACTGCCAGACCGGTATCGGCTCGGCCGGACATCTACGCCCGCTCACAGCAAATCCGACAAGAACATGCCCAAGAATGCGCCGAAGACCTAGCAGACGTCTTAGATAACGCGCCGACAATGTCAATGTCTTGGGGGGCGACGGCGTGCGATTACGTGTCTACCCTCTCAGGCTTGGAATTATCCGTTACGTACGCGTCTTTCAGGAGTCGGATGTCTTCTTGGTACCTCGACGACCTCGACGACATCACCAAGGTAGAAGCCAGCTGCACGCAGTATGCCTCGATATTTAGCCAGATTCGGAATTGTTACGTAACCGGAGCCGTCCCAACCGCCGCTATATCTACAACACCAACATTATCTTCAACTGCAGTTACTACTACTAGCACAGGGGCTGGAGGCATTACTACGGCTACAGTCACGACTACATCTACCCCTGACAGCGGACGCGGTATGGATGATGGCGCGAAAGCTGGACTTGCCATTGGTATCATTCTCGCTATTCTTCTTCTGATGTTCATCGGGTACAAGTTCTCTATGAAATATCGTCAAAAGAAGTTAGCCGACGCCGCAGCTATGGCAGCAAATGGCAACACTGGACCAAGGATGGGAGCCGCCGCCGCCACCGCTGGTGGAGCAATGGGCGCCGCTGCTATGGAAATCACCAAGTCTCGAGCACAGCAAAGCGAGGTGTTTGCCTTCAAGCCAGAACTCAGCGGGGAATCGAGACCAACGTTCGAACTCGACCCACGATCTATATCAGAGCTGGACCCGGCAGCCGCCGTTGCGGCCCGCGGCGGGGCCACCGGCGTGCACCGATATGTCGCAGAGCTGGACCCGGACCCTCCGACCGAGCTGAGCGAGCTGCCAGCTGATAATTACGATCCAACGGCGGCGAAGAACTCGCCTCCGCCGGCGTACGTTTCTCCGGTGGCTGATACCGGGACTTGGAATGCGCTCCCCTCGGCTGTGTCGCCGGTATCTCCAGACTCAAGTACAATGCAATCGCAAGGGCCGGGGGTACCGACAATTCCCGAAGCCGACGTCTCGCATGGCGCTGATGGTGGTAGTACGGGGGTAGCGGACGGTGTTCCAACAAAGCCAAACGAAACAGTACAACATGGATGGGGCCGAGGGTGGATGCGGAGGGCGTAGAGCAACTGAGGGACGAATGCCAGGTTCCAGAGACTGGAGTTTGCATGGGCAACAACCGAGTCGAGGAGACACATAAGAAATCCCTTAATGTTTCGCTTTCAAGTCATGAGTGGCAGAGGGCTTTACGTGCTTTGAAGGCCCATTGAAGTTCATCGACCAGAGCGCCAAGAGTCAATGATGTTTGACATTATATTTTCTAAGATAGCCGACCAGTTGCTAGATACCCTTATACAACGGAATACACAGGTCTCTTTTGTTGTAGTACTTGTTCTAGTAATAATTTAGTCTGTAAGAAAGCTTTCTTGGGTGTCTGAGAGCCACTGTCATCCAGCAAAGGCAAAATATCTAGATTGGGTACCCCAGTGCTGACAAACAAGGATTGGGTATCAGGGGCAAACGGTTTATATAGGCGTTATTGGCCCTGGTGTGTTCATTGCGTTGCATGTCTCTTTCTGTTGGTATCTTGACTCGTTTCTGTGCGTTTTCAAAGCTGACATCCATAGCCATCTCATTGGCCTATTCATCAGGTAAAGTGGACCGAGTCTCAACTGGGCTCCTATCCAGAGCGGCAAGCTCTCATATTGACCTACGATTCATATTGCTGTCGGGATGGCCGAGGTATGGATTGCGTTTTTTAGAATTCACCAAAAGCATGACATAATGTTATTTAGTCCATATCTCTATTTCGTCACATCCTCCAGCACTTATATACGCACGGTTTATCACGCCTAGCGGCGAAGCCGAAAGGGCAACTACTTGGTAGGCCAATAGATCATCAAGGCTTAAGTGCACTGACAGGCTATTAAGCTTTAGGCCAACTGGCGTAGGATATTTATAGCGTTAATTGCGGGCATGGCGATAATTGCTGTCCGCAATTTACGGCATCGTTTTAGCGATGCCAACATATTATTCAAGTTTGCTCCTGAGAATCTTGCCGGTATCATGGTTGTTAATAATGAGGGATATTGAAGATGCTTCCAGACTTTTTTCAGATGTCAAATACAACACTTATCACCGTTCCCCGACCCATATTTGTTGCCTTCAACTTTTTCTACATGCACTGTCGATACGCATCCTTGCCGACTATATTCGTCTCAATATGCGTCTTCACACAACTTTCTGTGCTGTTCCCTTTGTGTGGGTTCAAAGTCATAAACAGCAGGTCTGGCTTGTAGACTGACTTTTTGTACAGCATCTATTCTTGGCATATTGGCAGAGGAAAAGAAATGTCAGAAAAAAGGCTTTACTGCCGGCTGGTGCAACGATGAAAGGGCAAACCTATTCGACACGTCCCGCTTTAAGATAAACTCAACGAGATCATGTTGCAGCAACGGACACGGTACAATGTATGAAGATGGCTATTGGGCGGGTGGCCATTTTGCATGTCTACGAGGATATTTCCCCTTTGGGTCTTCCGGTTTTGGCCGATACTGACTACTGTGTGAAGTGCTGTACAAATGAACCGGATTACATGGAGGACTGCTGAAAAAAATCAGACCCAAAAGCGGATATATCCTTTGGGGAACTCGACCTGCAAGACTGTATTTTTTTTGATGGTACAGGCTGTCCTCACCAAACGTAATAATGCCAGATTGTATTACGTAGCCCTATAACAGTGAACACGACGAACTGTAGTAGAGTCCATTGACAACTACATACAACAGGTAACCAAGGTGAATATGTGGGGTAGAATCCATTATGCAGCTGGAGGATAGAGTCCGTTAAGGTTTTCTATAGTAGCCCCCGCCGGCCACCCCAGCGGCATCGGTTCAGATCCATTTTGCACTCTTGTACTCGTCTTCGTTTCACTATTTCGCTGCGGAGTGTACCGAGGCCGACTAAGTAAGTGTACTACAATTGAGTAGGCCTATATGAAACTCTTAAGGTGTGTAACTTCCAATAGAGATGCTATGTACCGAGAGGCCGAGCCTTTCTACATGCTCAGAATGCAGGATGTGCATAAGAAGAGTTTTCTTGTCTCTGACAGCGGATATCACGACTTAGCACTGGAAGTATGAAAGAAGGCCACCCGTGCTGCCTCATATTTCAGACAAGGTCGGCATCTATTTCACGAAGAATGAATCGGGCTGGGCACCGTAAGCTCGCGGGGTCAGTACTGATTCTCGGCAGAACGCTGGACCACAACCGATACCCAGAAGTACTCGTAATGAAGGATATTAAGGATAATTGGACAGAATGGAGACTAAAAGAAGGAATCGTATCATCGTGCTAAAAGTCTTGGTGAATAGCAACTAAATGGTCAGATATTTCGAACTTTGGAAGGAACTTGAATATTATTGTCATTAAGCATTATGTTGCCAAAATTGAAAATTGCCAGCCCCTATGGAGGAATCCCTCGCTTGCTGAAAAGCTGAAGAATGCTGATCAACAGGCATACCCTGGGTCTATTCTACTTGAACTGATTTGAGAACTATACCCCTCTGCCGTTTCCGTACTCAAGAGCGGGCACGGTAAATATTGAGACCCTAGCACGGTTCATTTGCATGTACATGGCGAGAATGACGCTCCCCTTCGGAATAACTCTGATCTAGCTGCAAGCTTGGGCGCTTGGAAAACTTCACGTTAGAAAGATGTCATAGAGTCATCCATCAGAAGGAAAGGTGCATCGAGCGTCTCTGCATCCTGGACCGGAGATTTGCCAGTGAAGATCGGCTGTCTGATCGTGTTGGTTCTGTTGATTGAAGCTTGAAATAATCGCTACTAGGGATTCTTCATAGATGCTGCTGTGCTGAAAAGATTGAGCGTTTCCGGGTCACAGTGAAATCAATCATTTGCTCAGCAATACTCGAGTTGAGACGAGGTTACAAAGCGTTGGCTGAGAGTCACTGGGTTAGAGAAGCTCACGAAGTTGACCACCGAAGAGCCATGAGAATTCGACCTTACGTTTTCCTCTGTACCTTCGTTTTTTTTTAAACAGGGGTGCAGTATTTAAGCTGAGTCCAAAACCTGAAAGTGCATTTTATATTCAATAAGACTCTATCCGACGTGCGAATCGCTCGCTGATGCCATGCGTCTATGTACTAGTCACACCGTTATGTTGGACAAGCAGCAAACCAGCATTGTGGCACAATACAACCAATAGCTTCTCATCCTCCCACTGACGAGACCAACCCTAATCTCAATTATCTAACCGTTGTCCTCTTTCTACTCCTGCTTTGTATGTACTTGAGTCACGGCCTCCCAAACTATGGAGTAACCGTCGGCGTTGTCGTCGGCGTTGTCGTTGGGGTCGGGGTCGCTGTCGCTGTCGGTGTCGCTGTCGATGTCGCACAAATAGGAGAAGTGACTGTAGTGGGTGTTGTCGCGTAGACGTAGACGACATACGGGATCTCCGGGCCGATGCCGCCCCAAAACGGTGACTGTTCCACGGTAGTCGTGACGTAACTGCAGCCGTGACAGTCTACTGGCGATACAGTGGTGACTGTCTGATTGTAGATTGTAATGGTAGTACTTGGATTGAAGTCGCCAGTGAATCCGCGATCGAATTCCGTGATTGTGGTTGTGCATCCGGCCGTTTGACTTGTAATAGTTTCAACCGGGCTGGCGACGGCGACGCCCACGAAGGCCAGAAGCATAGTCTGCAAGGGGAGCATCATTTTGGATAACTTTGAAAGTAACGTAAATGGAGATGAACGTTAATTACAGACGACCTATGAAAACCAAGCGGCTTGACAAACGGTATTTATATTTCGGCGCTGGGTCCAGAGCCTTCGGAACCCGTGGAGATGAGCTTCCTTGTGACTCGCTTGAACATCGGATGAACGGCACGCTAGATGAAAGCTACGAATTCATCGTGAGTTGTTCGTGGTTTCTTGCCCTCTGAGATGACTTGCAATGTAGTAAAGTTTATTGATGTGGCCCGTGCCTTGCATTCCGCGGAGCTTTACTGGGCATCTTACGCATGGTGTTAATGAAAACGAATCATGATTGACCCATATAACCGGCGACTTCGAGAGTTTATTCCGTCGCCAAGCCCCGTAGTGTGGAGGTTGAAACTTGGCTATTATCAAGCCTCAGCAACTCATTTTGGGGTCTTGGATATTCCCTGTACCTCAGTTCGTGATCAGCCCCTTTCTCAAAAGCTTGTTTATCGTCGGACATCAGGATCACAGACTTCCGCTGATGTCCCGCTGGCAACTGTTGGTCCGACCGAAGAGCTGAAAGCCAGGAAAGGGGTAGATGAACCTTCTTTGGCACGGTTGTCATGCGCAATAGCGCAGCGCCGTGACTGTGCACGCTATGAATGATTGCAGAACTCGACGGGGCATTACCACCTAATCACGGGGAGCCCTGAGCAAGCATCTCTCCTGGGGGCTTATATGAGCTCCAAAGGGAGGTCAAGCAGACCTCGTAATCATGCCAAGAATGTACGTCATGTGTATAGACGTAGAGGTGCCCAGATGTGATGAACACGACGTGAGGAATAAACCTGATGATAGCGGTTGAACCATGAGAATAAGGGCAAACGCATGCTTCTGAAGAGTCTACAGGAGGGGTGCCACAGGAAAAGGTCTTGGTTTGCTAATCTACAGGACATTAGGAGTATGCAAGTTTTGTGACTTAGTTGACTGAATAAACAACGGAATATTCTTTTTCAAAGCCATCCGGCAAAGCAAATACTATTAAAATTCAGAGCGTGCAGCAGGGCATCATTAAGATTCAGGAAAATAAAGACTAATCACTGGAGTTTGTGGGACAGATCAGAACTCTCAAATAACCTCGACTGCTCAGCGAGCTGAAAAAAAGCTTTTTCGTGCGGGACAAGGCTGATCGAGGAAGTTACCTCTCCAATTTCAGCTACCTTGAGGAGAGTATACGAGATTAAATTAACTTCTCGGGAAAGGAACAAGATTTGGAAGGCCGGTTGAAGCTCATCGGATCCATGGTGAGGTCCTCAACCTGGCATTTCCAAGCCGGTGCTCCTTCTGGCACGATGTTTTGCTTTAACTAGGCAACAGCTTTGCAGTGAAAGCCTGTTGGTGAATCTTACCGCGTATGGGTCTCGTTGACAGCCTTATGCTATCGGTCGTCGGCACCCCATCACGAAACTTTCAATAATAGAGGCCGAATCAGAATGAACTCGCCCCTCCACATCACACGACTTCATGATCATAGCTGTGGGTATATGTTATATCAGACTTTGAGCTGTCGTGTATGTTTGAGATGAAATTCGTGGCAAGGCATGCAATATTGAACACTATATCGTTGTTGAAAGGTTGAAGTTCTTCCAACATGGCAATTCTGACGTCCGCTTTTCCGTGTTTTAATCTTGGTTGATCGATTACGACGAAATCGATCTTGCCAATGGCCGAAGTGGAGGATTAATATCTGGGCCGTTGTCCGTTATCATAAGGGAGGGAATTCTCGACTTATATAGTTCATCAATACCTCACATGCATCAAATCAACATTCCTGACCCGCCTATAGTCAACCCTTATCTTTTTAGCCCCGGCATTATTGAATACTCGAGTCCCAACGCTGGTCTAGCCAGGCGCAAAATTTTCTAGAATGTCAGCGGCATTTCAAAAGGTAGAAATCCTGATAGACTGGCTGATTCTGCTCCGGGCTGCCGTTTCTGATGTCGCAAGTTCCACAAACGCTAAGGACCTCATCATGATTTAACAGTCTCGGTTGGGCTTTCTCATCCTTTGGCAACCTCTGGCTCGGTTTTACCTTCCTCTAATCATTCATCTATATTACTCGGACGAATTGGCCTGCCCTCTATTCGTCGTCGCTTTCCTCAACCAAAAACGACACATGCAACCAAACAAAGCTTACTCCATCAGTATAGTAACTGGCTCCCAAACCACCTGCGCGCTATAATCTGTTTGCGACGTAATGTTGACTATTGTTGTAGAATAGAGATGGGCTGCAAGTTGACTTGTTTATGGCGATTCATTTTCAAAACTTAAGTCAGGAGACACTAGACAGTGAACGGAAGATACACGAGTGCGCGGGATCCGCGGGCCCTTCACGCTCTTCATCACCACTCACCCTTACACTCTAATCAACCAATCAACCTTTTCATCCATATTTGAGCCTCTGAGCGTATGATTAAGGTCAAAATTCTCTTTTCTCTCATCGGGTTGAGTCACGGTATCTCGACTCCCAACACCAAGTGTGACATCGAATGGGCCCTTCGAAACCGGGCTACCGGGTGGGGCTTCCCCGGAGGCGAGACGACCAGCTGGAATCATATTAAGTGCACCGATACTGAGTATAGCGAGGAAGACACTGCCCTTGTCACTGGCTCACGCGGTAAGTTGGACCGTTCCGTCTTGACTCTGGCCTGAAGTCTTAAACCACATATGCAATAGTTGTCCATGTGAAGAGCTCGAAAGAGCGCGCCAATGGTCTGCTCGTCTGTAATCGGACCCTTTGTTCATCACGTGTTGTCCTCATACAGGGCCAAAATATGGAAAGGCCATCATGGAAGTGATGCCGCTTCTTTCTTAAATCTGTTTGTCGATGTTATGCGCTTGAAATTTCATTTCCAAAATACCTAGTTTCATCTAGCAAGCTGTCAACTATCTTTTCGATTAATTCTGATCAGAGCTTCTCTTATTGGGTTGTTCGAGTACAATCTAGGTCGATAGACTTAGATGTATATGCGAGCCTGCACCTGGCCGAGGCCAGGAGATTGGAATCTCTTTGTCCTAGTCTTCCCGCGCGATGAAATTTCTTATTGTCAGTAATGTTGCCGATCTTTGTCAAAGTTTGCTTACAGGTATGATGAAGGCTGAGAGTCCCTTCTGGTAACTGTAATTGCGCAGCTTACAGTTTTGGTTGTTTGTTAACTTATAAGATAAGCTGTTCTTGACTGCTAGTCCCTTGTCAATTTGTGGATGTTGCCATGCGAGATGGATGTAGTCAAATGGCGAAGTCACTACAAACTTGGTCTCCCGAATATCAAGAAACCGGTCTCCAAAAAAGGGTTGCATTGAGATATCAGCTGCCTACGAGTTTGATCGAGGTGCAAGAAATATGCGATTTCATTCCTCAGCAATAACGTGCTCCAAGCGATGTCAGACAAGTCTCACTGTATTGGCTCATCGCCAAGATAGCTGCTGTTCCAACAAGGGCGCCGGTGTCATTCCTACGAATGCCGAGCGACACAGTGTCTGATTTGAACTTGGTAGGGAGAAAGGGAAAAAGAAATGCACAAAAAGCTTCCTTCTCAGCTCTGGACGGTAGTCCGTCGGATGAGAGGCTTTCCGGGAGATGCCCAGCAACGATAAACTGATTCCTGATCGGGCGCCCAAACCGGGCTATGTTCTGGCGCTGGTGAGAGGGAAAGATCGTCGACTTTGCCAGCGGAGTTTTTGGATTTGAAATGTCCGTGGTAGCAAGCCAAGCTTTCCCGCGTCAGTTCTTCTGTTGGACTGCATTGGCAAACGATCCGGCGCGTCGCGGTGAGCATATTTGGGGGAAAGGGCCAAGCAACCGCCAAGGAGCTTGCCTCCAAACATTGACGCTACCGGACAAAACTAAACAAGACATCAACTCTCCCACTTTTACTTGTTCACGGCAAGTTGCGCTTCCGCTGCCGAGTTCCAAGTGATCGGCGGCGTCATAACCGTGCTTCCGGTATTCTAATTCCCCCGGATTAGGAAAATGTGCCAAGGAGCCCCGAACCTCCACGATTTGCTGCGCCGCGTCGGCTTTGGGAGGCAAACACCGCAATCTCAATTCCCTTGGCCCATTCATCAGGACAGCCCAGGCCGCGGTAATGGCGCCGGCGTACAGCGCTTGATCGTTCCTCGGGTTCTTGGCTGAGTGAACACATCACCAGGCCATGTGTAGTGATGCAGATGAGTTCAGAGGCGCGGTGGAATTGAGGGGAAATGAATGTACTTGTGGCAACTACACCTTAGCAGGATAGCCCAAAGCTGGGCATCAGAAGAGACTACATATACAGAGATGAAGCTCCCCCAGTGACACCAAGTATCAGGCCTTGTTCCATCATCTCATCTTACCTTAATCCGACGCTCTCAGTATCTATCAACCCCAACTGTATATTCATCCTCAGTCACTCACTATCCTTCCAACTACCATAATGAAGTTCGCCATCGTCCCCCTCGTTTTGGCAACCGCTGCTTCTGCCACTCCGATCAAGGTTGTCGAGGACATCAAGCACGCTATTGGCTGGCACAAGAAGGGAGGGAAGGGCAGCTGGGGCCCTTCCGGCCCCTTTGATTTCACCTCGACTTACGACGTGATCGCTACACCTGACCAAGTTGTCGACAACAACAACACCTTCACCGGTGGATTGGCTGGAGCCATTGGATACTTCAACTTCGGCATCAACTCCAAGGAGAATGTCATTTGCTACAACATCACCCTGGTGAACTTCCAGGGTGATTATCAGTCACCAGCCCGTACGGCCACTCACATCCATCAGGCAGAGAAGGGCAAGGCTGGATCTCCTCGGTAAGCTCACATCCCGTGGTTTTTCAAGAAGAAAAGTACTGAACTGATTTTCTTTCTCATAGCATTGCCTTCCCCAACCCCGTCGCCGTCGATGGGTACCAGAACGTCCGCCGCAGCGTTGGCTGCTTGACCGGTCCTTTCGTGACCGGCGTCAATGCTACTGGTGTTGACACTGGCTCAGGCTTCACCGTCAGCCAGATCGAGGAGAAGCCTGAGGGCTTCTTCGCCGACGTCCACTCTAGCCTTGCCGTCCCCGGTGCTGTTCGTGGTCAGCTCAGCGGTGATGACAAGAAGGACTGCCCGGAAGATAAGAACTAGGACCTTTCTCTAGAAAGCAGGGGAGTTTCAATGCCAGGTCGACTATACTAAATATAACGTCAGAGATTTTGGCGTGTTGCAACTGGATTTAGAGGATATTAATCTCGCACCGCCATCTATTCCGTAATATTAATTCCACATCATTTATGCCCCAACTTTCGGTGTGAGATCAGCCTGATAACTTTGTTTTCAATTCATACTATATCGCTGAGCCCAGCATCATCATCTCGAATTCTTATAGGTTTCGTTGCCGAATATACATTGCTTTATTGTCACCGTTTTAGGTTCACTGGTCAATTGTCTCAGGTGGTGTAAATATTTCTTCGTGTGGAGAATGAGGCATCAGCTAGGCCCGAGAGAATAGGCATCGCACTGATCTTTTCATTGCTTCAGACCTAGACGTTTGTAGTGTCATGACCCGAGACAGGCATTACCAATGGCTAGAATATATCTCGAGGTGTGTGTAGACCTCTGTGGGCCTCTCACTTCTTCTCTGAGTTCGACCTCAGAGATTGTTTCTCTCACACCCTACAACCTGAGGCATGTCTCATTCTCTATTCCTTCGCTATTTAAATCTTGTACAAAATAGCCGACGAAGAACTAAGTCTTCAAGCAGATATTACCACGAGATTCATGGAATTGACCAATCAGGAGTATCTAATTCCCGGTGGAGGAGCATCTCTTTACCTCGGTCGTGAGGTTGTTCTGAATCTCAGGTAGACAGTTGGAACTGGCTGAAGGGGGTACTGCGTGCAATGAAAAGGTGAGAAAAGACCACGAATGCTGTCGTTGACACCACATTGTTGGCAAAGATGGCTAGATTCTTCACATTATCTACGAGGCTCACTTCCCGTGGATTACATTTGCGTGCAATATCTCATCGTCTACATTCTAAGTTGTTCGTCAAGAGTTCTGCTTCAAAGTAGGCCACTGAAGAAGTCGCAGTGCTATCGTTTGTCTCGCACTTGAGTATCTTACCTTCACGTGGAGGCTTCCGTGACGTAGAGGGCAGTGATGACCTGAATCATATGTCATAAAGTTGTAGTTGTTAATCAATAAAACTTCAACATGGCTATAGGAATCCAAATTTTCAAACTCATATTTCGCACAGGTTTGTACCAGTTGTTGCCTATCATACATTTGCTTGAGGAATTTTACCCAATCTCTCAGCTTCGCCACCTCGCCAGATTTCCAAATGATGTTACAAACTTCATACTTAATACGTGTCGATGGTAACTCACAGTCCCAACAGACCTCCTCCACCCTTGCCGCCGCCACCCCCGAGCAAACCACCACCGCCGCCATCCTTACCATCACCGCCTCCGCCAAGTACACCTCCAAGAAGGCCACCACTGTTCTCCTGGCCACCACCTCCAAGACCTCCGAGGACACCACCGAGAAGGCCGCCGACGCTGTGTACGCAGTTAGCTATGTGTAAAAGACTACCGCGGGTTACGGCGGGATCAGTATGGAAAGAGTGACTTACCCATCTCCCACCCCACCAACAACTTCGCCAACACCGCCGAGGACGTCACCCTTGCCAAGTCTGCCAACACCCTTGCCCAAGCCCCCGGTGATACCAGTCACCGCATCACCGGCACCCTTGCCAACTCCGCCGACGATGCCGCCAACCGGTCCGCCAACCGTGGCTCCGACACCTCCGAGGGTACCGCCGACAGTGTCGCCCTGAAAACATGTTAATCTCAAGATATCCCACGAAGCCATTCGAAAACTGGGTGATGACGCACCAATCCCTTGCCGACGCCTCCGACAGTATCTCCAACTCCACCGGTAACACCGCCGACGGTGCCCATCAAATCTCCTCGGCCGAGAGCACCAGTGGTGTCACCCAGCGTCTTGTTCAAGCCACCCGTCGCGGCTCCAAGAGTGTTACCCACACCGCTGGTAGCACCGCCAACAGTCTTCCCAAGGCCGTCAGTCGCGCCCTGAACGCCTCTACCAAGTGGGCCCCCGACAGTACCACCGACTTGCTTGCCGAGGCCGCTGGTGACGCCTCCGACAGTCCTGCCGAGGCCATCAACGGTGCCGCCCGCTGACCTGCCGACGCCATCGACGACACCTCCGGCGGTCTTTCCAACACCGCCAACGGTCCGACCGGCAGTTCCGACAACTCCGCCGGCGGTCTTGCCGACGCCTCCAACGGTTCTGCCGACGGTATCGGTAACCTGCCCCACAGGTCCGCCGGCCTGGGCCTTCTTGGCGGCGCGCCTAGCCTCAATCTCGTTTGTAGGGGTGAGAGCACTGGGATGGTACTGCTTCTCCTTCTTGGGCGTAGCAGCCTTCGCCTTCCTAGCCTCGAGCTCGGCGGTTGGTACAAGGGCACCCGGGGCGTAGACCTTTTCCTTCTTCGCGACCTTGGCTGGGCTGGTAGTGGGTGCGGGAACATTCCTGATAGCCGGGGCCGGGATGGGGTTGGCTTGCTTCTTGACAGGGGCGGGAGCAGCTTTGGGTACTGTGACGGGAGCTCTGGGCACAGCCTTTGGTGCCTCGGCAACGGCTGGCTTCTTCTTGGGCAGGTTGTCTTCGTGGGTCCTGGCTGCTGCTGCCTCTTTCCTGGCAGCTTCCTTTGCGGCGGCAGCCTTCCGGGCCTGGATTCTCTTTACAATGTCTGAACCAGTCGTTTCTGTGTATTGAGCGCTCTTCTTCTCCTGCATCTTCTTTACAATATCTGCGCCGCTGCCGCCACTAGCGGCCTTGCTGGCAGTCTGTGATGCCGACTTGGCCGTCTTCGAGGCATGGTCGGCAGTTCTGTGTGCGGATGAGGAAGCCGTCTTGGATGCATGGTCCGCGCTCTTGTGTGCAGACGATGTGGCTGGTTTCGAAGCAGATGATGCAGTCTTTGAGGCCGATGATGTGGGCTTGTGCGTGGAGGAGGAGACCTTCTTTGTTACCGGTGTAATGGTAGCGTGGTCTTTGGTCGAGACGTTGTCCTTAGCGGCGGCTGTGGCTGATGAGACCTTCTTTGGCGTCGCGTGCGATTTCCGGTCTTCGACCTTAGCGGCCGTTGCCTTTTTGGCGGAGGAGACCTTGTGGGGAGTTGATGCTGGTGGGACGAACCGTGTTAGTGACGGATGCAACCTCATGGCAACTTGAGTTGACACTTTGAGTGGGTACAGCGATTTTCAGAGACAACTTACCTTCCACAGTGGCACTGTGGTTCTTTACTGATGATGGCATGATGAATGGATAGGTTTGAGTGGAAACTCTTGGTCTCGGGTTCACGATAATCTGGATTGTGTTGTTTTCAAAGAGTAGAGTAGCCCCGAGTTGAGTTTGCCAGAGAGGTGACTCTGGTGTGGCTGATGCTCTATATACGTTGCTAAGCTCTGTGGCAGCTGCTGTGGATGACGTAGATGGGAAAGGATGAGGAGGGTGTGGTGTGAGCTGACGTGCGTCCGCCGTCTGTGACGTCGAGTCTGGGGTTGTCCCGGGGGTTTGATAGGCCCAGACTGACCATCCATTATGCGAGACACCAATCGACCCCAGAAACACCCGCCACACTTCTGAGCGCCGCATGCACCGCCGACGCACGATGAGGGAGAAGCAGAGAGCCGAACTTGCAGCTTTTCTTTCTCGGCATTCTCCTCCTGCCCCCTGCCCACCCACCCCAGACACTGCTCACAGTAGACAGCTGAGATGATGGTCGGTATGACATACCCTGGCTGGATTCCCTGCTTTTTGAACACGGTTGATCGCATCGATACGAGCTAGAAGACGCATGAACTCGGCGAATCAGGGCTCTGAAGCAGACAAACTTACCCTCCCTTAGCCTGGACCGCGAAACACCACTTTGTGAGGAGATTGGGGAGCACGGTTCTGCTGTCCTGTCTCGAAGTGACGCCAACGGGCAGCGACGATGTGCTTTGTTCTTCGTCCGATTGATCATACGCCCCTCCTACTGGTTATGGCCTAGCTTACAGCAACTCTCGCTGGGATGTCATCGCGGCTCGATATCCACAAGCGAGGCCTCGAGCGTTATTGTGTCGATTTTGTGGATCGAAATCTGTCGTTGGGAGCTTGAGACTCTCCAGTCGCGGGGCCAGAAATGATCGATATCAGCGGACAGAATTTCTGCTTCGGCTCGGTGTGGTCGGGAAATGTTTGAGTTTTTCTTATGAAGCTGCGTTTGCCTCCTTGGATCCATTGTTCTTCTGGTGGCGGGTTCGGCTGTTGGAGCTAGTGGCCTTAGTCTAAGGTATCCCACACGATCGCGATTCTGGCTGTCCGGTGGCGACCGTTGGCAATGAGGGGTTTGGATGAGATGCGCCATTTCCTTTGGTGAGTTGACAAGACGAACTAGTATGTGAGACGGTGAGCTACATCGATCATCCCAATCTCAATTTGCTGCTTCTGATTCCTGGTCTGATATTCAATTATGATTTGATATCGACCTGTTGAAATCAATAAGCAAAGAGTGTGGTACACGTGAATCGACTTTTCGTGCAGTTTTGCCTATTTTCTACATCTTCTATCCGGATTTCTTAGTAAGCAAAGGATGGGCGTTCGATACGAATGCAGCATAAATCAGAACTTTCTGCAAAGGCTTCATTCGGGGAATCCCTCCATATCCTTGGTGTTCGTTAGCGGCTACTGGTACCTCAGGTCCCTGACTCTCTCATGCCAGGCAGCTAGCAATGAGAAACACCGCCTGCCAGGTCTCGTTATTTCATAGCCTTTACCTAAAGAGATTCTATTTGTAGACATGCTCTGAGCCCCATATTCATCGTCTTCTTTGGAGGCATCCGTGCTTGTATCTGAAAGCTAGCAAATCGTCCACGGCTTCAGCAGTCCCTTGATATTCTTTCCAAGACTTCGCATACAAGGCATTGTTCATACAACAAACCATGAACATGACAAAATTCCCTTTGAAGGGCACGATCAAAGACACAATGCACTTCATTTGTTCTTCGTTATCGCCTTTTGCCTAATAGTTCGGAGCACAAACTTTTGCCATGATGAGTTCTGGATAGAAAAGGAAGATGCCAGTAGCTCGTGAACTGATCAAAACCGACCATGTCAAGCACTTTAACTATACACAACGCACCCAACCATCTCCCAGACACAAAACCACAGTCCTACAAAGACCATCTACCTACGATCAAACCTTGTCAGAAAAAACATCATGACGAACCCTCACACAATGCTGCCCGACACAGAAAAGATTACGGCCGCCATGTCCACTCTGACCCTCAAGATTCGCTCTGATCCGGGGACGTATGTTCGACCTCGAAAGGGACTGCTTGACTTTATGCAGTTCCCGCCCGAAATCCGCAGCCTCATATATGAGTTTGCCCTGGTTGAACCAAAGAGACACGATATTGACCACAAACCCAGTTGTATGATCCGCAGATATGCAACACGGCACAACCTCTTCCATCCTCCCCCTTTCCTCTTGCAAAATGTCTCCATCTCTTCGGACCCTCCCCGACTCGTCACAGAACGCTTGGCAAATGATTTGTGCAACTGCAATAAGCGGGCCGGCATGGCACTGCTCCAAACCGGCCGCCAGGTCCACGCCGAAGCCGCACCCATTTTCTGGTCCCAGAACAGCTTCTGTTTCTTGAGCGGCTACGAGGCCATCACCGCCTTGAACCATCTTCTCCGGCCCCAATATCGAGACCTGGTCACCTCCGTCAGCGTCATGGGCCCCAACTTCCAGGGCAGACCTCAACACGTCCAGTTTGCCGACGGAACGGAACACGGTCCCGTGCCTTGGTCTGAGTTCTGGGAGGCCGTGTCCAAGTGCCGGAACCTGAACGCGGTCAATGTCCCAACCGTGGCTTTGCAATTTCCCACTAGATTTCATCAGCTCGCGATGCAGCGTTCCACGCTAAGAGTGAAGCTTATTGACCTCATTCCGTTCGCCAAAGGACCTGGCTTCGGAGCAAGTTATTCCTACGACCTCGAAAACTTATACACGCACTTTTTTTCCATCTACGCCCAAGCCACGTACAGAGTGCCCAGTGTTGGTGAGCTGAGGAATGCTGGCACGGAAATCGATTCTGACTTTTGGTGGGCACGCGGAAACGAAAGCTGCCACCTCATTTCTACGATTCGCGAGACCATTGAGGACACCTGCTTGGACTTAAGCACCTACACTGTTGAATATTCTGACTCGGACACGGATGCGTCGGATGAACCGTACTTTTACGACGCATACGCCTTTCGTATTCTTCCCATCATCGAAGACGAGAAAAAGAGATTCCTCCGCCTCGAAACGGGGAAAGACACATTCTCTTCCGTCAAGTTCTACGGCCTACCCACATCCCGAAAGGAACGCGTGCGATTTGCGCGGGAAAGGCGTGCTGAGAATGAGGAGTACAAAAGATTGAATGGTATGTACCGTCAGCACAGCTTTGACAAGGAAGGATGCCGCCGAGCAAGGAAGCTGAGAGAGGAACAGTTGGACGAGGAGACGGCGGCCGCCTTGAAGGCGTACAACAAGGCTTCCTCCGCTTTGACCCCTGCTACCTTGCAAAAACAGGAGAAGAAGAAGGCTCTCAAGGAGAAGAAGAAATCCATGAAAGACAATGCTGAGAATAGACGCAGGGAGAGGAAAAGGGTCCAGAATTGACGCTGAGATGGAGTGTGAAAAGGGCTTAGCATTGTTAGCTTTGTGAAGAATTTCTGCGGAACAGCGATTTGAGTGAAAATTGCAGTCTCTTTCACGTATTTCTTAGGTACAGCCACCGTGCAGGAAGGCAAGTGATTCAACCGATAGGCAGCAGAACCTATTCATACATGAAGATTTGCAGCAAGTTTCATTGGGTTAATCCTTGGGATACCATCCTCGGTTTGATAGGCGATATAACGGTGGAGTAAACATTTGCTTTCTTTTCTCGTCAGATCAGGTATGATCTCCACCAAGCCTCTTCTTCTTCCAGCCAAAGCCGACGGCTTCCAGGCTTACCAAACATGTGGCCCTCGCCCTCGACCTCCCTGATCCTCACATCCCCTCCCTTGTCCTTGACAGCTCGGTAAATGAGTCGGGCTTGCTCGATCGGTACCACGGTATCCGCCACACCGTGAAGGAGGAATAGCGGTGCCCCAATCTTGTCGGCATGGTAGAGAGGGCTTCGCTCTCGGTATCTTTCTTCCTTTTGCTCGTCCGTCATGCCCGGATCAAGAACAAGCGCTCCCATGTACTCAGACTCGAGCTTGTGCGTGGAATCGTTTAGCTTCTTCACATCGCTCACACCGCACACGCAGAATCCGGCGTCAAAGATTGTGGGGTGGCGGACCAGGGCCTGGAGGACATTGTACCCTCCGGCGCTTGCACCGACAATGCCCACCTTGCCGACTCTGCCTGCTTCGACCAGGTGCTTCGCGACTTCGGCGGCATCGTCAGCGTCGACGATGCCCCAGTTACCAAAGAGTGCTTCGCGGTACTCTCGGCCGTGTCCCGTCGAGCCCGTGTAGTTTAACGCTAGATGGGCGTAGCCACGTGCAGTGAAATATTGAGTCCGTAACTGGAGACCAGAGCCGGTGTAGCCCGTTGGTCCACCGTGCGAGGAGATGACCAGAGGAGGTCGCGTACCATCCGGACCGAGGAATTTTGGGTTCGTTGGCATCCACAGGGTGCTGTATATCGTGCGAGATGGCGTCCCCTTTGACTGAAACTTTACGAGTTCCGGCTTCGAAAAGAGTAATGTGTCCAGGGTCTCGTTTGTAGTTCCTCGGAGAATCGTCGTGTTCCCACTGGCAAAATCGATTTTGTACAAGGCAGACGGAGAGCTGGATTCGTCCGCAACAAGAAGCAACGATTTCTCGTCCAAGCGAGCCATCGCGTCATTAACAATGCCGCAAATGTTGGATGGTCCGATGGGTTTCCAATCGTTCTTCTCAAGATCGATAAGAATCAGCTTTGCCTCGCCAAAAACCACGGCAGCCGCAGCTACGTAGCGGTTTGACAGTGGTGCATATGTTTGACTAAGGTCGAGCATCGTCAGTATTACCCCTCACGCAACTCGCAAGTTTCCAGGTCAACCAACCTTCCCTGAAACCATCGAATCTCCCCAATCTCAGCAGTCTCCAGTCCTGCCAATTTTATTTGTGTGGGCTTTTCCGCACCTGGAGCGAGACGAAACAGTCGCCGGAAACCGTCAACCTCAATGCCGAGGAACAAACTCCCATCGGGGCCCCATCGAGGTTCGGCAGCTCCCTCTCTGTCGTTGCCCGCAACTAACGTCGCATTCTCGACAGTCGCTGCCGACGTCCATTCGGCAATGAATACTTTGGCCGATGCGAATGGCAGATCAGGCTGATCCCACTCCATCCAAGTCAGCCTCTTGCCGTCGGCACTGAATTGCGGGGTGTAATAAAAGTCAGCACCCTCAACGACACGCTTGACATCGCCAGTATCCGCATTGATAGCGACGACGTAGTTCCGGATCCCATGGGGAGTGTTGATTGTGTGATCCTCTTGGTTGGCCAGAACCCAGGGGTTTGTGGGGTTGGCGCTGAAGTTTGAGTATCGCAGCTTCGAGTCGCCGGTCAGATCCGACACCTTGCCAGTGTCCGGGTCGAGTATCTTGACGGTATCGTCCCGGTTGGAAAAGATGATGGATCCATCGGCGGTCACGTCGTAGGGGGAGCCACCATACTCATAGACTGTGTTGCCGGCGCTGTAAGGCGCTGGCAGCAGGTCCTTCAGGCCACCGCCCTCAATGACCTCGACGAAAACTTTGCGCCCGTCATCCTTGGACTCGATGAAGAACGACCGCCCCGATTGACGCTTTGCGTCAGTCAGCAAAGGGTACCCAATTAGCCGCCAGCTCGCCGAGGTCACTTACATGGACTCGAGGTGACGACACAGACCAGCTCTTAGAGGTTACGGTTTCGAGCGTGATTGGGCTCTCCCAATCGCCATATCGGACTATTTGTTTGGTCACCATGGTGTCGTCGACCCGCAAGGAGGCGGTTGGTCAAGCTTGGATGTTGGAAGGGATACTGATACGTCGTCGTCGTTGCTTATTGCGTCCGTATGTGAGTCAGCAGTGGTTTGAGGGGTTGACAAACGGATGCTAACGTGAAGTGAGTCGCACATCCGAGAAAGGCAGGAGCCACGTGCCGGGTTTACCGGTAGCGAGCGACGGTGAAGCCCCGCTTTTCGGCCGATGTAGTCTCCGCATCCATCTGAAAGTGGGGGAACTCGCCCTGAATCGTCGGCGTTGCTGTCCGTTTGGCTTGTGTGTAACTACCTTAGGATAGTTCTTGTAGATGATTTGCAAAACTGGGGCCGTTTTTAGATGACTGATTTTGAAAAATTGTAAAAGGACAGGAAAACATAAAGCCAGGAAAATAACCAGATCAGAAATCGCATTGATGACGACCGCTAGCGTAGGGTAAGGTAGTTAAGCTCAGAAAAGTTCGAACCTTGCCTTATGCAGCGCATGTTCTCTTTGTATATCAGTCTCTCGGTACTATCCTTTTTATAAAAAAAAATACCCTTAAGGATAAAAATCCATTTACCAAATTCACCTTTCCCAGCAATACCATCCGCCCAACATCATGGTATACTTTGCAAGTATACACTGGCCCTTTGCCCCATTTTCAATAGTGGCTGTCTATGTACGCAACATCTGGTCCATATCTCCTGGGTAGGGGTTGAGATGCTAAAGTTCAGCCATCAACTCCTGAATTCTGAGGGCTGAAGTAAGACTCTGGAGCCCAAAAGGCAATCGATTACTGGGTCTAGCAGAGAGTTAATGGCTCTTCCATAACCAACGCTACTGAACAGTGGTGTTCGCAACTTACGTCTTTTGCAAGATCTGTTGCGTATGAGGCGGTCGACTCACACTTTGAGGTAATTAGAGACCTGTGGGCCCCGCGGGGGAGTCTCGTTCCCATGTCAGGCGAGTCCACCTCACACAGCCCTTGTCCTATGTCTTGCGCATCAAAGATGATTTCTTGCTGACCGTCATGTCTACTGCGGTTCTGAGTCAGTGGTCTGAGACCGCAATCATCTTAGCATCTCGCGGCAAAGTTTGAGCCTTTCACTAGCTTCCCTCAGGAGCTCTGAGTGAGACTGCTCAAGGCTCATCTTCATCAAGTCAAGCAGTTCCGGTAACCTCTCATTAAGGTTCCGCATAGATTCCTCGTCCAGTTCCTCTAGACTCGCAAAATGTGCCAAGTAGCGAGCAATGTCGCTATTTCTTCCCGATGGCGCGTTCTTGTTGGGTAGACCCATGGCTTGTACAAAGGACCAAATCGTCAAGGTCGCATAGTACACGATCCACGGCCGATGGGGATCCGACTCGCTGCGGCAGGAGTAAAAGGCAGAGACCGATTCAGGCAGGGGTCCGAAGTTGCTCGTCCGCCGTTTCGGATTTTTTTGGTCTACGAGAACCCGATAAAGCAGTTTGAAGGCGTGTAAAACGCCGTGTGGGGTAGATGGAGCATTCGACCAGGTCCTCATTCTCGCTACAGCGTTGGCATGATCGCGCGTGGAGACTTTGCGACCGACTAAACGCTTTACGCCGGCGTACACCTGGCAATCGACGATATCTACGTGAAGGCTGATATGGGCCAGGTGGTAGAGAACAGCGGCGGAGTGGATAGGTCCGTTGGAGCTCGATGGCTGTCCGGGCCCTTCGGATGTGTCGTTTGCACCAACAGCGTTATCAAAGGACTCCTTCCACTCGTCGAAAGCGCTGAAAAGGATCTTTTTCCAGCTGTCGTGCGTTTCTGTGCTGGGTGGGCGCAGGTCGAGCCACTTGAGGTGAGACTCCCGACGAGACAGGTGCCATCCGACGCTCAGTAGTCCCGACATTATAATCATGCGTCCAAACGTATGGGTCTTGACTTCTTGTCCATGCAAAGCACTTTTGAGGCCATCAAGGAATGACACCTGCTTGATGCCGTACATTCTGTAGTTTCCGTCCAGTTGTCGGAAGGCGTTTGGGGTCGCGGCGGTCCACAGACCATCGTCGCAGGGCAAGGGAAGCCGGATCTCGTGGGGAGCCATGTCTGCGTTGTGGCCAAACAAAGCTGCGTGGATGGTGTCCATCATAAAGGCCGCAAAAACTACACGATGCATCGATTCGCTATCGGCCCATCGGATCCACCACGTTCTCGAGTCTGACGAGGGCCCGTCGTTCGATAATGGGGCCGCTTCTTCTGGAGGCGATTCACTTCCTCCTCTTCCGATAAGAGGGCTTCCTCTCCGTAGGAGAGTCAAAGTCGCCGAGTGGTATATGTGCGCTCTCTCGTGCATACGTCTAGAGGAGAACATCTTCTCGTAGAATTCGAGCAGCAGAAGAGCCTGGGATATAGATAGGCCCACCGGCGGCGATGCTTCCTCGTGAGTCAAGATTTCCCATCGGCTGCTGGAAATGATCACATCTGCGAGGCCGCCATACTGTTCCAAGTTCCCGGTCGCATCTCTGCTGCTCAAGGATGCAGCTCCCAAAGCAATCATAACCATCAAAAGGAAGATGGAGCAGCGATTCGACGAAAATGTTGGCTGATGAACGATCGGCAAGCGTGGAGATATTCTCTTCCAGTATTCCTGCAAGCAATCTCTCATCATTTCAAGATTCAGAGCAGGTAAGTCTCCACCGCTCTCCTGTACAAGGCTTACTATACGCGGCTCGTATTTGGGCTGCTTATGTCGGAAAATCTTTAACCATCTGAGGACCTCCTGCCGCCGATGCTCGCTGATGAGTTCGTCGCTGACCTCAACTTGCCGAGGTGGGGTAGGGTCTAGTTGTGAGCGGCTCGTCAGTGACTCGTAGTCGTAGTGAATGTTATTGTTGAAGGTCGACTCAAGGCCACCTTCGAGAAAGGGTAGGTTAGTGATGCCGTTGAAATCACCAAAGCCTGCTTGTGCATCGAATAGCCAACCGGCAAAGTTTTCCCTTGAAAGTGTCTCGTCAGGCTGAAATCCTCTCGGGTCAAAAGATGACATGAGTGGCGGGGCTTCAGGCAAGGAAACCTGATCACGTCCGTAGTAGGTGGATTTCGAGCGCCCCATGTCCACAGCCATGTCATCAATGGACGGCCAGGTCGCAGTTTGACTGATCCTTGGAACATGCTGAACCAAGGACGGATTCGATGCACCAGTTGTCGGCGTGGGCGTAGCAGAGTCCGGAGTCAGCAAGATGGCGGCATCGTGGGGGCCGCTCGTTGAAGGTTGAGGAAACGCCAGCCGGGTTAGTGGGCCCGAAGTCGGCGATGACACGGTCGGAACAGACTGCGTGCCAGATGCCGCAGAGGCGAAACTGGGCGCGCGATTGCGAGGGATGTACGATGACGAGTGGCGCTTCTTGTGACGCGACAGCAGGTCAGCGCGAACGAACTTTTGATCGCAGCCTGATATATCGCAGATGAAGATCTCTTTGGGGTTATCTGTGGAGACGCGTCAGTTCTGGCTCTGACATTCCAGGGACCGCGGATAGACAAGGTAGTCAACTAACGGTTCAGCTGGTGTCTTTGAAGATGCTCGGCTCTTGAGTACAACTTCTCGCACCCTGGATGCTCGCAGACGAAGCGTCGGGGCGCACCTCTGCGGCTCGCGCGTTTGTAATTGACTCCAGCATTGCCAGGTGGACTAGGGGAAGGATGGCTCGCCATCGCCGGCAGTCATGAGAGCATCGTTGGAGAAGTAGTACGCTTGGCAACTTGGTGCAACTCGGATTTATCGTGGGCTAAGCCCGTGGCCGTTCAGGGGGTGGAGGAGCTCTCATGCGCAAGGCGCAAATATGGCACGCCAAGAGAGATGCGTAGGACGGCCTGAAGAGATTCGGGACAGCCGACGAGATGGAGACGGATGTGAGGATGAGATGCGATGGAATTGGGGATTGGCAGATTTGCGCCTCAGGTGTTCGGCCCAACGCGGGGAATGAGAGTGCTCCTCCGAGTCCTCCCCCAAAAATTGCCCCCCTTCCCCACACGCTCCAAGCGGGAATGGGGAAGGCGCGAGAGGATTGGGAGTAGTAGACCCCCACGCCGACACAGTGCCGCACTGTTTTCAACGACTGTGGACTGTGTGGGTCTTTGCCTCGTCAGAATCCCCAGATAGGCGCAATTACCTAATCAGATCTTACACTATCCGTACTTCATCTTCATCCAATCCATGTTGAGACAAGTCACTGCCTACATTGTACAATGATGTTGATACTTACAGGCAGACTTGAATTGATCCTTTGGTTTCTTTTGTGAAAAGAGCTGTCTGCGCTGAGCTTCTTCAAGAGGTATACACCCCAGGCAATCACTACGTAGTACAGAGAGAGTTGCGGAGCGCCCCAACAGAACATCATTACATAAGTTATAACGAGGTTTCGCAACAACTACTAGGTAAGTTGCCACGGCTTGAGAAGTTTGCAAGATCATGAAATGATGCCGTTATCAACCACTAGGCAAACAAGACCGTCAATGCGATCTTGGTCGGATCCGCGCATCCAAACCAGACAAATACGAGGAGGGAGTGGGGGTGATGCGCCGGCAGAGCCCAACCGTTCCGGCCATAATCTCAAACGGGAAGATAGTGCTGGAGGCATTGGGGATGATCCACGTGATGATCGACGCCACCGAGGGCGCGGTCATCCCCGGCCTGGTCAACACCCACCGCCTCGTCTCCATGAGCCTCATGTGCGGCATTGGCGTGGACCAGCGCCTCTGGCACAGTCGCACTTCTTATCAAGCACCTATACCAGGTGGCTTCCTGCGATAACCGTCGAGTAAATGCGCACCTCTGCCCTCGTCGGCGCCCTCGAGGCCATTGACTCCCACCTCACGAGCGACTTGAACGCCCGCGGGGACATGAGATACATGCTCACCAGGCACGAGTACATCCACTGCACCAACTTGACGAACCACGAGATGAGCCTCATCATTGAGACAGGGGACAAGATGGTGCTGACGCCCGACACAGATACAGAGATGAGCATGGGTTTCCTCCCGTGACCATGGCTCTTGCGTATGGCCTGAAAAACTGTAGTTGAGCATCGAGACGTCGACCTGCGTGTCGCCGGTTCTGCTGTCCCAGATACGCCTCCAGCTGCAGGTGCAGCGCGGGATGGACCATTGCGCGTAACACATTGACCAGAGAGTCTCTTTCAAATCGGACTTTGGCGTGCGCGATGCCCTGATATGGGGCACGCAGAAGGGCGCCGAGGCCGTCGGTCTCGCTGACAAGATCGGCACGCTGACCCCTGGCAAGCGGACTGACTTTTTCGTCTTCGCGGGCAAGCGCACGCTCAGCGGTTACGTGAGTCCCTTGGGTCCTGCTATTTTGCATTCTACTCCGCTGGTGTTGATTTGATCCTGGTGAATGGGAAGATCCTGAAGCGTGAGGGTCAGTTGGTAGGCATGGACGCTGATGCCAGCCGCGACAAGGCGAGAGAAGGGCTGCGGCAGAGAATCAAATGTAACAAACGCCTACGCCAAGAGGACCGAATATGCAGGTTAACTAAGGCCGTTGTAAATCTTAATCTTGTAGCGTTCGAGCTCGATTAGGTGGGATTCAGTCGAGGGGAAAATTGGTTGGAGACGCAAAGAAAGAAAGAAGACGGCCATTACATCACGAGTCTCCAAAGAAGGATAGTCGACATTCTTGCTATGAATAAGTGGAGGTCTTGACCTCGGAAAGTAAATATCTCCATGGACCGGCCTTATATAATTAACGTCAAGATTTTGCCATCTTTACCCGTTTCGAATCCTACTGGCAATCCTCTTCAACGCCATATCCTCCTTTTCAAGCCTCTTGAAATCCTCCCGATGGCTCTCAGCAGCAGGGCCGACCACCTCCACAAGCTTCAAACTCGGCATCCCGAGATTCCCCGTCGGCGGCCCTGGTCGCCTATCAAGCCTCCCGTTCCTCATCACAATGTTGGCATCCGTATACTTCCTCAGCGGCTCCGGAATACTTCCCTCTTCCCTCATCTGATGCTCCAACACCTTGACCAGGTCCACAAAGACCAGCTTGCAAGAGGGCAGCTTGACGCCGAACAACGCCAGCGCGGCCATGGTCTCGCGCAAATCGTAGCTCACGACGCAAATCGTCGCGTACGCTCCGCCGCCCAGGGCGTCCAACGTCTCCTGCGCCTTGGCCTGCGCCTCTTCGTCATACAGCTGAATCGTCTCGTGTGCAGTAGTGGCACTATACCACGTCCACGGCCGCGGCTGGCAGTCGATGTGCACCTTTGACTTCTCGAGCATACAGATCGTCCTGATTTTGTAGCAACTCTTGGACGGGTCCTGCCGTTGGTCATCCAGGCGGCGCGATCGCCGCAAGAGCTTGTCCGCGGGCGACATGACGTGCAATTCCATCGGTCTGGAGCTCCATTCGCCTAGGTATCGGTAACTGTCCGACCTTTCGCAGGCCACGATGACGATCTGGTCGCTCGCCCAGCAGTCCGCGAGGGTCTCGTTCTCGTTGGCGCAGTCCTCGAAGCGCCGGAGCTCGCTTTCGCTGAGGAGTCGCGGCTTCTGCCGCGCCTTCTGGGATGCTGTTGTGGGCGTCATGAGAGAGGTAGGTTGACAAATAGAAGCAAGATTCGAAAAAGAAAGAGTTATATCACCCTGTGCCTTGGCAAGTTACTTGTGTGAGTGAAGCGCAAAGTTTCTTTCGTACATGAGAAAGTTCGTGCCATTTACATATACAGACCACAGTCCAGAATTGAAGTGTCCTGTTGACTCACTAATTGGTGGTATCCGGCCGAAGTAGTCGAGCGTCATTGCCACCCTTAGTCCTTGCTCAGCCTCAACACCTCAGCGTGACTCTTACGCCGATCGGGTTAGTGATGTCCGACTTCATATATAGGGCTTGCGCACAGACTCATTTCAAATAGAGCACATGAACATATGGTTTGAATCTCTTGTGAAGCGGCCTATGCGGTTGATGACTTTATTCGAATACAGTGTTGAATCTCTTGGACTAGGTAAAAAGAGCAGCCAACCGACTTACCCATGGTGATGCTGGTAAGCCGTAGCATTGAAGAAGAGACAGGATCCATGGACTTTTTTATCTTCTCAAGTTCTCTCACTTCTCCCAGATCATCGTCTTAGACCTCTGAGATGTCGGGAGAACGACGGTGTTAGTCGATGTGCGATATCCGACCGTCAATGTGCGAAGTTCGACCGTACTGATGCTGACATTCCTCCGACGCCCATTCAAGCTCTTGGGTTCATTTAGGTTGCATCTTACTCACTGCGATGGTGATTTGGTGACCCGATTCGGCGATCTTAGTACATACATCTACGAGACTACGTCAGCACGTCAGACTCAGCCACAACCCGTCTGGGGTTCGTCAAATGGACCAAACTGCGCGCTACTATGGAAATGATGCGGAAATGAACCAATCCCGTGGAACTTCATCGTAGGACATTATTTGTCACGCAGTAGTCTTCGGGCAATCGTCAAGGCAGTGAGCGCGGCGGTGTTCAGCTGGAGAAGGCAATTGAAGCTTTGGAGAAAGTCTACATGCTCTTGTCAAGATGGAACCGGGCAGAGTTGGACCAGTCTCAGATAGCAACATGAATCAAGATTCAAGAGAATTTGGAATGAATGTTGTAGATGCTTTGAGAGGCTTCATCGAGGCAGTTTCTTCTCTTCACATATAAACCCTCTCGTTGCCCAGGAAATTAACTCGAATCAACAAACTCATCACCAGAAAAGCTTACAGTAACAAGAACAGCAACAATCTTCCAACTTACATCTTGGCATTATTGACACTTCCAGCCATCAAGATGCTCAGCAACGCAATCCCCATTGCCATCGTGGCCCTATCCTCTCTCGTCATGGCTGTTCCCCATCGCAGAGACAACGAGTCGGCCACGGGTCTGAGTTTGACTGCTCAGCTTCAACTTGCGGACACGTAAGACGTCACAAGCCAATAGCAATGTTCAACTCAGCAACTAACACGGGTCACCAGCGGCGCTGCTCGATATCGTCTCCTTCCAAAGGACGAGGACTTTGTCTACGACTTCAACAAAAGCCCAGTCGCCCTCGCCAATCGCCAAACCTTCCCTGCCGTGGCGGGCTTAGGCGGTAGCATGGCAGTAGCATCATTGCCCGGTAAGTCACAGAATCCAGATCATGAATTCTGGTACAAAATTTATCAACATTCTAAACCAAAAAAAAAAAAAAAAGCCTGCGCCATGAGCTTCCTCCACCTCCACCCCCGCGCCTCGGAGCTCCTCGTCGTCACCTCTGGCCACCTCATGATCGAAATGGTCCCCGAAGCCGGCGTCCTCGGCCCCGACGGCAAGCAGCGCGTGATCCGCGCCGACCTGGGCCCCAACCAGATGACTGTCTTCCCCATGGGCTCGTTCCACACCCAGGTCAACCCCGAGTGCACCCCAGCATCGGCCGTCGTGTCCTTCACCTCGGATGAGGGAGGCACCAGCATGGTCGCGTCACAACTCTTTGCCCTGAGCGATGAGGTCATTGAGACGTCCTTTGGCTCGAGCATTGCTGGTGAGGATATTGATAAGGTGCGGCAGGCTATTCCCAAGAACCTCGTTCTCAAGGTGGAGGAGTGCCTGAAGAAGTGCGGCTTAGAGAAGCGGGGTCTCTGAATTCGGAGGCTCAAGACTACATGTAGTCTTGACTGCTCGAGAGTCACTCAACAGTGAAGTGACAGGTTTTAGGACCGTACAATCGAGATTCTCTCAAGATCTCTCGACTTTTCTCTTTATCTCTTCTTCGTTTCTGAACTTAGAACACTCGTTGGCAGCTCTTCCCGTTTCCTTGTCTGTCTCATCTTGAATTGGATTTCAGAACAGTGTCAGCAACTCTTCTTCTTACGCTCGTTTAACTTATACCTATGGTTAGATAGCTATCATATAACCCTTATGCTACCAAACATTGACGCGGTGGCGTCCTGTGATTACTTACCCCCAGACTACATAAGCTTACCTCTGGGTCTTTCCAACTAAACCGCTCCACGTTCCATTATTACTGACCTATTCCTACAATGGTGAGCGGGAAACCAGAACATACAGAAGTTGGGATTATTGATCCGTTGCTTATGTATTTTGAAGCTGAACGATATTCAGGTCAATGCACACCTTCCCTTTAAACCCTTGTATCCTGCCATTAATTCGATTTGCCTGTTTCGGTGGACGAGCTCGGAGAGATTCACAAGTGTGACGACTGACCCTTACAACTTGACGAAAACAAATCCTTGCAACCTCGACTTGCTTGCCGTTTGCGAATGATAGGTAGTCTCTCAGTAAAATCCCATAGAGCTGGCAACGACACCGCAGCAGAACCCCCCGAGAAAACTCATCAACAGTCGTTCACTCATTTGATTGTTTCCTTTAACTCATAAGCCAGATCCCATTTATGAACTCTTGCTGCCCTCCCCAGCAGCCTTCTCCTTGCCTCTGTCCTCCTCCGCGTTGGCACCGTCGTCCTCAATCTCAACCCCCGCCGCAGCACCGCTCAACCCTTCCTCCTGGTTTCCGCCCTCCATCTTCTCCGACTGCGCCAGGAACCAGTCTGCAACCTCCCGCTTGTCGTTGAAGAGCGCCGAGTCGAGCGGAATCTGATCCTTGTCGTTGGCCACCGCGGGGGAAGCGCCGTGGCTGACAAGGTACTTCACGGCCTCGAGGTGGCCGCCCAGGCATGCCCAGTGCAGGCCCGTGTTGCCGAACTCGTTGGCCGCATCGACGTAGGCCTTCTTCTCGTCCGCGGGGCGGCTGTCAAAGGCTGTGACGAGGGCCTTGACGATGTCTGCGCAACAGGTTAGTAAAAATATACTTGAGATTTTGAGGGGGAGCGGGCGATAAGAACTTACCAAGATGGCCATTGCCGGCAGCCATGTGCAGGCAGGTCGACTTGCCCTCATCCTTGGCAGCGGTGATGACTTCGCCTACAGAGGCGCTTTCGCGCTCCGATAGGGACTTGAGCGTTTTTTCGAGATCAGCGAGCTCGCCGGCCCTTGAAAAATAAATGAGATCATCAATCTCCTCTTCTGAGAGTTTGGGTGCCATTTTCGGTGAGATTTTGTGAATGCTGTCTGAGGACCTGAAATGAGTCTTGAAAGTGAGGTAGAAATTTTCGGGTGAAGTGTGTGGAGGTACAGTGTTAAAACTCGAGATACGCACCCCGCACCGTTTTCCTTCCGTTGCCTCCAGCCATTAGTTGTCTTGCGCCGGCCCAAAACCTTACAACAACTCAGCTCGAAAAACGACGAAAAGGCATGAAAGAAAACCACGAAAAATGCGGAACCACCAATCCGACCAATCATGAGCTTCCCATATGCTCATCGAGCCACCTCGACATGTCTCCTGTGTTGTCCACAGCTTGGATTTCCGCCTTGATGCCGAGGAATAACATTACCTGCAGCTCACGTCGGCAATCCATGTCGTTTTCATTGCCATCCTCGTTTGTTTCCTTGATCATATTGATCGCCCGTGTTCTATCTCGCAGAGCAAGAGGACTAGAAGACTCGAATGTGCTGTCGCCAGACCGCCTTCGGGTGACACTGGCGTCAGGTCCACGGCTAGAAATCGTATCCTGCTGGAAGGCGAGGTGGCCGCTTTTGATGCCGAGCCACTGCATGCTGGGGACGGTCGTTGCCTTTTCGTGTGCATGTCCCCGGGTACCGTTGCTATAGCAGCGCATGATGGCAATACCATAGTAGTCGAAGTCTACCAGAGCGAAGACTGGAAGCTCAGGCCTGGCCGCGTGAAGAAGGTGCACAAACTGTTTGGTGGTCAGGTCGGGGTAGCCTTTACCCTATGGAAGTGTCAGAAAGTTGAAGTACAAAAATGCTCCTAGGCAGGGTCGCTGACCGTGACGAGAATGCCCATCCCGAAGGCAGAGGTCTCCTAGTACCTCGCAGACGCCAGAGTCCGATAGGTTGCCTGTACCAGTCAGCGAGGGTCCGTAGCCGACAGAGAGACTAAGCCTAACCTCTTTCTCGATGACCAAGATCCACTGCGCAGGTCCAAAGTCAATCTCGGATACGTTTCTGGCAGAGGGTATGAGAATCCCCTATGGAGTATTTAGCAAGTGCTGTGGCCGGATCTCGTGGTGCTTCATACGTCCTCGCCAGATGACACGTCGACTTCCACCTGAGTCCTGGTACGTAGGAGAATAGGCCCTGACACGAGGCCTTTACTCGCAGCGACCTGGAAGCTGATTAGGAGATTGCATCTGCAAGGCCAGGAGCTACCTACTATACCGAGATCTTCTCTTCCGATGCCGAGGGTGTAGGCAAGGTCATCAACGAGGTTGTCAACGATGGATTGCTTCTTGAATAGATTGAGGTCCTGATAGTAGATATTCCTATATTCTCGAGTCCTCAGCACTAAAAATCACTAAAGGGGCAGAGTAAGAGCCCCATACCTCTTGGTGATCAGCTGGCCCCCCGTCAGGGCGCTTAGCGATAATTGCATGATGCGCATGAGTCGGGCTGTATGGGCGATGCGTTAGGAGATGTTAATTGCGAACCAAGTGTAATAACGAACTGAATTTGGTGGCTTCATCAAGTGTCCGGCCCGGGAAGCAGACGGCTGACTGGGACTTCCGAGTTGGGGCAGATTTGTTGGCGGATCGGCTTGCCGAAGTCCGAGTCCTGAAGGGGATGGATATCTCCCGATTCTGCAGCAGTGACTCTCTGGCAGAGATTAGTATGTCTTCCAACTTCACAATGGCTAGTCCGGTAGTGTTCTGATGAGGATCCGGATCGGGGATGATCACGACGTTGCTTGGACTCGGATTAGACAGCTGTGTCGTTAGTTGGGCCTGATGGCGGCGGTTGAGCAATGGGGATGTAGCATGGTCCATTGATAGTCAAGAGAAGGGTGCAGCGAACGGGTGAATGGTCTTGCAGAACTCGTCGACTGCCGACGTGCCCGCGACCTTTGACCAGCCTTCAGGACTTCCGAGAGAGTGCAATGGGTTTCATTGGCAGCGGACGACGAGCGAGAGGGTGTGCAAGAGAAGCTGGAGGTGGAGGGTGCGCCCCCACATGGAACCGCCATTGGCCAATGAGACATGACGATGGTGGGGGGGACCACCGTGCGGAAGAAATCAAGTGAGACACTGTGTCCGTGGGAGGCTCATGCCACAACGTCTTTGTGCAGTGCAGACATTATGTAACCAACGGCGAAGGTGCCAAGGTGCCTTCAGGCTCAGACGACTCGGTGCCGCTGAAGCTTATCTCGCGCCGCTCCAGGACTACCTAGGTATGTATCAACCTGGCACCTGTCAATTCGGCCCAAGCCTGGCAATTCATGTTTCGGAACTCAATACTTGGGGCTCAAAGAGCAAACTGGCTCGAAGAATCTTGAGCCAATGTCAGGTCATCACGGACGGCTTGAGGTCAAGCTGGCCGATCAAAGACGGACTAACACCTCTGATGATCCTGTCTCCATCTCCACTGAATCCTGGTTTTAGCAGGGGTCTCGCACGGGGATGCGGTGGGTTTCTCCCGAGTACATGCATCTTCCCGTCATTATAGGGACACCGCTTCACAGACGCGCAGGGGGCGCTGCCTTCTGAGGGCTGACTGGGCCAACCATTTAACAAGTGCATGAGTCCATCCCACCACCCATCTCTGTGGGCCACGACAACGTCGAAGACTCCCACCGACCGTCACGCAGAGGACAATTGCCGCAAGCCATGGTCGACAAGAAATCCCCATCCATTGCCTCGAGCAATAGCACGCTCGGAGCCAAATCCGCTCAATCTCGCAAGCGCGTCGCAGAAGCCATCGCCGAGCAGGAATGGCCCAAGAAGCCCCGCATCGACGCCAAAACCGATCGCACAAGATGGAGGATGAAGGACGAGGACGGCCGACACACCTGGAAGTACTTGGACGGTGAAGAGGCCGCAAGGGACTGGCCCCAAACCTACGCAGACAAGTACTATTTAGGTCTTCCTCTTGTCAGTCCACCTTTTGCTGCAGTACGTTCGGAAATGTCACTGTTCGTCGCTAACACTCCTCCCGCATACACAGGACCTCCCAATCCTCCCCGAACCCCAAAACCCCCTCGATGCGACACTCAATGGCCTCGACTTTATCGAGAAGCTCCAACTCCCCTACGGCGACTGGGGATGCGAATACGGCGGTCCCATGTTCCTCCTCCCGAGTGCCGTTATCGCCTGGTATGTCACCAAGACGCCCATCTCGTCGGCCTTCGCAACCGAGATCAAGAACTACCTCTTTGCCCGCGCGCACCCTGAGCTGGGAGGCTGGGGTCTCCATACCGAGGGTACCAGTACCGTCTTTGGCACCTCCATGAATTACACAACTTTGCGCCTCATCGGCGTCGACGCGGAGGAGCCCATCATGGTCAAGGCCAGAGCGAGACTCCATGAGCTCGGCGGCGCAACGCAAGGGCCGCACTGGGCCAAGTGGTGGCTTGCTGTTCTGGGAGTCGTGGACTGGGAAATCGTCAACCCTGTTCCTCCCGAGATCTGGCTGCTGCCAGATTGGGTGCCTATTGCCCCTTGGCGGTGGTGGGTTCATATTCGTCAAGTCTTCCTGCCCATGTCCTACGTCTACTCGAAGCGTTGGACTTGTCAAGAGACCGAAGTTATTAGAGACCTCAAGAAGGAGCTCTTCCCGGAGAATTGGGCATCCATCAACTGGAAGGCGCACCGCAACAGTATTGCAACAGTCGATAACTACAATCCCAAGTCCTGGCTGCTCAACACGGCGAACTGGTGCCTGGTGAACATCTGGAACCCCTACCTGCGAACGAACTGGATCAAAGAAAGAGCCGAAGCTTGGACCAGCGAGTTGGTTGACATGGAGGATGCCAACACAGATTACCTAGGCCTGGCACCCGTCAATGGCCCCATGAACCACATCGTCTGTTACATTCGGGACGGACCAGGGGCCTACACCATCCGTAGACACGCCGACAGGATCATGGACTCATTGTGGGTCAACGCGGAGGGCATGCTCGGCAACGGCACGAACGGCGTCCAATGCTGGGACACCGCCTTCATGATCCAGTCGGTCATCGCCGCCGGTCTCGAGACTGATGACCGGTGGCGCCCCATGCTCGAGAAGGCCCTTGGCTTCCTGGACAGGCAGCAGATTCGCGAAAACTGCAAGGACTCGGACAAGTGCTACCGCCAGCAGCGCAAGGGCGGCTGGCCCTTCAGCAACCGAGAACAGGGCTATGCTGTCAGTGACTGCATTTCCGAGGCACTCAAGGCCGTCATCTTGCTGCAAAAGACCGAGGGCTACCCTCAGCTTCTCGAAGATCAGCGCATCTTTGATTCCGTTGACTCCATTCTGTTGTACCAGAACGAGACTGGAGGCGTGGGCTCATATGAGCAGCGTCGCGGTGGCGAGTACTTGGAATTGCTCAACGCCGCCGAGGTCTTTGGACGCATCATGATTGAGTACGACTACCCCGAATGTACCACCGCCTGCGTTACGGTCTTGTCGCTTTTCCAGAAGCATTGGCCCGACTACCGAAAGGACGACATCCGCATTTTTATCAAGCGTGCTGTTAACTGGATCCGCTCTCACCAGAACATTGACGGTTCGTGGTATGGAAGCTGGGGCATCTGCTTCACGTATGCGGCTATGTTCGCCCTGGAGAGTCTGGCCAGTGCAGGAGACAACCACAGGACCAGCAAGGTTTCCAGGAGGGGCTGCGAATTCCTCATCTCCAAGCAGAGAGAGGACGGCGGATGGTCCGAGAGCTACAAGGTGAGCGGGTCCTGACACTATTGTACGAACCAAGAACATGACTGACCATGGCAGGCCTGCGAGACGATGGAATACCACGAACACCCCAGAGGATCCCTGGTAGTGCAGACTGCCTGGGCACTGATCGGCCTCATGGAGGCAGAGTACCCTCATATGGAGCCTCTCCGGAAAGGCATCCAGTTCCTCATGGACCGACAGCAGGCCAATGGTGAATGGCTCCAGGAGACGATGGAGGGTGTCTTCAACAAGAGTTGCACGATTGCGTACCCCAACTACAAGTTCACGTTCCCCATCAAGGCGCTCGGCATGTTTGCCCGCAGGTTTCCAGATGAGAAGATCACCCCTGGCATCAGCGATAAGGGGGATGCGTAGAGATCTAGACCGTTGCCTTCACATCTAGACCGTGGTCAATAATCAAAAGTATAACATACTAATCTTAATGAGACACGATTTTTGCCTTGGAGCACTGATGATTGCTTTTGCTACGGGCAGAGTGCGAGAAATTCAACGATGACAAAGGCTCAGGCCAGGTCAGTTAGTGGGTATGACATACATGTAGCTTGATGCCAGAATGAGAAGGGGCAAAGTGCCTCCTCAGCAGGAGGAAGGAGATATAGGGGCTAGAGGCGCCTCACCTGCCACCGACCACGAGTTGAGATGCCTGATCGGGTGACTTCCTCGGTGATGCTCCCGAGGTATTTCATGCGGCCCCATTTCGATTCACCATGTGGTCGACTTTTTTTGTGTTTTTGCTAATTTATTTATGAATGAGATTGATTGTAAACGTTAGATATACCTTCCCAGAAAAAGCACCTTCTGCCTATGGCGCCTATTCCGAAAAACAAGTGGTTTGCGCATGTGCTACATGTGTTTTTCAGCAGCGATGTTACGTGACGGATATTCGGTGAGGCATTGTTTCGGTGAGCTGGGGGGTGAGCTGGGCGGTGAGGTAAACATCTTTCTGAGCCTGGCCACCTTACTTTCTGCCGCCAAGCTTGGACTGCCCATCCTGCCCCACCACAGCTTCCAGAACAGTCTGACCCCTCTACATAGTATGCTTGAGGAAGCACCTACCGAACCTTGTTGGACCTGCAGCTACTGCATCACCGTTTGTTCATTCTCCGAATGCTTTCTCCAATCTATTTCAATTAGGTGCCATCCCACTTCCTTTCTACAATCCATTCCTTCACCTTTTCGGAACCTTTTCACAGTCGTATTCAACACACCACATCAACCCGACTGTTGCATGCGAACTTCTGCCCACATCACGCATACTCCATCTCCCAAATACTCATAGAAGCAAACGATCGACAATGTCTGAATACACAGCTGGCGCAGCCGGCATGACCGCCATCGATAAGAAAGACTGGGACACGGCTATCATCCAGCTCTCCAAGGCTCTCAAGGTCACAAAGTCCCCCAAGTGGCTCATTGGCCGCTCCAAGGCTTACATCGGCACCAAGGATTTCCGCCGCGCCCTGCGCGATGCCGAGCTCGCCTACGTCGCCGCCGCCGCCCGCAACAACCGCGCCTTCATGGCCGACTCGCAGTATCGCCGTGCCGTGGCTCACCTTCGGCTCGGCGAGCTAGCCAACGCCGACATCTGCGCCATCTGGGCCCAGCGCATGGCCGAGGGGAAGAACATGGCCAACCTCAGGGCGCCGGAGGTCGACGACAAGGGCTACGCGCGGGGCACTAGAACGGCTCTGCAGAACGAGATAACGGCTGTCCGGCAAACGGAGGATCCGGCGCAGAGTAAGTTTGGCGCTATCTGGAACACCATTTGTGCTCTGCGATTGCAAATCCTTGGCGGCTTGGAGAAGCTTGCCGAGGACGACGAGAAGCGAAAGGTGACTGTCAAGTTTGCGCCGGATGTCTCGCTCGATGCCCCCGACCAGGACGAGGTAGAAGAGTTCACCAAGGAGGAGATTGAGGCGGCCAAGGCGGAAGCGGTCGCGAAGCCGCAGCCAAAGAAGGAGGTGCGCGTGGACTTTTTCCAAAGCAGCGCCACTTTGACGGTGTCTGTGTTTGCGAAGAACATCCCTAAGGATGCTTTTAAGGTCGATTACGGCGAGTCTGAGGTATGTTTCCCCTCAACGCTACATAACAGCTCCAAGGACGAGCCAGATACTAATAGAGCTTCCCAACAGATCAGCATGTCGCACATTCCCGGCCATGAGCCCAGTTACACGATCCATCTCTACAGCCGCATCGACCCGGCTAGCTCCAAGCACACCGTCACCGCGAATAAGGTTGAGTTTCAACTCAAGAAATTAGAGGCCAGCAAATGGCCCACTCTGCAACGCCCCGCCGACAGCGCCGCTGCTCACGTTGCCGAGGCTTCGATACCCAAGAAATCCAGCTCCCCGCCGCCGCCGGCCGCCGCCGGACAAACTACCGCAGCCGTGGCCTCCGCCCCGGCGTACCCGACGTCTTCCAAGTCTGGCCCCAAGAATTGGGACAAGCTTGAAGGCATCGACGACGAGGACGGAACAGACGGGGGAGATATCAACGCATTCTTCAAGACGCTGTACAAGGGCGCTTCGCCCGAGGCGCGACGTGCCATGATGAAATCCTTCACCGAGAGCAACGGTACCTCGCTCAGCACCGACTGGGATGACGTTAAGAACCGCAAGGTCGAGACCGTTCCTCCCGAGGGCGTCGAGGCTAAGGAGTGGGAGTCTTGAGGAGGTCGAGGAAAGGGCGTTGACGGTGTGAATGGAGACGAACACGGGAGCAGGCGCCGTGCCTATGAGCAGTGTAACGTGGAACAGTATTGCTATGGCTTGGAAGACGTTCATATCGCTTGGGAGGAACGGGTCGAGAGACATCATATTACGACATTGACGACGGGGCGTTTTGGTAGTGGTTTATGGGCATTTGCCCACCGAGATACAGAAATTGTGCATCACGATAGAGAGAAGGCATGTGCTTCTGTTCTCTTGAGCTCGGCGTTAGGTTTATCAGTCGGAAAGTAAGCTGCTGGACGATACCTAAGTACCTAGCTGAAGACCAGCAACCACAGTTTACTTTGATGGCTTGTCACCATTTCCAACATTAGGCCTGTAACTCCATCGGGTACCTGCTGTGTGACATATTCCAACACCGCAATGCCAATTTTTCAAAGTGACATCTGACAATATGTACACGTCTCAATTCACTGAGCGTATCAACTTCATGTTGGCTTCCGCATTTTTGATCCGCTGTATTACGCGTCTGCAGAGCACCATATATTTCATTGGAACGGCCGCAGAGCGCTTTTGAAATCCTCGTCGGCGACATATGTACCCTTGAGCCAGCGGCGCCCGCTGGCTGTGTCGAAAGCACGACGGCCGTGGAGGACGCGCCGATTGTCAAACAACACGCACTCGCCCGGCTGGAGCTTGTGCTGGTACACGTTATTCTCGTGTTCCAGGGTTTCTTGGAACAGCCGCGCCGCTTGGATCCACACCTGCCAACTCTTCAGCCTTGATTTCGTGGACGGGACCGGGAACGGGGCCTGGAAGGGCGGAGACCACCAGACCTCGCGGTTAACCACGAGATCTGAGTGCACGATGACGGGTCGCGCTTGACGGTAGAAGAACCCGTTCTTATTGTAGTGGTACGGGACCAGGGTTTTGGTCAGCGCTCTGTAGGCCTGGGGTGTGAACTTTTCGAGCCAAGTAGTGGCCCTGAGGGCGTCACTGAAGATGGACTCGCCCCCGGAACACGAGTTCTCTAGGCAATGGAGGAGCTGGATCCGAGGCGGCGACTCTAAATAAAGCATGTCCGAGTGTAAGCCCAGGTAAGAGGAGGTGTAGGCGACGTTTTCTGCGTCGGGTTTGGAGATGACGTCCCACGTGCGGCCATAAAACGTTTCCTTGATGGAGCCGAACTTGAGAGCAATATCAGCCACGGCAGTTTCGGTTTGCGGCACGTTTGTGAGGAAGACAAGCCCAATTTTGGCGAGCGACAGGGCGGCTGATCCGAAGGCCGGCCCTCCCTCCATGTAGTCTTTGTAGTCGATTTTCTGCAGGCGCTTAGCGAGGTTTGTCTTGCTCCACCAGAATTTTGTAAGCTTCTTGGGGGGGCCGTGCTGGTAGAATAGATTGGTCTTTTCTGCCAACATTCCCTTCAGGCTCTGGGGACCGGAGGCGGGAAAGACGGAGACGTGGCCGACGTCGGCAGCTCGAGGGATGTCGTGTGTCCAGCGAATCTCAAAAGAGCCGTCTGGCAGTCCCTTTACACTCTCAAAGGCAATGTTCTTGGGGATTTCGGCGGTTGAGAAGGACTTGTTGCCCGAGGAAGGGCTGACGCAGTGCGTGCAAGAGCAGCGGTCCCGGATCCAAGCAGCGTCAACGATGTTCTCTTTGTGTTGGCCGGCAACCTGGTCGCTGACATGAAGAGCCCGGCGGCTTGGCGTGATGATATGAACATTGAAATCCTCTGGTTGTGTATCTGGCTTTAAGTCTGTCTTTGGCGCGGCGCTAGGTAACGTCGTAGCCAGGTCGGTCTCTGGTTCCTGTTGAAGGGCCGCAGCTTCTTGGGTCTTGGGAGAGGTGGTATGAACACCGGCCAAGGTCGAGGGGAGGATGCGTCCGCGCAGGAGAGGGGAGGGTAGGGTCGGTCTTCTCGTCGCATGGTCGAGGAAGCGTGCCGCGCGCGCCGCGGGGCGAAGCGCTCGTGCCAGGACCATGATCGAAGCCTAGCGCAGAATGCAGGGCTCTCTGAGCGAGGGCGCGTTGTCTACCGAGAAGCAACGGACAAGGAGGCCGTTGGCAGCTGCTGGGAAGCTGCGCGGCGATGGGGAAAGTAGGATAGGCGTAGCCAGGGCTGGCGATGTAAGGAGGTAGGTAACGAAGGAGAACGCAACTGGCATTTCAATGGGACGACGCGGCCTTCGCCGTGTCGCCAGAGCCGAGGGAGGAGCTCTTTGAGGTAAGTGCCTTACCTAAGGTTAAGACAGGATGAGCGGACAATGATCCGATTAAAGAGGACATGTGCAGGGGTGGGGAGGTTGGTTGGTCGTTCCAATCCCATTCGTCACTGCTCTAAGCTCTGGTCTCCGTTGACGGCGGGACGGAAGCTCAGAGTTCAGGGGAGCAGCAGGCAGGAAGGGCCCGAGACGAGGGGATGAACCTCGGTCAGACGGCATACCTGATTGTTCTCTGGGGAAGGCGGGGAGCTTGAACACTGTGCGCCATACGGTACCAAAAGTGCTCCGTCTTCACGTGCATTTTGTGCATGCTGCAAGTCTTCCAGCCGTCTTCCATCTTATCTAATCTTTTCCATCTCAACTCCTGTCGCCTTCTCCAAGTAAGGTACCTTACCTTAGGTTCCTATTCATTATACGATGTCCTGGTAAACATCACCTCGCACCTCACATAGCCTAGACTCATTGCTGTCTCTGTCAAATCATAGCTGAAGTATTTCAGCGTTCTTCTGTCTCGAAGCCCTATATCCGTACAGTCTTTTGCCTGCAAACACACCCCTGATATCACATGCTTTGAAAGTTGGCTTGATCCACGCGAAACCACCCCTCGTGACCACAACGTGCGCCAACCGGACGATGAGATCTCAGGCGGCGTAGCTTAGCCCCATTCACATGTATTTTGAGGAGCGTATATCCTAGCCTTGTCTGTACCTTAAGCGCTTCTTCTTCTTCTTCCTTCTTCCTGAAGCTGCAGACAAATGCCGAAAATATTGCTGGGAGGACGCCCTGGGGATTCATAACGATATGCGTGATAGCGATGGAGATAACTGAAAGTCCCGGTTTTCCCGTAAAAGTAAAAGTAAAAGTGTTATATTTGACCCCTGCACTGGATCCATATGACTGAAAATATTGAATAGAAAATATTGACGACTAAGCGAGAGCTCGTAATGGCCGGTAAAGAGGTATAATATTCTGCCTTGGAAAGAGTTTGAAATTCGACAATTTCAGGAGAGTTCGCTTCACAACAGTTTTGGCAAATAGAAGAAGATTTTGGAGCAAATTTGGGAAGATATGATAAACACCCAGCGGAACAAGATACGTAAAGCAGGCAATTTAAAGGATTCTTAAGCAGTGGAGCTGTTAATAGCTTTCCAAATCTCATCGCTCAACGTCTTGTTGGGCGTAAACCACTGCTCCAGCGCCGGCTCCTTCCGCAACAACAGGTCCGCCACCAGCTCACCAAAGACGGTGCTGCCGTAGCCGTTGAGGTGCGTGGTGTCGTCCGGGTGGAGGTTGTACGAGTGGGCCTTTTCCGGCCCAATGGCCTGCACGTACTTGCGGCTGTAGAGGTTGAGGTCGAGGTAGGTCGTACCGGTCTCCATTGCCGCGGCAATGGTGCGCAAGCGCTGGTCGGCGAGGCTGTCGCCCAAGATGCCCGCCGCGTTGAAGGTGCGGCGGGTGAGCGGGGTGATGAGGAGAAGGCTCCCGCCGATGGCCTTGATATCCCTGGCGAAGTTGGCCAGGTTTTCCTGGTACTGATCGAGGGAGATGTTCTTCTCGACTTTTTGGTCGTTGTGGCCGAACTAGGTGTGAGAAGAAGGCATGTCAGCTTATGCTAGTCACGGGCCGAGGAACGGTGAGGATAAGGGATAAGAGACTTACCTGGGCCGTGACGTAGACGTCGTATTTAGCCGTGTTGGCCTTGACTGCCTCCTTGACGGTTTCCCAGTATCCCAAGCTCACATAGTCGGCCGTAGTCCGTCCGTTGACGCCATAGTTTGTGCCGAACGCTGGCTTCTTTATGAGGTTGATGAAGCCGGTGCCCCAGCCGCCACCGCCGGCTGACTGCACCGCGGTAGTCGAGTCGCCGGCGAGCAAGAACGCGACCGGCTTCCCGTCTCTCTTCTCCGCTGACGGGGCAGCCGCGGCAAAGGCCGGGAGGAAGGCCGCGGCGGAGAGCAGGGCTTGAGGCTTCATCGTGGAATCTGCGGTAGTGGTCCTCTGGTTCGACTCTTCAGGTGTTGCTGCTTGCTGGGCTTTGCGTGGTAACGACTGTGAAGCTAAACATGAAGCTGAAGAGGCAGAAGCAGAAACAGATATGTAAACAGGACCAATGCCACCCAGTCGCACAGGACGCCCATCCTCTTCATATACGAGAACCATCGTGGGCTCCCCTGTTCACGATACGGACACTTTGAATTTACCACCTCAACCTTGCCTCGCCGTCCCTGGTCGGTGCCTATGCAGCCAAGCAAAGCTCTCAATGTAACCCAAGCTTTCCAGTCAAATCCCCTCCCTAGGCCACAAACTAGCTTCTTTTCTCGTTCGTGATCAGACGGAGACTAAGTCCTGCAGGGAAAATTAGATAGAGCATCAAAAGCTTAGGGTATTGCACCGTATGATCTGGCCAAACAAGGAAAAAGCCTACGCCCCTGGCAGATCTGGGATGATGCTGGGGTACTCACGATGGTGTAGCTTTGGAATTTCTTCCGTCAATGGGATGAGGACAAGGTATAATAAATTACCCCTCCCTCCCTTGCCCCAAAAGCTTAACCATATTCGGAACCGGGAGAGGAATGCAACGATTCTCCGAGACAATTTGGCTTTGACCATTCTTAGCTTTCCCATCTCTTCTTCTTTTTTGCCGTGGTTGGATTGGTAGCAAATGCATTGCATAGAGATACTACTCACGTTATGTGTTGCAGCTACACACACCACCTTTTCCGCCGCCGGCATTAATCCACCAACCTGCTGCATGTCGGGCGAACGGACCGCATCTAGTCCAGTTAGATCTCTGGAAGGATTGGCGTAGATCGCGGGGGTTTCGGGGTTCGGGGACACACCACCATGCCTATTTCATATCCATGTGTGGGGTTAGCTCACTCCCTGAAATAAAATTGACCGAGGCAGTTCGTCTGAATAGGACGCGAGGGCCAGGTCTTGGCCGCTTGCTGCCGTGTTGCAAGCTTCGGTAATGTGAAAAGAGTTCCGTGAGGAAAGGATCGCGTTGGGGAGGAGTTGGGAGAATTGGCTTGGGTATGCTTGGTAAAGTCTTCGGAGGCCGAGATGAGACGTCCACTCCGGGGCCGGAGGTCGAAGACGTGACTCGGGGGAAAGGAGGAAAATTCAAAAGAACCTGCGCACCTGAGACTATGTGAACTGACAAAATAGATTGCCTCATTAGCATCATACATCTTGGTGGGGTATCCTAGTGAAGCAAGAAGGCAATGACATGCCATCGCCGAAGATACCGTAATCCAATCCTAGTCTTACGTTTTATTCATACAACGTGTCAAATGCTCATGCAAGCATAGACGCTCCCAGTATCCGCTTATACCAATGATCCATGCAAAGTCAACACCAGAAACCGTGACCAAGACCCGGCTTGTATGTTTCGCCTTCGAACTTTTCATGCCCTTTTTCAACGCCCCTTCACATAGTGAAAGTGAAAATATGGAAATCATCTGTTCCGGTTGCTTGACCACCGTTTAACCATAACTTCACGAATCTTGTACAACTTGAAGACCTCGGCCGGCCCCTTCTTCATCGCCTGCTCGAATTGGGGAGGCGGTGGCACGTCGACGTAAACCAAGACCAAGCTCTTCTGGACGTGGGATAGGACACGGACGACTCCGTGAAGCCAGTGCCAGGTCTTGCGCGGCAGCTGGCGGTCGCTGTCCTTCCACCATTGGTGGGAATAGGATGGCAGGAGAATGGCGCCAAATTCTGCGTGATCGAACACGGGTCCTTTGGCGTACAGCATCCAGTCGACGCCAAATTTGATACCCGCTCTGGGAACCCATCCCAAGGAGCGGAAGTGGTGGTACACGACGTAATTGACCAGGAAACCATCATCGGGTTGGAGCTCTTCTGTAGCTCGACGGGGGAAGTAAGAGTATTGTCTGAATAGATCGAAGAGCTCAGCAGTAGGGATCGAGGCCCTTGTGGCAGGATCAATAACTCGAAGAGCGCCCATGCCGAAAGCCAGGAAGAAAGCTTCCTCAGATGTGAGTTGAAGATGTTCCTTGTTGATGACCTCGACCGGCTCCGCGGGGACTTCGGGCAGCTTCTCAAGCATGTGGACATCGTTAGATGCAGTTGCATCCTCGGCATCTGCCTCTAAGACGCCGGGGCCCAATGACGTGCCATTCACAGGCGGTATCGCCTTTCCGTTGGTTCCATTGAAGAGAGCGAGGCTGGGACTAGGAGGGTCGGACAACTGATAAGTGGCCGACTCTACCTTGGGTGAGAAGCGAACGCTCTTGCGACGTTTGGCCGACTTTGGCGTTGATGGGATCTCTCCAGAGGCAACGACGGATTTCACTACCCCGTTCAAGCCGTTTTGAAGGGGCGTTTTGTCGCCGTTGACATTTGTTATCAAGTCGTTGATCAGGTGACCGTTCGAGCCCCTGTCTTCGTGGATTGTAGAGAGTTTCTGTGCCGCGGTAGAGAAGTTATCGGCGACTGGACTCTCAATCGTGCCAGTGGCTGCGGTGTGTGTTCCATTCGACGTTCCGTTAGTGACATGCAGCTCGGCGTTAGGCAGGGCTAGAAGCTCGAGAGGCCCGACCGGCGAGGCAGTCCCTGACGTGGTTGAGATGCCGCTGACGAATAGCTCACCAGGTTGAAGCTTGAAAGAACCCCAATCAACATCTTTTGATCCTACAGGCTCGCAGTGGCCATTGACTCGTTGGGCACCACCGCTGAAGCCCCCAGCCCGAACCTGGTTTTCTGTCGCGGGGAGTCGGATATGCGAGTTGGGAAGGCATAGCAATTCCAGAGGACCAACAGGAGCACTCCATACGAGAGGAACGGATGCGGGAGGCAACTCATCCGACGGCAGAGTATTATCGGTTTGGATGAAAGCCTCAGGTTCCTGGGCCGATTGAAGGAAGTCACGGGGCTTGACAATTTTGGCCGGCTCGACATCTGGGGTAGATGTCCCTTGGAACGTCGAGGGTTCGCCAGTCATCTGGTCCACAACCTCAGTTTCAGCGACAGGCGCGACTGCTATCGTATCGACACCATTTGTTTGGACGTGGTTGGACTCGGCGGCGAGCGCTGATTTAATGGAAATAAGTGGCTCAGGCAGGATGTCCGCGTCTGTCGAGGCTTCTCGCTCAGGAACGTGATTGTTTGTTGCATCAACGATGGCGTCAGCCTCGGCGGCCAAAGCAGGAGGCCTGACTGCGCCATCCGCTGCTGACACCTGAGTCGCCAATTGGGCTTCCTGGATTCGCAATTGTCTGATGGCTTCTTGCTCTGTCTTGGCTCTCTCCCACTTCATCTGCCTTCGCTCTTCACGTCTGCTGGCTGTTACCAGCTCGCTGACCTGGCCTGGCACCAGTCCTCGCCTGACATGCTCGCGCTTAAACCAGTTGGGCTCACTTCGACTCAAGTTGCCCTTGCCGTAGAACCCTTGTTCCCACAGCGCGCGCATGGACTTCTCGTCGATAATGTTGACAGATTTGGATTCTGGGGACCAGATACCCTCGTGCACAATGGACGGTTCAGCAGGCGGTGGGAACAAGGCTTGTTTCGTCCATGCGAAGAGGACATGGAACAGGGAAATTGGATTATTCGGATAGAAGCTAGGAAGCGGAAATGTCCGTATGGGAGCAGGCAACTCGTAAATCTTGTGCAACGGGGGGCCTCTCGGCCGCGACGTTGTCGTAGAGTTCGAGGAGTTCTGAGCAGGCATCGGAGCCTGCGCCGGCTGCGAGGCCGTAGTCTTAGTCTGCGACATTGGACTAACAAGTCATGTCTGTCCTTTGGGCAATGGTTAGCTTATAGTCCCTTTGTTGGTAGTTCGAGAATAAAAAAAAAAGAATGTCCAAAATTTGCATCAGATACCGTTGTAGTCTATATTGTTTCGCGGCACAGAGGTTCAATGAAGACGCACTCTTCGCACAATGGGTAATAGGTGTCATCATAGCAAACGGAGAGGTGGGAGAGCAGCCGAGCAGACCTTTTCAAGACCGCGATCGAGGACCGCGACGACCGAGGAAGGCTTGGCCAACTGCAGCAACCACCTCGTGGACGGAGGGAAGAGATTGGGAGAATGCTGCAGCAACTTACTTGTTTGAGGATTTTTCCACCCGTCTAGCCGACAGATCACCCGTCAATTGGGCCATGTAAGCCGAAAATCACCTCACTTTTTCGAGGCAGCTCGATCCTGTTCGGCAGACGTGTGTGGATGGTGAAGGAAAGAATCGGTGATGCGCGCAGAAAAATTCAGCGTAGAAAAAGGTCTCCGCCGTATCCATCGCTCGCTTCCGTCAAGTCCCCGCCGTCTGACTCTTTCAGGTTCGCTTCCCGTCCGTCCACATCCGGCCGGAATAACTCGGGTGGGTACAAACGGATGCGGGTTTGCTGGGTCCACCCATTTCATCCTGGAAGCTTTGTCTGTTCTGGCCTCAGGCTTTGTCAGAGCTCCCGCCTCATTTGCACTTCTCCAGGTGCCGCCACATGTGGCTGGTGTATGTAATTTCAACTTTCAAGCTTCGACCTCTGTTAGCCAACGGTGGTGGGGCGCGTGGAATTTCCATGCCACGCGACTCTCCGCTCAGTCTTACGGCCAAGTCTCGCTTCTCAAAGGATTCGACAATCTGACATTTGCCATGTTGTCGACAGCTCCGTGACGATTCTTCTCCTTATGCTATTTCCCGCGGTATTCTGCTCCCATGGCATTTTGGCGCATCATTCGCTCTTGTTTCTCAGCCTAGAAGCCCCCCTTTCGCGCGTCGCAGTACGGCTTCGACGCCGGTCTCGGCATTATGGCAGATTGGTCGTCCGTAGCGCAAGCCATTGCAATCGTTTGCGCTGGTTGGAGCACCTTCGTCTATGCCGTTCAATCAATCGGTATCGTGAGAATGTGAGGCTCTGTATTCTCATTGTTGGTGACCGCCCACTGATTTTCTAAAGCTTCCTCTCGTACTCTTCTCGTCTGCGACCTGCTATCTCCCCTTCTCTTAAGACGGAAGATGTACCGCACATCACCATTATCCGCCCTGTCAAAGGCCTCGAGCATGGCCTCTACGAATGCATAGCTTCCTCGTTTCGCCAAGACTATCCGCGCGATAAACTGACGATCCACCTCTGCGTGGCCGAGAAGAGCGATCCGGCATACCCTGTTTTAGTCAAGCTGGTGCAGGATTTCCCTGGTTTCGATGCTCGAGTGCTGGTCGAGGAGGAAGATCCGCTGCTACACGGTACTGCTGGCCACATCGACAACCTGGGACCCAATCCAAAAATCAGAAACATCAGCCGCGCATATCGAGAGGCCAAAGGCGATATCATCTGGATTATGGATTGCAATATCTGGGTTGCCAAGGGCGTTGCTGGCCGGATGGTTGACAAGCTCTTGGGATACGGACCGGGTGGGAAACAAGTCAAACCATACAAATTTGTCCATCTTTTGCCAACTGTCGTCGATACTGTGTCTCGAGGAGACATTTCAGCAGAGACGCAAACGCTGCTATCTTCAACTTCTGAGCCCGGCTCCTCGCACAACGTCACAGGCAAAGGCCAGAGAATCTCATTTCTCGATTATGCGAAGAGCCAAGGCGGTGGCCGACTCGATGAGATGTTCATGGCCACAAGTCACGCCAAATTTTATAGCGCAATCAATACTGTTGGTGTCGCCCCTTGCGCCGTCGGCAAGAGCAACATGTTTCGCAAATCCCACCTGGACACCGTGACGGATCCGTCGCAAAACCCGATACTACCCGCCAACAAGAACCTGCCCAAGGGAATCAACTACTTCTCCGAGTACATCTGCGAGGATCACCTGGTTGGCGATCTATTGTGGAAGTCGAATCTACCGGGTATGAAGAACCATGGCCTCGTCATGGGTGACCTTGCCATTCAACCAATGGCCGGCATGTCGGTCAACGCATATTTTGCCCGTCGCGCCCGATGGCTTCGTGCGCGGAAATGGACAGTCCTCGCCGCCACGCTAGTCGAGCCCGGCGTCGAAAGTCTGCCGTGCTGCGGCTACTTTGCTTTTGCCGTCACCACCCTTCCCTGGTTCCACAACACCTTTGGCACCGCACAAACCTGGGGAGCTTTCGGCATTTACTGGATGGCCTTTGTGACCATCTGGATGGCATTTGATTGGTTCACATACAACCGTCTTCATGCTGGCTACACTGTTGAGGTGGACGAGAATACGCCCAAGTTTGCCCGGGGCACTGCGACACCCGGCGGAGCACCTCCAAGAACCTTTTTGGAGTGGCTTCCCGCTTGGCTTGGTAGAGAGCTTCTTGCTCTTCCAATTTGGACCTGGGCTGTTTTCTGCGGCTCTACGGTCGATTGGAGGGGTCGGACCTTCAACGTTCGGTCGGATATGAGCGTTGTGGAGATTGGTGAGCAAGCTTCCACTGGATCGCAGGGTTTATTGAATAGTTTGACTGGCATAGAGGGTGGCCAACGGTCGAGAAGCAAGGACCGTTTGGATTGAGGTTCGATATGATTCATCAAGTAGTATTAATGTTTATGACTGTACATGACGTCTCTTCTGTCACCTTTCCCAGTAACCTGGGTGTGCATTGTAGCTATTGAATAACACATCCTCAACCCCTTGTCTCGGCTAATACCTTTACGATTTCACCATCATGTATGAGGGCTGAAGTCGCTGCATGTTGATGCATACTTACCATACACCACTGGTCCCCGGCTCCATGGTCTCGCTCCTGGCCGTCCATGTCACAGCCCGTGTTATGTTGCTCATTCTTGGTTGCTTTAGAGGTTGCTCTAAATGTGGCCAGGACTTGTTCGTTGAATACTGATGCATCGTTGCAGACCAAGTAGGAAACAATCCGAATGTCTCAAGATTTCCGCGGAATCGCAAGGGCCTTATATTGAGGCCTCCCAGACATGTCGCGCTGCGTTGGTTGGCCTACCACTCATGACGAATAGTGCATCTTATCTAGTTTGAAACACACCTCCAGTTGGTCTCATCTATTCAGTCTCCGATTCCATTGAAGACATTGCGTGTCGGGCAGCGGCAATGACGATGCTTGTACTCGAAGCCAGCCCTCACCGTGTTGTTTACAAAAGCTCTCAGGGGCGATCCCCTCCTCGACCCGGCAGACCATAGCCATAAGAACTTGCTCCTCGGAGTTCTTACTCGCCATGTTCTTGGCCTGCTTGCCGATGACCACGGCGCCCGTGTCGCCGCTGCATGCGCGGGTAGACCAGGTCGCTAGGGGCGTCGATCAGGGGCGATGCCGCAGAGGGCTTCGACCTGCTTCTCGGTGAGGCAGCCGTCCTTTTGGTTGCTGTCGACGCCGCTGAAGATGCTTTCGGGCTTGTAGTCATAGAGATCGGGGGATTTGAGGAAGCCGTCGTTGACACCGTCCAGCTCGCCACACTGGTCTAGGATATCGTCGTGGATGGTCGGCCACATGGTCATGGGAATAAAGGTAACGGTGCCCTGCTGGCAGGTCAAAGGGAGGAAGTGGCAACTCCAAGAGGCTATGATGTTGAAGGAGAACGCAGGATCTCAGGCGACAATGCCGTCAAATTTGCCAGGACAAGCCTGCGCTCTCTTGAGGCCCTGACGTCCGCCGGCAGAACAGCCGAGATAGTAGCTCTTGGTATGAGGTCTGTTGCAGAGGAACTTCGTAAAGTCCTTGCCGACGACAGCACCGGTCGTTAAGGCGCGGTTCGTGAAGTCCCCTATAACATCCGGGTTGCTCAGGAATGAGAGTCCGCTCTGACCTTCATGACTGTTGTCGGTGGCCACAGCAGCAAAACCAAGGGAGGATGCGTAGCCGAGATCCTCATACTGTACGCAGCTACCGAGGGCGCCGTTTCCAGTGCTCAGAGAGCGACCTGTCCGGTTCTTGGGCAGCCAAGCTTCGAATTTGATAAGTAAGTACCAGAGCGGCACGAGGTCGCCATGGGCGCGGTGCCACGGCAGAGGTTGGCACTCACTTTCTGAGAGCCGTCAGCCTAAGTGCTTTGGAGGCCATACATCAGTAGTTTAATGGTCGTAATCTAGTATACAGAGATATCACTGGCAGAGATGGCCATGCCCTTGTGATTGCAACCTGCTGTAATGTTAGTCGTGGCTCAGAGCTCAAATCCTTGGTTTCCATACAATCACAACACGTTGTCCTATTGCACGCAGTCGTTAAATCGCAAGACTCATCAGGGCTACGGTAACATTCTGGACATTTGGCAGATTCCACTCTGTGGAAGCGGGCGATACCGGTGCAGCCATTACGACGCGGCACGGTGTCACGTTTGCGTAGTATGCCACCTGCAACAACGATGATGGCTCTGGTTGCGGTAGCCTTAGGATGAACGTCTGGTCTGGGCACGCTTCTGTCGTTGCTTTCGACCATCCAGAGATCTTTCGTGGTGATCACACAAATATTTACAGATCGTTTCAAAATTTATGCATTCAAGGTGAAAGCTGTATATTTTGATTCCCGGAAATTGATCATGCCAAATAAATTAAGCAATAGCCTGTCATTATACAAGCTTGGTATAGACTCCCTCAACTGAGAGTCCGGAGATGCCATCTAGATTTCCTGTCGGTAATATCGGACACAGCATAATTTATGAGCAAAATACAAGGGTTCAAATATGTTTATATTGATCATCAAGATCCTCCAAAAGTAGGCTTGGAAACAACTTTCTATCTGTGTAGTGAATGCATGATCTCCTGGTGCAAGTATCACCTTTGCAAACTTCACCATGATCGCACACGATGATAAAGTGTATGATGTAAAGTTCCACTGATGAGGCTTTTGACGTAATGAATGTTCCGAGTCACTTCTAACATCAAGCAAGATAGGGTTCCAGATTGGCATCTGAAATTCAAAGATTTCCATTTGTCACCAACATCATGGCAAACAGTCCCATGGCTTGACTCTGGAAGGGTGGGCGAGATATGATGAAGATGTGAGAAGGAGTCGTAGGTCATGAGAAGCTAGCCGGGTATTGATACTCCTATAAGATACTGGAAGCTGGCGAGTCTCACTATCTATTGATGTGACTTTAAGGACGAATTGATTGATCCTGGCCCTGTGACAATGGTGGTTGGCATTGATGATGGGCAAATTACCCTTGAAATCAACAAACTGTTATCTGATGTAAAATAAGTGATACTTACACCCAGCTCAGCCGTTACGTCTTGTCAACTTGTATCACATCTGTTCGGTGGCTGGTAATCCGAAACTATTTGGCTGTGCCCGTACAAGGACAAAAGTCGATGTGGAGATGGAAGACATAGGGCTATGTCATAAATCGATCAAGATACCATTTCACAACTGGCTCAAAGAATTTCAGCTTACTTTGGCTAAATAACAACGCATGGTCTACAGCCATTCTTTCATTGAGTTTCAGCGAGGCCTCCCGCTGCCTTGGGGTCGCGCGAGTGGGGTGAGGATGATATGTGAGTAAAGTGAGTCAGGAACTTTGGTTGAACATTATGAAACCTTCACAGGCGTGACTGACGTCGAAATTTGTGAAATCTAGTGATACAGTGAATAGTAGAGAAATCATTTCCTTGCGTCATCCACCTAGTAACCAAGTCTGTAACCGTCATCTGGGCCTAGCTAGTAAGATTTTGTGCGGAACTGCGAGAGTAGTTAATGTAAGAACGTCGACCCAGTCGTCGACAAGCCTCAAACAAGGTATTAAAGTTTTATCTCCAGCAGCCGCTCAGTAAATTCGGGTAATTCCGTGCAAGGAATCATAAACAGCTTATTCCGAGCTTCTGGGATGCAAGACATGGCCATTCTCAGGAGATTGAGACTAGCTGATATCACGGACTATGATTCGAAAACCATGATATGCTGCCAACTATTTCAAACATCAAGTTGTAATATTTGACGAGTTAGCCGCTTCAGCAAAATTCTTGCGTCATATCGTTACATGATCGATGCTGCAGGCTGACTTGGCAAAGAGACTTGAAAAAGAAAGCGACGCGCGATTCCTCTTCCATCTTCTTTAGGAGCACTTCGAGGCAAAAAACCCCTTGAGATTATACAAGTAAACCAAGAGTCTTGAAGTCACTATATCATGATATTGTCGGGCTTATCTGCTCGCGGCCACCGTTCTTTGATGCGCCGTTTCTTGTGAAACCGAATTTCTCAACTCTGCCACCGCTGGTTGCAAGCCAAGCGCCAGGATTCAACTCGCTGCGACAAGAACACGGCCAAGAGATGCAAGTCTCCACTGAATATCTCGCATCGCCAGTCAAATGCGTTCGCAAATCTTTCCCCTCTTCTAGCTCCCGCTGTACAAGTGCCACAACATGACCCCGAGCCGCCAATATATACGGGCGACTCCTATCAATACCTCCAATATCCCAAAACGTACAAGTCTTCCCCTCACAATCCTACTTTCCAGTCAGATCGATGGTGCCATCACCTGAGCCGCGTCCCTCCACTTGTGCATCACAGGCCGCCGACAACAATGGCGTCAGAAGCGGCAGCGCCAGACGATCCTGCTGGGAATGCCAACGCCGGCGCTTGGTCTGCGACTCTAACCGGCCGATCTGCTCTAAATGCAAGCTTAGCGGCATAGTGTGCCCCGGATACGAGAATGTGAAGCCTTTGACCTGGGTGGCCCCAAATCAGATCACGACACGGACGTGGAGGGGTGGACGAAAACCCAAAACAAACAAAATCGACATCACCAAGGCGATTTCAAAGGGTGACGGCAAGAAGGATACGGCTCCAGAGACTTCTGAGGAAAGCCAGGTTGTACGGCTCATCCATGTCTTTCCTGGACAAGAGCTTCGGACGGACACCTGCGATATCGCTGAGGCATCGGTCTACTGTTAGTCAGAGTCTACTTTCGTGTTGCGATACCATACAATGCCTTTGTAGCTGGGCAGGTCGAGATATCAATACTAATCACCACCTCTTGCACCACAGGGAACGAGCAGGTCTACCCGTTTTTCTACGAAAACCAGCTGACCAATAGCCCATGGGTTGTACCAATATCTCACCTTCACTCCATGAAACCATACAGGCGGCACGGCCTAGTCACCATGGCGATCGAGCACCACATGTCGCGCCTATCGCCGACCAGAAATGACCCCTACGCAATCGAGGTCAGAGCTAGGGCCTATCAACATCGTTTAACCGCAATCAAAGCCCTAAACAATGAGATTGAGAACGAGAACACAAGGTGCTCTGATGGAACTCTAGCTGGCGTATTAGTCTTCCTCTTCGGTGATGTACGAATGAACATTGGTTACACCGATGACGAACTTGAGACTAACGCTCTGGCTTGTAGCTTATGGGGAGTGCAACGGTGGCCAATTGGAGAGTCCACCTTAATGGGTTTGCGGCGTTGATTGCTTTACGTGGTGGTTGGGATGCGTTCTGTCAAAAGTCGCCGCATCTTAAGTCTCTGGTGTTATTCTGCAAAGTGTAAGTGCCTCAGTCCGCCAAACATCCAGTCTTGTTTGAGCCACAATGCGGCCTGTTCCCTACAGTAACCTCTTGGCCGTACTTTGGCGTTGTACTCCGTCACCTTTTTGTTAACTATTCCCCTTAGTGTCGAAAATCTCGCCAACACGACCAGCCCAGCCCACGATCAAGTGTCTCCAGTCGCCAACTTCAAGATGCGGAATGTGATAAGGGACGTGTTCTCGATTGGATACTACCCTCAACTGCCATGCCCTGTTGACTTACTCATCGACATAATCCATATCAATCGCCTTCGCTTCCAGGCAACATGCAATCAGCCTGGAAAATCTCTCACCTCCATCAGGATTGAAGCGGAGCGCCTTCTGGATAAAATCCTAGACTTTTCACCTGAAGTCTGGTCTAGTAGAGTGGAACCTCTCGCAGATGGACATCTCTTGATGGCGAAGACCTATCAGTCTGCTGTAGTACTGTTTGGTATATCGTCGTTACAAAGTACGGGCGTCATTCCCTTATCAAAAGATTGGATGACTGCCAAGGATACCCACCGTGACAGACTGTTCTCTTTTCTCAAGGCTTCCGTCGCCTCTCCGGCACTGAAGATCTGCACAACGTGGCCCATGATTGTGGCCGGGTTCGAAGCGAAGAGCGGTAGTAAGTCAATGCGAGGCTTTATCTTGGAGCGCATGAAAGAAGACAGCCAGCAGATGGGCACATATCTTCCAGTCGCAGCTAAGGAGGTACTGGAGAGATTCTACATCTCGTCTGGAAACAGCTGGGACAATTGTTTCGATAGTCCTCATGCGCTGGTCACGTAGAATACTTGGCCGACTTCAAAGCGAATACGGACGTATTGAGCCAGAATTGTTGACTCAAGGCGAGACGATGGTGCTGAGCTGAAGGGGCAGTTGAGAGCATTTTCAAGACAAGGGGCACGGCCTCACCGAGCATACCTGATTCACCTACTCTCGGCATATCGGAAACTGGACAAACTCTATTTTGGCCTTCAGTGATTAAGGGTAAGAGAGAGGGAAGAGCGCACCGTTAGAGTAAAGGTTCGGCGGCTCTTTGTCAGCCGGGGGAGCCGCATCAAGAGTGGGGTGTAGTAGAATTAATCGCTGAAAACTATAATGGCGGCTATATCCGAACCGAGAAGAGTCTAATGCACTAATACTATTAAAAGCGCGAATCCACTGCCAGCGAGGAGCACGAACGGCGGCCGTGGCAGGGGGAAACAAAGTGTGGCGACCAAAGAACTACGCGTGTAAAACATACATGCTACCTTTGTTTTGGAGCCCCATCGGCAATTTCAATTGAATCCCCCGCCTGGGATTTTGATTGACTGCGAGAACTCATGTGTGTTTGCGGAAGTAATGTGTTTATAGATAGCCTAAGGGAGAAGGCTGAGTTGTATTCCCCTGCAAAGCTAGATATAGTGACGTAAAACGAATCAAGTGTCCGTACAGACACTCAAAGAAAGTTATGTCGAAGTGGCCCCATGCTCATTCTCTCTCTGATCATCAGCTACTGAGGGCCAAGGCTGTCTGAAAGGATGCACGAATCTGATTCGAGAAATTTATATAAGTACGAATGGTCTCGAATCCCCGAATCATCATGGCCTACGTCCAGAGAGTAAGACTCACATCAACTGCTCTCAAGTCTCAGCCTAAGTCAACATGCGGTTCTCCATGCTCAACATCCAAAGGCTCGTCCTTTTGAGCGCTTTTGGCCTAAGTGCCGTAAAGGCCCAAACCGGTGACCTTGGCGCAGAAGATGGCCTTGGGCCAGTAAATGACTCTGGCCCAGAAGTTGACACTGGCCCAGAAGTTGACCCTGGCCCAGAAGTTGACCCTCACCCAGATGATGACCTTCGCGACGGAGATGAAGAGGATGATGTTTGGAAGAATTTCGGAACGGTCGATCCTTGGCGACTACCCGCTAATTATAAAGAAGGAGATGGCGACAAAGCCGGCTCTGGTTAGTTCCCAGCTTCCTGCGAGATTAAGACCGGACATCAAAACTAACACTTCCTTCAGTGTTCCTAGTGCCCTCGGGTTACCGTATCCGATGCGGCGTCGTCCCTTATGACAACAACGGCGAAATTTGGATGATTCCAGTCTCCAAATCCTTCAAAGAGATCGGCTACATTCTCCCTCGCGGCGGGTACGATTCGGACAAGGATCATTCTCTCGCAGACTGTGTGCTGCGAGAGTCGGAAGAAGAAGCCGGCCTCATAATCGACAGAAACTCCTTGATTCCTCTGGGACTCGGCAACCACAGTGCGGTATACTGGTACAGGGGCAAAATAACCGAGACCGGCACACCTACCGAGGGTCGAAGTCTGCCGCCAAAGAACTTTACCATCGATGGTACGCGCGAGCAGCTGCGCAAGCCTCTTAAGAAGCCGTCAAAGAAGGCAGACATGCGCCAAGCGTTCCACAATGCTGCGACTGCGGATGAGTCTAAGAGCTATGCGTTGACATTCGCGGCGAATGGGGGCGCCACAACTGGCGGCTCGGCTTCATCGGGTAATTCAGGCTACTCAACGGAGGATGAAGATAAGTGGAAGGTGATCTACAATGATGGATATACCAACGGCGAACAACCTATTGTCAAGATTTGGTGCGATCCTCTAGATTTCAAAATCGTCGCCAAAGGGGCACGGCCAAACCAAGCGCCAACCGGCTCGAGTCTCAGCTCAATCATGCTGGAGCTGTGGAAGGCGACAGGTGTGAGCATCACGGAGATCAAGTCCATCGAGTTCTGGGAGGTCGTCGACCTAGACACGGAAACCGCGATCAGCGACGCACGCACCGAGCTCAACGGAGATGGCGGAGGTTTCACCACGACTAACGAAGTGGGTGAGGAAAAGGCTTGGAGCAAGCTGAAGGATAGCTCTTATGGAAAAGTGGCTGCACAATTATCTAAGGATCTTAGTAATAATTTCGCTGCGATCACTGTAACCGGCGGCGATGATCCAAGCATCCTTTTCCTGTTCAAGTCATAGGAGAGAAGTTTAGATATATTGGGCCTTGGAAGTAATGTGCGCCACGATATTGATCCGGATGGTACATAGAAATGATGAGCGCATTCTGTAATCAGCAGAAACCAATTGAGGAAAAACGGCCACGTCAATATGAGCAATAAATGCCACTATTTTCGGATAACAGATTGCCCAACTTTTGGTAACCAAGTTTCCAATCACGATGCAGACTTGGCATCATTGAAATAGCACATTTTAAGTTGGAACCTGAAGCCTCCGCACAAAGTACCTGTGATGAGGTGGCGATGAAACAAGGGCCTCTCTAGGGATGATCAAACCAGGAAGCCGAAACGGCCTAGACTTTTCATTCTCGAACGAGGTGTATTTAGGAATCTGCGTTTACCAACACTGATTGATTGGGCGATTGCGAGTTACTGATCTTGTCACCCTGCTCAGAAAATTTGGTTGAGCTCGGAGAAAGCGTACTTGGAGTCGACCGGAGCTTTGAGTCTGTCTGTGACTAGACAGTCTGTTGAGCGTCTGCGCGTCCTAATGGGTTTCTAGATCTTATTTTAAACTTATCTATGGTTTTTTTTTTTTACTTTTTTTTTTTTTAAGAGTTGAGAAGCTGCTCGGTGTCCATCAGAATTTCTACGCGTAAGAATGATGATGTCAAGACTCTCGAATTCATCCCAACTTGACCCCTGTGATGAGCCTGTGTGGCTGGAAATAAGGTGTGGCGTCAGCAGTATCGGATTTCAAAGCACGCGATAAACCCCCGCATACACGCGATAGCGAAACCGCTGGTCAATTAGTAAGAGCCCGAGAGCCGCGACTTGACTTGATCAATGTTGACGGTACAGTCACAGAGACAACCAACCCACCCGGGAGTGTCACCACCTTTGCATTGAAACCATGGCAGCACAGAAAGACTTGGAAAGCCAGCCGCAGCTGTCGGACGAGCGGACCCCGCTCCTGGGGACATCCGCCGTGGCCGAATCGAGCCAGCAGCCGGCGCAGCATCGGGGCGACGATAACGAAGTCAACGAGGGGAACCAGGACCCCGAGCAGGTCCCTCTTATCACGTCTCACGATGGAGAGGAGAAGAAAAGGCGGACGACCAGCTGGTGGTTATGGAGATCGTTCTGGGCTGCTCTCGCTATCTTCGTCCTTGTTGTCTTTATCAAAGGCTGGATTGATGCCAAGGACACCAACGTGAGTCGCGCGGATGGTGCGCTGAGCAACTCATTGACTGATTGCCCGTGACCTGTTAGTTCGATCTCAAAGCAGCTCTCATGAGAGCCCTCGGCGGTGGCTTGAGTGGCGCTGCGGCGATGGTCTTGCAAGTTTTGACACTCATGGTACGTATGCGAGGACGTTTGCTCCCTCTTCAAGTCAAGCTTTTACCGCCATAGTGCTATGAACGATACTAATTATCGAAACCGATAAGCCCATCAGAACCATCATGAACTACCAGTATCGCTTCGGTTCTGGCTTTAGGGAGGCAACACGCACTCTTTACGAAGACGGAGGGTTGCGAAGATACTACCAGGGCATCGGAGCCGCACTTATTCAGGGTATGTGGCGCATGCAGCTCCCCTCATGAGAAGTGCGAATTGTGCTCACACACCGATCAATAGGGCCGGTCTCCCGCTTCGGTGACACTGCCGCTAACGCAGGTATCCTTGCCCTCCTTGAGTCGAACTCATTCTTGAACCAGCTACCTACCCTAATCAAGACCGTATTCGCATCTCTTTGGTGAGTATTGTTCTCCCCCAACCTCCTCTGACAAAGTAAGGAGCCATCGTACTCATCTAACACGACTCTGAAGCGCTGCTGCCTTCCGCATGATCTTGACGCCCATCGACACTCTCAAGACCACCCTGCAGGCCCAAGGTGCCAAAGGTACCGCCATACTGAGGCAGCGCGTCAAGACAAACGGAATCGGAAGCTTGTGGTGGGGAGCCTTTGCGACTGCCGCCGCCACATTCGTCGGCCATTACCCTTGGTTTGGAACCGTAAGTTCAAGAACTCCTCATGTGACAGATGGAAGTTGTTAAGGCTGACGATTATCGACAGTACAACTATCTTTCCGCCAATATCCCCGAACCCGATAAGAGCGACATCTTTGTGTGGCTTCTGCGTCTTGCCTTCATCGGCTTTAGCGCTTCCGTTATTTCTGACTCTGTGTCCAACTCGTTGAGAGTGGTGAAAACCTACAGACAAGTCAACGAGACGCAGATTTCGTATTGTCAGTCAACCCTTCCCTCGATGAACTACCTTAACCCGTCTCCAAATCCCTGTGTTGCTGACCAACTCTTTTCAAAATATGCAGCCCAGGCGGCTAAAATTGTTATACGGAGAGAGGGCGTCCTCGGCTTCCTCGGTCGTGGCCTCAAGACTCGCATCTTGGCCAACGGCCTTCAGGGCGTATTGTTCTCTATCCTCTGGAAGTTGTTCCTCGACCTGTAAGTTTCATGTAAAGTGCTTGGTAACACACTGTTTCTGACTATGAGTAGCTGGGAGAAGAAGACACATTCTTAGTACCGGTCAAATCGAGCCTTTCTTGACTACCGTCAAGTAACGGGGCGGGGGTTTGGGAGTAGCCTAGCTCCCTGTAAGTTCGAGTACTATAGAGCAGCAACTATGCATGCCCTGCCGAGGAAATAGAGACGGGCATGGTAAGTATGGCAAGTGTTTACATATGGAATTATACGGAATGTGGTCTTTGTTTCAGGTTGCTTCGAGCTCTACTCCAAATTGTCGAGTTCCTAGTTCCGTCAAGGGTTTGCACCCACATGTAGAGCCTTGGGGGAGTAGACTCGAAAGGTTTATGTGCATGCCGCTCAAAGTCAAGCATTTTATCCATAATTTATTGGAGATTGAGTCTCCTTTCGTAAGGTACTCGCTGAAGTCTCTCAGTCTGACTGGATGCATATTGGAGGTATCAACCCCTCTCGTTCTCTGTACTACCTAAGGTATGACGTGGAAATTTGCTGTCAAATGGACCGGCCACTTCACATCGCAGAGATAATTAGGCGAGAGACAAGGCACATGTGTGGCTGGCTGTTTCTGGCCCGACGGTTCCGAGAGAGCTGGAATCATAGCCGAAAAATACCGGTGGAATCAGACTGCAAAGGCTGGTGGCGAATGGCCGGCTCTTGGATCCTCAAGATTTCTTCCACTTCTGAACGCCTTCGGAAGCATGTTTCGGCAAACACACTCGCCCGTTTAGTTGGAGAAAATTCAATCCATGTGTGTCTTGTGTCACAGCGAGGAAAGAGTCGAAAGGGATTTCGCCCACTGCCGACGCAAGACTACATGAGTCCATTGCATGGCTTGCTTCCTTGACAAAGATACCCCTGGTACATGGTCCCTGCTTGTCATCTTGAGATACTCAAGAGGGATATGATTCGTAGACTTTGTGAGTCGCCATATCCTTGCTAGGCATTCTATCTGCATGTCATGAAGCGCCATGAGGCTGACCTCTGTGTGACCCAGGCCGGCTTCGATGTGCAGGTAAGGTCCGTGGAGGGAGACATCAGGCAGTGAATTTGGACTTGGAGGGTTAAACCTAAGCCGACCGACTAGAGACTGTGACCGTTCTCTTTGTAGCGCAGTGGTGGTTCCTACATGCAAGCCTCCTGTCACAGACGGTGGACAGATTGAACACGAGTCGAATGCGGTTCAGGTTCTCACGTGGCTAAGCCCTGTTTGATATCAAGACATACATGGCATCTCAGGAATGACCCAAATCACGTCTAACAGACATAGTGCTACTCCACAGAACTAGTACCGAAAAGCCCAGCCTCGTGCTGTAATTATTTCAATTCATTCCAGAAAAGTACTTACGAGCCTAGGCAACACCGACAAGACATGATGGCGGAGATCAACTCCAGTGGCTAGCCGTCTCGGGGAATGCCCAATGCAAAAGCAAGGATCGCGAGAATTGAGACTTCTCGTACGAAGTTGAGAGTGGCTTTGAGACATCGTCTATAATCGAGGATAGAGACAGGCCCATGAACCAACCAATGGTGCAATCCCGCTGTCAAAGTCTCGCCCACGAACGTTGAGGTTCCACTTCTCCGGACTTCCCCAGTTTCCAGTCCGGGCCCGGCCATTCCAATGACCTCGACCCAACCAACCTAGGCTGGCTGATGGGGGTGTATGGCCCCCTTGCAGCCGCCTCCTTCTGCCTCGTCTTGGTAAAGTACCTAACCAACTATGAGCCGCTGCCTGATGCGCGCCCACGCGGGTAGGCTTCCGAAGCTAGTCTGTTCGTCCCATCTCGCGATCTCGTAGGATTCGATGTCATCCGATATGCTTAACGACTGGCACGCGAGCTGGCATCTGACGTATTCGGACTATTTTCCGCACTGCCCAATGGGCAATATGGAAAAAGTGACCCCCACCTGTTCAGACGTAGCTTACGGTAATCGTTGCCCCGCGGGCAAAGGGACGCTATGGCTGCATGTCAGCAGGGCTTTGAGAGTGCCCGTCTGTTTAAGAACACCAATGGCCAATCTCGCATCTCACTGCGTCAACGGTGCAGGTTCGTCTTAAATTCCTCACTGGAATGAGACAATAGGCACATCACATCGGAATGTGGTGCACATAATAAGCCCTTATGATGCATACCCGCGCTCCAGATGGCTCGTTCCCCCCCGCGCGCGGACTAATCTGGTACAAGTTGATTCGATGGAATCAATATCATGCTCTAATCAAGTGGTTCTAGTTATCAAAATATAGATACCGAAATTGATCACAGAGAAACAATGTGGTGATGGAATAGTTGGCCAGACCTTTGACGCACCTCTGCATGGTGTCAAGGAGGCTAGGTGAGAACGGCTGTGGCAAGGCAGGCAGTGCAGGCATCTACTTTATCCCTGCTTGGAAATCCTGCAGGTCTCTCATCGGAATCCGCCTGTCAACGGGGTCTTGAGACATATTCACACCCAACGATTCACCTTAGGGATGACCATGTGCACGTTAATAGGCTGCCATTTTCGCTCACACAGGAATGTCCGATGTGCCTTTCACGGCGTCTATTTGCCAGATCGGACAAGCCAGTGACGAACTTGGCGAAGTTCTCAAGCGAAGACAGCATTTGGCAGTATCCTCGATGGGCGGGAGGAAGCACACCGGCGAGGGATCTTCATCCTATGGGCCCGTGGCTCATTCTGCTTCGGACTTCACGCGTCCAGCTTTGTGTCATGATGGGCCAAAAGCAGACAACCAGCAGATTTCGCTGTCCGTCCAAGGTGTTCCGAGTAGACCTAATGTACACATTGTGTCGTGTAACAATCGCGAAGATGCGGTCTCCGGCTTGATGAACAGCAGAAACACTCCCATTTATTGTCTGCCCGCACTTCAGCTGGGGATCCCGAAAACAACCTGTCCCCTTCTTCGTTCACGAGAAGAGACTTTGGACGGTCTCGAACCGCCTTAAAGCTCTCGGGAGTATGCCAGCCCTACCTGCAGTCGCGGTGATCAACTGGTTCTCGGATAGTATATCTATCTGCAATACCACCCTTTCGCTGTCCACACTTTCTTTCCCTGGCTCTCTAGAACACCCATTGCCACCTTCCTATCCCTTGGCTAGCACATAGAGCCTCATTATGGAGAGCTTTGCCCTGATCCTACTTTACCTTGGCATCCTGGTGGTGCCTGGCTTTCTCTTCTCTTCATTCCGGCGTTTTACAGGATGGTCCACAAAAGCCTTCACGGGTGGCAAGACATCCAAAACTCTTGCAAAGTTCCTTGGTCCCAAGCAATATCCCATCATTGGCCGTGTCCATGATTTGCCCAGGTTTGCCATGTGGCTCAAGCTCAAAGAATGGGCGGACGAGTTTGGGCCAATATACCAAACCAGCATGCTTGGTCAGAAGTTTGTGATTATTTCTGACGAGGGCATGGCTCAAGATCTTCTCATCAAAGATGGCAACAAGTTTGCTGGAAGACCCCAGATCAGGGCGCTTATTGACCACAAATTGGGCCCGGCATACTCTGCATTGATGGACCGCCACGGTGAGTGAAGAATCAAGCCTGATGGATGATAAACGCTGAAGCTCATTTGGTTTCACAGACACTTGGAAGTACCAAAGAAAATGGGTTCATGCGGCTATGGCGGCTGCTCATCAACACCACTTCTATGGACACATCGAGAACGAGGTTAAGCGCTGGCTGGTGACCCTCATTCTTGACCCAGAGAAGTTCCACGGAAACACCCGCGAGCTGACAGGCCGCATCATCAGCCGCCTAGCTTGGGATGATTCAACACAAGGCCGAGCATACGGCGACAGTGCTATTGAAACACTGACAAGGATGTCCATCTCTGGTCCCATCGTCAACACCGTGACACCATTGTGGCACATTGCAGATCTCGTCCGTTACAATCCTTGGCGCAAATATGAAGTCAATCGAGAGAAGAATCAGCGCGCTTGGTGGTTGAAGACGTTCCGGCTGGCCAAGGCAAGATACCTCAGAGGTGACTTGCCGTCGGACACGTGGACCTACCGGTACTTTGACCAGCTGCAGAAGAGTGGAAACGAGACCCTCAAGCAGGACGAAAAGGACGAAGACTTTGCGGCCTGCATGCTTGGCTTCCAGTGCCTTGTTGGTGTGGTCACCATCTCTGGGCCCATGCAGTTCTTCTTGATGTGCATGGCGCTTCATCCCGTGTGGTTGAAGAAGTGCCAAGAGGAGATTGACCGGGTCTGTGGTGACAGAATGCCGAACCGTGATGACTTTGCCGAACTCCCAACCGTCAGAGCTTGCTTGAAAGAAACCCTTCGGTGGAGATCCGGCGTACCTCTCGGTAGGTACTCCTGTGCAGGGGCGACAAATTGGATTTCGGATCTGAATACTGACAACGAATGATTAGGGGTTCCCCATCAATGCGAGCAGGATTCCGAGTTCCAGGGGGTGAAGATTGAAAAAGGCACCATCATCCTTGCCTGCGAATGGTACAGTCCCCCACGCCGATCTTTTACCAAGCTTTCGCTGACGACTTCAGGAATATCAACCGTGTCCCAGAAAAGTACCCTGACCCAGAACACTACCGCCCGGATCGCTACTTGGATCCCAGCTTCCCCACGTATCAGGAGCCGCTCAGCCGGTACCCGAACTTCCGCGAGGGAATGGGCATGCATACGTTTGGCTGGGGTCGACGGACTTGTATGGGTCAGAACCTGGTAGACGACGAGATGTTTGTCGCCGGAGCAAGCGTATGCTGGGCTTTCGACATGAGCCTCAAGAAATGCCCCGCCACCGGCGAGGATGTGACATTTGACACGCAGGCCACGAATTCCAACGTGATTCTAGAGCCTTTGCCATTCCCCATGCAGTTCAAGGTCAGAAGTCCTGAAAGAGCTAAGGATGTCTTCGAGGGGTACAATGCCGTCAGAGATACCTTGAAAGTCTGATGTGGTCTTAGTGTATGAATGCAGTCTGGAAGATTTCATTTCGTCAACCTTTTGTAGCTAGGCAATGGGACGAATCCTCGATCAACATGTTTCCCTACCAAGATTGCATTATACAGGTGGAATTTGAGGCCACATCATTTGTTTGTCACGAATGCAACGCATCCATTTCATGTTGGTATATTGGCGCTACTTCTTACGGTACACGTCTCCAGTCCTCACAATCTCAAAGTCTGCATTCTTGCCACGGCCCTCTTTCTCATACTGCCTGACCAGAGGAAGCACCTCCCGTCCAAACTGCTCAATCTCCTCATCATAGTGCAAAAAGGCCGTTAGCACCAGGTTCACGCCCAAACTCTTCAACAAGACAAGCCGCTCAGCGACCTGCTCCTTGGTCCCGATCAGCTTGGTCTTGAAGCCGTCGTTGTACTGCACCAAGTCATCAAACTTGCTGTCGGCCCACATGCCCGTCTTGTTGGATGTGCTGGCGCCGGCCTGTTGCACCGAGGCCCGGAACGCTTCGACGGCCTCCTTGTCCGCCTTGCCCTGGATCTCCTGCAACACGCGAACGGCCTCCTCCTCCGTCTCGCGGACAATGACGAAGCCGTTGACTGCGAAGCGCACTTGGTCTTCGCGGCCGACCTTTGCCGCGCGGGCCTTGACGTCTGCAATCTGGTTGCGGAAACCGTCGAGGTCATTGCCGTTCATGAAGTACCAGTCGCTGACCTCGGCGCCGTTGTTCCTGGCATCGTCGCTGTTGCCGCCCTGGAAAATCTCGGGATGGGGCTTCTGGAGCGGCTTGGGGTTGAGCACGTAGTTTCTGTAGCGGTAAAAGTCGCCGCCAAAGGTGAAGCCCGTATCTTCGGGCGCGGTCCAGATGCCCTTGAGACAGCGGATGAACTCGTTGCTACGGCGGTATCGCTCGGCGTGCTCCAGCCACCACTCGCCGATGGCCGTGAACTCGCCCTTGAACCAGCCGCTTACGATGTTCACGGCGATGCGACCATTGCTGTAGTGGTCGATGCTGGCGATCTGCTTCGCCACCGTCGTGGGGTTCCAGGGTCCAGGAAGGATGGCAGCAATGATCTTGACTGTATCTGTTGCTTGGAGAATTGCTTGCGAGAAGGAAACCGACTCATGTTGATTTGCGGCACCGTATCCGGATGTGAAGCGGATTTGTGTCAGGCCGTATTCGATACCAGCTTGCTCCGCCGCCTTGGCATACTTGACGTTGCTAGCCAAATCCCAGTTTGTCCTCTGGGGGATCTTGCTGATGATTAGGCCGCCTGACACGTTTGGTACCCAGTAACTATGAAATCAGTCATTTCTCCGAACGATTTGAGAAAGGGATACGTACGCGAAAAGCAACCTCTCCGGGTCGGTGTTAAGGGGGTGTGGTTGCGCAGTCATTATCACTGAGGCTGAATGTGAATCGCAGGATGGTTAGTTGGTCTGAATAGTCTGTCTCAATTTCGAAAAGAGATGTGTGAAGGCATGCGTTTCAGACCTATAATGGCGCAGTTGGAGCCCAGCGTTAATAATGATCAAGGAGGCGACAAAGATGGATGAGAGGAAAAGGAGAGCTTCTTGATGGCTGCTATCAAGGGTGGTAACATGACATCATTGGCAGGAGAGCAAATGAAATAGGTTGTATATTAAACCATGAACTTGCATCATCTAGGATATAGCTCCTTGCTTGCTGTCGCGTCCTGCGCGATATTTCGCGATCGGCGCCGCGGAGAAGGTTCTGTTGATTTGACAACATCAAAGAAGCTATGCCTAGCTCTGACATGATTTCAAAATACCACATCACGACGCATACCGAAATTCAGATTGATGCAGTCGGGGCCAATCACGGCACTTGATGAACCAAGCGGTGCTGAGGGGAAGGGTTGTGTGCTAAGTCGCTCAACCGAACTTTCCATGTGAGGCAATTGCACCATTATTAACCCAATGACGAGATCATCAGATGCCAGTTGACCGGGGGTTTCCCCACGTTCTCATAACTCCATCCACCCCAATATGGCGCGATGTGGGATTGCACCCAGATCTGCGAACTTTAATCTGGATCTATTGATTGAGACGACTCTGAGCTCCGAGTTCTCGTTGAGATGGACAAGGATGGAGCAAATATCGGAAAGCTAGTCGAGACTCCGGGGCCGTGTCATCGGGTTGGCGGCCAAGTTCTCTTTTGTTTATCTGCTGAAGGATCCGAGAGAAAGATATACTGTTGCAGTTTTGCGTTGTAGCCCTGTATTCCAGCTCTTGCGCTGTCATTAGTCTCTCTTATCCAGATTTTCATTTTCCCATCGAATCGTATATTTGAATCACAATGTCAATCTCCTCTTCCGCCCCAAACGGGGTCAGCGAGAATGGGATAGAGTCTATGAAGCCGGGGCCGACGTTTGAGAGGTTTGAGACGGTTCAGACTCGTGGTCCTCGATTTACTGCACCAAGACCCCTTCCTACAGCGGCAGTGAGTATCATGATTCTCTAATCATCCGCGACGAAACTGTCTTAATTCGTATACGATTACTGATCAAAATGTCTGTAGACCTCGCTCCCTATCGGAGCCTTCGCGACAACATTGACAACGCTTTCCCTCAGCTTGATGGAGTGGCGGGGAGTGACCACAACCAACGTCTATATCGCAAACTTCTTCTTCCTGGCTGCCTTCGGCCTAGTGATCTCTGCGCAGTGGGAGCTTACTGGCGGAAATGGCTTTGGATACAGCGTCTTCAGTGCTTTTGGTAAGCGTGCTGCCATGGAATGGCTGAAGCCATCTGCCATGACTAACATCAAATGCATAGGCCTCTTCTACGCAGGTTACGGTGCCATCTTGACTCCGTCCTTTGGGGTTGCGGCAGCGTACGGTAATGATACTCGGCAGTTGAACAATGCTCTGGGATTCTTCATGATCAGTAAGTTATATCGTTGGTTGTTGTGTAAGCTGATGAAGACTAATGCGATGGGTTTCAATCAGTTTGGAGCGTTTTCGTCTTAGCCTACCTAGTCGCCACCATCCCGACAAACGTTGTTTATATCCTCATCTTTATCTTCGTCGAGCTGTGCTTTGTACTGGTTGCTGCTAGCTACTTTGCCGCTGCGGATGGTCATCACACTGCCTCGATTGGGTTGAAGAAGAGTGGCGGCGTTTTCGCCTTTCTTGCTGGACTGGTTGGATGGCGAGTATTTCAAAGGCCTCAACAATGGCTGAACTTGGCTAACATAGCTCAGGTACTTGACTTTCCATCTCTTGCTGAAGGATTCTCTGATAGAGTTGCCGTTGGGAGATACATCCCAGTATTTCCCCAAGACCCGCAAGAAGACCGAGTAGCATTATTGTAGAGAAATTATGCGTTTTATATACATCGGAATATGGAATTGTCAGGTGTATTCAGCATGACTACATTGAAGGCAGGGTCAGAAGGGGAGTCGTTGCGACTGGACTGTGGAAGATCGCAAAATATGTATAATTAGTAGCAAGATAACATGCGAACTTGCTGATAATCGTAAAATTCCTGAATCTCCATGAAGTAGGTACTTTCCGTCTTATTCCCAAATGTCAAAGTATCAGACTTCGTTCGGAGCCAACGACTTGAAAGGGCGAAAAGAGTAGGCAGAGTGGGAATACACCAGACTTTTTGCCCCCCCGTGTTCTACGGCCATTTGGATTCGTGTCACTAGCGATTCCCATAGGTGGGCGGAGTTCATAGTTTCCGAAACTCAATTGAATGAAGCACTTATAAAATGAACCTTGAATGGTGGGGTGTGAAGGTATGCCTCGATTGCTGAAGAATAGCGTGTATGGTGCCATCCTCGTGTTACCCCTCCAGGCCTCCTCATAGGCTCATATAACTCATCCAGAGGTGCTGCCGTCATGCTGATACTTTCAACATCAAACAGAATATCTGCACAATCACGAAAAGTATCTATGGAGAAGAGTGCACATGGATATCTTCAGTCGAGCTTGTAATGTGACTCTGTCCGTGCATGCCGCGTTATCTATCGGCATGGGGTTGGGGGCCAGATTCGGAGGGGTAAAGTTACCTGCATCCGCGTATTCCCAGTGGTTGCGATTGCGACATATCGCAACATAGCTGTGGACCGTCGCGTCACTGCTGAAGGTGGTCCGACATGCGCGTATTGGCGAGCCGTTCGATTACTGAGGCGGTACGGCAGGGTGATGTTGGGCGTATTTAGCCATTAGTTTGCGCATTCTGGCACCGCGGAGCAACTGGAAAAGAGTTCCAATTTGGGGTCTTCATTACGTTGTGGTGATCGCAGCTTTGTCCTTCAAACAACCTGATTTTGGAACCTTTTCCATTTGAGATCTTTTAGTAATTTTCATCACAGAGGAAGCAAGTTCTCGAGGAGTACTCACTGTATAGCCTTGATTCAAAACTCGTACAAAATGAGCAGCAACGCCCATACGGTTCCCGCAACGGACCCCAAAGTCTACGACGAGTACCAGCAGAAGTGGTCAGCACTTCCAACAGACGAAGCCGCATGGCTTCAGAGAGCTCGAGACGTTGCAAGTGTGCTAGCCGTGGACGCTGCGCAACGTGAGAGGGAGAACAAGTCACCTCGAGCTGAAATTGCGCTGCTGAAGCATTCGGGCCTCCTCAAGGTCCTGGGATGGAAGAAATATGGCGGCGGTGAACAGCCGTGGAGCGTCGGCTACAAGGTGATTCGCGAGGTTGCCAAGGGAGATGGGTGAGTTCGACCCAAGTGACAAAATGAGAATTGTTATAATTGACTGGCTCAGATCAATTGGTATGCTTCTCGGGTATCACTTGCTCTGGTCAACGACAGCCAATGTCATCGGCAGCTCCGAGCAAGCAGACCGGACTCAGGATCTCATCATCTCCAACAACTACTTCGTCGGTGGTGCGGTGAATCCCCGCGACAGCGATCACAAGATCACGTCAGACGGTGATAATGTTGTATTCAACGGCTTCAAGAACTTCAACACCGGCGGAGTCATCTCCGACTTGACTGTCCTCGAGGGTGTTCTTGAAGGCACCGAAGACCACTTGTATGCCTTGGTGAAGACTAATCAACCGGGCATCATCTTTTCTCACAACTGGGATAACGTTGGCCTGCGTTTGAGCGAGTCGGGAAGCGTCAAGATTGAGAACGTTACTGCGCCCTGGTCCGATGCACTAGGATGGAATGTGACGGAGAAGAAGCCGGACCCCTCCATCCTCAAGATTCCTTTTGCCAGTCTGCTTCTCCCTACGTAGGATAACCATACACATTGTAAAAACTACAGGCTTCAAGCTTACATTGTAAAACAGGATTCAACTTGTTTTCAGCAACTTCTACATCGGCATTGCCTGGGGTGCACTGGACTTTGCGTCGGCCTACACAAGGAAGAACACCCGCGCTTGGCCCTTCGGTGGCGATGTAAGTGCTGCAACAAGACTACTTGTTCTGTTTGACTAGACTGCTAATACTGGGTTGTAGGACAAGGAAAAAGCCGAGGATGAGTTTTACATCTTGTCCACGTACGGCAACTTCCTAGCTCATCTTCGTGCAGCCGACGCACTCGCCGACAAGGCAGGTCTCGAGATTGACGCATTGTACAAGTACTCGGGAGATCCAGCCACCAGGGCAAAGGTCACTGCAAAGGCTCGAGGAGAGGCAGCGGAGTGGGTTGCCAGCGTCAAGATTACGGCGACTGATACGGGACTGCGGGTAACCTCTGGTATCTTTGAGGTGACTGGCGCCAAGGCTACCGGAACCAAGGTCGGCCTCGACAGGTTTTGGAGGGATATCAGAACACACAGCCTGCATGATCCAGTGGCTTACAAGAACCGTGAGCTTGGGAGGTATCAACTGCTGGGCGAGATTCCCGAACCCACGTGGTACACGTAGAATCGCACGAAAGCAGAAGAACTTGAATGAAGAGATTAGTGTCCAAGGTTCTATTCAAAGTAGTGTTTTCTCGTTTATTAGTACGCTTGCTATAACATGTCTCAAATTTGACGGCTAATTCTCGAGCCACGAGACGAGCTTGGGATGGGCCAACGACGAACCCCTTCTCAATCCCTACAGACAACTCAGTAGACGTATCTGCATCCCATTCTCACATAGGATGTCAGGTTTCCGGGCTGGTCTTCTGCAGAAACACGCACATGCGTGACCACCTTTGCGTCTCGATTTTTGTTCGCCATCACGCAGCCGACCACATAGACAGCCATGCAGGCAATCGCTACAACTTCAAAGTCCATTATTGCGCTGTAGCCTCTACCACGAAGTTAGCCGAGCATTAGGCAAAGAAGACTGTGCCATTAATAGTCAATTTTTTCGCTTGGCCTGACAAACTCGTTATTGAGAGGGACAGAGCTGCAAGATTTCTCACCAGCCTTGGTACCATTCATCAGACTGGAAGGTTTGGAAGGGTTCAACGGACCAGTTGCTCATGGTACCCAGAAGAAATGGTGCCGGAAGAAGACCGACATCAACCTCGACTGCCGAATGCCAAGTTGCCAACATGTCATTTCTTGGTGGGCCAAGGCCATTAGATCCCGAGTCTAGGATGAATCGGTGGTCCTGTCATCAGGCAAGCTAGCGGGATATCCCACTTTGACGGTTTGTTTCAACGGGACGGTAGGATGGCATCGACGAATAGACGCCTATGTCACCCTTGATATACTCTGTGGCTCTAGGACTCTTGAACGGTCCACCATCACCTCGTCACACTGGTTCTGGTCAAAGGCGTCGGCTAGAGTTATAATGTCTCTAGAAGCAGCGATCGGAGGGACTGTTGCGCACTCACCCGAGTATTGTGGTCAACCCCTTGCTGACACATATTGGCACCTACTATAATGCAGGGAAAGTTCAAGAGAAGAGCATCAAATCGTAGCAAACGGAATTTTCATTAATCTTTTGATCACGCGAGAGAAGATTAAACTTCTGGTTAAAAAAAAAATGCTCGCAAAACTTTCTGGATATACCAACTATTCGAATACCTTTGACCCAACATTGACTCACAGAGGACATGGACTTAAGAGAACCAGCCTTTTTCCTAACCTCAAATAATGACATGAGAGATCCGGGATTTGAACGCCAAAGTCAGAAAACGCCTAGACAAACCCTTGTGGGCTCTTACCGGCAAAGCCACTAACAAACCTCTCCTACCCAGAACGAAACCCCACCAGCTAATTTCTTTATTTCAGACCGGGAGGATAAAGGGATTGGCCGGGAGGCAGCCCCATGTCCCTCCATCCGACATGCTCGTCTCTGTAATGCTATAAACGCGGTTAGCTACCGTTCCTTCAAAATGACTGGACATCCAGGAGCTACGGAAAACCACTTACCGTGGTAAGGCGACCCTTTGTCGTATATCCCTTGTTGCATCCTAATGCGCATCGCCACACACGACGTTCCTCGAGGCTCAGGACACGGCCATTCAGCACCTTTCCGCCGGCAGGGGGTCTGGCCTTCTTACCTCCTTGACCGTTGCGAGGCCTGTAACTGGGCTCGGAACCCGAGCTTGTTTTAGACTCTCGTGAGGAGGTGGAGCCAGAGGTAGTAGACGAGCCGCCCTCGGGGTTATGATCGTTCTCGGGTCGGCTAGAGTCATCCGAATCCGAATCCTCTTCCAACTCTGAATTCTGGGCGCCTTCTGGTTGGTCAATTTGCATGCGTTCATCTTCCAACTCTCTCTCCGCCTGCTGCTGACAGAGGTCGGCGGTGATATCCCCGAGAGCACTCAACGTGGCTATTTGAACGTCATTCCAATCATACACTTCGGGGCGGTGGTAGACCTGGATCAGCAGTTCGCGAATGTGTCTTTCGAGCTGGAAAGGCTCGGAGGACATCGTTGCGGTTGCTACTGCCTAGATTTCGAGTTTGTGACTATTGTGTGTCAGCGGTAATAGGGGCTGTGGCCTGTACGGAACCTTGAAAGTTGTGTTGTTGTTGACGAGATGCTGCGTCACGTTGATGATGATGGTTGTTTGTGGCCATGAAAAGTGAGAATCACCGCCTGGCAGATCGTTTTATGTATTCTCTCGATCTTGATCACAGTGAGTTTAAAGTCATTTGGCAAAGTTGAAGTCAAAGCTGACACTCCAAAGAACAATGGCAACGAACTTACATGGGCTCGTCACTGATTATGACCAAAGACAAGAGGCGAGTCCTCTAGTCAACAAACAAGGGCGAGTCTTCTATGAAAGAAAACAGTTCAGACACCTGAGCAATGGCCTTGAGGACTCTTTGAAACTGATCAGCGTACATGACTAACAAAAGCCAGCGCAGCATCAGCCAGAATTTCCCGTCTGTGACAGAGCATCTCCTCGATTCTTAACAACCTGCCATCCTTTTCATCTGCTACACTTTCTTGGTCAGATTCCTACCAAACATACCCGAAATGAATATTATTTCGGCTTATCAAGTCCCCCTTAGTCCGTATCCGAATGCACCCGCTCATCGCTGCTCCCCGCCACATCCAAATGGCCAAGCCTGTTTGAGTTGGGCTGTGCTTACATCACTTTCTCTTCGCCATGCCTCTTGGCTTCGGAGATTTCAGTGGTCGGTCTGATTGGTTGAATCAACAAAAGTTCAGATTGGTGTTGGTACCTGTGGGTTGCATGCGACTAGAGTCCCTCACTCAAGCGAAAAAATTGCAGTGTAGAATAGTGTAGTTCAGCATGAATAGCTAGAGTTCGTCTTCGTATTTACTGTTGTTCCCATGGGTCATCGCCCCAATCATCCCCGGAATAGTCTACGGCGGATTTCTTCGCCCACTTATTCTGAACAACAGGGCCTTCATTTACAGATAATGCGCTGACAGTCGTCTTGGTCTGAGACTTCGAAAACAAGGGTGGGACAACCAGCTCGCTGTCCCGAAACGCATCCTTGCCATCGAGAGGGCGCCCTTCGGAGGGCGGCTGGGGCAGATGTGCGATATGACCAGCACTTTGAGGCACGCGTTGTTCCCTGATTGACTGAACAGCAGCATGCCTCTCGACTGTCACCAGCTGCGGTCTCATGACCGGTTGTGCTTGAGCTTCAGATACATCCATGGTTGAAACGGAAGCAGCGTCTGATAAATTATCTCCCGCCTGGTCCATTGGTGACCCTGTATGCGAGACCAAGCAACCAGGCGGCACACTGGCTGAATGTTGTTGGGCCAGTTCTCCGGTACCATATTGCTGCTGGGCTGTGAAAGCAGGGCGAGGCAGTGGTCCAGTAGGTATGGACGTATTGCCCTGAGCCAAGGGATTCTGGCTGATTGATGCTTGCTGGACACCACCAGTGTTTGTAGCAATGGCCTGATTATCCAAAGGTATTGGCTTGCTTGACGGGACAAGTGGCCTGTATTGGATCTCGGGGGCTGCATTCGCTGCCCCAGATGTAACTGTCATCGCTTGCCAGTCTGATCTTTGATCTGCTGATACGCCAGGAGTCATTCGATCTCCTGACACTCCTGGCATGAAACCTTGTGGTGGAGGTGCGGCTTGCAACGACTGTTGAACTCTTTGAATAATCTGTTGTGGCGGCGGCGCTTTCTGAAGAACCGAGGGCTTGTTGGAGGCTCCTTTCTTGAACTTGGAAAGCCAGCCCCCCTTGTCCCTTTCTTTTATTGGATGTTGCATGATCGGCGGAGTTGATTCAGGGCGTATTGCATTTGACTGAGGTAGACCTGTAGTATTGACAGACTGGTGTGAAAGAGGATTTGCCAACACTGGGGAGTATGCTGGATGAGGGGCGCAGGATAATTGTGAGCTCGATTCTGAAGGATACTCTCGGACATCTGGGTGATTTTGGCCTCTGCAAGTAGTAGAAGCCGCGGCCATCACATTTTCGATCTCATTGTGCTCGTGAATAGGGTGAAGTAGATGACCGGGAGATCTTATAGGCGTGGAAGGGCTCATTGGACCAAGAGCTTGTTGCGAAGGAAGAGTCACTGTAGGACGTGACGGGAGATTTGCCAACTTCACGGTCTGACGATTTTCCTCAGTTGGGTACGGTAGATTTGATACAGATGAGGGATTGGATCGTGAAGGCAAGCCCTGTCCTGATTGTATGCCCATAGGATGTACCGAATGTGGCCTCGAAATGCCATGGGCAGCCTCAGCAGCACTAGTCCCGCTCGTCTCCCAATGAACCGAGTCGAAGGGAGGCCGCACTTGGCCTTCATTATGGTCGGACAACTCGTACCTTTCCGGCTGTGGTTGAGACTCTTGCATCGTCACTTGGCCCGCCATTTTACTAGGTGGTAGAGAATGGCGGCGATTCGACGATGGAGGATGAACTCCGCCAGAGGTCTGCGACTCCACGACGAGATCTGAATGGAATTTGGCCACCGATGACGACACTGGGAGTTTTCCTGGTCGAGCTGGAGGTACCTGGCTCTCTGTGACTCTATAAGCTTGCCGGGCACTGTCCTGTGGCATCACTGCATGAGAGGAACCGGAAGTTGATGCTGGCCTTGAGCCTACAGCACCGAATCCAGCACCTGACTGTGATGTGTATGAATTTGAGTTCGTCCCACGGAAGAAGCCGGAAGAGGGGCGTCTTCCGTCGCTCTCCAGTGGTGACGGGGTTTGGAGGGGTACGGATGACTGGCTGCCTGTTGGAGGCCCAAGGGACGAGACTTCACTTGAAGCGTACGACGTTTGCCTAGGTCGTTCCCCATCCGGTATTGACCTTTGCGTGGAGTGCGGAGGGAGTTCTACCGACGTCCGTTGTTGAACGCTAGAAACTTGTTGGTGAAAATCACTCTGAGCTCGCGGACGCTGCAAAAAGACGGGTGCAGGTGGGGTGGTTGTTATAGGCAGTCGGTCACCTTCCCTTGCCATTTGATATTGGTCTTGCGATGACTGAAAAGGTGTCGTTGCGGATCGTTGGACGTCAGGGCCATAGCGATCCAAAGACGACTGTGGAACCGTGGTGGGTTTTTGAGATGTTGGGGACTGGACAGGATACGAAGATTGGGGTTTCTGTTGACTGGCGGGTTCTGGTTGAAAAGCGGCGTAATGTATGTCCTTCCCTCTCCCTTTGTCGGAAGAAGACTGAGTCGCACGTTGTGCTGAGGGATGAGGGGCCCAGGAAGATTGCCCAGTAAAGCTCGAACTCTCTTCAGATGCTGAGTGCGGAGGTGAGTGCTCCTGAGCTCGGTTTTGAGGCTGCCCTCTTGCCGGCTTTAGCACCGACGGAAAATGTTGCAGAGGTCCCGGCGAGCTGGAGCCCGAAGTTTTGCTAACTGCGTTAGGAGCCCATCCGCCACTGGCAAGAGGACTTGGACTCTCAGGCGACTCTACAGGAACTTTGGGCGGTAGCTGAGGAGGCTTGAGAATAGACGGCATACTTGTTTGATCAAATTTGGATCGTGGTCCCATCATCAACGACCCATCCCTTGCCAGCGAGTTTCGATGCTCTCGGCGCTTGTAGTCAGTCGTGCTTGACTGCTCCGAAGATATGTTACTGGCTGCCCCAGGCACATAGGGTTGGTACTGAGTCTGCTTGCCAGCCGACTTCGAAGGTTTTCTTTTGATGTTGAAGAGACCACTTCCGCTAGTGTTTGACGAGGGGCTTTGCGTTGGCTGCGGCGCCGGCTGAGACACCACCTCTGGCAGAGAGTGGTCAGGGGTCGAGATCCCAGCAGCCGTTTCGGGTCGAGGTCGAGGTCCCTGGGATAGCTGAGATTTTCGAGAAGGTGACGAATTCTGAGGCCTAGATCCAGTCCCAAAGGTAGCGCCATAAAGCGCTTCGTCGCTCATATCCGTCCGGTGCAGCAGGTCGTGAGCAGACAGGGCTGGCGGCGGCCTTGCTTCCGCCGGACTTGTCCGCTCTGGTAATTCGGCAATGCCCAGGTCGGCAAAGTTCGTTTCGATAGGCGCCAATACGGCGGTGTCGGCCATCTCTACCGGATCTGGATGGGTCTCGATGTGAGCCGGCGCTGTGTGCTCCGTTGCCATCTCGGCCATGATTCCCACCGGGTCCCACGGCGGTCGCTGGAAGTTCGCTGAGGATCCTTGCCGGGGCTTTTCAACTGAGTCGAGGAGAGGAACACCAGGAGAAGTCGGTACGTCCTGATTGGGGTCGGGACCGCCAATTGGGTTGATACTGAAAGGCTGTTCCGCGGGGACCATCTCTGCCGGTACCTCTGATCCACCTTCAGCACCTCGCACAGGAACACTGTTGACGATGGAGGGAGTATTGTTCTCGCTTTGTAAAGGTGATACCCCCGACTTCACACTGGCAACATCGAGCATTGTGTGCCCCTTTTTATTGCTGCCTCCGCCGCCTTCACCAATGTCCGCCTTGCCCAATACCTCCTCTCGCTCGTCCTCGCCGGCTTCCGGACTGATATCGTCATAGGCACCCGGACCGAGATACATGAAGTTCTCGGGCTGGAAGAAGAAGCCGTCGCTGTCGTCATCGTCATTGACCATAGGCCCTCCGAAACCACTTCGACTCATACCAAACTCGGTCATGGGTCCGCCGGTAGCGCGCATCTTGAATGCAGGATCAGCATCGGCCGTGGTTCGTCTTTTGAGCTGTTGCTGGCTCTCAAGTTTCTCTTCGGGGGCAAGCTCGGGCGCTGGTGAAAAGCAGTCGACGAAATCTGGGAACTCGTCGCCCTCTTTCGGGAAGTGGAATTGGACGTGGCCGTTGGGCTTGTAGCGGTAGAACCAACGGGAGCCATCATAGTCCCATTCCCAGCCAGGGGGAAGGCCCGCCATGATGTCGAGGCGATAAACGTTCTCGGATCGGGGAGAGGTGAAGTCGTAAAGCCTTGATTTTTTGGGTCGAATCCCCGGCAAAGGATTCCAGGCAGGGTCGCAGGCTGTTTGCCAGAGCTAGCCAGCAAACCCGTTGGGAGATGTCCGATGGGAGAAGTCCGATGTTCGGAGTCTTTGACACTGGCCCTACCGCGCGAATATCGTTGTCGTCCGAATATCAGAATGACGATTCGACGATCGGGTTGTCAGATAGATTGACGAAGGGTCATCGCCGCGTCAAGGTTGCTCCCCATGGCAACACGGCATCGTCGCGCAGAGAGAGAAAGGGTGGGAGGGGAGCGAACGTGGCGCAAGGCGTAGTTTTCCTGCGACATGGCTTTGATAATAGCATTGCACCTGAGCAAGGTAAACGGAGGTAATGTACGAATAGGCGGTCCAGTCCAACAGCCGGCTAGACTGGATTGAGCTGCAGTGCGGCTGAGCTGCATGGGCGTGGGCGTTGTCTCTGTCTCTGATCGAGGTGAGCGCGATGAAAGAGGAATGGAGCGGAATGGAGCGGGGGAGCCACAACTCCATGCAACGAACTATTTGCTCCCTGGTGGGCAGAGGACCAGAGGTGCAGGTCGGTCCACGCTCGATGCGGCTTGGCTTTATTTTTAGGGGTCTTTGGGGGTCCCTGGGGGTCTTGGGTAGCACCCCCGGACCGCTTCAGTGGAGTCTGTGCGGTGCTGATGGGTGATCCCCGGCAACCCGATGCGTTTATTGGTCGTAAGCGTTTGCAGACTGGGCATCTTGCTTGACCTCTGCGCCTTGGGTTATAAATTTCCATACTTACACTTCTGCTTCATGAGACGAACTTTGTTTGATATTGTTAATGTGTTGGCAGGACTACAGTTCAGATGTCTTCTTTTCCCATCCTTCCAGTACTATCCTCTGCCCAGGTCCCCTGAACAGACGGCCACCTCCCTCGATGGGTTAACGACAGCATCAAAGGAGGATCTTCTAGTCGCCAAGGTTCATCCCTGTTGAGACTCCAACCGTAAATGCCATCAACTGGTCCGCCCATCATGAGTAGAGGGAAGTCCCGGCATCCCATGTGTCACGGAAGCTTTGAGGAACTTTCTGGTAGTGCAGGGATGTGCCGTTTCCAGTTTCAATACCAAGGGTTCATCCTGAGTGTCATCTCGTGCATGGCCGGAATAGGAAACCGAATCACTCGAAGAAAGTGCTCAGACGATGAAGCGTGATGACCAATATCCATGCTTCCGAGTAGCCACGGATGGAAGGGACAGTGCTCGGCAAGCTGCTCGTCGTCACGATCACGCACCCATGGCCTGCCCTTTCTGGTAGCACGTCTGGCAACGTCACCGTGGCTGCCCGGGCCCCATGTGAAGCATTACTATAGCGGCCCTTCATCTGTTGCGGCAGGAGGAAATCGAGGACAATGGTAGCATTTCTCCCTGAAGGAAGGATAGCCTCCATCTTCCCCTCTGCCCCCCTTCCTGCTCTTATGCATCATAACGTAAAGGAACTTGCCACTCCATCACAACTTGTTGACTTACACATCCCGTTTCTACCTCCCCGTCATCCTCAATTGTGGCAGGAACCAATAAAGCTCAAACATCGACATGTGGCAAGAAATGGTTTCACACCATCGTGTCTTCTTTCCGTCTTCAGAGAGAGCTGCTCACTTCGCCTGCTTCTGCCACTCTTACCATACCCTCCCATCGGCGGCGTCCATCTCCGTCGGATCTCTTCAGACTCTTCTTCAAGACCTCAAAAACACCACAAATCTTGGACCGCCACCTCATCACCTTGAAATTTCAACCCTCGTTTTTTTTGGTTCTGTCCTTTGGCCCGTTTTTACCTTGGCTCTACCCTTTCAGCAGAATGACCTTCTCTCGCGCGCTCAAGGCCCTTACGGCCATGTCTTCCCTGAATTCTCTCAAGCTGCACCATCTCGCCCACACCAACGTTGACCAGAACCTGGTTCTGGCTGACTGCGGTATCGGTGCCAACCCCGAGAACCTAACCTGGTCCACCTCTCGCCAAATGAATTGGTACAAAGGCACCATCTGGTCGACCCCGGCCGAGACTGACCCCGCCCCTCCTGATATGGTTATCGAGATGCCCTACAATGACGGCAAATACCCCTGGAACTATGAGGGTGCCTCTGCCACCTTTCCCAACGGTGATACCTGGTCTGCGTGGATCGAAGACGGCACCCCAGAACTGTTGCGTGCCGGCAAGGCCATGAGTACCAAGGACGGCGGTACCACTCTCTGGTGCTACACCTACCGCGGACGACCTATCAGTATGAGTGCTTCCGGCAACTCTACCTGCGTTTCAGCTTTCGTCTGCAACCACCTCGAGAATGGTCCGACTCCTTGGGCCAGGATTCCCGGCGTCTTTGTACCCACAGACAACGGTACCGCCTCCACAAATGGTCCCAACAACTCTTCTGCGGACGGCAGAACTCTCAGTGTCAAAGTCGAGGTCAGCCCCCGCCCTGCCATCTGGTACGGCACCATTGGTCATTTCCTGAGCAGTATCCTATTCACAACGGACGGCTTTTGTAATCCTTACCCCTTTTCGAATCTTCTCAACTCGACCGTCACGGCACACTGTCAAGGCACCAACGCTACTCCCCTCAACTTCCTGCCTGTCTTCTTCAATGTCCTCAAGAATCTTGGCACCCTCCCTGGCTCTGATGGCTACTTCGTCTACAACCACGGGCCAGCCCCCTTTGCCAATGATACCTCTGACGACACCCTCACCCTACCTACAACCTTCAACCTCACTGCGCACGATATGGCCACTGGAGAACTCAAGGGCTTCATTGGTTACGAGATGAAGTGGTCGGCACCTGGCATGGGTATCCACTGCAGTGAGTGTAACACCACCAAGTTTGACGACAATTACAACACGGCCATAGCCTCGGCATTTGATGTTCTGTACCCCACATACAACCAAATCGTCATTGAGAGTAATTGTACCTTTGCCACCCTCTGTTGGTAAACGTACATGATCACCATGTGTTGCTTGGAACTCGTGTGTATGACGGTATGTTTTGCTGGTGTATCGATATGGATGGTCTTAACTGTATGGCGTGGAGGGCTGCGGCCTGTACGAGGAATCTTTTTGTCAAAGCCGGAGGTTAATGGAAACCATAATTGATATTGGGAGAAGCAGGTTGTCGGATGAACTCCAGATAACCGACCATCATATCTCTTTCGGCGGCAACTTTCTGATCGGGCTTCAAAGGCCTTATGTATTTGTTACTCCTCAAAAAAAACATCATACCAAATGTTTCATATTCAACAACACTCTTTGTAGGCTCTTTCCAGGTGGTTTCCCGGTCGTCTTCTTCAGGGCCTCCCGAGTAGCAGGGCGGCATATCTCACTCGAAAGTAATTTGGCCCTGCTTTAATATCGTTACCCCATCATTCCCAACGCGTTCGCCCTGTTAATTTAACCCACATTAAACATACTCTGACCAAATATTTTCCTCGTATATGTCCGTGCTCCGCCGACCCGGGCATCCACAAGACGTGCTCCAGGGTCGTGACGGTGCCGCCACGGTCGCCAAAGTAGGGAACGAACGTATCCTAGGACAAAGTCTGGTGCTGCGCGCGTTGGGCAAAATTTGGGCGGACGAGACTTTGGTTCCACCCATTGCGTAGAGCCTGCCGGGGGGGGGGGGGCCTGCCACTCCCTCCAGAGGCGGTCAAAGATTGTGTGGTGGAGGTGGAAGATGGGGTCGAGGGGGAAGCGGGCATGGTCGCACCATCGAAGGGTTTGGAGGGCTCGTCGTGTTTTGGTTCACTTGTTCTAGGTTACTGTGGGCTTTGACAGGGGGAAGAGGAGGAAGTGTTGTCCCAAACTAAGGGCGGTTTTGGATAGGGTGGAGGGATTGGTCTGCTTGCTCGTCCCAGTTGCTGTTTTGAGTGTGAGCTTGTGTTTGATTCAACAGTATGCAGGCTCTTGGGGCGAGTTGACCGGAGGTGATGTGAAGTGCCATTGTAGCCGCATTCGTTGCGGAGGAGGTCCTCGTGAATCTTGGTGTACCACCGATGCTTGGGAGACAAGACGCCATATGCTGATTCGGCCATGTTATTAGCTTTCCGGTTGCCGATGTGGCTATCAATGCCGCTAGGAGTGGCAGCGGCGATGGGAGAAGAATCCTTTCGCCGTGGTTTCGCTTCGCCAGGCACGGTTTCTTTTGCGATTCGTGGCGAGGGTGAGGGGAGTTGGTTTAAAGTTGACTTTCTTCTTGGTAATGTGAGTTGGGTCAGGTGATCTGTTGACCGGTAACGAAAGGAATGCTTTGAACTGGCTACACTGCACCAAAAAGAACGACCCGATTCAAGTCCGTCAGATGAGGAGCCGTGAGCAATCTCGCAAATAACTGTTGACCGCCATCGTCAACTTATCTCGGAGGCTACCTTTCAGTAAGAGAGCCACGACCATGACGATCCATTTCGAGGAAGACTCCCCTACTTCATTATCCAAGCATTCAAGCATCCAAATTCGTACCAAACTCCGTGTCTTGGCCAGTATACGTTGGACGAACCGAGTATGGCCCATGATTAAACTGATGTGGTATTTCTTATTCATATCCATGGATATTGCTAGGAACTCCAAGGAAATCAAGTACAAAAAAGCTTGGCTAACACGCTTCAAACCAATCCATTACCTGGACTGAATGTCTTCTTGAAGTTGCCCTTGTTTACTCGTCCGGGCGTTTGCATCCCCCGAGATTGGGCCACCTCGGCCCCCGCCCCGGATGGACGTCTTGGGAAGAATTGAGTTATTTGGCGAGGGCTCAGGGGTATTCATGAAAATGAAAAAAAAAACTTGCGAAACGGTTTAAGACCAGCAGACCAAGTCTTGTATACTACCCTGCTGTCAACTCCCAACGGCATACCTGATGATATTAATCGCCATCAACTGGATGGAGAATGCAATAGAAACTGGCAGGCTAGTGATCAGGTGATGTTATCAAGCCTGTCGACGATCGCGCTTAATCGAAAAAGAAGATTGGGAAAAAAAAAAAAAAAGGAACGGCACCAAAAACCTTATCCGCAACCTTGGGATTGTTCATTCAAAACAGGGTAAGTCAAGCCGAAGCCCCTGAAATAAAGGTAGGTACCAAGATCCTTGGCACGACCGATCGTGAACGTGGTGCATCTTTTGCCGGGAATGCCGTTGAGCCTGTTGCGGATAACACGGCATCGTAGGCCGGGGGAAGGAGGACCGGGGCCCGGAGGTGTGAACAATATGGTGGGGGAGGGTGGGGCGTTTGGAACGATGTATGAACGTATTCTGCGGGCATGAACGGGGTCATTGAGACGTTGGTTCAAAGTAAATATGACCTGCTCTCTTTTATTTTCCATTCTGGTTTCCTTACCTGCCATCGATTTGGGGTGAAGTCCCAAGTCCCCTCCCCACCTCTACTTGCCGGTCCTCATCGGGACGGACTGCCGCGGCACAAAGTACGCGGAATATCGTTGACGAGGAATAAATTCCAAAAGAGCGAGCATCGGGTGTTCAGAAAAGTTCCTGTACAGTCGAAAAGTAAACATGCAGACTGAGTAACACAGAATGAACAGGACGATGCTACGAATTACGAATCGAGATTTCTATTTGGGTATTGTACCCCGATTTCTATATAAGAAAGCGTTGTTTCGCTTCTGATGCCAATTTCTGAATCAAAAACTCCTTCGACACCTTACGACGGGACGGACACCTGGGCATTCTACCCAGGTCCCTGCGCAAAGGTGATTATGCACACCACTTCCATCTTGTTCGACTCCGAGTTTGTTTCTCTCGCTTCGCTGACTACAAATATTGCATTATGAAAAGACCGCAAGTTGTCCCAAGCCTGGTTGGAATGGGCAACGAAATTTTTGTATGCGAATAGGGGCTTTCTCATCACTTTCGCTTGTTTTCTATCTTAAACAATGTCGCCAGTCTTGGTTCTGCTGGAACTCCGCGGCCGGCCAAAAAAGCGACGACGCTGAGACCCAGACTCGTGGCTCGCTCTCGACGCCGCGGCGCCTGATGTTGCACTGTCCGGCCGTTCGAGATCGGTTCGCTCGCGGATACTATGGAGACGAGCGACGTGCGGTTGGTGGACCTCCCTGCGAGCCTCAAACACGTCCTGGAAGTCGCTCCAGTTGTCGTCAATGAAAGGCGTCATACCAGTGCGTGAATCAGCGCGGGCCCGAGTGGCTACGGCAGTGCTCGCCGCAGTAGGCTGGGTGGTAGAGTGAATGGAGTGAGCGTCGCCGCCAGGCGTCGCAGGCTCGATGCCACTGGGGCCACCATTCTTTGAAGAATCGTATGAAGGAGGAGCGCCGCCTGCCCAGTAGAAGGGAGTATTGCGGGAACCACCAGGTTGCACCTGCCACGGGCCTTGGAGTCCGACAGCGCGAACCTCGGCCATGAGCTGGGCGGCAAATTTGTTGTGTCTTTGCAAACGGAGAAGCTCGTTCTGGAAGTTGGACTTGTGGAAAAAGATCAAGTTCATGGTGAATGATTGAACCTCGTTCAGGGTGCGGACTTCGGTGATGATACGAGGTTGGTAGTCGCGCTTGTGTTCGAGGCAAAAGTTGAGCATGCGAGACTTGAGTTCCTCAATGAGCTCGGGATCGGTGCCGAAACCAAGCTTAAGCTCGATGGGGTCGGCGAGGCCAGCGGAACGACGCTGGTTGAGGATGAACAGGGTGTTGAGGACGCTGTTGGGTGCCTGCACGATGTGTCCCTCCATTTTCTTGAATTCTGTATAAAGCAGAGAAATTTCCGTCACATAGTAGTCGTCGCCAGTTCCCGTGGTACCGGTGTTGCCGTAGACAGTGACACGGTCACCAACATCGAACGGATGTTTAACGAAAACGAAGATGATGGACTGAAGGAACTCCTGAGCACTGGCCTGAAGCAGCCACGCGAGACCGAGGAAGCTAGATCCGGCAGATGCGAGACCGGCGGCGGCAGAGCTCGAGAAAATCGCGATGAAGACGATGACGGCGATGATGACAATGATGACCAGGAAGACCTTGTCGAGCTTCTTGATGACGGAATCGAGATCCTTCAACGAGGCAGCGATAGCCTTGCGCTCGAGGTGAATTTCATTGCAAGTAAGTTCCATCTCTTCCATGGAGATGTCGCCGTTAAGATCCTTATCGAAAATGCTAAAAGCGTGCTCGGCCTCTTCCAAGGTCTTGAAGGCGGCCTGCATGTCTTCGAGGTAGATGGTCTCCTGGCCGTCCTTTGCAAGACTGCGGAAGATGAGGCGAGCGAGAGAGTGGGCGGAACCCGTGTTGCGCAACATCTCGTAGGTAATCTTGCGCGCATGATTGAAAGCGACCTTTCGTCCTACGAAGTCGTTTCCAACGCGAGCCGCAACGCCACCGGCCTTGTTGAAGGCAGTGCGAACATTCTTCCCAACGACACCCATTGGGGTGCGGGCGCCTGATCTGTTGCCGTTCTGAGTCGTGAGCCAAATGGAGTCCTCGCGGTTGATGCGCATCTTGGAGTGCTCGTACAGGTGCACTAGATGGTCGATGTCGCTCTTGTTCGTCTCGATCCGCTGGACATAGGTGCGCTGGTGGAAAGACGTGGCAATCCATTGGATGCAAATCTTCTCAACCCAATTGAGGGCGGCCAGGACCAAGAAAGCAATGATGACTTTCTGGACGATATCGACCCATTTGAGATCAGGCTTCGTGTCTTTATCCGGGTTGAAACCGTCTGGCAGAACGCGGTGGTCGTCGAGGATGGGCGAGTAGGAGCACATAATGGCAAGCATCCACATGAAAAGGGCAGTATGCAGCTCGAGCCCCTGGCCGATATCCTTCCACTTCTTGTGATTCGAAGAGCCCATGACGATAGCAATACCGCCAAAGATGAGAGGCATGAAGCTCGTAATCATGCGCGTAGCCCATAATGAGCACCAGACAACCTCGAGCCAGATTCCGAACCAGGTGAGATAAACGCCGTAGGCACCGCCGACGGTGGCGCTCTTGGCATCAACGGCAAAGTGGCCGATGAGCACGGGGATGAGAAGGAGCGCGGCGCCGGGAATCATGTAGACAGAGTATCGGATGACACGAGGGAACTTTCTCAGCCACTTCCACATTGCAAAAGCAAAGGCACCGGCCTTCTTCTCGGGTGGCGGCTTGGCGGCATCGGCAGGGTTGGGCCCGTTGGTAGCAAAGACGTCCTCGGGCTCCATCTCGCGGGTCCTACCCTGGCGAGAACGCTGCTGAGATATCTCATGCTCTTGATTGGAAACCAGGCGCTCGGCGCGCAACAGCTCTAGGTCGTCGTTCAGGCGCGATGCTTGTTCCCGCGAGTCTTGCGGTGACATTGGTCCGCCGTGCGTTTCTTGGGGGATATGAAGATGGTTGTCGGTATTTAACCTTGTCAGCTTTTCTGGGTGAGTTGGTTGAGAGCTGGGATCGGTTGCTGTCTGCAGACTGTCGTCTGTGTGCTGCGAGTGTTTCTCATTTTCGTCCGAGTTGGCGCGGTCGCGGTTATTCGTCGGCGTCGTCATGGTGAGCGCGAAGAAAGGGCCACAAGGGGCCGTCGGTCGAGATGTGCGAGAATACGGGATGTAAGTGGACGAGTGAGATGCAATGTGCCCGCGGAATATATTGTGGTCGCTTCAATTCCAGAGGGAAAGAAATATTCTCCCCTTTACATTGGTAGGATGGCGAATAGGGCCGATATATGCCGTCAGAGGCAAAAGAATGCCAGCAAGGTGATGAAAAAGCGCGCTTGGCCTTCGCGGTCGGGCGTTTTCGCTGTATTTCTCGGTGAGGGAGGATTGCCGCCGATCGGTGATAAAGAGCGCGAGTAATCGGCGGTGTACACAGAATGTCCCAGAGGAATTGTCTACCTTGGGACCACCGGCGAGGACTGCGAAGGGGATGGGAATGAGGGAGGACGACGGTAGACTCTCCAGCCAAGAAGAATCAAGTCGATATTCGGTTCTTTCCTATTTCCCCGTGGGTGAAATCTACCTTTGGGGCAGGCAAAGCTGGGGAAGGAGAGGGATAGAGCTGGGGTGGGAGATTTCTTGAAAAGTTGAGGGGGAGGTGGGCTAGATGAAGTATTTCTTGGGAGGTGTGCACCTTCCCGTCTTTTGTCGATGGGAAAGCTTCAAAGTCACAAGTATCCCCGTACCCTTCCAGATGGGAACCTTGGGAATAAGTGAACAGGGAAAGAGCAATAGGCCGAGACCGAACAGGCAATCAGCAGAAATGGCAGGCACAGGCACTTGTATTTGCCATTGGTACGTCAATCAGCAGGCAAACGAAGCAGTCGCGCCGTCTGGACTCTATCTCTCAAGCTCAGGCAAGTCGCAATTGCAGGAAAAGCATGGGCCACGAATGATACACTCCCCAGTCTCTCGGTCATTTTAAAGGAACAGGGACTCGTGCAGGTAGGTAGTAAAACCGGACCACTCCTTTCCTGTCCCTCTGGCATTGGAGGGCGCGCGAGGGGCCCCCAGCCGATGTGTTTGAGCTCAATGAAGCATAGAGGGACGGGTGGAAACCAAGAATTTGACGACGGGGACAAGGCGCCGTTGCCCCAAGACATGGTGTCTCCAGAATTCTATCTGCACGTCCGAGTCTTGTTGACCAGTGCTGGCGCTTGTAAATCGCTGCTTCGACCCACGGCGCCACGTCGGTGCCCAGAGAAAAGAATGGGGGCGACGCGCGATGATCTCGCCTGGGGGGCATGTTCGTCATTAACATTTAAAAATTGGGTCTCCATTTTTTAGCTTGGCGTGGGCCGTGGAGTTGGATGTTGGGGCCATCAACTTGGTCTACCTTATCTGGCATTCACAGTGGCATTGCTCTTAGCTGTCTCTCACGTCTTTTCCTCTTCTTCTTGGGATTTTTTTTTGTTTGTAATACTTTGAAACAATCGTCTTGCATATTGAGCGAGGAAGAAGATGGGCGTCCGGGTAGTGTAGAGAGCGGGAGAGAGACACACAAGACGATATCAAAGGTCAACACGCCGTCCACCTCGTGTTTTTTCGAGTGACATTTTCTGGGAGCTTGGACAAATTGTAAATATGGGGGGCGGCAGTGGCGACGAATGCGACAGCGATACTGCCGGCTGGCACCACGTTCAAAACCGGGTCCGTGCTATCTGACAGGAGAGCCGCCTCAAGAAACCTGGGAACCTTCAAAACCTTGGAACCTGGGATTCCTTTGTCGAGCCAGGTTGGATGATACGGATACTTCCATTGGGATCACGTCCCACTGGGATGCTGCTGCTGCTTTCCGAAGACCAGGACCCTTCCCATCCCATCTCCAGTGAACACGTATGTCGGTGATTCCCAAGGGCTGAGGAACGGGCCTTCTGGAGCTCTCCCAAGCTTTGTGCTGTAGACTTGGTGCTAGCAGTCGCAGACGGAAGGTACCTTAACAAAGGGGGAAGGGGGACCCTGAACATCTCCTCCGTCAACTTGATTACCCGGAAGCAACGCAGTGGGCGATAACACCGTGGCTGGGTTTTTCGCTGCAACATTGCAATTACTTCAGAATTTCAGAGCCCTGTTGGCATTCCATTTCCCTCTTGACCGAAAGTTTTTGTTCTGCAGGGTGGCGCCCACTGCATACCATAAGGTACTAAGGTAGGCACAGAAGGCACCTTAAGCTTGCAGCTGGACGGGAGCAAGTGTGCGGATATCATCGAGTTGTGCGTAGCAAACCATCGATCGATTTGCCGCACCACCATGGCCTTGACTTTCCTCCGTTCACATCACGGCTCTTCCCTTGAATCCTCGTCAGTCTGCAGCAGCTCTAGACTCAATGGCGGCTAGCGCCTGGGTTGTTGTTGTTGTCCACAAACTCATCTCTTCGTCATGTTCCCCATCGAAAATCATCACCGCACATGCGCATAGGGAAAGACGATGCGAATCGGATTCCCTCTTTGGACGCGAACCACATGCCACCGAAACCCCATACCAATGGGTCTTGGTCAAGCTTCTCAGAGTCACAGAGCATCCATAGGCTGTACGGATGGCTGGTGAGAGGTCTGAAGGCTGCGCATCCCGGAGCGCAACCCGCTGGAAGGACCCCCACTGCCTGCATCAAACCCACGATCGCCCGTCATCGGGATCCTTTTCACGGTTCACCACAGTCTTGGCTGCCCATCATCCCTGGTCCGGGTGGAAGACAGAGTGAGGCTCTCCCCTGCGTCGCCATGAACCAACGCCACCGACCGACTGAACCGTGTCTCCCGATCTTGCGAACAGACGGTCGCAGATCATACACGCTGCCGCCCGAATCGCCATGTACATGCCTGCACGCCTACACGCCAGGGGAGGAGCATGAAGACGGGCGGGCGAGCTAAAACACCACCAGACACGCACATGGCCGCCACCTCCCGCGCACGGCGTCCCTTGCTGCACCCGAGTGCCGTACGGTACCCTAACCTTCAACTGCTATAGCAGCATCCAGTCTGCAAGCCACCCTCAACAGAAGTAGTGTCCGATGGGTGTGATGCGTGCCTGTCGCCAATCTAAGGTGGAAAGGACCGAAGAGACGAGACACCAGTGTGTCACCAGCACCAGCCAATGACGACAAGTGCTCTCACTTCCTTTGCCTTCTTAGCACACGTCTCCCCTCGTGGTGTGCGAAAATACTTGGCAGCCACTAGGACGACGGTGAACAACAGAAGCCCGAAGCGGGAGAACAACTGCCAACGGTAGCAAAGAGACTAACGCCGGAGGGCCAAATTGTTCTCGATACGAGGGACCGCCGCCAATCCATTCCACGAGCGGAAACCATGGCAGAACCGGTGTGTCTTGGCAGCAGCACGAAACCCAGCAGTCTCTGGTGAGTGGTCCACTGGTGACTGATCTGATCCCGTTTGACTGCGTGGCTCTGTAGCGGCTGGCGGATGGCTCACTGGACTTCATGATGCAGAAAGTGGCCATCACCCGCCGTGTCGCATCGACGCGCATACAATGAATGGAACCAACCAATCCACCTCGGAGTCCGGGCTGCATAACTCGCCTGCCAATGAAAGGTATCTCTCTGCCTCAGATCATTCAGCTGGGTGGACCGTGGACACCTTCTCCTCTCAGTCTGGAGCTTTCACCGTCGGTTCCTTCCTCGGGTGCGGTCGTCTCCAACAAAACAAGCTCCATGTTCCCGTTCAATTTACTTCTCGAATGGACCAACGGTCGGGTGCAGGTACGACGTGCGCGGGTGGCCTTGCCTTGCTGCGTCTAATGTGGTGGACCCCCACTCTCGACATGACCCCACCCGCCACGGCTGACGTCACACTGCGTCTTCTTGGTCCTCCCATGTTCCGCATTCGACGACGGCAAAACGGGGTCCCCTCGCCCGGTTTTTTTTCCCCCTGCCAAGACTCCAGGACCCGGCCGCTGAGCCCCTAATCCTCAGCTCGGCCCACCGTCCCCCGAACCTTTGATGTGCACTGTTTTCACCGCCCGGTGCCGTCACTGTCCGACGTCGTTGGTTTTGGCCCATGACCGACAGTTTGCCGAATCTTCAGACACGGAGCCCAACCTTGTCACCTCCATGTCGTCTCCCCCCGTCCGCAATGTCCACGACTCCAGAACATCCAGAAGAGTTTCCAGAATTTCTGCTCTCCCTGGATGGTCGAGTCGGTCTGGACTTGGGACCTTTGAAGTCTAAACTCCGGAGGGTCAAGCTTTGTTCAGTCAGTCAGTCAGTCAATCTGGCAGGTCCTCTGGCAGATCCATTGGTGGTACCACGGAGTCATGGATCACTCGCAGATGGATGGACCATATCACAGAGGACTGCAGCCAAACCAGAACACCATGCACAAATGCACAAATGCAGGGCGCACACAGGGAATCTCACCATCCACTCATGCTTCAAGACACCATTGCTGCTGCCCGCCGCAATCGCCCTCGTCGTACGTACACTTGGCCGTTTCAGCAATTTCATCTACCTCACGGTCTCACCACCCTATTTGACGCTGCGAGACACGCCTTATCGCACCTCACCACCCTCACGACGATAAGGCTTCTAGCGCCCATAGATTTTCGACCCTCCTGAAAATCTCTCTTTTCCCATGTCTCTAGCTGCCTTAGTGCCAAAAGGGTTCCGACGCACACCAGCAGTGATCAGCACGTCAACCTTCGGCTTGCCCTCTTGAGACTCCCGCCGTCCGTTTTCCCAAGCGCACTGAAGACGTTCGCCACTGCTACTACCGCCGCCGCCGCCGCCGCCGCCGCCGCCGCCATCGCCCATTCCATTGGTGGCGGGCGGTACATCGCTCGCCGGCGAAAGAATACCGAATGCAGGTACCACACGCGGTTTCGCCCATAATGGTTGCAGCCACCGAAAAGTTTTTCTCCAAATTTGTTGGTGTGTTGGGCTCCTAAAATAGCTACGGATATACGACTCTTCGTCGTCAATTGGCACTTGGCAGTCACGAAGAAGAGCAGGTTCATCCGTTGGCGAGCTGCAGTTCATCGCAACTCAATGGTGGCTGTGCGAACAGCAACGGAAATCAACGCGACTTGGAGACCATTTCAGGAGTTCTAGACTAGCCGGAAAACTCGATCGGCATCAAACGATTAAAGGTGCATAGCTACTGTACACGTGTAGTACACTTGCCAGCATGTCGTCATGCTCTCCTGCATACCAGCAAAGCAGAGTCAACGATACAGACGTTGTGTTGCTCACAGGCACATTCTACATTCAAGCTTTCGCTCCCCGAGCTCGTCTGCGCTCATCTCCCGAACAGCAGCCGTACGCCCGCAAGCTGACTTCCCAATCAAAGTGGTGATCGGCATCAGCCCGGGAGGACAGCTCAGAGCAAGCAGATCCCTTGACACACGATGCGCCAATTGGGAAACACACACATACGCATCGCCAGCCGCCACAACTCCTACCTGCCTTGTTCCATAGCGATCTCTGTGACTACGAGCCCTTGGCCTGATACCCTTGAATGCGAAGCCGCTTCAGACAGGCACAAAATTGACGACGACTAGATCGCTCCTTGGCCCTGCCAATTGCTTAATGTTCTAGACGAATCAACACCCCATCCGCAGCCCACGTTATCGCACGCGCGGCCGCCAATATCTACCTCCGTACCCCATAATCCATAATCCATACGAATACGCCCTTGACGGGCGCGTGCCCTGACCTTGCTTCGCTCCAAGGCTCCCTTCCGGGGACCAGCAGCCGCCTACCTAGCGCGAATAGGAGAAGTCGCCCAACCCAACCGTCTGCCGCAGCGGAGGACAGCCGCCGCGACGCGACGTTTCTTCACATGCAAGGCTCCTGGCGCGAAACTGCCCTGAGCCCGCCCACCCGTAATCTTTGACGACGTGCGGCCACCATGCCTGTGCCCTGTGCGGCGATTACGGGAATGAAAGGGGGAAGGCCCAATGAAGAGAGTTTGCTTTATCTATCGACAGACGGCTAATGCGAATCATATTGGCATTGTCTCGGGCCTCCTGCAATGCAATCTAGTCGAGAGAGAGAAAAACACTTTGCCATACTTTTCGTACATCAAACTCACCCCTGAGTTGCTGCATGATTGCTGTCGCAAGAACTGCAGCGCGACCACCACAGTTGCAAGCTTAAACTATATTACGACTCGCACTGGTGGGTTACAAGAGATGTCAGCAACCCAAGAAAGTTGGTAGGCCTCATGGTTTGAGATTTAGGCGATTATAGGTACCTACCAATTTCTCCAAGCTGTAATGTCATTTTCAAAGGAAATCCATCACACAAGAAGATGAAGCAGAAGGTTAAGCTTTTCGGCCCTTGGAAATGCCACTGAGCAATGAATTTAGTTGGAAAACGTAAACCTGCACTCCGCTCCGTGCGGTCCAGACGTTAAACGGAGCTCGTTCAAAGAACGTTGACAATCTCGAACCACTGAATCTACACAGGACCTTTCAATCCGTATTCCTTCGCTGTGTTGGCCGTAAAGCAGCTTCCCCCCGCAACAGTAGCAGACACCCCAAATGTCATGATGCTGAGTATGCAAGGTCGAAGCAACTTCTACCTTTGGCACGTGGTCGGCGTCTGCGGGCTTCAGATAGTTTGTAATATCCACAACGTCGGGTGATTCATTGATGTCGATGATTACCTCCTCGACATTCACCAACAGTGCCGTAGCGTTGGTGATGGCGCCTAGGTGAAAAAGAGATCCCGAGCGACGCTGCCTCAAGTGCTCCGCGGCGGATGATGATGATGCTGCTGAAGGGTTCCGCAACGTGGTCCCGTAGTCCGCCGTGCCGCTTGTGTTGACCCAGATTCACGGCATCCAGGTCCTTCCACGGCGCGAGCCGGCTGTTGCGGAACCGGTGCGGTGTGATGACGGCCTCCATGGCGGAGGAGTCGTTTCCGCTGCACCAGTTGTTGACTGTGATATTCCACGCGTCGGGGGACCGTTGCTTCTGGGAGCTGGGAGGCGATGAAGGTAAGGGGTTTGCAGGTAGCGAGGGTTTATTGTTGAGGTGCTGGGGGGAGAGGTACGCTGTCACGGTGGTGAAGTGGACACTGTTCGTTGTACAGGAGGACCATTCCTGCGTCCTCTGTGCTTCACGAGAAGGAGTACCACTTCTCGGCGACGCCATCTCGGGGATACCAGACCCGGAACTGAATGCTTCATGCCGCGAGGGCGGGGTTGTATATTGACTGGAGAGTTGAGGACCGCGACGTTTTGTATCTCGAGAACGTGGGTCATGATCTCTGAGATGGCGGCGGCCTAATCGGCATCGGGGCCCAACATATCGGTAACAGTGTAGAAGAAGAGGTTTCACCCCGACCTCGTGGTGTCGGCGTTGACGCCAGAGTAAGCGTACCCGTGGAATGCGTTCGTGGAGATGCCCCTGACGAGGTCGCGGCGGATGGTGGGGAGGAGGTCCGGAATGGTTTCGGTGTACGCTGCGCCGTTGACGGCATCGCATTCGGAAGAGGCGACGGTATGAGAGGCCATGTGGGCGAGCACGGCGAGGTGATTGCAGAGGTCATGGGTGTCATTCAAGCCCAAGGATTTGCTCTCTGCGGCGTCGAGGAGGGTTATGGAGTCGAACTGTGGTCTGTCAGAGGTCTATCCATTTACTTGACGAGAGCATTTTGGCGTTTACCAAGGGAAGGTTTTAAACAGTTTGATTGGGATACTCTAGCCCTCGTTCGTGGGCCCATTCAAACGTCGTGCGGACGTGTTCCTCATAGCTGTTTTGGAGTGTGAGGCGATATTCATCTTTGTAGTGCGTCGCCGTCAGAGTGGTATCTTTTTGCAAGTAGAACGCTACTCTATAAGGGACATACTGTACTGCCTGAAAATTGTCGAACTAGATGAAGAAGGAGAGACCGTACTGAATTTCGAAACCCCTTTCTGTACAAGCGTATCGGTGAAGCTGTACGTCCATTACAATATCGAATTCATCTATACGCTGTCCTCATTGGCTAGTCGTAGCCATGTCAGCAAAACGCCCTTATCCTCTCCTCCTCCTTGAAAGTCTTAGACAGGATGAGCATTCATATGAATACGCTTTGCCTTCTATTCACCGTAGTTCCCCACGCGAGCGATGGATCGTCTGTCCTGGTTTTTGGGCATGGTGTCCTCGTCAAAGAACCTCGTCAGCTTCCGCGCGCCCGCATCGCTGAGGGCTGACGATAGTGCGGCCGATTGTGTAAGGGGAAGATGAATTGCTGGTTGATGCTACTATTTCTTCCACGGCTAGGACAAAAGATAGATTCTACTGGCCGAATTCTTCTGGGGGGTTCATGAAGAGGCATAGAGAGGAGCTGGCTGGTTACGTAGCGGAGGGGGAGGATCCTAATGAAGGAGCTTTTTTGGTTGACTGTGATATTTACACCAGCTTGACAGACTATTGTAGGTATTGATTATCCTGTTTGATGGAAACTTTCACCAAAGTCCAAGGGCCAAGGCCAAAGGTCGGAAATGGGGGACAACGAAGACAGTAAAGGAAACTGAGAAATTTGAGGTTTGGCGAATGCCCAGTCATCTTGAGGGCCTGGGAGATAGATTCATTGATTATGCAAACAATGTGCTGTAAACAGACGGAGAGTCAGAGATCTAAATTGGTTGCAGTTGAACAGGTATATCTCACTTTGTTCAATATGCTTAGGACGACCACCTGTGCTACTTGACTAAGGAAGCCAACGCACGAGGTAATAGTCCGAGATAATCCCTTCAAAAACTGGCAATTGACAATTGTATGACGATGGTGGGTAATAAGAAAGCGGGAACGCGGGTTCACGGACCGGGGAATCCGAACCCGCATCTTTCTGAATCCTTCCAGTCTTTAGATTCTCACCACCCGTAGCTTTGAAGTGACTATGATTCAAGTCTGGCTTTACGCTTCCTTCTCCCCTCTGACGTATTACGGTTTCCTTCCTCTTTCATCTCGGTCCTTGGGTTTCTTGCGCAGTCGATATACACGTCTTGAACACGCCCTACTAAAATGACAGGGTGGTCGAGTCTTGAAAAACGGTCTTGCCAGCCATGTCGTGTCTCAACCACGCCGCACAATATTCTGAGGGACTGAAAATTTGTCGTGAGTTAGACGGCAGGTTGAGGCTCTCCAGGTCAGCTGCAGCGCCTCGAGGTTAGATTCGAGTCTCCAGCGTGTAGCATCGGTGAATATCGCCATGTCTTGGAGCTGATCAAATGCCGTTAGTTCAAATGTCATTATCCGATGGCTCTCACATAGGTTCAAACACCGCTTACCTGGCGCTTCTTTCCAAAGATTCTCTTGACTTATCGCAGGATACATCTAACCCCAAGCCTCCGGTGCTCATCTGGGACGGCAGCTGTAAGATGACCAGGTTCCCATCATTTCACTCGAAGATATGAGATTACTAACGACACCTCAACCATAGCCGTTGTCGGAAACTTTGCCATACAACTAGCCAAGCTCCATGGATACCCCGTAGCCACGACCTGCAGCCCTCGCAATTTTGACTACGTCAAGAATGCCGGGGATACCTATGCCTTTGACTATAACGACGTCAATGTCGTGGCAAAAATCCAAAAAGCAGTACCGACGCTGTCACACGTATTTGAAACCATCGTTAACACGAGCTCCTCGGCGACCGCAGCTGCTGCTCTGGGCGGTCGCCCTGAAGTCCTCTGCACAGTCCGCCCGGGCAAAGCGAACACCGAGGGGGTTCCTAGCAACGTCAGAGTAAACGACGTCCTCGTCTTCAGGGCCTTTCCGACAGCTCACACGTACCGCAGAATCTCCTCCATGTGTGTCATAATATCCTGGTAGCCTGTTTTGATGTGTTGACTTGTTCATTATATAGGTCTCAATGCCAAATCATTTTCTCAGCGCTGAGCTCTATGAACAGCTCTCAAATTTGCTCCAGAGCAACTCCATCGTGCCGCCTCCCGTCAATGTTCTGGGAGGACCAAGCCCGCAGTCCGTCATGAACGCAATGATGCTGAACCGTGACGGAAAGATATCGGCGGAGAAGCTATGCTTTGAGGTGTTTTCAGCATTCGAGAAGCAGCATGCGTAAGGTAGCTAGTGTTTATACGGAGATATTCCTCAGACAATGAGCCAATACTCAGAGATCGATGGAGTGAAAGTAGTAAAACTAGTTACGCACACTTTCTGCCACCATCTACGAAGCTACCTGGCTTCCGTTCTGGAACATTTTCCCGAGGACACTCTTGCGCAGCTCAGCCTCAATCTCAAAGACCTCCGCGTCCGTCTGGGGCGAGCCCAAATCCTCCGGCGTGACGAGCGGCGCACATTCCTTCCACCACTTCTCCACCCTCTGAACCTGCGGGAGACTCCTGACTTGGCCAACGCTAGGCACGGCGACCACATCATGAATGGGCACGGTCTCGCGGCCGTCCGCCAAAGGTTCGATAGACTGCCAGTTCCGGAAGAAGTTTTCCGGATCCCACCGCGTCTTGATCCTCTGCAGCCGCGGGTAGTTGTGCCCGTAGTACGCCTCCTGCCAGTTGGGAACGGTACCGTCAATGTAATTCACGTACGCCGCCTTCTGGTCGATCGCGTAGGGCAAAAGCTCGGCCTTGCACTTGCAAACGAACCTCATAATCTCGTCGGCCTTGCTCTCGTCCGTCCACTGCACCTTGATCGTGGTCACGTAGTGGCCCCTGCGCCAGGGGAAGGGCGTCGCGTCCGGCGCGACGGCCTCGGTCTCGGCGCCGATGTGGTCCCACAAGATGTGGCATTTTGGGTCGTTGACCGCGTTGTCGTCCGTGATGCCCACCACGCGGGTCGCCTGCTCGACGAGACTCGAGATCTTGGCGGCGAGCTGCGGCGTGACGGCGCCCTCGGCGAAGATGAAGGACGCGTGGTGGTGGTAGACTTGGCTCTTGGGGTCCCAGCCCTCGGACTGGTGCACCCAGTCCGTCCAGGCCATCTCCTTGAGGGTGTTGACGGCGGGCTGAAAGTCAAGCAACGGCGTCAGCGCCGCTTGCGCGTTCTTCATGCCGCCATTGTAAATGACCGTCATGCCGCCCGTCAGTTGTTTCTTCTTGGTATGGGACCACAGCGCGTCGATGGTCAGTTCGGACGGGCACTCGTTGCTGTTAAAGACGTCCATCATCTTCTCAAAGTCGTCCTTCTGCTGCGGGAGATTCCACTGGAGCTGCCCGCAGACCACCTTGCCCCCGTCGTCCCTGAGCTTGTGCATCCTGCTCGTCAGGCTGACCGTCACCCCAAAGTTGCCGCCGCCGCCACCGGCCAGCGCCCAAAACAGCTCCCGCTTCCCCTCGTCCCTGTCCTCCCTCGAGACCGTGACGACCTCGCCCTTCCATGTGACGATGGTCATCTCGAGCAGGTTATCGCAGCCGAGGCCGTAGCTCCGCGAAAAGGGGCTGAGGCCCGCGCCGAGAGTGAAGCCGCTGACGCCGACAGTCGGGCACTGGCCGCCGATGACGATGTTGCGCTTGTCCTTGAGGTACTTGTAGTAAACATCCTTCCAGACGAGACCGCCGTCCATGCGGATGATCATCTTGTCGTAGTTGACGTGGCAGGTGTTCATGAGGCTGAGGTCGAGGACGATGCCGCCCTGGTTCAGGCAGTAACCCATGTATGAGTGGCCGCCGTTCTTGACGGTCAGACGCAGGGCGTTCTCGCGGGCAAAGTCGATGGTGGAGACGACATCATTTGTGGACTTGGCTTGGACTACCACGGCTGGGGTCGTGAACCGATAGTTGAGATTGCCGATGAACACTTGAGGTTTCATGGTGTCAGTTTGCTTGACTGAATCGCCGGAAATGGGTTGCAAGAGTGGACATGCGGGACACAGGCTTGGTTGAGTAGGTAAAACTTACCGGCTTTTTCATATTGCACTGTCCCCGGTTCGAGGACTTGCTCGGTGGTGAGTGTTTGCTTGAGGATCCCGATGTCGATCATGATGAAGGTCGGCAGCTTGCCTGCTGCTAAAACTGGTGGGTTGCGAATGGTTTGAGAAATTCCTCTAGTTTCTCTGATCACAGGTTACATAGGACCATTCGGAGACAAAGTTGTAGTACTATGAGCCCATACTTATAACAGTATCTGGGCGTGGACTACGACAGCCGACCCTCGCTCCTTGAAAGTCCAGAAAGCCACCTTTTGCACTCTACTAGTGAGACATTTCGGCTGCTTCACACACACATCCGTGGTCTAGAATGGGCTCAACACGGCTGACCTGCTTCTTCAGCCAGCCGCGTTGAGGTACTAGTGAAGCCGGTTGCGTGTATGTCCGTGATCGCCCAGCGGGACGGCCCTCACCGGCAGCTCAGCTCCCCCACAATGTCTCATACAGAAGTGTGGAGATACTTCTCGACTGGACTGCGCATTGGGCCGGGCGTAGTTCAGCTCCCACGCCACAACGTCCCGTTCACATCAGTCGCATCTAGCTACCGTGAACGGCGTCTTCCCTACACGGATGCAGGGGCAGGGGATTAGGACCAGGGCAAGCCTAGGTGGCTAAAAGAGAAGTTGTCAATTGGCTGTCAAATGGATTGGCTCTGCGCGCCGAATTCTGAGTATTGCCTTTGAGCGTTTCTTTACTTCTTTCCGTGTGTCGCTGCAACCCTCGCGCTTGGTCGAATAATGGCCGCTGTCAGATATCCGGTATATCAAGGTGGACGGCGAGTAGACAATTTGTGGTTCCCCGTGATAATGCGGATATGGATAGCTCCTGGTGCCGTAAATGAGAGCACTCCTCCATCGAATGGTACTCCACAAAATAAGCAGGTATTCTCAAACTTTTAGATTTAGAGATGCCATGATTTTATCGAATGTGGCTTGGGAACTAGAAGCGCTCAGCACACTGTAAGGGTGTATCACCAGTCACTCCCTTTGCGGGCATCTAGGGTCGGAATCAACATCTTCTCTGCCGGGACCCATACGTACAGGGGTAAGATAGTCGTAGCCGCCGTCCCCCGGATACCAAGTAATCGAGAAATCCACAAGGAAAACCAAGTACGTCGCAAGCGAGCGAGGCTGTGTCTCGGTTGAATCTTAAACCCCCGCCGCGGGATGTGGAGTCCCGGAACTGGAGGTTGTAACTCACGTCATCGCGGACGCTTTCGAGATGGAAATTCGGCGTGGTAGGAGTGGAAGAGTTGAGCGGAAAATCATGGGAATGGGGCTCCACGCAGTCTATCCATCCACTCTGGCCGCTGAGGGCCCCCCAGTCCCGACGAGTCTTGGATCATTCAACCCCTGAGCCAACAATCCGATTCTATTCATAGACCAGTTAACCGGAATCACATGGAGTCACAGCAGTGAAGTTGAGCAACTGATATGAAGGTGTCTTTCAATTCTCTCTAATGGAGCGCTCTAATGGCTTGCTTAGCCTCTCGATCATCAATCCTGGCGGCGATCTGAGGAGCGCACTGTCTCTATTCATAGCATGCTCCTTCACCGCTTGGACGTCTCCGTCGTTGTCATATCTCCTGGCCACTGTGTTCTGATGTGCCAGACGTCTCGGGCAAAGAATTCAACGATCGAGTACGTGAAAGCATTTGTACCACTCAAGGATGTTTTCTCATCCTCGGACGGCGAATTCGCATTCTCGGACGGTTCTAGGCCAACTCGATGCTGAAGTCCTCTCCAATACGGGCAGCAACTCTGCCCACAACCGCGTAGGCGGCGCGGCCCTTGTCGGCAGCGTGGTACTGGACAGGGACAGTCCAGGTTTTGCCTTCTGACTTCACAGTGAGGTCCTTCTTGCTGAACTGGTCGGTAGCGCCGACAATGATGATCTTGTCGACATAGACCTCCTTCATGGCCTTGAGCCAAGAGCCTGCCTTGACGGACTTGGAGTCCCGGCCCTCGGCATCGGAGGAGGTAATGGTCTTACCGCCAAGCTTGAACTTACGGTAGATGTACTGGCCCTTCTCGAAGTCAAACGAGTCCCCATCATCGACGTACAGCTCGCCCTCGGCCTCGCCATTCTTGCCAACGCTGATGACCAATGTGTAGTCGTCGAATCGCATGAGCTTGGCCGAACGGCGGGGACGGTCACGGCGCGGGAAAATGTGACCACCACGCATCAGAAGCGCGACCTGGTCAAGAGCAACAGCCTTGGTCAGGTACTGGCCCTTCTTGGTTGTGTGCTTCTCGTAGGTGAAGTAGTCGTAGTATACTTCGTCATCGGGGATAAAGATGTCGACAGACTCCTTGTCCTTCTCGACGACGGGTTTGTGGAGAAGACCAGTCGAGCCGACGAACAGCTGATCATCAACAGCGAAACCAGACTCTTCAGTAGGGTTGGTCCAGAACATGGGGCGAACAATCGGGCTGCCGTCGCGGTGGGCGTGGAAGAATGCAGTGTACCACGAAGGCATCAAGCTGTAGCGGAGGCGGATGGCGGCGGTAAGAATACCTCTAAACGGCTCCGCAAGCATGTAGGGCTCGCGGCGACGGGCGTCAATGTGGGCGTGGCCACGGAAGAAGGGGTAGAAGGCCCCGCCCTGGTACCAGCGTGCCATCAGCTCAGGTTCGGGGTTACCAAAGAAGCCTCCAACGTCGGCGCCAGCAAAGGGGAACCCGGAAATGCCCTGGTTCAAAATCATGGGAACGGCAGCACCCAAGTGCTCCCACGATGCCTGGTTGTCTCCGGTCCACATGGCACCGAGACGCTGAGAGCCAGCGTAGAAGGAACGGGTGAGGACGAAAGGCCTGCGGAGCTCGCCCTTCTTACGGGTGAGAAGGGCCTCAAAGGTGGCGTTGTGGAAAGTCATGCCGTTGATGTTGTGGACGTCACGGTGCTCCCAGTTTCCGTGGTGAATATTGTCCTTGGGCATGGTGACCTCTGGTCCATTAAACACGGAAGGCTCGTTCATGTCGTTCCAGATGAAAGTGTTCTCCATCGTGCCCTTGAACGCTTCGTAGTTGAAGAGACCAGTCCACCACTCGACGGCCTTGGGGTTGAAGCAGTCGACCCAGTGAGAGGAGCCAGGCCAGCACCAACCCTCAAAAGTCTTGCCCTCCTTATTCAATACTGCTAGGCCCTTGGAGTTCATTTGCTCAGTGATATCGTAGTTTCCCTCGTTCTTAATATGGGGATCGATGATGACCACGAGGTTTCTGCCGTGCTCATCGAGAGCCTTGCCCATGCCGATGGGGTCCTTGAACATGTCGGAGTCCCAGGTGAAGTACTTCTTGCCATCGGTGTACTCGATATCGAGCCAAATGACGTCGTACGGAATCTTGAACTTGTCAAATTTGCGGTCAACGTCCTTGACATCATCATCGGAGATGTAGTTCCAGCGGCACTGGTGGTAGCCGAGAGAAAACTCTTGGGGCATGGCGGTGGTGCCGGTGAGGTCGCCAAAGTTCTTAGAAATGTCCTTGGGGCTCGGGCCCAGGAAGATAAAGACGTCGAGAATGCCGGCCTCCGAGATCCAGTGGGTGTGCGTGTTGGTCTTGGAGCCTGCGCCAAGAGCCAAGGGGTTGGGTGAGCTTTTCTCCTTGGTGATATCGATCCAGGTCTCGGCGCCATTGAGCCAGAAAACACCGACTGTGGAGTCCTTGCGGTGCGCCTGCATGAGGGGGATGGCTCCGTAGAGAGTCATGGGGCTGTCAAGAACGTATTCGAAGACGTCGGAGTTGTACAGTCTGTAGGGCTCAGAATACTTTCCGTCACCGCCACGGGTCTCCTTCAGAGACAGAGGGCCAGCGTGCTCAGGAATACCAAAGACGTGGTCGTATCCAACGAAGGAGATGTCGAGGGCGACGCTCTCGGGTCCGCGGGGTTTAGAGTCGGTGTTGCCGCCAAAGGTCTCGTCCCACCAGGTGCTCTCATCCTCCTTCTTGACATCAGTAGACTCGGCGCCTTCGGCCTTCTCAGCGTTCTCAGCGTTCTCATCGCCTTCCTTCTTTTCCTCGGCAGGCTTGTCAACCTTGGGGCGCCAGTGCTCCATGTTGAGCAGACCGCGGTCATTGAGCTTGATATGGGAAGAACCATCACGCTTGAAGTCGATGCTGAAGGGAGAGAACTTGATGACAGCCTCGAATTTGGAGGAGGGGCCGTACTGGATGGTGATCTGGTCCTTGTCCTGGTAGGCGACCTTGGCCTCCTTGTCGAGATTGAGACCACCGACGATGACGTGCTTCTCAGCCTCGTTGTAGCGTTCCTTGCGGGCAGGGCTGTTGTTTCGCAGCTCGATTTCTCCCTTTTGGCGCTTTTCTTCGTCGACGCTTACGCGAGCGGTGCCGGATTCGAGGAAGGAGACAGTAATGGGAAGACGGACAGTCTCCTGGGCATCGTTGATGGTCTTGAGGATGACAGCCTGAAGCTGGCCGTCCTTGAGGGATGCAGAGTCGGTGAGGATGTTGTAGGGGGCGGCCCAGGTGGAGGCCGAGGAGACAGCGTTATCGGCGTACTCGCGATTGCGCTTGCAGAAGCCGGACTGGTGGCACTTCTTGAAGTCGTGTTCCTTGACCATGACTGCGATTGACTTGTCAGTATCGATAGGGCAATGAATGAGAGAGCAAAAGTGATGCGAATCAAGAGAAATTAAAGCAAAAAGAAGGTCATGGCGTCACTGAATTCCTTACCGGCGGGCTGGATCATGCAGCTAAGTGCCGCCAGTAGACCAAAGAAGGTCGTCCATTTGGAGGACGACTTGCCGATGGTCCCCATGGCGGAGGGGTGTGGCGATTGTGTGTTCGTCCGAAAGAATTGAAGGGAATATCAGAAAGAACGTTGGTATCAAGAAGCAAACATGGGAATGTGAGCCAAAAAGAAGGTGATTCTTCTTCGTTGGTGCTCTCGCGTCGTCGCGTGTTTGTGGTGACTGTGGCACTCTTCGGGCCAGAATAGGTGGGAGGAATTGGTGACGTTTTGGTAGAAAGGTACCTGCGCAGGTGATACGGCCAACTTCAACAGCTGTCCCCTTGGTTAGCTCCGACTTAGGCTTAGCGTCGGTCACTTGAGTTGTGGAGCTACAGGAGACAGGGGTCAGTCGGAGAGTCCACGCTTAATCGAATATGAGCTTTGCGGGTTAGTGCATAGATCCTGCGGGTGACATCTACCCCGCCATGGGAGCAGACGGACCACCAAGGGGGGTGCTGCAGGCCATCAGGGTCCACCTCGCTGACACGTGTAATAACAATGGAGCAAGAGTGGTAATTGATGCATCAAAATCGGTTTGAATATGTATGCGTTGTTTGGCAAGAGCATCACTCATGCGAGATTGTAGACAGACACACGGCCGGCCTCTACAATCCTTCTTGGGGAATAATTTCTTCCGAGGAAGGTGCTTAAGATGATGTCTGCGTACGAAATTTGAAGTTGAATTTATAGATTTGTCCCCATTCTCGAGAGTGAGTAGATTGTCAGATGTAAGATATTGTGGAGAGTTGTCTTGGGTAATTGTATGCATACGTTATTTACGGGGTTGACTCTGATGCATTTAAGCGGTCTTGTTCACTGTGTGTGCCTGAGTCGGTTCCCATGAACACACTGTGTCTTTATCTGCCAGGCCCCCAATCCGTACGGCACCTCACTCAGTTCGTTTTCAATCCGGTTGACCGACTGTTTTGAATGTAAACAACACAGCATAGCATTTGAGCTTCCCTTGGGCGATTTCTATGGTCAATCGTATGTGACGTTTCAAAAAAGAGACGCTTGACCTTGGCCTTTCGTATCTGGAGTGTTATAGGTAAGGAGCTATCCCGTTGGTTCACTTCTGTCCACACCCTCCCGATCCTCCACCTCCCGCCGCCATCAATGCTGAGCTGTCAAAATAAAAAACTAGGCGGTCTGGCTACAGTTCCAAAAACTCCCGTACCTTAGCTCACTAATCACAAGCTTGGTGCACTGTACAGAATCTCCACATCTCCCCGTCCACTTCCATCCAATGGCTGGTCCGGAACCCCACCACCATGCTGGTGCCGCGCAGGACAATGACCCCGCCTCGAAGCACAAGAAGCCGCAGCAGAATAATGCAAATGCACCACCGCCTGACAGCTTCCCCGAGTACGCCCGCAGAACAGCAGACAAGCTGCCCCCACCAACTTTCATAATTCTCGCCCTCCTCTTCGGTTTGTACATAATTTTTTCCTCGAGCCAACAAAACCAGCGGTCAGCAGCAGACCTTTCTTCTCCCGCCGCCCCCTCTGTTATTACCACCACAATCTACCAAGAACAACAACCATCTTCAACTCCAACAGACGTCGTCGTTGATACCTCTCCCAAAATGTCTACCGAGCAGACGTAAGTTCTTCATTCCTCCCTTTCCATCCAGCGACCCTGTGCCACAATGCCGCATCGTGCTGTTTGCTTTTCTTTGAGCTCCCTCTCCTGTCCAGAAATTACCCCGCCATCGTGGGAAGGTTTCGGGCAGGGAGGGGCACACTTCACACCTCGAAACTGAACAAAAAAGGCTGACCTCGAAATAGCTTCATTGCTATCAAGCCTGATGGCGTTCAAGTATGCACCATACCACCTGTTGCTTGCCAATTGCCAGGTGCAGCAAACTAACCGTACTGTAGCGCGGCCTGATCGGCCCCATCGTCTCTCGCTTCGAGACCCGTGGGTAAGAATTCACCCAGACGATGCCCTACTCTGAACAAGCTCGTAGTCTCTAACACGTCTCTTACAGCTTCAAGCTTGTCGCCATCAAGCTCCTGACCCCCGGCAAGGAGCACCTCCAGGCTCACTGTTCGTCTCCTCCCTTACCACACCATCGCAAAGCAAAGCTAACCTTCCTGCTAGACGCTGACCTCAAGGACAAGCCCTTCTTCAACGGCCTCATTGAGTGTATGTTCCATCTCCAATGCCTCGTCCGTCGGCAGTCCAAGCTAACCTCCTCACAGACATGAACTCTGGCCCCATCTGCGCCATGGTCTGGGAGGGCCGTGACGCCGTCAAGACCGGCCGTGGTAAGTCCTCGATGCAGCCTCCCCAATTCCCCATGCCGAGAACGTAGATCTAATAGTACCTTACAGTCCTCCTCGGTGCCACCAACCCCCTTGCCTCCGCCCCCGGCACCATCCGTGGCGACTACGCCATCGACGTCGGCCGCAACGTCTGCCACGGCTCCGACTCCGTCGAGAACGCCAAGAAGGAGATTGCCCTCTGGTTCAAGGATGGCGACGTTGTCTCCTACAAGTCTTCCCAGTTCGACTGGATCTACGAGAAGCCTTAAATTTTTCTCAATCCGCCGTTGCACGAGTCGTAGACGTCCACCGTCCGCTTGCCGGACGGGTGGGATGCATGTCTTCATGTCGATAGGTTGATACAGAAAAGTTCCCAGGTCAATCAAAAAAGTACAAACAAAAGCCAAAATCCAGCCAAAATCTGGTAGAATCTTGATCTCAACCGTGATTACCGACTTGATCTAAACATTCCGCGCGCCCTGCCCATCATGCCTGCAAACCATGGCGTCCCCCACACGCTGACGAGTATCCTCGCCGGCAGCAGCGCCTTCGTAATCGCCCAAGCCATAGCCACCTCCACCACAACCTTGTACTTGCCATCCCTCTGCCATCTCTCCAAAACGTCCCGTGTGCTCTCCACCTCCTCCGTCCTCGTCTCGAGCTCCCCATCCCCGCTCTTCTCCAATTGCCCCGTCATCGTCCCGCGGTCCTGAGCCTCGAACCCGAACCACCCCTTGCGGCTGAAATACCTCTCCGCCATGCCCACGCCATCCCTGACGTAGCCCGCCCAGTGGCCCGTCACGTACTCGAGCGGGAGAAAGTTTGTGTAGTGGAATAGACCAAAGAGGCCGAGGAGTGGCACGACGGCGGTGATTTCGTGCAGTATGAGGAAAGCGACTACATGGGAGAGGGGCGCTTTGCGGAGGCCGGTAGTGTATTCTTGGAAGCGGAGGGGCACGCGGTCGAGGATGCGACCTGCGGCGCGGGAAGACGAGGGCGAGGAATCTGTAGAGGATTGGCTCAGAACCGTTTTCGTCGTGGGTATTCGTGAGCGGGTTGTGCGGATGGCCAGCCGCGACCTCGCGAAGGCGCGGCTTGCGAACATTTCTGGTCTTTTCGCGGCGGCGGTTGTCTTAACAGGTTCAGGTTCTGCAATCCGGAGGACTGTGAGGGAACACTTGGAGGCGATTGACCCTTTCGCCGTAAGTCAACGATGTGGTGTGTGCTGACGCGTTGAGCTTTGGCTTGGTTGATCGGCATGGGCGGACGCTCAAAAAGAGCTCTCGGTGGGGTGGAGGGGGGAAACGCCGCTGCTCCTTCGGTGAGGCCTTTACCGAGTTCGGTGAGGTCGAGCGACCGGAAATTGGCAGAGCGGGCCGCCGCGGGCCGAGAGTTGGATTCCTTCCCCCCCAACGACGACGTCCTATTACTCTGCGCTACCTACTTTAGCCACGCGCGCTGCGATCCGAAGTCTCGTTCATTGTTAATCTCTCCTTTCCCCCCACCTTGTACCTCTCAATGTGACATTGGTGGTGGCATGAGGATCGACTCGGAGTACATTTGGGGAGGACGGGCGGACTATTGCAAGGTTCGGCGAGCACTGAAGAAATCACCGTCCGAGCGGCTTAGATGACGGCTGCAGCGGGACTCCCGCCTAACCTGGGGGTATGTGGCAGCTATTCTCGCAGCAGCGCTGTTGTGAAATATTAGTCTGGGAGAGCAACGAAGCTGGCTATGGCCCGTTGCCCAAAATCCAGGACTATACCGAAGCTGTTCAAAAGCTTCAAGTGTCTGTATCAAATTCAGAAGTTGCCAGCGGCCTCGGGCAGATGGGCAGTCATCATGCAAGTTCATGTTACATTGAATCTGAGAAACAACCCCAAGAGGGGAAAACTCGCGAAGTTTTCAACTCCAAGGCGTAATTGATTTGCGTGCGAAAAATGAGATGTGACCAACTGCCTTACTTATCACACTGCAAGGACCGTAGCCCATTTTACTAGGCGAAACGCACGAACCAAATACGGTAAAGCCTTGATGCTTGAGTGTTGCCAAATTGCTGCACGGCTCGCACCTTTGCTGACTTTGCTTGCTCCTCATCATTTGGTCTCCGTCTATTTCTCACCCCTTGTCGGGGACCGAGTAGCCTTCGTGGGATACTTTCCGCAATTCTCCATGTAAATGTGAAGTTATGACTCCATCTTATGGAGAAAAAGAAACAGAGAGAGGTAGAGAAATAGAGAGGGTAGAATGTTGATTACTGACCAGGGCGTCGCCAAGGTAATGTTGCCGAGCCGACTTCATTCAAGACCGAACACAAGCTGCGAATCACCCAGCCTGAAGGCAAAAGACGAAGTTTACTTGCTAAAATTAAGAACAATCTGTGAAGCAATTTTCATCGAGTCACTGAACATTGTTGGTCCGTTAGTGAGTAAACGAATGTTTGGAACTCTGGGTACTACTTGCGAACATATGTCTCAACTTGGTAACTAGCATCAGGTACCTACCACACCACACACACACAAAGCAGTTCGAGGATGATCTCTTTCAAAAATACCTACTACGCTTGGGCGGTACTTCTAGATGTCACTACGATGGGTAATTGAGGAGAAGAACCTTCGAAGGGCCGCGAAAGAGGTAGAACTAGAAGCGATCAACACGCACTGCCTAGCTTTCTGTGGTTACTCCTTCGCTTCTTGCTCCCCATCACCTTAATTGTATACTTTTGTAAGCGAACTTTGATTCTTCATCTCCCCCTGATCCTCTTTCGAATGAAGATACTTGCCCGAGACTTCTCGTGTTCCTCAAGTGTGCTAGTACAACAGTCTCGTCCTCTGTGGTGACGAGGTCTAATTCATTCCTGCGTGTTGGTTTCAGCTTTAATAAATTCGCCAAGGAGACTTTGATGAGGCATATGGGTTTGCTTCATCATATGGCTTGTCTTCGTCTTCAAGAAAAGCCGGCATTCATCACAACTCTCAAACTTTGCCGGGCGAAGCCGCGTCAACCTTTCCTTCTTGGGGCAATAACCTCCGGGCGCCTCCCATAGTCATACAGCTTTCGTTTCTTAGCCTAACTCAATGTTGCCTGATGTTGAGCGGCAGACTGCCTTAGCGGCGGCCTTCGGGCTCGGGATCGAGGATAGAGAATCAGAGCGACGGCCCGCCGCCCGCGGTAAGCTAAGTCTTGGTCGATGGTCTCTGAGTCTGACCTTCTTCAGGGCTTCTTCCAGTCGGCATAGAACAAGGGCCCTAATTCACCACTTGGAGACAGCTTTGGAGAACCTTCAGCACTATCTTTGTTCCTCCATCTTGCCAAGCCTAGAGAAAACTCAACATTGTGAGAAATCGCACCCGGTAAGTCTTTCAAATCATCATCAACCTTTTCTAGACAGCTGCCGTCTGAACTTACTGCCGATTGTTACTCTCCAGACCATCCTTCGGGCCTGCCTATCCTGTTTCCTCCATGGGTCAAGCACCTCGATGTTGCCTTGCCGGCCCCTTCCATTCAGTCCTTTCACCCACAGGCCGAAGACTGATGAAATTTGCTGCCGAACAGTCCTACAAGACGGGCTGAACTCTTCTAGTTCCTTCTTTGTGAATAAATAAGTCCCAGAACATTCTTGAAGGAAGCCTTCCTTCCGTCCCACCTCAGTATTCAACCTCCGAAGACTGTCGAGTCAAACAATCAAAACAAACTCGATCTCGATTCTTTTCGATTCTTCATCCGTCATTCAACGAATTTGGTATCATTGCAAAAGTCATCGACAACATGTCGCCCGATAAGATGGACATCGATGCCGTCGAGACCGCCAGCGCGGCTGTCCCGGCTGATTCGTCTCTTGGGCGCCAGCTCATCCTGTACCATCGTCCCCAGAACCGTCGCCAGCCTCAACAGCGACGTGCCATAGCGTCAGATGACCGTCGACGCAAGAAACAGAGTTCCAGAATGCGCCGTCGTAACGCGAGTAAGTAGCCCCCTCCTCATTCGTCGCCAGAAAAATGAAAGGCATCCAACTGACGGCCTTGGGCAACCCCCCTAGTCTCCGGCCCAAGCACCGGCACCGAGGATTGGTTCGACATCCCGAAATCCATGCTCACACCCGAGGACAAACTCCTTATCGCAATCAACCGAATCCCGACCATCATCCAGTTGACCTTCAAGACCGGCTTCTCCTTCCCTGACCTCAGTTTCATCGACAAGGAGGCCACCATGAACATCTGTCGCGTCCTCGCGCTCAAGGGCCAGCTAGCGCATTTCGAGGGCGACGCCAACCGCATCATCGACTTCATGCGCCTCCTCCTCGACGAGTGCGAGCGATTCAAGCACAAGTACGAAGCCCACACCCTCACCAGCGAGACCGCGAAGCAGAAGCGCGCTGTGCCGGCCTTCTTTAACAAAGTGGCCGAGCTGGTTTCGAAGAGGCAGAACATGGTCAAGGGTAAGGGCGTCGCTTCGTGGATGGACGAAGGTGTCAAGGGTGCTACCTGCGAGGTGATGCTCAACGCCTTTATTGGCGCCCGCAAGGCTTACCTGAAGGATATGGCCAAGGACGGCGAGGGTGACAACGATGATGGTGATGGCGGTGGTGGGGGTGGTGCTCAGGAGGCTACGTACACGAGAAAGACGCTTGGCCTGATTATGGCTCTCGACCATTGGATCGCTTTCACGGAGGAAAAGGAGCCCAAGTCTGAGGCTAAGAGACTTGCTTGGGCCATTGATCGCTTCGAGATGTGAGGCATGAGCTAGCTGGAGCGGGAATGATTACTTTGAGCGAGGAGGTATATGGGGGAAATGGCAGAAGGAACAGAACAGCAATGATGTAACGAGTCTACGACGGTACCCAGAGGTTAGCATCCTTCAGGTTTATTGCTTAGCGTTTTGATGGAATCAAGCTGCCAGAATTGGAACTTTGAGATCAACTACTTGAATCCAGGGAGTTCCTCTGCAGGTGTCATCGCGTGATCTACACGTACATGTTCTGTCCCCTAGATTTCAGTGTGATCGGAGAATTGTACTTGAATCCTTGTCTGGGACGTTGCGTTTGTAAATAACGCACAATCCATCCAACAAAAATACCTGGAAGCCTCCTCGAAATATTCTCAACTTTTGTATAGTGGACAGGTAACTTTACTCTCAAAGTCGATGGTATGTTCCAAATAGCGAGGTAGCCTAAATCCATCTTCCTCCTGGCAGTTGGTGGTACTGTAGATAAAGCAACGAGGTCACTGACCTTCGGCGGATTAGTCGCAAACATCAACGCAAAACTCGGGAGTATTTATCCCCACACGGGATTCCATCCATTTTGAACTCATAGCTAACTGACAGGCCACTTCCATCCGTTATATAGATGCATCGGAGCTGTATTGCCACAAAGATGATTGTCATGATACATGCCATGGCCCATGGACAAAGGTACTGTGTCTGAGCAGTGAGCAAACTCCAGGCAGCCAGCCCTAATACGGTGGCTATATCGGCGCCGCAAAGTTAACTGATGAAAAACGGAGTCTAGGTAATATACTGCTGTACGATCAGCTCTCAAAGCCCTTTAATTAAGGTTGCAGGGGTTGCTGGCGCAGTGCTTCCCGCTGCTGGGCACCAAGACAGCGGCAAGTCTCGTCTACTCCATGGTAGAAGTGACGGATGACTTTGCAGTTGGTGTATTCTGGTCACTTTCTTCAGATAACCGTCGGGTGTGACATCTTTGCTGGAAGTCTTTCTGCCGTTCACACCACACTTTGCTATCTTCGGCCGGCACAGTCTCTCAGACGAGCCATGCCGCCTCGGCATTCAAACACTTCATTTTCATCAATTTTAAATCATGCTTATACTGTTTATCATGACTGTGTCTAGTCTGTGTCGCGTGACTGCAGAGCGGCTGCGGCCAGACTGATTAGATCGCTGAAGGAATGAGGCGACCCCCCTGCCCCCGCTGAGTCTAGCCGTCAAGACTGTATTAATACTCATGGCCAAGGGCCATAGCTAATTCCCCTCACCTTCTCCGTGATAGTTAAGGGTGCGTTTCAGAGAGCAAAAAGGCTTCCGCGCGTCAACTATTTTCGTACCGGGCCGTATTCTGTGGTGGCCGCGAGCAACTCGGCAACCATTTAGTGCTCGTGGAGACTTCGCTCAGATATTCCATCCCCTCATTTTTTGGTCGCTCAACTTTTCCAAATTATGAAGGTCTCACCTGCCTGATCACCTGGTTATCTGAACATAATGTCTTTGAGACAAGAAACACAACATTCATTTCCAAGGGCCAAGGCTTCCGGCCGGCGACAAAGAACAACTTCACATCAATTCAGGCCTTCGGATCAAACGACATCAAGATATAAGTGCAACGCAAGTATCATCGGCCGTGTAGAGGACGATATTGAAGCTGCTTTCTACGGCTGGTGATACCTCAGCTTCGAGAACGAGGGCCTGGAATGCGCGAATCTGGCCTGGCGTTGGATTGGTCTTGGGCTCATGCTGTCCACTTTCATCTGTTTACCGCGAACAGTGCACCATAGCCCGGAGGGTTCAACTTAGAATGTACTCATCAGACGTGACGGTGTGATCAAAGCGTGTTCGGTAGCCGGAGGAGCCGATATTGTGAGCGGAACACCGCCAAGTAAGCTCGATTAGCGGACGGGCTGATACGGCCGACGATGCGTGGACCCCTGAGCAGCTCAGGTTCCTAGCTATGCTGGTTCCATCCGATGGAAAACTGTAAGAGTGATGGCAAAGAAGGTATTCTCGGCTACGAAAGACTTGGATTCCGCGAAAAAGCAACGCAATCCGCTGGGCGTCAAGCAAAGAGGACTGTTCGGCTCAACTGCATTTCTATTCAACAAAGAAAATCATGATGGTCACTGTATTTAAATACTTGCCCGCGTTTCACTTGCTTACGATACCTTACGAGATAGGTTCAAGTTCTCCCACCTCTCAAACTATTTCTCAGTCACTCTGATCTTAACTAATCGATGATCATGCTTATCAAAAGCGCAGTCGCTGCCTGTTTAGCCACCACTGCCCTGGCCGAAACCCAGTTGGGATTTTGCTATGGCTCCCAGAACGAAGATTGGTCATGCAGGGGCTACGAAGACTTCAAGCGGTACTTCGAGAATGCGAAGACTCTAGCTTCCGCTGAAGGGAAGCAATTCACATCAGCTCGCCTCTACACCTCCATCCAGTGCGGCACCACGAACGACCCGATCTCGGCGTACAAGGCCGCTATCGATACCGATACCAAGATTCTCGTCGGCCGGTGGGCCAGCGCCTGTGATGAATCCTACAGCCATGAGCTGGAATCTCTTCTGAGCGCTTCTTTTCAGTACGGCAAGGCTTTCACCGATCTGGTTGTCGGCATCTCCGTCGGTTCAGAAGATTTATACCGAAAGACCTCAGCCGGTAACGAACAGGGCGCCACCGCTGGGGATATTGTTAAATATATCGGAGAGCTCCGGTACGTGATCCATAATGAAATCAATGCATTGGAGAACATACCCGTTGGCCACGTCGACACCTACACTGCTTGGATCCGTCCCGAAAATGCTCTTGTTGTCGATGCCGTCGACTGGCTTGGGCATAAATCCTTCCCCTACTGGGAGTCCAACGAGTCCAACGCTATTGAAAACGCCCCCAACCTGTTCTGGTCTGCCCTTGAAAAGACAAGGAGCTCTGCACGTGGCAAGGACGTCTGGGTCACTGAAACTGGATGGCCGCATGGTAAGCCTCGCCATCACATCTTCATGTCTTTCGATATCTCGGATGCTGATTTCTTCTCCAAGCTGGCCCCCTTTCAGGCGCTGCCGTTGCTTCTGTCGAAAACGCCCATTTGTATTGGAGCAATGTTGGTTGCGCCCTCTTTGAACAGGAAGTCAATGTCTGGTGGTACATTCTGGTCGATTCCAATGCCAACCAGCGCGAGGTCGAGTTTGGTCTTACAAAGACTGGTGATGTCTCGAAGCCTGTCTTTGACCTGAAATGTAACGAAACTCGTCGGGTTTAACATGAGCATATTGCGGAAGTTCAGCGAACAGGTTTCAGTAGATATGTATAAGGGAGCAAACTTTAATACTACTTCTCATACACCTAGAGCCCTTCTGATTTTCCTTTTTGATCGTTGGCATTTTCGTGTTCTCTTCGGCGGTGTTTGGCGTTCCGCGTCGAGTTGTAGTTTGGTTGGGGATGCTAGCCTAGGTCTGATAGATTTGATGGCTAGCTGTAATAATCGCATCAGGAGAGATCTCCTTTAGTGTTCTAAAACTTTTTCTTACTGTCCGGTATCCTCTAATTTGCCATGACAATACTGAGCTTGCAGCATAATTTAACCTTTTGTAGGCTCATCGCGGAAGTCAAGCTCTAGCTGATCGAAATAAGCGGGGAGAGAACGACAAATAATAGATGAGGTAGTTCATCGAGTGGTCCATTAGTAAAGCAGCTCAGATGAGGTTTAACAGTTCCCTAGTAACCGTTATGTGGCGAAGCATAGCGCGGTGGCTGCTTAATATAAGAGGTTGGATCGTGGGCTAAACTAAAGACTATATAGCTGCTTTGACGTTATCATGGCATTTGCGACATGGAGACACGCCCGAGTGTTGGCTCTACCAGCCCAAAAGAAAAAAAGAAAGAAAGAAAAAAACCCCCATTCATCTTTCGCGTGAAGCCCGAAGATTTAGGGTTGAGGATCTATCAGGCAGTACAGGTCTCAGTCTTGTAACTCGAAAAAGGATTTGGGTTGCAACTGCTGAGGGGACAAAGCATCCGCTGTATGACGCGGAAAGAAAGGGATGTTGTATCCGTACCTAAGAGCGATTAGGCTTTTCTCATCAAGTGTTCATTAGTACCGGGGGTGACTGAGGGCAAGATTAGGCGAGTTTCCATAGAAGATTCCTTGAATTGAAAAGTCCAAGTCGCCAAATTAAGCATATGGGATTTTTCATTAGCGATGACCAAAATCCCCGTTTCCGCTGTCGTAACAATGATTGTGTTTCCACGTGGGTAGCATTTTCCGCGTCATTGGCCTGTCTCATGAACCCTGTATCCTTGGCTCTCACAGAGCATCCCCGCACCAACGCACCAACTCATCATCAGTGGCACCACAGATCCTTGGATGGCAGAGCACGATCTTTTCCCATCCAATGTTTGTGTCAGAGCTCCTCACGCCCGTCCCCATGCCAAGCCTTCCTCCTTGCTGGCAGCCTCCGCCACAGCAAACATGGGCGTTTTTCTCAAGCCCCTTTCCCTGTAGGAAATGATCGACCTTGATAGACTGAGGCGTTGTGGATTTGCCACACTTGGAGTACAAAAATACGCCGGTTACGTGGCGCGATTTTGGCGCTGCATTGTTCCAACAGCTGACGATTGATAATTTGACTTCACGACCCATAGCCCTAATTGGCATACCCATAGTATCAATGTTGAACAGATGTGTTCTCGCCGTTGTGGCGCTGTCGACCTTGAGCGATGCTGCTTCGACAAGCCCTCGCATTTTCAACTACAGCGCTCTGAGTTTGAGGGAAGTCGGTGCTCGTAACACAGATGTAATCAACCCCTGGAACAATATGGATTATATTCATGCTGAGCAATGCGATTTCAGGACTGGAGGATATGGCTTGAAAAGGACGGAGATCCCATTTCCTTTTGGCATGACGTGCCAGTTTGGCCGGATGAGAGCAACAAACAAGTGGTGAATCTCGTCGTCGAAGTACCTAGGTGGCAGGACGGCAAAATTGAACTCAAGAGGAACGAACCCCTAAGTGAGTAGCCTCCGATTCTAGGTCGCCTTCTCAAGTTGACACCCTTATCCGTTTGAGATCCTATCGTTCACGACTCTTTGAACGGCGCTCCTCGGTATGTGGAGAACGTGTGGCCACATAAGTCATACCCTTTCATCTACGGCTCTATCCCGCAAACATGGGAGAGTCCAAACTACAACCATTCCTTCACTCGCCTCCTGGGAGACAACGACCCTGTAGACCTCTTCGATATCGGTCAAGAGTAAGTCACAGAGTGACTCTAGGGGTAGGCCTTGTGTTCGATACTGAGACTAATATCACATTCAGCCGCGGTTACGTCGGTCAGGTGAAACAAGTCAAGATTCTCGGTGGTCTTGCCTTGGCTGACGTAGGTCTATAATGTTGTCGGCTAATTGTGTGAGGTGTGCTGATACTATTCTTTATAGGACAACGAAACGGACTGGAAAATTCTCGGCATCGATGTCAAGGATCCCATGGCATCGATCATCAACTGTGAGAATATTGGCAAATTTGAGAGATAATAGTCCATGAACTGACTTGTCCTAAGCGTTCGAAGATGTTGAAAAGTATCGCCCTGGAACCATCAAGACATTCCGAGACTGGTGGGCAGTGAGTGTTCCAGTCATAACCCTTGAATGACCCGACTAACGAGTGTGCAGCATTACAAGGTGGCCCGTGGTGACCCAGTCATAAATATTATCGGGGACTGGTACCAGAATGTCACCTATATGCAGAGCGTCATCGAGGAAAGCCACACGACCTGGGCAGAGTTGATCAGAGGGGAGGTCGACTCTAACGAAATCAACTACAACCAGACCTCTCGACCGGACGTTGAAAACAGCTTTTTAAATAAGAGCTCAACTACAGCGAGATTTAACATTCCAGCAGAGAGCAGGGTTGATCCTGCTGCTCCGAGGCCGGAGAAAGCTGAACGTTGGTATTACCTGGACAGCGACTCCAATTTGATTGTTGTTCCCGAGACACAACGTACATTTCTCAACCGACAACAAGCCTAGCTTTTTTTTTTTGTGTTGAAAAGAGCTTCGTGTTCTTTCAAACTCACGGAGTGTCATCAGCAGTCTGTATTGATTTCGGGGTCACTGATATTGACGAATTGAGGGTGTTGATGGAAGTGGGATCTCTCTGTGGCTCAGCAGGCTTTGCGGGTAGAAGTAACGAGTAATGGACGACACAAGAAAGTACCAAATTTGATCTAGACGCCTGGTATTATTAACGAATGATTTCCCTCGTTCCTATGCTTCCTTCTTCTCTTTCCACCACTTCGTGAAATCCGATTCTCTGACTCGCCCCCCTTCCTCTGTGCCTTCGTGGATTCTTCAGGTCAGAAGACCCACAAAATCCCGCAGCCCTACCCGCGAGCTTAATTCTGACTTTTCCCGATGTGACACCTTTCCCGCCCATCTTCAACGTCGTTCCTTTTTCCTGGCACTAGCTGTACATCAACTCAAGCACTCGGGTAAGCCGTCACGTTTCCCGGTCCACATATTGAGCTCAATTCATCATCGTAACGAAGTCGTTGTATGGTTGCCTTTAAACACAACGACTGAAGAAAATTTGCATGCAACAAACGAAGTCTCTTTCATGAGTCAGGCGCCCTATCGACCCCCGCCAACATTAGTTTTCGCTCGTCGATACACTATCATATCAGCGTCCAAATCAGGAAATCGTCAACAATGGATGTCTCGGTCGATCACCCAGAGGAGTTTGACAGGGATATGTTTGATGACCGAAATCCAGTCCAAGCCAGTATACCATCTGTTGCCACATACCTTGGAGCCGATGCATCACAAACGGAATACATCAACCCAGTCAAAACCATAGGGGATTTATCGACTCTCATGGCCAATGAGGGTGGCAAGTCTAGCCAAAACAGCGCAAGCCAGCAAAGAGATAGGGGACGAGACGTCAAACGGAGTGCCCGCGAACTACCCAGCCGGAAGAAAAGCCCAGAGCAACCGTACAGACACGTCAGGCAATCGGCGAAAGTAGAGAAGAAGAAGTCCAAAAAGTGGAAAAGCAAGACCGCGGATTCTTCAAAGCTTTCCTCCGAGTTGAATCGCCTCCTCGTCGGCGACGACACCACCGCCGGCACCTCGCTCGGAGAATCGCCTACAGCGTATAAAGTTCAACACCCTTTACGAGCTGCCCTACACAATCTTCCAGGCTTTGCATTCGACGATGAGCTCGACAGCATCATATTTGGGAAGCATCGACGCGTCTCGTTCGGCCTTGCAGAACTCATGGAAGAAGGTGGGCGTGACGCAATCAAAGTCTGGCTCGAAGAGTTCCTCTTGCTCGCTTTTCAGACGATGGAAACCATAGTCGCACGCTATCCTCGGTACAATGATTTGGATGAGGTTCCGATGGGATTCGTCTTCCTGGTCAGAGAGATGGAGTCGGCCACCGAGAAGTCGCCAGCGTATCCGACTTTTTCACGGGCCCGGAGAGTCATGGAGAGACGGATTCGTCAAAGCTACGACTTGCGAAGGCTAATTGATTGGGTCCTTGATGCTCGTCGACGATTTCTTGAATCCAAACCAAAGCCTATGCCTGGCTTTGGGGTCTTTGGACAGATGGTATTGGAGGAGGGAACGGAGCTCGAGAAGCAGTTATGGGCAGTCGTCGATGCGAAGACAAGCGGTACAGCAAGATATACATTATTTTGAGATGTCAAAGACAGTTTAGTTTCAGGCTTTGAAGCATGTTCATCATCAACCATGTGAGGGAGGGAAAGTGGAACTCCGCCTCCTCTATAACGACCTTGCTCCTATTTTTGAATAGACTCGTGACTGCGGACTCTTGCCTTTTCAGCGTCGTTTACGTCCCCTGAGACCTTCTTTGCCACATATCTGCCCGGGTGCCAGATAGAGAGCAGAATCACCGCCAAGACCACGGGTGCAAACTCGAGCACGCCAAAGAAGACCTCGTTCGAGTAGAGATATCCCCCAAGACCCTCCGCAGTCTCGGCAAGACGGAAGCAGGTCCGTAGGTAAATGAGCAACGTCGCCGCCGAAAACACAGCCACAAATGTTGTATGCCTGTGCTCCCTGATTGAGGCTTTAGCGCGGAAGAGGAAAATCGACGTGGTGATGACGAAGCATCCGATGGAAAAGACCTGGTACGCGAGGCCTCCGAGCAAAATGTTGTTGGCAGTGGTCGGGTCCTCGCGGCGTGATTGCTTGACTCCGATCAACGCGGCACCCGAGATTTGCGTAATGGTCGCGATGGCGTCCGACGTGATGAAGAACCACAAGACCACCTTGGGCGGCAACGGCGAGAACTGTCTCCCGAGACGGTGGATGAGCGCGGAGAGAATCGTGTAGATACCGGCGGAGAGGAAGACTGGTGCCGTGACAATGAAGAAGTAGTTGAGGATAAAGTAGATGAGGTTATACGGGTTGGCTTTGGCGGAGAGGGAGCGGGCGACGTAGCCGACGATTTCGAATAGGAGGCCAATGGGGAAGGTGACGAAGTACCAGCTGCGGTAGCGGATGACCTGCCACGTGTGGACGAGGAGGAGGAGGAGGAAGAGAGCGTCGGCGAGGACAGTGAGGACAAAGGATGGGGTGTAGCCGTAGATTATTACTGGCGTGTCCCATCTTCCTCCGGGGTTGACGAAGTTTGGGTCGACATAGCCGTATGTGCCTTTGTCGGTAATGTTAGAGACGAGCCATGAACGTTTCACCGCCTAGGAAAACTTTCTCACCTCTTTTCTCACTCATCGTTTCGTTTTTGAGAGGCTTCGCCTAAAAGCGATTTTGGGATGGAGACTTGGCGGTCTGGTTTGGGAGAGAATGTGAACTGCTAGGCCTCATGTCAACGGAGGGATCCTTCAGATGGAACGGTAGCCTTTTAGTAGCGGCGATACGGGCAGATAATAGGGGGTTCCTTCACAAGAGACGTGTCGGTGACTGAACGATCTGTTCAGGGATGGTATCATACCGCAGATCGAAAACTACGGTTCGGAACGGCCTGCCAAGCTGAGACCTCGTGGCTGTTCACCCTTGTCGATGCTAGTCGGTGGGGCTTGGGGTCTGTAAGGCATGCCCTGCGAGCCTTGACATATCTACCTGAGCTGCATCTGTACTTACTTTCCAATATCTGCCCCCGTTGCCTCATGAGACTGCTTGCTCAGCATACCGTCAGACTTTTTGTACATCAGCTGGAAGAGTCACGGCTGGCTGGTATCAAGTTACCCCCGCACACATCAGAGACCACTTGGCCAGGAAGAGATGAACTAGAATTATGATCTTCGTCAAAGGTCATTATTCCAGGGTCGAGGTCTATGAATCATCATTCCGTATACCCTTGTCTGGTCTTTAAGCCACATTCTTATTTAGACAAGCCTGCATGACATGCACGTGGGCGTGCTCGTTTTGGATATCCAGCCGACTCGGAGCCCACCGTAGGGCCCTTCTCGGCCGATACAAGATGTAAGTGCTTAATACATATCACTATTGCCCACGGGTTGTTCACAATACTGTCTTGAATTGCTCATCAGATTCACTCCTGCCTTCATGGCCAAAAGGTCATATAATTTCTCGTAAGGTAAGCCGAAAAGAGGATCCTCACGTAAGGGTCTTCAGTTCCAGATATCGGGTTTTCAGGCAGGCTCTACCAGTCAGTAGCAATGGAGACATTCGGTTTTTCTATTTCCTCGATCCAAGTGGTCTATCCTGCGAATTGATTGCCATTTCTGTAATGTCCTCCGAGCAGGAGCTCGCACTTCGGCAATGCCAAGAAGCCCGAGGTCCGGGGTTTAGTGGGGCTCCAAGCCGTTGCGGCACATGATTTCAATGTGGCGCAGAGTATAGAAGATTCAATTCTCTTATTTATCTTGCACTTTCCTGGGATTAAGCGTCAAGTTGCTGATGGTGGCGATTTATCACAAATTCTTTCGGTTACAACTGATATTTTGAAGAACAATACTGCTGATTCGAGAGTCGGCTTTCCGGCAGCAAGATGAAGCAGGCTTGAAATGGCTATTGCCATGTTCTGAAATTCTACAAAGATTATGTATCCAAAGTTGACCTGAATGGACATTCTCTCTGGAAGAAACGGTGGTGATTTGCTGTGCCTCAAACAAGTGACTAAATAATAATTACCCCACGGAGTTGAGAAGTGTCCTTGTCCACGCGACTAAAGTCAAGAAGTTGATAAAGATCAAAGTCCCGATATTCCAGGGTATTTTTTCCTCAATCAAGTGCTTGGAGGAACAGCTGGTTGGTTTGCTGTGACTGCTGCAGGTGGATCGCTGTGTCGTGCTGTGGGATGAAGACCACTCCGTTAGTGGAATCGCAGGACTGGATCTTCACTCCTGTGTAAGTCAGTTTCAGAGAAAGAACATGAGGTCTCCGAGACATAATCTCATCCATCGAGTCGCTTATGGGAGCACTTGCCAAAGATGCCAAGTAACTTAAGGTAGTCTCGTCGTACTGGAGAGCAGACAGGCAAGGCCGGTGATGGGTATCACGTCTATTGTCTATACATTACTATTCTATTTTCATATACTCGTCATGCGTCTGCCTCATTTCTGAATGGCAAACGCCTCTCGTGCTGTCCTACTACTCCTCGCAAGACTGTCGCCGAACCTGATGAAGATGAAAGGGATCACTCCCATTGCCAACGCAATGAACCCCAAAACCGACGGAGCCCAGTGGACGCCAAGGTTACCGTACATCTTGCCTGCCGCCAGAGGCAGCGTGATGGCTCCGATTGAGCGCGTCATGCTGGCTGCTGCATGTGCCGAGGCAGAGTATTGCCGAAAAACGTCGGTCAGGTAGTTGATCATGCCCATGAAAAGCAGGTTGAATCCGCAGCCGAAAAGGACTCCACTAAACATGGGCAGAATGGGGGATGTGGAGGGCCATACGGTCCAGCCAAGCCAAAATAGAGCGATGACCATCCTGGTGAAATGAGCGTTAACCATGACGCCCAGTTTGTTTGCATATAATTTGACATGGATGAATCAACATACTGGGGAGCAGCTATGCATGCCAGAGGCAGTCTGCGATTGATCGGCTTCTGAGCCCATTCTGCTCCGGCTTTGACTTGTTTGCCATGATACCATGTCCAAGACGAGAAGATGACAAGCGCAAAGAAGACTCCAAGGACCACTGGCCAGACACGTTAGCTTATTCGGCTTCAAAGTTCGGCAAAGGGGTCATCTCACCTGGCAGAAACGCAAGTCCAGCCATTCCTGGCGACATGCCATAGAAATCTCGGAAGACGAATGGATATGCCTGGAATAAGAGATAAAACACAGAGTACGCCATTGTGAGATACGCAGACGTGGCCATGAGGATCGGTTCGGTGAACAGGAGCTTCATGGGTCGAAGGAAGATCTTCCGCACGTTGAATGGCTGCAACTCCAGTTGTTGTTGCTCTTTCCCATCGACTACGCCCTTGTTCCGCTTTAGCTGCCTCTCAGCTGCCTGATTATGAAGAACAGGTGCATATGTCTCGGGCAAAGTGAGAACCAGGGGCAGTCCACAAATCGCGAGGATGCCAGCGATCCAAAATGGCCATCGCCAGGACACCGGGGACGAGAAACCTGAGACTATCGGTCCAATCAGTGGGCCGACAGTCGTGACCGACATGTAGAGTGCCATGGCGTTTCCTCGAACCGCGGGGTTATCGAGTATATCGGCATAGAGCCCGCCGATAACAGTTGTTGGCGCTGCCGCGTTGATGCCGCAAAGAAGACGGAAGATGAGCAGAACCGGATAAGTCGGGGCTCCGGAGCAGGCCAACATGAAGACAATGTATCCGCAATATGTGCCGATGAGTACCGGACGTCTTCCAATATACTCGCTTAATGGTCCAAAGAGCAAGGGCCCAAGCACGTATCCGCACATGAAAAGCGAGTTGAGAAGGATAAGGTGGACGCGATCAGAGACTCCGAACTGCTCGCTAATTGCATCCATTGCCCCTGAAGGCATCGATGATCCGAGATTGCCATTGAAGGTGCATGTAAAGCCGGCCACCACAATGTGCAGCTTGCGCATCTGAGATAAATTGTTAGACTACTCACATGCAGTCTTTCTTGAAGCATAACTTGATTTCGGATGATAGATTTGACTCATCGTTCAGTCGAAACCTTGTTTTACGCAAAAGCCAGTGCACTTACAGGTGACAACGTCGTAGCGTCAAGCAGATCCTCCCTCAATTCCTTCAAAGATGAACCGTCAGACGTGTCGCCGCTCGTCTCCACATCGGTCATGGGCTCTCGTTTGGTGTCCCCATTCTCTTCGTCGGTATATTCGAATGGGCGCGCGTCCATCGTAGGCATTGATCACTCAAGTGGTTGTGGTCCTGACTGTGCATTTTGGTATGACCAGACTGAACCAGCCGGTTCCTCTTATATGTCCCGGAAACTTCATCTTAGTCTATTGCTGCCCCAATATCAAGAAACTTTTTCAAGACCCTGCTAAAAATTTTTACGTATTTGGTTCCATTTTCCTCCTGCCTTCGAGATTTCGCAACTCTTCCGGGAGTACTGCAAATCATTTTCCATGGCTATCATCGGCTAAAGTGAATGATTCACAGCTGCCCGAGTTCCCGCAACTAACAGAGATTGAAGGCCAGTGAAGAATGGAAAGGTTTTTAATTGGCTCGCAGGGCCGAAACTGTAAATTTCTGCTGACATAACTTCCGAACCCGCGCCTCTCGGCAATTGAGTAATCCGCAACAACTTCCGACTTATATCCAGTCTGTCCACACCACCTCCACATCCGTCAGGGTTTGCGGCAAACAGGGCGCCTGTGATGCTACGATCGAACTCAGATTCCGCTCGGAAAATACAGGTCTAGACTGCGGCTTACTGCTAGAAGCGAGTCATGTCAGGCGTAGGGCGCAGAAGGGCGTCTTCCTCGACAGGTTCGGCATCTAACCAGGCTTCGAAAAAGCCGAGAACTAGTACGGCGCCCCCCGATGCTCCTCATTCCTGTGTCACTGGGCTCCTCCCACCTCAAGAAGCATTCTGACCGACACTTTTTGTCTCTGATTACCAGACGGAAGGGCTTGTGTGACATGCCACCAGCGGAAAGTGCGTTGCGACGTTCTCGAGAAGGGCGCGCCATGTTCCAAATGCCAGGTAAACAACATTGCCGACTGTCGGATCTTCGAGAAGAAGAAAACGAGGTCGTCTTCAGCAAGGGTGCCGCGGAGCCCCAATATCTCTATCCAACCAAGGCCAAATGCGACAGCACACGGCTCTAGACCAACAACCACACCGACAGCATCGAACGCAGCAAGTCCATGGGCGCCGGTCAACGTAGCCGGAGACTCGGGTCCGGACTCAACCCCAGGAAATGACTTCACTGCTCAGACTCACTATGCCACCGAGCTCGCAACGCGAAATCTGGCCGACTTCCTTGACCGGGAAGAAACGGGATATCAGGAATTCCTGCCAAGCGGCCGGCTATACTTTATCGGTACCGAGTTCTCAAACCTGAACTATCTCGTTCGGCAGCGATCTCAACGGCCCGATCAGCATGTTCTACATTTCGGGAGTCATCCCCTCGCCCCAAAGATGTCTTCAGTGCCACCCGAGGCATTAGAGCTTCCCATCAAGGCCTTGGCTGATGAACTCGTCCAAGCGTACTTTCTGCACATCAATCGTGGTATTCCCATTGTCGACGAAGAATTCTTCATGAAGAAGTATAACAACACCGAGACCAATGAAGACTTTGCCAGGACACGGCCATTGTCTTTGCTTTTGCTGAACGCCATCCTACTCGTCGGAGCCCATGTCTTGTCCAATCAGCGCGATGAGCTGAAGGCTATGAAAGCAGTCTTCTTCAAGCGAGCAAAAGCTTTGTTCGACTGTCGTTTTGAGCAACATCGTGAAATCTATTTACAGGCCGCTATCCTTCTGACCTGGCAATGCGACGACCTTGAAGATGTCATTTCGAACTCGTGGCACTGGATCGGGATCGCTGCTCGAACGGCGTATGGAATGGGTATGCATCGAGACGCTACACCATCGAGTTTGAACGTTATGGACAAACGTCTATGGCTGAGGTTATGGTGGACTTTGTATCAATATGATGTCTTGGTGTCCATGGCGCATGGTCGACCTCAAGCCATGTAAGTATATTGCCAAGCCAGGCCCCCACACTAATCTGTAATTTCTCCATCATACTCCATGCTGACTCCTGATCCTTGACGTAGCAGCCTGGAGGATTCCGACGTACCACTCATCGAAGAACGTCATCTCGAAGACACACCGGAAGCCGAGGCGTCCTTCATAGTTCAGCATACCCAACTGTGCATTATTTTCGCAAAGGTCATGAAGAAACGAGTAGCTCTCCGCTGTAAAGAAGAGGACAAGGTCACGGCCACAAAAGATGCCGACGCCGCCCTTGCTGAGCTGGTCACCAACCTACCTGAACGACTGCAGTTGTCCTCAAGGGATCCAGACATATGGCAGTCAATGTTCCACATCACCTACAACAGCTTTCTCATTCTTCTTCATCGGCCACCCCCTCGCGCACTACCGGGTCCCTCTTCAGTAGAGGCAGGCAACGACTTGAGCATATGTTCCGATGCAGCGGCTACAATCGCGTCCATCTTTGAGTCGTTGCGGAAGCGGGACATGTTGGCCGGCTTATGGCTTCCAAGCCTTCACATGCTCTTCACAGCTCTAGTGCATACATCAAGCCAGATGCACTCCAGCAACCCGATCGTCGCAGCCAAGTCGAAGCGTCATTCAGAGTCCATGATACAGACACTGCACGCAATGAAATCTCAGTGGTTATACGCACAGAGTCTGTTGAACCTATTCGAACCCAAACAATTTAGAGGCCGCGGCGGTATCCAGCAGTCCACCCAGCTGGGCCCTACGAGCATCCGGGTAGGCGGTGATGGAGAACAGGACCATCACCAAATCAGCAGCTCAAGGATCTCGCTGCCTTCCGACATTCTCAGATTTGACGATAGGAATTTTGCTGGACCGTCAGCATCTGTAGGGGAGGCTCATCCAGGGCGCCCTTTCATTTCTAGTTCGACTTATGCTTCGCAAAACACGAATACAACGCACGAGCATGGCCTCGCTAGAAATCCGGTGGAGCAGTATGCGGCGGCTGTAGTCGGGAACATGTCTCAAGACGGCCAGCATTACGGAACCGGCTTTGTGGGGGACGACATGGGCCTTACTGATGCTGATACCATGGATATGTTGCAGTTGCCATCGGCCCTGGAGTTTCTGCTGGCCGGTGCTGGCAACAACTTTGACTTCTAATACTTATAGAGCAGAACTCAGAGGGTCTCGGAAGAATCACGAGCACCGCGGCCAAGTCTGTCAGAATCTTGAAGCGCTGGTAGGATATTTGCCAAAGAATAGGCATTGGTATATTGTTACAAAGCCGAGGGACAGCAGTTACCAGTCAAAACATTGAATATCATATTTCAACGAATAATCAGGTGAAGTGTGATTCTCCATTTTGTGAAACTGCGCTATACAACTTGGCTAATAAAACATTTCATACCAACGTTGTCCTACATATCACTGAATTATCTGCCAAACCACATTAGTTGCCAAATGTATCATAAACGCTCTTACGCCAGTAGAAGAATCCCGCAAGCGGCGCTCCAGGACTAACAACAAGCCTACTGGCGATGGACCCCCAAAGAGCTCTTGAAGATGTATATTGTGGCCACGGGCACCCTAACCCAATAGGTCAGACTGGGTGAAAATACGATTACACCCGCACGACCCGTCAGTTTCTCCAAACTTTGTGAAAGGTTCTGTTGGCAGCTAATTCGCCGATCCGTCTAAGGGGGGCAGGGATTCACCAGAGTGTTCTTCGGTGGGGAAGTAGCCGGGGCTCTGTTCATGGCCGATGCGCGACATCTCTTCCTGAACGGTGCTGTGGATGCCTTCTGCTCCAACCACGAAATCGCCCTTGTATGCCTAGCCATCCTTTACGTGTATCTTTACGTGTACAAGCACGCCTTCCCTGAGCAACTCAATCTTATTCACCCGTTTTTCTGGAACAATTCTGTTCTTGATCTTCAGGTTATCTTAGAGAACCTGAAGAAGCATCTGTCTGTCAATAAAAACGGTAGGGTACCCGATGCTATTCGGAACTATGAAAAGTAGCGACGCAGCCGGGCTGTAGTGCCAGCCTCTTCTACGCCAACGTACCGAGATTCTAAATTATGGACAACTTCAGCGCTGGGCGGTTCCAAGGCTTTGCCATCCGAGCTGCGAAGACTGGGTCCCTGAACTTTGAAGAGTACGCCCGGTGACAGGCTGCTCTGCGAATCGTTGAAGAGCTTGAGTTAAGTTCATATGGTTTTTCAAGGCTTCCTTTCTCCGCCGGTAGTACTGTCAGACTGATATAAGTGACGTAACAAACGCGGCATGGGAAACTGGTCCGACATCTCCGTTTCGAACATTTTCTTGGTTTATACGACTTCGCAAAGAGCTATGCTTGGTTACTCTGGATGTTTAGCGCAACTACCCCTTCTTTCCAAGTCTCCCCTGTTGCGGAGGGGTTTGGCAAAGACCACGCCAAAAACTAATTCGAGCCTGAGTTGTGAGTGAAGCTCATATCACAATCAAGCATAGCCCGATGTAGTTATGAGGGACGCAGTGACAGACTCGCCTTACTATTTCGAGGTCGGCAAGGAACTCCGAGGCCATGTCCACGCACCAGTATCTAATTCATTGACTTCTGACCAGTTAACATCACGAGTGTTATCCTGGGCACGCGAAGACATGCTACTTGTAAATTCTTTTCCTCCGCCTCGAGACAGCTTGACATTATCTGGTACACAACAGCGTTTGCACAATTCTCAGTGCCATTCTAGTACTAGATTATCCAGCCTGTACAAGGATCGAGGCAAATCTCTTCGGCTCAACCTCGACGGCTTGCCCTGGCCTTTCGCTGGGCTTACAAAAGCAACTTGTTGTTGTAGGTTTGGCGCAGAACCAGTGCCTTGTCAAATTCCCACCATTTGACTTATTTGTCTCTCTGGGTAGCCCCAGTCATCGCTTTCTTAAGATTTGTAGTGTTGAAAAAGAATAAAAGATGAGGCCGCCCCAGCCTTGATGCGCAACGCCGGCGAATAAAACAAGAGATCTTAACCAGTCGGTAGGGTTCACTTCATGCTCAAACCACCAAACACCCGGTCCAGCTCCGCGCCTTGGTCGTTCAGCGGCATCTCGCTGGTCCCCGCTATCGCCGACGTCTGCTGCGCCGCCTCCTCCCCCTCGGCTGACCCGCCCACCTTTTCCGGCTCGAGTATCCGGGCTTCGCTGTCGAGCCAGCCGGGTGCGACCCTCCTCTTCTCAGCCAGCTCTCGCTCCTTTATCCTGAATTCGAGGTCCCGCAGATCACGCTCAGCGTCCTCCTGCATCTTCGTGATGTGTGCTTGTAGCGCACGACACGAGGCGATGATATCATCCGGGTGGGCAGCGTGTCCCGACTGCGAGATAACATACTTGGGTTTGTTTGCGGAGGTATCGCCACTCCCTGTCGCGGCTGCTGCGTCGTCGATGACGGCGGCGGGTACGCCTGTTGCTGAGGGAGGGAGGGCTGAGGGCATCGCCTTGTAGTTGTAGGAGAGGGTTGTTGCGGCGGGGAGGGAGATGAATGGGGAGACGGTCAGGGGCACCTGCTCGAGGAGCGGATGGGAGCCTATGGGAATGATTAGTGTCTCTAGATCGATACAGAAACAAATAAAGGGGGAATGCGTACGGTTGCTATACATGATGGATGGCAACTCTTGCCTTTGGTAGGTAGGTGTTAGTGTGCAAATGAGGGTGGGACCGGACTATATGAACCGTTTCGAGGGTCATACAAGCTCGTTCAGGGTAGCAAAATTCCTCGTTGGAGTTTCCTGATACTTGAAAGGCCCGTAGACGAGAGAGTGCGCAGATTGTCCTGTTTGCGCCAGTTGAGGGGAACTCGTCAACTACGCGCAACGCAAGGAAAGAGATGCATTGCGAATGCGTCTCAGTCCGAGGCCAGCGATCGGACACTGGGAGAATGTCGGTGGATAGAGCTCAGACCCCTCTGAGCGTTTAAGCGGGGCTCGAGGACAACCCTGCTGACCAATGACTAGTTGCCTGCTTCACCGCCTACTTCTTCTGATTACCTAGCAAATCTCCCACTTCCACCACTTTTCTCAAATTCATCACGTGGTGATAGCGATAAGAGCTTCACTTTCCCCTGCTCTGAGCCAAGCACCCCACCATGAAGGGTCTCACAGCTCAGCCAAAGCAGAGTCCTTTCAAGGATCTCTTTCACATCATCAGCATGTTGCCCACAACTATCCGCGCGCCTCCTTCGCTTGGAGACTTCACTCCAATTGAAGAGCACCAGGCGCAAACCCCCGAGACCTTTTTTGGGGGGAAGCCCGTCTTGTATTTCCATCACGAGGGTGCCAAAGCATGGATCCCGGCGTCGCAAAAGGGAAGCTTGGCCGTCTTCCCAGCTGACGCCTCGACTACGGCCTCGGCCCCCGATGGCACGACCTTAAGAGAGATTACCGAGGAGCTGGTGGAGCAGCAGGTTTCCGTCTTCGTCACTTCGGAGTATGATTCCCATCCAGCTACGTCCTTACTGCCTCCTACTAATACGCTGCCCAGGAACTTCACTATCTTCTCCCCAGCCCAAGGCGCTGGCGTGCAGATCCCCTACCCCTCCATCTCCATCCACGCCGTGAAGCAGGTCGGAACCATCTCCGAAGGCATCCCTCTTCAGGCCATCTGGATGCAACTGCAGCTTGCCGATGGCGGTGACGGTGACGACGACTTCGATACGATCGACTTGACTCTCATTCCCGCAGTCACCGCTGGCGCCCAGGCCGACATCCAAAAGTTCTACGACGCTATTTCAGCATGCTCGGATCTTCACCCTGACCCTGTCGATGAGGAGGATGAAGAAGAGGACGGCCGCATTATTTTCGAGGGCGAGCATGAGCCGGTCGAGGGTTATGAGGGAGTCCTGTATGGTGCCCCCGATGGAGGCTTGCCTCCTGCCTTCCCTGGAAGCGGAGGCTGGATTACGGCAGAGAACGTCCACGAGCACTTTGACGCCGACGGCAACTGGATCGGTCAAAATGGTCATCAGGACGAGGTGGATGAGGGAGGCCAACTGGGAGAGGGAGCCGGTCGGGTTCGCGATCACGACGAAGCCAACAACGGCGTCAACGGCCATGACGACCCGGATAACAAGCGTCCACGCGTTGACGAGTCATGAGCCGGTACGGCAATCGGTGCGTGGGAAGTGACGAGGAACGACTCAATTGATATCATGGATAGGAATCGGGCTCATGAAACCGACGTAAGAATATCATTCTTTTTCGCGTTGAACCGCAAGCACTGTCCTAAGTTTGGACATGGTAGACACTGGCTTTTTTGTATATTTAATTCGTTGATTGAGTGATTCTTGTATCTGTATCATGCTAATTGCTACTAGGTATTACAACATAAGACGCCGTGCTCAGCTTAGGAATATTCAACCCAGAAAAAAGTACTCGCTTTCCGTCGCTGGACGCAACACCCTAATCAATATGGTTCACTATGGGACAAAGGAAAATGTGTCGAGACCTAAACCCTCATATTTGGGCTGTGTCTCTCAGCTCCCGCAGTAAGGCTGTCTGGGGAGCTTAGCAGATAGTCCTCTTTGCTGTAAGCTCCCAAGCTGGTACCGCTGTCTTGGTGCTTGATGGGCCTTTCCAGATGCTTCTGGTCTCCAGCATTGGCGTTGGCGCTTCTTGTTCGCGTGGGACTTTCCACCGTCACCACTTTATCTCTAGACCCTCCTCTTCCGGCACTCCTGGGCGTCGGGTTGAGTGGTCGTGGTCCTCGGATCAAAGAACCGCTTCTCATCTCGTTTTCCTTCTCTTCAACTGCGGCATATAGCGTATCGAGGTGCTTGTTCCCCCCCGGTCGACTTTTGAGCACAGCAATGGAGTTCCTGGCCGATTTGATGGACTTGGTCCGCTTCGCAGTTGGACTCGTGCCAAGGGACAAGTAGTTTTGCCGGCCCATTTTGCTTACGCGGCTGTTGCTCCTGTCGGGACTGAATCCACCTCCCCTCAAATTTGGCAGCGTCGGACTGTCAGGATCCGAGATGGACGAACCAGCGCTGAATGTGCTCATCTGGCTGTTCATACGGCGAAGCTGGGCCACGGTAGACTGAAGTCCCATTACCGCGAAGTCTCGATGGTATGAGTCCCGCTTAGGTGAACTGGATGGCTTGAGCACGATCGCGGGGCACCCGGAACTAGAGAAGACACCCTCGACTCGGGACTCTCTAGGTGTCGGCTGTCTCGACAACGCGCGGTCACGAATAGGACTGGCCATGCCGCGCTTGTATCGCCTCGGTGTGGGAGATCCTCCACCTGAAAGGTTAGGACTTGGCAGGGGCCTTCGAGTTGGCGAACCAGGAACCGGAGACCCAGAGGCGCCGATCGATTGCCGCCCGGCGCGACCTGGGGAAGAAGGGCTATCGCGCGATCCCAACATATGTCCGTCTGGGCTACCCGTGATCAGGGCCTCTCGGTTTGGTGATCCCGGGCCAGCTTTCAAGTTCAAAGGCGGTGGAATGATGCTCCCCCTGGAACCGAAAGTCAACCTGTTGTTCGGCATTGGAGGCCGGCTACTGTTGTCCTCGGGAGACGTGCCCGGACTGGCTCTCATGCTAACAACACTGTTACTTGAGACGAGGAAAACGGGCTTCATCGACATGACGCTCTTCGGGCGTATGGTCTCGGGCGATGGTGCCAGGTCGGACGGGTGCATCATGATGGAGTATCGTGTCTGGAGCTGGTCGGCCGTGCTGCTACGCTTGACGACGTCCAGCGGTCTCGGCATAGGGGAATTGGCGACGGACTTCGAGTTCGTAGGAGTGCGCATCACGATTTCCTCTTCAGGTGGCGTAAGGCGTCGAAGGGGCGGCAAGCTGGAAGACTGGCGTTTGGGACTTCTTGGAGGCACTTCTGGCGGGCTTGGTGTGATGAACGGGTCGCATATTTGAGTATCGATGACGAGACTCCTCGGTTTCCTACCGCGGATGGTGCTGTCAGAGTGCCCAGTACCACCGGTTTTGCTGTCATCTTCGGGTTCATTGACACTATACAGAGTCGACAGAGATGACGAGGCATCGCTCCCGGGAGACTCTATCGACGCGCCGTTGTCGACAGACTTGCTCGGGGACTCGTGTTCGGATCGTCTGCTGGGACTCGATAGCCCAGTTGGCAAGATGTGTTCAACTTCCGGAGTTGTTTCACCAAATAAGCTGTCAGCATCCGAAACAGCCGACGACTGTGAAGTATTCCTCTTGTGGTGGTTCGGAGTCTGAACGAGCACCGGGACTACCATTCGCTTCGACGGACTAGGCGTGCGAGCCCGCTGGGCGTTCAGGTCCAATGCCTGGCCGACGTGTGTCAACACCTGAGTCTTTGTCGGGGATCGAGATCGAACGGGAGAATGGCTCTTGACTGGTGACGGGAGCTTCATCGGCGACTGAGCCTTGATCGGGGAATACGACTTTGTTGGCGACCCGCGCGGGGTCTTGACGCTGGACCCAGCGGATGCAGAAGCGGCCCTCTGCCGTGTGGCCGGCCGGCTGTTGGATGGCGTCCCACTCTGCAGCCTCTGCTCCGTTGAACGCAAAATATCGGCCAGGTCCGACTCCGTCGTCTTGTGCCGCAGTCGCTGTAACGGCACTGGCCGAGGTCCTGGTCCTTGTGGGCTCGGGGCCGCAGGCACTCCGCCCCTTGCCGCGGCGGCCAATTTCTCAGCCAGCTCGTACGATGCCGTCCTTGGCAACGGCATCCGCAAAGGCTGCCCACGCTGTGCCGGCATGCTGACCGGCCGAGGCTGCTCGAAGGAGTAATTTGCAAAGTCGTCCTGGAAATGTCCATCCGACTCACCCTTGTGTCCAAACAGATCCGGCAAAGTCGGCGTGCGGAGGATGAAGCTGTCGCGGATACTCAGCCGCCGGCCGTCACTCTGCACCCTAGGTCCGTGGATTGCATCCTCGTCGATCCAGCTGTTATTCCTCCTCAAGTGGCCCCCACGCTGCTGCCCCCCAGCAGCCTCCGCCGGCGCGCTGAACACGCTCCAAGTCTTACCCCTGGGCACGCTGATGATGGAAGAGAGCGAGCGGTGGGGGCGCTTTCCCTGGACCTCCACCATGCCAGCGTACGGCTCGCCCGGCTTCGGCTTCGTGAGGCGTCGCGGACGCGGGCTGGGCGTGTGGATTGAGCCGCCGTCCGAGTCGAGATCGAGTCTTGCTCTGGGTGTTGTCAAACCGGCTCTTGCGCGGGCTCGGTGGCGGCGGCCTGCTAGGGCAATGAGGACGAAGGCGAGGCAGATGAAGAGGAGGACGCCGCCTCCTATGGCGATGGCGAGTACGAGAGGTAGGGTCATCCCACCGCCGCCGCCGTCTCCCCCGCCTCCCTCTGCCTCCTGGCGAACGCGGAGTAGCAGGCTCGACATCACACTGGGGTGTGACTGAGGTGTCATGAGATGGTTGAGTCGGTAGTGCCTTCACCACACTAGAGACGAGATCCAATAGTTGACTGAGGGATTGAGGGCGATGAGACCATGAGTAGGATCTCTCATGGCGTAAGGGCGTTACCGATATTCACTGTCAAATTTTGCCCTTCCTTCGTCTGCTGTGTAACTCCCAAAGTGTTGGTATTAGGTATTAGATTAGGAGAGATTAGAGGACGGAAAGGAAACGGTTCTGGGATAGCACCTCAGGCAAGTGATAGCGTGTAAACAAGTGTCGAAAGAATGAATCCAAATACAGAATAGTAGAAGAAGTATGGCATAGAGCAAAGGAGGAAAAGGGTAGCGTTGGTAGGAGTGAATCACGAGGATGGGAGAAGAGGGCGATTCCGCCTCACGAAATAGAAATGGCGGGTGCATGCCCATGCCCGAAAAGGGTCCTCGCTGCCCAGAACTACCAACCGCCATCCGTGATGATGATTAAGTGGTTTTGTTTGGAAAGGGTCCAGTGGTGTTGGTCTCAGTCTAATCTAGCCACCGGGAATGCGTTGTCATCCCGTCGTCCTGGGGAATGCATTCCAATGGAAGGGAGAACAAAATCCCCTTTCGGCTCTCTCTCTCTCTTTTCTTTGGCCCAGTCGCCCACCGGATCCTTGGGCTCACCCCATTTCACGCAAAAAATGACCCTTCAAGTGCAGACACGGGCTAGAACGAGGATCGGCAGAGGGTGGGTGCTGCGGGAACGTGAGGTAATATGAATTTGCTGGCTCGGCGGAGGTGGCGACCGCGTAAGTTTTGGGAATAGCTTCGTGGGTTGCTGGTATGCGCGGGGCGGGTAGCTGGGCGGCGGGTTCATTAAATGCGAAATGAGATTGCGTGCTATCGGCGGAGTAAACAAGGCCACAGTCAACAACACTGTTGCATTTTTTTTGTGTTTGTGGAAAGTTATTTCATGTCGAATGTTTTCCTATTTCTTTTCCTCTGACAATTAAGCCAACCACTCAGCCTTTCCATCAGCGGAGATTTCATGTGGTGTATATGTGTCTGTTTGTTTGCAGAACTGTTGCCATCTAATCGACCCCCTTGCGTCCATGGCCGAATCGACTCTTTTGAGGCGCTTCAAATCCATACCGACCAACCCTGCCCTCCTCCATCGGGCCGGTTCTCGTCCCTTGTCCCATCACTCCCGCCCCGTCCTCTTGACGCACTTCACCACATTGATCCTCAACGCCGCCATATCGTGACGCTCCAGCTCGCGACCATGTACTCGTCCTCAAACACACAGAGATCCTTGCCAGTCCAATTGTGTTGCACGAAATACTTCTCCCCCGCCTACAACCCAGGAATGGAACGTTCTTGAAAGCCCTATTCTTCTCCACGGCACCGCTGAGCGTGTTGAGCACTAACACATACGCCCCCTCCACCGACACCCCCGGACCAAAACTCGGCCAGGTAAGGAATATTCCACGCCCCGTCCGGATTAACGCCCCGCTTAACGGCTGCGCCGCCGTCCCGAACTTCGGATCTTGGTCAAGTGTGACAAGCTCCTCGATTGACAGAATCGACCGAATCGACATGATCTCTGGCTGAATCCCCTCCACCTGCGTCCCAATGATCAGTGGGCTCTTGAGCACGGCCCAGAACACGAAATGGGTCCTGCTCTCCTGCAGCGTGAGATTCCCGTTGCCGCCTTCGAGCATGTTCCCAGTCCCCATGGCCCCAGAACCCGTTGAACGTCCGGCCCGCTCCAAAAGGTGGCGTGGTTGAGGATCGGCATCAGACTGATGCAGTTGTCGCACGTCAAGTCTGTGGAGGAGTGAGCGTGCGTCGGAAAACGCAATCCAATAACGTGTTCCACTATGAGTCTAGGGAACGGTGGGGAAGGGCGGAGGGGTTTAAGTGAGGGATGAGATGCCGCAGGGAGGGCGGGACGGCGAAGAACTCACCATCAATACTCCATTTCGCAAACGTCGCGGCGTCTATTTCCTCGGAACCCCAACGATCCCTCAAAACTGCCGCAAGTAGACGTCCCTGTGATAATTGCGTCAGAAACGCATCGCAAGACCAAACACTAGAGCATCCAGCATTTCTCGACAGGCACCACAACCAACGTCCCTGTCGCGCAATCCGTCGTCCGTCACATCATCAAAAATACGAATTCAACTCCCCCGCGTCACTGTAGATTCTAACCTCGAGTTCCAACTCATGGACCTGGTCCACCGTGTGCTTGATCTCCTGGAGGAACTTGATCGTGTCCACAATGATCTCCTTGGTGACTTTATCCCTGCCCACCTTCTCGTGACTCAAGCAGGCGTCAATGTTGACGTACTCGTGCCCCGATCATTTGAGCCCGAGGTCCTCAATATGCTGCGCGACGGTGAGGAACACAAGTGTCATTGATGTCGCACCCATACTCCCTCCACGAGGTCCACCCAGCGCCGGGAGACGACCGGTCTTGCCGTCACCACTAACAAGGGCCGCGGCCGTGGAGGACAGGCCCACAGCGGCGAGGATGGCCGAGTGCATTGTGAATATTCAGGTACTGTCACGAAGCCTGCTCTGAAGCTTTATTTCTCCCCGGAATATAGATTGGCAGACGGCCGGGAAACGCCTGAGCCGGTGGGTTGAGAAGAGAGAAGCCAGGCACGTGGTTCGGATAGTTCATCTAGACAAAGAAACATCATTGACGCATACAAGATGATCCGCCAACTCCAATCCACCTTCATCCCATCCAACCCCTCACGGGCATCGAATGCAAGTGTGAGATGCGACCTACCCCAAGTTCATCCCAGTCTCACTGCTGAGCATGGGCGACCGGCCACGCGGTAAACGAGAATAATGTGACAGCGCTCATCGCCGTTCCTCTCTTGCAACGCATCTTGAACCGGCTGTTCCAGGATCCTGGGTCTAGGATCCTACGTCAGTTGGATGTAATTACCAAGGAAGTGGGTCATCCAAGCGACCTGAGGACGGGCATGCTGGCCGAGCCGTGGTCTGTAGTGGGAAAAGGTTGAACGAAACGGGAATGGTCAGTCACCAGTTCATGAAGAGAATTCCAAAAAGAAACAAAATTCTCTTCCATTGTCAGTGAGCTGCCGCCGTCGCATCCAGGAGAAATACAACACCATCAACGGTGAGGCCCCGATGCGCGGTGGAACAGCAAAATGACTTCATCGCGCACAGCAACAGGACGCCTTTTCGCTTCCGCCGACAATGGCCAAGTAATTGTGAGTCACCAGGAGCTTTTGTATGTACAGGTAGTTTATAGTTGAGAGTGCTTGTCTTCTCCTTTCCACCCTGTTCCCTCTTGTACAAGTTCGGGTTGAAGATTTACTGGTGACCTGAATGAATACCACAGCTACCTTAAGGTCAGATAGCTGAGTACGTAGCTATAAATACACTATTCACGATGGCTTAGACTACGATCACCAGCAAAGAGCATTTTCCAACGATCTGGTCTGCTCAGGTCAGCATACATTCTCGTTGATGGCAAGAGCTTCTCAACGTCGTGGATAGGTGTCAGGTTGATCTGCGATGGACATTCTATGCCTCGGCTTCCAGAGTTCAGACCATCATTCCGGAAGGTCATGATTACAGGTAATGATATTATTTGAATATGTAAAACATCAGCTCTGACCAGTTACACCAAAGCTTTTGCCCTTGAAACTATGAGCATGAACACGGCTTCGAGTTGACGTGTTCTCACGCGCGACTCGATCGATCCAATTTTCAATCTCTACTCAAGGTTAAGAAGGCTGTATGATTATACAAGGGCACATATGGGGTACTGAAATGACGAATGGGAAATCGGAACGACCGCTAAGGCGACTAAGTTACTTTGCTGCCTGGCAGTCTTGAACCAACTACCAAACTCTCCCTTACCCAAGCCAGAAAGAGTTCAACCTGGGATGCCTGCGCCGCGAACTTATGTTGTTAAGCAGGAGAAAACCCGCTGGCGATGGCTTCTTCCGCTTTTCATCGATCGACACATAGCAAGTGACTTTATAGATTGAATTCCATCTGCCATATTCAAGGTTTTTTTTCTTTTTTTTCCCCTCTTTTTTGGCTTTGCTTTTTCTCCTATATAGCCAGGCGTACCGACACTTTCCACCTTTGCTTCCCTAGGGTCTTGTCAGCAAGAGACATAATCTCCCTACCGCCGGGAACTACCAAGGCTTCAGTCTGTCATGGCATATGAAGCTCTTATGTTGTAAAGGTCTTGATAATGCGATACCTTGACTCCAAAGCAACGGCAACTATGTTCTAGAAGTACAAGACGGAAGGCCGCCCATTACCATGTAGCATTCTCTATTCGCAAGTTATTCAAGCCAAGATAAAATTTTCTACCTCGCTTCTCACCTGTTGTCTCATCACCGGGACCGCCGCCGCCGCCGCCGTTGTGCCAGGTACAGCAGCAATGATCCGGTTACACTGTTGTCTAAGACGCAGCCAGCTTGCTGAACCAGTCTCATTTCTCCTTTCTTTTTTTTTTATTTAAAAGACGACGACAAATTGCTGACCATCGACACGCTCACCACCAGCCATCTCTTCGCCACAAAAACCACCCTCCTTCTCACCCGAGCCCTCGCAATCTTCAGAGAAGAAATATCAGCAATCCCCGACGTCAAAGGCCTCGTTCCCAAACGCCCCATGTTCATACACATGACCTGAATTTCTTCAAATCTCAAGCCAAGTGCTCGTAAGGCGGTCAGCCTAGTCGAGTCCCATCTTTTATTCCAATGACTGACTGCTAGCTTTCGACGAGTAATCGAACATGATCTCTGCGTGGGAAATGCCACCCATGGGCCCAAACTTTACGGATAGAACGGCCAGCAAAGCCCAACCGCAACCTTGCATCCCGAAAAGGGCCCCGCTTCCATGGCGTCGGGACTGCCGCCGTTATATACAAAAAAAAAGGCATATTTATGCACGTCAAACCGTCGTAGTCACTGCAACTATCTGCATGTGTCCGGACGTGTTCTGGTGTCCAGTTCCCATAAATACATGCAGTGCAGAGCACACAGTAACGGCGGAGAAGTGGCGGGGAACACGTCTTGATGCTTGTTCCGACGACAGTCGAGAGCAGAGTTATCTGGGTGCGGGAAGCCCTGTGCATACTGTCGAAATCGAGCATGGCAGTAAAAAATCCTACATGGCCAATTAAGGCCAAGACATTAGGTGTCGTAGGCTTTCGTCACGGATGGTATGGTGGAGTGACCTGGCTGTGGATTATGCACGCAATCACTTTTGGAGCGGTAAATGGAAGCATGGAATCGATGGGCATAACCTCAATGCGAATAGGTATCTCTCAAACCTCAACCTAAACGCCTACAATATGGACGCACTCAATGCGATGCAAATGCAAAACCCCTTGCGACGCCCACCTCACTCGAACCACCAGGAAAAACACAGAAAAGAGCCAACTCAACTTGATGATTTGCCACCTAATGATTGCCGTAAACTCATGACGCAGGCCATATCGTGCCCGTACCTTGCTTGCTAGCTACCTCCAAGAAAAAAGTGTCCGTCTGCTCAAAATGTCCAGACAACAACAATAATGTTCTTGAGCAAGATGCGAGAGAACCAATGAGAAGCCAAATCATCTCAATGGGTTAGGTTTTCCATTGGATAGAGAAAAAGGACGCCACATCCCGATGTGTGTCCAGTACAAACGACGTCCCCAACCCTGATTTTTTCGCACCCAGGTACAAGATGGAGTATCAACTCCAGAAATTGAGAAAACACATTCCATCACCTAGACGTGGTGGTGAAGGTGCTGATGGAGGTGACGCTTGGCGCGCATGGCGGGCGTCGAGGCGGAGGGGGTAGGAGTCACAGTCAGGGTCGCGGTGATGTCCTCGTATTCGGTGACGTACACAATGTCCTCCTCCCAGCAGATGATGGAGACGGTGTTAGCGGCGGTGATCGTTTGAGTAGACACGCAAACCTGACCCGGCGTAGAAGAGCTGGCTGGAGTAGATGTGGTGACGGGCTCAAAGACCGGGGTGGGAGTAGGCTGAGGAGTGGGCGTCGGGTTGGCAATGGCCTCAGCAACGAAGCTCTTGGAAACCGAGCTGGACGAGCCATAGGGAATCTTGCCCGTCTCCTGGAAGACTTCGCCGGGGAGAGGGTTGGCGGAAGCAGTCTTGCCGGGCTTGTAGGTGAGGACGGGACCGGAAGGAGCCGGAATGCTTGGGGTGGAGCTGGCAGGCGCAGCATTGCCGCCCTCGGACGATCCATCAGCATAGGTGATGGGGCAGTTTCCAGGCAGCTGAGCGTCAGGGCCGGTGACGTTATCCTTGGCGACGATGTCAGGAACCTTCATCTCACACTGCACGGAATCGGCCTCATCCTGGAGACTGAAGAGGGGACAGTCCTCGATGCGACCGGACAGATTGGTGCAGGTATTGACAGCAGATTGGAGGAAGTCCTCCTCCCAACCGGAAATGAAATCGGCGTGGTATCCGTATCCCTGGGTGTCGCCGTTGGAAATGACGAATCGGCCAGAGCGGCCCTTGAAGGCATATGTGTTCCAGATAACCTCGTACAGCAGGTTGGGGGTCGATGTCTCGAATCCATCGGGGCAGGTACCATCAATGACGAGGTCGGGGTATGCCATGTGAGACTTGTGGTCGGTTGAGTCGAGGTCCTTTCCGTTCCAGCACGAAGGGAACATCATCTCAAAACGAACGCCATTAGCGCAGTTGGCATCGAGATAAGCCTTGTCGGGAAGGAAGTGACGGTACAGAGTGCCCTCGGGGGCACGGCCGTAGTTGAGGCAGTTGAAGCCAATGGCACGCTGACGAAGGACAGACTGGGAGGTCTGGCCCAGAATAGCCCAATCGGACTTCTGGGGGTCGGGCTTGGAAGGGTCTCCAGCGGTGTAATTGCGGCGATGAGTGTCGCCAGCAATCATGCGGAAGCCGGGCGGGAATGCCTTGATATTCTTTCCATTAAGAAGGTAGTACCTGGGACAGTCAGTATCGAGTGTTTCATGGGCTCCTTTGAGAGAGAGCAATGAGACTTACGCAAGCATTCCGCCAACTTGATCAACAAGCTCGAACTCTCCAGTGGTAGAGTCCTGGAAGTACAACGCCGGGTGCCAGTAGGCTGACTTGTCCTGCTTGACACGGCAGGAGGTACAGTCGCCAGCAACGAGGTCACCAAAGTCGGAGGTAGCAGAGAAGCCTGATTTTGAAATTAGCAAACTGTTCAAAAAATGGTGATCCTATAGTGTTGATTCGACAAGCGTGTGCTGCCAAGAAGTTGAGGGAAGACAGGGCCAGTCTCAAGAGGGTTCATCCAACATACATACCATTGGATCCAGAAATAGCGTGAACATGGGTAGAGGCCTTGCCAAAGTCCATGAGAGGATCGATACGGGCAAGGCCGACGCGACCAGGGCACTCCATGCGCCAGAAGGCATTAGCGCTGGCGATGAGGGTGCCGACCGCAGCCAAAACCTTGGTGTTGGAGAGCTTCATGGTGGCGTTTGATGAAAAATGCTATTCTGGGAGGGAAATGGCTGTGATGAGTAGTGATGAGTAGTGATGGGTGGGAGGTGAGAGAAAGTGATACAAAGGTTGGGTATCAAAGTATGGAGATTCAACTGAAAGACAAGTCCGTGTGGTGTCTTGAGAAAGAATCTGAAGGAAGTCCAAAGTCCAGTTGGATTCCTGAATGAAGGCTGGAGAAAGAAAGATCTTGGAGAAGCTGAGTGCTGCGCAAACGATATTCTTGAGAGTTTTCCGTCGAGGTGTGGTGTGTTGGTTGAGGAAGTTTCTCAGGCACAGCAAGAAATGCGACGCGTGATATAGAGGCGGCCCTGGTTGCTATTCACCGAGGAAGGTGCAAGGCAGGAAGTAATAATTTCAAGTGAAGAGCAGGAGCGATGGGTTAAGCGAGGCGCTAATGGGCCGGTCCACTATGTCGACGGTGAAGCTGGTGATGGAAGGAAGGAGTAGGTGCAAACCGGCTCACTTGACTTCTTCTTTTGGAATCTCCAACAATGGGACCGCAGTGAGATTGCAAAGACAAAAGGAGGTCTGCAAATCTGCTTGGAATGTCGAAAAAGAGGTTTGACCCTTCCAGATGATCTTCTTCCTTTGGTCTTGTGCTTTCCAGTGGCTGGGGAGCTCCTAGGCACGTGACGATTTTCAACGGTGGATGTCTCGGTGGTGGCTCGGTGATTGAGTTGGCGATGGTTTTCGACCGGGCTCGGCGATGTCTAACAAGAGAATTCGGGCTCGGTCCTTGGCAGTGGTGATTTGAGGTTGCAACAACACAGAAATCCTACGAGGTTCCGTCGTCGATATCCAGCACCACCGTCAAAGTCCTAACACGGGTGGTGTTGAGAATGTGTCTTTACCGCCGAGACAGTCGATAAGAGAGCGGGACGTGTAGTCGATGACTGTTGCGTCTCTGAAAGTCAGGTTTGGCGATTTAGGCGACGAAACTGCTGATTCCTTCTCTTATATGGTCATAGAATAAACCTGAACTACAGCAAAGTTGCACGATTTCTTCGTGTTGGCGTCGGAAGATTGACAGGCGACGGGTTGCGAGGCGATGCGTGTTGTAAGACGATGTTGGAAGAAGACACTAGCCGGATGGCCTTGATTCCGGGTACAACGAACGAGGAAACGGGAGGCTGGAAAACCGTTATGATGTTACCGGAAGATGGCGAATTCGGCTCTTCGTCGTCGATCCTCCTACGGGTTTGAACGGCTTGGCCAAAAAGGTTCGAGTCGAGAAAAGAATGCGATCAACACACACACACAAACGGGGTCCAAGAGAAATGAATGTGTTGGTGGTCCTGACTACGAGTAGCAGGAAAAGCCAAGAAAAGGAGCGGGATCCGCAGCTCGGGATTTTTGGTCAAGGTTAAGAAACAGAAAAAGGAATGGCTGAGTGCGACGACCCGACAAGAAGGGCGAGGTCACAAGTGCGAGCGAGCGAGCGAGCGTGAGAGAGAGTGACAGTCGATAGACCCCGTGTAGGTGACGAAAGGAGGGGGAGAGAAACGAGGGGACAAGAGGGCGGCTGGAATGAAGGTGATGCAGGAAAAGGGCATCTAAAGAGAAGGAAACGGGCGGGCAGGTGGAGAAAGAGAGAGAGAGAGAGACATTGCTAGAGGATATGGCATTTCTGGTGGTGGGATGCAAGGCGGGAACTCAAGGGGGGGTGAACGGGGGCGCATGACAGGGGTCGAGGGATGGGATGCCGAAGCTGGTTGCTGGACCCCGTTTTGCTGTGCAGCTTACGGCAACGTCTTCCACTCCCCTTCCACTTGCACTCTGGCTTGCGCTTTCACTTGGACGCTAAAAGTCACTCGTTTCCTTTTCCGAAGCAGGCACCACCATGCTCTGTGGTTCGTCTCCATCGATCCCCAGTCTTGGCCACCGGGGGGAACGAGCGAACGAACGGGGAGGCGGGCGGCCGGGCAGTGACTGGTGAGACGGGATGAGATGAAGTTATTGCTCAACCCAAGTTGCTCCCGGCTGCGTTTGATAACCTTGGCTTGGTTCTACAACGAGGATGACCAAGGAGGGCCAAATGAAATGGGATACCATGGGGCCATGAGAAGAAATGGCGCATTTTCTGTCCGCTCTCTACCAGAACCGACTTCCTCCTCTATCGCCCTCAGGGTTCTGGGGTTCAAGTTTCCAGCTTTAGCAACGCTGCAAATGCGAGTGATTAGTGTTCGTCTGGTGTTCCCTGGCATTCATCTGTTCATTGCTTAAATGCTCGGACCAGCCGAGGGCACTGACTGTGCGTTGTGGTCGTGGGAACTTGTCTGGCCTGACTTGCGTCCTTGCCTCTGCCATCTGACGGGCTGCGTCGTTGCTTCTCTGGCCTCTGATTGAGGGGTCTCTTGAAACTCTCCTTCTTGGCTCTGATTGTGTTAGTGACAGCGGACGACTAGCCGCCTCCTGTCTCCGAGGTGCAGCCACTGCAACGCTACGACTCTGCGAGTCTGCGACGCAACCACTGAACCAGGGCTGCGTTTCCTCCCTTCAGCATGGAACGGCGATATGCCCCAGGGCAGTGGTCGGGCGAGCAGTGTGGGAGAGATCGCTCTGGACAAGGGTTGGAATAGATTAAGGCACTGCTTCAAGGGGCCGGCCAGCGCGACGCGACCAGGATCCTGCTGGCTGTGTGACCGGGGGAGGCTGGGTACATTTGCCATGTACCTAAGATGGAAGGTGGCTTGTACTTTGTACCCTTGACGTCTTGCTGCTCGAAGACTTGCCGCTTGCCGCTTGGCCCCTGGCCCCCTTTGCGTACCGGTATACTGTGTATCCGTATGATATCCCCCAACGCTTCGTTCTTGACCAGCGGAGCCAAAAGTCACGCCTGCGGTCTGCAAACGAGACCTGCAACTCATGCTGGAAATGCCGCGAGTGGCTCCAGATTGACAAACGCGACATGCAGGTACCGGCTGTTGCATCCACAACCGCAGCCACCGTGCGGGGCATGATCAAATTGGGGGCCACTTGAGCAATCAGCAAACCAGCAACCAAATATCCGCAACGCAGATGATAGCACTAGGCAGATGGATCCGAAGCCGAGAAGTTGCAAAAAATGGGATGGTGATAGACAAGAAGAAAATGGTAAGCCAACAGAAGAGACACTGTGACTGGCGACTGGAAGACGGGACCCTCAAATCCCACAAGGTCCCAGAAATGCTCCAGAAGGCCCCTTCTTTCTTTTGTCCGAGGAGCTGCAACCAATGACACGGTGTGATGGTACTGAGTGTGGGGGGGAGGGGAGGGGGGAGAAAAGGAGGAAGAAAACGAAACCTGCCTTATCCATACTTGAGAAGGAGGGATGAACACGCCAACTCTGACTGGCCACTCCGTTCCTCCCCCCTTGTCTTACCAGTGCACAATGGAAGTCCCGCGGTACTTGGGTACTTCCAGCCGTTGGTTGTGCGTGTGCGTCTCTCTTGCCCCTTTCGAGAGAAAGGCAGGAACGGGGTCGACCGAGGGGCAGGGCGGCACTGGCAGGAGGAGATCTCACTCTGGGTACATGCTCCACCCCGGGACAATCCAGTTACATGGAACAATGCGAGAGCCAATGACGCCCCCTTTTCCCCTGGCAGCTCTGGCATTCTCGACCAATGGGACTGACGCCAGCCGTCAGACCAGCTAGTGGGGCTGGATGGGCGGCTGGGATCTGCGCTAACGTCAGGCATCTGCTCTGCACTGCTGCAGCCCAGGTACAGACCGCCCGCTGTAGGACGCAAGGTCCTTTGGAAGCGAAAATTCCCAGCAGGCGCCGGCTCCGAGGAACAAGCCAGGAAGACGTCGACGTGACTTCTTCACCTCTAGGGTGCGAGGCTTTGCCTTTGCCTTTGCCTCTTTCGACATGTCATTCATCCACCGCCCACCCGACCCCCGGAGCATCGGCGCCCTACAATCTGCTGGCCCTCTTTTAATATGGATTTCCGAATTAATCCACGGCAGTCACGGCAGAACATTGTTGCAACGAGGTGCGCGGACCAAAGAAGCAATTACGAAGCAATCACGAAGCAATCATGCCGACTTTTGCGCCAAATTTGGGCCAAATTTGGGCCAGGTACATACTCGCAACGATCAAACAACGAGCGACGAGATTGCCATTCTTGTCGTTGTCATTCGACAGTGGTACCAAACAAACCCTCGCTACCGGCCTGGAAGTTGGCTGTCGTCTCCATGGCCGGCATCCATGCGCTGTGCCAGGCGCTATGTGCCAGGAACAAGAGAACAAAACCCCGCGAACATTCTGGCGATCCAAGGAAATTATCCGCAGGGCGACACATGCATCCTGGGACAAGCAACGCCCCGATACTGCCCACGCCCCGAGTTGCGGCTGAGCCTCGACATGTTATCTCGTGAGGGGTGCTAATGCACGAGGCGTGATATGCAGGCACAGCAGCCAAAACAAGCCCTCGCACGACAGTGCGCCTAGCTAAACGTTTACCATCCTCCTTGGCGGCGGGCATCGAGAAGGAAACAATCCCATCACTAGAGTAAAAGTCCCTCCTTCGCACGACAGCGTTTGGCCGGGCCATTATCCACGCACACACAACCGTCCGTGTCATTTTACTCGAGGCAACGGCTGCCACTTGGCACCTTCGTGCGACGATGCTTCGTGCCCCCGTGGTGTCTGTTCAAGCCCTTAGCCCAGTGTGCATCGCACGACAAGAAGCAAACATTCCAGCCATGTCACGATGACACTGGCGTCTTTTTCTTCCTTCTTCCGCTTCAACGGCCGGCAGTTTTCGGGTGATCGTCAGAACGCCGCCTTCCCAACCCCCAAAGGTTGCGCAAACCTGGCCTGTTCCCCATCCACACGCCATCGTTGGATGCGCCTGCTTATACGAACAGCATGTCTTGCCATGTACGACAGCCGATGCGGTTCTCGGCGCTCTATCCATCGTAAATTATACGCTATTCCTGCTGATCAAATACGAGTCAAGTTTGAGATTATCGTCATAACCTGAAGCAAGGATCCGTATGCCAGATCTTCAGATTAGCTTGGACACGGCCCGCTCGGCAACCCGACCAGCACCCCGCGACTCAGCTTCGAATCAAAATATAGTCGCCAGAAATCAGCGCTCGTACGCATCTACAGCTCTTGGTCCTCGTATTCTGAGTGACCACGTATTGAAATAGTCACCTAGGACGAAGTGCTTTACTATGATGTTGGAAGAAGTTCTTCTCGTCCACGCAGTTCGCTACCGCTGTACGCTACCGGCTCTCAGCTTAGTCATCTTGAGATCTTCTTCCCCTGATCACCATTTGCAGGGATATACCAGGCCGCGACACACGCAGCGAGTTTCAGCGCCTTGTAGATTGAGGCGGTGCGCCAATCATCCGAACTTCTTCTAAAGAAAAGACACCATCTGCCAAGGCTTCTCGTCCCGATGATTTGCGGTGCGTCGTACCACACTACACCACACTACCAGAAACTTCCGACGTTTGCGCCGCACTTCACACGCACGAGATTTGTCTGTCTCCAAGGGTCAGCTGTTAAGCTTACTGTCATTGTTTCTTTAGCGAGGAAACCACTGGTTGCATTCACCAGTCGGCCAGAGAGAAGGCAAGCAGCCTATGAATACTTACAGTCACAAAAGCATAATTATTTGGACCGATGAATCAAGGTTTGCTTCTGGTCCGGACCTCGCTCCGTATGCGACACTATTCTGGTTTCTGTAGTTTGTCTCCACGAAATCTAGCTTTTCGGACAGGCTATTGGATCGCCCAGCAAGTCACATCCGCCTTTGTGAACCTGGAAGAATACATACCCCACGAAGCTCTAAATCATATGTCCCAGGAAAGGTAGGAATGCTACATAGTGCGCAGTTGGCAGTGTGTCCTCAGCCTCCAAAGATACAATAAGACGGAGCCGCAAGCAAATCAATGACACGTAAGACAATCATTCCCATCCGAACAACCAGGGGCACGCATCAGGGACCTGAATCCCACACTACCAGAGACCCAAATTGGAGCGGGACTCATTCGGCCGAATACACCGCGGTAGCAGATCCGTCAGCCGGGGCTTTCGAAGTGATTGAGATGCGCTTTCATCCCTTGGCCCTCTCTCCCAATCCTAGGGGCCATGACGTACTTGATGGGGTTATTCCAACCCAGTGACCCAGCTCAGCGAATATCGCGGCAGCCGACGAAGCACTTTCGCTCTCCATAGACTTCCTATACTTCTAGACTGGCGTTGAGAGATGATCCCCAAAAGACAGCGTAGGATAGATAGAGAGTACCACATAATTGGCCACCGTCACTCGTCTGCCAAAGGGTTCCTGCGCATGATGCCCGTTCCACCGACGGCTCTGTGGGCTTCACAATGTGCTTCGCAGGAATGTGCAAACAATGCATCGGTGGAATTCGCCAACAGCTGGAATTCGGCGCACTGTTCGATGTGGCTTGAGTTCCGAAGCTGTGGAGAACCCAATTTATGCGGCCGAGGCTTCTGACTTTGTTGCTAGCAAAGGCATCCCCGCGATGACCAAAGCCTGGGACCACATCGTAGGAACGGATAATGGGCGTAGCAATTGGGTTCATGCCACAATGTCAGACTGACAGCATCAATCTTTCCAAATGCAGCGCAATTATTTACCCCTTTTTCGCTTTCGGCGCCACCGATGAAATGTACTGGGTCGTGCACCCTGTCTTACACCGTAGTCACTCTTAACACCGATGAAGCATATCGCCGAAGCATATCACTTGCCTTGTGTGGCGTAATCTTTGGTGCCAGGCGATAGCAAGCCACACCTACCTCAGCTTCAGCCACACCTGTCCCACATGCCACCTTACATGCACACGACACCGCACGCAATCAGCGAAGCCCGGCCAGGAAACAAGAGACAACCGGAAGTCAACAAGCCACCGAAAGCGATGCATTGAGCCACCTTTGATGCTCTCACGATCTCACGAAGCTCATGAAATGAAGATTACACCTTGACCACCATTAGTTCTCAAAAATGGATGATCTCTCGGGATTGAACTGGTCGTCGTCGACCAACACGACGAATAACAAGCCGCCACCGATGAACCCCTCGGGTGCCAATTACTTCGGCTCCATGCGACCGGCCAACTCGACGCCATCCCCGTTTCCCTCTGGCCGCAACACGCCTCTGTCTGCACAAGCATCTGGGGCCGTTTCTGCGAAACCTCCACCTGCGAAGCCACCCGCCGATAGTTTCAGCAACCTGATGAACTTTGGTGGTGTCGGGGCTGCCAAACCGACATCGAAACTTACCTTGCTGGAACAACAGCAGCGGCTCGAGGCAGAGAAGAGAAAGAAGGAAGAGGAGAGAAGAAAACAAGCGCAGGCGCAATTTGGTGGTGGGTTCTTGGATACCCTCGGATCGGGTTCCGTGTCGAGGACGACATCTCCGGGCATCCTGTCCCCTGGCTCTTCCACGGGCAAGAAGGCCAGTGACGATGACGACCTTTTTGCTGCGTTTAGCGCTGAGACCAAGGTTGACAACGCCAGTCACTACCCTCCACCTCCTCAAAAGAGCCCCTCACCTGCAATTGCGCCGGGCTTGGACCTCAGCAACCCAAGCGCTTGGAGCCAGGCCCCTCCCCCTGCCAGTGGCGGCTTTGGGGACGATGACGATCCGTTTGGTCTTAACCAGCTGAAGGCCAAGGCCGCATCTCCCGCTCCACTGCCGACGAACGACGACGATGATGACTTCCTCGGCGACCTGGCCCGCCCGGTTGAAGAGGTTCGGCGCAAGCAACCCACCCCGCAGCCCAAGGGGTCTGAGCCTGGAAAGCCGATCGAGGCATCCGACTCCAGCTCAGATGAAGAGCAGCAGTCAGCTCCTCGGGGCGAAATGGCCGAATTTGACAGGGCCGTCGCCCAGCTCGTGGACTATGGCTTCACCCCTGAAAATGCTCGGAGGGGTTTGACAGAGAGCGGCGCGGGGTTGAATGTGCAAGCAGCGGCCAACTGGCTTTTGGACGATGCGCACCGACAATCCAAGGCAAAGGCGCAAGGAAAGGATCGGGCTGCTGCTCCAAGAAGGGGGCGGGATGAGGGCGGCAGACACGACAGTCAAAGTAGATCCGATATCAGGTCTCCGGCTGGTGAGGCCGACTTCTCAAAGACTGCGGCGGCTATGGGAAACAGTCTTTTCAAAACAGCCAACTCGTTGTGGAAGAATGGCAAAAAGCAGGTCGCGGCCGCAGTGGCAGACTTCAATCAGCCGGAGGGTGACCCAAATCAGCCGAAATGGATGCGTTCAGCGCAAGTCGATCGTGCCCAGCCCGATAAGCGCGTGCCCGAGGCAACAGATGAGGCTATGATGCTGGAGTCTGGCAGTCGACCGCATAGAAAAGCCGGGCAATCGTCGCAGTCGCCGAGACCAGAGGCGCCTCGCCGGACAGCATCCCCAAGAGACCACTCTCCTGTGGTATCGGCCCCCTCGAGCGGCAGAGGCACCCCGGTCCCGAGATGGCAGCAGCAGGGCGGCCCAGCACTGCCGGATTCAAGAACCCGCGCGAGCAAGCTGACAATGGCAGACGACAGCGCGGCTTCGTACGTCAGCCCTGCCAGGAGGAAGAAGGCTACACCCCAGCCAGAAGCGCCTCCACTGCAGCAAGAGGAACCGGATCTGCTTTTTGGTTCTCAAGCTGCCAAGCCGTCGCAATCACTTCCTCAACGCCCGGCCCAACCTTCGCAGCCATCACGGTCCGCCCAGCCCGCCCAAGCTGCGCGGCCCGCCAGACCTCCTTCCCCCAAGCCTCCCCCCCGCCTTGTTCGTCAAATCCCGCCGATTACGCCTGCGGCGGTACAACAGTCTACGAAACACCGTCTCGACGGAACTGCTCACTTCAAGCGAGGAGACTATGGCGCAGCCCACTCATCCTACTCGTCATCCCTGGCTGCTGTGCCGTCGTCGCACCCTCTCGCCATTGTCATTCTCACCAATCGCGCCTTAACATCCTTGAAGAATGGTGAGCCCAAACGAGCGGTTGAGGATGCTGATGCCGCACTCAAGATCATTGGCCCCGCTGGTGGTCTAGGCGAGCAGGTGTCTGTTGTAGGCGACACCGGCGGTCAGGAAACACGCGACATGCGGGACTTGTACGGCAAAGCCCTGAGCCGCAAGGCCGAAGCCCTCGAGCAGATGGAGCGATGGGGCGACGCTCATATTGTCTGGTCAACCTGCGTGAAGAACGGCGTTGGCGGTGCCACCGCCATCTCCGGCCGCCAGCGATGTCAGTCGGCCCTGGCTCCCAAGCCCAAACCTAAGCCTAGACCCGCCGCGGCCGCCGCCGCGGCTCGGCCTCGCCCCGTCGCGGCTTCTGCGAAGAACATGGAGGCCGTGGAGCGCTTGCGGAAGCAGAACCAGGCAGCGGCGCAAGAAGACGACGAGAAGTTTGCGCTATCGGAGAAGGTCGATGCCAAGATTGCGGCGTGGAGGGACGGCAAGCGGGACAACCTGCGCGCTCTCATCGGCAGCCTGGACGCAGTCCTCTGGGAGGGCAGCGGGTGGAAGAAGGTTGGGTTGCACGAGCTCGTCATGGCCAATAAGGTGAAGATTCACTACATGAAGGCTATTGCCAAGTGTCATCCCGACAAGGTACGTTTACTGATTCATGGGAATTGTCTCTGTGATGATGGTCTTGTGCTGATGATGTGTAGCTTCCCCAAGACGCCAGTACCGAAGTGAGGCTTATTGCTGCTACCGTCTTTGCGACGTTGAATGAGAGTTGGGACAAGTTCAAGTCCGAGAATGGATTGTAAGGAGAGGGTTTGGTGACAGAGAGAAGGACATGTGAGCTAGCGAGCGGCTGCAGCATTGCGCGCGAGGATGAATAATAAACTCGAGGGCATTTATCCCGAATGCAAGGGTTGATGAAAGAAGCGAATGAGTGAAGCCACATTTGATTGATTCCCCAAACGCCGTGCTATGCTAGTAGTGTTGACCGCACCTCCTCATCTCTGCATATGTTGATCCTTGAGAACGTAGCTGCTGGTCTTGCTGCGTGATGTCTCTAAATCTAAGGGAGTGGCCCGAAACTGGAATCCGTTCCAATTCCACGCCGACCGTCTCTGCTCTCGTCGATACATGGCCCCCCCGCGGAAGCCGAACACCGGCAACTCACAGACCCAGCGACCGCCGGACGCCGTCGCTGACCTTTTGCTCGTATTCCGTCCTTCGCTCGCGCCACATCTTTGCGGCCTCGACGTTGGCGGGGCTCTCGTCGTTGGGTTCGGCGAGCATGCTCATGACGGAGATGAGGATCTTTTCGACGGACTGGATCGGGGACCAGCGCTCCGAGGCGTGTTCGTAGTGGTTTGGGTCGTCGCCGGGGGGGTGGAGGATGGAGATGCAGACGAGGCCGCTTGGGTAGACTGTGTGTGTTCCAAATTTTTGGTTAGCCAAATGATTGCCTGGTTATGTTCAGGTTCAGAAGAGGGCGAGGGGGAGGGGAAGGTAGTACTATTCGGATGCCACATGTCGACGAGGAACTTCATCGTCGGTGGGGCGAGGGGGTAGTCCTTGGGAAACTTGAGCTCGGCGGGGAAGACGCCGCCCTCGAAGGGAGTCCCCTCGGGACCCTGGATCAAGGCCTCCCAGTGTAGGAGGTCCTCTTCGGAAACGGGGCCGGCGGTGATGCCTTCCGGGGGGTTGTTCGTCAGGGCGCGGTACTCTTGGAGGAGGCGGCGGTGGGCGGTGGATTGGGCCATGGCGGCGCGGATGGGGGTGGAAGCTTGGAGTCGCGGGTGACCGAGGGAATAGATGCGAGGTTTGTAGGAGAAGACGGAGGGGTTTGGTCTTGAGGTCTATTGGTCTGGCGGATTGTTATCTCCAGTGACTTATACAGGAGGGAACGTTGGGGATGGGCGTGGATCGTCGACCGCGGAGTCGGTAGTGGTGGTCGGGTCATAGTGGTGGCAGATCGGCGGGGGTGGGGGATGTCCCCCCTACCTTGCTCCAACGGAACTGCTTCTCCGAAGTTTACCCCGACCGGTGCCAATGGATCGGAGCTTGGGTCGGGTTCACTGAGCATTTTTTGGGAGCTCTGTCCACCCGCCTGTCACGCTCGAACCTCATTCACCATCACCATTCGACGGACGGTTTTCTTCCCATAGCAAGAGGCGGGACGTGAATCCCCCCTTCCTTTTGCCCATCCCCACACAATGCCTCCACGACTCCCATTGAGGCCGATCGCAGGCCGCGCCGCCTCTTCTGTCGCTGCGGCAAAGCAGAATGTGGCGTCCCCTTCGCGCGCCGTATGCCTGTTCTGCTCGCTTTCCGCAGCTTCGCCCACTCCCTCGCGACCGACGACGACGACGACGACAATGACGAAGAATACCGCCACCGACAGCCGCGCCCAGGCGAGACGGGCATTGAGGCAACGCCGCTTCCAATCCACCGAATCGACAGCAGCAGCACCACCACCACCAGAGACTGCCGCACCCGAGAATCCCAGGGCGGAACTCATCGACACCCTGCTAGAGCTCCAAAAGCACGCCGTAAACCACGTCAACCTCTCCCGTCTACAGCTCGCGCTGCAGGGTCTGCGGCAGGACCCCGGCCAGGAGTCGATCCGCGTGGCCATCCTCTCCCTCGCCAACAGCGGCGGCGCGGAACCGGGCAAGGCGGCAAAAGACCTGCTGCGACTGCTCCTCGCGGACCCCCTGGGCGACGAGGCGGAATGGGAAAGGGAGCTGGCGCAGCACGACCCGTCGCACCCGCTCGTCGTGCGGATCGGGCAGGAGCACAATGCCGTCGAAGCCGGGCCGCGGGTGACGATATCCAAGACGAACCTGCTGCACGAGCTCGACGTTTCGTCGCCCGCGCTGAATGGGCACGGCATCGAGCTTTTGCTGATGGAGGTGAACCCGTTTGCGCCCGTGCCGGGCCGGGCGGGCGAGACGGTGTTGCAGGATGTCGAGGAGTCTGTGCTCGTGCCGACGGTGGATATCCCGTCCAACACGGGTCGGTATACGCCAATTACGACGCCGGTGCACAAGGCTTTGGTTGTTTCTGAGGGGGTTATGGGGGCTGCTTCCGTTGCGTCTCTGCCGCTGGCGGAGTACCGCGATACCGTCTTTGGTGCCGTCAACCTGCCGGATTATCCTGTTGAAAAGGATGCGAGAGTTACATTTCAGCCGATCAATGTGTCAGTGGGCAGCAAGGGGCTTGATCTCATTCGCCAGAACATTGGCAACGCCATGGAGTACGAGAGGTCGTGGTACAAGAGCAACGTGCCAGTCCTCATTCAGTGGCTCAAGGCGGGCGTGCAGACGGACGAGGGTCAGGTCACCAAGCCAGCAGTCCGTCTCCTCGTCGCATCACTGCTGCGCAACGCCCTAGCAGAGATTGAGGCCGAGGAGTCGCGCTTGCTTTCAGGACGGCTATCTACGGAGGCCGCGTCCTCCGGGCTGGCCGTCATGAACGAGAGGCTGGCCCAGTGGTCCCAGTTCGCGCACGAGGAGCTCCAGCAGCAGCTCGACTTGGCGTTTGCGGGCACGCGGTGGCGCAAGTTGGGTTGGTGGAAGCTGTTCTGGAGAGTAGATGACGTGGGCGTCCTCACGACCGACATGCTCAGCCAGCGGTTCCTCCCCGGTGCCGAGAGGGAGCTCGTCTATCTGGCCGGCCGCATCGCGGAATCCGGCGTCGCCTCCACCGTCGAACCGCCCGTCTACGCCCAGCCGACGTCGGAATTACAGAAATCGCTGCCCGAGAGCAGCACGGTCGCCAAGGCCGTGACGCAGAAGCCCAAATGGCCCACGCACATCGCCTTTACGCGCCGCTACCTCCACGAGGAGACCGTCCCCGCCCTACAGGCCCTCGCGCAGAAGCTGGTCCTCCAGGCGTCGAGCACCTCGGCCCTGACGACGGCGCTGGCGGGTCTGCTGTACGTCTCGCATTACGCGTCTTCCGTCTACGAGGCCGGCGCCGTCGCGGCTCTGGGCGTGATGTGGAGCCTGCGCAGGCTGCAGACCAAGTGGGAGACGGCGCGGACGTATTGGGAGGGCGAGGTCCGCGAAGAAGGCCGCAAGGCTGTTAGGGGTGTGGAGCAGAGCGTCGCGGATACGCTTGATGGATCTCGCGAGAGCACTGCCGTCGAAGGCGCAGAGGAGCTTCGCAAGGCCAAGGAGCTCGTGGAGAAGGCTGAGGACGCGCTCAGGCGTTTGAAGTAGAAGAACAGGGGGATTCATCTCACGGCTGTATCATCATCTGTATAATGTATAAAATGGCATCATAGACACACGCACGCACGCACGCACGAATTCCGATACCAAAGAGAGAAAGAGAGAAAAGAAAGACGCAGATTTGGGCGCCGAGAGGGCGTTTGCATTCTATTGCATTATCTTGGCTTTGGCGCCTACTTTGTGTATATGTCAGCTGAGGGCAGTTGACGGCTGGCTCATTTGGAAAAAGTGAGGCCTACCCTAGCGACCGCCATTCCCCAAACGCTGGTGACATTTTCAGATCGCCAGACTTTTCCCTAAGATACGACAGGGCATTGGTCATATCGTGCCTCGCCCTGTTTCTTTCGTTTCCCTGACCTCTTGGACTGTACTTCGCCGCAAGGCTTTCCCTGTGAAACTTGCAAAAATTCCGTAAAACGCCAGGAAACTCTTTCTCTTTTCCCCCCCCGGGAGCCAATGCTTGGAAGCTCCGGGTCCCCCCATCAAAAGTAGAAGAACCAAAGTCCCTTCGCCTCCCCTCTCCTCTATACCTTTGAACGGGTGCGAATGGGTGGGTTGTTGTCCGTTAAAACGAGAAAATGCGCGCTGTCTCGTGTCGAAGCAAGTTGCCTTCACTTCCGATCCCTACCCCCTCCCCCTTTTTTTTCCCTCCTTCTCTCTGTCAGTCGTACGAGATGCAATGGTTCTTCTTTTTTGTCCCCCTTTTATTGCCGATTCGAAGATAAGGCAGTCGGATGACGATCCTAGCGTCCTCCGCGCCCGCTGGCCCTCGCCCTGCTAACGGTCGCGCGACCGCGCGCCATACCGACACCGCGGCCGCGGACGTTGCGGGAGCGGAACATGGGAGCGTTGCGCAGCATGTCCGGGACGATGAAGAAGCGGACGTGGGAGCCGCGGATGTAGACCTGGTCGAGGTGGGAGACGCGGCCGTCGCGGGCGGTGACGGTGATGTCCTTGAGCTGGACGTTCATGTTGTCTTCGGCTGTTGGGCGCAGATGCTGCGTTAGCGAGTGATACAGTTAGATGGGAGGAGTGTGTATGTGAAAGAGAGGGGAGGGGGGTTTACCTTCGAGGAGCTTCCCGCGGTAGGTTTGGCCGGATGTGATTTCGAGAGTGACGATGTGGCCCTGCGCGCGCGCATGGTTGTTAGCTTTCCCGACTTGCTTGCTTTTGGGGAAAGGAAAGGGAAGTAAGTACCTGTGCCTCATTGAGGAGCTTGATGGGGATACCAATTGTGGACGTCATGATTGCGGCTGGCTGGAGGAATCGAGGTTGAGCTGTCGGTCGGAATGTAGTAGAGGAGGGGGCAGCTTGTCGCGATCGCGGGTCGGGGGTCTGGTGGTGGATGATGAAAAGTGAAGGCGGGCTTTGGGGGAGAGGTAGCTGGAGGTTGGTGTTTTTCCGAGCCGGAGACGTGCTGTGGAATTTGGCCTCGCCGAGTTGTGGCAGGCAAAGTACTGGAAATGGTGGGGCCGTAGAATGGGCCTGTCAACTGGGATGCGCTCACTCACCTTGCGGAGCTAAGGGATTGTGAGCAGATACCTTGAAGACTGCCTTTCGGGAACTCACCCTAGTTCAAATTTAAGCTCATGAAAATCTGTACTATGCTTCATTTACGGTTAATCATATCTGCCGTCACGGGCGGGGGGGACTCGTCGGGTGAGAAGAGATTTGGGTTATAAGGAGGATACTTGAAAACTGCACGCGAGATTCAAGCGGTTCTCGTTGCCGCAATCTTTCATGGATGAGGAGACCGATTGCATAGGATCGATGCCTAAATGAAAAACAAACTTTGATTTTGTGCTACATTGGCAAACGAAGATAACCGACACACGAACAAGCTCCTGGAGAGTTCTAGACTAGGAATTATGAAACTTCGCTGCCCTCGAAAATTCAGAAATGCTAGCTCAATGGGAAAATCAATACGACCGATCACGCCGATAGCCTGCCATACGCTGTATTTTATTTTAGAATGAGAAGAATACCATCTTACCCTGAATTCCAGTGAATTCAACCGGCGATACCGTGCCCTGTCCGACGCCAACAACTATGCCTGCATTACTCATCGTTGGCTGGATCTAAGCAGACAACCAGGAGGAGGTATGTGAGAGTGGGATTTGAGGCTGACAGTCTCACGTAAAAGACTCATTCATGGGAGATACCTACTAGGGGTTGGAGATCTGCATGAGCCTTGGCCAGCGTTACTACCTGACCAAGTTGCTCAGAGACCGCATATCCCACCTGCATGAGTAGATGACACAGGCTGACTTGGACAGGTAATATTACTCATTAATTCGTGTCGATACTGATACTAAAATATCTACAACGAAGACCACACCGTACCCTAAGACCTCCCAAAGTTAAACGTCTCGGGCACGCTCTTCTTACTCCACTGGTGAACCAGCGGATCCCCAGACCGCCGCTTCTCCCTGAACAGCGCCTCCGTCAAATACTTGTACAGCCAAATGTTGGCACCGTTATATGCAATGCTGTGATCGCTGTCCGTGAAACTAAGCCACTTCATCTTGGACACGGGGACGCCGGCGCCAACGAGGAGGTCAATGAGCGCCGCCGCGTTCTGGTAGTGCACATTATCGTCGCCCGTGCCGTGGAGAATGGTAAACTCGCCCGCCAGGTTCTTGAACCCGTCGGCGTTGCGGACGGCCGTCTCGTTGTAGCCCGCCTCGTTGGCGGCGAGCGTCTTCATGTAGCGCTCCGTGTACAGCGAGTCGTAGAAGCGCCAGTCGCTGACGGGGGCGACGATGAGGCCCGAGGAGAAGACGCCCGAGTCGGCCTCGAGAACCTTGGCCGCGAGGAAGCCACCGTAGGACCAGCCAAAGATGCCAATCTTGGCGGCGTCGACAAAGGCGTTTTGCGAAGAGAGCTGCTCGGCGGCCCAGATCTGGTCGAGGGGCTCCAGGCGGCCGAGGTGACCAGTGACGGTGGCGCGGAAGGCGCGGCCTTTGTAGCCTGTGCCGCGGTTGTCTACGGTGTAGGTGATGTACTCGAGTTCCGGGTCGGAGGCGATGAAGGCGCGCCAGTTGATGGACTGGTAGCGTTTGGTGACCTCTTGTGCGCCGGGGCCGCCGTAGGGGGTGAAGAGGGCGGGGTACTTCTTGGCCGGGTCAAAGTTGGCGGGGAGACGCTGCATGACGTTGAGGGAGTAGCCGTCTGGGTGCTCGAGCTCAAAGTAGGTGATGTTGGGGAGCTTGTAGTCCTGGAGACGGGCGACGAGGGCCTCGTTGGTGGTGATGGTGCGGACTGGCGTTGTGGAGTTGATGGCGTAGAGCTCCTGGTAGGGGACGTTGGGGCCTTGGTAGGTCAGGATGTAGTAGCCGGCCGATGATGAGAAGGAGGCGCTCCAGTAGCCCGCGACGGTGTCGTCGACAAGAGCCTTCTTGCGCCCGGAAGGGTACGAAACGGAGTAGAGATGTCGCTCGGTGCTGTGGTGTTCGGTGGACAGGTAGTAGATGAGGTGGCGCGCGGTGTCGATCTTGAGCACCGAGGTTACCTCCCATTCGCCGCTGGTCAGAGGAATAGGGTTGCCGCCGTTGACGGGGTAGAGGGACAGGTGGTTCCACCCGGACTCGTCGGAAAGGTCCAAGAAGTAGGCGTCCGTCGAGTTTTGCAGGGGACCAATGTACTCGATACCTAGGTTGTTGTCCAGCCATCCGTCGGAGCCATCGCGGTCTCGAATGACCTCGGACGCGTAGCCCTCGACATCGACGCGGACGAGCTTCTCCTGGTCCTGGACGCGGTTGAAGGCGCGGTAGGCGAAGCTGGCATGGTTGGTAGTCAACCATTTGACCTCACCGACGACCAGGTCATCAGCGGGGAATGCGTCAATGTCCACGGGAGTGGCCTCCTCGGTCTCGACATCCAGAAGCGTCAGCGCCACTGTCGGGTTCTTGCTGCCGACCTTGGGATAGCGCAGGTCCAACTCGACGGGATACGGGGGCGCGATGTCTTGGCCACCCAAGTAGTAGGGGATAGTGAAGGTCTCGACGCCCGTCTCGTTGAAGCTGAGATAGGCAATGTACTCGCCATCGGGGGAGAACCAGAAGGTGCTTCTGCTGCCAAAGATTTCCTCCTCGTATACCCAGTCGGGAACACCGTGGAAGAGATCCGGACCTCCATCACTAGTGATCTGGGAAACTGTGCCGTTCTTGCTGAGGAACATGTTGTTGTTGCGTACAAAAGCCTGATTGATGACGTTAGCGGGATTCCAGGGCAGTTTGACTGCATGAATTATGGTTTAAGAGGAACATGGCTGTGCAGATGACGGCTAAGAAATCAGATGTCAGGTCAGGGAGAACGTACAATTGCATCTCCTACGGGCGCAAACTCGGCATATTGAATGTCTCCGACTTGATCCTCGACGAGTGGCTCGATGAGGCCAGACTCAACGTCGAGAATGGAGTAGTCGGCAAAGTATGAATAGCGGTACTGCTTGGTGTAATTGGTGGCGAAGAGAACCTTTTTCAAATCCGGGCGGATCCAGTACTCGGTGAAACCGGCGGGGATCTTGTCGGCGGGAACGAAGGTCTCGTTTACGCCAGAGACAATGTCCTCGATGACGAGGTTGTTGTTGGAGAGGTAGATGAAGCGGCCGTCTTCCACACCCGAGAGCCAGCTGACGGATCGCGAGCTGGCACCGAACCGCGGGGAGATGACTGTCTCGTTCCAGGTCACTAGGCGATCACCGCCTCCGTTGGGCTGGTGCGGTTCCCGTTCAATGGCCGATACGCCGAGGATAAGGGCCGCAGCGGCAACGGCCTTGAGCAGTTGGCGGGCCATGGCTGGGTGTCTGGTGTCCCTCAGTTCCTCTGGTATCAGAGAGGTATTCTGCTATGGGTGTGCAAGAAACCGGCGAGCAACAGAGGCGAAGCTAAGGATAAAACAGGCCCGAGGCACCTGGAGAGGCGACCGCCATTTTATACCAGTGTGTCATTAAACTATGTGTCGATGGCCATGCAGGTGCGCGTTGCAGTGGACCGTGTTCCACTGCAGTGCAGATATGAGAGAGAGAGAGAGAGATCAACGAGCAGCGGTGCAACGGTCCATCGTTGGTGACATTGATGTCGATGGTTGCGTTCGCATTGGATCTTGTGCTCGGATGCCAAGAAGCAACATGGAGCGTCAAGCAATTAATGAGTCGAGCCCGATACCCTCTTGCCTATTGTTGGTCTCGGCGCCCATCATAACTGGCGGCTGCGGCCTACGGAACGGAGTCGTTGGACGGAGGGAACCGGGGGGTTCATTAAGAACCTGCCAAAGTCGGGTTGACGGCGTGACCAATGCTGGACAGTGATGACATTGAGAGGGTCGGTCATTGGCGTTGGTAATGACGTGTGAGCAGGGGACTTGGAGTATCAGGAGTTGGTTTTCCACAAGGCAATGCGATAAAACAGAGAGGCACAGTCAGAGAGAGGGGGAGAGAGAGAGTGAGGAAGAGAGCGAGTGTGTGTGAGCACTCTGTATTGTGTGCGTGGGAAAAAGGGAAATTGACGCGACAAAGGCCCAGAGCACGCGAATGAAGCCAAGACAAGCTTGCACAGGTGCATTCCTCTTCGGGAAGGTTGCACTTGGACCAGAGAAGAGGCGGTGGAGCAATTGGCGCCGCCGGGGCTCAACGCGGGTGGGGGTGGGGCCACGGCACGCCGCCCGGCCTCTCACGGCTTTTCCCCAACTCGCCAGTCTCCTTTCCCCCGTCCGACAAGTGCCGGCAATTGGCCACGAAGGATCGGATAAGATCAAGGGGCAATGCAAGGCACATCTCAAGCCGTGAGCTGGGTGTAACAGTCCTATAGGTATGCACCCGGGAAGCCGTGCACCTACGTCGTGGACCCCTCAAACACAGAAAGAAAATCTCTCTCCTCTCGGTGGTTCCTATTCCCGGAAAGAGTAAAAGTGATAAAAAGCTACATTCTTACCTGAGGTGAAGGGTTTGGAATGGTCCAGTCCATCTGAAACCTACTTTTCGGAGGTGCCGTTCAAAAGTTTTAGTGTACTGATATCCGTACTGTTGACCAGGTGATATTCCCTGTATTTTCTTGGCACGCTGCATGGCCCAAACTTTTGAACGGCACATCCGTAATCAGATACAGATTATCAGCTCGGGTTCGGCGCCGAACTCCACAGTCCCGTCGGCAGCAGTGGAATCTTCGGGCTCGGGTGCGAATCAGGTCTCGGTGACTTCGCGCGCCATGGACTCTCCAGGACTGATTTCTGACTCAGTGGCATCTGCAGATATGATTGACGAGATTCGCACGAAGTTACTTATTCGGCTACTCACTTTGCCCATTTCGGGAATGGCGCGGGTAGTTGTCTACGCGCAACTTCACCGAGCTTGCTTTTCTACCATCTTTACAACAACCGGGATGGCACCCACTTCCCGATCTTTCAGCTAAACATTTTCTCTCTGGTGTAATTGAACATGAAACCAAGGCATTTGACATGGGTTTCCACTGTGAAAATACCTAGTATTCACGCGGTCTTGGCCTTCTACGGACCAATCTCCTCGATTGATTCCTCAACGTGTACCCGCTGACTAAAGATCTTCAAGTTTGTTTGTTTATTTGTTCACTTGATTGTTTGACGCCGGTTCCACCTGTAAGGGTAAAGGGCGCCTGCGTCGGCTGCCGGATAATACTATCTACCTCTACATACGGTAGTGATACAAGAGAAAAACAATGTAAATCCCGCTTAAACCCGGTAACGGGGAATCGATCTTGGTGAAGGTACAGAGGTGCAGATGGATCCGACGGAGTAGGGGGCGATTCCTATGCTCCAAGAGACAAGTCACCCGCCAGAGAAGGGAAAAGTTGAGCTACCGCGGTGCGATGGGCGAATGCGGCACCAGATGGGCAGAAGAGTACGACACTCACTGTGAGCTCGATTTTCTTTGTTGTCACTGGGTCCTCCCTGGAAATTCCAAGTCACATGCTCGACTCTGACTACTTTCGGCGGGAAACCTTTCCTCGCCCTGGTGCGTGCTAGCAATACATGTAGCAGCCAAGCGTTTTCAACTCCCGGTGCTGCCTCGCTGAGCGGCAGACTCCATGCAGTCCATCGTCGATCACCACGCCAATGAGAATGAGGAGCTCCACTGATCCTTTGGGGTGAATGCATCTTTGAAAAGGCTTGCCCATTTCCCGTTAGAATTGCGTGTATTTTAACCAGCTATGAGGATTTTGCGAGTTCACCGAAGTGAAGTGGTAACGGCCCAGCCAAAGACGAATCAGATGAAATATACGTAACTATCCGTACAAGTCCTTGGCTGGTAGCTTAATTGCACCACGTAGTACCGGCACAGCCCGTAACAGATGGGAAAGATTCCTTCCCGATCCATACTTCTTTTGGAACACCACACGGAGTGAAATCGCTGAGTGCGTCTCCAGTGTTGGAGCACCGAGCAGTAGGGAGAGATAGCCATTTGCTTTGATGATTGAATACTAGGTGACAGTCGATCTCTTGGGATGTGAAAGTGTAGCTGGTAAGCCCTCGGGGTATGCCTGTTGGAGCTTTTCAGGGGTTCCCAACAGAGTAGCGCGTACCCAGCCGAATCAGGTAATTGATTTATGATGATCTTCAATCGAGTTCTCAGGCCTTTGCCAGGTCAGCAAGACCTCACAATACCCCTCCAATCACAAAGCCTCCGGTGCGACGGGTTTCAAACATTTCAGTCAGATTTTCTAATTTGGGGCCTTGGGACTCATCTGACGAATAGGCAGAAACAGAAAGGTTGAGGCGACATGATTGCCCCTTTGCGCGTAGTTCAACCGCCATACTATTCCACATAGATCCAGTCCCTTTGACTTAAAGTGATGTAAAGGCGCTCTGTGATAGTACCGAGAAGACTGGTGTCTTGCCAAGGAGTATTGCACCATTGAAGCCCCAAGGATTCCATCCTTCCTGATGAGGGCGGGAAAGTAGCGGTATGGGTAGACACACGGAGCTTTTAGGGGGATTTGTAGATGATTTCAAGTTCTTAGAATACATGTACAAGATGTAAATATAGAAAATTCGAGTGTTTAAGAAAGCCGGAAGAAAGCTCCGATGGTAGTCGAAGTAGTGCGCAGATCTGACTTGGCGCCCGTCTGACCCAGTGACTCTGGAGTGATGTTCGAACATTGCGCTACTGCGTTCTCCGGGCTGTGTTGTCTCTAACGATTTCTTTTGTGCGACTCGGAACGGAATTCAGACAGAATTCCCGGGACGACCGGGACGGAATAGAGTGAAAAGAGAAGAGGAAAAGAAGAAATTCTTTGCTTAAAGTCTTGGTTTAGGATGACTTTGAACCGGGGCGGCGGGGGGGGTCAGAGTGGGAAGCTGCCTACTCGACAACTCTTAATAGAGCAGTACCAACTAGCCCAACCGTCTTCACTTTAATCGCGACCTCCCGAGAAAGACAAACGGCCCGATCTCGGCAGTCACTTTACCAGTGGGAGGGCGCAGTGTAACCCATGTGGGTTGGCTGGCAGCTGGCCGGGCCTCTGTGAGACATCACCAACTGCCAACCCGAGCCCAAGCGCCTCCTCCACTTCACGGAAGGCAAGGGGTGTCCTCCCCGGCCGACTATGGCAGCTGGAGGGAGGGTGCTCCCGCTAGACTGTCACCTCATAACCATTAGATGGGACGATCGGCGAGGGTTGCTCCGGGGTTCATCTATGCTTGCTGGCGGGACACACCACGGCGATTGGACATCGGCGATCGCCCCGATAACCTCCTTTTTTTTCTGGGGGACCATTGACTGCACCGACCTTTCCCATCTCACATTTTCTCTACATCATATCATGTCACATCCCCCATCTCATCTCACCTTTGACTGTCTCAACGACATGCTCGAAAATACGCCTCATCATACCACCGCCAGCAGGCCAAGACAGGCATTGGGGGGCGCCTCCCCCAACGTTGTGTGTTCAGCTAGCCCGGAGACACCGTCCGAGCAAACACGCATACATACCCGGTACACACATACAAACTGGCAGTGGCTCTGACCTCGGTCGGAGTGCTCCCGCGGCACTTATCAATAAATCCGAACCCATGTCGACTCCCAATCCCCCAATGACATTCAGCTCTCGGCCTCCATCCGGCAAGATCGCCAGCCGACTCACCTTGCTCACCTGAATTCCTCATTGCAAGACCTACAGGCTCCAGCGCGCCCCCTACCTGTAGCGTCCCTGTTGTCTCACGCCCGTGTCTTACGTCATGCATCGATGAATGTGACTTAAACAGCATGGCACGCATGGCTAAGCCCCTCCGGGCTCATCCGGGAACCATCAACAGCACTTCTGATCTGCCTGTCTGCATGGCCGCCTTGCCCATTTTCGGCAGCGGGATTGCCTGGGACTCTGGCGTGCCGGGGGATCCTGGAGGGGAGGACACACACTTTTTTTTCCCTCTCTGTCCTTTGCCAACAGGCACACGACGCACTTTGTTATATCTGATTCCCGCCAGCCCGTTAGGGCCGTACCCTTTACGGCAGAGGATCTTACCTGTCAGATATCGAATATGAGGGATGAAGAAGCACGCACCCTGCCACTTTGCGTGATGCCACCAATCACCACCCGCCTAGTGGCATGCATCCTGCCCGCGCATGAATTCGGTCGACCTTTTCGCGGATGATGGCGTTCGTGATATCATCTCACGCCCGCCTCACTTCTTGCTCGGTCAGATAACCGGGGATGGGGAGCGAGGTGAGACATCGTTGACGAAGCATCAGAGATAGTCTCAACTAGACCCTAGGGCTTAGGTAGCCGGGGTGGGAGGGAAAAAAAAAGGTAGCGGCAGTGATATCGCTTTTCTGGGAGGATCTGAAATTCCATTTCTCTCAAGTCTCACACAACCCGGAAAGGGAAAAGGGTCTGGAATGGTACCGGAGTAGATTCACTGTGCTACTGCGTAGCGGCTTTCAAATGCACGCGATACCCCCAATCGCATCTGCCGGGAACCCTTTCCCTTATTCACCGAAGTTGCCTCGCTCCCTTGGCCATTCTCGACAGGGACTTTGTCAATCAGCGGAATAAGAAAAGAAAGCCTGGCAATGCTACCATCAGTTGAGATGGGACTCACAACCGTGGCAGGCTCGAGTTGACACCCAATCAGAGTTGATGATGGGTTAAAGGTATTAACTCAAAGGTTTCCAGCCTACTTGCTGTCTTTCGTCCCAACTCGACTATCTATCAGTTTCGTTCTTTGTGAACTTGCAAACTCATTCACTGTTCTTATTAGAGAACCTATTTGGAAATATTAAAAAAAAAAGACGACCTATCTTCGCCTTGCCGAGCCGAACTCTTCTAGCAGTAGAACTGCAGCCTTTACGATAGACTTACTTTAATAACAGGTACAATGGCTGTCGCAAGCGAGACATCTCCCATCAGGGAACAGTACATTCACCAACTCACCCCTCTAGACAAGTTCATTGCCAGCATTAGCAAGAGCGGACGCGCGGCAGACTTTCAGCTTGTGGATATTGCCGACCTCGAGATTCTCGGCTCCCTCCCCGGGAAGACGGGAGCAAGGATCGTCACCAAGAAAGCCTCTGGCCTAACCCCCCAAGCCAACTTCGTCTTCAAGGGCATGGACTTTGAACGGTACAAGCGAGACAGCAAAGACTTTAGAGAACACCAAGAAAAGACCCTCCTCCACGAGATCCGCACATTGTACACCCTGCCGCCCCATCCGAACATCATGCCCTGCCCCAAGATCCTCGTCGTCGTACAAGACGGAGACAACAAGGACCGCATCTGCGGCTTCCTGCAACCCGTCCTGACCAAGGACTCGATCGACGAGCAGGTCATGCGCGCCAACAGGGCCGGCCGACGCCTCCCGCTGGCCCTCAAGGCCAAGTGGTGCTACCAGATGGCCCTCGCGATCCAGCACACCCACCAGGTCGCCGAGAGCTTCCACATGGACCTGAAGCCCGGCAACATCCTCGTCGACGACCAGGACAACCTGCGGCTCATCGACTGGGAGCAGAGCGGCTTCTCCATGTTTACGCACCCGCCAGAGGTGACCATTGACCAGGAGGCCGAGGAATCGTCGTCGGTCTCCTCCGCCGCGAACGGCAAGCCCGTGGTCATCTATACCCCGCACACCGGCGCGCCGCGGAGGAACCAGAAGTGGGGGTTTCCGGACTGGAACGTCCTGCCCGAGTGGAAGACGACGTGTCCCCGGGCTGCGGAGCTGGCCGAGGTGTTCAGTCTGGGCAGGACAATGTGGATGCTGCTCGAGCAGGTCGAGCAGTCCCCCGACCCCACGGTATGGTCGGCCCTGGCCAAGGACGTCCCCAAGGCGTGGCAAGACATGGTCATGCGGTGTGTGGAGAGGGACCCGAACAACCGGCCCGAGTTGAACGAGGTGGTTGCCTTTTGGCGGAAGCAGTTGTGCTAGAGCTGCGAGACTTGCGATTTCTGCGTTTTGAGCATTACATGTATTAGTAGTTACACAAAGCGGTATAACATCAGCGAGGAGCTTTCTGGGACATTGTGCAGGGGAATTTGGAATAGGCGAATGAGGCAAACAACCACTCTACTTAGTATTCATGAATTGATCTTGACGAAACACTAGTTACCCACGTCTTCAAACTTTGACAATCATTTTGGCCCAAGAAGTCCAACATAACCTTAGCTCCACCACCGCCAGAAAGTTTCCCAGACCAGGGGAAAGGCTCCGGCATAAGGGTTGGCCCTGGGCCGTCAACCAGGCCGCATAGGACTGGAGACACTAAGGCAGACAGCCCCTGTTTGGTGCAGAATGTCGCAAGCAAGTCTGCTCTTGTGAAAGGCGATTCCTTCAGGTGGAGCAACTCCATTTCCCTCGCCCTAGCCAGCCGTGCCAGTCTCCCATTCAGGAACAAACAAGGGACTCACTCCTTTCCTCTAGACAGGATGTATAGCCTCTATGCAGACCTCAAGTAGACTCTGAAGAGTTTGCAATCTCATGGTTTGGCTAGGGGCCGCCGTCTCGAAGTCTTCATTAGTCCCAACAGACTATCGCACTGTGATCCAAAGCCAGTTGACTTGCCCCCATCATCCCCCCCCCCATCATGCAAAGGCGGTGATCTTGTCCAAAACGAAACTTCGCCATCCGCCCTGTGGATCAACACCCTGCGTTCTAAATATGTCTCAAGCGCCGGTGGGAGGTGGGAGGCCCACATTCTTGTAACCCACATTACCTATCGGCCGAGAGATTTTCAAAGTCACCACGACAGGTCGACCATGCTCCCGGTCTTGAGTTGTTCATGCCAGGCAAGCTAGGCATGCCAGGCTGTCAAACAGAGGTAACCTTGTCTGCATTTCGATCCATTACCACGCGTTCAAACCCCTCAACAAACTTTTGCTGGAATGGCAAGCGTGGCCGCCCCAAAGCCCACTGCGCGCCACAAGTGTTGAAGAACTCCATTCAAGTGCGACTTTTTGATTCCTCTGTGAGCTAAACACACTCTTGCTCATCCAAAAAATAGTAGGAGACGTTCTGGTCCATCGAATCCCTCTCAGTTGTGCCGTGAGAACTGCTCGGAACGAATAATGCCCCTTGTCGCCGGCCGGCCAGCGGTCGAAACCTGCCACCCATTCATAGGTGGCTATCTGTTTTGATTTTGAACTGGTTCGCACTTCGATGAAATTCAAAAAGGATATGGCTGGCTGCCATCCAAAACCGTAAAAGCCACAAGTGTGGCGAGAGACTTGGGAGGTTTCCCTTCTGGGACAGTGGTTTTGTCGAGCGGACACGAGAATGCGTGTGGACGTTGCTAGCGTCAAGCCACAGTAGAGACAGGTGGACATGGAGATCTCAAGACCGGTGCCTGAGTCCCGTTATCGATTGAGTTCCCGCCCACAGTTGTAGGGATCGAGGCCACGCGATTCAACTAGAGCTATTTCTTCGTCAGCAGGTTGGCGTTCAACATCATGGCTTCCGCACCCCCGATGCCACAGAGCTACCAATTGCCACAATTTGAATGCTTTACAGTCGCCTAGGTTCAAGATTCTGACTTTTGAGGTGTTTTAGTCACGGAGAAAACCACGCATTTCCTTCCCAATCCCAGACTCTCTACTGGTCCAGTCCATGACAGCTTAATTTTACCAATAGAAGTTGACCGACTATATCTCTCTGAAACTCAAGGGTTTTTCTCATGCTCGCTACGACGCTGTGAAGGCAGTGCGGACAGGCAGCCCAATCTGCCGCTCCCTACTTCAATAAGACAGCGTGGCAGCGTTGTTGGCGCGTTGAGACGCCAGGCGACTGAGACATCGATGCCGGGATTAGAGGCAGCGTAACACATTTTTTGAGGATACGAAATGCGGCTAACCTATTCTTTGACCAATTATCGCCGTTTCGAACAGTCTTGGGAATGGAATGTGACACAAGCTAAACCACGCGGAGACGGATCATCTATGCCATTCGCGGCTTGATGAGATGTGGGCGGGTGGCGGACATTGTGAGAAATGAGTTGAAGGTTTCACGATCTGCTGGTACTTTTGGATTGGTGTTAGGAAGACACGCTGCTTAGCTGCATTTCCGCCATCTCGAGAGTTCGAATGAGACGTGTTCATGGGGTTCAGATGGGCTTTAGGTGTCAGCATCTCTCTATCAAAGGATGAGAGAATTTCTCCCAAGCCATCATCCTTGTGAGTGTAGGTGAGGGTATTTCGAGGGCCGAAAGACGTAATAATTGTCCTGAATGGCTAAACATACATATGCAAGCACCCGATATTATAGAGCATGTCTAGTTTGATGGTGCAGCGATAACCCCCGGAATGATTGCTAGGAGTCTCGGCGAGGGCGTGAAGGATGAGGCTGGCGTCGTTTTCCGCCTTATCGTCGAGGGGAGTGAAAAGAAAGAGAAGGGTCAAGTAAATAGATACTGCAGTGATGCATTGATAGAGCCATGCCATTATTTGGTTGCAACACCAGATTTTGGGGCTGCATTTCGAGCGAGCTGTGTTCGTCATCTTTTCGTCCATTCATGTAACTACCGGACCCGGCCCTCCCATTTTGATATCTATAGCCATGCCTGGCGTGATTTTGGTTACCTTTCATACTGATGCCTCAAATGCCCTCGATAACTTTGGACCCTCATTGAACCAAGCGCCCCTACTGGTTGCCCAAAGTCTTTCCAAGCTCCTCGCCGCGATCCGCCGCAGCTTTGACAGCCTTGTCGACGATGTCCTGGAAGCCAGAGGCCTCGAAGCTCTGCAGGGCAGCGTGCGTGGTGCCGTTGGGGCTGGTGACGTTCTTGCGGAGCTGGCTGGGCTCCTCGGTGGATTCTACGAGCATTTTGCCGGCGCCCAGGCAAGTCTGGGTGGCCAAGCGCTTCGCCTGCTCCGGGGAGAGGCCGAGGCCGACGGCACTGGAAATGAGGTGCTCGACCATGGCGAAGAAGTATGCAGGGCCGGATCCTACAAGAGGTCGGCGTAAGTTTTGGGCCCCCTTTTCTTTTTTGCTGCTGCTGCTGCGACTCATGTAATGTGTCGTGAAATGACTCACCTGACAAGCCTGTGACGACGTCAATCAGCTCCTCCTTGTCAACCCACTCCGTCGCCTTGCTGACGCTCGCCATGAGCGACTCGGTCAACTTCTTCTCGTCGTCAGTCACGTCGCTGCCCGCAAACAGACCGGACGCGCCCTCGCCGACCAGGGCCGGGGTGTTGGGCATGACGCGCACGACGTGGGGCGTCCGGCCGTCGTCGAGCGCCAGCCACTTCTGCAGGGCCTCGAGGGTGATGCCGGCGGCGATGGAGACGACGACGGGCACCTTTTGCTGGCTCGAGACGGCCTTGCCGAGCTCGTTGCAGACGCCCTTTGCGACCTGGGGCTTGACGGCCAGGATGGCAATGTCGGCGCCGACAAAGGCCTCGGCGTTGGAGGTGGTGGTCTTGACGCCGAGCGCGGCCATCTTCTCGCGGTTCACGTCCCACGGCTCCGAGACGGTGACGTTTTGCTTATCGATGCCCTTGGCGACCAGGCCTCCGATGATCGCTGCGGCCATGTTGCCGCCGCCTACCCCGCGTTAATTAGCCCCGCCATTTCGGAAGAAGAGTTGGGTTCTTCTTTGGGTGTTGCGTGTGTAACTTACCGATGAAGGCGATCTTGCTGGATTGCAACGCAGGTGCCATTTTATGTTTTGTCTAGGTTCAATTGAGCTGATTTGCGTTGCTGAGACTCTCTGCAAGACGATGAGATGAGCGGTTGATTTGTGAATTCGATTAAGTCCCGTTGATGAGTTTGACTCGGCCCGGAAACTGTGGCGCCGTAACCAGACCCACATTTTGCCTGAAGCGTGGAGTCTAAAAGCCGAAGCACTGGACAATTCCCGAGCACCGGAATATCCTCGTCCGGCAATGAAACCAACAAATTCTTAGCTTTATCCTATCGTAATTCATAATTGCTTGAAATAAGTATGCGAGTAGTTCCAAAAGCTCGCCTGAGAGAGAAACCGCCTCTGTGATGAATTTGTAGGCTGACGTCTAAGCCAAGTCTACAATGTACAATCAGGATCTTTTGACCGAGGCTACGTTAACAAGATAGGAAAGTAGCGTGAGCTGCATGACGAGCCAATTGTTCCGTAATTCTCACATAATAACCACGTTCTACAGATAATCTGTTTAAGTATGAAAGAGACAGGAACTTCCAGAACTAGCAATAATATTGCGCGATTCTATACCTATCTCCAGTAACCCTCTGCGTATTCGTGGTACCTTTTGCTCTCATCAATATCTACAATTCGGTCAAAACCTTCTATTCACTATGGACATCAAGGTACTTGCACACTGGCTGAACTAATTCTTAGCAAAACCAACACAATCAAGTCGGCGCCGTCCTCAGCTTAACAGAGAACGACAACGAAGCCACTCAGTCGTTGAAGGAAAACTCAATACGCAAATGTGATGAATATTGAAATATCAAAGTGAGCTTTCTGAAGTCACAAAACAGGTCTTATGATTATCGACACAAGTTACGTTCAGTACTGTGGGTTACGACACTTGTAAGTTCAATGTCCTCGTGATTCATGTTTCTGCATCCCAAGAAAGAAATTTCAACAACTAAATTGAGCCTCGAAACCGCGTTGAGTCTTCTTCGTGACAATAAATCTTGGCTATTAGTGTTGAAAAAGTTTGCACTGGGTGACCTTGATTGCCATCGAAAAAAAGCTTGACCCCACTCCGGCAACAGAGGGTCTCAACATACATGCAGCTCCCATCAAGACCCTCGTTCTTTTACGTGCAACTTTCGGCACCATGGTAGTACAACATGGTTTCCCGCACTTTCGAATTCCATAAAGTCTCTCGCCTGTGACCCGTAATAGTCGTTGCAGCTTTGAAACGGTTCCCTTAGTCCTTGCCCAGATTCTTGTCGTTGGCGCCACCAGGAATAACCCACTCCCACTCTGGAGGCTGTCCGCATTGACTGCAGTCCGCAGCCAAGTCTTTGCATCCCCACTTGGGCAATTCCGGGTGAAGGGGCTTAGGATATCCGGCCGGGGGCTTGGACTCCTCGGGATCAGTGCAGCACGGGTGGCATTGCCGCTTCTCCATATTCTTTGGCCGTTCCGGTTCAAACTTTGGTATGGGTTTTAATGTGACGTTGAACTTTTCGATCTCGTGACGGCTTATCGGCGCCTTCTTACTGCGGCAGGCATCGACCTCGCTGCAGTTATCCTCAGAGTCGCTGCGGTGGACATGAGTGGATGTGATGTTACATGACGGAGAATTATCTCGAATGCTTTGCAGAGTCTGTGTAGAGTTCTGCCAGGGATAGATTCTGGGTGGCGCTTTGGCTATCTGATGTTCCGCAGCTGTTGGGGCGGCAGCTATGCCGCCAAGAAGAGCGGCGGAGAAGAATAAGACGACTTTCATGGTGGAAACGTGAGAAAAGATGAGATTCTTGATGTCAGTGTAAATTGGGCCTTGGTAAGAAAGAAGAAAAGGGTTGAACCCTCCGAGGGCGTCTGCCGCCTTAAATACCACTTGATGGGGCCTACCCTTTGTAGTCGTGAATGGAACTGCCCTTCAAGGTGGCTTATATGATACGTCTTATTTGCTGTAAAAATAAACCCTGATCGTCTTCTCGACAATTATACAATTGTTTCTGCATGTTTGCCGTACGAGTTGGACCCTTGCGCCTGCGATTACCTAGGCGTTTTGGCGATGAAAAAGAGGATAGAGTTCCTTGGGATAGAATCTGCTATCGGGCAGCAAAAGTCAAAAAAAGAACAGAGCCGTAGAGGTAGTAGGCCAGGAGTATCCGCGGCTTCGATTATGACACAGTCCTAGCGCTGGCAGACGTCTATTGACTACGAGTTTGTGTAAATTTACATGATATATGTCGGCCAATCGACTTGGAGGCCATAGCAGTATCAGATTGCAGGAAGAGGATATGATACAGAGAACTCTAATAAGAGTGCGGCCTATTTAGCCCTGTTATGATAGGAACTGAACATCTTATTAATAGGTCAGACTCAAGCGCAGTCTTGCGAATACCATAACCAAAAGCTAGAATTAGTCGGCGAAACTGGAACCAAGCCTCGTTGCAACTTTGTCGAGGCCAGTTCGGCGATTTTCCGATCATAGACTACAGTCAGTGCGCAGAGTCAACCAGTCAATATGGACAGCCAAACTACTGCTCAGATTTGCCACAAGGGCCTCATAACACCAATCTTTTTGACTGTTATAACCTCAATCCAGGAGGTATTCTGGAGACTTTAGATCCACCCATCCCAGATTGGGCTCAGATTGCTTCCAGCCAAGACGATCCCGCACGAGCTGAGAATATGTCTTGACATCCTCGATCGAGTAGCTGAGATATGGAATTTCCTGAGATACTGTGAGCAATCTTCTTCCGCTGCCAAGTCTGGGACTACAGTTTTTACCTCCTGACGGTGAACACCGCTACACATGAACATAATGTGCACCGTCCGACAACCCGTCTCTAGCGAGTACTGCCCGGCGCCGTGATACAAACTACCCAACATCACGAACGCCTCGCCTCTCTCTAATTCCGCATTTTCAACACCCTTTTGGCCATCTAGTCCGAAATCGGGCTGTTCGTCGCCCCAGAGATGAGACCCGGGGACGATTCGGGTGGCACCGTTGGCTTCGAAAGTATCGCACTCTGGAACGAACAGACCGAGCAGCATGTCACGGCCCTTAGTGTAATGAGTGGCCCTGGTGTGCTTTGCGTGATGATTTTTGTCGTCGCGATGCAGTTTCTGCGCTTTCGCACCAGGCTGCGAGGACATTGTGATGGAAATTGAGAGAAGGGGGTCAGACTTGTGAATGGTGGGTTCATCTCCATACCATATCCTCGTTTCAAGCCCGATGAAGTAGTCGGCAATAGCCTGTGCATAAATCTTTATTAGAAACGGGAAAGATAAGTCATTGAAAGCGATATATTCTGAGCGCACCTGGTATAATGGATCTGAGAAGAACTTCTCCCGGACCGTTTTGCTTCGACCGACGAGCCTTGTACATGTTGCAGTACCGCCGTTCAAGGCACCGACTGTGCTTCCAGACTGCGCAAGCGACGCATCCAGAAATGGCTGGACCTCTGCATGTGCGGCGTCGAGAGACGCGAGATCGGTGAAGTCTTTGATGACAACGCATCCATCCTCTTCGATCGCGCCAACAAAAGCCTGCAGCCCGGCGTTTCGAGAAAGGCGTTGGACCATATTAGGGACCGTTCTGGATGTAATTATACCAGAATCTAAGTACTTAGTCTTCTCGAAGGCGTTCCAGACCGGACCACAGCTCAGAAGGTAACATGAAATGCCAAAGTCTATACTTTTCGATGATTGAGTACCGTCTTAGATGAGAAAATAATTGGGGGAAGTTGTCTGAGTCTAGAGCTTCCCCTTCGACTTGGCTGGCAGATAGGATGATCCCGGAAAAGATAACGCGAAAGGTAGCGGGCGGAAATGGGGAGATCTGAGTGGAGACTGACTACTAGTATGCATCTCCATACAAACCATCCGTTCTTTCGCCGGCGCTGTGTCAGCTAGGAATCAGGAAATCGACTACTTCAAATCCTCAGAAATGAAACAGATGGCTTGGTCGATTAACCCTGGACTGGAGTTGCCCTCAGACTCCCCGGTGTAACATCCCCTCTTGGATGGCTACTTACGTGTAATCAGACCATAAGCTGTAAGTTGGAGAGGCAATCCTGGCGAATATACAAGTCATCCATTATATGCTAGGTAACAGGTGCGCTTAAGCTTCAATAAATACTCATTTGTGCCTTGGAAAAATGCTACATTAATATTACTTTTTTTACTCAACCTTGAAATTATTTGGGAGGGAGGCTTGGCTCATGTGCTATTAGCCTGTTACTACCACGCCGGTGGTCAAACATACGTTGTACCGTATCCACTCTCGCCTCCAGACTGCACATCGACGGAAATGGGCGCTTCATAGAGGGCCTCAGAACTACTGAACTCCCCCTCAAGAGCCAAGAAAGGGATATCCCGCCAAGTCTGCTGAATCTTCCGCGCGCTCTCCAAGAACCGCGTCTTGACGTCCGCGTAGTCAGGTACCACGAGCTTGTGATCTCTCTTGACAAACTTGCCGTCCACCACGACGTGCTCGACGTCGCCAACGCTAGCATGCAATATCACAGCAGCGACGGGATCAACCCAGCCGAGAAGGGCAGGACTCTCACCATCCCAGACAATGACATCGGCTTTGGCGCCCTCGGTTATGACGCCCAGGTCCGGGCGGCGAAGGGCGAGTCCGCCGTTCCGCGTCGCGAGGAGGAAGGCTTGGTTCACGGTCATGGGCGTGCTGGTGGGCACGCGCCAGTGCGCGAGGACCTGTTGGTAGAGCAGGCGGCGGGTACTCTGCAGCCAGAGGCGGGCTTGGGTCAGGATGTCGGTCGAGAAGGTGAAGTGAGTGTCGACGCCTAGGGAACCTTGATCCTGGATGAGATGGCTGTGGGGATGCACGTGTCCATAGTGCATCTCCGACTCTGGAGTGATGGATAAGTACTGATTGGTGGATCGAAGAAGCGACGCGCCCTTGTAGGTCAGGAATGACGCATGTGAAAAGACGACTGGAATGCTGGTATTCAGTGCTCCGAGAGCGTGAAGGTCCTCGGGGCTGTTGGTGTCTGGGAAGATGGTCAGTATGTGAGCGGCACAGATGGATGATTGAGGAAGAAGACTTACCACCCCATGGACCCTGTAGACTATGAGTTGTGATCACAGAAACGTTGAACTCCCTACCATAACTTATGTTAGAGACATTCCTATCATCATCTCATACAGTAGAACTCACTTGGCAAGATCAAGCACCGCATTGATATCCGCGATGACACCGTCGGTCCCGAAAAAGTCGCAAGCAACGCCCAGAGTTGTCGGTGTACCGTCGAATTCAGCCTTGGTCGCAATATCCCTAAAGTTCTGAAGCTGCTCCGAGACGGTGTAGTTGGTGACGTTGTGAAAGGCGTACGACCAGAAGACTCTCGCGCCACTATCGATGCTGGCTTTCAGACCTGCTTCCGAAGTCTCGTCAGACCAAGTATGGTGGGCATGATCCAACATCGTCGTGACACCCGCATTCAGGGCCTCATAGAGTCCTGCGAGCTGGCCAATGTAGACATCATCGGCGCTGAATAGACCTGCGGCGGCAAACTCGCCGTAGCGCGTAAAGTACTCTGCCAGTGAGGTGTTTGAACCAATAGTCCTGAAAGCAGTCTGCCAGCCGTGACGGTGGGTGTCGATGAAGCCCGGGGTGATGATCTTGTTCGTCACGTCTACGACTTCCGTAGCGTTGGAGATCTGCGGCAGGGACTGATCTGCGGTGTAAATGGACGTGATGCGGTCGTTGGTGATGAGAAGGGAGCCGTTACGGATGACGTTCAGCGAGTTGCTGGACTCGTCAAAGCCAACGATTGTACCACCGCGAAGTAGCAGTGAAGACGCATTTGCTAGGGTGGTGATCCCGGCGATGGCCGCTACCAGGCTGAAGGAAGGCATTTCTTGAGATGTAAGTCCCGCAGAACGAAATGCTTTGAATCTGTAGAAGTGTTTCTTCCAAAATGACTCCCAAACACATTCTGAAGACCGCGAACACACGGCTTTTATGCTCTCTTGGAGTCAAATCGCGATTATCTCGCTCTTTCGCGCTTGACACCATCGCATCTGCTGATGTGAGCAACAAGAGCCTGAGCCTGGAAAACGCCGACTTGGCATTCTGCGAGGTGGAATCTCTTGTGGGCTTCTGGTGCCGAAGAATGGGAAAACCGCGAGACTGTGAAACTTCTAGATTAGTCCTCTCGTTAGCCGACCTTTGTCTATGGACTTCTGTACTCCCGTACAAGCCTCCGCTTGGCCCAATTATAACTGAGTTTAGCTCGCGTGACATGCAGGAAATAGGCTGACGATGCCGTCATGGAGTCCGGAGACTCAAGAGGAACCACTTTCACGTGGAGTGATAAGGGGCCCACGCTCTCCCAGCGGACGCTATCTCGACTAAAAAAGGTGGAAATGTCTCAGTTTTTCCACGTCATGGTTCGGAGAGGTGGGAAGTTGTCATCGTGATGGGCTGTCATTTGGCAGCTTCTTAGCTCAATCTAGATAGAAAATATCTTAGATGATGCTCACCGCTGTCAGGTTTGTAATGATCTTTGACCTTTGGGTTCCTCGTTTTCTTTCGGATAAGTAAGCCCGAACCGGCGGGATAAAGACAGGATTTAGCTGGAAATTTGTGGTACCGGACCCGCTTCGGCAGTTCGCGAGACCCACTCCGGGCCCCGGGTCGGGGCCCTAGCAGGCGGGTGACTCCAGATCTCACCTTGACAGTGCCGAGACAGGGGCCACATGATCAGACCATCACTGCCTGGTAAGTTCGTGGCCAGATGAGTTTTCTGTTATACAAGCATTTTTTTCTCGCGCCTTGTTACGACCGGACCTGAACCGCACCCCGGAGCCCTTAGGAAACGGCAGGCAAGGTCCGGCAGGCAATGTCCAGCAGCGCGTAAATAGCGTAGACGATATTCATCTTCTCCTATGCAGATCAAGTCCTGAAGGTGTTTTCGGACTTCCCTAACCATAAAAAGCAAAGCGACCTTACCGTCAAGAAGGTGGGCGCTACGCTCATATGGGCTTTACGCTAGGGTTCGGGGCAGTGGAGGTACGGATTTTCGGATTTATGCGGACATGCCGCTTCCTGGACGTCCAGATCTCGCCGAATATTGGTAATAAGACTGAAAAGAGTGGTCTCTCGTATGTTTCAGTACGCTCTATTAGTATTACTGCAGCTCTTATTAATCCTCGAGAGCATCGACGCAAGGCCGATCACACTGGGGCACTAAGTCACTGGCCCCTCTAGGCAACCTAATGAGGTATTGCTTGACGGTAATTTCGGACAGGAATTCGATCCTCAATTCATTCTGTACATTTGAAAAGCTAATGGAGATTTCAAAATGTTTTTGGTTTCACTGCGAAATCATCAATTCACAGAATCCGAACAGTCGTATCAGCACAGTGATACCCGCATCCATTGAGAGTCGGGTTAAAGAATATTACAAAGGCCTAAACCGACTTGTACGTACACGATGTAGTATAGCTCCAACCATAATGACAGTACAGCCTCTCACGTCCAGGACTACCAACGTCGCCTTGACGCTACAAATCCTTCCCAATTTGTCATTAGTCTCCATCAACACGGAAGAGTGCCAGTGACATCGCATGAGCCAAGACAGTGCGGCCCGGACGCTGGCTCGCGCCAAGTAATCTTCCCAGCGGAACCCCGCCGCTCATAGACGGTGAGTGTGGGCGCGAAATACCCTCCAAATCATTAGCATAAGCGATAGTTCGCTCCGAAGAACCAGGCGGAATGCCTCGATCGGCATTGCTTCTCCGCAATTGACTCGGAGCGACTTGGAGTAGCACCGATGATTGTTGGCGATAGGAATTGCGGCGACGGCAAGGCTGCTCTACGTGGGGCCTTAAGTCGTGATGTAGATAGTGGTCGTCCTCGATATCCTCGACAGGGAGGACGCTTTTGCGAGTCTCGGCTGATCTCGTCCAGTGACGGCCCCCATATGCCCGACAGCCATCGTTGCTCCTATTCCGGCTCTATGGAACGAAGAGGGAGTAATCAACTTGGCTCCACCAATATCTCGTGTTGGCCACGGGCAGCTGACTGCCATCTCTCAAAACGTCGCAGGGTCCATCTGTCGCAGGACGGTGCGCAATTGGGGTTCGACATTCGATACGGGTCCAAACACCCCATTGCCGCTCTGTTCCAGCTGCTCTTCAATCTGGGCCAAGGCCACCACTGGCCATTCAGTCGCAGTTTTATCAGGCACGTCATCAGTCACGGTGTTCGCTTTGCTTAGGAGCCAGCTCAAGACTTTTGGGGTACCGGACTGGTTCAAGAGTGGAATGATGCGATTGTCATACTCGCTGTCCTGAAGTTTCATGGTGAAGTCATTGTACTGGTCCATGGCAGTAAGATGGAATTCGACGAACCTGCTCCCATTGAGCGCGTGGACGATTTCGTCCCCCCGTGCGATAGCTGACTTGACACCACTACTCAGACCACGACCGGGCCAGGAGTGTACCTTCATAGCAGTATCACCTGCCACCACGACAAGAGCATGTGGTGGGTTGGTTGATCGCCAGCCACAGGGCGGTAGATACTGTATGCCTGCTCGTACGGCTTGAACGACAATCGGGATTCTTATAACGTTGATGACCCCGCTTCCTCTGAAGCCAAAGAGGTTGATACCGTGGGAAAACCTCCAAAATGAGCCCGGCCTGTCTCCTGAAGTTGCAAAGACTTGGTTTTCGGTGAAGCCTTGCGGCACAGCGTATGTAGTCTTGAGTGCGGACTTCTGCCACACTAGTCTCACGTGAACATAAGAAAGTGAAAGGCTGATTTGGAATTGCTGGGGCATTATGCAAGTGCTTGCACATGTTGCCGAGAATTTGGGCCCTGGGAGGCAGCAGGCTGTGATGTCTGATGGCTTGAGCCACGCAGGATAATCTAATGAATCTTGCACGGTTGATTATACTCTACCCAGCTCAAGATTCGCTGAAGGTTCACATTTTGATGACAGGGCGAGAGCGATGATTCATACAATTTTCTATCTCATCCATATTTACAACATCTAGTATCTTATTAATGCCTGTCAAGTTCAATTTTCCATCCGTTGTAACTTGCATCAAATGACAATCTACCCCCTGTTCAGCCAGTCCCGAACCTTGAATTCTGGAGTCATCTTCTTCTTGTTGGAATGCTTATGCCTGTTGTCATAGATTGTAGTCGCTTCTCCCGTTTTCGGATCCGGAACCATAACCTTGATGTTATTCTTCGTGTCCACGTCAATGATGGCGGGTATCAGAACACTGGAGCTTGCGGTCGGAAATGTCTCCTCATCGCTTGCATCATGGGAATAATCAGACCCTGAATTAGGCTGATCTTCTCGTGGTACTGGATTGGACGTGTGGCGAAACGTATACGTGAATGCCGGTGCTGGATTCGGGGTTGACTTGATGGGTTGTTGATAGTAAGACATCTTTGGCAATGGGTGCATGTAATTGTAAGTCTGGTTCGCTGGCGACCGCCAAAAGTCCCACTCAATCTCCCCTACCATGCTGTCAGTCAAAATGTAAGAAAAATTGATAGAAAAAGCTAAGAACAGACCTGTCGCGCTCAGTCGGCTTCTGTAATAAAATCCCCTTCCTTCACAATCGCGGGCCCACGACGACCAGGGACCGGCGGTCGGAGCCAAATAATGTTGATCAAATGCGGCACCTGTGTTTGGGGTATCTTCTGGCGACTCCCGACTCGGGCTACTCTTCCGAGAGCCTTTGCTGGCATGCTTTCGATGATGGGTGTGTCGCTGCGTCATGGCGGCGAGCAATTTTCGGCTGACTTCAGACTTTAGTAATGCCGAAGACTGCTGATTCTTCACACCTGATGATTATTCGAATATCTTGAAATCAATTCTTCATCGGTCCCTGTAAGGAAACTATGGTTTCGTGATGGGAATGGTGGCTTTTTGTAATCAAATATCAAACACCGCCCGAATTCACCCGGTTCCAATAACTCAAAAGCCCAACAGCGCCCCTTTCGTAAGACTCACAATGCGAAATGGAACAACGAGCCGCCTGGACCGTCATGGAGGGTCGGATCAGGCAAGGCATCCTTGGGCTGGAACCGGGCAGCGAAACCACGCGTCTGGCTCGATCTGGGTTCATCCATTGGCGAATCATCGGGCCAGCCAACTAGATCTCAACAGTTCAAGCATCTTAGCATGACTGTTGAGCCACACCTGCCGTCAAATCAAACGCGCTCCTGGGTCCAAGCAATGGCGCTACACTGCCTGCTCACCACACATGGTAACCTCTACCGGCAACCTGTTGCTCGACTCAGCGGTGGCTCACGCGACTACGCTGGAGCCTGATTCAGGCTATCTTACATTGTCATATGACAGGTCACCGCAAAATTCTCGTCAGGCGTGCCACTTGTGTTGCTTACATATGAGAGAACCAGGCACCGCAGCGAATCACGCTTGGCTTGAGGCATTGCACGCTGGCGAACCACCCAACCTGGCAGCCCAATTTGAATTCCATTCTGCCTGACGCCACAAAGTGCGTTTCTTTTTAACCGGTGCTCATGAGTAGATGCAAGAGGCAATCTTTTGTTGGAAACTTCTCAGTTATGGAATTCCATTACCGGTCAGGTACTTTCAGGCTGCACCGCCCGCATATTGCATTACGCACGTGTTTGCAAATCGAAGGAGTGTAGACGGAGAGCTGATTTACTGACCTGCTCATCAATACAAACGCTTGCTTCTCTTTCCTTCAGTGCACATAATACAAGAGCCATATGTATGTGTTTCCTGGCGCAAACGTTGGATTTTGTAGGAGCCGGGGGCTCTTAGGTCTTATAACACTCATCTCGTTCTCCTCCAAACGAATGTTCTTTCTGGAAACTAGCGCTAGAACTTAACAAGATACTCGATTGTGTCAAAGATGCCCGGAAATGGTTAATGTGGAGGCGTACAGTTACCTTAATGCGGCTCCTGCCTTCAAATACATCAATCAGCAATTTATACTCCTATTTCCTTTAGAAGACGAAATAGCGAAGCCCGTCTTGAGGGGCCCAGAGGCTGCACGTATGCGTGGTCCTTATATGTAGGTACTTGTAGTCGCTGTAGTAAGCAGAAAATTCTAGGAATACACAGTTATTAGTCAACCCCGCTTGCCTGATGTTTCCGTGGTCAGGTGTAACTAAGGCCAAGCTTGATCTTAGTAATAATGTAGCATTGTATTCTCTCAGGATGATGAGGAAACTCTTATCCGGTCACGATCGAGGTTAGCCTTCTTGCTCATTTCGGATCACCACCTGCGCTTAGACACGGCTTCTCCTCCTCCTAAGCTCGCGTGAACAACCAATATGATGCCTCCGTTATTTATCATTTATATAACTCCGCCATTTTCAACTCGAATAGGTAAAAAGACTCTATCTATCATATCAATCATACCCCGCCTTCAGTTGGCCTTCGCAAGTGTCTTCCGGTATCCGACATGCTCCGACTTGCCTTTATCGGATCCTTAGGCCTCTTATCAACCCCCAGCCCGAATGCTCGTGCCCGGCCCCCTCAGCCTAGTGACCCCCCACCCCCATTCTCAACAGCATTATCAAGCATTTCACGAAAGCATCTTCCCCACCTCTGATAAATCCGAGTTAGACTAGTTCTTGGCTTAGAGTCATCCTCCAAAATTACGGTCTTAAAGTAGCAACGGCCATGAGACAGAAAGGCGCGAGGGTAAACAGGATGAGAGACGCAGTACCCGTAGTTTTTAGACTGCAATCCCAATCAAAGACTTCACTGCAACAGCTCTTTAATCTTTCTATACTCGGTACCCACATTTCATTGCATCTGTGACCCAACGACATGTTGCGCTTCCTTGGATTCTCTTCACCAACTATCGACGCCAAGCCAGAGCCTTCACGAAGTCTTCCAGCTTCGTGGTACAGGTCTCCAGAATTACACCAGCTCGAGAGAAGGGCAATTATCTCGAGAAAGTGGATCTTGGTGACGCATTCGCTGAGATTCAAGCAAGCGGGCGAGTTTGTCTCCTTCGTCTATGCCGATTTCCCATTCTTCCTCGTCCAAGATCGCGACGGCAACATCAACGGCTTTCACAATGTTTGCCGACACCGCGCATACCCTGTCGTCGAAAAGCGCTCCGGTAAAGCGAGTATTCTGAGCTGCAAGTATCACGGTTGGTCGTACGGTTTCAAAGGCGATCTCGCCAAAGCGCCGAGGTTCGATACGGTAAACGGTTTCGATAAGAGCCAAAATGGCCTCCTTCCGATCCATGTTCGCGTGGATCCCGCCGGCTTCATCTGGGTTAACCTCCAAGCAGGTGAACCAGACGTCAAGTGGGAAGACGAGTTTGGCGGTGTCTACCAGAAGCCGAGGATGCAAAACTTTGACTTTGCCGGAGGCTACAAGTACGACCATGTCTGGGACATGGAATTGGAGGCCAACTGGAAGGCGGTCATTGAGAACTACAACGAGTGCTACCATTGCCCAACGTCGCATCCCTTGATTGCGGGAGTGTCGGACTTGACGAAGTATCAAGTTCAACCAAGTGGAGGATGCCTGGAGCATGAGATCATCAACAAGAAAGCCCAAGATGAGGATGATGAGTTTCGGCGCTCGATCACATTCTTCTACCCATCCACATCAGTCACAATCACGTAAGTCACTCTATCCGGGAAATCCAGTCTTAGAAGCGTAAAAATTGACAAAAAGTGTAGCCAGAACTTCTTTTACATCCAACGAATGATTCCAATCAGTGCAACCAAGACTCGTATTGAGAATGAAGTGTACCGATCTCACACTGCCACCGATGCCGAGTTCACCGCCATCAACGCATTCTACAGACAGGTTCTGGAGGAAGATCGAGAATTGTGCATCGGAGCGCAGGAGAACCTCAGCGCCGGCGTGTTCATCAGCGGTGAGCTGCATCCAGAAAAGGAGAGAGTATGCCATCACGGCCACCTGATATCACGTCATGGTACTAACTCATCTGCGTAGGGCCCTATCCACTTCCAAAACACTGTTCGAGAAGAAGTCATGAAACACAGGCAAAGGGAACTAGAACAAGGGGGCAAAGAAATCTGGCCAGCCACTCCGGACTTACTCGGAGACTTGGGCACGGGGAAGTTGAGCGAGGACGAAGCTTTCTGCTCGGAGCTTGAGAAAGCAAACTGCGGCGGACGTCAGGAGTTGGCTTGGTGAGCTACCAGTTCTACGTGTCGGAATTTTTGAGTACAGATTGTAGGGAATATGGTGTTTGACGACGTATGGAACTCTTAGCGTTTTTTCAGCCTCACGAATCTCCTAGCATTTGGTTTCTATCGTGCACTCTACACAAAATTGCAATCCGATTCCCCACGATTTTGCTGTTCTTACATGATCACTTCACCTGGCTTAGTTGATATCTTGATGACAGAAGCATGGCAATGAGAGCCACCGCTGTTTGCATACACTGAGCCGTGCCGCGTCCTCGTGCGAAAGCATCGTATTCCAAATCAATGAGAGTTTGGAAAGCTGCATGTGGGTTTCGACCTTGGCTTCAGGCCTGTGTTGGATGCCGTTGTGATATGCATTGGCCAATACACTGGACTTTGGTTCTCAACCACTTACACCAAGGGTGGGGTTCGCAGACAAATGGAGCTTGGGATATTATATGATGATTATGACTCCCTAGATTTTCCCTGCTCGTTCAGCCCCTACCGAACCAACCGAATCACGAATTCTTACAATTCACGACCAATCTTTGGGGCGATCAACATGCCACTACTCTTACCTCCGATCCTGCGAAGAAACTCTTCGCATATGCAGGAGGATTTGTTGGGATTCTCAGAGGGGTTATCTTGGAGCTGATCTTATCTATCTTTAGCATGAGGGGAAAGTGGGTTTTCCGGCCGGGGAGGGCTCGAGGCCGGGAACGGAACACCATCCGCGACAAGTAGGGTGGCCAATGTAGCTTATCAGGGAGGGAGTCTTATCAATGGTTCCCTGGGTTGTCAAACTTACTCTCGGACGATGCCGTCCGAACACACCGGATGCTACACCCCACTCTTCAGGAATCCAATCTAGCCGAGGGCGAGAACCCGAGACGCGGAGAGAGAATGTTGACTGGCCTTGGAGAATTCATCTACTCAGTAGGGTTTCAAAGGCATCGTGAACCGGTCTCGACTATATCAGGAAAGATCTGTTGCGATCAAATTAGATTGTGGTCGAAATATATCCAAACTAACATTCACAAGCTCGGGCTTTGCCATCATTAGAGCATCGAATTAAACATTTATCTCGCCAAAGAGTTCTGCACCAAAACTTAACATCCTCACTCTCTTCAAAGGACCATGGCCGCTCTCGAGATCCCAACCATTGACTTCTCTGGTGAGTCTGCGAAGAAATCTGTCGTAGCTCAAAAAGGATAGCCAAATCCTAACAGCGTCATCTGACCACAGGATTCTACTCCGAGGACCCTCTGCAGAAGCAAAGGGTCGTGGACCAAGTACGCGACAGCTGCCTGTATAATGGATTCTTCCAAATCATCGGCCACTCGGTGCCCCTGGCGCAACAGAAGGCTGCCATGGGCGGCGCGAAGAAGTTCTTTGCCTTGCCACTCGAAGAAAAGCAAAAGGTCGCCAAGGAGAATACTACTTGGAACCGCGGCTACGAGATGCTGAGATCACAGATTCTCGAAGAAGGAACTCTACCAGAACTCAAGGAAGGCTTCTACATTGGAGCTGAGATTCCCGAGAACCACCCTTACTTCATCAACAAGAAGCTCAACAGTGGCCCGAACCAGTGGCCCGAAAGCCTGGGCAGTGATTTGCCGAGCTTCAGGGAATCCTCGATGGAGTACTACTCTTCAGCACTCAAGCTCGCCTCAGATTTGATGCAGGTCATCGCGCTTTCATTGGGCCTGGACGAGGACTACTTTTGCAAGTTCATGGATGGAGCTGTGGCGACTATGAGACTTCTCCACTACCCGTCGCAACCCAAGGATGCGGACGAGAAGTTGACTCGTGGAATCGGCGCCCACACTGACTTCGGCGCCATTACCATGCTTCTTCAGGATGAGGTCGATGGCCTGCAGGTATGGGACAAGAAGAACGAGACGTGGATCGACGTAAGTGGAAATTTTCCCCCCACTGTAGAGCACCACCCTTGGTGAACCGATTCCCAATACTGATCTGCCACTCTCAGGTCCCGCCGACGGAGGGCGCTTTTGTTGTGAACCTGGGCAATCTCATGGCAAGATGGACCAATGAGCTTTACAAGAGCAACATTCACAGGGTCATCAATAAGTCTGGCAAGGAGCGGTATTCCATTCCTGTCTTTGTCTCTGGCAACCCAGACTATCTGGTCGAGTGTATCCCCACTTGCAAGTCGGCTACGCAACCAGCCAAGTTTGGACCGGTCACAGTTGAGCAGGCCGTTTCTGCATCATATGCAGAGTCTTATGGAAGGGCGCAATTGTACAAGCAAGGCTTGGAGCAAGCTACCGCAAACAAGGTGAAACCTCAGGAGGCTCAGCCAGCACAGATTGCTGTCGCTTAAGGTAGCAGGGATGAACAGAGCATGTACATAAGTATTCTTAAAGGTCGTGTTAGCGCAATATTCTTTGATCTTTGGATGTAAAACCACTGATGGTTATGCTAAGAATGACCAATAATGGGGGCTAGCAGCCTCATATCTGACCCCCTTTAGTGCGTAGAGGGATCCCCCACTCTTGATCCTTCTCACTGGTTTGCTCTCATATCTACGCCTCCGCACAAGTTCACTAGCCTGTTGCAGTCTATCCATTGATAGGGAATTCATCCGGTATCAGAGTCGTACCACTTTATCAATTGCCAGACATCGAATCCCAACATTCAAGCCATTATTTGGTGGCGCATTGATTATTGTGGTTTGTGTCTGTAGTTCTGCAGCAAGTATGTCTACCTATTTTGCCTTGGATATAAGCCTCTGGCAAGCATGCCTGAGCTCCACGAGTAACAGGATCTTCTCAAACTCTAAGTCTAGCCAACCATATTCTGTGCAACTCAAAAGTTGACACTACTATTCATGATGGAGAAATCAACCATGGCGGAGACTAAACCTTCGGACGGCTCCCAGCTTGGAGACCACGAATCTGGAACCCAAGTGATGATAAGTATCACCACCGAAAGATCATATGGTGAGCTTCTCTACAGTTGAGGACCAAACCAATAAGTAGTCATTGCATCCTAACTCTGGTAGTTCGCAAGATGGATATCTGGCTCCTTCCATTTCTCTCAATCAGTGAGTGGTTCCTTCTCGAGTAATTTCATCTCCATTTCCGTCCTCTACTAACACATCCAGTGTATTTCTTCAATTCAGTTGACAGAGTAAGTCATCTAACCGTAGTTGCTCCTCAAACGATGAGACTGACCCGAGTCTAAGAGCAACCTTGGAAATGCGGAGACAGATGGAATGAGCAAAGATCTTGGTTTCAAGGGAGAACAGTACTCGTTACTCATTCTTCTTTTCTACGTTCCCAATGGTCTATGCGATCTGCCTCTCAACCTCCTGACCAAGAGATTTTCGGGTCGCAAGGTTTTGCCCGCGTTGATGGTAGGATGGGGAGCGATGGCACTCATACAAGCTGCTTGTAAGAACTTCGGTGGCATGCTAGCCATACGTCTCATTCTAGGGTGAGAACATAAGCAAGGCAGCTTTCAGGCGAATAAGTTCAGCTCACATCTCTCACCAACAGGGCGTTCGAAGCCGGCTTCTTTGCAGGGGCAGTATTCTACCTCACTCTATTCTACACCCGAGGAGAACTTGGGTTTCGCATTGCACTATTCTTTGGAAGTGCTCTGTTAGCGAGCGCTTTCTCGGGGCTGATCTCCTTTGGAGTCTTTCGGATCCAAGACCCTCATGTTCATGGGTGGATGTGGCTTTTCATCATAGAAGGTACGGCCTGGATCCTCACTTGCAGCTTTTGAGGCAATGCGTGTTGACCTGTCTTAGGTGCTCTAACTGTCATATTTGGCATCGTGGCATTTTGGTGGTTGCCGGCAAGTCCACAGACCGCCTGGTTCCTGGGTGAAGCGGAGCGCGAGGTAGCAACCCTCCGATCTCTCCGAGACGGCACACGCAACGTCGAGGAAGAGTTCAGCTTCAAGCAGTGTTTCCGCACGTGGTACGACTGGAAGTTCCCGATCTGGTGCATAATCAGTCTCACGTACCCAGTTGCCTTTTCCACGACGGCGAACTTCCTCCCGCTTGTCATTGGGCGACTGGGTTACAACAAAGTCACGACAAATTTGCTCACGGTTCCTCCCAACGTGGCAGGCTTTTTGGTGCTGTTGGCAGTCACGTACAGTTCGGATCGAAACAGAGAGCGGACTTTCCACATTATCGCCAGTCTAACCACAAGTCTGATAGGGCTCGTTGTGCTGGCTGCCATTGATGCGAAAGCACACGTCGCAGTGGCGTACTTTGCTTGTTTTCTGCTGACGGCTGGGGCTTATATCCCTTCCTGCTTGGTCCACAGTTGGCACAACAACAACAACCTTAGTGAAAACTCTCGAGCGGCGACTACTGGTCTTCTTGTCGGACTCGGCAACTTGGGTGGCATCCTGTCGGCGGGAACGTTTCGCACGACATACGCTCCGCGATATGCACCAACCCTTTTGGCAACGGCTGGGTGCAACGTCACTTGCATCATTTTTACACTTTGGCTTGGGCTTTGGATGAGGAAGGAGAACCACAGGAAGAACAAAGAACAAGGTGTTGATTTGAGGGCTGAAGACGTTGAAACGCGAGACTTGGCTGATGGAGAAAAGGATCCAAGATGGCGGTTCTTCGTTTAGAAGGCACCCACCAGCATCGCAAATACAATTAAATGGCATGATGGAACTAGAGACAAGTGTGAGACATGAAGCAATTGGCAGCATAAGAAAATTCATAATTCTCTATTCCTAAGGTATAGAAATCTGAAGAAGAGGTTGTTCGTGCTTGCGCCCATTTACCCAAGATCTGAAAGCAGCCTAACATGTCTTAATGATGAATCTTGATTACAACCTTTTGAGAAATGCTTCTTCTCCTATAATGGCGCGTTAGCATCTTTTATCTCCGCCAGCTCAAAGACCTTGTCGTCAACAACGGGTCTGATATTGTTCTCTCCGATGAAACTTATCACATGGCGGAATTAGCCCCGGCTACCCAATAACACACCTCCGACAATACGGGGTCGCATGAGAGCAGCCAGCATAGTTACAGGCTTGGCCGTGCATCCGGCTACACCTGCGGAGACGGCCACTCCTTTCGTATTCACCGCGGCGAGTGATTGGACGAGGGAGCTGTTGCCGGCAACATCGACAACAATGTCGAAGCCGGCTTGATTAGGGGTGTAGCTCCTCGTCTTCGCAACCCAGTCGTCGGGGTTCTCGGTAGCTCATCTTATCAAGTGGCTCACGCCAAGAATTCTTAGCCTTTTCGACTTTGGCCGACCCATCCATGACGGAGATAACAGGCCTTTTCTTGGGTTGGTTGGCTTGTCCAAGCAGCTTTGGCCATGCAAGGCAAGACAACTCACGCGCAAGACTCCAAGGTTTCAAAGGTTTCATGCCGTGGATGATCGCTTCTCCCCCGCTCTACATGGAGTCGCCGGTTGACATATGGTGTTGCAAAGGGAAGAGCATAATTCGATAGACCCGGGGCAATTGGCTTAAGCCTAGCGGCATCAGCAGGAGAACGCATAGGCGGAGAAATATTGTCTTATCGTTTCAAAGAACATAATGCCGCTTCGAGCAGCTTTGCTCTCTATCGAATATTGTCTCTGCCGAATCGATTTACTGATTCGGTTGCATTGATAACATTGCTGTTTCCCCGCTACAGCGACTCCCAGACCAGCTCGATAGCGTGACCGGGAACTTTGGAGTTGAACCACTCGTCAACAATGATCCCATCCTTCATCAGCCCCGTTGGTCGAGCCCCGTCCAGCACCCCAGATATACCCAGAGCCCTGACCGCCCAGAACAACTCACTCGAAGCGAGGTTACGAGCGATACACTGTCGTGGCCCAAGTCCAAAGGGAATGGCGTCCCGCAGCATTCCCTCGCTAGGCTCAACCCATCGCTCCGGCCGGAATGCTCTCGGATGGGGAAAGACGGCATCACTGAAATGCAAACTGAACGGTGCACATCCAATCCAAGTACCGCCTGGAAATTCAAAAGTCTTACTTTTCCCCGATGGCATCTTGGTCGTGAATGAAAATCCACCAGGTGGTACGATGCGTGGGAGGCGAGTTGGGTTTGCCATGGACATTCGAAGTCCCTCACGCACCACACCCCGTAGGTAAGGAAGAGTCTGCGGATCAGCTTGCGCAGCCCCTGGTGATGCGAGCTCGTCTTTGAGCTTCTGATACATCGAGGGCGACTGTGCTAAGTGCCAGCAGATGGCGCCAAAGTTCATACCAGTGCTGTCTGTGCCGGCAAACATCAGGTCCATACACTGAACAGCGGCTTCTTCTTTGCCGATGCCAGCACGCAGTAAGCGAGCCTGGTATGTCTGGTCCTTCTCAATGTCCGCCTCAGCCACCACCTGGTTACAGAAACTTGTGACGAGGTTCATTGACTCGTCGACTTTTTCATCCGGGAACAGCTTCGGTATAGCCCATTCAAGGGTGTGGAAGATCCAGTTAGGTAACAGGAAGAACCGCCCGACAGCCACAAAGGTGTCCACGAACTCGCTGGCCGAGAGCTTACTAGAATTTTCAACGTTCCTGCTCGCTTCGAGCTCGGCAATACCTCCGTACGTCTTGCCAAGTAGATATTCCGTAACGGCATCAAGAGCTAAGCATCTGCCCATGTTGAGCATGTTGACCGGCTTTCCTGACGCTGCTTCGTGTCCGATATGCGTCACCAGTCTGTCAACACACGACTTGAGTATCTGATCGCCTTCCTTTCGGATGGAAGCCGGGCTGAACATGCTTGCAACCGCCTTTGACCTGATGGCCCTGTGCGCAGGATCAAGGGCCGAAAAGATGGTGGGATGGCCGTCAAAGTCGAAATTGCTGTAGCATGGTGTTTTCAGGAAACCTCCCTTCTCAGAGTAGATGGGTCCCAGAGCCGCGCCGTCGCTAATGTCGACGTCATTAGGGCCAATTCGGACGACTGGGCCGTAGATCTTGTGCAGGGCTTCAACCGAGGTCGTCTCGTCCCCTGCGTATGAGTGGTACCACAGCCATAAAGGAGAGCTTGTTGCTTTCCAAGATCCCGGGACATTGCGGAGGGGATGGAGGAAGATATTGAAGCAAATGTAGAGGCAAAGCGCGGCCAATGGTACGACAAAAGCCAGTTTGAGCGATTCTTTGGCGAGAATTGCCAGCAGGTCAGCGAAAACAGCCATGGACTTTTGGGTTGGGACCAAGCCTGGGAACATCAAGTAGGAATGGTGGCTTCAAGTGGTTTGAGGAATCAAATGTTACTAGTAGATTACAATAAACCAGTGCATTGATGAGTCAGATGCCGACGTCAGACACTTACAGAGATAGAATGCATGCGAACCGGCACGTGACGCTATTGGAGATAAGCATGCAGTTGCAGCAATGGAACTGCACTAAAACCCCTTGGAAAGGTAATTGTTAGTCAAACACAGCATATGACGTTAAATAGACTGACTGCCTTCAATTAGGCCATTTGAAATGCTTCACAGACTTGTCTGGGTTTCGCATCGTCGTGAAAAGTTTGAAAGCATAGAGAAAACAAAAAGTCCGGAATCGACTTCATGTCACCTTCGGCCCAATGTCAATTCGCGAAAGACCTCCTTCACAGAACCAATAAGGGATATTCCTAATCTTTAATTATGATATGGACAATTAATCTACCATTTGGTCACGCCACCATCAACCAAGATGTCGCTTCCTTGACAATATCTGTTTTTTAATGTTAGCCACTTCAGGTGTATCTTCAATGCCTTTGATGGTCTCATCAGAGAATCAACTCACTTGCTGGCATCGCTCGCCAAGAAAACGCACGCTCCCTTGATGTCGTCAGGCTCTGCTACTCTGCCGTTCATGATTTCATCCTTCCACCCTTCAAGAAGATCGGGGAACGGAGCCGTCATTTCCGTCCGCACATAACCAGGAGAGATGGAGTTGACCCGGATCCCGTACTTGTTGAGCTCGGCAGCTATCGGGGCAACCATTGCGCGAACAGCGCCCTTGGTGCCGCAATAAGCAGTAGATCGCTGAGAGCGAATAGCAATGTATGATGCGATGCTTGCAACGAAGATGATGCTTCCGCATTTAGTGCCATTGGCGATCATGGCTTTGGCAGCCATCTTTGCGGAAAAGTAGAGCCCCTTGCAGTTGACACCGTAGAGCCTGTCAAAGTCTGCCTCCTCGGTGTCGAGGAACTCCACGTTCTTGTTCACACCCGCACAAGCGACAAAGATGTCGAGTTTGCCGTCAAAGTCGGCCGCCACGGAGGCAAAGGCTTTCTCCAAGCTGGAGAGAGATGTTACGTCAACGACGTATGCCCTTGCCTTTACCCCGTTTGCAGAAGAAAGTTGCTCAAATGCAGTTGGCTCCGGATCTATCAGATCAAAAATGGCAACGTCGGCCCCGGCCTCTGCGAGACCTTGAGCGAATGCCAGACCACAACCTCGGCCACCACCGGTGACAACGGCAACGCGACCTTTGAGAGAGAACTTTACTCATTAATCATGACCAACTCAAGATGGTATAGGTCTTCCGACATACCTTGGACATTTTGCTAACGCTGTTCAGATTCACGCCTCAAATCAACTCTGACAGGGGCGGAAGACTTGTATGTTGTACAAGCTGTTTGGGCACGCGCTGGCGGTGAAATTCCAAGGATGTGTTCAACGTCAAGCTAGGGTCGAGGCTTGAGACAAGATTACACCTCTCGACTGCTAAACATGCAAATAATTGGGAGTGATCACAATTGATGTCTTGTTTAGGTGATACTATTAGCGGAATTACTTAAGATGGCTGCTAGTCAAGTTCCACAACTGTCGCTGCCAGCATGCCGAGTGCTCAACCCGATCGCAACTTCAACCCCCATTCTAGCGCATATTATCGGCGCAGGCATGTCGACACATGCCATGGGTTGTAACACACCACCGAAAACCCCAATCTATGTTACAAAGCTCTGCTGGGTTATGGCGATGCAATCAGGTCGACTTCGCATTTTCAGGAGTGGGATCATATCCGCACTCTCTAAACCAGATCCTTGGACTTCTTGGCTTAAGACACGGCAATTGGCTCCTTTGGGCATGCAAAGATAGCTGCAACTTGGAAGCGGGGGCTGTCCAAAGCAGATAGCCATTGTTCCCCTACCTTCGCTGCGAGATACGGATGCTTGCTAGGGTCCAAGAACTTTAAGGATGCCTTCGGAAGATGGGGGAGTCTGAGGTGGGGGCGGGGTGCCATGCACTAGTAAGACAAAGATGCAAGAAGTGGGATGGCCAACAATAATCGAACGAGAAGCAATGGAACCCGGAAAGCAGACAAATCGGAGGAGCAGCCGAACGAGTCCTGTCGTATGTCCGGATGCTCCAGGCCGAAGATTGGAAAGCAAGAGTGGGGAGATTTTCGTCGAGGCCTGCAGATAAGCGTATGTATATGCAATTGAATTTAGTGGTGAAGTCATAAGTCATTGCGGGGATGCCTTTTGCCTGCGGAGAAGCCTCCAAGAGCTTGAGCTTTGGAGCCATGAAGTTGGTAGGGCTATCAAGTTGATGCCATGCGGTGCTTCATGAGATAGTTGCGGTGATCCTGACTGAAGAAGCTCCCAGCATAAAGCAAACCTCGAAGCACAGAGGGCATTGGCTATTTGTATACAGGCAGTCAACCTCACCACTTCTACCTATCTCATACGGCAAAACAGCATTCCAATCAATTACGATGGGAAAGAAAAAGGTCCTTGTATGGTAGGTGGCTTCCTCACATGACATGGTAGTGCCGTCACTCATGCTTGTTTACTAACCTGGCTTTCGCCGCAGCTACGGTGTGGATATCGACGCCGTCGCCGGCTGGCTCGGGTCATATGGTGGCGAGGACAGTACCAGTGATATCAGTCGAGGTTAGTTGCGCCAGGGGATTCTCTTTACAGTCCATTCATGTCTTCGAATTTGCGCTCCTGACCTCGCGGCTTTGTGAATAGGTCTATGGGCTGGAACTATTGGCACGCGTCGGCTCCTGAAGCTTTTTGAAAAGTACAATATCAAAGCGTCTTGGTTCATTCCGGGCCATTCCCTGGAAACCTTTCCGGAAGAATGTGCCATGGTTCGGGATGCGGGCCACGAGATCGGCCTGCACGGCTACAGCCATGAGAACCCTGTCGACATGACGCTAGAGCAGCAGCGCGACGTCCTAGACAAGACGTGGAAAATGTTGACGGACTTCTGCGGTAAACCGCCCAAGGGCAGCGTCGCCCCGTGGTGGGAGACCAGCGAAGAAGGGACTGAGTTGATGCTCAGCTATGGCATCGAGTATGATCACTCCATGTCGCACCATGACTGCCAAGCCTACTGGTTGAGGACCGGGGACAGCTGGACCAAGATTGACTATACCAAAAAGGCAGAGGAATGGATGAAGCCACTGGTCAAGGGTAAGGAGACTGGTTTGGTTGAGATCCCCGGATCGTGGTATATTGATGACCTCCCACCAATGATGTTTATGAAGAACTCAGCAAACTCACACGGATGGGTGAATCCAAGGTAAGTCAAGAGCTGAGGCCCACTGAGGACATGAGGGGGCCGCCGGCTGATGATGTCCTGTGTCTACAGGGATGTGGAAGATATCTGGCGAGACCACTTTGACTACTTTTACCGAGAATACGGTGAGTAGTGCCCATATTGGACAAGCAAGGCCTCTTGACTGACCCTTGTTGACAGATGAGTTCATTTTCCCCATGACGATCCATCCCGACGTCTCGGGACGGCCTCACGTGCTACTCATGCACGAGCGGATCATTGAACACATCAACAAACATGAAGGTGTTGAGTGGGTGACCATGGGAGAGGTAGGTCCCACCCCCACTCCTTGTTCCTTTTGATCGTATTCTAGCACTGACATCCTCGTAGATGAGCGACTACTTCAAGTCGAAAAATCCTGCACCCGAGGGAGGTCTGATGCCTGCTAGTCAGGAGGAGGTCATGAAAATGTACGAGGAATGGAAGAAGACGCAATCAAAAGTATTGGTAGCCTAAGAAAGCGACAGTTGCTAATGATCAGGTGATTTTCAAACAATTTGGTCAGAGATCGGAACGATCGTGAAAGAGATCGCATTTGTTTATGCTTCGAAGCATTGAACTTGATTTTCAATGTAACAATCTTGACTTGATCATCAGCTGAACACTTGATTTGTTTGATGAGATAGCTGCTTTACAGCTTTGGCAGACATGATCAAGGCTACATGATAGGCTAATTATACCTACTTGGAAAATGAATTTCAACTATGTTGAGTGTGATTGTCAACAGTAAAACCTTTGATACAATCTGCAAGGATTTGAAGTGCGTGCGCGTCCAGCTTTCCACTTCTCATCGCAAACCCAACATGGAGCAAATCTTATGCACTCTTCAAGCTGTTGTTTCTCACTACTTCAATGGAAACTTCAGCTCTTACCCCCGAGGATGTCATCAATGATCTTGCCAGCAGCAAGCACCGTCTCCTCCTCCAGTTTACGACCAACAATCTGAAGCCCCACCGGCAGCGCAAGAGATGCCATTGTCTCCTTGTTATCCTCCCACAACTTCTTGTTCCACTCGTCTTCGACTCCCCTCACTTCCGCCGCCCAAGGCTGTTCAACGTCTTCCCGGCTCACACGGCCTCCCGGAATGACCAGGGCTGGGTAATCGAGAAAGTTCCACACCTTGGTGTATCCCACCCATCGACAACCTCCATGCGGCACAGCGGTATGCGGCATAGGTGGCAGCAGGATAATGTCAACCATGCGACCGGTTTTGGGTGACCGGATGGATTGCCACTTTTCCAGGTAGGCCTGCTGCAGCTCCCATTTGCGCCTGTTGAGCTGCCAGTACTCGTATACGGAGATTGGTGTGCCTCGGTTGAGAAGCTTCTCGACGTGAGGAATAAAGGGTTCTCCGCCAGCCAAGACGTCTTTGCGTATGTCTTCGCCGCCGTCTACCGTGTAATAGAGATCCTTTAATGATGGTCAGAAGGACTAATTTCCAGAGAGATGATTAAGTAACATCGTAGCTCACCATTGTTCTGATACAGTCTTCATGCAAGTCGGCATTCCATTCCAGGACCTCATGGCCCGCTGCTTGAAGACGCTCTACTGCGGAGCGGAGAACGCGTGTGATTGGCGGGTGGGGCCGAACAACATTGTCATCGTAGAGTACTCCGATGGTCAAAGGCCTAGAAAATGTCTCCTTGTACAAGTCTTCTCGCCACGGAACTGGCGCACAACGTGCGTCCAATTCCCAGGGCTTGGCGTGGATCAGTTGCTCTATGGCGAGGCGAATTGTGGACAGGCTGCGAGCCATGGGACCAATCGACGAGGGTACATGTTCTTGGCCTTCAGTCGATACCGGGACCCCTCGGTAGGGCAAGCGCGCGCTCTGGAGCGGAGGTCAGTTCCTTTCAATTTTCATTTGGTTCCTACGTAGAGCCAAGACGTTTGTGGTGTTTGCCGTTGACCAAACTTACGCTGGGCTTGAAGCCGTATGTTCCCATCATGTGAGACGGAATCCGAATGCTTCCTCCAATATCTGTGCCCCAACCGAGCATGGTAGCATCGGAAGCAAGTAAGGCTGCCTCGCCGCCAGTTGAGCCGCCGGGGGTAAAATCCTTGCTCATAGGATTGGTCGTGAGGCCCCAAAGAGGGTTGTCTGTCTCGCACCACTATTCCGTTGTGAGCATCGTGCCAAAGCAAGGTGGAAAACAACCCGCGGATGCAGAGCTCTGAGGAGTAGGAGTGTTCGACTCACCATGATACTCTGTGGCAAGTTCGTTTTGGCAACAATGACGGCGCCCAATGAGCGAAGCATTCTTACGACAACGGCATCATCTGAAGCGGGCTTGAAGGATCTACCCACGTAGCCGAGAGTCGTGTCATATCCTTTGACGTTGAACTGGTCTTTCAAGGTTACGGGAACACCATGCAAGGGTCCAATTGTCTTTCCGTTCTTAGCAAGATAGTCATCTAACTCTGCGGCCCGCTTGAGTGCGTCGTCGAAGAAGATTTCTGTTAGACTACAGGCACGTGGACCATATGTTAGCAAATCCAAAAAAAACTGTGTGCATGTGTTTTTTATTTGTTAAAGCAAAATGATGAGCTTATTTTGGTCTCATTTCAACATGAACGCACCAATTCGTCTAGTGAAGCAAAAGTCAAATCAGTAAAAGTTCAAGAGCGCCATAGAAGATCCTCACCTCTTCGTGCACCTTGGATGCCCTGCACTTGTTTGGGACTATATCAGCATCGTCCTTCACAAAATAGGTACCAAGCCCGAGATGAATTCTCCACCGCCAGCGGGTATGTGAATTTCAGGTCAACGCACCTCCGAACGTATGCCCTGATTACTTCCTCACTTGTCACGTCACCACGTGAGACCTTTGAAACAAGTTCTGAGGCATCAGCGATACTTGTGATTTCAGTATCCTTCGAGGTGCCTGCCAAGTGGTCTGCGGATGCCGAGATGGCCTCTGCGCGGAGTCGTCGTTTCTTGGCTACCACGTCTTGCCAGACGTGTGCCGGCTTTGGAAGAGTGATTTGTGTCATTGATCCTGCTGCTTTCAAAGAGATCCCGAATGCCGTGATCCCCAAAAGCGCGAAACGTTTTTGAATGTCTTCACTCGTTGGCCAAATCACAGAATCACACCAAAGTCGCCGTCATGATGGTGTCAAATGCTAGGCCGAAGCGGGCCCGGCGTGCCGAAGATACTCGGGATGCCCGATCTTCGGAGTCCAAGCGACTTGATTGGCGGAATTGCAGGCCGGACATCTCTATCGGGTACCGGAGACATTGGCTTATCAGTGGAGCTTCGATTGCTGGATTGCCTACTGTGGTAACTGATTGCTTTGGGCATGTTTCCCCGCGGATTCCTCCACCGACCCCGCGACACGGCTTGTGCGGCGAACGGATACAAGCTCCCTGCGCTCGTAAGTGGGGGATCGAGAGGGGTCCGATAGGGACACCATGCCGCGGAGAGTGGGCGAAAGTGGTTAATGGCGCGAGAGTTGTTCGTCTGTCAGCAGTTGGGAAAGGACTGGATTCACCTGTGGTGAATAACGGGGTATGTTAATTTGCATCGCCATCAGCTGGACATCGAACCATTCTGCGGAATGAGACGATGCGTATCTCGAATCGAAACTTAGGCAGAGCTGATTACTCTTATACGATCTATTTCGGGCGGAGTGTCTAGAAGTTGGGGCGAAGATCCAACAAATCCCTTTTGCATCAACTCGAAACAATATTCACAACCTCTGAAGCTTCAAGTTCGCATTAGAAAATTCAACTTGCATGGTCCAGTCACAACTCCCTCACCACGACAATCTTCTACACTCTTTGATCACAGCAAACATGACGACAAGCTCAGCAACTCCTCCGAGTTCGCAAGCAAATGGCCACACAAACGGCTCGCATCAAAATGGATCCCCGTCCAAATCCGATGTCTGCGTTGTCGGAGCCGGGCCAGCCGGCTTGATGCTCGGGTTTGTGCCCCACCTCCCTCCGATGCTTGCGCCCCCACACCCGGCAGCTCCTCCGTGCTAACATCCCCGACACAGGTCTCTACTGGCAAGATTCGGTCAAAAAGTTGAAGTCATTGACGAAAGGCCTGATCAAACCACAGTGGGCCGGGCCGATGGAATCCAGCCAAAGTCGATTGAGACACTGCAGATGCTACGCCTCGGCGACGAGCTTCTCCGCACCGGCGTCAAGGTCCACGACATTTGCATGTGGCAGAGCTCGAGCGAGACCGACCTACACCGGCTGAGCCGGTCGGTTCACTACCCGGCGTCCGTCGTGGATCTCTTGCAGCCGTACATTTTGCTCTGTCACCAGGGCATGATCGAGGGCGTCTTTATTGATGACCTTCGCAAGAGCGGCGTCGAAGTGAAGCGTAGCCACAGCTTCCAGACCTACCGTACCGTGGACGATGGCTCTTTGCAGATCGAATGCGACCACCAAGGACAAGGAAAGACATTGATTAACTCCGAGTACCTAGTAGGCTGCGACGGCGCGCGGTCTCTCGTTCGAAAGAGCATCCCCGACACTTTTGCACAAGGTTCACCACACACTTCGGTATGGGGCGTCCTAGATGGCGAACTAGAGACAGACTTCCCCGACATCTGGAGCAAAACAGTAGTCTTCTCAGAGAAGTACGGGTCCATCCTCATCATCCCCCGCGAACGCAACATGACACGCTTCTACATTGAAATGAAGTCCTCAACGTCGTCCAAAGACCTGGGAGAAGAGTACGTAATGGAGCAAGCCCGCCTCATCCTCGCGCCATACAGCGTCCGATGGCGCTCCGTCGAATGGTTCGGCAACTACCAGGTCGCCCAGCGCGTCGCCGCCCGCTTCGCGGACCCGGGCCAGCGCGCCTTCATCGCCGGCGACGCCAGCCACACGCACAGTCCCAAGGCGGCGCAGGGCATGAACACGAGCATCCACGACACCTGGAACCTGGGATGGAAGCTCAACCTCGCGCTGCGCGGGCTCGCCAAGGGCAACAACGTGCTGCTGGCAACGTACGAGCAGGAACGCAAAAAGATTGCGCACGACCTCATCAATTTTGACTTTGAGCACGCCAACGAGATTGCGCGCGGCGACGCGAAGCGGCTGGCGGAGAACTTTGAGACGAATACGCGCTTCATCTCGGGCGTCGGGGTCGAGTATGGCGCCAACGAGCTCAACCGTGGCCGAGCGGACGGCGCCGGGGGCGCTGCGAAGCCGGGATGCAATCTCCCGCCTGCCAAGGCTACCCGTTATATTGATGCTTGCCCCATCGATGTGCAGCTCGATATTCCGGTCTTGGGGCAGTTTCGCATCTATGCCATTCTGAACGACGTCTCTAGTCCTGCGGGTGCCTCTTTCTTGCGTGATTTCAGCACCGGCGTAGCATCTGCGTCTTCATTGGTGTCGAGGCTTTCGGCGGCGGCGGCGCAGTCGTACATGCTGAAGCCACGCGCCAGCCGAGCTGATGATATCCACGTGCGTCCAGAGAGGTATACATCCGTAAGTCAGTTGTGCACATTCGCGCTCATCAGTAAGTCGTCCTTCTCCTTCATCTCGTACTTTTATGTCTCTAGTTTCTACACGTCGGGTGAGGGTCCGCGCCGTCCCCCTAGTCAATGAAAGTACTGCACCACCTCATGTGTACTTCTGCTGACCAGCTTTGTCCCCAGCATCTACCGATAAGAACGACTTTGAAATCTCTTCTCTGCCTCCCGTCTTTTCACAGAGTGCCTGGACCGTCTATCTCGACAACGTAGCACCACTGGATACGCAAGGACGATCATGTACAGACAAGTGGCTTGGAGGTCTCGGGACGGACGAAGCTTCCGTCATCGTTGTCCGACCGGACGGCTACGTGGGAACCATCAGCCGCTGGCTCACATCTGAAAGCGGCGCCGGTGGGATGTCGGCGCAGTGGCTAGATGACTACTTTGGCGGTTTCTTGCAAGCGCCGGATACGTATTGAATGGCGCTTCATGCAGTGCGACTTTGGTATATGGCGGTGTGGGTGATGAGAAGCAACATGTACATGTAGGTAGCACCGACAGCCGGAGACTGGCCAATTTGAGTTACTCCGCCAATAGGGCTGGGCGTACCGGTGTGACGTATAAACCGTAATTTACAATATCAGAACGATAGCAAGTGACATGCTTCCTCTGCGAGACAAGGTGTCAAACCTATGTAGTCCGATATGGTAGCTTGGCAAACAGGAAACATCTTGTGCGGTTATCACATCGCTTAATCGGGCCTCTCAAAGACATAAGAAAAGAAAAGTAATAGACGCAAATGAATTGAGTCCCATGTTGATTTCTGTTATGTCATTAGTCCTTCGAAGATGCAGAGATTTTTTTTTAACGGACATTTTAATATGGGTTTCTCTAGAATTGCGTGCGCTCGCCGGAACGTAGCCAACCCGCATCTATGAAATCATCACTCGTCCAGCTATGCGGTACGGATGGTTTTTGAACCGCTCTTCCTTGTTTTCTGAACTTTAAACGCGGGCTGGACGCGGCGCGTGGTAGTCTTGATTGGCAGAGCGCCATGTCAGACATCCTAGCCGGAATGGGGTCAATGTCAGGTTTGGCCACTTTGGAACAGGCCGTGCATGCCAAAGTGGGGGTGGGGACCCGTAATCTCTGGGATGAATCCTAGTTCCCGTTACTCTTCCTCTACGGATACATATGAGAAGAGCTCTTCGGATTGGGGCGATACACGCACCGTCGGTGACGGGTGAGAGGACAAAGATAGAGCACGCTCCCTTTAGATACTCTAGATACCCCATACTCCCGCTGGCGAGCGAGTGATAGGGCGGTATCTATCTCCATATCTCCATTTTGAGGCTGAGGTGAGAGTTCCTCCCCAGCGGAATCAGGACCCTTGATCTGTCCTTCAACCCAGAGGAACACCCCTGGCACTACGGCAACCTCGTTATGCCACTTGTGGAGTGAGTACTCAAACGTGTTGGCAGATTCTCCTCGACCTTGGCTCCTGTACCTTGATCCCCTTATGTCAGAGAAACAGCTCGTCCCTTGGTGTTCCTGGATCCAATAAAGCTAGAGGGATCAGCGCCCTACAGGGCTCGAAGGTCTGAAGGAAATCAGGTCCCAGGTCTTCCCGTCTTTGCTTTCTCGTGAGATCAAAGGGACCGACCATTCACAATTTGTCGGTTTTCCTCCTGTCTACTCTTGCGAATCGATCGGGGGTTCCAATCATGTCCGCTCCGAGTGAGAAGAGCGTCACAAAGGATGCGACAGAGTCGGGCTTGAGGCAGACGGCCTCCGGCTCCGTCATCCAGGGAGACGCAAGTTCCGTCGGCGACTCGGTCCTCCGCGATTTCTACACGGGCGCCGTGAACGAGAACTACCGCCTCAAGTCGGAGCTTATCGCGAAGCACTTGGGCGAGATTGGCATGGGAAAGTATGTCTGACATTCCACCTTTGTTTCCAACAAGCTCATACTACCGGCGGCAATGGAAGAAGCTAACCAGTACCCCCCCCTTTTCCCCCTTCGTAGGTTCCAATGGATCCTCTTCGTGGTCAACGGCTTCGGCTGGATCGTCGACAACTTCTGGTCCCAGGGCATCACGGCCGTCCGGCCCCCGATCGCCAACGAGTTCACTGACATTGTGAAACTGAGCTTCAGCTCCGTGGCGTACTACGTCGGCCTGATCGTCGGCGCCTCCTTCTGGGGCACCACCGCCGATCTCATCGGTCGGAAGCCCGCCTTCAACGCCACGATCCTCTACGGCGGCGTCTTTGCGTGCGCCGTGGCCGGCGTCCAAAACTTTACGGGCTTCTGCATCATCTGGGCCATTATCGGCACGGCGGCGGGAGGCAACGTGCCCGTTGACAGCGTCGTCTTTTTGGAGTTTGTCCCCCAGACGCACCAGTGGCTGCTCGTCAGCTTATCTGGGTGGTGGAATTTGGGACAGGTCATTGTGTCGCTTCTGGCGTGGGTTTTCTTGGCCAACTTTGCCTGCGACTCGACACAGGCCCCTTGTCGTATGCAAGATAACATGGGCTGGTACGTTTTTTTTTTTATCATAGCAGCAGCTCCTCCGTCATCAGATTCCCCGGGGCATGGTCTAACGTGTATGATTGTAGGCGCTACCTCATGATCACTCTCGGTGGCATCGCCATCGCATTCGGTTTGATTCGCATCGTGGCCTTTAAGATCCCCGAATCACCAAAGTTCCTCATCTCCAAGGGCCGCGATGCCGAGGCCGTCGAAGCCGTAAACTACATTGCGCGCTACAATAACCGCCCAGAGACCCTGACCCTCGAAATGCTGCAGGCCATCGACAGGCAATGTGCCGGCAGCCCAGACTCAGACGCAGGCAGCATCGCCGCCGCCGCAGCCCCGGTGGATGCCGACCTGGCGGCTCGGGGTTCCAAGCTCTCGCACATGGAGATCTTGAGAGAGAGCTTCAGAGACTACAACGCCGACAACTACAAGAAATTGTTCGCCGGACGCAAGATGGCGCAGCACACGTCCGTCACGTTTCTCATTTGGCTGACGGTCGGCGTGGCGTACCCGCTCTACTTTGCCTTTATCCCGTCCTACCTGGCGACCAAGTCGACATACTCGGCCAACAACTCGTTGAACCACACCTACATGATTTACTGCATCGTCTCGGCGGCTGGCGTCCTGGGACCCGTCGCGGCCGGCTTTTGCGTAGAGACACGCTTCGGCCGCCGCTGGATGATGGCCGCGTCGGCGGTGCTGACCGGAGTCTTCTTGTTCGCCTACACCGCTGTCGGCACCGAAGCCGCGGATATCGGGTTCCAATGCGCGACTGGAATCCTTGGAAACTTTGGTGCGTCCCCCCCCTTCCTCCTCCACCTTCGTCGTACCTCTTTTTGAACCGAACGGTTGCTAACAAGTTGTGCTGCAGAATACGCCGTCATGTACGCGTTCACGCCCGAGTCCTTCCCCGGTCCCGTCCGCGGAACGGGCACGGGGATTGCGGCGACCCTCCTCCGCGTCGGTGGTCTCGCAGCCTCTTTTGTGTCAACCTACGCGGGATACACTGTTGTGCCCATATACGCCAGTGCTGCTTTATGGGTCGTGGTGGGCTTGTTTTGTGTTGGATTGCCTTATGAGACGCATGGGCACGCTTCTCTCTAGATGCAACATTGCAATCCGGAGACATTGAATCTTGCTACTAGCTAGTCGCCCTTCGATGAAAGGTTCCAAATGAGAAATGATCTTTCGTCGCCAAAATCAAATTTGAAAATAGAATAAAATAGTGCAACCAGTGAGTTGAGGCGTCAAGATGTACCGAGGTACGCAGAAGAGTAGACATGCTCCAGAGTTGCTCGAGGTCCAAACAATAGGTTTTCTCACAATTTTACCACGAGCAATGTCAGAGTATCCAGCAATATTATCATTTGATGTACTTTAATTCATCTCGTCTTTACTCATGCATGCAAAAATTCCAACACTGTCATAGTGGCTAGCAGGTTATGTCTATAAACAATGTGAAAGAAGGGAACGTCTACAGACAAAGAAGACTGGTCCTTGGAAGTAAATGTCATCCTCAAACCACTAGACACGTGCCGCATACTAACCTCAGCCTAATAGCTGGCGTTAAACCCTCAACGTCGCTCCTCTTATCCGGCATACGTGTTTTCGGCCTACTCGAACTTAATTCAACGGGGGAAGTGCAATCTTTCACCAAAGCGATGGGGTGAGGAATGTTGCTATCGTTTCCCCTGTCCCAATGAGATGAGGGCCCCACGAAAGCTTTCTCCATGTCTATCTGCGAACATGTGGGGGTGAAGCCGCAGTCTTCCGCCCTCCCGAGCTCCCCTTCCCTGGACTACACTACCTAGCTCACGGACTGCCGAGTTTAATTCGCAGGGGGGAGGACGACATCGCCGTCGATTAGAAGTGGACTGATGGCTATATCTTGTTGAACAACCGTAGATAAGGTAAGCCATCCTATCCGGCGTTCGATCAGACGTGTGTGTAAGTGCAACCCCCACTTCCGAGATAGATCGTGCTCCCACTTCCCCCAACCCAAAAAGCCTCTCCACACCCCACCCCTGAGAATGGGGGGGCGTGCTTGATGCGCTCGCAACGACGCATCAACATGACGATCTCGACGAACATGCGAAAGTGTACTGACAAGTGCATAGAATTGTAGCTTTAGAGTTTGTGGTTACGAGCCTCAGACGATGTGTTCAAAACCTGCCATATTCAACGATGTTGAATACAACACACTTCACCATACCACCTACCCAAGGCCCAATCCGATACTAGTTCTTGATCATCGTCTCCGAATAGCTTCACACCATGCCTAAAGCAAATACTCCTCCCCCGGCCTTTGCCGCCCTCAAGGACACGGTGCTGTTCACTCCCTTGAAACTGGGGGGCATCAGCCTCAAGCACCGCATCGTCCAAGTAAGCTCATCAGGCTTATCGAGACACATCACGAATTGGTATGCTGATTATGGATGACAGGCACCAACAACTCGCATGAGAAGCGAGTTCGAGTCTCGCGGCGTCTATGTCCCGGGTGCCCGTGTAGCAAAGTACTATGGCGACCGAGCCAGCGCCGGCGGTCTCCAAATCACTGAGGCCACCGACATCTGTCTCAATGCCAGCGCCTACCCCGGCGTTGCGGGCGTCTTCACCGACTCCCAGCTGCAAGGCTGGCGCAAGGTGACCGATGCCGTCCATGCCAAGGGTGGCTACCTCTTTGTCCAGCTCTGGCACACCGGCAGAGCCTCTTCCGCTGGGATGCGCGGAGGCGAGACCCCCATCTCTTCCGGGACCCAGCCGATGGACGGAAACTACTTTGATGGAACTGCGTGCAAGGACGGTCCTCCGAGGCCCATGACAGTGGAGGAGATTCACAGCCTGACCGCGGAGTGGGCTGCGGCTTCAAAGCGCGCGGTTGAGGTTGCTGGCTTTGATGGCGTTGAGATTCATGGTAGGGAGATCTGGTGCCGTCTGATAACTCAAGCTAACAGACAAAAAGGCGCTAATGGGTATCTCTTGGAGCAATTTCTCCATGACAACATCAATACTCGCACAGATGAGTACGGTGGATCGATAGAGAAGCGCTCAAAGTTTCTTCTTGACGTTTTAGCAGCCGTCAGTGCAGCCATTGGACCCGAGAAAGTCGGCGTCCGTCTCTCGCCGTACAACTACTTTCAAGGGACAAAAGACAGCGACCCCAACAAGCACTGGTCGTTCATCAGCCAGAAGATTGCAGAGTTGCCAGAGACAGAGCGGCCTGCTTATGTGCACATGTAGGACTCAGTGTCTGCTTACTGTTGGAAACAAGAAATCATTACTAAAAGTGTAATCTAGGATCGAGCCTCGCTTTGACGAAGTCTTGGACGAGGAACAAAAGCTCGCGTCGCTGGCCGGAACAAAGTCCGAGGCGACACAGACCAACAATTTGACCCAGTTCAGGGACATTCTCAAGCCGGCGGGTGTCTACTTCTTTGCCGCGGGCAACTTCAACCGCGACAATGCCGTTACGAAGTTGAAGAGCGGCGAGTCGGACGCGGTGGTGTTTGGGAGGCACTTTATCGCCAATCCCGATTTGGTGGAGCGGTTGAGGAACGGGTGGGAGTTGACCCCGTATGACCGGACGACGTTCTACGGGGCGGAGCCTCCGGAAAAGGGATACAATGATTATGAGTTTTACAAGGTTGCCAATGCGGAGGTTACGGCGAGTGCTGAGAAGTAGGAGAGTCAGAGGAGCATTACTGGAGACTGGCGTCTCAACTCTTGCATTATGAATATAAATGCTTCGATTATTGAACCAGGAACACCTAAATCTGATCTCTCAATGCAAGATACGTAGCTGATTAACCTTCTATTGACTTTCTGGTCCCTGCATCATCCTTTAAAAGTCGTGCAAGAGGAGGGGAATACCTTGTGCAAATCATAAATCGCAAACCTGAGCGGGCCATTGAAAAAAATAGGGTTTGTAGACACGGGAATCATATGCAACCAGAGACTCATTATTGTTTTTGCAAACAAAGTTTGCAAGTATTATCAAGATTTACCATCAATATTAATTATAGACCAACCAGTTATGGTCTGTAAAGCACTCTTCATTCCGCCTCATTACTCTTGAAAACGTTTCAGGCCCATGCCCATTTCCTTATGCAACCGCACAAGGCCTATCTAACTTTTCAATAATCTCATAAGCACTGAAAACCTGGATAACACTAGGGCCTTGGGTCGTAACCCTCGATAAGCGTAGCACTTTTGTAGAAAGTGCTCAGCCTTTAGATGTGGCCAGGATCCTGGACAGTGAGGGTGTAGCCGTAGCTGGAAGAGACGGAGTAGTAGTCGCTTCCTCTCCACTGTCCGACGTTGGTGCTGTAAGACTTGTCCCAGGAGGTGGTGTACAGGGAGCAGTAGGTTCCCTGCGGGACGTTGTTCTTGCTCAGGACGTACGAGTTGAAGAAGTTGCAGGCGTCGTAGGTGCCGTCGGCCCTGGGGTGGTCGTGGTCGTACTTGGTGTTGGCCTTGCAGGCGGCGGCGCACTGGATGGGGTCGTAGGGGCCGGGGTAGTACTTGGATCCCATGTACGAGTTCGGGGCCTGGGTGGCGCCGCCGAAGGCGACGGGGCCGGTGAAGCCGTCGTAGGACGGCGGGGGCGCGAGCTTGGAGTATCCTTTAGGGGGCCCAGTTAGTCATTCCATGGTTCCTTGCCTGATCTTTGGTTATGGAGGGAGTGAGGGCACATACCGTTTGATCCGCTGATACCAACGTGGAACTGGTTTCTCCACTGTCCAACGTTGGTAGCGCCCTCCGGGGTGACGGCGAGACCCCAAAGAGTGCACTTGTAGTTGGTAATGCTCGACGGGTTGGGGCAAGCATCAGTAGGGTCATACGCGGGATCCCTCTCCAGGTAGACGTTGATGCCGTAGCAGGAAGGGGCGGCATCGCAGTACTAGTCAGTCAGGGTCAGATCTCGCTTCCGTCAAGTTTGTCCGAGTGAAGATTGTGCCTACCTGCTGGCACTTGATGGTGTCAAAGCTCTTCAGGGTGTAGAGACCCAGGTATCCGTTTCCTTCCTGGGAGCCCTGCAAGGCGGAGTACGACAGAGAGTAACCTTGGGGTACCGGCGCGGCATTGGCAATGCTGGGGTACTGGGGATCAGCGATGAAGTTGTCGTACGTGTCCGGGCTGGACACGGGCCCGTAGCCATCGGGCTGCTGAGCTCCACAACCGGATGGAACCGCACGAGCAGCCAGGGTCGTGTTCGAGGCCGCGATGGGATTCGCTGCGGCGTCCTTTGAGGCTTCAGCCTTGGCGACAGCCGGGTTGTACGTGGGAGTCTCGACGGATGCACCGACGGCGGGGCCAACCTTGGTCGGGATGGGCTCCGACTGTACGGCGGGTCAGCTAGAGGTAAAGAAGGTTTCCCAGCAGCGTGGACTCACATCGAAGACACTCAGATCAATACCGTTCTGGGCCGTAGTGTCCCTGGGGGCTACGGGGTTGGCGGCAGCCAGGCCAGAGATGGCGGCGAAGAGGACGGCGGAACGCATCTTGAAGTTTGGCAGTTTGTCTTGAGCACGTGGCAAGCCTGAGAAGGATTGATGACCCGGTTGAAGCTGAGGATATTCGAGAGCTTCTGAGATGGTGAGGATGGATAACAAAAATCTGGGGCAGAGAAGAGGCGGAAGATGGCAGACTTATGTATCCAGGGTCTATACCCTACATCCAGCAAATATCAACAAGTGGGCGCTGTGAATTGCCTCGTGGAGTGCCTCCACGTGGGCGAAGTCATCGTTCTGGTTCTCCTCAACCGCTTCCCGCTTCATGCCAAAAACATTGACCAAGCGCTGCTTAAGCGACCTGTCGTTCAGCTTTCTCGTACCATCGTGAGTGCCACGCGCGTGTTGGTTCCTCTGGACAGGACCGCTGGGCTCCGTGCGCCAACCTATGTTAGTTGGTTTCAGGCCGCCGCTCACTAGGCGGAGGCCGTCGCTTACCAGCCTTCCGGATTTCTACCCCTTTTCTCATTAGCTTCATCCTTAGCTGACCTTATTTTCGAAGGCGGCTCTTCCAATTTGGTGGTGTTGAAGTGTCCAAGGGCTCCGAGGGCGGGATGTTATTACCACTTCAGACATGGACATGGGATGGAAACGTGGCCTGGGACGGTAAGACGGGGTCGGTGTTGCCCAATCTCTCAATCCAAGACAACAAAACTCATTATTGGACGAGATACGGCTCCCTCTCCACTAAACTAGAGTCAATATAACGCCCAGCTGCCTCAGCTGGACCAGCTGGTCGGGTCAGCTTCCCGTATCCGTGTTCACGTCCCATATCCCCGGGACTGCCAGGACTGCCGCCTCTACGCAGGGCAACACCGTTTTGATGTCTTGCAAGTTGCTGGCGATCAAAGTGGTTAATAACATTGCCCAAAACTGTCTAGCTTACATGGTACCCCCAACCACAGCGGCGGAGGTTTTCCATATTAGTAAAAGCTTAGCCGCCAAGCTATCGATCCAAAAACAAAGGAGCAGGGGAACGGTAAGGCAGGCTTTGGAACTATTGTTTACTATTCCTCGTTTTGCCTAATGAGAATCGCCGCTAACCTCCCCAAGGTCCGATTCAGCCTGTAATTTCATGCCACAACGGCTCAAGACTCGCGAAGTCAGAGTTTTGTACTTTCTTTTACAGTAATAATAAGCTTATGCCCTACAAACTACAAACTTGCGCGAGGGGCTGGTTCGCTGCCTGTCAAACCGGCCGAGTCGGAAGGCCATTTCGATTCAATGTCTTTCCACATGTCGTACGTTAACAACCACCGCCCTACCCCATGATACCTCCACGGAAAGGGGTCATTTCCCGTCTCCTGAGAAGCGGGCAACACAGCCGACTCCTCGCTCAGCCACTTCGCGTCCATTTCTTCAAACTTCTTGAACTTTGCATCCCGCTCGACCTGCTCCTGGCCGTCGTGTAGGTGATACATCCACTGGTTGTATGTCCCGCGGCGAACGACCCTTTCCGTCCGCTCCCGCCGGCAGTCCTCGTAGACCCTTAGGGCCTGTCGCTTTGATGCGGCTGAAGTGTCGGTCAGTCGAGCGAGGCAGAGACCCAGGACCCCTCCGTCCTCGAGCGCCATGCCCGCCCCGCTGGCGAGGTACGGGAGCGTCGCGTGCACGGCGTCGCCGAGCATCGTGAAGGCGCCCGACGGATGGGACCACGTTGGTTCCAGGCCTGGCCGGATGCACAGGCGCCACTTGAGGACCTCGTCGCACATCTGGAGCATCTTGCCTATGCGGGGATCCCAGCCTGCAAAGTGGCCCCGCATCTCGTCAATATTTCCCTGCAGGGTGTTGCCGCCGTTGACGGGCATGTCGTCCGGCACCAGCAACACCATGTTGAAGAGCTGACCGCCCTTGAGGACGTAGTTCACCGCGTGCTTGTCCGGCCCAACCCAGTAGTTGACCTGGGGGTTCTCCACAAAGTGCCTCAATTCGGGATCCTTGAGCATGTCGGCGGTGTTCAGCAGCAGTCGGTAGGCCAGGTCCCCTGTCAGCTGGGGTGGATCCGGCTTGCATAGGAACTCCTCCCTCAGCTTGGAGTTGATGCCGTCCGCGCCGACGAGGAGATCACATGTCAGGCTCCGGCCACCGACGAGGTATACCGTGGCAGTCGTGTTGTCCGGCGAGATTGTAAATGTGTCGACCTTTGCCTTCGTCTCGAGCTTCACGCCCAGCTCTACCGCGCGTTCGAGGAGGCAACGGTGGAGGTCGGAGCGATGAAAGTCCCAAAAGGGAAAATCTCCCGCCGCCGCAGCGTACTTGTGATAATCCATTTCGGACAAAAAGTTGCCTTTCCAGCCGATAAAGTTGCACTTCTGAGGCTTTGTGGCGTACTTCTCCAGCTTCTCCTCCAAGCCCCATGAGAAGAGGATGCGAGCGGCGTTGGGCAGAACTTGGATGCCCGCACCGACCTCGCCGATATTTGAGGCGGCTTCTAGAACTGTAACATCATGTCCAGCCAGCAGCGTCGAGATGGCGGCGCCTAGACCGCCTAGGCCAGCTCCTACGATGATCACCTTGAAAGCATCAGCGCATTAGTTTGGTTGCTTTGATTGATGTTGGAAAGCATGGGAGAGAAGGAGACTCACGTGAAGCTTACTTGTAGCATCTCGCTGTTGCTTTTCTTGAATCACATAACTTCTAGACGATGGCGTCGACATGATGCCAGCAGCGCGCGACCAGATAAAGGGAACAGTTTGACGTTTCGATTATGAACACTTAGAGTCCGGTACTGTCAGACGTCCTTCAACTATTGCCGCCTGTCTTCAATGCAAGTGTGGGTGGTGCTGGTGCGCCGGCAGATTTGTATACAATGATCGTGCTAACTTTGCAGCCGCGATATACTAGCTACATTGTAAGCTCTTAGAAATGCGTATTCGCTCACATCAATAAGAGTGGAATGAATGCATCATCTATTTCTCCTTGTCGGAACGAAGTCGACGGCTTTAGCCGGCTCTGCTCATACAACGTGATCGTCAGAGTTGCTGCATCCCCTTTCAAGGTGTGCTACTCCGCGAACATCAATTGTCCTACGTAACCCCGAGCCATATCTGCATGTATCACATATCTAACCTTGCTAGATAAGACACGCCCGTAGTTGGAGGCGACCAGCTGTACCCCACTCTTATCTGTTGGGGACTTGTGTTGGTCTTCTTGGAGATCAGCTGCGTACTGCGTAAGGAGGATGCTTATCGGAAGTGGCGGGAGTCGAGAGTGGGGGAGGGGCATCACCAAGACGTAGTAGCGCTGGGGTATTGGTCGACTAACAAATCGGAGATTTATCTTCTTTCCCAGTATGGAGATTGTACTCGGCCTAGGAAGCCGGGTATCGTTACTCTTCAGAGCCCGAGGAAATGCGGAGAAGTGGGACGCTTGGATGCTATGTCCATCCCCATTCCCCCATCTATGGCTCCTGTCGAGGTAGCAAGACGATGGACTGCGGTTTCACTCTGCCAACTTTGAAGCCTTTCAAGTCGGTACTCAGGCTCAATTATCGAAAATTCTCTCCCTCTCTTTCAGGGGTGACTGGCATAGACCTTTTTCGGAAGTGGATTGGGTAATTGGACTCGGCGGTGAACCATGAGCGACTCCTATACCATGGCGGGTGCTAGTGACAATCACCGTCGCTCAGAGAGCTCGGACGGGCTGATGGGCGAGGATAAGACTTTTTCTTGCACGCATCCGGGTTGCAACAGACGCTTCACTCGCGCTGAGCATATGCAACGCCATGCTCTCAATCATATGCCTGGCGGATTGAGCTGCGATCTATGCAATGCTCACTTCAAAAGGCCCGATCTGTTGAGTAAGTAGAATCAAGACGAAAAAGAAAAAGACGAGAGAGAAAATGTCGACAACTACTACCGTTTGTAATTCATCTCAAAAACGTCTCTGCCGAATGAACTGCTTAACTGACATATATACATGAACAATCAGAGCGGCATATGGACCGTCATCGACAGAAAGATCTCGAAGCAGGCGGACCGGGCTGCGGCGTTCTAGATACACGCAAAAGATCTTGGAAGGCCCCGGACGGGTCTGTTGTAGAGAAACGGCCCTGCCCGAATCCTTCTGGACGGGGCCGGGCCTCGGCGGCGAAAGAGCGCCCTCAAGCTCAACAAGTGCCTTCGCCTGATCCGGAACCACACGAAGGGGATCACAGTCTGTCCGGCTTAGATATTGGGGCGGATCAGGCTTACTCCACTGGCAGCATATCGCCAGAATTTCACAGACGTTCTACCTTGGATCTACGCCCAGGGAACCAAAACAACCCTCAGCAATACTCTTTTGGACGTGGAGATATATTCAACCCAACTGAGACCGTTAGCAATTTTCCTGGATTCCCTCCCTCTTTACAGTTGTCCGATTTGATAACAACGGAGAACCATTTCGACATCAATACGACCCAGCCCAGTAGCTGGGGCGAGGCGTCTTTCATCGGCGAACAACTGGACTACGACCAGATCTTCCAGCCAGACACTGCCAGCTCGTTTAACATGCCATATACGACTGCGTTGGACTACAACTGGTTATTCAACATGCAAGACACCTCAGCCCCCACTGCATCGTCGAGACCGTCAAATATAGGTCAAGACTTTGAAACTCACATGACAAACAACCAATCTCAAACTAAACCGCAAAGCAACATTGCAATCACACCAGAGTCGATGAAGAGCGCTCAACTATGGACGGAACCCATGGACATGCCTCCGAAAGAACAGGAGCGACAAAGGTCATCCGGTCTACCCAACAACCCTCACACAGGTGCCAGTGAAGCCGCTAGACGCCAAGCTGTCCGGAACTCGAGAGAGAGGAGCGCAGACGTTGCAGCATCTCGGAGACCTGCCGATGTACCTCCGGCAGCTCGACAGCGATACACTGCGGTCAGCCGGCCAGCTCCGACTGAACCAGAGAGACCACTTTCTTCACTGAGAAAGCCGCTCACGATCCCTCAGATCAGCGAGGATGTGAGAGAACGGTTGCTAAACGTCATCGATAGTGCCAAACCAAGTCTCCCTGATCAACGTGTCACGATATGGGAGCACCCGCTGTTATCAGCAGACTCACTCAAGTTGTACTTGGAGCTTTTCTTCACCCGCTTCAACACCGCATACCCTCTAATTCACGTGGAAACCTTTGATTGCAGAAAGACCGAGCCTCTGCTTCTACTTTCCATCCTCCTTTTGGGCGCAACGTACTCGAGCAAAGACTGTCATCAACTCGCCGTTTGCATACACGATGTCATCCGGCCGAGTATCTTTGCTCATGCGGGGTTCTCACCTAGACCAGAGCTTTGGACGTTACAGACAATCCTGCTGGTCGAGTGCTTTGGCAAGTCCCGCGCCGGTCAGAAGCAGCACGACATGAGCCATCTGTTCCACGGACTGTTGATCAATCTCATTCGCCGTTCCGACTGCCAGACGGTGCGACCTCCAGGCCCACCGCCGGTGTCGGGCGAAGACAACGTCGGCGTCTTGGATCAAGCATGGAGGAGGTGGGCTGACGCGGAGCAGAAGAAAAGGTATGTCTCGACTATACCTCTGCGTTGCTGTGAAAACGAAGGACTAACGGACACTCAGATTAGCTCTGCTTTGCTTCATGTGGGATACCCAGCACGCAGTCCTCTTTTGCCAAAGCCTATGCATGTCGGCCTTTGAGCTCCGGCTTGAACTCCCATGCAGCCAGAGCATCTGGGAAGCACGGGATCCCGCGTCTTGGGCGTCGGCCTGGCGCTCGAGTCTCAGCGATCAGAGACTGTTCTACTTACCCACCCTCAAGTCTTACTTGACGCCATCCGCCCCACGACCAGCTGGGCTCACTGGCTTTTCCAGGATTCTGGTTCTCCATGGCTTGATGTCCATCTCTTGGGACATGGGACGTCGTGACCAAACGGCTCTCGGAGTCGTCTCTGGAGACAGCTTTGGCACGGGTTGGCGCGAATTGTTGAGCACCGCCTACGACGCTTGGAAAAGCGACTTTGATGCCTACTGCGTCAGCTTTTCAGCCCAGTTGCCACGAGGTCCCAATTCCACATCGCAAGGGAATCTGCGGCAACAAGACGACGAAGAAATGACTCGGCGTGTCGAATTTGAGTCATTTGCGTCCGCGTATAAAGCTCTGTACCATTCGGCACAGGCCTTGCTCAACATGGACTTCTTGGACGTTCAGATATACGCCGGAGCCCGTCATATTCTCGGCAGGCCAGTCCAGCAACGAGACTACCATAGATCCGCGCAAGTGGTGAAGAAGTGGGCTGCATCAGGCTGCGAGACACAGCAGCAGCAGCAGCAGCAGCAGCAGAACCAACCGACCGTCGCGAGACAAGATCGACGCGCTGCCGATACCATTGCCGATCAATCCAAGCAGTCTGCGTCCGAGGCGGCCTGGCACGCGGCGAGGATGCTCCTCGAGACCAAGAAGACGCTGAACAGCACGGAGGCAATGAACCTCTTCCACGTGCCGTGGTGTCTGTACCTGGCGACGCTCACCTGCTGGGCCTACCACCACGCGCGACCCAGCCGCTCGTACGGGGCTCCCTCGCGGAGGGCGTTTGATGCGTTTGACGACGAGGACGACTTTGAGGACGACGAGATGATTTGGGACCCGCAGGGCGAGATGGAGGCTCTCGTTGCCAGCATGTCGGAGCGCGTGGTCCGGGGCGAGGTTGCATTGCGGAGGGAGCGGAAGAGGACGAATGGTTTGGTGTGGATCATGGCGGACGTCTTGACGACTGTGCGATGGGGGATTGTGCATGCCGGCGTTGTGGTTTTGCGGGGGCTGGTGCCTCAGCGGTTGATTAACCAGTATGAAGAGGTCATCTGAGTCTTCGTTGGGCAATGAATCAGGTTTAGGGGGATTTCATTTTTGCTGCCGGCTCCAAGACAAGACATGCCTAGCTCGAGCGGCGATGTCTTTGGTGGGAGAGGGGATGGCCAGGATGAGATGCCAACCAGAGAGTTCACGCGGTATGCATTCGACCTCGATGCAAGCGGAGAAAACAACGGTTAACCCGCTTGCATTACTGGTGTTCCTAAGACCAGGGACTTGCGTGCCAAGAACCTGGTAGCTGGTATTCCTGAGAGAAGGCTAGAGCGTTGGCGTTGGCGTTGGACTGTCTTTGCTGGGAATCTCGGCGCCGAGTTCTTCAAATCTCTGAGTTTGATCGTGGCACAGGAATCTGGGCACTGGACTCCCCTGATCGATAACTTCAAACACTAATACGAAGACTATTTAGAATGCTGCTCATCATAACTCTTTCTTACTGGGTCGATGCTAGAATGCATGTACTTCGCGGCGTCATAATATCAAACTCGCTTTTGTGTTCCCGAGAGAGATGTAAAGGTTTTACATCTAATGATAAGGTGACGAGCATCAAGTAGTATGAACGCATAACGGAGGTCTAACGTCTAGACAACACACTAATCCTAATCGCCGCTGCCGTCAGCTTCATCGTCGGCTTCCTCCGGTACACCTATGTCATCTGCCTCACCTTGCGTGAAGGAAAGGGTCCGATGCCCTTCTGGATGCACTCGTTCTGCCTAGCTCACGACTTGAATTTTACCTACATCATCGGGAAAGCCGCTACCCAGTGCGGTGAGCATCAGTATCTGAGGGGCACGTCGACGGCCCTCCTCACCTGAACGACGCTTGAGATATGGACTATTGCCATTGCCAAAGAGCGGGACACCAGCTTTGGGGCCATCTCTCGGCTTCTGTGTCGCCAACATCATTGGCACCATCTGGACGTTCGCTCCTTTGGGTTTCTGGGAGCTCACCATTCCGGAAATCTTAGATCAACGAGTGTACTATGCCATTGGTGGAAAACTCACTCTGTGTTACTTGGGATGTTTTTTTTTTTTCTGATTCCCAATATCCGAGCAAGAACTCAGGTTATGGATAAGGGCGGTGAGAAAACGATTTGGTAGGCATGACCACTGGCCGTTTTTTTCATCATGGAGTTCGTCACGTCTTCGGATTTCGACATAGCAGCAGTTGTTGAAGAAGGAATTTGGTCGATCCTGTAGTGTGTCACTCCTCAAGAACGATGGGATGAATCGGTTTTATGCAATAGATATGGAATTTTAGTGTCCAACACCTTCAAGGCTGCTGTAATGTGGTGTTGGAAAGGTCGGAATGAGTGAGTGTGAGAGTGAGAGTGAATGAGTGAACGAGACCCTGCGTGATGTGCAGACTGAGAAACCCGCTTATGTCAGCCTCGAGGACCCTGATGACGCAGCTCCAGCCAGCCGGGCGTCGTGGAGAGGCTGTCAATCCGGACACCTCCCTCCCAATTACCACCCCGCACTGTTAGCTCTCCCAAAGCGCAGGCGCATGCAACCACCCGATCTTCCACCACCCCACGCGTCGCGTCTGCCGTTCCAATACTCTACGGACGTCCTCGATCTTTGCGGAATCGAGGCAGCCGGCCCCTCTAGCTCCGATGCCGCCCGTACCGCCGCAGCCTCTCCCGCGCGTCATCACCTACTACCAGACACACCACACTCCCGACGGCAAGCCCATCTCGGTCCTTCCACTTCTTACCCAACAAGGGATCAGCGTCACCCATGTGATTCTCGCGGCGATACACATTAACGATGATCCCCACGGCCTCACCCTGAACGACCATACCCCCGACAACCCGCGATTCCTTACACTATGGGCCGAACTACGGGTGTTGCAGGCCAGCGGCGTCAAGGTCCTTGGCATGCTCGGCGGCGCTGCCAAAGGCTCATACGAGAGGCTGGACGGAGACGAGGAGAAGTTTGAAAGATACTATATTCCCTTGCGCGACATGCTTCGGACGCGAGGCCTCGACGGCATCGATTTGGACGTCGAAGAAGAGATGAGTCTGGGCGGCATCATACGGCTCATTGACCGCGTGCGACAGGACTTTGGCAAAGATTTTGTCATTTCCATGGCTCCCGTGGCTGCGGCGCTGCTCAGCTCCGAGAACAACCTGAGCGGCTTTGACTACGAGGCCCTGGAAGTGATGCGAGGGAAGGAGATTGCCTGGTACAACGCTCAGTTTTACTGTGGATGGGGCGACGTCAGTAATCCAGTCATGTACGAGATGATACTGGCGAGGGGCTGGCCGCCAGAGAAGGTCGTCATGGGCCTGGTCACGAATCCTGAAAACGGCAGCGGATGGGTCTCGTGGGAGATGCTCGGTGCTGTGCTTCTTACGCTCCGAAATCGTTATGCGCGGTTCGGGGGAGTCATGGGATGGGAATATTTCAACAGCTTGCCATCAGGCCGGGAGAAGCCCTGGGAATGGGCAAAGTGGATGACGACGATGTTGCGTGCAGACCATACACATCACTCGCCGGGTCCAGTACAAGGCACAGCCCCTGTGGATTCCACGCAGCCAGTCGCCCAGGGAGTCAAGAAGCACCTCGTGGACGAAGCTGATCCGGACGGCCCTAACAGCAAAGACGCGCCGCTACCTACGGCCTTCGATTACTACTCGGATGGCAACGTCGAGGACGATTGAAACGCTTGGAATACCACGCGAAGCAAACCAAATTCTTCTAGCCACAGCCAGCGTTGTCTCTCAAAGAGCGGGCAGATGATGCAAAAAGTGGGTTTTAGGGTTAGCAATGCGCAGCTACAACGGTGAAGACCGAACCTAGACTAGAGTTATGGATGATAAAGCGGGATAGAGGAGGCATTGCAGGAGCCTCAGCACTCTTGTTCTTCACCACATCCAAGTCGTTCAATAACGACAGCCTTGACTAAGAATATCCTCGGATTTCGCGCCAATCCTATCAGGGTACGTGACAACCATTCAAGTCCTCTTCTAGGTGAATAAGCTGTGATCTGGCTTGGCTATACACAGCTCTTGAAGCTAAGAAGACGATGATTCGTCTGCTTAGGCAGCTGCACAGGAGGAGCTCAAGAACACGCGATACCCTTCTGCTCGGTTTCCAGCCCCGCAACCCCGCGCCAAGAATTGTGAGCTACAAATGTTGACCATCTTAACAAATGGAGTTGTCTTGCCTCAATCGGAATGCTTGCCCTTCCTACTTCTCCTCATGAGGTGGGACACCGACATCACCAGAATTCCCATGCTACCTTCGTTGTCAAGTACAGAATAAGATCCTAGACGTTATGGCAATGACATCAAATGTCATTTGCCAAGTGAAGCATTCCAGTCTCGCCATTTTCTGTGTAACGCAGTCCATTTCCATATAAATGACCTGCGCCGCGGAAACACCACATCCAGTTCTAACGGAATTACTTCTGTCTTCTCTATGTGCGCCCTGTGGCTTACTTTGACAGAATTTCAGTAGCTTTATCATCATGTTACTCAATACTATCCTGTGAATACACTTGGCAGCATGCGCTCGTCTCATTTCAGCTCTACTAGAAGAGCCTTTCATCGCATTCAAAACCTTGGGGTAAACTATCGAGCTCTAAGGCGCAACTTTGATCCGCGATCTGAACGACCCCATTGCAGTCAACATTGCGGCCAATAGCGGCGCCACCGGCAGTGACTTTGAGCAGGTCACAAGAACGAAGCCACCCGTGTACTCGTGGTCAGTGGGAAGGTCGAGGTGGAGGATATTCGTGGGAAGTGGGAAACGTTTTGATCTTGAGTGGTGAGAAATCCCTTACTGGGGCTCTCGTGCGTTCTGACCATCGCTGGCAGCGATAACCGTGATGCAATGTTCGGAGTTTATGCATTTGCAAAGCGGGCAGTCGCTGTGGCTTTGGCTTTTCACTACCTCTATGCTACGCCTGGAATCTTGAACATAAATGTACTTACTCCTTGCCCTGCTACAAGATTGATAATTGGGCTCAGTCGGTTGGTCGAGCTGATATAATCGCAGTCTCCATTGGTATGTGGGTAGACTTGCCTGCGACGATCCGATTGCTGTCCTCGAGGACGACTTTGCCACGGACCGAGAGAGATTTGCAAAGGATTATGGAAATGACACACCAGCGAATCGTGAGTTAAAAGCCGCCCCCTAAAGACCCAGTCGCCGATATTAACTGGGGAAGAGAGTCAAAGAGCTGGAGGTACTGGCGTAAGTCATCATCAAACCCTCACCAGGGAAGCGGCCGTCTTGCAAAGTCCTCTTCCAGCCCTGCCTTCCACTTCTAGTATATTGGCAAACCGAAGAGCTGGAAGTCTCAAAAAAGCAAAAACCTTGAATGGGATCCAGCTCATCATTCGACCTGATCCACATTCAATCGCCTTGCTCCCGGGGGTTTTTTAGGCTTTCCCGACACGACTGGCCTTATCTCCATCAAAGGCCACCGCTACCAACGCAACCACCGAGTCTGAAAGTGGTACAACGGTGGCATTCCCACATATCAAGTATCTTGGCTCCCGTGCCGAATCAAGATCGACCGCTTTGAGACCTTTTACTGCCGTTCGAAGATCCAGCGAAGCAGCCCGTGCCGCCTGGGTAGGGTACCACATTTGCATCTTCACCAATATCTCGAGAGGGATTAAGGCCACGATCTACATCAACGGTTATATACGAACCCATTCATCCCAATGAAGGTTTCTCTCGCTCTGGGGACCTATGACTGTAGTGAAAGTTGCAGTGCGAACTTTACCCGCGTCCTAAGCGATCTGACTACGCCGGGCGATATACCTCCAGAGCGAACCGAGAGTGTGGCAGACCACTTGTACGAAGGCGGTTCAGCTGCCGTGAATGAGCCTGTACACGTATACTCTTCGTTTGTAGGTGGATTCACCGGAGGTCTATCTTGAGAAGTTTGCGTCGGCGGTGAATGGCTCCGTCGCAGAGAGGTGTCTTCCCCCCCCCCCGGAGGTGGGATTGGGATTCTGAAGTGTTGTGGTTTGCTCCACTGTGAACTCAGCCAGAAGCCAATACGGATCCTGGGTACAGATCCAGGAATGCTGAGTGCGTGCTCGGTTCAAGCTAAGGTGAGATAACAGAGTGCTGAATGCGGGACGTGATAAGACAGGTCCAATTTCGGCCGGCCACTTGGTCTTTTCGGTTACAAAGCATTTTGCTGTGGAAATTAGCAACAGCCGTGGAGGATCTAGAATGTGTTCACTCATCCGAAGGTGCATGTGTCCATTATATACACTCGCAAATACATCTCGATGTTTTTACTACTTCCTACCTACATGGCGCTGAACAGAAGCGTCTGCTCCAGCCAATTTCTCTTTGCTTCGGCATATGTATTGAATTGAGAAAATCAGTCAAAGAGAACGAGTTCAAATGAGCCGCTAGTCATAAGCCTCACCGAATGTGAAAATTCCTGAACACCGTTTTCAATCGGCATTGCTGTCTCAGATCAGTTCAGCCCCGAGGTAGGTCTTTCTTTTCTTCGCATGTGGCATTTTCCAGGCTTGCCAGGCTATGAAAACAGCAGCTGAAAAAGAGTTGTGTATTTTTCACAAAGCCCACATGGGATTTTGTGCAACCTCGACGGGCGATGTTCTCGTTGATGATTCTGCGCCGCGTGAGGTTTATTTGGAAACGGAATCGCCATGGGCGTTGGATCAGCACTTCAGCCTCAGCTGAATCCCTCCTCACCATGAACGATAGATGGAGGATCAGGCAGTTGCTCGAAAGGTTCTTGCTTTTCTTATATAAATAGTCACCCGATAACTTGGCTAGAGGGTCATATTCGTGCATCGCCATTCGCCCACCTTTTCCGACTCCGACATGTCATCCAACTCGCCGTATAGTACAAACTCGTCGAATCTTTGGCGATCTTTCGTCCAAGGAACGACAGACGTCAAGACTCAGGTGGTAGCTACAAAGAAAGACGGGGACGTTTTCCTCTCTGCCAATGTTATCGAAGAAGTAGACCATTTGCAAGTCGCACGCAAGACACTCGTAACCGACAAAGACCAAAAGTCCCCTCCCAAGCGGATCATCATCTGTTGCGACGGTACGTGGCAGTCTTCCGTCAGCGGCCAACAGAATATCCCATCCAATGTAACCCGCCTGGCACGTTCCATTGCCCTCACGGGGTCCGTCGAAAAGCCTGGGGAGGCGCAGAGCGTCTGCCAGCAAGTCGTCTTCTACAGCGCCGGCGTCGGCACGGGCGGCGGCTCAAATATCCTTGATAGACTCCGTCAAGCTACCTTTGGCGATGGGCTTGTCGCGGATATCATCGAGGCGTACAACTTCATCGTCATGAACTATGCGCCGCACGACCAAATCTTTTGCTTTGGATTCTCTCGAGGGGCGTACACGGCCCGCTCCGTTGCCGGTCTCATTACAGATATTGGCATTATCCAGCCTCAGGAGATGGACGACTTCCCGGCTCTTTACGACCTCTATCGAAGACATGGCCATAACGACAGCTTCAACTTTCGTCAATCGAGGGAATATCGACAGTGGATCACCGGTATCCGCGCAAACGGGGTCGAAGGCTGGAACACTGAGGAGGAAGCAAATAAACACTGGATCCAAAAGCCGCATAATCTTCCCCCAGAGTTCACCAGAGTCATTGAGGTCGTCGGGGTGTTTGATACTGTCGGTAGTTTGGGGATTCCCGGCGTGACTCGGGGTCCTCGGACACGGGCTTTAATCAGCAAAGTTGCTAGACTTGCCCCCTGGCTTGGCGTCGATGACCTTGGATTCCATAATCCTTCATTGAGTAGATGTGAGTCTGACGAAGAACTGTTGTATCTTGCCTTTCGAGGTGGTGCCCTCTAACGTTTTTTCAGACATCCAGCATGCTTACCATGCGCTCGCCCTCGACGAGCATCGAAAGCCATTTACGCCAACGCTTTGGCGTCTTCCACTGAGTGGAGAACAGTGCCCTGGATACCACAAACCGCCAAAAGATGAGCTTGCGCGAAATTTCAGGTCACTTTTGGGAGTCCAATCGAGGGCTACAGAAGATGAGCTCTCTCGTGCATGGGTAGCCTTGATCGATCGTGAAATGGCGGACCAGTTGGAGGGCGATCAACCCGAGCTGCGGCAGGTCTGGTTCCCGGGCGGTCACGTCAACATTGGAGGCGGCAATCCAGGCATTCTATACGGCTTCCCGTTTGATTATGAACGTGAGTCGTCATGTTCCCACCCGTATAGACGAGTCAGCTGATCACACCACAGAAATCGCTCTCATTTCCTTCACCTGGATGTGTGACCAGATCAAGACCTTCATCCAGCTCGACGACAAGAAGGGATTCAAGGACGGTAAAGAAACAATTTCAACGCTCGCCGACCGCGTGATCGAAGCCCGCATGGGACTGATTCACCGCTCACGACACGACCAAGGGCCAAGCATCAACTGGGTAGTACAGCGTGTCCGGCAAGGACTGGGCCACAGCAGGATTTACAAAATGTTTTTCAATGTCTCTTCATACCAACCGGAAGACGCCTGGGCCACAGGGCCAATCATTGACATTCTTGCACCCGTCATGAAAGTCCTGCCGTTCTTGTCAAAATATAGGACACCGGGAGAGTACAAGAAGGACTCCCACGGCAACGATCTCGGCCAGACGAACGAGGAAATCCACCCCTCTGTCAATTATCGCGTCGTGAATCATCCTACATATACTCCAAGGTCCCTTGAGAGGTTCACGAGATCGAAAAAGATGGCCAGCGAGGACGGGAAACTTGAGTTTTTATATGAGTGGAAGAAAGGGGATGTTGTTGTGCCGGAATATTTGATTAAACCAGGCAATTCGATCAAAGGCGACTTGATTGCCCGCCGCCTGGCTGAGTTTTCGACTGGTGGCAACAAGTTCGTTGATGCGCTTGTCAAAAGCGCTGCTCAAAAGCGCTGAGGTTATGGTGCAGCGTATTTGAGCTATATCTTTTCTTTCGCTATATCGCGGATCGCAAATTCTGTCTCAGAACCAATTAGAACTTCAATTAATGCTGTTCAGATTTCTTTGAGCTCAGTTATTGTTCCAATCCATCTGATTTCCTGATCATGGGCCGTTTTCCGCAATAATGTTTGGGCCGCTGGGAAGCGGACATCAACAAAATGTCAGTCAGTGCATGCCCAGGGGAGGAGACTCAGCAAATGCAAGAAGACAGATTCCCACCATAGTGCAGAAAATCTGACCACTCGGTTTCCTTCATAGATGTTGCCGCTGAAGCTGTGAAATTCAGTCCAGGCCCCGGCGCCGTCCCAGTTGGTGCCGAAGAGTGGGACCGGGATTGACCGAGGTCGTTAACGGTGACGGCCGCGATGTGGGGCCGTCTGTTGCTTTTGATCTCTATTGCCCAGACGACGAGGACTGCATGCACACAGTTCAGTTGAAAGGAGGGCCATCGCATCCCAGATGTTACTTCCGCCATTCAATCTGGACTATCTCTCCGACATCTCTTTTGGATCAGTATCTGAGATATACCTCTCAAGTATTGTTGGCGACTAAGTACCAGCACTTGTGCCTGCACCGGCTTCCAATTCGTGAGATAATATCGAGCCTCACTATAATTACTGCGGAGAAAAATGCTAAAGAAAAAAAAAAACGATCTATCTGTAATTTCATGTATGGTCACTAATTTCTTTCGCCGAAACAGGCTTCCACTTCCATCATTAGACCGTATGTACTTCAGATGCTGCTTGTTGAAGACGTTGCCTACTCTTGCTGCTATAGATCCTCCACCTCTTCTCTTGAACAACCGCTCGCAGTAGTCCGTCCGCACTTGTCCAGGCCGACCCACCCTGGCTCCTTCCTCCCCCCCCCGGGAACGCTGAGCCTTTCTTCTTCTTCTTCTTCTTCTCCCATGCTCACATATTGAAATTCAGCGGGTCACGAGTTTTCTAATACTTTCAGCCAGCAGGTATATTTTATCCGATTCCTTTCTTATATCACTTCCTCGATCGTCAATATTCTAATTATCCGTTCCTTTCAGAAACTCTCGATACCCCTTTCGTCTTGCTCTCTCCATGTCAACGTTTTGAAATCACGATACTATAACTCCTATGAATATGGATGAACCCTCCATCCTGACATACGCTCTGTCTCGACCCGGAAGAGATGAGAATTCCATCGGGAATAGACCTACGAAACGCAGGAAACACCATTGCCGAGCGAAGAACTCCGTCAGATTTCTCTCTACTTGGTTCATGATAAAGCCTTTCCTGAAGCCCACCACTTGTCCCGGAAATATTCGCGTCAAGCGGATTTACGTTAGATTGGCAAAGCCGTCATACCAGCTCCAGCTGGTTAGTCATTTCATACAGATCGAAGGCCACCAGTAAATGGGGCAACCAGGCAATGAATTGAGACCAAGAGGGCAAGTGGAACAGGCAGAAAAAGTTCTGACTGTAGTTGCATCAGCTCTGGGCCGCGCTCTGTCAATGACACCATCAGGGTACTGCGGTTCATACACAATGTCATACACAATCGCCAGCTCCTCGAGGAAGTTAATGGCTGCTAGCTGCGCCTTGAATTCAGAGATTTAATTTCGAGGGTAACACTTTCAAGACTTGTAGACGGACTAACGCCTTCGAGCGCATGTCATCAAAGGATCTCTGTCGTGACTTACATTTCGGTCACTGGTACTGCGAGTAGGCCGTCAAATTCTGAATCCATGTACCATGAATTATTTTTGCTCTATTGAGCTCTCCGTTCCTATATTTTCATCTCTTCCTTGGCCATGGCATTCTCTTCTATCTCAAAATGGGGTTGCTGCGGGCGGCGTATAATCGCCGCGTATTCATCCTACCACCGTCCTATCACAAAATTCTCTTATTCCGTTCCTTCTCTTTTCGATAGGTTCCTCGAGAGTTGGGCCATTATAGAATTCCAAAGAAGAAGCGAGGGAAAACTCTTTTTGCCTTGAGCGAGGGAACAACTTCACCTTTACCAAGGTTCCCGGGATCGAAATTACAGCGCCTAACCGTCCATTCCCCAGCCCAGTCCCCTAAAGATTCTTCTTCTCTTACTTTTCTTCATCTTCTCCTTCTTCATCATCATCACCATCAACATCACGATTTATTCTTTTTCATCTCCCCGATTCTTGTTTTTCCACACCAACCTAACGGCCCACGTACCCCTGAGCAGGATCCTCAGCAGTCCGCAACTTTATTCTTGTTCGCCAAAGCCATTGACTGGTTTTTTCCTACCATACTTCATACTAGGTCTGGTACCTACAGTCCGCAACTGTCCTCAATCACGAGATTCTCACCGCTCTACGCACCCGGTAAGGCACCCCAGATCAGCCACCAGGAACACACAAATCTGACAAGGTCGCTCAGCGTCTTCACCCAAGCCATTGACTGGTTCTTTTCTTCACGATACTTTACGAGAGGTCTGGTACCTAGTGTCCCTCACTGTCCTCAACGGCACAATCCACGAGCTTCTCGTCCTTCTACGCACCCGGTAAGGCCCTCCACATCAGCTACCAAGAAGCCTCAAACCTAATATTGTGTCACTCAGCCTGAACAATTTGCTCATATCCAAATAAGCTCTCCCAAAATTTTGGTAACCTTGTGACTCAACGGCCGGACCGTTAGTCTCGCAAACCTACCCAACGCCTCCCTAGTCCCTACCGGAGAAAGCTTTACGGTAGCCCATCGAGGTTACGTCTCTTAATCTCAACAGTCTATATCAACAATCATCTTTCCGCCTGCAGGTTCGTTTTCCCCTGCTCAGACAACCATACACTCTTCCCAGGACGTCAGCTGTTCTTACACTGAATATCACCACTCCACAGGAGCCTTCAGAAAAAGCATTGAACAACCACAACTCACCTCACCTCTCTCACATATCCTCTCTACCTCTCTCTTCTTCGACCTCAATCTACCTCCTCCTCCAACTCCTTCACAATGCCTTTTCTCAAGCCCACCTCCCGCTCCGCCAACATCCGCATCGAGCGAGTGGCGGTGGCCAAAGTCCTGAAGCCAGCCCCGGCTGGAGTCAAGAAAACAACACACGTCTCTGAGCGATCCAGCTCCACCAAGCAGGCAAAGTCTCCTCAGACCGCCAAGCCAAAGGCCAAGCTCACCAAAAAGGCCTCGACCGCAACCAAGACGCCAAAGCCTACAAGCGGCAGCGGCGGCATCCACGGCTCGTGTTCCGCCTCGGCGCCTACTACTACTACTACTACTACTACTACTACTACTCCTCCTCCTCCTCGCAGTAGCAACGCCAACAAGACGCCAAAGGTCACCACCACCACCACCAGAAAGACCCGCACCAAACAGCCTCAAATCCCACAGGGTCTGGTGGCCATCAACAGCTTCGGTTCGGCGGCGGCGACTCACCGATCCCAGGTCGGTCACTCGCACGAACACTACCGTCTCCTCCCGACAACAACCACCACTCTCACAAAGGGAGGAGATTCAAACAACAGCGGGGCGCAACGCAAGCCAGTCACCAGTCTCGCAACGCCCTCGCCCACGCCTAGCGTGGTCTGAGCTCGAAACAGCAGGAATCAATATTCATGGAAGAACCCCGACTGGGCATAAAATGCCAACAGGTCGAGATTGGTCAATCATTAGTTACGTTACTATGAATAGGAGTTTGTGGCGTTTTGTTTCAATGACATAGCTCGACTCTCAATTGATTACTGTTTTCGGGCTCATTCAAAAACTCGTCTCACTTTGTGACTCTTGTGATCCATTGTTCATATCACTCCTCATCTCGTAGTGAAAATCATGGCTTCAATCATGTCGATTCATCTCGAATGATAGTAGCGGCATTGGTCATTGACCAAATAATCATCAAGGCTTCGCTCTCCCGCTTAAAATGTATCATCGCCATGACATGTCCGTCCCATGCTCAAACGCAGTTGAGGTGCCCTTTGCCAACTCCCCTCATCCTTTTTCCTGTCCCCCAAATCTCATATAGTAATACAATTCAGGTCATTCCAATGTGGCTTAGGCCTCTAACTCACCCTCTTCAATCATCCGCCCCAGAATCAGGCTTTGAATTACCAATTCATTGCTCAAAGTTCTGATCTTTTTCGGCGGCCGAGGAGCATCTTCAGTCGCTGGCACAGCACTCTTCCGCTTCCTTGACGCCTTTGAAGGCTTCGACGCAGGAGGATTAGTGCCGAACAGTTCCTCCTCCGATCCGGTATGTTCGTCAACATAGACCCAGTCGTAGGGCTCTCCGAGTGCCTCTCGCTGCCTAAGAGTCTCTTTTGCTTCGTCGACACTGTACGCCCGTGAAAGTGTGGCGCCGAGAACGTGTGCTAGGAACACGTAGGGCATTTTCTTTTCTTCAGCCCTAGACTTCTTCATCACAAGAAGGATCTGACTTCCTTCCAACATCTTAGGTCTACGCTCAACAACGTCAACAAGCCGGGCCTCGGTGGCCGAGTAGGGCGCAAGGTATCGTGATCGAAGAGCATCGCGGAGGAAGGTGGATTGACCAGCGCAAAGCAAATATGGAAGCCAATCAACCACAGCTCCTTTCGATATGCAAGTCATAATCCAACGGTCTGATATGCACGGCAGCCCAAGTGCGAGCGCTTGCATGTACTTGACTTTGCGAGAATGCCCGTCAGCGATCAAGGCAGTAAACCCAATGGTCTGCGCGAATGGGGTCAGCATCAGCGGGTTATCGTCCCTCGTTTCTGAGGCTGGGCTGGTTGCCGTGCTTCCGAGAGCATTGGGCTCGAAGAGCTCGTCAAATCCGTTACTCAGCAGCAAGCCACCACACTGTGAAATCATCTTCTCGATTTCGCGGCTTTGGCTAAGTCGTTGTTCGTAGTGGTCCGCTTTTTCGCCGTCCCTTTTTGATTGGAAAGATATCGCAAAGGCCATGCCAGCAAAGATGGTAGGCCTGCTGATGTTGTCCTTCGAAGTGTGAGAGAGCATGGATAGGCGGCTGCCGCGGGCTGTGGTCTTTGGGGGTTGAATAATGCTGTTCTCGAATCCATTGATGGAAGGTGATCGATGTAGCTCATCTGTCGATGCAGAGTCAAGGCGGGCTGCCCTCCGAACCTGTTTCCGTGTACCTTGCTTGGTGACCCTCGATCCGGTAGCAAGTTTCGACAAGGCCTTGGGTGGCTGGCGTCCACATTTGGACTTGTCTGGCGAGAGAGGTGGAAGTTCCACGGATTCTTGTGAGGCCGGTGGAGTCTTGGAAGACGGAACCGGCGTGTTTGTAAGAACGCTGAGCGTCGACGTTGTTGAGCCAGGAGCATTTGGGGCGGCGGGATGGGCACGAATGCCGGGTGTCGACGGGCCTTGCTCGGCAACACTCTCCACGAGGACCGCGTCTACAGATCCGGCGCTCTTAGCACAACCCTTTGGCAGTGGCGGTGAAGATGGCATAGGCGGTTCTTCGTCCATAGCCGAATTTGCCACCTCAATGGCCGCATAGATCGGTGCAGCTGTTGCCTTATCGACCGCAGTAGTGACCTGTACTTGTGGGGATTGACCTGCATCTGGCTCATCTTTGGAAGTCAGTAGCGCCTCGTCAGTTCCAGCGGCATCCGAGGACACGCCGGCAAGACTAGCACCCTTGAGGATTTGTGCCTTGAGGGTCGGCTTGGATTTGCGACTCGATCGGCGAGAGGGTTGAGGGAGGGGAGGTTCAGGAGTCTCGGGTAGAAGTTCGACTTCGGGATTGACGTCCATGGGATGTGTCGCCGGCGCGTCTGGTTCTTCAGTCTGTTGGGACTTCTTGATTTCCACTGGTTCGTCTTGCGACATTTCATTTCTTCCATCGGGTCGAGATTGGGTGTTGTTGGGGCTTGTTTCCGGAATGAGGTCCTTAGGCCGAGATCCATTGCCTGAACTTTCCGTGCCGGGTACGATACCATTCGAGGCAGACTTCTGGGTGGCTCCGGCACTGTCGGGCACTGCATCATTGCTCGAAACAAGTACATGTTTAATATTATTGACTGCATCTGCAACATCGGGTGATGTTCTGTCGCGGGTCTGTTGATTGGCTGCGTGGCCTTGGGAATCGGCTACTGTAAACCCGTCTGCATCATCCTCTGATGCAGTCGAGTCATCATCTATGCGTCGGGCACGGTATCGAGACCTCCTTGACGGGGGTTTCCTGGGTTTCTTGGTTGTTGATGGCACCTCGATAGATCCACGGGAGATTGCACGTTGTACCGGTATGGTCGTAAGATCTTTTGCAGCTGCTGCCTTCTTGAGTGCAGCCCGTTTCCTCCGCTCGAGTTTTGCTGTTATGTTGTCGGATTCTTCTCCAGACATTTCGTCTTCGACCTCGATACTCTTCAATTTTCTCTTTTGTGAATCCACCATGTTCTCATAAGTCTCGATCGGTTCTGGCAGGCCCCGAATGTTGGCCGTGGGCATTTGCGGGGATTCTGGCACAGTGCCATTTTCTGGAGGCCCGGAGTTGCTTGGGCTACGTTCGCGGTCTTGAGGCGCTGGGCCATCTAGTCGAAGGGCTTGGGGGCTCGAAGAAAGCAAATCAGGAGGTGATGTGATGTTGTACCGGTTTTTTAGAGGTGACGTCTCGGCTATGTTGGGTGAGATGGAGTTATGGGCGTACACGTGCGGCGATGGTCTCGAAGAGGTAGGGCTAAAATGCTTGACAGCGGAGGAGAACTGGGTCTGACCGAAAAGTTGAGATCCAGCCAAAGCAGGATCGCCAAGCTTCTTCCCGGCAAAGGGGTTGTGACGTTGCGCTGGAGTATGTGGCGGAGGAGCTGTCGGCAGCAAAGGGGACTGACCGTCGGGGCGCTGGACGGAGGACTGTTGCTGAGAACTGGAGGTGCGGTTCCGCCAAGCTCCACGGGTGTGTATAGGGGCGGCATCGTCGGGAAAGGACGAAGGCTCTTCGTCGCCTTGGGTGTCACCCTGGATCAGGCGATCGAGGTTGCCGAAGTCAACGACGGCCGAATCCTCCTCGTGGAGCGTTTGGTGGTCGGCGGTAAGGTCTTGCGAAATTGGACTCGTCTCGACGAAAGAAGGGCCTTCATAGTAGTTCTCGTAGTCCCGACCGTCGTTATCTTGAGTGGGAGATTGCTGCGAGACGTCCATCCTGACTTTTGTGGAGAGCGCGCGGCCCGATGATCGAAGGAGGGCATTGACTTTCTTCGCGGTTTTGTCGGCAGTGCATGGTGCGGGGGCCTTGCCAGGCGTTGAGTTTACCGAGTCTTGGTCGCCATGAGACACTATTGGCGGTGCGAGAAAGTCGGAATTCTTCGCCTTGGTGAGCTCAGTCGAGGGCTGACAGGCAGGAGTTGTATTGGGATCTGGGTCGCAATCTGGATCTGCGGCTGCGGCAGCGGCAACGGCAACAGGCAACGCGGGTAACGGAGTTTCGTGATCGAGGTCGTGCTGGGGTAGCTACTCTGGTCAGTGCCATCCCAGTTCCATGTGAGACACCCTAGTCAGATTGGTGGGGGCGTGACAAACCGCGTTTTCGGTACTCGTTGCCGGCGGAGCAGTGCTGGGGATCGAAAGAGCAATGGGCGGAGTTTCGGTATGGCTTAGAGGGTCAGAATGACGCGAAAGGGAGGTATCTCGACGCCTTTTGCTGCCTTTTGAAATATGTCGCGACGCGGTCGACGATGCTCTTGGGGGTGAGCTGCTTGTCTGTGACGGGCGCCCGAGATAGTTAGCGCAAGGTCGCAGCAAGGCCTGTGTCGTCGCAGTGCTAAATTGTCGCAATCCAATCCAATCCAATCCAATGCCAGCAGCAGGCACGCAGGCAAAAGTACACCTCCACTTGGGGGGAAACGCCACCAGGAAAAAGCAAAAATGCCCCTACCACGCCGATCCCATATTCTGCCACATAGCGGTCGAAAATGGCTTGGCTGTCTTGCGATTCGTTACTGCCCTCAATGGACTTCTTGTCTGCTGCTTGAAGGATTTGGGACCGCGGCATCGTGACATATCATTGTCGGACCGGCTTCGACTTGGTGAACAGCAATGTGAGTGATGCTACAAACAACCAGGGAATCAAAGAAGGTGGGGGAGAGAGAAGGCAGGGGTCGAGGATACGCGAGCGAAGCAGACACGAGACCAACACGGTCCCACGTGACATTTGTGTCAGCATAATGCCTTATGTAAGCTGGAATTATCTGTCATGTATGCTGGCCACTCGTGCCCCTCTTTTCCCTCATGACAGCCAATAGTAGAGAGAGTGCGTATGTCACTGTAGTCTGTGATGCCTTCTTCAACAGAGAAAACAATTTTAAGGCATCTTTGTTGGTACGGCCAACTTAAAGAGGTAATTCAGCTATTGATTTCTGCGTAAGTACCTTATTTAGGAAAACTCATGTTCCTTTCGGTTCCCTCTCACTCGTTCAAGACGGTGCCATCATCTACTCCAAGAAGCAGTGGATGAGGATAGAAATGAAACTCAACTAATGCTTTGTTCCCTTCAAAATTCAATAGCCTTGCAAGATTTAACAGTGAACAGATCGACGACTACACAATGAAAGGTAGAATAACGATAGTTTTGCTTGCATTTGCTTGCACTCTTTGATTACTTTCTCGAAAGTTTGCAGGGCCCTCGTCGATAGAGCAGGGGAGGAAAAGACTTTGTCTCGACTTTATCACAAAGTTCTTTCCTTAGGTACGCCGTAAATCCATTCAACATCAAATTGACACTACGACCTCGTAGGTTGTTCAGTAACGGATTTTGAAAGGTTCTTTCTGAACCCGCAGCTAAAGGCATGGGCTATGGAAATGTGCATATGAGTAGACCGACGCCCGCTTTAGCCTAAACCGATTTTCCATCATTCTATCCAAAGTTCAGGCATTTTTTAGGTAAGTTCTTCCGCGACATCAAGAAGCTAAGCGTACATAAGTAGAACTTTTCAGAGAAAAAGTGCATCCACGATGGGCAAATCTCTACCCCAAGCAACATGGACACTTGCGTATTCCCAGAAAGGCACGACTGAAACAGCAGACTACAAACAAAAGTCGCGGGATCTCTTCAACGAAGTAAGCTCGGAAATCGTCGACCAGAGCCTAACTATCAGATGGGTAAGTTATTCCGTATTGGAGATTGTCTCCCTCCTCCTTTGGTCAATAAACTAATGCGTCGTCCACAGGATAAATTCCATCAGCAATTCATCTTCTTGACCCCGGTAGAACGACCTCTCACTGATGTTAGTCAAAACGACCCTGCGTCGGATGGTACATGTTAACGTAATTCGCAGGACCAAAAAGCGAGACTATTATCTATCCGTGATCGATGGAACCGATTATTGATTGCCGCAGGGAAGCCTGGGAAGGATCATGAATGGGCACGACAGATCTTCTCTCGCGATTTTAGTGCACGGGGCGCGACAGCAATAGATGTCATCATGAATCATGTGTTGTCACAGGGTCGCAGCTGACTCCAATAGCTAGCTGCCTCTGACAGCGCTGTCTATGAATCCATGATATTTCCTATGGCAAGGGTATGTACGAGGAGCGCGGTCCGAGGTATGGAGTAGGTACAGGGAAATTAAAGACAGAACGTGGTCAATACATGCGTCGCTAAGTGCTTGAATCATGCGTCTCCGTCACAAAGGATTGTAGCTCAGCACCTCGAAGTTTCGGACTTGGTAAATCGTGTCTGAGTGGGGCTGTTAGCGATTTGAGTTTGATAATAAATTGATGGGGAAAACTTACCGTTCGCTGGGCCGGGCGAACCCGATGAACCCTCCATTTGCAAGTTGATGATGCTATTCCCCTCCTCGCGTTAGCAATCTGGTAAACTCCGCGCTGAGATTCCAAACTATTACTCACAGGTACATCGCCTGCCCCACATACCCGGCGCCGACCTGCGTCGTAATGAGGTTGCCATCCAAATAGAACTTGGACTGCACATCCTTGCCGTTCAGGTCCCTCATCTCGCACTTGATTGCGTGGAAGTTCCACGGGCTCGGGTACGGCACATCCTTTGAGGCAACGATGGAACTCGTGTTGAACGTGTTGAAGCTGATCTTGCCAGTGCCCTTCCACTCAGCCATGTCGACTTCCGGCGGCCACCCATGGACGGCGGTCGTCCACAAGGCGGGCCACGTACCCTTCCTTGTCGGCGCCCTAACCTCGCCTCTGAAGTCGTACCCGCCTCCGGGCGCTACGGTGAAATACTCTTTAGCGTGGATCGCGCCGCTGAGATAGTCTATATTGATTTTTTTCCCGCCATGGGTCGCCGGCGGCTGCCCGGTGACCCTTTTTGCCGTGAGGGTCAGCGTGCCGTCGCTGATGTTTACGTTGTCCTTGCTCATGCGCGCCGCGCCGTTGTGGTCGGTGCCCCAGGGGTAGAGATATTCCCAGTCCTCTGCAAAGTCGGCCAGGGAGTTGAAGCTCGTCGTGGGGATCATAGTGTGGACGGCCCCGACGGAAAGCACGTCTGCCACCAGCAGCGCGCTGCTGAGGAGAAGGGCTGCTTGGCTAAACCAGACCATGTTTGGCGAAAGTGACTGGGATTGTTCGCGCTGGAGATGGGCGATAGAGTTCCTTCGAAAGTAAAACCAGACGAACGGCGGGAGACGGGATGGCTCATATACCTTTTCAGCCAAGCTTCATTTTAATGGCAGTCGGCCGATACCTGTAGCCAGCTCGGCTTCACGACCCCTGTCAAAGCGCCGCAAACCTCTCGCGATAGATGAAATGACCTCAAACATGGCTTTTGAAAAGAGGCGAAGCGCCTTGGCGCAGGGACCCCTCCATAACACGACGATCCGAGTAGCGCTATACTTAGACGGCTGACACGGCGAACGACATAGGGAGTATGCGATAGCAGTTTCGTCTAGAAAGGGGCTGCTATACCAAAAGTACTAGGGTTACCTGCAACACAAACTATAAAGCGCCAACTCAGGCCGGGATGGGAAGAAGTGTCGTCCGGACTTGATGGCATCTCAGGCCGAAGGTTGCAAAAACCCCACCCCAACCATGCTTTGCTACGTCATATCATGGGCGGGTCATCGTGGTCGAGTTGTCGGCACTTGCCTGGCTGGCTGTAAAGTTAAACTGATTTTGCCCCAGTCAGTGTTGACAAGAATAGGAGCACACCGATTAAGCTTCATGAGGTTCCCGCTGGAAGCGTCGGCTGGATATACGATCGACATGTCAGCTCGGGCTCGCCGGTCGACTAGCGGCCGAACCATCCTGCGCCCGTCCGGCACGGAAACCCCGACAAGTCCCCCAAGATGTGCATGATTACATATGATTGAAGCGCTTTGAGAGTACTATAAGCCTTCGAATATGACTTTGGATAGTGTTGTCTGATATTGGTGTTAGACGAGCCTCCGGGAGACGGTTGTTTCAAGCAAATTGAATGGGGTTTGAGTTGAGACGACCCCACTCCTCTAAGCGCGCTCGGATTTCCGGCAAAGGCTGCCATTGAATGGTGTAAACAGTCTGTCAAACTCAGGGGACGTCGGTAATTTGGCATCACTCTTTTCCCCCTTGGCAGCTGTCAATTTAACTTGAGACTGATTCATCCATTTAAAAAAAACTTAAGATGAGTTACTAGTCAAATCTGAGTTAAGACGCCAAGCGACCAGAAGCAAAGTTCAAGAGATCGTACGAGACTTCCGTAACAGAGGAACAACACCGCATCCGATTTTTCCGCGATTAAGACTTGGATTCTCATAAACACACAAGGTAGCTAAACTTGCCAAGTCCGCAGTGTGACCTTGAACTTGCCACAACTAGTTTCCAAATATTCTGGAATCCCCGACAGATTTCAATCTACATGTATTCACATTGAGGTTTCCGTTTCCTCATTGAATAGTGACGTCTCCTTCCCCTGCATGACTGATGGCATCGTCCTCGCTACCAAGCTGTACTCGTTGTTACGCCAGGCCCAGCCTCTCATACTTGTTTGTTTCTGCTGGGCCTTCGCAGAACAAGGTATATTATGTCCAGAGACTTCTCCTTGGCGATATATCAGTCTCCAAGATGGAGTAACATGAATGGCGCTTCCGAACCAGCCGATTCAACCTCGGGACGAGCTGATGAATGACGAACAGATACATCTTCGCCAACCTTGGCATCGCCTGTGCCAATTTGGAACTCCTCTCGACGTGCATCGGCGTGGAAATCTGCCCATTGTCCGTTTGTTTTTGTGGCATATGACCTGAACCTGCCGCGGCGTGTGACGACCACTTCGAGGGTCGCTTGACCGAGGCGACCACGCCGAGTGACATGACCGGCCGTCACGTTCCCCAGAGGGTTTTTTTCGCTAATACTTGTGCTGCCGTCAATAACAATAGCCCTGGGAGCCCATTGTTTTGGCTGTATCGCGCCTGGATCCAATTCAAAGAGAAACGACCCTTGGAAAAAGTCTATTATACCACCAGCTGACACCCGTGAGAACATTGGTACCTTATGTAACAGTCAACGTCGTCTTGAGCATTCGCGTCATTCAACTCCTCCATCTTTCTCCTCGGTGTGTACCATAAAAGGTCGTTGATGAGATTTTCCTTCCGTAAGAGGATCCTGTCTTCTCCTGAAAGACAGTTGCCAACCCCGACAGCGCTGGAAATATGTCATTACCGACTGATAGTTGCCGTTGACCGAATTCGCTGACAATATTGTGCCACTGTTGAAACCTGATCTGTGGGCTGGCCATTGTGCTTGTGGAAAAGATGGATATCTGGGTATTCGCAGCAATGTCCCTGTAGGTATCGCACTCGCAGTCCCTCTGGGGTTATCAATTCCACAACAACTCGTGTTGTGTGTAGGTCACGGTCCTTCTTGACGGGTACAACCTCTCGTCTTGAGCGGCAGGTTCGGCTTGCGATCTCCCGTAATCGTTAATATATGAGCCTCGGGTCCAGGTCTACTTTGAGCTGCGAGTACTGATAGTCTTCCTCGATCAGTGCGCCAACTTTGCGGCCTCCTTCTCCCAGTCCTCGGCGGAGTCCTGGATGATGCAAACATCATCTACCCAAAGGTACTCAAGGCCAAGTCCTTTAGTGATTTCCACTGCGGCTCGAACCGTCTTTGGGAAGTCTTCCACGTCAATGGCTTCCTTTTGGTTGTCTATAGTTCCTTTCGTGGTGACGAAATTCCTAGTTTTGCCCCAACAGTAACTCAGTGCAACGTAGGGGCTAGTATCAATCTAAGTAGTCCCAACCGGCCGTGCCTGACTGTCTACGGCGTTGCCGACATGAATGACTCTCCTTGGAATAATCGGGGATTGCTGTTTGCAGAAAGTGTGATGATCATCACAGTTCTGAATGCATGAACGAATGAAACCAGTTGTTTGGTGAATATCCACACAGCTGCTCGTCTCGTTGCCCTGAGCGATACCGTCTCAAACAGGCGGATGTTGTGAAATTTATCGTCAGAAAGGGCACAGATAGCTTCGGAAATTATTTGTAGTCTCAGGCTCACCAATTGGAGTGTAGAACTGTACAGTAACACGTGCGGCTGGCAAGCTCAGCTGGCAAACCCCTCTCTTGATTATGAACAGGACGACTCGCTGATACTGTTGAGGGATGACATCGAGATTTTGAAGTGTCTGAACTACAGCAGTACACCAGCGACACCCCTCTGCAGAACCGGTTTCAAAGTCTCGCTTTGAGCGTATGGATGTACGGACGTCGTCTCGTCGGCCTACGGCTTTGGCAGATAATTGTTTGACGCGAAAACTGTGACACCATTTGCATGTTTTGGGAACAGAAACTGGACCGAATCTGATTTTTTGAATGCCGACGACTGAAGTCCAGAACTCTGGCGCTGGGAGCGAACTAGGAATGGGTCATACTATAGTTGTGAAGTGCGATACGCACCGGAAAGCTTCAGTCCTGGTAGCCATCTTCAGAGCCCAAGTAGCTGAATTGAAGGTGAGAAGAAGAAATAAAGCAACGGCTTGAACAATATCATTGTTGGCAAGAAAATCTTTAAGATCATGGGAACAGCTCAAGAGTTTGGTGTTTTGCACGAACGGTTTCGATAAAATAAATCAAATTGGATGCATATCATTAGTGGTGGGCGCCACTTAGACTAGAGTCAATGCAAGTACCTCATATGTACCAGCCTGGCTTTTAATAAATCAGGGTGAAGAAAGCTAACCCCATGACATGGAAATCTGACAACGACGATAAAAGCTGGCCTGCAAGCTATTTAGCCGCCAGACACAAGATGTCTCATGTGGTTAATGGTTCCAAGTTGTCAAATGCATCTCTGTGGAGCAAATCTGCCCCTTGCCCCCAATCACAAACGGGCTCGATGAAGATACGCCGACCGCGTCCTGAAAAAAATCGACATGAAATCTACTGTTGATAAAAATCTCAAGCCGGAAGCCAGGGTCTGAAGTCGAAAGCGCCTAACATCCGCAGGCGCATCTGGAAATTACACAGGCTATAAAGTTCTTCTCCACCACTCATTCGAAACACTAAAGTTCGATTTATTTGTTGATTCGCACAAAATCTACTGTAAAGACCGACCAACCCAGTCTTTGGTCGACTTCTCCTCATATGACAGACTAAGGATGGCCAGGTAGAGTACGTCCTTTGGTTTGATCAGCATTCAGGCTCAAAATGTGCTCAAAAGTCCTGCTTACCTTTTGGAACAGACCCTTGAAGACACCACTAGGCTTGCTTAAAGAAGCAGCTCTCGTCTTCGCCTCCTCGGCGTGGTCCTCCTTCACGCCCCCACTTCCCAGGTCAAATTCCACCTCGATATCTTTTTTGTGACTTCTTCGACCATGGGTTTTCTTGCCTCCCTTCTGACAGTCCGTCATCCCATGCTTCTCCCCCTTGACCTTTCCCCCTCGCTCCGCTTCTAGACTACGTCTCTTCTTGTTCTTTTCTGATCCTCCTTTCTTCTTCTTCTGGTTCTCCCTCTCTTTGTTAGAACGCTCTTCACTTGTCTTCTCTGTTTGTATTTTGGATTTGGCTTTTCCATCGTTAGTAAACCTCCAGCGACCTCCCGTGATCAACGAGACAAGATCGCCACTAGATGCTGGATGATTGGGATCGGCATACCGTGACCTGAACTTTGGTTTTGGCATCAAGTTCATCGTCGGGTAACCTTTGTTCTCTTCAATCCAGCTGGCTTGGGCGCGCTTGTCTGAGTGGCCGTTGATCCAATCTTCCATTCTATCCCAAGCATTCTTCTTTTTGACTCCGACATCTGATTTCTGAGCACTGCATTCAAGGTTCGGGTAGATGAGCGGCGCCGGCTCAGGCCAATTAAAGTCGCCGCCAGTGGGCCTCATCAATTCGCCCACGTGCATCTTCATCTCTTGCCACCCCTTTGAGGACGATGTTCGTCCTGCTGCGACATCTGGTATTCCCTGAAATAAAAAAGGCTTGGTCAGAGGCACCTTCACCACCTCCACCAAGTTGGCTGTCACCTGGCTGCCATCATTGTCAGGCTGCCATGTAACAACAAGGCAGACTAACCCGCGAGGGATGAAGACCTCTGCATTGACACAGTTCAAGAATTTGTTCGAGCAGAACAGACTCTGGCCCTCCATGATAGCTTCCGTAGCATTTTCGACGGCGAATCCAAAGAGCAGCGATGCAGGGTCGGGCAGTGCTTCTCCTGCGAACCCTGCCAGATTAAAAGCGTTGATCCAGGGGTTGGGCTCCAATGACTTGTTGAAGGTGTCGATTAAGTCAAAGAACATGTCTTGATCAATACCCACGTCGGCTAGCATGGGTGCATAAGCCCGGATGAACCCTCGAGCTCGCTTCTCGGGACGTCTCTGAGGTACTAACACTGGTAGTGAGAGTCTCTGTCTGCCCCCAGGCTCCCCAGTAATCGTGCACGGATGTCGTTCGATGAATTCCGAAGCAAGTTCACGGGTGTCGTTGGCAGGGGATGAAAGTGGCATTGACATTTCGACTTCTTGGTCGTTGCCGTCCAACTTCGCCGTTCCTCCGTCAAGCAGTTTCGGTTCGGAGTCCGTTCTGCTGACAATACCTGGCAAAGGCGGAGATTCGGCTCGATCCGAAGCTTCTGTCTTCTTCTCTTTTCGGTGGTGCATGGCTTCAGAAATAATACCAATGCCCGCCGCCACCGACTGAGTCATCTCTTCCGCGAGGCCATGCTTTTTTCCCCTGTCACTGCTTCCAGTCCTTACGACGACCTTATCCCGCTCTTTTCGAACGCTCTGAACTAGGCTAGCGGCTGCTTGAGAAGCCACTCTCTTACTCTCACTGATCATGCTGGCCGGCATGTTTGTACTCGGCTGGGTGTTCTTGTAGGAAAAAAGCCTTTTATCGTAAAGTATTGTGAAGGTTCTCCAACTCAGAGAGTAAGCATCTCGGGTAGTCGGAAAGTCTAAGTAAAATTAAGAGAGGTCGAGTTTGGAACAAGCTAGCGAGATGCCGAAGGGGACATCAAATCTTTCTGTGGTTTGCAGGCTTCAGGCTCCTTAAATACAACTTCTGCTTAGAACTGGTCCCTCAGGCTGCCTGGAACCTAGCGGCATCCCGTGTGGCAGTGGAATCGCACTCGCTTGTATGACGAATCCCCACCTCCGCCAGGCTTTCAGCTCCTGCTTGGCAAGTCAGCAGCCAAGAATGATATGCAACCCGCGGGATGCGAAAACGTGGCCAACGATCTGCAGTAGGCGACGTCACGGAATCAGTATCATCCTTAATAACGCATCAATTGCGCTGTCTCTGGTGTCTGTCTGTAGCAAGTGTGTGTTGAAAGCCGAACTACAACATAAGGCGTTGGATAATTCCGGAAGACTCTCGGTAAATGATATTCGTTGATTTAATAATATTGTCCATGTATCACATTTAGGAAAGTTGGTTGAAAAAAGAAACTTTGCAAGCCTGAAATCTTACAAAAGTTCATGTTGACAAAAACAAACGCGGTGAAATGCACACCGAAGAATGGGAAAAAACTTGAATCCATCTGTGAAACTCGGCCTCAACCCCCAAGACCCCATCTCCGCCCAAATGCCCTTGGCACATATATTGGAGACCATAACCTTATAGCAGATTGCGTAGTGCTCATATCATGCGGCTGGCCCAGACCTTGGTTGTCGGAGCAATTACCACTGGCAGGAACCGCCGCAGTGCACACTGCCATCGGTAGAGGTTCCAGAGATTGCCCAGCTTCCGGTTCCAATCAGGTCGGAGCCGATCATACCGCCCCAGTCAACGCCCTTGTTGCCACGAGGGAAGTTGACAGTGACTCTGCAACCAATTCCCTGAATACCGGGAATCGCCTGGTTGTTGAAGAAGGCCTCTTCGCCTCTGCAGTTACCGTAATAGGTGGAGAAAGTGTTGTCGATGGCTGTCTTGAGATTGTCGCGGTTAACATTGTTGCAGGAACCAGGGTGATCGATGGTAACGGTCACGCGCTCGCAGTCGTCGCAAGCTTTGCGCCAGCAACGGGGTTCGAGAACTCCTGCTAGGGAGGGGAAGGCGGTGCTGAAGCCGTAGCATAGGAAGAGGGTAGTGAGGATGAAAAGAACGGGTCTGCTAAAGCGTGCCATTGTGACTTTGTTGATTGTGAAAGCTGAAAGAGATCTCGAGTGTGAGCTGGAAACTGAGAGTGCGATGGTGTTCTTTTGCTGCGATGTGTAGCTTGTTCTTGTTTCACTGGGCGTTATCTAGTCGCTATATATACATGCGTCTCAAGCTTGACTTCTCATAGCCTCCAGTCGTCGTGACTCTCCTCGATGTCATGACCACAACTATGCGAAGCGTTCACCAATCAAGATCAATTTTCACCACGTGTTGTCCCTAAATTAATCACCGTTCTATGAGATGACCTCAAGTTTCACCAATGAAGATAAATTTCCACCAAGCGTTGTCCCTAGATTAACCAGTGCCGGATGAGATGACCTCAAGTGTCACCCATCACGACGGAGTTCCACCCCGTGTTGTCCCTAGATTAATCACCGTTCTATGAGATGTTCTCAAGTGTCACCCATCACGATCAATTTCCACCTCGTGTTGGCCCTGGATTAACCGGTGTCCTATGAGATGATCTCGAGCGTCCACGTTTCGCGATTGCTTCACGATGGTTCTAAGCTCAGTCGCTGACAAGTCTACGGCTTTTTGCCGAAGTCGCATGGCAAAACTCCGACCGGCCCACAACTATAACAGACTTAGATGAAAGAAAGTCCTCGTGGAGTTGCTTCGATGTTCTGACTGGGCAGTATAAAGCTCAGATCATGGTTCATCCGTCTTCAAGCTTTTTTGAGTTCACGCATGGATCGTCGAATGATGCGTCTTGACTCGCCGGCATTTCTAAACACCAGCCAACGATGCACTAGGCAGTCCAATTCTTGAATAAGATTCAATTTCCTGAACCTTTTTTGGGGGTCCAACATTAAACTCTCCAAAATATACGCAGTATACTTCCCAACTTAGGTCAGTTCATTCGACCAATGACGGCTTAGATTAATTCCGCGTGGCATGAAAACCATCTCGCTGTATACCAAGTAATTGAAACCATGAGACTGAGATGAGTGATGAAGAGGATGGTCAGTATTCAGTCATCTTCTGCAGTAGCCATAATGACTAAGTGTAGATAGCTTGTCAGTATCACGATGTATCAAACGTTTCACATAAGTAGTAACCCAAAGCCTCTCGTCTTGGTGAATTCTTGTCTCTCCATCAACAATTCAAACATTCAAACCACCAAGGCATTTAAAGCTTCTCCAACGCAAATCCTTAAACATGCAGTTCAGCTCTCTTCTCGCCTGCCTTATTATGGCGCCCTCGGCTCTGGCCATCCCAACCGAACTCTCTTCTGGAGAGAGTGCCCTTGCCCTCAGAGCTGCTGAGAATATCGAGCTTCCGAACGATCTCCCCGAGGACGCGAAGACTGTTCTGGAGACCTATTTCAAAGGTATGGCGTTTAGTTCATGTAGATGATATTTGTGGTGGACATGGGTCCACGTAAAAGACTCAAGACTGACGACTGAAGTAGAAACCGACTTGGACCTTGAGCGCAGAGATATCGACAAGCGAAGCGATGTGCCCTTTTTGCATTGCGGATGGCGTCGTTTTTACAGTATGAAACTCAACTCTAGCATATGTTGTCTTCTTGGCTGACACTTTCCAAGGCTGCCTTGGATCTCTGGCCTCTGGTAGTGTCACCTGCATGTGGGCAATCTCTGCTCGCGGCCTCGGTAAGCGAGACCCTTTTTGTCTCCGCCTCAATCCACTCAGCTTCATGCAATGAGATACCACTCGACTGGATTCTTCAGGCGCAACACCAAAGAAATGAAGTCGCAGAATTTATTAATCAATGCATTCACTAACATGAAAGCAGATGTGAAGGAAGACTCCAAATGCACTGCTGCTGTTGTAAACAGCATTCTGGCGGCTGTGAGTTGTTCTCAATTGTACTCGGATTCTTAAAAGGCTAATCAAATTTTCAGTCACTCAACTGCAAGCTGTGTGTCACTGGTCACCCTTGATCATGTTTTCTTCCAACTTCTATGTTCGGCCTGTAGATGATGTATTTTGGCGATTTGGTTACAGAATGTGCAGGGGCCCAAATAATAAGGGATTTGTGGTTCTGGTGGCTTGGAAGTCAAGGTACATTTCTCCGCTGATTCTCTCAGCCCCTTTTTGTGAGGTATGATGTTGTTACAATTACTTTTCGATTATCATAAACAGATTTGAGCCAGCTAGGCTCTCTCTTGATTCTACATTCTAGAAGCTCTCTTAGACTGCCGCTAGAATACCTGCAACGGAAGGTTCTATGATTAGTTGCCGATGGTCAACTTGACGCATCATGCATTGATCATGTTTGCCGCCATCACCAGTAGACAATGCTCTAAAATAGGTAGTTCGAGATAATTATGAAGGGAGCGGCTGGAAATGGGCTATGAACAGTTCTGTAGGATGATTCGGTGGTGAGAATATTGGATTGTGGCCTATGCATACGACCTACGCGGGTAGAGCCCTTCAGACCATCGTCTAGTAGTGAATGCCGTTCATGACATGATCATTCCACCTAAGCAAGCGGTCATGAGAACGGCCACGCTTTTTTTTGGCAGAGTTTTTGGTGCAATCCGCGAGGGAACAAGAAGTTCACGTTTGTTTGTCCAAATTTCCCAGTGATGGCCGCGGTTCCAATAATTATGGTGAGGCATTTCGTGCTATTTGGCTAAGGATAAGGTTCATCGTCCTTAGATTGGGATCCCATTTGGCTGAATCTGCCAGCTCTAACAAATCTTCATGCATTGATTCATGTATGCAAGTATTTTCTGTGGTTCGCAGTCCGTCTGGGAGACTCTTGCCTAAAGATTGTGTCTCATTGTAGCAGAAGCTGTCCGGTGCCAAGTAACCGAGGGCTTCAAAAGTCCTCATGAACTCTAGTCGCGGTAGATGGCTGGAATAAATAGAATGTTCCGAGCTCTCAAGACTCCCAGATACTCGCGTGAGGTCCCAATGCTTTACATACTGTATTGACGAGACGATGGATTCGGCAGTTTCTTATGTTTGAAGCCTCCATTCATTTGCATTTCAGGCGGTTGGGCGGTACTTGAAAGTCAGAAGTCCATGGGAACGGACCAGGAAAGACAACATCGCAGACCACATCTCTGATTCGAAAATATCGAGACACGCGACATTGCGCGGGCGGCAGGTTGCATTTGCCAATTCGGGTATTGGCATCGGCATGACCAGTTCAGCTCCCAAGGGGGGATGATGGTTGGCGCGATTCGACGAAGAGCTTGCAGAAGCCCAGAGTTCCCTCATTGAGATGCTGTCGGTGTTTGCAATGGTCTAATTGCCACGGTGTGCAACATCGGCAGGCTCCCTACTGATCATTCTGGTCGAGATAGCTCCAATCTCCCCTCTTGTGCGCAAAGCTTCAGCACATTCGGAACACTAATCGTGAATGTTCTGAACTACTTCAAATTTACGAGAAGCATTTGCGTGCAAGGGAGAAATACAGTGAAGACTCGTGTGGTACGGCTCGGATGTAAGAGGTCATCGTCTTGCAGCCCTAGGTATTTTCGTAGCCGCTGGATTTTCGCTACATTTGGATTAAGTGGCTGTTTGACAGAGCTAAAGTGTTTTGCATTAAGCAACAAAGGATCAAATTCTCTGACGTTCTTAGGTTGAGGCTGTCTCCGCTTGATTGTTGCTAGAAACCTTGCCATGTTCCCTAGTTTGCATTTTTGTTCGTCAACCTTGCATTGGAACTGAGGATACCGCACGGAGGTTTCAATAGCTTGCGAATGCTGTGATGCTAGATATAGTGCCGCGAGACTTGACTCCAAAGGATCAGGTAAAGCTACGCCTAGGATTTCGCAAATGCTTAAGAAAAATTCGGTCGAAAAATTCTCCAAAGAGCTCTTGTGCAGTATGTTCCGCTGAGGGTTAAGTTAATACATCGAAATTTTTAGGATCTTTAGGTCCAGTTGCATTTCATCTCCAGATTTCAAATTTCTGGGAAACGCCGGGGCTCATATCATGTGCGAACGAGAAATTGAAATGAAAATGATGGTCAAATATAGATGGGAGCATTAGTCATCGGAGATACACATTTCAAGAGGCGAGAAAGTTGGCAGATCCCGAAATCAGACCTGCGTAGAATGCAAATTTCATAAGTTTTCTTATGGGGCGGTCAAAGAAATACTCGTAGCACCTGGCTGACAAAACATTGCACAATGGCACCGCTCTGTGACTGACCTCAACCAAAGAAAAAGGTCGATCGATGCATGAATTATTCGTCGATATGACGACATTGACCTCGGCTATCTAATTTCATCATACATAGCCTTACCACTATAAAACAATGAGAATAAATTTCGCATTTTGGCAAAGAGGATCTTGTCCTAGAGACAATTCTTCACTCTAGTCGTCTTGAACCCGCCTGCCTGCATCGTGAGTCCATATTTTATGAAGTCGTAGCACGACCGGAAGCTCATCCCCAAGCAAACCAAATAGGTCCAACTTTTGCAGAGTTTTGAAAAATTAAAATTGGAATAGAGTTACAAATCATGCAGTTCCGCAAGGCCAACTCGCAGTAGCCCATCGTAGCCTTTTCCCATCTTCCAGCCCCCAGGCTATACTCCTACACAGTCTCCCCATTCCAACTCAATAGCTAGAGGAGGATCTTTGATGGGGACTACGAGAACTGGATATGATCGAGCGTTACAATCAGTGGCCACCTGTTCAGGTACGTCACGGTGTTGAGTCCTTTGGCGTATGCGTCGCTCCATATCCATCCTCAAAGTCCTCATGTGCTTTCCCGGTTTCAGTCTTCGCGAATACCATGGTGTGTCATCTAAACGCCTAAGGCTTTAAAACACAACTCAGTGCTGAAAGATACCGCCCTTCCTTTCCGGCAACATTCGTGAGAGTACAATGCCGCCCAGACATTATTCAGGTGAGCATCTTTTTCGTCAGCTCTCGTACAAGACAATTTCTTTCTTGTCGATTTCATGGGATGCGATATACATGAAAAACTCTTGTATTCTTCAGTCAGTCGGTCATTGATGCTCAGAAGTCGCCGGAAGAGAGGTGATGAAACGCGGTGTCATGAGGCTCATTTTCAGTCCTCCATGGTACTTTGTCTCAGCGTACGGCCTCTAGCATGATATGCCATTCGGAAAAATCCAGTATAAGAGCTCTACCACCAAAAGCTACAGGATAAAGTCGAATCTGGCTCCCAGACTCTCGGTGAGTATTCTTGAGGTTTCGATCTCGCTCTAGATCCGTGCAGTCTCGTCCATACGTTGCACAAATGCGTCGTTTCGAGTTCTATCGCTGCAAAGCTCCCTGAGCTGGACATCGCGCAAAGGCGAAAGTGCCTCGAGGCATTCGAGTATGGCCCGGTGTCAAGTTAAGATCTCTTCTATTTTCAAAGGAATCATTGGCCGCATCGGTCGTTGAGATTAGGTTTGCGCACTTTCCCCCTAAGGAAAGTCTTTTTCCAATAGAAGGAGGGATTTTCAGGGGGAGAAAACGAAAAGTCAGTCCTGATGTGCGGTCGGGGAGAAAAATAGCCGAAACCATCCTTTCTGGCCCAAGCGGTGGAGCTGTCATTATTGCTTTTGCGAACTGAGAAGTCATCACCTAGATTTGTGCCATGAAAGGGGAAGAATATATCGCAACAGTAATCTCCGCAGGATCTGATGCCACGCGCATGCGGCATGGTGTAGCTCAACATCAACGCAAGAGGAATTGACTCCGAACTCAGATGCCGAATGTTTGAGCGATGTCTTCGTCGGCGCTTCATTGAAAGCAACATACTCAACTTTGGCCCAATAGTCGGTTGGTTGGCTGTCGATTTTCTGAAACTTGATTAGAAAGCTGATTAGGCGTTTTCTATCAAAATTGATTCGTAAATGAAACGCTTTTAAACACGTAGGGACGCGTTCAAAACGTTAAAAGCGCCGGTTTTTCTTCTTCTCCATTTCTTTTCTTTTTTTGAGTTCCCATTTTTCGACCTCTTTCTTGCTTTTAAAAAAATAATTAATCCAACTAGGGGGGAATTCTTCTAGCCAAATCAACAAACTCAACTTGAGCCTCACACTTGGTTGGTTGACTGGCGATATTTCCAAAGTAAGCTGATTGAGTAGTTGTTGGAGTTGCTTTGAGTGAAGCGCTGGTCTTCGTACCTCGCATCCGGAATCAGATCAAACTAATCCCGTCTAAGGTAAGACACATATAAGCCATAACACAACATATTGTACACGTCAGGAAACATCCCTATGTCAAGCACGATGGTTTCAGTCTAACAGACGTCTTTTCATGTGACATCCTCCACGAGCTTTGTACACTCACAACTTATGCTCCTTTATTTTGAAGCAATTCAAGCTCCTCCAAACCACTTTATATACGCCCTGCTGTGTGCTCTGACTTATGACATCATGAATTATGTACGAATTGAGCGTCGCATAAGCCGGGCCCTATTCAATGTACACGGGATAATGGAGATTCCGATATTCAGCTTACTCAATGCATCAAGTAATCGGCGCGGCCAAAAGTTGGTTTCCGCGGCCGCCTGAAAGTATGAACTGTGGAGAGCGGATGAGTAACTCGGCTTCAATACGAATAGCAAGGATGTCCACAACTTATACGAAGCCCTCGTACCATAATTCAAGGACCCACTAGTATTTCCGCGACTTATACGGAGCCTTCGTACTACATGTGATTCAGAGACGCATGCTCGCAACTTATACGAAGCCCTCGTACCATGATTCAAAGAACCACATACAGATAGGCAGAAGAAATGCATTCTTCATGTCAAATTGTGCTTCCAAGCAACGTCCAAAGAATACCTCTTTTCAATGTGGCTGACTACCTACCTGAATGCAAATGTCTGCCCCACAGCTTCCATAAGCAAGAATGATCCAGATTTCATCATCTACCTTATTCAGAAGGTCTTCAGAAGCCTCCAATTGTTCCGAGGGAATCTTCGGTCTATTGCAGGGTTTCAGCCGAGTCCAGCCGGTAGCAGACCCCTGACCTCACTCCACCCTCCGTCCCACCACATCTCAGCCGAGAAGCCGAGATATGGTGGCAGTGATGGGTAAGGTGAGGTGTAAACCGCCCGGCCGGCTCCTCTTACTAAAAGCTTGATTCACGAGGCATGACTCTGCTGTTCAATCTCTTTTGTAACAGAGTTCAACGTGATCACCATGGCAGTATTCCCTACAGCCTCTACAAATAACAAGACTGGGTCTCAGAGGCTTGACAAATCAGTTATGCAAGTTTTGCAAGACTATTACGGAAAGCTGTAGCACATCACCAAGATCTTCTAAGAGAGTATTCTACCAAGCACTGCTCGACAACAGGGGACACGCTACGCACCCAACCAGGCAGCTAGCGAGGGTCGACAGCGTTACTCACGACCTTGGCTGCATTTTGCGTTTTGCGGGAAATAATGCGCGACCCAAAGTATCTTGACATGCATAATCCTCACACGGGTATCCGGACCTATGGTAAAAGCCATTCTTCTACAGCCACCCGTCTGACTGGCAACGTCATTCTTCTGCAGCCATCCGTCTGAGTGGCGACGTCATGGGTCCGATTTTCCCATCATGCGGGTATGAAACTTTTAAGCATCGTTTTCTCGGGACCTGAGGAAGAGAGACCGAGATCTATTATCCACCAGTGAACCCCAGGGTGATCTAGCTGTATATCATGATACTTGGGGCGTAGCTGCTCCACGACGATCCACCAAATCAACAACTGAATCATGAGCATATCCACTTTGTCTGAAAGTCAAATAGAAAACCGTCGACTCAGGTCAGCAGAACATCTTGAAGGTCGGCGTAGCCTTCCACGAGCCCGCGGTGCCCGGATACTTGGATGGAGAAGCAGCCGTTGAATGCATATAACTCTCAAGGCTATAAGTAGGCTGCGTCTTCTGCCACGGTGATTCTCTCCAGGAAACAGGAAGAACCATCATTATCTGCAATCTCATTGTCTCATTCCACATTCCCCAAGCCGCCTTCCACAACACCGTCTATTTTCTTACATTTCAAGACAAAATGCAGTTCAACATCGCCTCAGTCCTCATCGTCATGAGCACATTCTCTTTGGGTGCTGTAGGTATGTTTACTCCCAATTTACTTAAAATCCTTTATTCATTCTTGCGTTTGCGAATCTTGACTAATTCGACATGTTCCCATCAGCTTGCGTCCAAGCTGGTGGTAGGTCTCCACCACGTTATCCCATCTGACTTTGAACGTCCTGCTCTAGGATGGAACGAAGAGCTCCAAAAACTTCGACTTAGCCAGCTAACTAGCTCGAAAATAGGCGCATGTCAGGTTGGAAGCAACGTCTGCTGTTTGGGGGCTGATTGCGAGGGTAAGTTTTGATCTACCCAGACAGTTGTGAGTCGCGATCCTGATTCTTGATCAGCTCATGTGCCAGGGGGATCCGCTGGTTCTTGCGGACACTAGAACCGCTCCTAGAACCATTCCAAGAGCGAGGAATCTGTTTGTATGTTGTACGGTATGGCGATAAGCCCGCGAACACTAGCCAAGCAGAGATACCCTGCACCAAGAAATGAATTACTACCCTCCGCAATGTTTCGTATAGATGCCGTCACTGTGCCGCATTTCTGTGCAGAGAGAAAAAGAAGACAGAGAAATGTATTCCACAGAACTTGCGAGTCACACGTAGAATCGTTCTTGAGATATATCATGGGTAGTCTAACCCTGTTCCTAGAGGGCTTTAAAACACCTAGCCTACTACGTACGCCTAGATACAATATCAGAGCACGACGTGGGGATGAGATGCTTTACATCCCCCGCTCGTATTATAAGCATTTGGTGGATCCCTCCGAGATGATTAGTAGCTGCGTCACTACGGATTCGGTCTTTGGCCGGGGTTTGTAAGATCTTTGTCCCTCCGATGTCTTTTATGTTGATGCCATCAAGGTGTTTATCTTGACATGAGAAAAAAAACCTGATAATCCACGGATCTTGATTGGAAAGCAACTGTGAATGTGAAAGCCAACTTGATTTTTGCTTGCAATGTTGGATATTCAATAGAGTTTTCAAGCCGGACAGGCTAATAAGGCAGCAGAACGAAAACTTCAAAGAATCAAGTCTGCCTTGCGAGATCACCGACTCATCAAGCTACGGCGACCAAAGAAACCTGCTCAACAGGTCTAAAACTACCACAGCTATTTCCAATTCAGACCACGAACACGTCACCAAGACCGTTCGGTATCATGTCGATAGTGTTGTGAAAGCGGACAGCGCCCTACTCGACCTTGTGTGTCACAAGGTAACCACGATAACAGGTTGAGAGCGCCAGCTGACGGCAGCCTCTGCCAGGCTCTTACAACAACCTCCATGCATTCTTGGGCACATGAGGTACGAGCGCTTTTTTTCAAGACCCGATACGATGTCATAGGCATCATTCCGACGGATTCTCTCGTCAAGGTCGACATGGAGAACACCCCCGACGCGCCGGCGTTTACGGACTTTCGCCCGTTGATCAAGGTTGATGGAGGTCGGAGGATTATTGCAAAGATTTTGCACGCTTATGATTGTTGGATAATTCAGACCACTCTGTGACTGGTGTAGTCCGACCAAGGGAAATTGTTGGTGTAGTTTCCCCAGTTCCGTTCCTCCCTAATCCCGGAACAAACCCACCTGCTGTAGTCGTTGCCGATGAAATCATTCTATACGTACCTTATCTTTGGCACTGCATTCTGGCTCCCGCTCACTGAACCACGAGACATTGAGTTTTCTCCCCGCAACTTACTAGTTCGTTCTCAGTCTCAACACGCCCATACTCCGTTCCATGTCTAGGCATCGGCCAGCAACTTGCAGCGGTATATTGTCGGTCTCTCCGGATCTTTCAGTCCGCAGTCCTCACAAGTGCGCCAGTAGTCCGCGTTCTTCCGCGAAATAAGCTTTTCCTAGGTTTTCCCGACACACTGGCCCAGTTGGAAGCGGTCCAAGATTCCGCAGCCATGAGTCATTTTTGCAGCAGGCCCAGAAGACTGCTTTCTTGCTCCCATCACCGCGGATCTTCGTACAATTATCTTGGAAGCCCCAGGAGGGGACTTCGGCAGGGGCCTTCATCGGTGTGTATTTTTGTTGCTCTTCATGATTGACCATCATTCGAAAAGAGCTTCACAGCAGCTTATCGAGCTGAGATGGAGCGGTTGAGGAGTCCTGGGAAGGTAACAGCCCGTCGACATCAGGAAGGGTAATGCAGACCGGTCAAGGTGGACTTGAGCAAGCCTGATGGACTACGTTCTAGATGCATCGACGCGGCCATGCGTGGTGGTAGCTACTACTGTAGGGCTGCTTCGAAACCAAGTAGGGAAACTATCTATAGACGAACGATTGATTCTCTGTTTCCTAGTCACTATTTGATGGTGAAAACACTACAGAGAAACTGTCCTGAACTTGTTGTTACGTTGTTACCCTGCTTTGGCTGTATGAATGCTGACGTCGACTTCAACTCCCAAGGAAGTACATTTCCACTTGCCCCATTTCGGACGTCCAATACCACTGTGCCAAAGTATACTTGATACTCAATCACTTCCCTTGAATCCCTTCGGATCACCTTGATCCTCCTCTCGATGCTTATCCCTCTCTGCTGCTTCGCGCTGCAAGGCCTTCTGGGTCAATCTCATTAGAGGCGTAGGGACTGGGTGGTCCTCGTGATCTCGCAGTCGATGGAAGAAATTCCGAGTTGACGATCTGGATGTGGTCGCCTGATGCTGTCGAAGAGCCCCAACGTCGTGATTGTCGTCACTCAGCTGATCGAGCAGCGACTTGTACGCATTCAAGAGACTTCCAGGGTCGACAAAGGGTCTTCCTCCGGAAGGAAATGGTCTCTCAATCGGTCCGAGCCCCTCCTGGAAGTCAGCCCATCCATCTCCATGTTTGCACATGGGAGGTTCAATGGATAACAAAGACATCTGCCAAGCGTGGTTCTTCTGAGGGAAGATGATGCGGCCGAAGCCAGTTTTGCACTCCTTGATGACGAGATTGGGGGTATGCTCCTCGTCCAAGAAAGCCTCAAAGAGCAGTCTGAAAAGTCGAATCGGAATTCGCAGGTCCGGTTCCTGGGTCAACTTGTAGAAGGGAACAGCTTGCCAATATTTCCAGTGCTTGCCATCTTGTCGGTGGGGGAGCAGCTGCCAATTGTTCAAGTAGATCGTGAGCTTGCCAATGCTCTTGAGTGACCCAATGAACTGAGCGACATCTGTAGCTTTCGCCCAGTGACAGAGAAATGGGACATCACATTGCTTCCAGAAGCCCTTGACGTCATGGATGGGCTTGTTTCCAAATCGGGCTACGGATCTACCTCGAAGCTGATAGTGATGCAGTGGCTCGTCGGCGAATACTGGACCGTTGAAGTGGATGTGGATCTCATTGATCTGTCGAGCTTCACGAAGAACGTCGAAGACTGGGTTGTCCATATTGTTGATGTCGAAGCTGTGCACTGGGTTGAATCGGTTGGCGAAGGGCCCGCCTGTCACAGGCTCGGCTGTCAAGGTCACCCAGGCATTCTTCTGGCACGTTGCCGTGATGAGGATGCTGAGGTGAGGGATGTGCCCTCTTGCACTTTTGCGGAACGCAATTGACGATGCCTCTCGTGAGATTTGTCGGGAGCAGTTGAGAATGGCCAATGGTTTGGGTTTGTCTTTCTCTTTTCGTCGCTGCTGCTTGGGAGGAGCGCAAACCAGCGCCCATATCTCATTGCGCAGTTCTCCAGGGAGCTTCTGGAGCAGCGGCGTTGGGGCCATTCCTGTGAGATGTGCTGGGCTGACTTGAATATTGCAGTGATGTTGTGTCGCAGTTGATAATGGTAAACCAAGAAAACAAGGACCGACCTGTCACATGTGAAGTTCTATCAAAATACGAATCGATTAGCTTTTAATGAGTCGAACCGGGCGTCATTCTCACCTTTGTTTGTTTTTTTCTGGTCAGAGTTCTCCTCTTTCGTACACAATCCAGTTGCTTTCTTCTCAGCGTGGAAAACAAGCTGCAAGTACAAGGTGAAATACCGGGGTAGTTCACCTCATTTATAGCTCATCAGTCATCAACGGTGGTCTGGTGGATGCCAGAAGGTAGATGTTTGTGTAGCATCGGGCTGTTGACGAAGCCCTTGAGGAAGAAAAATTACTTGAGAGAAAAAGAGAATGAAAATTCAGGTCATTTATTTGACGTACCTACCTATAGTGAAATGAGGCAAGTGCAATACCTGTGATGCTTCCTTCCCATGAGATCTTACACCAGGCATCCCAGACATCACGTGATCCGGGGAAAAAGCACCCACTTAAAATGTGTGATCCATTCCAGGCTGAACCTGAAGCTGAGTGCTTGTCGATGACTGAAACGAGGATGCCTCATTCACTCTTGTCTTCAATTTCTGATTCCAACAAATCGCCATTTCCTTGATCAAACTCGCCCAGAAATCCGATTCTGCCGTCATTTTCACATCGAAAATATCGAGAATATAGCGGCTTGACCATGGGAGGCTTCACAGCCCAGCAACCGCCCTTATTGCGGCTGCCCCCAGAGCTCCGCAACACCATCTGGGCCATGGTCGCCGAGCCTCTCCCCGTCGACTTTGATTTCAACTGCGACGAGCAGCCCGTGATGGGCCTCCTTAACACCTGCAAGCAGACAGCCAAAGAACTGGCGCCGCACTTGTTCCCCCGCAACAAGTCGGACGAGGTACCATGCCTCACGATCCGCATTACAGCAACTTGTCGAAAAGACCAGTGGATCACCATTGCATCTTCGCATAGCTCCCACAGCACAGATTTTCCGGCGCCGCGCTACCTTCACATCAACAACATGGACAACCCCGTGTTCGACGAGCTCCGGGGCGCAGCCAAGATCAACAACGTCTTTGTCGAGTTTCGAGGACCGTGGTTCCCAGTCGACGCGCCGTGGTACTCCCCACAACATGTCCCTAGGAATACGGGCGATTTCCGTTTCATGATGCTTAACAATGATGTATGCCATTTCTCTACTGTATCCAAATCCATCTCCGACTTGACTTTAAGGGTCTCCTCAATGCCCATTCCATCAGACTATGATTGAACATAGCACTGACTACCTGCCCTAGCACCAAGGTGAACCTACCTATGACAGCGAAAAGTTCTGGCGCCAGTGGCAGGTTCCATTCCTCTGTCATTGGGCAAAGGCCCACGACGTGGCACATTTCCTCGGTTCCCTCAACATAGGAAATCTCGACATCCAGTTCATCGACTGGAATAAGAAATGGGCCATGGTGAGACAGCGTATCCTGCCCTTGTACTGGGATGCCTTTCCGTTCGGAGGGAAATGGAAGCGCGTTGGCGTCCCGGAACTGCTTCTCGCACCCTTCAATCGCGCAGAGAACATTCCAAAACTGGTCGACGAGCAGAAAGTAGTCACGCGATTTGGACCATTGAATCTCAGCAGGCCGCGAAAAAATGAGCTTCTGCGCTGCTACCCTCGTCCGGAAGTTCCTCTTGTTCTTACTTGGTTACGTTCGGACCGACCTCTACCTCTGTTCTTTTACCATAGCAACCCCTGCACCCTCTCCGGAGCTGAACCTTTGGTGGTGGACTTTGAGGATTTAGGGTACCGCTTTCTGTCGCTGCTGGAAGAGCTGGGGGAGGAACACTACGATACATGGGCGTTGCAGCAACACCGAGAGGCTACGCGCAATACGTCGGCAGACAACTTCTTTCAACGGACCGTGGGCCGAGTGTATCAAGATGATTCACCTACCGGTCAATCGTAACGGGATGCAGGGAGCGTCGAGGGAGAATACGCACTGCACTCATCGCTTATGACAGATCTTGCAATGTAACACAGTACATGCCCTTTCCATCAGATCAAGGTTGTCAAAAAATATGAACACCATCAGACAGCCGGACCTCAACTCCCCATCGGCTCACTTGGTCCAGGCACTTGGCAGTGAGACGCTCTGATAAGCAGGTTCCAAGGGTCGTGCTGACCGCATGATCAGACTGTGAGGTGCCTGCAATCTCTGCAGCAGTCTGCAGCCGCGCCCTCTTACGGCAAGGTCGGCTGATTCAATCGGCACTGCCCGCATTCAGTCCACGTTCACTCGAGTACATGGCATCAGCAAAACAGGTGCGCAAGAAACTTGCAAGACAGCCACAAGCGCAGGGACCAAAAGGACGCGTATGAAGCTGTCGTCGCTGTCTCTGTCTTTTGCTGGTCTCCGTCCCAAACTGCCCAAAATGTCAGCTGTTCAGCTGTTCAGCTAGCCTACCTAGTTCTGCCGGTTCATCCGCCCCCTTGGGACGAACGCACCTAGAATAGGAAAATAAAAAGAAATTCAAAAAACGCTAGGGCAGACAAGCAATTCGGCGTCTGAGCGAAAACGCGAGCGAGTCAACTAGAAGAAAAGTTTGGGGCGTCACTTGGTCAGTGTCCTTGACGCCTCACCGTGAGGTCGCGATGAGGCGTCGACTTATGTCTGATTTACGAGGTGCGAGACAGCGCTGGCGGCTTTGGTTTGTCGCAGGCCCTTTCCCCTCCGATCTCCGTGCCGTCCGGCCCGTGATGCGGATGTGAGCCGACGTTTGTTGGTGGTTGATTTTGGGGAAAGACGGGGAGCCGGGGGGTGTTGGGGGGTTTTGGATGTAGGTAATGTAGGTAATATAGAGGAGCTGAGGTTAAAGAAAGGGAGTGCATGAGGAGATGAGGTTCGTGAGATGATGTGGCCTGATGAGAAGAAGATCATCCTCCTCTTGAGTCTTCCTTAGGCAGGTGGTAAGGCACGACGAAAGAAGTCACGGAAACGAAACGGAGAAACTTTGAACAGATTCCCTCATTCTCGCCGACCGAGGTTGCTCACTTGGTGAGGGCTTTTTGATGACGGGCCGCAGTTGTCCCCAAGGCACGGAATCAATGGTCTCCTGCAAGTCAGGCTTGTCAAGCTCTTGGCGGGGCTGGGTATTGTCCGGGCGGAAGATGGCCGGAGGAAAGTCAGAAGGGGGAAAGACAGAATGGACAAGAATAGGGGACCAATGAGACAAGAGTTGAGACAAATGTGAGTCCCGGCCGAAAACAAGAGGTGATCGCAATGGGGAAACAGGCGCAATCCAAATTGGGGTTTGCCAAGGAGTACGCAAACTGAGACCGGAAATGGGGAAAAGTGAGAGATGGACGAGAGATTATAGGAACTAATAGGAGATGGGGTGAAGAAAAGCAAAAATACAACAGCTAGGGACAATGTACAGGTAAGGAGAGACGTTGGCGGTGGGATAGGATCAATACGAGAGGCGCAAGGAGGCTCTTGGTCGAGGTATCTTTCTGTCCGTCTGTCCGTCCATCTGTCTATTTAAGGGTAAGGCTGGTAAATTCAGAGTGACAGAGCCGTTCGTTTGACAGAGTTTCGTGAGGAGTGTACCCCAGGAGGGACCCCGAAAGGGACAGGGCTTGAGTTTGCATGAGTGGCGTCTGGCTAACAGGTAGCGGCATGTTTGGGTCCGATCTGTTCCTGGATTACCTCGTTGGTGCTTTGTACATAATGTGGTGTTTCTTTGCCGGCCTGAAACGAATGGGGCGTTGGGCTCTTGAGCGCCATCTCTCGAGCTAACGGCACATCAAGTCAGTCAGTCAGTCAATGAATCAGTGAATCAGTCCACTCGAGGAGAAACTGGCACCAGAGACTGAACAGAGTAACCAGGACGAGGCAAGCCAGGAACAGGGACGTTACACGTGGAGAGTGTGTCTTTGGACCTGTCTCTGTCAGTGGAGGACACCAACGAGTCTAGCGTGTCGGCGACGCTAGGCTTGAGGGAGATTAGAGGCAGCTGCATGTCAGGTTGCTCGGAGAGTGCTATTTACAGCCTTCAGCGGCAGCCCTTGGCTTTTGGGGATTAGATGCAATGCAGTCATGCAGCAGCACCATGCCTCATGCTGTACGATCTTGGAGGTATTGATTCTTGGGATGATGTGTGTGTGCGCGCGTGTCGGATGGCCTTGGCGAACCGTTGGTGATACAGGCTGGATAGGATACTAAGGTATTGTCTGCTTGTTGTTGTTCTTTGCTTTATTTGATGCGGCGGTGTTCGCTACCAGTCTTTGGGGTCTTCTGCACGAGACCCTGCAACGAAGAGGCAGGATCGTTCGGGAGCTTGTGTGGGCAATGACGGACTTGTGTCAATGCTCGACTCTGCCCACGAGGTATTTTGAGTTGGACATGAACAAGGTGGGCAATAAGGCAAGGATAACTCGGACCATAAGGTACGAACCACTTTTGCGCGATGACAGTGGGCATTGGAGACGCGAAACTTCGGAGACTGAGATGAAAAACAGGGGAAAAGGCCAAGGGAGGAGAGCACGGAGGGAGGGCGATAGGTAAGGCAAGCACTGGTAAGGCCTTACTTGCCTAGGTACGTGGGTACCTAGGTAGCGTCGGCAAGACGGTTGACTCCAGCAAAGAAACTTGGGGTGGAGCGAGCGGGGCCCGTCGGGTCGTCGGCGATTAAACCGAGCCACTCTCGCAGCGCGCAGCTGGCGGTGTGGGTCGGTTATATGGAGACGGCCCACGGTGCCTCATTTTAACCGTATCTGATCTGGGCCCATCAGCATCCAGCAGGCACTGGCAGGCAGTCGCTCCTCTCCGCAGGCACAATCAAATGCTGCTTCTTTCTCCTTCAGGAAAGTCGTCAAAAAAGTCCCATTTCTTCGCCCACACACAACTCTGTCATCCCGGCACCAACACAAGCACACAAGCAGCACTCCCTCCATCCGCCCATCATGTCTTTCTCTCGCGGCCGCTGCCCCTTCTCACCGAGATCGCGGCGCACAACTGTCAAGTCGCAATCCGTCAATCCCTGAATCCTTGAAGCCGTGAGTCCCATCCTCGGCCATCGACTAATAATCGTATCCCTTCCATCCATCACATCAGTGACCAACCAGTCCTCGCCCTGCGTTAATTGACTTTCCACGCCATCTTTCCCGAAAGTATCGACCGGCCGTTTCCCTCCCGTCTCGCCGGCCGCCCTCCGACGCCTCCCATGATGTGTCACATGGGCCAATGCCGAGTCTTCCATGACCCGTCCGCCGTCTAAGCCGCCAGGGACAGACAGACGAAGTCACCAAAAACCATCCGAACGTTCTCGAGCTCCCAATCCTTGGCCTGAAGTACCTAGTGTGCCCCAAAACACCGGACGGCGTGGCGTTCGCAGCCCGCATACATCCGCCGATCCCCAATAAAAGATACCACCATGTCACTGCAGCATCGCACCGGTACCAGCCCAACGTTGTTGTTGCATCGCAGCAAGCATATTCTTCGTGTCGCCTTCTAGTGCCGAGGCTGGCCCCTTCTCCCTTTCGCAGGGTGGCGTCGGCCTTTCTACACTAGGTACCAAGGTCTCCCGGCTCCGTACCGCTCACTGCGATCGTCACGTTAGGGGAGGGGGGTTGCTCGCCTTCCGTTCCGTCGTCCTTTCCCGAGTGACAAGTCGGCAGCTCGGATCACAGAACAAGGCTCTCGCACTCTGTATCTGTACTCTCTATCCGTATAGCTGCAGCACGACAGCGCCATGAAGGAAACCCAATGGCGACAAAGGCGTTGGCGCAGGGGGCCAAGCCAATGATAATATTGCTCGAGGCCAGTCTCGAACTGGTCCAGGACTGGTCCATCCCCCTCCACCCCCGGCCTCGCCTGCGCATACCTTGCCGCGCACTGCATCCCAGACCTACCTAGCCTGCCCAGCTCCTACGGCCTGGTGACAAGACGCCGGCTCACTGGTCAGACCCCTGCTTCCGTCCCCATTGACCGACTGTCCGGGGTGGTTTAGGACTTGAGGCCCTGTCCGCTAGCCTTCGAGAACGGGCCGGGCTGCGATGCATCATGGGTGGGCTGCTGATGCCACGCCAATCATCCATGGGTCGGCCCTGCATGGGTCCCACACCTTGTCGTTGCCCGTGGGCGCAGCTTGGTGCCGAACGCGCTCGAGGCCAAAGATCCAGTTTAGAGATAATATCGAGAGCCGCCCTCCCATCTCTGCCCATGGCCGATGGAGATTCTGCTTTTTCCCATCCCCTCACGCCCTGTTTGTGCTTCCTTCGTTTAGAGCCAAACAACCACAACTTCACCCGGCCACCTCGCCAGTGAAGCTCACAAGCCCCTCATCATGGCTTTCAAGACGTGGGTGATGACGGCCCTCGTTGGCCTTGCCAATGGTCTGGCCTCAACCGACACCATCACCTGGGGAGGCGACAATTCAAGAGCCGGGTACCAGACGTAAGTACACGATCCATTCACTTGAACCGCATATCCCCCATCCCTCCCTCTCCAACGTCAACCGTCTTTTTATCGCACCAGGAGCGATCCGCTCGGTGGGGGAATGTCATCAATCATGAAAATCAAACAAAAGAGACCTAACGCGACATCGCATCGTGAAGAAACCACAACATGGACCCCTCCGTCGTGGGGAGCTCCCAGTTCGGCCAGCTCTTCCGTACGCTTCTTCCCGGTAGCTACGGCAACGTCCCCGAGCAGATCTTTTCTCAGCCACTCGTTTATACGCCCGACGGCGACAGCACTCAATATGTTTACGTCGCGACTACACAAAATAATGTCTACAAAATTAATGCAAAGACGGGCAGCATCGTCGCTTCCCGCAACCTCGCTATCCCCTTCCTGTCTCTCGACTTGAGTGGCTGCTATGATATCGAACCTCACGTCGGAGTCACCTCCACTGGTGTAATTGATGCCACTACCAACACTCTCTACCTCACCTCCAAGACGTACGTCGACCAGACATTGACCGGCGTTGCCCAAGGACGCCCTGCCGGACGTTACTACCTCCATGCCCTGGATGTGAATGACCTCAGCGAGAAACCCAATTTCCCCGTCAACTTGGAAGGCATCGTAGCCAAGAATAACCCGATTCGCTCTTTCAATGGCGGCATCCACCATCAACGACCTGCTCTCCTACACGTTGGCAACTACATTTACGCCGGATTCGCTTCTCACTGCGTTCAGTACAACTTCACTGGCTGGATCATGGGCTTTGACAAGACAAGCGGTGCCAACGTCGAGCGTTTCGCTACTGAAGGTGACGGTGTTCCCGTTGACGTCAAGGGTGGTGGGGTCTGGATGTCAGGCGGTGGTCTCGCTTCCGATGATGCCGGCTCCTTGTTCTACGCCACCGGCAACGGATACGCCTCCCAACTCAGCACGATTCCCGTCAACGGCCGCACGCCCCCGACGTCTTTGGAAGAGGCCGCGGTTCACATGACGATCAACGACGACGGAAGCTTGAGCCTGGTCGATTTCTTCATGCCATGGGAGAAGCAAGCTCTCGACGGTGCCGACAAGGACTTGGGAACTAGTCCCCTGCAGATTCTGCCCAGCACGTTCTCCTGTGGCGACGTCAAGCGCATTGGCGTGGTGACTGGAAAGAGCGGCAAAACTTACTGGCTCAACCTGGACGACTTGGGCGGCTATCGCAATGGCGCCAATGGCCTGGATGATGTGATCCAGGTCTACCAGAACGAGAACTCTGTGTACGCAGGTGCAGGTGTCTACCCCGGTGAAGGTGGTTACATCTACATCAATGGTAAGCGGAAACTTTCATCTACCTCCAATACACAACTTAGTAAGCAAGTCACTGACCAAGTGTAGTCATTCAATACCCTACCCACGTCTTCAAGTTCTCCTGTGAGGCCGGAGTTCCCTCTTTCACCAAGGTTGCCGATAGCCCGCAGAACAACGCCTACATTCTGGGTGTCAGTCACGGCACTGTCACAACTCTCAATGGCCAAGCTGGCACTGGTCTTCTCTGGACGCTGGATGTACAGGGTTCGCAGCTCAAAATCTTCGAAGCCGTCCCCAAGGATGGTTACTTGAACATGATCAAGTCCTTCAGCGTTCCCGGCAGCACCAAGTTCACCAGAGCCGTCTTTGGTGATGGCATAATGTACCAAGGCACCACCCAAGGCTACCTGTACGCTTTTGGCTCGCCAGTCACGACACCAATCAACTGCACGGCCACCAACGAATTTGGCGTCGTCAATGTCGGTTCTCAGAGTGACCCGCGCACCATCACTTGCACAGCCGTCATTGGCGTCACCGTTTCAGACGTCGGCCTCGATGAGGCTGAAGACTTCACCCTATCCGGAGTTCCCACGCTCCCTCTTACTCTGACTGCTGGCCAGACCTTCACTATAGGCGCCTCATTCAAGCCTACTACCGTTGGTCTGGTGTCTTCCGACATCGTCGTCAATACGACCAATACGGCCGAGGGCTACAGCCAAGGAACCCATATCAGACTCACTGGTACTGGTGAGAGCGCCGGCCCTTTGCTGTCCATCACGCCTCCGACCATCACTTTCCAAGGCGTCATCGCCGGACAAGAGGGCGGAACGGATGAGAGCGTCATCTTGTCCAACCAGGGTAACTCAGCCTTGTCCATTACCGACGTCCAATTCTCTACGACCAGCGCACAGGGACCCTTCACCAGCTGGGATAGAGCCACTGCTTCACTTACCGTCGGCAAATTCACCCTCACCAACGTTCCGGCTACGATCCCCGCCAACACTGCTGTTACCGTTCGCATCGCTTTTGACTCCTCTGTCAGTGGCACCTTTGGCGCGTATCTCCAGGTTGTCTCCGATGGCGGAACCAAGGCGTTTACCATTGCTGGTTCTGCAGGACCCGCTCCCGTAGCTCTCGTCGAGTTCCAGACGCCTGACGGCACTGGATGGGTCGAGTACGATGCGGCCAAGAACTTCACTTTTGGTAACGTCACCGAGAACACTTCTAGGGCTCTGAAGTTCCGCGTTACCAATAATGCTACTGAGGGCGGCGTCAAGCTCTCCCTCACTGTCTCCAAGCCGCCTTTTGGCATTGACGGCATCATCCAAGCTGCCAACCTCGTCGACCTTGCTGAAGGTACTATTCTTGCTCCTGGTGAGAGCGCCACTGCCACCTTGATTTGCACTGTTCCCAAGGCTCAGTGGAACACCGATTCATACAGTGGCACAGCTCCTTGGACCATGAATACCAATGACCCCAACTTTGAGAAGCACTTCTTCACTTTCGAGTGCACTGCTGTTGCCGAGCAAGCACCGCCCTTGCTAGGCGATGGCCAGGGCAAGTACCGCTACATTGGCTGCTACAAGGAGAACAACCCCGGTCGCCAACTTGCAAACCAGTTGTACGGCGACGACACGAGCACGAACGCCAAGTGCATAGCTGCTTGTGCTGAGAAGGCGTACGTCTTCTGCGGTACCCAGTACCACACTGAATGTTGGGGTGGCCCCAAGATCCCTACTGAGAAGGTCGATGAACGCAACTGCAACTTTGACTGCGGCGGCGATCTCAATCAGATCTGCGGTGGTAATGGATTTGGAGCGAATGAAGGCGGAGCTTACATTTCGGTCTTTGCTGACTCGGTTCAATGGGACGGCAACACGACAACCCCTACGCCGAATCCGGACCCCTCGGGTCCTGAGGTGAACCCTGGCGTCGGGCAGTATGTGAGCGAGGGTTGCTACACTGAGCCCGCGGACACGCGCGCCTTGCCAAACCTGGTCACTACAACAGGGAAGACTGTCGCTCTTTGTATCGAGACTTGCGCCGCTAGCAGATACACCTATATCGGCTTGGAGTACGGAGGAGAGGTGAGTCATTCTATTTCAAGTCTATGAACTGTGTCAACGTGATAGCTAACAGGAAGACAGTGTTGGTGTGGTAACACTCTTGCTACCGGCTCAGTTCCTGCCGATGCCGCCGATTGCAGCATGCCTTGCGCGGATAATAGCACCGAGTACTGTGGTGGATCTTCCAGGCTCAACCTATACAAGCTCGACGGCACCTTGCCTGAACCCACGAACGCAGTCCCAACCGGCGCTACCACAACTACATCAGCGGCTCCGACTTCGACCGCTCCTCCGGCAAACGAGAGGGTCGGCGACTGGCTCTTCCAGGGTTGCTATACCGAAGGAACTGGTGTTCGCGCTCTCTCTTCTCGCACGTACGCCAACGATTCAATGACCCTCGAATCTTGCGGCGCTTTCTGCGAGGGTCTTGCGTACTTTGGTACAGAGTACGGTCGCGAGTGTTGGTGCGGTGACGAATTTGGCACTGGCAGCGCTCTCGCGGCAAACCAGAAGGACTGTTCTTTCCCCTGCGCTGGTGACAGCACTCAGTTCTGCGGTGCTGGAGACAGACTTCAGGTTTACCTCTACTCGCCTGTGAGCGCGAATACACCGACTGAGGCTACCACTACTGCCTCCGCCTTCGCCTCCTTGGTGGTTCCGTCTAATGAAACTGCAACCTCCACCGCAACTGAGACTACTCCGGCCGACAAACAGGGCTCTCCGACTGGTAGCACCAGCAGCACAACGGCCTTCTTCACTGCGTCCAACTCTACCATCTCTAGCGCTCAAGTGACCGCCGAAACTGTTGTAGCCACTCTTTCAGCAAGTAACTCGTCCATTCCGGCGACTGCTAAGGCTTCAACTACCTCGTCCACTACGTCAACCACAAGCCTGCTCAGTACATCGGCCCTCAACTCAACCTTCTCGCCTACTCTGGAGCAGGTCACCACCTCACCGGCCACTTTGGCCACTTCATCGGCCTCAGCAACTGCGCTCTCCAACAGCACAGTCCCAGCCACTTCTTCAACCTCGACCACTTCTTCAGCCCTGGCCACCTCGTCAGCCCCGGCCACTTCTTCAGTCCCACCCACTTCTTCCGTTCTGGCCACTTCGTCAGCCCCGTCCACTTCCACATCTTCAACCACAACATCAACGTCTTCCGCCACCCCCACACCGACCGGCCCAGTAATCTCTACCGGCAACGAAAACTTCACATACTACGGCTGCTTCTCGGAGCCGCAGGTCGGGCGTCTTCTCCCCGCCCAGATCATCAACCGCGAAAACATGACCATCGGCATGTGTCTGAGCGCTTGCTACGACAAGAACTACGCCGGCGTCGAGTACGGTCGCGAGTGCTGGTGCGGCGACGCCCTCAACTTGGGCGGCTCAGATGGCTCGACGCCAGCCGCCAACGTGACGGCCAAGGACTGCTCGTTCACGTGTCCCGGTAATAGCACCGAGTACTGCGGCGCCGGTGTGAGGTTGAGTCTGTATATCCTCAAGGATGAGCTTGAGAAGCTGCAACAGTCCAACGCGACGATTTCGTTCAAGTCGTAGATGATGATTGAGGGAGGTATAATGTCTATTCTTATGTGATTAATTATAGAGGACTACGGCCACTGAGTTGCGCGGCAAACGAATGCAGCCTTTTCTTAAAATATAATATTGATACCTACTATATAACTTGCTTGGGAGCAATTCTTTTGATCTTGGCCTCGGCGGACCAATGACCAACGTGATTGACCTATGATGCTAGTTTCAATACTCTAAATGCAGTCAAGCGCAACTCGAGTTGACATCCTGTCGTTGCCTTTCTTCTTGACGCCTACGCCGGACTTATTCCTGCACGACCTTCGTATTGAGCACTACGGAACGCCAACATTGCAGAAGCCTTGCATGGCAAGGTATCCGTTGCGCTTTCTTTTTTCGTCTCTTGCGTTCCACCTCGTTCATACCCATTTCGGGGTCAAAAGTCCCTGTACAACTGCGGTATTCCGACCGGTGTAGACGGGCCAGGTTGTGGAGCACCATGCTTCGTTGAGATATTCCTTTCGGCCTCATACCCACTCGATTTTGTTCAAAAAGAACAGATCAATCTCAAACATGGTGTGATTTTATTTTCCATAAGCAAAGCAAAGGCCAAGTGAGTAAATATGCGTCGGACGTCAAAGTAACACAACTCTTGCTTGTATGCGGTGCGAAGCAGCACCATGATACTTCTTCTTGCGCGGAACATGGCAATCTCGGTATCCCAAGCGCCCTGTGATGGAATACCGTGAGAAGGATACGGTACGTGTGGGACAGGACTTGGTCTGCAGCTTTGGTCAAGGTTGTTATCCGAGAGCAGCTTGCCCATTGAAAAAGACTGCACATGGTGGCCACTGCCGAGTTTCTTAGCCGCGGGAGTCGATCTTTGTTTGATCGACACTTTGCCGAGCTGCAGATGCGCCATTGACATATTGGAAATTGACAAGAGTATGTACGTCCATGTATGCACATGTGGTCTCGTCATCGTTTTTCCAAGGTACCGGACCAATCGTAAGTAAGTATCCGTATGTAATGTACCTAGGATCAGATCATGCTCACATATGTTCCTGAGAAGGATCGACAACGTTCCCGCCCCCTTTCAGAGAAGTGAGTGCGGTGAAGAAGGGGGGAAGGGAGATGCAAGGGAGAGAAGTCTTGGTGATGTATGATCACGTAATCCTTAATGGCCTTTTCCTTAACAGAGATGTGAAGATGGGAAGAGTAAGGCATAGCGGCCGGTACGTTTGTCGTATTTGCCGTCTGTCGCGGGAGGGAAAAATCCCATGTTTACTATTGAAGAGACTTTGGGCAAAGTTGGAGCTTGAGCTCCCTGACCTCAACAAGGATGGACCATACACCAAGGGGCCACGAGGGCTCGGGGAATCAGGCCACTGCGGCAGGCTGCAGGATCAAATAGCGGGCCCCCCTCCCCCTCCCCTTCCTCCTCGGGTGATGTCGGCCCAAGGATGTTTTCCCTCAGTCTACTCGGCTGAGATGGCAAAGGCAGCGAGACGAGGCGGGAAGCGAGGCATCAAAGCAAGGCTGAGCCCTTGCTTTGTGGAGTTTATCGGGTGTGGCTGGACCTCGCTGGACCTCGCCGGGCTCCGCCGTGTACTGTTTCCGGATGGTCTGAAGCGCCGCCGAGCTCCGGGACTTTGTTTGCCCCAGGGCCCCCCGGAGGAGATGAGCGGAGACTTTGTACGAAAAGATTCCCTGACTGGGTTTTACGCGCGTTCTGAGTGGGTGTCTCTGCGCCTTAGGCACTCCTGTTCCTCATACTACGTACTATCAAGATGATTCTTCCACAATGCTAAGCTAGGTAATGAGCGCTAGAAAAGTATTAGACTCTCTGCGCAACATCCCCGAGAAGTGGATCTCGAGGCCTCTTGGCGGCCCCGGGCCTGGGAGGAGCCGGGGAGGAGCCGGCACAACGTTATTGGCAAACGGCACGGAGTTGAGGAAATCGAGAGCACCGGGTCCTTTTGGTATCTCTACAACTCTGCCTTGACATACTAGCCTGTTTTAAAGACTTGAAGATTTTTGGCAGAGGGAGTTGCTATGCCCTTTGTGGGCTTTCGAGTGGTGTTTGGTTGTTTGGTCGTAAAACAGAGTAGTACTTACATGACCCTTGGCACCGTGGCAACTCCACTCGTATGCCTGTGCAGATACACCCGGGGGAACAAGAAAGAGACGGCCGCTTTTCCTTACATCAGCCATACAAAAGCGGCCATTCATTCTGTCCTCCCCGGGTGGCAGAGACTACGGTCCGGTCTCAGTCGCACAAAATTGGACCGGCCCGGGTGAGGTCTCACCCCGCTATGTCTCTCTCGTGCTGTTCATTGACCCCACTCGGAATGCTTCACGAAGTTGCAACGCCGTAAGGACCCGGATGCGCGAGGTTGATCCCGCCAGCAGTGGGGGGATGAGGCTGGGTGTGGGGTAACAATTTGGGTGGGTATCTGCCAACGCACCAGGCTTGCATTTCGCGATGCAGGTCCGTTCAGTCTCGGTGAGTTCAGTTTGTATGTCCATGGTAAGGCAGGCAGCGGAAAACATGGGGTGTTGTATGAGGGCCTGGAATCGAGGGAAGACGAGAAAGTGGTCAACGAGTTGCCAATACCTTACTGGATGAAGGGTTTTGATTAGTAAAGCCCAAGTAGGTTGAGCATGAAACGCAAAATTTGTGAAGAAAAAGAATTTGAGAAAGAAAAATATGTCAACCATAATTGTGGCGTGACTTCTACAGCAAACTCAAATTCCGGTTAACTGGCACGATATTACAATGCGGGTCCCATTATGAGTATTTGGCGCCCGGCATTTGCTTTTCTCGAGCCTCAGCCGTCGGCCGCCTCCCAGAGTCGCAGCCAAATAGAAAAAAAAGGTGGAACAAAGTCACGCCATGCGACGGGGTTGCCGCCATAAATGTCTCAAGCAAAACTAACAATAGGTCAGGTACCTATATTTCTCTCGGCAAGATGAGGAATAGAAGGGCCGGGAGAAAAAAGATTTCACAAAAGTTGGGACTTACACTATGGGGAAGAGCCTTCATGTACGCGTCGTATAGGTAAAGAGCCGGAAAGTTGGCAATTCTGGAATCAGGATTACGCTGTGCCCCATGATCGATGCCGGGATGAGGCCTGGCCGCAGGGTCTGCTTCGTCCCGACTTCAGCTCGCGGTATGGAGTCGAGCCACCAGCGGGAGATCTGCGTGACCCCTGTCAACCGCGGACCGCGCCCAGCCAGAATTAGAGAAAAAAAGTGTCTCGACAAAGAATGCGCTGATCTGATCGTGGCAGACGGGCACTGCAAGCCTGAGTGGACGTCTATGGGGCCAAGGTATATGGAAATCCGGGGTTGGGGAGGCTGGGACCCCCCCCCCCC